ACAGGTCTGTGATGCCCTTAGATGTTCTGGGCCGCACGCGCGCTACACTGACGGAGCCAGGGCCCTACCCTATATCTAGTCGTCGAGGGGGGCTTACTCCTGGACCTTACCAATACCCAATACACTGCTTTGTTAGCTCCGAGATACCTTACCAATACCCAATACACTGCTTTGTTAGCTCCGAGATACTTTGCCTTCACCGTCGATGTACTAGTAGTAGACTAGCTGGAGTGCCTCAGGGCGACCTTCGGTACAATAGGGTTACTACACCCTTCAGCAAATCTCTTTCCCACGGCTGGTGCACGACGATGTGGCGATCTGCGGGCGCACCGGATCTCGGGAGCTCGGAAATGTAGGCTTACAAAGCGGCGCAACAAAAATACCGAGAGAGTACTACAGACATCACCGACGACGAAAAGGACGCCGACGAGGAAACTTTCAGTAAAGGCCGTTTCACGAAAATCGTTCTTCTGCAGACCAGCTGTCTTGGTAACTCGATAGATACGTTCAGCATGTCGCCACCACCCTCCACAACGACGTCCAGGACCGTCGATCCCCTACCCGTCCGAACCCTCGCCGTTCTCTTCCTATGTCGTCTCGCCGAACCAATCGCTTTCAACAGCATCATGCCCTACCTCACATTCATGGTCCGTGACGTCCTCAGTCGCGAATACCTCTCCCGCCACGCCGTCGACTCGTCAGTCCAAAAACCGAACTTCGACGACGTCCCATTCTATGTCGGTCTGATCACCTCCTCGTTCTTCGTCGCCCAATTCCTCAGCGGTCTCCTCTGGTCTCGACTCGTCGCCATTCTACCCCGCAAACCACTGGTATTGTTTGGATCTTTCTCGATGGCGACACTCATGGTCCTCTTCGGTCTTTCGCGTACGTTGGCGGCTATGTGGTGGAGCCGATTCTTTGCAGGATTCTTGAACGGAAACCAAGTTGTCGTCAACACCATGTTCGGCGAACTAACAACACCCAACAACCGCGCCCGTGCCTTCGCACTACTACCGACCGTCTTCTACGTCGGCCAAATCGTCGGGCCGTACATCGGGGGATCACTCGCTGATCCGGTCCGGAGATGGGAGAGTCTGGGGAAGTGGAAGGTTTTGCGGGAGTTCCCGTACCTTTTTCCGAACGTCGTTGTCGGTGCGATCTGTCTGCTGAGCTTCGTCGTCGGACTGTTCTTCCTCCACAGCACAACCGCCGCACACGAGCGTACCCGTACCTCCTCCACAACACCCTCCACAACATCTTCATCCACGATCACCCCCACCCCAACAGACGCCGAATCCGCCCCCACCTCCGCAAACTCCGAAGCAACCCCTCTCCTCCCCCCCACAAACTCCTCCTCCCGCTCCTCAATCTTTACCCGCCCAATCATCTCCTCCCTAACAACCTACACCCTCACCAACCTCCTCCTCGTCGCCTACAACGTCGCCCTCCCCCTCTTCCTCTCCCTCCCCCCCCTCTCCCTTTCCGCCTCCACAATCGGCCTAATCCTCTCCTTTACGGGCCTCGCATCGATGTTGGCGCAGAGTTTGATATATGAACCTGTTCATCGAGCGTTGGGGACGAGGTGGACGTTGAGAGCTGGGATCGTGTTGTTTGTGGGGACGTATGTGGGTACTGCCTACATGCCCGAGCAGGGAAGCAGAGGGTTTTGGTGGGTGCTTGGGGTGGTGTTGGTGTTGAAGACGCTTGGGCAGTGTCTTGCGTTGACCTCCTCACTCATCCATATCACCGAGTCCGTCTCGCACACTGCCATCTTCACCACCGGGGATAGCAAGTCGACGTCGGTGTTACTTGGTAAAGTCAATGGATGGGGACAAGTCGTCGCCTCGGCTGCCCGTGCTGCGGGACCGTGGGGGATTGGTACGCTCATGTCTGCTTCTGTTGCTAGGCATGGTGGAGATGGAACGGGATTATTGGTTTGGGCTCTTGGGGCTGGGTTTGGCGTCGTTGGATTGGTTGTGTCGTTCTGGTAGATCGGGGTCACAGATCTCGCATTTGGTCATTTTTGTTTGGGACATACGGCGTTTCTCACTAGTACTTCTTGCTCTTCGATATCTGGGATATAATATGCCTCTATCTACTACCATCAACAACACAGCAAGGCTAGTTCGCGTACTTATTCCCAACCTGCTTCTCATGCTCCCGAATCACATCCCTATGAACCTCCACCTCCGTTGAAATCACGGTCGTACTCTCAACATTCGCCCCCCCATACGGCGCCCGATGATACTGATCCAACCACTTGACCTTCTGTCCCACCTCCCTCGCCACCCGATACACAAAATTGGGATCACGCAAGAACTCCCGTGCAATACTAACCACATCCGCCTTCTCTTTCTCAATGATCTCATTCACCATCACCCCATCTCGGATCCAGCCGACGGTGGAAACGTAGAGTCCCGGTACGGCGCGTTTGACGGCTTCGGCGAAGGGTATTTGATACCCCGGACTCAACTGGACTTTCTGCCGCCGATCCGTACCGCCTGAGGAGACATCCAACAAATCGACCCCGGCATCGCGTAGCATCGCCGCATACCGTACCGTATCCTCGATCTCCCACCCTTCCCCCGGTTCTAACCAGTCAACCGCACTAATCCGCCAAAACAACAAAGCGTCTTTGGGGATATTGGCGCGGATAGACTTGACGATCTCCAACCCAAACATCACCCGATTCTCAAAGGTGCCGCCATACTCGTCTCCCCGGGTATTCGTCGCCGGACTAGCGAACGAGTGGATTAAATACCCATGTGCACCATGAACAGCGATAATCCTCACCCCAGCCTTCACGGCCCTCGCCGCGGCCTTCCCGTACGCTTCCACGATTTCTTTGATTTCCGCTACACTCAACGCACCCGGCTTCGCATAATTCCCATTCCAACCCTCCTCCGTCGGACCTTTGACTTCAGCCGCGAACCCACCGTCTGAATCTGCTACGACGTCCAATCCGATCCAGGGTGGTTGCACACTCGCTTTACGTCCTGCATGACCGAGTTGGATAGCTACTTGTTTACCCTGTGACTTGATCACGTCCGCCACGCGTTTGAGGGGTGCGATGTGTTCGTCGGAGTACAATCCACTGTCTTGTGGTGTATTGCGACCGGACGGGGTGACGGCTGTCATTTCGATCGTGACGAGTGCTGCACCGCGGATGGCGAATTGACCATAGCTAGTGGATCTCTGAGTTAGCCAACTTTGTCGTTCATGGTTGAAAATGGGAGGAAGTGGGAGCTTACTGTGCAACGTGGTAATCCGTCAAGAAGCCGTCACGGCAAGAGTATTGACACATCGGTGATACGAAAATACGATTGATGAAGGTCGTGCCGCGGATCGTCAGTGGCCGGAAGGCCGCAGCAATGTTTTTGCCATCCTCCGGAAGAGCAGTCCCAGTGGGCGGATCTTGACGAGGGGTGAAGAACGGGACGTCGGGCGTCGGTTGTGAAGGAGTGGGAGTGACCGCGATCATGTTGCCTCAGGTCAAGAGATGTTCGACGAATTGTATACGGCTTTTTCAACTGCAAGCTGCTACATCGCTAACAAGATCAGCTGCTGGAGAAGAGTTTCGAGGCTCGGCTGCATCGGAAACCCCGCATCGTCGAATTCTGGGCGTTCCCGCAGCCGCATGCCTGCAGCCGGCCGTGCGCGTGAGGACTCAAACACTGAAGTCGGTCGTCGATAGAAGCCGTTGGGATGTTAATCGGTCAATAAAATGAAGGAGGGCCAGTGCCAGTGAAAGTCTATCTGTGGATTCGGTAGCGCGTCGGTGGGACATTCTACTTAACCTCATCGATGGCAGGAGCGGGAGTCCAAACGATATCGACATTCTGTGTCATTATCAAATTGATTATAACTCTCTGTTCCTGTCTTAACAATACAAATCGCCCGATTGATTCAAAACCCAAAAGTCCGCTTGGCGTCACCTAGTGTTACGCTGGCCTCAAGAATCACCCCCTCAAAAGCCACTCTCGATATCGTACACTCGTTCATTCCATCACCATCCCGTGCCCCGCCGCTTAACCATACGTAACCCTTCCACCCCTCCCAAACGCCAGCGAGAATCGCTTTCCCCAACGTCTCACGTAGAGGACGCGGGGAATGATGGTGTAGGTATGCATGCGGTGGTTGACGTGGAGTTGCGCCATTTGTGGAATTGTTGTAGGTATCGATTTGACAGATCGGTCGTGAAAACGGTGTAGAGAGGTCTAGTGAAGGACAGAAGTTAGCGACCCGGTGTCGGCGAGGCGCTCGAGCAGAAAGACATACCTGATAGAGCTTTTCAGCTTCTGTATGAATGTGCGATTGATCTGGTTCTTTCGTTCAGTTTAAGCTTCCCAGGCGAGACTTTATAGGAGGCTGAGCCAGGCAGGGTCTTTAGCGAAATGGAGGTCTGCCCAGTGACGTCACTGATGTATCGCGCAAGCGAGCCAAGTTTGACCGCGAAACTGCGCAATCAAATTTTGGACAAGTCGCCGTACGTGATCGCTGCTTTATAGCTGTAGGTTGATGGCAATAGCTCTGACTGGTACCGGGATCAATCCCGGTTTGACAATCGCGGCGCCGATTGACTTGCCGTTTTCAAAAGGCCATGGCTAGTCCAAGGACACCTTCGCTGGTATGCGTGATCGCCGCCTGGACGCTGTACTATATACGTCCAGATGACATGTTACTCGCCCTATCTCCCAAAGGTCCATAATAAGGTTTTGCACCTGCATGATAGCCGCATCACGCGGAGCAACTGAACCCCGATCGCGAGGAGTCATACACTGAGCTGGCCCTCTTGAGCTTACAAGTCCGCCCTCTATCCTCTCCACAGGCCTCTCACGTCCGTCTTCAGCAACTGTACTCAGAAAAATGCAGATCGCCTACCACCAAGCAACCTCCCCAACTCTCGGGCCCCTCATCTTCGCCTTCACCGAGAAGGGCCTCTGCGCCCTCGACCTCTCCCCCGCGGCTGATCCCACCATCCTCAACCAGCGCTTCCCGAACGTAACACTCCAAACAGACCTGTTCTCACCCGCCCAACACGAATACGTCACACAAATCCTCACATACCTCTCCGATCCTACGCGAACGCGGCCAGATATCCCCCTCGACTTCACACCCTCCCACCCCTCCCCCTTCCGTCTCGCCGTCTGGTCCACCCTCCTCACCCTCCCCGCCGGCCAAACTACATCCTACTCCGCCCTCGCTACACGTCTCTCGTACCAACCAACCCATGCGCGTGCGGTAGCGACCGCGGTGGGAGCGAACCCGATTGCGGTGGTGGTTCCGTGTCATCGCGTGCTGGGCGGGAGGGGGGAGTTAAGCGGGTATCGGTGGGGAGTCGAGGTGAAGAGGAGGTTGTTGGAGATGGAGGGTGTACACGTGAGTGGGATGGGTCGAATGGAGGTGGGTGAGGCGATTAAGTCGGGGAGTACGGGGTTGTTTGAGAAGTATAGGTGTACGGGCACGGTGTAGTTATGGCAGCTACTGCATCTGAAAAAGGAAACGATTCCGAGGTCAACGAATACGGTTGTGTGTCTCTCACACCTACAGTCCGATAGCATGCCATGTCACATAGCTGCTGCTGCCGATCAATCCTAATGCATACATCTTGTGCATTGCCATGGTACCCGTGTTTCCGGAGATCACGAGATATCGATGCTTTGTCGCAATCTTTTACGAAGTAGATTTGGCACACGCGAGTTGGCGAGGGTGTGGGGTCACTGGAATGGCATGGGAGGAGATCATATATAGTTAGGCCTGATCGTGGTCTACGGTAGTCTTTATGCTAGCCTCCTTAAGCTTGAGTTTTCTCTTCGGGTTCGTGTGAACGCGTTGACGCTTTCGTGGGAGGGCCGGAGGGCAGGCGTATACGCGTACGGACACTCACATTACGTCCCAAACCGAGAACCTAGACTCAAAAAGGCCCTTCATGAGTCCTTAATGGGGTTCATATCAGGTGAGTATGCCGCCCAGGGTAGGACTCTGTATCCCTCCCTTTCGCAGGATTCTTTGCAGTCGGGCGCGTGAAACATGGCGTCGTTGTCATGTTAGATTGTGAGATTGATGTCAGCTTCCCTAAACTCCTGAAGCTTGGGAAGTAGAAAGTCTTCAACGAAGTCACGCATCACGAACTGGTCGACCATTGGGACCTGCGAACGAGCGAGTTTTGTGGCCCACCACCAACACATTCCACCAAACACGAAGATACTCCCACCACCAGAACGCATCCGGGGAATGAATTCATTCTCCCTAGGAGGATCCCCAGGCCACACATAGACCTTTGCAACATGTCCTGGCCCAGAACGCTGGAATTTCGATTCGTCGGTGTAGATGATCCGCATCCAGTCCTCCTTCCTCCAGTGCAAGTGCTCCTTTGCCCATTGGTAACGCCTTTCCCGAGCCGCGGTCCACAGAAACGGTTTCCTCGTCTGTGTAACACACATTGCTCCGCTTTTGAGCAGTGACAAGCGTGCCGTCTCCGCTGAAATATCCCTTTGGTGACCATGATTGAAGGCAGCAGCAGCTTCCACAGCATTGTTGTACTCCCCTGTGCGAATTCTTCGGGTGAGCTCGTCCTTATCGCGTTTGGAAAGGATCTGAGGGCGTCCAGAACGAGGGCTGTCGCGGTAGGAGGCTGTCTTCCACCAACGGTTAGTGATATCCTCCAATGTCCTTCTCTTGACAAGGCACTGCTCCCACCCTGTAGCGGGAGTGCTCGCGGCACGGACATGTACATTGAGAAGTGACTGGTTTTATCCCGAGATCGTTCACTTGATGTCCGAAGCAGTCGTATGTGAACAACGATATGAATTCGCAATGTCATGTCCTGTACCATAACTATACCCCAAAGAAGCCAAGCCCATTCCATAACTCCAATCGCAAGCACAAAACCAAAAGTATATCCCAAAATCACACCGGCAACCTAAACTTCCTCCTCAACGCAACAACAGCAGCCGCAATCCCCGCCCCCACAATCCCCCCATCAACACTCCCCACCAACCTAATCCCCTCAAACTCCGCCGCAGCCCGATGAACATCCCGATCCCTCACCAAACAATCAACAAACCACTGCGTACGTTCCTTGAATTGTGGGTACTTCTCGAGTACCGAGCCGGAGAACGCGACGGTTGCAATTTGAGGGGTTTTGGAGAAGCGAGAGGGGGTGGAGGACATGGCGGGGGAAGGGGTGAAAGGGAATCCACATTGGGCGTCAACTTGGATGAAGGCGACCGTCGCGGCTGCGGTGAGTGCGGCGCCGCGGGTCGATACCAATTTGCTAACTGCCTGGACGAACGCGAGATCCCTGGAGCTGAAGGGGATTGTCGACAGTGGGTGCGAGGACGGGATGACGTGCGCCAACTCACTCACATCCCCAACATTCTCAATCCCAGCCATAAGTTGCGTGGAGAGGCAATACGGCACCTCCAACCCCTCCGGTACCCTTCCTCCAAACAACCCATAATCCCTACCCGCCTCCATCACGATCAACCTCAACAACTCCCCCAGATACCTCCCACTCACCGTTTGCTCCAACGGCTGAAAGCCCGGCCTGTCATTCGCAGCATCGAGTTCGAGGTCCCATTTCGTGAAGGGTATGGAGCCGTCACCGCCAAACATGGAGGATTCGGCGTTAAGCAGGCAATAACTCGCTTTTTTTGAAAAGGAGGACGCGACGCTCAACTTTGACTGCGGCAACAGTGCCAGACTCGCCGAACACGTGATATTGTGCCCCGTTCCCAAGATAAGTCCCAGTCTCGTATTCGGGACATTGTACGCTGTCGAGAGGTACGTCGCAACCGTATCATTGAGGAGAACGTCCAGCGACACCTCCAACCCCTTCCTCTGAAATGCCGCATCAAAGCAATCTTTGAGGTCTAGCCCCAACAACTCCTCACTCACCATAAACCCCTTCCCCATCATCATGATCCGCCCTCGATTAACCCCCGTCTGATCAATCGGAAAACTAAAAGTCAAACCCATCCCCAATTGTCTCCCCCCGCCGCCATCCACACTTCTATTCCACCCCCGCCTCTCCACACCCTCGACAACAACCTCCCCAACCCTATCCGCGATCCAATCGAAGAACTGATCTCCAGATCCACGTTTAATGTGTTCCGGGACCTGCCATAACCGGATCCATGTACGCACCGCCTCAGAGGCACCACGGAGTTGAACGATTGCGACGCGAAGGTTGGAGCCACCGAGGTCCATCGCGAGAAACGTGCCTGTTTCGCGGCCAGTGGGGGCGTGGTGGATATGGGTCGGTAACATCGTATTCGGGTTTCCTTGGAGATCATTCAACGCTCGTTCCGTGAATCGACGAGTAATGGTCCCCAGTGTTGCCGGCTCCAACGTAAACTCATGCGTCAAGTGAGCGAGGAAAGCGGATAGCGGGTCGTGTGGGAGTTGTTGCTGTTGGGTTCCAGCGCCGTTGTAAAGGGGGGGTATGTCGAGAAAGTCGAAATTGGATTGAGATGGAGGATGGGTGGTGAAGCTCGTTGGCGATACTGGTAGTGGATTGTGTGGTTGCATATGGAAGGGAGCGAAGGTATCTGTTGGTGATCCTGTTGGGAACTGTGCTGATAGCATCTTGTCCCAAAGCTCAGAGTTCAAGGTGTCCGTGGAGTTGGATTCGACGACGCTGATTTAAAGAGTACTGCACCCCCAACCTTCTTAAATGACAAGTACAAGTAGGACGGCCCGCGTGTTGTTGCTGATCCGCGTAACTCCCTCGTGCTTCGCTCCGTGCACGTAAACTCTCACAGCAGCGGTGTATACTAATTTTGTAAGTAGAACGAACGACCCGGCTTCTCGGAGAAGCTATGCGGGTGGCTAAAGTATCCCCGGACAGTGGGCGGATGTCGATGTTACCCTGCAGCTTTGTGATAGTAATGGATAGGCGATGGTGGAGCGCCAAGCTTCGGCTTCAAGACATCGATATCCCGCTATCTCTTGAGTCGATTTCGGCAATAATCAGTGCCGGATCAAGGGTGTTATTCGCGTGAGAGTTTTCCCGTGGTGTTGGACGATGGCAGCTCGAGGTTCTTCATGTTGCAATTCCACGCGCGTCGTGGTCCGAGGCTTCCGATGGGCGGTTGCATGTAGCGAGGTTACGCGACGAACGTACGACCATGACGTTACACAAACTTTCTTGGGGATGCTCATAGGCCAAATAGATCACGTCAATTGAAAAATCACGGATGGATGGTAGCCGGCGTCGACGGTCAACCTCTTTGTCCGGGCGCCGATGGATCGCCGCTTTCTAATCGAGGACTGTGGAGAAGCACAAAAGGTCATTGTTGCTCATTTTCAAGAATAGCTAAATGATACCACATACAATCAAAATCAGGTAACCCCTCCACCTACAACTCCATCGTTGTCTTCTCCCCCGCGTGCATCCTAATCTGCGTCGCCATCCCCTCCTTCTCCGCATCGTACTCCTTTTCCCCCTCAACGACTTCCCCATCAATGTTCGACTCCGGGATCTGATTCAACCTATCCTCATCCTTATCCAAGCCCCTAAACCACAGATAAAACGCAACCCCACCCACGGTAGCGAGAACCGCCATAACCCCATAATTCCACACCAACAACGGATCCGCACTCAAACTCACGAACGCGAAGCCCAGAGCGGAGCTAACGGCATTGGTGAGCAAGAAGACCGCCATGACCATCGACCGCATATTCCTCGGCGCCTTGGTAAACGCATACTCAAGACCCGTGATCGACGCAAAGATCTCAGAGAGTGCGATGAGGATATAAGACCCCGTCTGCGCCCACACGTTAATATCGACAGGTTCGCAATCGGGGTCTGAGGCGTGCGTTCCGCAGGTGCTTTGTTTGTAGATATAGTACTGAATCACGCAGGCCCAAATCATGGACATCCCTCCCGTCAGAAACCCAGCAAAGATCTTCCGGATCGGGGAGAACCTTAATCCAGCTTTCCGGAGTGCGGGGTAGACGAGTAAATCACACACTGGGATCAATATAATCAATGCGAATGGGTCGAGGTTGCTTAGGACGTCGTTGGGGAGTCCGTGGGTGTTCATTACTGCTGCTTGACTCGTTAGGTTGTTGTTGAGTTGGTTGTACGTGAGCCAATACAGCGGATAGAACAGAAAGACTTTGCACGCCTTTAGACCACGGGAGACTTGTGAGACCCAGGCGTCGTCGAAATCCATCCAAGGCGGGCGTTCGGAAGGCGGGATCCGGGATGGTTTGACGTTATCCCAGAACGTGCCATCATTCAAATTCTTATACGTCGTGACGGGGTTGACCGAAATCCGACCACGACACGCGTACCGAAAAAGACTGATCGCCTTCGACAACACCGAGCCCTGTGGAGGCGAGGTAACATATCGGTTCCTCCCATGCCACATCACGAGTGGACATAGGCAGAGCATACAGGTGGGCAGGGTATACGCCAACCAAAATCCTACCCATTTCTCAGAGTAGACCATCCCAATCTGGCCCACCAGTGCACCGATGTTGATCATCAGGTAGAAGTACATGTAGATCCTGCTTGCCGTCAATGTCGGGTCAACAATCACCCTCTCCCCCGTCGTGAGAGTTTGCGTCGTCATCCGTGTCTCCTTATATTGCTCCGCGACGAGGGGTGAGATATTGGCTTTGAACCCACCCGTACCAATGCCCATGACGACGAGGGAAACTGCGAAGACCCCGATTGAGGCATTGGGATGGGCGATCACGTTCGGAATGGAAGAAATCACCATGAGGATGTGCCCAAAAATCGCAATTGCAAGCGAAACACAAATCGTTTTGTACCGCCCCCAATATGTATCCGCAACATACCCCCCCACAAGCGGCATAACGTACGACCAAAACGTATTAAATGTCGTCAACCCCGTCGAAGCCCTTTGTCCCATGCCCAGAGCTCCACTCTGTCCGTCATACCCCGCGCCCGTCGACGATCCCGCGGGAAGTGGCTGCTGGATAAAGTTTGTGAAGACGACGGTGGAGCCATAATAAGAAAACCGCTCGCAGAGTTCGACGAAGGCGACTGTGTAGGCGTTCCAGGGGACTTTACCGGGGACACGACGGAGGGTGGCTATTTCGTCTTCGGTTGGGTAGGGGTCGCCGTGGAGGTCGGTAGAGGAGGTTTCGAGTTCGTTGGTGTAGGAGGGGGTTACGAGGGATTTGTCGTGCGCGACGCCCATAGCGACTTGGTCGGAGGCGGAAAGGCCTGACATGGTGGTGGTGAGAGGAGAGAGGAAGGTGCTGGGCGTTTACAGGAGCCGGATCCATGGGTCTTCTTAAGCTTCTTGTCTTTCACCCGCGGCCGCGGGGGTTGCGCAATCATCGGAGATAATGGCACACCTCGCTCCTCCTCGAGCTCCTCCGCCTTCCCCGTCGACGCCGCGGTCGATGTCGGCAAACTCTGCCAGTCCTTATCGCACATGACCTTATCACATGTCCATATCCTTCATACAACTCGAGACGGGTGTAACCTGTAGACACTTCGGTCGATTCGGTGATATTCCTTCTGGGCAATAACGGCCGAGAATTGCCTAATCAAGCTCGGGGTCGCGTCGAAAATCGCCTAGAAGAAGCGGTTAGTGTCGCGCTAGTAACGAGGAGGACGGTGGAGATTGGGGTAATTCGGGGTACCTCGGCCGAAGTCTAAAGATATCGTACGAGAAGAGACGTGATTCGCAATTGCAAATGCCGATAAGCGGAGGATGAATGGAGAAAGTGGATGCGTGAAGCGAAGGGCTTGGTTGACGTCGAGGAGAGAAGAGGAGCAAGCTTAGGTGTAAAAGCCATCTTTCTGTTATCGTACGATTTGTTATTGGTTAGCAAATGAACAATGGCGAAAAAAGACAGTCGAAGCGAAAAAGGAGGTCGAGGGGTGAGGAGGACCGAGGAGGAGCACGACACTCATTGTCTCTTGGCATGCATTCGCGAGAGAATGGAAGCGCAAGCGCCGTGTAGTCGGGCAGTACACGTTGCAACAGTCACATAGTAGATGCGTATCGTACGTGGAAATCAAACACAACTGCTGTAGCAGCTGCTTCCCTTCGAAGGAGCCGCTGCCCAAGCATTCTGCTATTCCTCTGTCAGTGCCCAGTTACATGAAGAAGATCATGAGCTCCAACGACTCCACATACCTTGCTCATCGCTGATGGAGGCCTGTCCATTTGTCATGTGGTTGCAGAAATGGCGGGTTTGGCAGTCATGTCGGGAGGGAGGACCGTGGGAACCCCATGTGCACGCGAACGGAGTTACGACGATTCAGGTGCAGTCGCGTCGGTAACCTCAGCCGAGACTAAAACCAGATCAGCTTGAAGGAGAAGCAAGACTGGTACTTCCCACACCAGCGAGGAATTCTCCTTGCGCTGAGGGATGAACGAGGGCATGTTGACAGTTTCCTCCCATTCCAGGACTTCCGCTTCTATGATTGCAGTTGAAACTACTCAGGCAGACTGTGAGTGCTGTCCTTCAGCTCCTCTTGAAGTTCGAATGCGATCAACAGTCTTCCCACGGCGTCGACATTCCCCAATCGAGCGCTCACGCCCGGAACGTCAACGACGGTGCATTGAACGGAGGGCATGGCCAAGACGACAGATATCAGGTCATGTCATAGCATGTTATATCGTGATATTATTATATGGAAGGGAAAAGACAAGAGTACGGGTAACGACCCAATGCAAACCTATAGCTAACCGAGACGCCATACACTCCCGGCTAATCCATCCCGACCATCCCGCTTCCGAAACCCCCCATCCAACAGCACGACTATATCATGTAGACGAAACCCTCTCAGCAGTAACCCTAGGCTCTCCCACCTTCTGCTCATCAATAACCCCTCCCAACACCCCCTGCGGCCCTAATCCGCCAACCCCCTTCTCCCCAACCCCATCCACCGAATGATTCCCAACCTTCATCAAAATAACCGGCAACGCACACACCAAAGCAACCCCACACAACCCCCACGAACTCCCAAAAATAGCATCAAACGGTTTCTTCAAGGCATCGATACGCCAAATAATCGCGGCCCCGGCAGATTGGATACCCTTGTAGAAACCCGCAAAGTAGGCTAGTTTTCGGGGATCGTTGGAGAGGGCGCCCATGAGCCAGTAAGCGTACGTTTGCCAGATTGCGTCGAGGAAGCCGTAGAACATGTACAACCACAAACGACCGGCATACCCTCCGTCCGAGACGTCCATGCCTTTCCCGTGTGGTCCGCCATCTGGGTGGAATTTCGTGGGTTCCCCGCGGTGGGTTTGAAAGAGCATCGCTAAACCCCCTCCCCAAATCACATTCACCAACACGAAAACGAGAATCCAACCGCTGATCGCGCGCGTCCGACGCGAGAATTGGTGCATATCGAGGAAATAACCAAAGAAGCCCGCGCCGACGATTTGCATGAGCCAGTACATGAGCGAGTTGAGGGATCGTGTACGGATGTTGAAGAAGTATCCGTTGTAGTCGTTGAATTGGTATGTGTAGAACCAGTTCGAAGCGAAGAAGAGGGGGAAGAGGGCCACAATATAGGTATCCGTCTTCAAACACATGAGGAGACCCTTAATCTCTTGCATCGGTGTGGTTTGACGGGGGATCGCGACGTGGGAGCCATCGGGGCGGATAACGGTCTCAGGCTTTGCGAGGGTCGCAGCAAGTCCTGCACCGACGATCATGAGGATCATGAAGGCGATGTAGGTCCCGTCACCGACTGTGCCTGTATCGTTATTCCAGTTCTCGGCGACGGGGATGATTGCGCCAATCACAGCGCCCGTATTGAAGATTGCCCAGAAAATAGAGATGTACCGGCCTTTATGGCTTTCGATTGGGTAGGACATCATGATTGCGCCTTGGGCCGTCCAGAGACATGCAGCACACACGCCGAGGATCGCACCCGCTGCGATCACGAAAGCGTCGCTTTGCGTATGGTTGTAGCAGAGTAGAGATCCGGCGTAGAGCGCGTACCCGAACCCAGAGATCATGAGTGTATACCGAATACCGAGGTAATTGCAAATTGCGCCAGCGCAGAATCCGACGACGGCAAAGGTGGTGTAGAGTGCGACATTACCGTTGTCGGCGGCCGTCGCGTCGAGTTGTCCGCCACCTCCGGTACCGGAGAGGGCGTTGAACATCCCCGGACAGAGGAAGCATACGAACCCCACGAGAATGATCTGAACGAGGGGGGTGCGGTAGGCGAAGCGCGAGAGGCCGGAGCCTGTGTGGGGTTCTGGTGCGGCCAATGAGGCATGCGCTGAGTGTTTCTCGATGTCTGACATGTTGAGGCGTGTATAAAGAGTGAAGATCAACGTCCTGGTGACTTCATGACCTTATATGATTCAGTCATTGTTGTTTGAAGGGTCGGTGATAAGGGTGCGTCGTCCCCGCTCGGATAGCAACAGGCGTGGGGTGCAGGGCTCAGGCGGTCCCATGCTCAATTCAGAGTCAGACTGGCGTATATACCGTACCGTAACCAAACAAACGCCGTGCATAAAGTTAAGATGTAACCGCGACAACCGTTGTCGGCTAAATGGGGTGTTATCTTACGCTCCGCTTCGGACTTCCCTCGCGCTACACCCCGCTGGCCGCTGAACTCCCGACTGCCTCGAGGAGAGGTAACATTCCTGATCTGATCGATGTGAACACCACGTAACGCACGGGGAAGTCTACGTTACTGCTTCATGGCTTCAATGGACGTAGAGGATGACTTATTGAGGTATGCTAAGCTTCTTGGAAATGAAGTACATCGGACAACAAACTGATCCGTGATTGTGCAGCTATGTCGGGGAGATGTTGGTGGTGGGGTTCAGCGGCACTACCGTAACGCCGGAGATCACCGAGCTGATCGAGCAGTACCATGTCGGAAGTGTCCTCCTCTCGAAAAAGAACATCATAGGTATGCCCTGCTCTTCTGCGCACAGGCGCGCACGAATGGCTGACCGAGAACCGCTTCGACAGATGCGCAACAAGCCGCGACATTGATCCGTGATCTCCAATGTATCGCTCGAGATTCGGGACATGAGCACCCATTGATGATTGCCGTCGACCACGAAGGCGGCTTCTTAAACTTCACGGAGACGCAATACCCAGGCGCCATGTCCCTCGCTGCAACATCCTCCCCACAGGTCGCCCGAGACGCCTCCAGCGGCGCCGCGATGGAACTTCGCGCACTCGGCGTCAATTGGATTCTAGGCCCCGTCCTCGACGTTAACTCAGATCAGCGGAATGGAGGCTCCGGAGGTGGCATCATCGGATCAAGATCATTCGGGGATTCGGCCGAGATCGTGGGTGAGTTCGGAGCGGCGTGTATACAGGGCTACCACAACTCCGAAATGGCGACCTGCGTAAAACATTTCCCCGGATACGGCTCCGTCGACGGCGCAGCAGGTGGTGACCACCGAACACTCTGCACCTCCTCCGACCTCCGACCTCCATCCATCGATCCATATCGTCAAGCTATCCTGGCGGGTGTGGACTCGGTCATGGTAGCAGGCGGCACCTATCCTGCCGTAACAGGCAACGACCTACCAGCCTTCACCTCCCCCCGACTCATCCGCAACCTCCTCCGCGAGGACCTAGGCTTCACCGGCCTCATCCTCTGCGAATGCATCGAACAAGGTCCGATAGCCTTCACCGGTCTCGGGAATATCGCGATCCGAGCGATTAGTGCAGGATGTGATGCGCTAATAGTATGCTGCAATTTCGAGAAACAGAAGGAGGGGATTGAGGCGATTGTTGAGGCGGTTGCGGAAGGGGTGTTGAGGGTTGAGAGGGTGAGGGAGAGTGTGAGGAGGATGAGGGGGATAAAGGAGCGGTTTACGATTTGGGAAGATGCGGTGCGGGAGGTTGATATTGGGAGGATGGGACTGCGAGGGGGGTATGGGGTACTTGCAAGGAGGGCTTATGAGGGGTCTGTTACAGTTGTGAGGGATCAGGGCGGGGCACTCCAACGGCTAAAACAGCTTGTGTCGGGGGTGCCAATCGTGCCGATTACGATCGTATCGCCGATAGTCATTCCCCTGTCATCACCGCGGTCTTATTCGGAGGATTTTCGGACATTTGGAAAAGCCGTGTCGAGGTATTACTCAAAAGTCCGGCATATCCCATACAACGCTCACGGTCTGGGGCAAGCACACGAAACACTCATCCAGGGTTCTGCAGCGACGATCGTCCTTGTCTCCAACATCGAGCGAAATCCTTGTCAATCCATGATTACAAAGTACATTCGACTCCTGGCTGGCGATAAGCCGGTCGTTGTCGTGTCAGTTGCCACGCCATACGATTTTGCGTTCGATACGTCAATATGTACCCTCGTCTGTATCTATGATTATTCGCATATGGCACAGGAGGTATTGGCTGATGCGCTGTTTGGGAAGGTAGTGCCGAAGGGTGTGATCCCTATCACTGCTCTCCGGAATAATCATGGAGGACAAGTCACTTCTCCTCGCTCGCAATCCTCGCCAGTGGAAGATTGGAGTAAGAACGATGATACAGTCACGCTGGTCGAGCTGTGGAAAGAGTGCTTCCGTTCACCAGGGATGCAGATGGATGCACCCACATTGCTGTCAATACTTGATCGTCCCGCTCCGCTCGCACGTCATTTTGTCGTCAGGAACTCGGCAACGAGGACGATGACTGGGTTCATCGCGACATTTCTCACAAACGTGCGACAGGCGGATGGTGCATCGTGTTTGATGGGTTCAATCGGTGTCATCCTCGTACACCCCGAGCATCGCAATAGTGGAATTGGGAGTGCACTGTTGCAACACGCAGTCATTCACCTGAGAGCGAACGCGGACAAGCGATTCGGATTGCAGTTTGGCAGCACGTTTCCTCGGCTTCTGCCAGGCATTCCATGTGACCTCGATATACGGGATCAAGACTGGGTGCGGAGACGAGGGTGGAATATCGAGGAGGACGAGATCCACGATATGCACATGTCTCTCGACACTTGTTCTCCTTCAACGGATTACATCAAACAAGCAGGTGACGCGGGGGTAATCTATCAGACGTGCCGGGCGAAGCAATACGCGCAACTCACAGAGTTCGTGCGAAGGGAGTTCTCGCACTTGCCAGGGTGGGTCCATGCGTATGAAACCTTGGCTCTGACGGATGATATCACAGATGCCGTCATCGGAGTCGACTTGAATGGGGATATCGTCTGTTCTGTTATCGTCTACTCGATGCTCGGAAGTAACCTACTCGTCTCAGACTTGCGTTGGCCAATGTCTATGAATGAAAGAGTGGGTGGTATGACGTGTTTGGGGACGACTAAAGAACATCAGGCATCTGCGGTGGGGTTAGGACTGGTTCAAGCTGCGGTTGGGGAGTTGAGAAAGAGGGATCTGACGAATTGCTATGTTGATTGGACGAGGTGTCCGAGGTGGTTTGGGAAGGTTGGGTTTACGATTTGGCGGACGTATCGGGAGGCATGGACAATCGTGGAATAAGTTATACGGAAGGCCAGGCGTTCTGGCGTTTGAAAGGCGAACATCTGATGGATCATATATACCCACGCATACCTAAGACGGGGGCTGAAAAGGCACTGGAGTGATAGCTCGCACCAAAAAGTTCTGATTATCGAGATTTTAACACGGTCCACATGTGCAAAGTCACATCCAATCAAGCATAACACATCCCCGGCCTCTGGGCACACCAGATTGGCTGAATCGGCTCAGCCTGAATGCCCCTCCCCAACAACCTATATCTCATCTCATGCAATCTCGGCGTAGCACTAATCGTCGTCCGATTCACCCCCTCCGCATCCGTCCTCCCACTCCACAACACCTCTCCCGCCGCACATGCCCTCGGCCAAACCATCCGATCCAGGTTCGCCGGGTCAGTTTGCTCGGTCCAGAGGTTGATCTCCCCACCCACGACCATGGAAGCTTCCTCCGCTGTCAAGTTCCCGATGGGATCGAAGGAGTAGATAAGACGCCAATTCTTGGTTGGTGCGCAGTAGTCTGTGAAGGGGTAGTACACCGTATCGTTCTGGAAATCAATGAATTGGCCTTTTCCGCAGTCGAGATACCAGTAGTTATAGTTCCCGACAATGGCACGGTACCCTTTTGCGATTACAGACTTTACGTTCCGGGTTGCTTGCCACACTTGTATCAATGTGTCTTTAGCCAAAGTTACGTTCCAGTCAAGGAGCATTTCTTCCCACGCGATGCCCGTGAAGCCGTATTCGTGGACCTTCGCTTGTGCGTTCAGAACGAAGGCGTTTACGAGGGGTTGCAGGACTTCGGAGTCGTTTGAGCGGACGGTGGGGTCGAGGAGGTATGCGTTAGGTTTAACTTCGTCGCCGCCTGTGTGGTAAAAAGCAGCATACTCCTTAAGGCGGGGTAGGAGGTCGTCAAACATGTTGTCAATAAAGACGGTGACATCCGAGCTGTTCAGACGTAATGTACCGCTTGGGGGTTCCGCTGCGACATTGTCTGCAGCCCAGTTGGGATCGTCCACGGCACACGTCAATTCAGGGTGCGAGTACCCAATCGAACCTGAATGTCCCGGCATGTCTATCTCCAAGATGACCTGTACTCCGCGATCTGAACCGTAGGACTGGATCAATTCGATATCGGTAGGTGTATACCACAATCCCGGGGCATAAGCTCCTTTCTCGGCAAGCTCTGGGTAACAGGGGATTACAAGAGGCCAAGATTGAGCGTCTGTAATGTGGAGGTGGAGAGTATTGAACTTGTTGAAGGCAAGGGCATCTATTTGACGAAGGATATCTGGGACGGGGAAGAAATTACGGGCCTGTGAGGCAGAGGTCGGTCAGTCTTCGCTCAGGGAGGGGAGATCGGAAGAAGGGAACATACCACGTCAAAGTTCATTCCGCGATGCTGGAACTTCGGAGCGTCCTCAATATGGATGGGTGCATCTGGAATGTAGACCATGTTGCTTCCCTGCCCATTCTGGTACAAATATGTCGACGGAGAGTATGTATAGAACAACTGCTGCAGCGTAGTCAAGCCATGCAAACATCCCAACGAGTGCGTACACTCCACCACAACCGGCGATCCATCCACAGGGATATCAAGCGTGTACGACTCCGATATGTTGAAAGCAACGGGACTCGCGATGTTGGAAGGATCCGTGTCAGTCTGCTTGACAATGATCTGCGAAATCATAGGCGCTCCCATGATGTACTGCGTGCAAGGCTGGAAGTCGATCCCAAACGGATGCAACATCCAAGGAACGAAATTGTCCGTCATGAGAGCCTTGAGGGTCCTCGCGATCGCCGACTGAACGCGGGGTTCCGTGGAGCTCCCAGTGCAGTTATCTAAGAGGATAGCGGCGGCCGGAGGAACAAATTTGAAGTCCACATTGGGCGACAACTGAAGGAGTGTGGTTCCGTTGGTGCGATTCCCCGATGGGATCGGCCAGAGAGCGTGTACAGGTGTGAGGAGGATCGAGCAGAGGGCGAAAAAGAGCGGTGCTTGCATGATGAGCTTGATCTGAATCACCGCGGGGTTGCTCGAACATCATGAAAGGAGGTAGTCGATATCTTATATACTGGACAGAACTCTAAATTTAGGTATCTCGCGGTCCGCGCTCAGCCGCACGGGTCGCCGTCCGCAAGTCGCCAGCTTCCCACGCATGTGCCTACAGTACAACGAACCGCCAGCGCGAGACGTGACGGAGCGACCACGGGTACCCTGAGAGAGCCTGCCTACAGTAGGGTATCACCTTCGCTCCTTACTCAGGATCACCATGCCCATGTCCATCCCCATGCACAACAATTCCACTCCCAACCCCAACCCCACCATTCCCAACCTCCTCCCTCTCCCACTCCCTATCAAAAACCTTCACCCCCCTCCTCCATGTCTGCAACACCTCCAATCCCATCCCATCATCCTCTTCTACCCAAGGGCTAAGCACCACCAAATCCGCCTCCATCCCCGGTTTGAGAGATCCTTTACGGTCGTGGACACCAATCGCCCGCGCAGGATGCGCAGTAACGGTCTTGATCCCGTCTACAACCCCACACCCCGTCCACCCCACGAAATTCCTCAAACACTCGTCCATACTCACCGCACTGCCCGCGATCACCTCTTCCCCGTCCTTACCCTTCACGCCCGTGAGTGTGAGTTTCTTTCCATGCTTGGTGATGGAGGCACCGGTCCAGGAATGCGTGCCATCGGGGAGACCGAGGAGGGCCATGGCGTCTGTTGTGAGGATCGTGCCGGTGGGGTGGGAGCGGTGGGCAATCGTTATGCAGGAGGGAGAGACGTGGATCGAGTCTGTTATTAGGCCGTAGAAGAGGCGGTCTTCGTTTCCGTCTGTTTTTTCCCCATCCTCCTCATACTCTCCTTCTCCGTTGTGCTGGGATTCGATCTTCGTCGAGGGAAGGGGAGGCGGGTGGATGGAGATAGGGTCACCGAGTAGCCCGACAACCCCCGGATCCCGCTGATGCATGACCCCCATCGCATTGAAAAGATGCGTAACCATCCTCGCACCCCTCCTCACCGCTTCTCGTGCGACGGATAAGCTTGCGGAGGTGTGTCCGATGGAGAATGTGATGCCGCGGGAGACGAGGTGTGGGATGAGGGGGAGCATACCGGGGAGTTCGGGGGCGGCGGTGACGAGTTTGATGCAGTGCATGTTGGTTTCGCCGTAGCATTCCTCCATCGATTTCATGGCGTCGTCTCGCACCGTCGGCTCGTCTGAGGATGGGGTAAGGGTGCGGAGGAGGGAGATGTCATGACACCCATTCTTCCTCGACTGCAAAAATGGCCCTTCGCAATGCGCGCCCAACACCTCCGCTCCCCAGCCCGGCGGCGCGAGTGGGTTTGGCCGGAGGTGGGGGAGGGCGCGGTGGTAGTGCGCTGGGTGTTGGGTTATGATCGTGGGGAGGTAAGAGGTTACGCCGTAGCGGACTAACTCTTGACTCACCCGTTCAACCCCATTCTTGTATTCTTCTTCTGCATTAGGACCGGAAGGCCAAACGGAGAAATCGAACCCGACACCGCCGTTGACTTGTAACTCGACGAAACCGGGGGCGAGGATCGCGCCGTGTAGGTCGATGATCTCGTTCGGGACTTGTTTTGCATGGTAGAAGGCGCGTTGGGCGTCGAGGATGAGGCCGGTTGAGACGTCGATCCAGAGGTCTTGGGGGATGAGAGTGGAGGTCGGGGAGGTGGGGAACGCGAGGAAGCAGTTTGTGAACTTGATGATGTAGGGCATTGAGGAGCCGAGGCCTGGGACGTGATCGTTGCTGGCGAAGGAGGGCATCGTTGCTTTAACTATAAGCCGTAGAGATATTTTTTGTCAATAAGATCAACTACCGTCGGGTGTCCACCTCATGTTACACATTCATTCGCAATTGAATGCAGAGCGGGTCGGCTCGCGGAACGTTGCGCTCGCTCAGCTGTCCGTCCACATGTCCACTCTTCACAGATCAACTTGAAAGTTGGATTATAACTGGTGATCCGCGTCACCTAAACACTCAACGACCAATTGCAAGGATGAGGTTGATCATCAGAGAGGACTACGACGCGGTTGCGGATTACACGGCAAAGTACCTCCGCGATCGAATCAACGACTTTGCTCCCACCGCCGATCGTCCCTTTGTTCTCGGGTTACCGACTGGATCTTCCCCTGAGGGTGTCTACAAAAACCTGGTCAAGTACCACAAAGTACGTCCCTCCTCCCCTTCTCCCTACTAGTACTCCTCACTCCTCGTCTACGTATACTAATGGGCGAGGGTGATATAGGCAGGCCAACTCTCCTTCCGCCACGTGATAACCTTCAACATGGACGAATACGTCTCCCTTCCCCAATCCCACCCCCAATCCTACCACACCTTCATGCACACCCACCTCTTCTCCCACATCGACATCCCCCCCTCCCAAACCCACATCCTCGACGGAAACGCCGCGGACCTCGAGAAAGAGTGTCAGGAGTTTGAGGAGCAGATTAGAGGGGTGGGCGGGATCGAGTTGTTTTTGGGCGGGATCGGGCCGGATGGGCATATTGCTTTTAATGAGCCGGGAAGCTCGTTGAGGAGTCGGACGAGGGTTAAGACGTTGGCTTATGACACCATTTTGGCGAATTCGCGGTTCTTCGACAATGACATCTCAAAGGTGCCCAAAATGGCGCTCACAGTCGGCGTGGCAACGTAACCCACCCCCCTCTCCTCATCTCCCCCGCGTCCTTTGCTAACGCTCACCCCACAGCGTCATGGACGCCCGCGAAGTCCTCATCCTCATAACCGGCGCCCACAAATCCCTCGCCCTCCACTCGTGTATCGAACTCGGCATCTCGCACATGTGGACGGTCTCTGCGCTCCAGAATCATCCGCATCCGATGATTGTGTGTGATGAGGATGCGACGTTGGAGTTGAAGGTCAAGACGGTGAGGTACTTCAAGAGTATCGAAATGGTGCAGAGGAGTGTTATGGGGGAGAAGGAGGGTGGGGGGGAGGTGAACCAGATGCCGAGGTTTGTGAGGAGGTTTAGTAACCAGGGCGGGGAGACGGGGGCCGATTAAGTCAAATTGCAATAACTGTACAAATGATCACCCCCTCGGGTCGCATCACGATCGTCCCCATGACATCAGCGGCCCCCTTAGCGCAGACACAAAAGCCAATCACGGCGGCAATGCAAGAGGCCCGCCACTATCTTAGGTAAGCGCCTTGTTATGCAAGGTGAGCGAATTGAGACAGGAGTCGAAGGACCCTTAACCTTGTTGCACTCGACAGCGCACGGTAGCGGCAATGGCAGTGGGGGGGGGAGGGGGGTATAAGAAGGACCCTGGGCCCGCGGTCGGGGTGGGGAGTCACAAGTACACCATAATAAAGACACAATGGCCGCAACCCTCTCCCGCCACAACTCCCAATACATGGAAGAAGACATGAACACACCCTCACCCCAAATGTCCATGGATGACGGCTTGGGCGATTACTCCATCGATGCCGCGAAGGAGGATTACGCGAGGTACGTCTTCCCCCAAATCTCATACGGTTTGCAATGCAGAAGACTAATAGTATTTTGCGACCACAGGCGTCTGTTCGAGCATACACAACGCCAATTCTTCCGTGCTTCGCAGAGGTTGGCGAGACAGGCCGCTAGACATCAACAACAGAACGGACAACTCCCGAGTGGGACTGCGCCTATTATCGAGGGGCCTCAGCAGACGCCTGCCTAATGAAATAAAATCCTGGCTGGGACCCATATATGATGGTTTCGGTTGGTGGGGGTGGATGATGTGATACCTATGACAGTGTGCTGTTGATTGGCGCGATCTTATTTTACGTTTTTTATTCTTTTTCTGGCGAGCATGTTTGATTAGTTAGCTGGCGTATTGTCCTTTTTGATTTTTTACTTTTTTGTTTTGGGCGTTTTCCGAAGGAATTATGTACGAGTATTATGTGAGAAGGTTGGATGAGGAATGCAAGATTTGTTTGGCGATGCCATTTATCCATCCCGAATGTAACAGTAAACGTTATCTCTACCGTCTGTTGCGATTGCTGCAATCCCCTCCTCCGATTGATCCTCTCGAGGTGCCCCTCCCTCTCCCTCGTCTATCCTCCCCACCCTCTCCAGCTGTTCCCCGACCCCGTCATACGTCCGTCAGTCTCCCCCTTATCTAATACAATATGACGCCCATCTGACAGCATTACGGGTACACCAACGCATAGAGCCCCTCCCTTAACTTTAAAAACTTGTCCGTTAGGCTCCGAGAACGAAATTTGAGAATGGATTAAGCTCCTCGCTTATACCGTACGTCGTACGTCACGCGTGACGTGGGGATCAACCCCCCTCACACTTGACACCTTTCCCTAGCTTCCTCCCTCCCATATTAACTCTCGTCGTTCCGTTCGGTTCCGCTGCACCGCGGAAAAAGAAGAGGTCAAGGAATCAGCAACAGCGTGGACATGTGAGCTCACTCACTGGCTCTCAACTGATATCCGTTTATCAATCACACAATGGTCGATCTCGATCCCCCTTCGCGGGAGAAAAGCTTCGGAAGCTGAGGGGAACGAACGGGAGAAAAAAGCCCGCGCCGGTGTTTGCTCGCACGGATCGGCCGGCCAGCTGGAAGAGATCCAACTCCCAACGGCCATCCCCAGCTCTAACAGTCAATTGATCTGGTTACGTCCCAATGGCGCCGCGCGCGCCAAGTCCGTATACGTACGGAACGGGATGTCGATCCTGACGCAAAAAGGACGCTAGAACAACCTAAATTTGGTGATGTGACGAAGGGCCGGTTATGCGTTGGGGAGGACGAGAAGGTGCGGATATGACGGTAAGGGGAGGGGATGACATAATTGAATGCCAGTTGCGAATGGGATGTATGCATGCTCGCTTGTCGTCGATTGCAATTGTGGGATCACGAAATGCCTGCGTTGGAAGTTGATGGCCAATTGGAATGGAATCGGCAGCGTACGGTGGAGTTCCATGGTTTTTGAACGCCATGTATGCTGAGCAAGAGAGTTACGGTGGATGAATTCGCGGGAGGTGGTACGGTCCCTGCTGGGTTGTATGCGGTCAGCTTCGTCTCGCGCTGTACATTTGTTCGCTGCGAAATCGCTACGGCTGATTTTTCAGGTTGCTGGGAGTGAATGCCCGGAGACTTAGGCCTATTTGCGAAGTGCATACTTGACAACGCGTAGGAAGGTCTTGGAGGATGTGGGAATGGGAAAGGTTGACACATCTCGTGATGACCAATCTCACCAGCGGCTTTGTGGAGCATAAACAGCTACGGTCGACGTCGCCCTGTCTCAACACGCGCGTTCGACAAATGCGCGGGTCTCGTCAAACCAAGATCAGATGATCCCACGCAACACAGAGATCCGTGAATGGGAGACTGCCGCCCCAACTCTATTTCACCAAACCCCTCGGTTCAGCTGCTCCAAAATCTGGAAGTTTGGGCTTCGTACACCGTTTCGGTAGCCAGTTTCCGGGTCAGCTGGTCTGGGAGGGTTGTGACACGGAGCACAGAACTCCGTACTCAACGAGAAAACGAAAGGACTGAAGGTCACACGGCCCGCCAGCTTTGAATGCTGTTTCAGCTACAGAGTGTGGTGGAGAACTGCGCCGAGGAAGACTCCAACCAAGAAGACCTAGATCCTCATTGCAATCTTCGGCTCTCCCCTCCCCGTTCGCGAAATGAAAGAAAGCGGGGTACACGAGCGAGCCGCGAGCATACGCGTGCCCAACGGCCGCGGTGCATACGCGATCTGCGCTTCAAATTGCCGAAATCCTTTCTCACGAGGATCAATCTCGACTCACAGCTGCAGAAAACTGCTCTTGTCGGGCGAAACCGCCCGCAATCCCCTCACTGGACGCACAAAGAAAGTGGGGCGTATAAGACGGCTGAGAGCGCGTGATGCCTCGCCTAGAATTAGCCGAGGCGAGTTGGATAAGCTTAGATCGCGGTTGGTCTAGGCGAGCGAGGTATACCCGAGATTGGAAAAAGCTTGGGCATTGGTGAAGGAGCTGGTACGATGATTGCTGCTGGGATGGGGATGCGGGGAAGCTTAAGTGTGGGGTATGGGGATGGCTGTAGCCGTTCGTCGGGGTGTATGAGGCCAGCTGAGGTATAAAGAGTGGCCATGTCCTCCCTTTTCATCGGCCCTCAACAACCTCGGCCTGCAATTGCTGCACCCTCGATCTCCCACGATGGGCACCTGGCAACGCGTCAAAGACCACTTCAAGACCTTCGAAATCACAATCGACGAAAATGGTCAAACCCACAAAACCCCAATCCCTCGCCCCAAAGTCCCAAACCCCTGGCACGTCGTCCGTCTCCTCAACTGGAAACACTGGGTTTACTTCCTCGTCGGTTTCGCCGCCTGGACAATGGACGGTTACGACTTTCACACTGTTTCGCTCAGTGTCAGTAGGTTGGCGGAGTTCTACGGCAAACCTAGGGCGGATATCAGTCAGAGTATCACGTTTACGTTGTTGTTTAGGAGTGTGGGCGCGGCGGTGTTTGGGATGGCGGGGGATATGTATGGGAGGAAGTGGCCGTTGTTTGTGAATTTGATGATTATTGCTGTATTGCAGGTGGGGACAGCGTATGCCGATTCTTTCAAGGTGTTCCTTGGTTCGTCATGCCCCTCCCCTCTCCCTTGCTCTGCGTTTGCTAACGATTCGTATAGCTGTTCGCTCTCTCTTTGGTATCGCCATGGGAGGTATTTGGGGATTGGCGGCCTCCATGTCCCTGGAGAACATGCCCGTCGAAGCCCGTGGTCTCTTCTCCGGTATTCTTCAGCAAGGCTACGCCCTCGGCTACCTCATCGGCGCAGTCTTCAACCTCACTGTCGTCCCTCACAGCCCTCACTCCTTCCGCGCTCTCTTCTACATCGGTGCCGCCCTCACCGCTTTGGTCGCCTGCACTCGCCTCTTCTTCCCTGAGTCCCAGCAGTTCTTGGAAGCGAAGAGGAACAGGCAGAATGGATCACATGCTGCTGCGTTCATGAAGGATGCGAAGAAGGTCTTGAGGATGCATTGGAGGAGGTGTCTGTATGCTGTCGTGCTCATGTCGGGGTTTAACTTCATGTCGCATACGTCGCAGGATATGTACCCGACATACATGCAACAAGGAAAGGGATTTTCGGCCTCAAAGGCTACGCTCGCTACTCTCATCGCGAAAGTGGGAGCCTTGATCGGTGGCACAATCGGAGGATATTACTCACAGTTCTGGGGCCGTAGGTTGACGATCATCGTCTCCTGCGTCCTTGGAATCTGCTTCATCCCCCTCTGGGTCCTCCCTACCGGCCTCGCTCCCCTCATCATGGGCTCCTTCTTCGTCGAAGGCTTCGTTCAAGCAGCTTGGGGCGTCGTACCCGTTCACCTTGCCGAACTCTCCCCTCCGGCTTTCCGCGCCGCATTTCCCGGTATCACATACCAATTGGGAAACATGATCTCCTCTCCCGCCGCCCAAATCCTCACAACCGTCGCCGAATCCCTCAAGAAACAAGTCACAGTCAATGGCGTACGAGTCGAGAGACCTGATTATGGGACTACACAGGCCATCATGATGGCGATTATCTTTACGTGGGTTGCAATTTGGGCGGCGATTGGGAAGGAGGAGAGGGGTGCTCACTTTGAGTTGGCGGCTGCGGCGGGGAGTGGAGAGGGTGAGATTGGGAAGGGGATTGTGGAGATGCAGGAGGGGAGGGCGACGCCGACTGAGGTTATGGATTTGGAGAAGAAGGGTGGGGCTGAACATGTTGAGAACGTTGCCGCGGAGCAAAGGAGATGAACGTGATTGGAGAAAGTGTACGATATGGTGAATAATCTCGGTATCGGTTAGGCGTTCGGTTATCTTGTCAGTAGTTCTTCGTCATTTCGAAACCTACAAATTGTCTGTACTTCATATCCCTTACAATCAGCTGATAACGGTACGCTCACTATAATCACAAGCAACGTTGAGCTGACGATAGACAGCGTGGGAACGCGGGAGTTTGACGTGTCATGACTAAGACGGAGACAATAGCTATCTGGCTTGGAACTAGAACGACAAGAAAAGGTCGTGATCCTAGCTGCTTGGGTCAACAATCTCGCCTTAAGCTTCTTGTCCTTGCTACCGTTATACCGTGTGCTTGGTCGATGACGGTGATGCCGTGACTGCACAAATCGCGGGTCTGAGTGATGGAATGGAACCTTTGTAGGCTGTCAAGGAGTTCTATTGCATCGATGCTATGAAGATGGCTGGGCAATGGGATTTTGAAATGACATTACGCGCACGGCACCGGCACCATGGAAGATGACTATTTCTCCAATATCATATATGTCGACTGCAGTTCTGGAATGGTACACTGTCGATCTATTTTTAAATGTGTATTGGTATCTTGTGTGCGTGCTAATAGAACGATGCAATCCATTGCTTTTATTTCAGATGCAATATAGTATTCATGGTCTTCACCACTATCACCCCCCCTCGTCTTTAACCTCGCTCACCCCTTCTTAATCAAATCCAAGAAAGAAGTCTTACTCATCTCCGCAACCTTCTGCGTCCTCTTATCCACACCAACAATCCCGCTCCTCATCCCCTCATCCCTCGCCTCCTCCGCCTTGAGCTGACTCAACCTCACAGCATTAAAGAGCTTAACAACACCCCTCTGTGCAACCTTCCTCAACGCCTTCTCATACTCCAACACCTCCCTCGCGCTCGCCTCATCCCGCGGCAAAATATCCACGACATGGTTTTTGTCGAGCAAGGCGCGTTTTTCGAGAGAGAGTGCTTTACGAGCTTTTGCTTCGAGTTTGGCGGATTCGAGGTTGGCGGCGGAGGTTTTGTTGCGGGCGAGGATTGGGGCGGAGCGGTTGTGGGCTTTTAGGTGGGAGCCGAGGATTTTGGACATGGCTGTTGCGAAGGCTTCGGGGTCGTCTGCGCGTTTTCTCTTGTTGTTTTGTTGTTGCTGGGCATGGGCTGCTTCATCGTCTTCGTTGTCGAAATCGAGCTCGTCGTCGGAGGCTTCGTCGAAGGAGTCTTCGTCAGAATTGCTTAGGTCGTCCAGGCCGCCGATCTGTGCACCGCCGTCTTCATCTGATGCCTCCTCATCCAAATCCAGATCATCTTGCTCGTCAGCGTCCTCCTCCTCGCTCACATCCGAAGGAGGAGCAGCGGCTTTCTTCTGTACTGGCTTCTTCGCAGGTCCAGGCTTCGTCGGCTTCACCCCCATCGTCGCAACGGAGATCTTCCCCTTCGGTGCTGTCCGTGCCTTCTTTGTCGGTGGTGCCATTGCTATTTTATGAGAGAATGATGTTGTTGTATTTCTCCGGGTAATTCTTATCGATTTGACTTTTTTGGTGTGGCTAGGTGCAACACGCGCCTCAATGACATGTGAACCATCAAGAACCTCTACGACAAAAAACCGTCAAAGAAATATAGTGAAGATGTCCGTTCCGCCAACGAGTCCGTTACGACCGTACTACGTCCCTCCATCCGACTACCCCTTCCCCGACCTCGAGCTCTCCAATCCGTCGAATGGTACTTCCTCATCCTCACTGCTCAACAGCCTGGGCGAGGAGTATGGTGATTACCTCGAAGAACCAGACATGAAGGAATTATTCATGGGATTACTCAACGCGGGTGTCGTACGATACTTTTCGACGATGGTTAGCCAACCGTTCGAGGTTGCGAAGATGTTGATGCAGGTTCAGCATGGATCGGCTTCCGTCCCCGCTGAAGCGAAGGAAGAGAAGGAGAGTGGGAATTATGATGATGAAGATGAGGTTTGTCCCCTTCTCTTCCGATTTCTGTACGCACTAACTTAGGTGCGATCAGACCGGCTCGCAAACTTCGGACGACTCAAATCCCCCATACTTCTCTTCCTCCTCCCCACCAGACTCACCCCGCATCCCACCAACCCCCCTCTCCCCCCTCCCCACAGACCGAACAGGATACATCCTCACCCCCTCCACCAACTCCCCCTCCCACCATCTCCCTCCCCAAACCGGCTCCCTTCGCTCCGTAATAAGCGCCCTGTGGAGTCTGGAAGGCGCACGCGGCGTCTTCAAAGGATTGAACGCGCAATTCGTTCATAGTGTTGCGCAAGACATGATCGAAGCCTGGGTCGAGAGTGCGCTGGGTGGGTTGGCGGGGGTTGTTGATGTTGGGATGGTGGATGTTGCTGATTCGATGAGTCCGACGGCGAGTTTGTTGACGAGTCTTGCGGCGTGTGGGATTACGGCCCTCATCCTTTCTCCGATCGATATCGCGAAAACTCGGTACGTCAAATCTCCTTCCTCCTCCTTTTCTCTATAGGGACTTTCTTCTTCTCGGTTGAGTGAGCTAACGAGTGTGTGTGTATAGATTAATGACAACCCCCGCCACCACATCCCCCCGCTCTCTCCTCCCAGCCCTCCGCCAACTCCCCACCTACCACATCCCCACCCCCCTCCTCCTCCCAACCCTCCTCCACTCCCTCCTCCCCCGTACAATCTCCCTAACAGCCCCCCTCTTCATCCGCCGCCGCCTCGGTATCGATCCAATCCTCTCCCCCCTCTCCTACAGTATCCTCTCCTTCCTCGGTTCCTCGATCGAACTTGCAGTTCGATTGCCGCTCGAGACGATTTTGCGGAGGGGACAAGTGTGGGTTGCGGGTGCGAACACGACGATTGTGAGGAGGGGAAGGTATGCGGGGGTATTGGGGACTACGTGGATTATCTTGAGAGAGGAGGATGGGGTTAGGGGGTTGTGGAGGGGGTGGAGGATGGGGATGGTTGGGTTGGGGGTTGGGTATTTGGGGGTTTTGGGGAGTGAGGATGAGGTTTTGGAGGATGAGTTTTAGGGGTTGGTAGATTTGTGTGGACATGGACAGTTTGGGTGGTGCATGTAGGATCAGATAGTGAATAATGATCTCTTTTCAATGATGCTTTTGCCTATAGCTATAGGTTCTCGTATCCTATTTGTGACGCACTCGCATGCAAATCGTAATCGTATGCCAATACGAAATATGATTAACCACACTTTCCCAAAAACGCCGGATTCATATGCATATAGATGCCCTAATCGCACAAACAAAGATATGGTATCCTCTCCTCCCCGCAAACTTTTTGACTATGCTTTCTCCTGACCGCTCCTAGAGCCAGAAACTTGACGCTCAAGACGCTCTTTTTCCTTCCTCTCCTGACGTTTCCGCTGTTTACTTTCAAATTCGTGCCAATCGCCGACCATCTCGCCCAACCCGACTGGGGGACTCGGGGCCGGGGCTTCAGTCGTGAAGTAGGGGTGTTGCAAGGCTTCGGTACACGTTGGTCGCTTCGCCGGATCTAAAGACAACAACTTGCCTGCGAGATCCATGGCTGTGGGACTCAACAACCTACTGTACACCTCCTGAAACGTTCCCGTCTTCGCCTCCTTCGGCCTCAACAACTCAAACCACGGCAATTTATCCGCATCGGACCAAGTCTCGGGGGTCGGGGTCCCCATAACATCATACACGATCTCCAACTGGCTGATTTCGTCTTGGCCTTTGAAGCAGGCTTCGGATTTGTAGAGTTCGAGCATGATGCAGCCTGCGCTCCATACGTCGACGCTGGAGCCGTATGCCGTGGCGCCGAGGAGAAGCTCGGGTGGACGGTACCAGAGGGTGATGACACGGTTGGTGTAGTCGGCTGCTTTTCTGCTGCGATGGAAGAATCGAGCAAGGCCAAAGTCGGCTATCTTGAGCTCGCCGGAGTTGGAGAGGAGGATGTTGGAGCCTTTGATGTCGCGGTGCAGGACGCCACGGAGGTGAAGGTACTCCAAACCCTCGAGCATCTGTTTGCACAAGTGCTTGATATGCGCCGTCTCGAACTTGAAATTGGGGTTCGCCAGCACACCGGAAAGATCGTGATCCATGTACTCGAATACCATGTAGACGCTGCTTTTCTCGACCATCATCTCCAGCAGCTGAACCACGTTTCTGTGCTTCAAAGATTGAAGGAGCCTGATTTCACGGACTGCCGTCACTGGGAAGCCATCACGCTCATTCTCCATTCGAATTTTCTTCAGCGCGACAACCTCTCTGGTGAGAGTATTGGTGGCCTTATAAACTTTACCATAGGTACCCTCACCCACTTGTCCGATACGATCGTACACGCCCTCTCTCCTAGTACGGGGTCTTGTCAGTGCGGAAGTGTCAATCCTAGCCTCTTTGGCAGGTCTGTCAGGTAGATCGTCTCCGGAACGCTTCGTACCCACAGTAGCACCGCTCTGGCGGAGAACTGCGGTAGCCTCCGCATTCTGCAGGATATTGGCCGCGACATCAGCGAGTTGCTCAGGAGCAGCAGCAGGTATTGTCGGCGGACCCATCAAGCCGGGTGCCGGAACAACGGGATCTGACGGCGCGATAGGCACGATAGGCAGCGAGGGCTGTTGGGGGACAGAAGCGTCGGGCTGTCCCATGACAGTGGGAACCGGATCTGTCATACCAGTCTGCTGAGACAAGACCGCTTGAGCTCCAACATGTGCTTCCGGTATAAAAACATTCTGAGCAAGTGGTGCATCTTGGGGCAAATCAAACGACTCTCTCTGCGGTTGCTGGTTAGGGAAATTCTGATCACGATTCTGCCAGTTCCCTTGTTGCTGAAAGGCCTGGTTTGCCGGCTGGAACGAATTCCTCCATCGTCCTTGGCCCTGGCCCTGCTGCTGGTGAAACTGTTGTTGCTGAGGGAACTGCTGAACCCCTCCTCTTCCTTTATTACCAAGTTCGAATCTGATTCCGGCTCCACCTCGGCCGCGCCCTCTTTGTCCCTGGTTATGAAATCCGCCTCGTGTTTGCTCGGGCGAAAGTCGAGATGGTCCTAGAGGAATGTCGTTTACGCCGGTGTTGGCGACATCTGCGGCGTTGGATGGACTACCTCCTCGCCCCAAGGGCGTCTGTTCTTGTTGAAACATATAAGACGGATCACCATGGCTCGGGCGTCTACCTGGAGTGAATCCTTCGTTAGCTGGGCCTGTGGGTGTCTGCTGCCAAGTAAGGTTGTTGAATCTTCTGTAAAAACATGTTAGCCCGCTGGACGACACAAGGAACCACTTCATAATGTCTCACCTTGGTGTTTGCTGTTGAGCCATCCCGAATTGTTCACCCTGAACAGGGAATCCACCCTGTGCTTGCTGAAAGAAACCCCCTCGTCCACCCCTGAACCCTCCACGTCCCCGTTGCTGAAAATGCCCACCTCGTCCGCGACCACGGTTGTTGTCAAAGTTGGATTCGAAAATCTGGCTTTGGTCGGGTAGGGCTTGTCCACGAGCGTGTGCGGAGATGCTTACGCGGCCTGGGGCAGAGTTTACAGCGGGTCCACTCGGCGGGTAACGCTGTTGCTGGTTACCACCCATTCGCGATGGGTGTGACGGCGGTTCAAATGATTGTTGTTGCTGTTCTTGCTGTTGATCGAAGCGGGGTGGTGAGTTTGCTATGCGAGACCGGAAGTCGTTACCCCGCCTAGGTGGTGGTGACGGTGAACGACGGGTAGGGGTAGATGAACGTCTTCGTCGGTCTGGAGTTAGCGAACGAGATCTGCTTCGATCTCTTCTTGGCGATATTGATGATCTTCGCGGTGGTGGGCTGTCGCTGTTTGAACGTCTTCGGCGGTCATCGAAATCCCTGGACGAGCGACGGTCCCGACCAAAATCCCTCTTGCCGCCACGACCTCTAGACATACTCTGTCCACCTCCTCCACTTCCTCCTCTTTGTCGTCTTCCGTGAATACGGTCGTCCCTGCCCGTGCGTCGCGAAGAATTTGGTGACCGGCTGTGACGAGAATCCCTGTCCTGACGCCCACCACGATCCTGCCCATACTTCCTGTCATCCCTATCATCGTCCCTCACTATTCTGTTTGATGGAGGTGAAAAGGATCCATTTCGGCTTCTGTCATCGTGATCTCTCTGATATCGTCTGTTGCTGGTGACGCTCGAACGTGATGCTGACCGCGAACGACGACGCGGGCTTCGATCGTGTGCACTTCCTCGCCCGCGATGCATTGAAGGCGAACGTCTTCGACCTCGGCTGCTGCTTTCATACGTCGGACGGTAGTTGTCATCCATTTCTTGTCCGTGGTGTTCACCTCTGCTCTGCGCTGCAGCCAATTGAAACCCACAGCAACCCGCAGAATTCGTCGTAATGTCCTGTCTCGAGGTGACAAGGACAGCTGAACCAACACACTTTTGGTGTCAAGAGAACTCTGGAAATTGTCGTCGCTGTCGCAGTTGAGGGGATGATGTCTACAGACACTACGAGGAACGGCTTGCAGCAATGGGCTGCCGCAGAAGCTAAGCTAAAATATGGACGACCAAACCAAGTCAGTCTTCAACTGCGGATGGTATCCTCCAATCCTTCTCCACATAAGACCTTCTCGACTTTCTGTGACAGCTCTCCGTCAATCTGTATAATGGGCGGGTGTGTCAATTGTATGCTGTCGGACAATCTCCCCCACCAGGTTCAGTGTAGGTGCAAACATAATCCATCATTTCCGTAGGACATGCTCGCAAATCCCGGCTGAAAGGGTCGCTGTTTAGAAAAAGATCACCGCTGGGAAGAGGAGCACTGGTGAATCGCAGGAATGACACGTCCATATGGGACCCCTTTGCGCCACGGCTGTATGCTCTAGCAGAAGCAATCTAGTACCACTTGAGGGAGAACTCGTAATCAGTAAAAGGGACAACGTTCAGAAAAGACGTTATGCGTTTTGCGGTATCGATCCGATAGCCATATGTCGGCAGATGCCGACGCGTCCGACCGTCAGTTATGAGCATCGTCAGCTGCAGATGAGCAGCAGGAAGTGACTGCTGTGTGAGCGATCTCCATAGCAGCTTGACGCCGTCGTCTTTTGTTGCAGCATTTAGTGTCCGTTATGGCGGCGTATTGCCGATGAAGGTTGTTGGGTTCCACACCCTGGCGTGATGGTGTGTCGTCTCCGGTTGGATTTTGGTTGGCGCAGGCTGGTGCATCTTCATGCAGTGCGGCCGGCCCGTGAGAGCCAGCTGCTATGCTCGACCATGGAAGCTAAAATAATTTACTTGATAAGGTGCTCGTGATGGAGCCTGCCTGAGAAGTGCTCTGGTTCTCTGCCCATTGATGGATGAGCTGGTGCGATGGATCCGATCGTGTATATGAGCATGCTTCGGCACGGTGGTGGTCGCTAGAAAACAGCAGACCTCCAGGAAAACATTGGTATTTTACCGCCTAAAGCCCGAGACTTTGAGGTGTTCGCACTCTACGGTGTATCAGACGCTGAGTTAATTCAATCGCCTTGGCAGTCATTGGCAAGTTAACGTCCGTACTCAAATCTCCCACGTATACGTATACGTACATGGAGCATCTGTCCCTTCGCCAAGACCAACCTGGAACTTCCGGCTCAAAGTCAAGAACTATGCGCAAGACCCACTTCCATAAGCCATAGACATTAGGGCTGGACCCCCTTCAGTTATAGCTGTTTGTCTAGGTAGGCTGGTCTGAAACCGGTACCGTCCTCTGGTAGTAGGACAAGCATGCGCCGCATCGTAGGGTCCAACACACCGTGCAACCTGCACCAAAGTACAACTGCGTACGCGTCCGCGGCCGATCGAAGCAAGTCCAAAATGCCACAGCAACAACTGTCCCAGGGCAAACTCCGGTTTGCATTATCAAATTGCATCACCAATTCGAATGCAGATGAACCTTGCTACGTTCTTTAACGTCCACAGCTGCGGCTGCTGAGTCTAAACCGATCATACACATACCGTACGCCCATTCAAACCCGCATTCACCCCGCAGTCACCCCATCAGATCACATGAATATATGCTGATATCGTGAATAGGCTACGAAATCCTCGACTATAACTGACGACACCCCTCCTTTTACAACGACAGTCTCGTACGTGTTAGGGTGTCACCTACAACTTGTCATCAATCATGGGCATACACGGGGTTTCGAAGATGCCCGCACCGTGGGAATAGAAACACGTGCAGACAAAGGATGAAGAGGCCATATAATCACAATTCACCAACAGAGATCCCATATCTCTAATTAGATTCCAATAGGAAATTGAAAGTACAATTATCTCCTCTAGGTGTCGGCTAACCACCCTCCGGGGCACTCCATGGGACTTTAGCGCGGCCGGCCTCAACACCGATGATGTCGGTGCGAGTCGCCGAACCGTACAGAAAGAACAGAGAAAGACCGTCAGAGTCAACGATCCAAAGAGTCGAAATTGTATCTTGGTATACACATTTCCTTATATCCGATCAGTATACCGAGGGTCAATACACGCTGTCCTTGATCCACAATGGTACGTCTTCTGGGGGACCCTGCACGGCGATTGAGCCGTTTCGAAGGATTGGCTCGCTAACATTACCATCCAGGCTGATCTCGTCGAACGGGAACGGCCAGCGAGTGTGCATAGTGCTGAGGAGCCGAGGGAGCCCATTGCGATTGAAGATGTGGAGACGGATGTGTCGGAGAAGAAGGTCTTTATGGCAGATGATCGTAGGTCCACAGCATTGGCTACTGCGGAACAACGCTGATAAAAGGGTTATAGCCGAGACCATGTTTGGGGTTACACTGCCGAAACTCGACCAGGAGACCGAGGCGGAGGGGTATTATCAATGGCACATCAAGACCTACCGGGACCTGGAAGAGCGAATTGAAGGACCAGTCTTCGAGGTTGGAGAGCACAAATGGTAGGTACTCAGTGACAACTGCCACTTACTTTGCTAACGAACTACAGGAAAATCCTTCTGTTTCCCTACGGCAACAAGAGCGCAAGTGCGACGGACCACCTCTCGGCCTACGTGGATTACGTCCGCACCCCCGATACGCCGTCGCAAAACAGACACGCTTGTGCAGTCTTCTCTATTGTAGCCCACAACGTCAATGATCCGTCTGTGTATCTCTCTCAACACGCCAGACACCGTTTCAGCCCACAAGAAAACGATTGGGGGTTTACCCGCTTTGTGCACCTCCGCAGCGCATTCTCGGAAAACTGGGAAGACAAGGACCGGCCATTAGTTGAGAACGATGAGATCGTCATCAGTGCGTACATCAGAATCTTCAAGGATCCAACGGGAGTGCTGTGGCACAACTTCGTTGATTATGATTCGAAGAAGGAGACTGGGTATGTAGGGTTGAAGAACCAGGGTGCAACATGTTACATGAACTCATTGTTGCAGTCGCTGTATTACACCAACTACTTCAGAAAGGCGGTATACCAGATCCCGACAGAGAATGATGACCCACATAACTCCATCACTCTCGCTCTTCAACGAATCTTCTACCAACTCCAGACTGCCGATGATGCGGTCGGTACCCTCGATCTCACGAAATCCTTCGGTTGGGATTCGATGGACGCTTTCATGCAACACGATGTCCAGGAGTTCAACCGTGTCCTCCAAGACAACCTTGAAGGCAAGATGAAAAACACCAAGGCTGACGGTGCCCTCAACAAGCTCTTTGTCGGTAAGATGAAGTCTTATATCAAGTGTGTCGATGTCGACTACGAGTCTTCACGGACGGAGGATTTCTGGGATATTCAGCTCAACGTGAAGGGCATGAAGAACTTGCAGGACTCGTTCAAGGATTACATTCAGGTCGAAACCTTGGATGGCGACAACAAATACTTCGCCGAGGGATTTGGCTTGCAGGATGCGAAGAAGGGTGTTATCTTCCAGAGTTTCCCACCTGTGTTGCACTTGCAGCTCAAGAGATTCGAGTACGATATGATGAGGGATGCCATGGTCAAGATTAACGACCGCCACGAGTTCCCGTTGGAAATCGATTTGGAGCCTTACCTCGCGGAGGATGCGGACAGATCTCAGCCGCATATCTACAAGCTTCACGGTGTTCTGGTTCACAGTGGTGATCTCCACGGTGGTCACTACTATGCGCTGATTAAGCCGGAAAAGGAAAGTGGATGGTTCAAGTACGATGATGACCGCGTCGTGCGTGCAACCCTAAAGGAAGTTCTGGAGGAAAACTTTGGAGGCGAGGCCCCGCCAACCACGAACGGCTTTGGCGTCCGCGCTCCTCAGTTCCAGAAAGCTAATAACCTCAAATTTATGAACGCGTACATGTTGGTTTATGTCCGCGAGTGCATGATCGATGAGATTTTGGCACCAATCTCGGAGGATGATACCCCGCCTCACATCAAGGAGCAGCTGGAGAAGGAGCGCATCGAGTTGGAAAGGCGGAGGAAGGAAATGGAGGAGAGGCATCTGTATATGTACGCACGTGTTATCCACACCAATCAATACAAGAACCACCAAGGCTTCGATATGGGCAGGCTAGAGGCATCGTTCCCCGAAAACGATGTGCCTGCTGATGAGCCGATTACGATGCGCATCCTGAAGTCGATGACGTTCAGGGAGTTCAGAGAGCAGATTGCCACGGAGAACGGTGTTGCTCCTGGTCTGGTTAGGTTCTGGATGATGGTTAACCGTCAGAACAAGACCTCGCGTCCGGACGTGCCGCTTCCAGCAGCTGCCGAAGACATGACTATGGACCAAGTCCGTGAGAAGTACTTCCAGCACCGGACGCCTGATGTAAAGTTCTTCATGGAGGTCGCTGACCCGAGCTTCGTGGAGGATGGTGTCGCACTCTGGCCGAACGAGCAGAACGACGGTAACATGCTTGTGTTCGTGAAGGAGTTCGACACGGAAGCGCAGACCCTAAAGGGTGCGTGGTATACATATGTTAACCGCATGGACAAGGTGGGCGATATCGCTACCGCCATTGTATCTAAGAAGGGTTGGCCATCGAATACCCAGGTCAAACTCTTCGAGGAGATCAAGCCGGGAATGATTGAGCCTATCAAGCCAAAGCAGACGTACCACCAGGCTGAGATTCAGGACGGTGATATCATCTGTTTCCAGCGCACATTGCCTGAGAAGCAGCTGGCCGACATCCAGCAAAGCAGTGGGTACATCTCTGCTATTGAATACTATGACTTCATGCTTAATCGCGTGAGGGTCATGTTCAAGCCGAGATATACTGATGATGCGCAGCAGAAAGAGTTCTCTCTTGATCTCAGCAAGAAGAACCCTTACTCCCTTGTTGCATCGAAGGTTGCGGAACACCTCGGCGTGGACGCAACACACGTCCGGTTTACTACTTCGAACAGTCAGACTGGTCAACCGAAGTCGGTCGTGAAGCAGGGACCTGGTGTCACGCTGCAGAGCATGCTTCAACCTTCTTACGTTCAAAACCCATCTACTCAGCTTTTCTACGAAGTCCTGGATGTCAGTCTGACGGAGCTTGAGTCGAAGAAGTCGCTCAAGTTCCACTGGCTGTCAGAGGGCGTTACCAAGGAGGAGGTTGTGGAGATCTTGGTTATCAAGAACGGTTCGTTGCAGGATGCTATTCCTCTGTTAGCCGAGAAGCTCAAACTGTCTGAGGATCAGGCATCGAGACTTCGTATGTACCAGGTACACAACAACAAGCTCTACAAGACCGTAGAGTTGTCATACCCTGTCGCCTCTGTGCCGGACTACATCTCGCTGCACGTTGAGGAAATGCCCGAGGAGGAGATCCACATCCAGCCCAATGATCGAAAGATTCCCGTCTTCTCTTTCAGCAAGGAGCCATCAAGACCTCACGGTCATCCATTCATGTTCGTCATTAAACAAGGCGAGACATTTAAGGAGACGAAGGCAAGACTGCTGAAGCGTACCGGCTTCAAGGAGAAGGAGTTTGGGAAGATCAAGTTTGCTGTCGTGAAGCAGGCTAGCTACTCAAAACCTACATATTTGGAGGATGACGATGTATTATCACAGATTGCTGACGAGCAGGATGATGTTTTGGGTATGGATCACGCCGACAAGACTGGCAGGACGCGCTTCAGTGCTTTCGAGAGGGCATTCCAGATCAAGGGATGAGGTATTACTACAATATCAAGGGTCGAAAGCGCGGTGTTTAGATAGGATACCTTGTTTGTTGGGATCCGTAGTGATTGTCTGTAGTGGTAGTAATGGCGTTATGGTTGAGATGAAGCAAGTGGTCGCAAAATGTGCAAACGTGTATTTTATTCGGGTATCGCCGTAGCTCTTGTTTGTAAGCGCATGAAGAACCTTAAGAGAACCTATACACCGGTCTTGGTCCGTGTGGAGAAGAACGTGCGGACGATGAAGACCTCGAGGCAAGACATAGTGATCTGTACACCCGAATTAGCAAAGCCGTTTGTAGGTGCCCGGCAAACCGTACCATCATGAGAGATTCAGAAAGTGAGAACCAGAAGATTCTAGACTCTGTGGATCTAACGGTGCTGAAGTTGCGGTTCTCTCTAGTCCGGAAGTATTTCTGGTTCCGAGAGATGGTGGAAAGCTGGGATGAGATCTTCATGATGCTCTCCTCGAGGTTTGAGGTCTGTTCGGGTGGGTTCTGACCCTTAGTAGGAAGCTCTGCGCGTTGCTCGTCCTCGACCTTTCATATCTGTCAGCTGTGTCGTCGTAACGCAGACGTAGGTAACGTACGTGAATCTCGAAATCAACAACCTTCTCCGCGACGGCAGACATCTGGTTGGAAAAGCAGAATTCGTATTCTCCGACATCATTCGCAGTGAAGACGTAATCACCTTGTTTCTCCTTCTCTCCGTCGAGAATCAATTGGCCGCTAGGCTTGGTGACAGCGTAGTCAATGTCAAAGGCACCTCCTGATTGGACCTGTGTGGAGAATGTCAGATACTTGGTAAGACCCAAAACATTTCGCACAAACCGCAAAGTAGAATGCAATCTTCTTCCCTGGTGCGTCTACCCAAGTGTAAAAGCATGCCTGCTCATTGGCGTCCATGTTATAGGTCAAGGCTGTTGCGGACGCAATTGGCGCCTGGAAAACGGCAACCAAGGCTGCAACTGCAATTGCAAACAGCATGTTGATTGTTTGCATACTAGACCAGTCGCTCTAACGCAAGAATTGGGTGCTTTGGGGGTGCGTCGTGGAAATGTGTACGAGCACCGGCGTCGTGAGCTTCGACGTCAGGCGTATGAGGCCGACGATAGGAATAGAGAAGGCAGTTCAGGGCAGTTTCAGGGCGATTCTAGAAAAGACGTACCCAAGAATGAGCAATCATTCTACGGAGTTCCTGAGGACTGTTGTACGTGACGCCTACTGCACATTGGAAACCTTAATTATGGAGCCGGCGCCGGCGTATGAACCAAACGCACGATTCTGTCTCCCCAACACTCTTGGTCTACGCTCTCCCCCGTTGAAACAACTGACGTCCCTCGTCGACAAAGACGTCCCTCGTCTAGTATGAGCGAGCAGCGGCCTTCGACTGGGGTTGGTTCTCCTACGGGGGAGGCCACTGACGATGCGGTAATCTTGGTGGATACGCCGACATCTGCTCCACAACGTCTGGCGACGTCCCACCCAGTCGGTAACAGAAGTCTGCTACCGCCGTCACGTCATCAGTGAGTGTCAATTGCAAACACCTGGCGTGTATGCTAACTCTTGACAGTGCCCCCGTGGCTGGTGCCGTCAGTTTTGGTGTACCAAAGGGCCACCCTGATCCGCATACATACCCGCGAGGTCAAACTCAACATATACCAGCTTGGAAAATAGGAGGCATCAATCCGTATGGTCATGCGACTGCCAACTTCAACAAGCCGCGAACCGGAGCTGGGTCGTTTAGTGAAGGGCACGGGAACCATACACCCAGAACGTACATTTCGGGGCCAAATAAACGGCGGAGAATAGACAACGACACTTCGCGTAAGTGTGCTATGCTCTTGGTTACTATGCTCTGCTGACGGGTATACAGCCACATCAATTGGTCTTCCGGACAGTGTATCGTCAATACGGTCTACTGCCAATGGCGTTTCTGGGAAGTACTCAAACGAGCCTATCGACGTTGACGAAGGTCCTCATAACAGTGCCCAAGCCAAGAGTAAACGCTCTAGGATTGCATTGAATGTCCAGTCTGGTACGGGCATGAGTACCTACTTCAATCCTCGCGCTCAAGATGCTCACTCACAAGATCCGCGCAAGTCGACACTCAGTCCCAGAAGAGACTCACTGGTTCTATCATCGTCACCTGCAGTGATCTTACCCGTCATGTGGGTCCGCATAGGTGATGGTCAAGATGTACGAGAAGATGGCTACGGCCTCAGGTTTACCGAGAAGGTGATAGCTTTAAAGAAGCTTGAAAGCAACTACCCACAGACTCTGAATGAAGACGAACACCGCATAGAATCCAAAAAGATCAATAAGATAATCTATTCGACAGATGCTGCGGCCATGTTCCTGCAAATTCATCTGGTCGTGGCAAGGTCCTCTTGGGGTTCTGCGCACGTCACCTACCGCATCCTTCCTGAGGGATCTGCCGGATTGAATATGATCAAGGCTATGCAAATGGTCGACGAGCAAGTAACATGGGAGCATATCCAGGACCAGAGCAAGGCAAAGCGGATATTGGATGGTTGGTTAGATCTCTCTAACGGGAGACCAATGTTAGCAACGCCTGCGAGAGCACCACGGGCTACGGATGCTTATACCGAGGGAGGAGGCGCAGCGTCCTGTAAGAGGGCCACGAGAATCAAGAAGGCAGCGGAGGAGTCAGACGGGGAGTTTGTCCCGGCGAGTGAGACACGGCCAATGGCTGAAACTCGTGCCCGAACGCGAGCGCAGAAGCCAACATCCTCCAATACGCCTATTCTCACTTATCCTCCAGGCGGCAGCGGCATCACCCTCTATAACGACGATCTTGACCGACTTGACGACGGCGAGTTCCTCAATGACAGTATTATCGACTTTTACCTCAAATACCTCCAACAACGAATCCTCTCCTCCACCCCCGACCGAGCAAAGGAAATCCACATGTTCAACACATTCTTCTACAAACGTCTCCGAGATAAAGACAAGAACGGCAACAAACCGGGTTACGATAACGTGAAGAAGTGGACGGCAAAGGTGGACTTGTTCAGGACAAAGTATGTTGTCGTACCCGTGAATGAAAATCTGCATTGGTATGTTGCGTTGATTTGTAACCTGGATTGGTTGCCGAGAAAGTTGGCGGATGGGGAGGCGATGAGTGAGGATCCCTTGTCTAGTACTGCGATACAGCCTCCAACAGCTTCTGATGACGATTCGGATGATACAATAATGGAGGTGAAGGCAACGCAGGAGCAAGATGATGAGCTTGTGCGCGGAACCCCGATTACGCCAGGGTTGAGAGAGAAGGACGGGTCCGGCGCTATCATCGACATCGACAGCACCCCGTTTGACTCCATCGAATCAACCCCAAACCCAAATCAATCACTCGACAAAAAAGCCGAAAAAGCCCAAAAGAAACGCGATAACAAGAAACCCATCGAACCCGGCAAGCCCGTTATCATCATCTTCGATTCCCTCGGCGGCCATCACAATTTTACAGGCAAAACCCTCCGTACCTACATCCAACTCGAAGCCCTCGCAAAACGGAACCTCGCCGTCTCCATCGAAGACGTAGCAGCAGTTCACGCCAGAGTCCCCCGCCAATCCAATTTCTGCGATTGTGGTGTCTTCCTTCTCCATTACGTCGAGAAGTTCCTCGAGAACCCGGAAAGGTTCCTTCCCGATATCTTGAGCCGGCGGGACAAGAGTGGGGACGTTTCGGCTGGTACGGAAGATCTGTGGAAGAGTGGAGAGATTGGGAAGAAGAGAGCGGAGTTGAGGGAGATGATTGAGGGGCTGAGTGCGGAGTGGCAGGTTGAGATGAAGAAAGCGGAGGAGGAGAAGAAGAGGGCCAAGGAGGCGGAAATCGATAAGGCGATGAGTCGGGCTAGTTTGAATGATGCTAGGGATGAGAAGGAGGAGGAAAGCACAGGGAAGGAGAAGGAAAGTGTTTCGAAGGATTCAGGTGTCACGGGGAACGTATTTGCGATCCTCCGGAGGACTGCGGAGGAAAAAGCCGACATGGTAGCGGGAAAGAAATCGGCGAGTGTGCCGCCTACGCCCACGCCGACGGACACGAAGGGGCAGAGAGCAAATCGGAGAAAGTCAATGAGGCACGAAGGCAGGACGGCAGACAATGCTATTTCCCTCGATAGCGATGACGATTAAGAGCAGAACAATTGCAAATTGAATCTTGTTCGCCGGAGTCCGACGTAAGCCCTTCCAGTGGGTCCCCGAGCATTAGGTGCGCATCGGCCCGTATAGCCGAACGCACGGGTTGACACGCGCTCAGTCAAGACATGTGTCCATTCGATCAACCAACCTCGGTCCGCGGTAAATTAACGGAGTCGAATGGGAATCTCGGAACGGAGGGGCGGCTTTGTTATGCGAACCTGCTGTTTGATCTCTCTTGATCCCTGCTACATTGCAATTGTTCCGGTCGCTGCGTCATACCTCACCGCTCGTGTTTGCTGATTGGCATTATATACCGGCACCCAAAACCTGGGACGACATTTTTGGTTGTTTGTTGCGCGTTACGTTTGGCACAACTGCAGGGAAAAAGACCACAAAGCGACAGCCGTTGAACACCATAGGCGCCGGCTTACGCTACCATGTCGACGATCAACATCTTTGAACCTCAAACTATCCTCACTGCGATCTCCACCACCCTCAACAAAGATCCCATCATCATCACCCTCACACCCACCCTTGAAGGAAACTTCTTCATCGCGGCACCAATGAACGACGTGACATGCTACCGACGAAACTACTTTGCGCCCTGTCTCCTCGTCACAGCCAATGCTCCACCCGAAACTTGGATCATCCGCGGATCAGCTGGACAGATGACACGCGTACAAAGTCTGTCTGTACACCTCAGTGCACGCATGTCCTCCAGCCCCACCAAGCCCGTTCCGCTCGTCCAACAAACCAGTCGGAAAGACATGACGGGCGGAAATCCACCCGATCCTTTACCAGTGGTTTGGAATGAGAGGGGGATGGTGGAGAGTAAACCCCTCACATGGAAACGAATGCAATTCAAATCCGCCACAGCAAAAAACACTCGAACTAAATCATCCACATCCACGACCGACTCCCCATCCGGTACAACCACCTACCGCGGCGAGAACTACTCCCTCGTCCTAACCCTCGTTGCCACAACCCCAGAGCAAGTACACGTACCTCTGATCGAGGTTAACAGCGTACCAATCTGCGTCCGTGGGCGTAGTGCGTGGTTTTATGCCGATTCTGCGACACAGCCGATTCCGGGGGTTAAATCGCAGGCTGAGAGATGGGCGGGTGTGGTTCCGAGTATGAGTTCGAGTTCGAACGCGGCGTCGGCGTCGACGGCGACGGGGACGGCGACGGGGACGGGTAGGGGTGGTGAGGAGGGGGTGCCGGTGCCTGTTTCCGTTTCCGTTCCGCAGGCGGGGTGGTATTCGAACAATACCCCCGTCGCGGGACAACAAAGCGTCAACTTTGGCCTAGGAGCATGGACTGGAGCTGGAGCTGGCGTTGGAGTCGGCACAGGGATGTTATCGGGGAACGGACGACCCCGACCGCAGCCGTCTAGTCTGAACTTTTCGTCAAGTTTGCCGGATTATACTGGCGGTGCGTATTCTCCGATGAACACTTCGACGACGAATGCGTGGACGCCGGCCGTCTTTGATTTCGGAAGTGGGAGTGGGAGTGCGTATCCTGGGGCGTCTGTACCGACGATGACGGCAACACCCACACCGACCATCAATGCTGTCAGTACAGGTGCAGGATTCATGTCTCCACCAACCACCACCTCCATCTTGATTCCCACGCCCACCCCAATCCTCCTTCGTCACGCTTCTTCCGACTTCAGCTCCTCCTCCAGCCGCACAGGAACCCTAAGTCTAAGCCGGATGAGCACCCAAGAAGAGCGCGATATGGACATGGGTATGGACATGGATATCCCGGCTCCTGATCTGAGTCCTCGGGAAAAGCCGAAGTGCCGGTCGTTGAGTTTGTCGCATCATATGACACCGCCGACGGTGCCGAGTATGCTGCAACGGCATTCGATTTCGACGGTTCCGGAGGACCAGGCGTCGATGTCGGTGTCACAGCAAACTGGGACTACTGGAGGTGGTGGTGGTGGTGACGAGAGCGGTATTGGGAGTGGAGGTGAGGGTGGTGGAGAGGGCGATGGCGATGCGTATATCTTTTACCCGATGGATGCTCGGTACGCACTTCCGCCCGTCGATGTCGTCTATTTACCCCATGCGGGACATTGTCATAGGGATACGAGTACGGGCGGGGACGGAGGTGTCGGGTATATGTATGGTCATGGGAGGGGGTTTGGGCAGGGTGGATGAGGAGAAATGATAGGAGGTATCATGAATTAGAATGGAGAGAGGATATGGATCGGGGTTTGGCCATGGGGCAGCTAGAGGACAATTTTTTATTTTTCTCACGTATACTCTGCCCATGGAGCTTATTTGACGACGGAACTCATTGTGAACAAATTTACGAAATATCTCGCAGGTCCTAGATAAAAAAAATTAGTACCTTAAGATGGTGCGTGACGGTCTGTCAGAGGCTGGAGAAGAGTGGAGACCATATGCCGGAACGATAACGGCAATAGATATGTTCATATCTCAGAGACACCAGAGATTGAACACTGCATACCACCACTCATCTTCAAAGTCAATTCCTTGCCCTTTTCACATCCCTCCCCTCCTCCCTCCCCCCCAACCCCCTCTTCCCTCCCCACAAACTATCTTTGCTCGTATCCTGCTCCTTCAACGTACTATGCCTCGTGCTCCCCTTCTTCCCCGCCTCCCTATTCCTCTTCAAATACTCCGGCAGCGCATCCCGATTCCTCCTCTCATCCTCCACCGGACCCACGGCCGCTCTCTTCAAAATATCGGCATCTTGGTAGTATGCGCCTTTATGCCAAAATCGTCCACCGGCCACTCCGGCCTCCTCTGCGCGCTGAGCGAGTTTGGCTTCTCTTTGTGCGCGGACGTATTCGGTGTCTTCACTGAGTCGTTCTTCCTCGTCCATGTTCCGTCTACGCTCAACCTCCTCCCTCTCCTTCTCCCTTGCGATCAGTTCCTCCCGATCTCTCTTTATCCGTCCCAGTTCCCTAATCTTCCACTCCGCTCTCTCCCGCTCTGGGTCGAGGTCGTCTGTGTCGTCGACTTCCGCACCTTCTGAAGCATTTAGTGCTGCGGCGGCTTCCGCTGCGTCACGCTTGAGTTGTTCTTCAGCGAGGGCAATGGAGAGGGCTTTTCGTTTTGCTTCGGTGGCTTCCGGGTCTGGTTCCTCAGCCTTTACCTCAGACCGCTTATTCTTTGGGACGAACGTTGGTTTCAACAACATCCGTGGCGCTTCTTCTTCTGATTCTTCTTCTCCTTCAGAGTCGGTTTCGTATTCGGATGAGTCCTGTATGACCTTAGTTAGCACATGGAACATGTTCCACGACGGACTCTGAAGCTATACCTCTTCGCTACGCTCCTGGAGGATCCCAATAATTTCCTGCGCAGCCTCCTCTTCATCACGCTTTCTCTCCTCCTCCTCCTTCCTGCGATCTGCCTCAAACCGTGCATCGAGATCAATGTTCCCTAAACTCGGCTGATCCTCATGCATCGTTGCCAGTGCCACAGACCGCATAGCCGCAATCGTATGCATAGCCGTAGAAAGTCCACGTTGCTCATTATCAATCTCATCCCTCAATCCTGGCTCCCCGGCGGCGTCTTCGGCTTCTTCGTCTTCCTCCTCGTCGTCTGACGAGGAGGATTCCTCGGCCGGCGCCTGTCCGGCACGGTATCGTGAGGGCCTTACGGGCTGTGCTGTCAATCTCTTGGGTGCTGGAGGCATGATTGATGTTTCTTGCTGTTGACCACCGGCGTGTGTGGATACTTGGAGGTTAACGCCGATACTACAGCACCTTCACCTCTTAAAGTCCAGCTGGTTGAGGAGGAATCGCAATCTTTGTTGGAAGCTTTCATACCGGTACGTTTGGTGCACGTGATTCGTAACACCCTCGCCGCGCCCGTACGAAATTTCGAAACCTCAACACCAAAGATACACCTCCATCAAGAAAAGTACACAGTCCCCAAAGCCAAATCATACCATCATGTTGCAATCAGTACGATCACAGTCGCTGCGAAGAGCACTTCCCTCCATCCAAACCCGTTCCGCCTCCCTCTTTGCCGACAACTCCAAGAAGAAGAACACTGCCGCAGATGAATACTGGGCAAAGGTCACAGCCAAAGACCCTCGAGACCCCCGCGCAGACATCATCAAACGCGTTCTCGAATCCCCCGCCGAAAACGAAAAACTCAACCTCACCCCCCAGGAAAAAATCATGCACAACACCATCCACCGCGCATGGCAACTCCATCTTCGCTATCAGAGAGAAAAGCAGGATGCGGCTTTGATGTCGCAGTATAATAAGATGAGGGAGGCTTGTGAACAGTTGAAGCAGGGGCATTTGACGTTGTATTCAAAGGCGATGCCGAAGGAGAGGGCGAAGAGGTATCCGGTTGAGTTGAGGATTCCGACCGAGACGCCGGGGGAGAAGCCTTGGGATTATACGTGGACTAGGCCAGCTGTCGAGGATGTCACGCCAAAGAAGAAGTGAGTTATGCGTGGACTAGGCCTGTGAAGGATTTGAAGCCGGAGAAGGAGTGAGGAGGGCAATGATGTCGGTTGGGTGACATGTACGAGTGGAAATGATGATTGCATAGCATGGAGATGAAGCACAGAACAACGGTTGGGAATAGCCACCGGGACATAAACAATATGAAAAGTCCACCACATACCGCGTTCGTCCCGAGCAATAATGGGCTTTACCTGTATCTCGGCTTTTGACTCACCTCGAAGATGAGTATATGTGAGGGTTTCACCCGGGAAATCAAGGATATCCATCCGTAGCTAGGCTATGACCATGGGTTATTGATATCGATATCGTATGGAAGGCAAGTTACGTTAAGAACGCGATGATCACGGTTTAAGTGGTGATAGTAATTGGCTCCCCAGTCAATTGAAGACATTACTATTCAACAGCTACACTCCAATTACGAAACAAGATGCACCCGAAAGAAACCCATCCAATAAAATTATGCACCCGCCATTGTACTCGTCCTCGTCCTTCTCCTATCTTGCACTCCCCTCGAGCTCGTCCTTAACTTACTTCCTCTTCGGCAACACCTTCGACGCAGCGCCCTTCACCACCCCCGCAGCCTTCTCAACATCCTTCTTGTTGTGCCCAGCCGTAACACAAACCCTAATGCTCGGCTGATTGGGATGCGCCTCCTGATGATGAATATGTCTCGCCCGAGTCAAGAGTACATCCTTCTGCAACGCCTCATCCACAATCTCCTGCAAAACCCTATCTTGATCATGCTGCGTCAACCCATACTTCTCGCAAAGCTGTGGCTTAATCCGAAGATGGATGATGGGCGATTCGGGATCTGATGGGGTCCAGAGGATGTCGCTCTTCTCGATTCCAACGCGGAATGCGCGGGTGTTTTCGCGGAGTTGGGAGAAGCCGTCCACGGCGGTGGGTGCGGAGAGGAGTGCGATTGCTTCGGAGGCGGTGACGGCGAGCATGGCGGGGAGGGCGGCGGAGAAGACAAAGGCGGCGCCGGAGATACGTTGGTGGTCGACGACTTCGGCTGAGCCGGCGCAAAATCCACCACCGCCGACCAGGGTGTTGGCCATCGATCCGACGATCATGTCGACTTCGGAGGGGATGACGCCAGTGTGCTCTGTGACTCCTCGTCCAGTCTTTCCTAGTACTCCGAAGCCCCACGTATCGTCAAGAATGAGACGGTACTTGTACTTCTTCTTCAGTTCGACGACTTTCGGGAGATCAATGATGTCGCCGTAGTTCTCCGAAAGACCCTCGCAGATAATGAACATACGAGTTAATGGCTTCCTCTTGACGAGTTGCTGAACACGGATGTTCTCCAAGACGCGCTCCAGGTCGGAGATGGAGTTGTGTTCGAACCAGTGGATTGTAGACCTAGAGATCTGGAGACCCTTCTGAATGGCAAAATTGCATCCCTTCTCAGCGACAATGATGTCACCTCTCTTGGCGAAGGCAGGGATGACTGAGGAGATAGTGGAGAACGCCTGTGCGTAGATGATGGCGTCCGAAACTCCGAGAAAGTTGGCGAGATCGCGTTCAAGCTTCATGTGCACATCAAGCGTACCGTAAAATCCTGGTGGACCACAAGCACCGACACCGTAATTCCGGAGGGTCGTGATGGCCTTCTCGCAAATAGATTCGGATGAAACAAAGTTCATGAAGTTGTATGAGGCGAGGTGAGTTACGGTCTTGCCGCTTGTCAACTTCACCTTGGGACCAATGGGACTGTATGCGTCGATGTCAGTCTTAGTACGAAGCCATCCCTTCAGAGACATACCCAACAATGACGGGAATCTTGTCAATCTCAAGCTGCTCGTCCGTAGTCGGTGCAACTACCAATTCTTCCGGCTGCCACTCATCCACAAGCTCATCAATCTCCTCCTCAGTCAATTTGACGTAATTTGTGTTTTCTGTCGAGTACTTGCTACTCAAGAAGTATCGAATCACGAAAACCACTAAACACAGCTCAATGACGGAGCGTATTGGGTCATCTTGGTATGAAGCTTTAATATAACGGATAAGGAGGGCTGAGCCAGGGATGCGATGGAATGTTATTTGAAGCTGGGTTGAGGTGTTGTTGAGGTAGTCAAGCACACCACCGGCTGGCTGCCCTGCCATGATTGATGAAGGTATGTCGAGAAGGAGCGTTGGGAGGTCGGTTCACTGGTTTCCTAGGGTGTTGGATGTTTTGCTTGACTGCGTTTCTTGAGTGTTTCCTCTGTTGTCGTGAATTCGGCTTCCGGGCACCGACGCACGCGACCGCATTACAACGAACGAGAGAGAGTCGTCAGGGCCGTGAAAGGAAGCTGTAATTGAATTCTATGTGTAATGAACCTTGAAACTGCCCTGAACAATTGTGTATGCCGTCATTCACCTTCCTTATCCGGCATGCTCCGTACTCCTGCACGGTAACATAGCTTCCAAAACTCGAGACTCCACGGATCATATCCTCACTCCTCCGTCATAATGTTCCGACCTGCCCTTCTCTTCAGCACTCGCTGCTTCTCTACCTCCACCCCCCGCTCCGCCTCCTCTGCGGTAGCTCTCATCAAGAAGCTCCGCGAGGCCACCGCAGCTCCCCTCAACATTACCCGCTCCGCCGCTGCGGCCCATCCTGACAACTACGATGCTGCTCTCGCATTCCTTCAGCAGGAGATGGCTAAGCGTGGGGAGAAGGTCGCTGCCAAGAGCGCCGATAGAACGGCGAATGACGGTTGGATCGCCGTTGCACAGTTGCCTGGTGCTCTCGGAAAGCAGGGCAACAAGGGAAGGATCGGAGCTATGGTAGAGTTGAACTGTGAGACGGATTTCGTTGCACGAAATGAGGTTTTCCAGAGCCTTGCGCGTCGCTCAGCGTGGTCTGCTTGTATCCTCGCAGAGGAGTTGGCTGCGACTTCCACTGAAGGTCAGTTCGCCATCAGGGATGCGAAGACCGCTGGTGAGCTCCCGCTCGTCAGGCTTCCCGGAGAGAAGAGCGACGAGCCTACTGGTAACCTCCTCGAGGAATCCTCGAAGGCCATGGCCACCCTTGGTGAGAAGGTCGCTCCCCGCCGCATCGCAACCGCCGGTAAGGAAGGCTTCTCCAACGACTTCGTCGTCGGTGTCTACGCCCACGGGGCTCCTTCCGGCTCTCCCGCACCGTCCGCTGATGAGCCCCACGTTCTCCTTGGTCGTATCGCCGGTCTCGTCGTCTTGAAGGGTAAGGAGATCGGAGCCTGGGAATCCGCTGCGGAGCTCGCAAACCAGCTTGCTAGGGAGGTCGTTGGTGCTGCGCCTGAGAGCGTGGAGGAGCTGCTTGGTATGCAGAAGATGGGTGAGAGAGAGGCCAAGACTGTCAGGGAATGGATCGATGGATATGTCAAGCAGAAGGGTGGTTCTGTTGAGGTTAATGTTGACGGTATGTTGAGGTGGGAGCGTAGTGAGCAATGAGATGAGCATGGTGTAAAACCATAGAAAGAGAAAAGGCTTCGGGCCACGACGTGTAGGTTATGCATATGTTTTTAATACTTTATGAGGCAACGAGTAGTTCTTCACTCCACAAACAAATTCCCAAAACGCCGATATCCGCTCTTGCCTTTTGCTTATTGACTCTTAAGCTTTGACCATTGATAGCTTCCCCTTATCCTTCATCTCCTCGCAATCCACCTTACTTCTGGAAGGACATGTTCCTCGTTGCTGAGGGCAACGTCACAGTGATCCCATCAAACTCCTTGCTCATGATACACTGACATCCCAATCGACTTGTCTCCGTCAACCCAAACGCCAAATCCAACATGTCATTCTCCTCATCTCCAGGCTCCTCCATCTTCTCATAGTACTCAGGGTCAACGATGACGTGACAAGTACTACACGCCAGAGATCCTTCACATGCGCCTTCCAGATCGATGTCGTGCTCGTGAGCAATGTCAAGGAGGGAGTCACCAGCCGCTACTTCGAGGGTGGTTTTCTCGCCGTCGGGGCTGATGAAGGTACAGTGGAGCTCCTCTCCAGGCTTTGGTGGCTCGACATGTTTGTGTCGCAGCACTAGAGAGATGTCAGATTGTGAATGCGAAGCGAATCAACCACAGGACATACCCGAAGAAATAGAGAACGGCCGCAGTGGCGCCTCGACAGTCATCTTCACAGCCTGTCGCCGTCCAGCAGCAACAACTGGCGCCCTCAAAGTCCTAGCCAAAGCAAATCTAAACATAGTTCCTCTTGTCGATACCAGGTGTAGTTACGAAGCGGCGCTCTGAAATATCTGCAAGCTGGTTCACCCACACCTTCCCTGATGCGGGTGCGAAAATCCCGGATATGGTTTAACGTATTCTCCTCGGTAACGTTGACACGCGTACGGTGCTTACTTCCTGCACGACAACACCAACACTTGCATCCTGACCGAGGTTTGCCAAAACCATGAGCCGAGGAGCCTTAGTTGTCGTTGAAGGCCTTGACAGAGCCGGTAAAACCACGCAATGTGACAGACTGGTTGCACGCCTTTCCACCTCTACCACCACCAAACTCCGCAAGTTCCCAGACCGTACAACACCCATCGGCATCATGATTGACTCCTACCTCCGCTCAAACTCAGACCTCGACGACAACGCAATCCACCTCCTCTTTTCCGCAAACAGATGGGAAGCAAGCAGTGCAATTAAAGCTGAACTGGAGAACGGTACAACCTTGGTGGTGGATAGGTATATCTACAGTGGGATTGCGTTCTCGAGGGCAAAGGGGTTGGATGCGGCCTGGTGTCGGAATCCGGATGTTGGGTTGCCAAGGCCCGATGTTGTTATCTTTCTGGATATCTCAGAGGAAGCTACGGCTGGACGGGGCGGGTATGGAGAGGAGAGGTATGAGAAGAAGGAGATGCAGCGGAAGGTGCGCCAGGCATTTAAGGAGTTGAGACAGGATGAGCGCGATGCTGAGGACTGGGTTGTTGTGGATGCGGGACAATCAGTGGAGGAGGTTGAAGAAGACATTTGGCGGGCAGCGCAGAAGGGAATTGAGAGAGCAAAGACCGAAGACCTCCGGACAATTCTCTAAACGCAAAGAGGAAAAACGACAAAAATACCCGATACGAAGCGGTGAATTTCCTTCTCATCATAATGCATATGCAGAATCTGCATTTATTCTAAACCTGTCGCTGGTCATGCATTTGCAATCGCAAACAGCTAACATAAAACTCCGTATTCCATTCAGGTTCGTCCGCTCTTAAACCGCCGCCGGTGTAGAAGGCACAGACGTTCCATAACTCCTGTTATCCTTAATCGCATCTGTGTGGGATTTATACTCCATCAACGTCTCCATCGGGAGGTTAAGAACCTTCTTGATCGCATCCCTGATTCTCAAATTCGCTCGGCCCAGGTTCGCGGTTTTGTTCCATACGCTGAGGATATCTTCCTGGTTTCTGATACTCAATACTGCTCCACACAGTTCGTCTCCGACGTCGTGGAATTGGTCGCCTACGATGGCCATGACCAATTCTTCCCAATACCGACTTGCCAGGCCCTTCCTCAATCGCACGATCCACTTTCCTCCGTTCATGTTGAGTTCGTCCTCCCAGACTGGCCTTACCCCGTGTCGGAAGAGGTGGATATCGGAAATATGCGGCATACCATCCGGCCTCATCAGATGCGAGTAAATCGCCCAAAAGTCCTCGACGGAAGAGAACGAAGCGATTCGGCGCATCGAGTTTTCGTAGTTTGTGAGTTTTTGGCCGGGAGCGCGGTGCATGAACCAAAAGGTGAAGGAGTGTCGTAAAGGATGGATTTGTGAGGGAGACATGAGAGGCTGGCCGGTGCCTGATCCGTTCATGGTGGGTGAGTCGACGGAGGGACAGCGGGCGTGTGTGGAGGCGAGGGTAAGGGGTGGGGGGTTGGATCTCGAGTTTGAAGAAGAGGAGGAGGTGGTGGTGTTCGTTCCGGGGCGCTGAAGCTGAACAAGTTTTCCGGAGGCGGCGATCATTGGACGATGGTCAGAGGCCGTTGGATATTAGGATCGAAGGTAGTAGAAAGAGCGGAAAGACAGGTGCAAATCAGTTGTCCTGTCAATGAGTGCGAGGCGGTGACGCCGGAGTACGCAATGAAACAGAGGACCTCGGACGGTTGTTATTCGTGGCGATTAGAAAATAAGAAGGTGACCTAGGATAGTCGTACGATGCGATTGCGGATGCTGTGGAGGTATCTCGTCCACGAAGGATGATTGAATTTCGAGAATGCGATGATTTGATGCTGTCTACGTCTTTGCCGTCCGAATTTTCAGCACAACCCAACTCCAAGCCCGATGCGCAACGTCGGCGTTCAGGGACCAAGTGCACGTCAAAAATTGGGAGAGATGAGTTGCAATGTTCGAGGTTGATGGAAAAGGCGGATTGACCAGTAAAACGAAGAGAGCATCCATCATTTACTCAAACTCTTTTGTGTATGAACCGGGTCCGACGTTGGACAATGATGGTGCTCCACATGAGCCTGCAGCTGTCGTACAAACCTTAATTCAGACCGTACATCTCACCTCCTCCACGACATTGCGCTGGCCGCATGCGTATCCCCAACAAGAAAGTCCGTTCCCTCGGCGGTCACGTCGGTCCAATTCATGCAGTGACCTACAACTCCAACGGGTCGTACTGCCTTACGGGCGGCCAGGACCGAAAGATCATATTACATAACCCGACGCTCGGAACACAGATCAAGTCGTATGAGGCGCATGGGTGGGAGGTCTTGGATATCGCTGTGTCGGCGGATAATTCACGGTTCGTCAGTTGCGGCGGGGATAAGACTGTGTTTTTATGGGATGTTGTACAAGGACGGACAGTGAAACGGTTCTCGGGGCATTTTGCGCGGGTGAATTGTGTCGGGTTCAACGAGGACGCGAGTGTCGTCGTAAGCGGAAGTTTCGACTCAACGGTACGGATATGGGATGTACGGTCACAGATGCACAAACCCATCCAAATCCTGGACGAGGCCAAAGACTCGGTATCGTCGTTACAGGTGACAGGGGATTCCGTCATCACCGGCTCCGTCGACGGAAAGGTCCGAACGTACGACCTCAGAAAAGGACAACTCCGCACAGACACCATGGGCGCACCTGTAACCTCCCTCCAACAAACCATCGACACCGGCGCCATCCTCATCACAACCCTCGACTCCACCATCCGACTCCTCGACACCACCCAAGGAAGCCTCCTCCAATCCTACAAAGGTCACAAAAACAGCGAATATAGAATCCGGTCATGTTTGGGGAAGAACGATGAATTTGTGGTGAGTGGGAGTGAGGATGGGAATGTTTATGTGTGGGATTTGTTGGAGGGTGGAGCGATAAGTAAAGTTACGTCTCATGATGGGAAGGTGGTTAGTGGTGTTAGTTTTCACCCGAAGGAGAACCAGATGTTGACGTGTGGGACGGATGGGACTGTTACTGTCTGGTCGGACTGATAGAGGAGGTCATCAGAGAGGAGCAATGAGGATACGGGCCCAGAACTCGGAGAACCCGAGGCTGTGGGGCCTACGCACACGGGAGTCTAGTCTCAATCAAATTCGCCCTTTCATGCTGCACCTCAACGCAAGACGGAGCTATGCAAACAGAGTACGGACGTTGCAAGCATGGGGCTCAAGGCAAAGGAGTATCAGTACAAGGTGCGCTGCATGGGTGTCAAGCACAGGAAGGACATTTGAAGGAAAGGACGTTGCATAGACAATTGCAGAAAAACGAATAACTCCAGGATAACGATACTAAATAAGAAAACACCGTCCTCAATGCATGCACAAATGAAATCAACTCCACTCGCTCACCCTCAGGAAAAAGGTCGAGCTCCTCTCTCCACATCAGAAAAAGCTTCTTGCGTCACTTTGTCACAACCCCTTATCCCTAATCATCTCAACCGTCGGACTCCTCGCCAACCCCGGCCAAGCCGGATACTCCATTTCCACAACCCTCAACCACCGTTCCAAACACCCATACCCATCATAATCGAACGTACTCCCAGGTTCACAACTACACCGCCCACTATCATGACTCTCCCGATCCTGTGGACAATGCGTGTACGGCGCATGCCGATATCCAATCGAATCATAGAAATGGATAGCCGAACGTGGGAGGAATAAGGCGGCTGCGATGGAGTGGATAGGTGCATCACCCCATCGCTCGTAGAAAAATCCGCCGCGGCGGTCAAGGAAGGCGAAAAATGCCTCGTACGCTTCTCCGCGGAAAAATTCAAGATCGGCGATTTCGAAGTTGGACCAGAAGTGGCAGAGGTTATACGGGCCTGAAAGTCCCGCGCCGGGCGTGTCGGTGAGGAATTGGATAGCTGAGTCCGGATGGATGTATTCAGGGTGTTTCTTCGCGAATTCCCGGACAGCTTCCCAGAGTGTCGGGATGGTGGCTTCGTACTCGTATAGTGCCATGGTGAAGGTATACGTCTTATTATGGACGGCGAGGAATCGGAAAGGATCCTCCACCACATCACAATAATACTCGACGAAAGGCTCGACGCGCCAGTAGTACCGGAATTGTTGCATCACCTCCTGACGGTAGAAAAACCCAGAATTGAAACGACACATATGGCGGTATGATTCGGATTCGCCGTAGATAATGCCCTCCTCGCCCATCTTCTTCATGCGTTTCCGGGCTTCAGATTTATCGATCCATTGGGGCATGCTCCAGTGTTCTTTCGGGATTTGTGCGTAGTGAGCCTTGCCAGACGCGATGCCGGATGTCATTGTTTTGAATTCTTCGGTGAAGGGGACGTCGTTTAGGAAGACCCAGGGGTATCCGTAACGACGGTTGAAGCGGTCTTCGACTTGGCGCATGGCGTAGCGGGCAGCGTGGAGTTCTTCGTTGCGGACGAGCATGACGAGGGCTGCATTCTCAATTGTTACGTCGGGTGCTTTGTGTGCGACGAAGGGATCGGGGATTTTTGTTAGTGACTTTGAAATGGGTGGGACGTCTTTTGGGGTGTCGGTGTCGGTCTTGGCAGGGGGTTTTTCTTTGGAGAGGGATTGCGCTGCTGGCTTTTCCTCGGTCTTTTCGGGTGTTCTCGTGGTGTCGTCCCAGCGGTCCTTCTCTTTCTCTGCGTCCGTCTTTTCGGGCTCCATCGCGTCCTTGAACTCGTCGTTGTGTGGTGGAACATGCTCCTCATTCATCACCGGCTTCACAACCTTTGGTGGAATAACCTCCGTAGCCTCACCCAGCTTTCCAACCGCAGCAGCTACTGGTACGTCAACCGCAACATCGCTCGACGACCGTAGAGGGTTGTAGACGGTCGGTAACCGCGAATTGCTCGAAACGTATATAAACGACCCTGCCAAGAAGAAGGCCAGGATAATCAAGCCCACTCGAATTGGTCTTGCTACAGCCATACTGAGCGGTGCTGTTCCTCGGAATTAGACAGAGATAAATGCTCTCGTAGCTATCGTCGGGGGTGTATGCTGCGAACCCGGGCGGAATTGAACGCGGTCAAGTCCCGATCCATACCGTGACGAATGAGGTAAGCACTAGCGAGGGGTCAGGGCGCAAACTCAACACCATACACCGAACCACCAGATTCCTGGAAAAGTTATGGCCAGTGTATCAGCAGCCCTGAACAGGATCCTTCCAGCTCCTCAGTACGATGACGAGTCAACCGGCCGCGAGGATGACCAGATCGGTCACGAAGAGCAAGCGTTGACAATCACCAATGCCGCGCCGCCATACGGTCGACGACAAGGCTGGCAGCCTCGGACAAACGACGATTTCGGGGATGGTGGTGCATTTCCCGAGATTCAGGTTGCGCAGTACCCACTCGATATGGGCCGGAAGGGGAAGAAGTCGACGAGTAACGCGTTGGCGCTACAGGTTGATGCAAAGGGTGCGATCAAGTATGATGCGATTGCGAAGCAGGGACACGGCGATACGCGAATTGTACATTCTAGCTTCAAAGACCTCATCCCACTGAGGCAGCGAGCCGACGTGGGCGACATCTCCCTCGCCCGTCCCTCCGAAGAAGATGTTCAAGCAACCGCCGAGAAGACACGGGCAGCCCTCCAAAAGCTGGTATCCGGACAGCTAGCAGCAGCTAATCCGAAGAATGTCCGCGTCAACTCTAACCGAGAACCAACCTACGTCCGCTACACCCCCGCCAACCAAATGGGCGAATCATCATCCACACACCACACCCAACGCATCATCAAAATGGTAGACGTACAGGAAGACCCAATGGAACCGCCAAAATTCAAACACCGCAAAATCCCACGCGGACCAGGCAGCCCTCCACCACCCGTAATGCACTCACCCCCCCGCCGCCTCACACACGAAGAACAATCCGCCTGGTCAATCCCCCCCTCAATCTCAAACTGGAAAAACAACAAAGGGTACACGATCCCCCTCGACAAACGTCTCGCAGCCGACGGCCGCGGTCTCCAAGATGTCGGCATCAACGATAATTTCGCGAAATTGAGTGAAGCGCTTTTCGTTGCTGATCGGAGTGCGAGGGAGGAGGTAAGGGAAAGAGCGAGGATGCAGGCAAGGTTGGCGGAGAAGGAGAGGGAGGCGAAGGAGGAGCATTTGAGGGTTTTGGCGCAGAAGGCTAGGGAGGAGAGGATGGGTGGGATGGGGATGAGGGGGCGGGTACAGGAGCGTGTGCATAGTCCAGAGGGGTCGGGGGCTGCGAGACGGGATGTGTCGGGTAGTCGAAGCAGGAGGAGGTCATACACCCCCTCCCGCTCCCGGTCTCGAACCCCTCCCCGCCGCCGCGCTCGCTCCAGCGCCATAGACGAAGAAAGCGAAACCGAAGAAGACCGCCGCGCCGCCGCCGAACGCGACTCCCTCCGCCGCGAACGCCGCGCCTCAGCCGAACGCCAACTCCGCCTCTCCCGCCTGGGCACAGCAACCCAAGCCCGCATCCTCCACCGCGACATGTCCGAGAAAATCGCGCTCGGACTCGCGAAGCCAAGTCAGTCAAAAGAGGCGATGTACGATGCTCGATTGTTTAATCAGGAGAGTGGGGTGGGGAGTGGGTTTGGGGAGGAGGATGGGTATAATATTTATAGTAAGGGGTTGTTTGCTGCGAGGGAGGGTGCGGAGGCTATATACCGTCCTGGAGGGTCGGCTTCTATTGATGTAGACGGAGACGACGCGGATGAAACCCTCGCGCGCGCGACGAAGGGGGAAAGATTCGAAGTCCTTGGACGAGCGAAGAAGGGGTTCAGCGGAGCCGATGCCGCGGTCCCGAGGGAGGGCCCGGTTGTGTTTGAGAAGGATACGGTTGATCCGTTTGGTGTTGATAGTTTTTTGAGGGAGGCGAAGGAGAAGGCGGACGGGGGGAAGAAGCATGGGTTGGATGAGAGTACGACGGGGAGGAAGGAGAAGAGGGGGAGGTATGAGTGATGCATGCATGTACAGTGGGATTATGGGATATTCGGGAGGAGGAGGAGGAGACAGGGCATGACACCATCATGATATCGATCAATTCAAACAAATGCGAAATATCAAACTCCGTGAAAGAAAACTCCAATGCAATCCAAGCCATGAAAAATGAGAACGTGTCTACCTGTATCACCACAAAACATAAACACAAATGTTCCTCTCCTTGAGCTCACTCGAACCTGAGTGCCGTGTTTCTCGCATCCCAACCGTCTTCATCCAACGCAGCTCGAGCTTCCAATTCGGTCACATTAAACCTCTGCATTATCCACTGTAACTTGACTTCGTCTAGAGCTTGTAGTCTTGCTTTTGATGCTGTTGAGACTACGCTTGCCCAGACATCCTCTTTCCTCGCTTCCTTGACTATCTTGACTCGCGCCTTAAAGAGTCCGACAACCGGTCGGTGGTCCGACACACGGACAGTGAAGCGATCGTAGCTCAACGCTGTGATCTTGCTCGATACGGTCCGGTAAAGAATACGATCACACCACGCCGGAACACGCTTCTTCTCGCTCGAGTCGTAGTTGTCCGTACCCACGTCATACTTGTACGTAGGCGCAAACTTGATCGGGGGTTCGACGAACGCACGGAGACGTAGTGCTCTGTTCTTTCGTCTCTCGACAGTGAGCTGGTCGTATTCAAGGAGTTTCTCGATATCCCCTCTCTTGATCCTGTCGATGGCGTTTTCGCGCGAGAGGCCTCCGATGCGGTAGTTCAGGTCGCCGTTGATGAAACAGCAGTCGTGGTCAAGAACCATTGATCCATCACCACCACCGACGAATCTGTTACTGATCGTTGTTGGGTCGTAAACCTCCGCCGGCAGCGAGGCCTGTTCCAAAATCTCGCTCATGTGGCTGTTGCGCTGAGCCGTGTGTGATTGACCCGCAGCCAAATGACAGTTCACGAAACAGAATGACGTGTCGTCCAACGCGAAGCGCAGGACGAGTGCACCCTTGTTTCCGTGCAGGCCTCCGAGACCAGTCTTCACCGTCGTGGCAGAGAGATGTTTCACAGCTGCCGACTCGGACGACTTGACGAAGATACACGTGAACAAACCGACAAGGTTTGCGGAATGCACGAGCGTGTACGGATTCTCATGCGCCATGTAGAGCTTCACGGACTGCGCGAGTCGTTCTTGCCAGAGTTTATACCGGTGCGAAATGTTCTCCTGAAGCTGTCCACTATCCTTCTTTCTGGATTTCAGTAATGTTTCTGTAAATGACTGTCAGCGGTGGTTTTTGGTGTCCACTACAGCTTCACCTACTTGCGGTCAACTTCTTATCCTCCAGATCCACCAACTCCTGAAACCCGAACACAATGATCTCAGGCGAATTCCCGCTCTGTAAAATATTCTCCAAGAATGCCGCATCCTCCGGATCCCGATCCAAGTTCTCAGGCTTACTCGCTCCCGCATTCCACGTACAAATCTGAACCCGGATATCCCTGAAATCGCAATACTCGTGACTCCGAGCATACATCTGCCTCTCCTGCCAATCAAGCGTCAACAGCGCGTCCCATATCTTCAAACTGTTATCGAGACCCAACGACACAACCTGGAACCCCCGTTTCTCATTCGCCGTCTCAGGATCAGCGATGAGCGAACTGACAGCCTGTTTATGCGCCTTCCAATCCTTCAAGACCTTCCAAGGCTTCGAGTCCATTTCGTAGACGTATACCATACCCGTAGCGAACCCTACCCAGAGTTGGTTCCGTACTGCAGCCATCGCTGTCAACTTGTACGAACTCACGTCGATGATTTCGACACAAGCTAACTGACTCCTCGAATACACCCCAATCTTCCCATCCTCGTGCCCTAGATAGACCCTATCCGGCTCCTGCGGCAACAAAGCGCCACACTTGATGATCCCGAGCGGTTTCGACGGCATAATCGCCTTCATACTAACGTTGAACGGTACATTCCCATCATACGTCGGTCTATACACATTCGCAGACCGATGACACCCAAGCCAAAGCTCATCCCCAACAACGAGCGCCATCGTCTGCCGTGTCGCGACTTTCCACATTTTCGTCTTACTCCCCAACAAAATCGTCCCCGCTCCAGCCTCTGGTCGCCAAACAAGGAGGGTTCCAGTTTCGTCGATACTCCACATATCACTCCCGCATCGCACGATAAATGTGATGGCGCCAGAATGTCCCACTCGGGCTTCCTGTACCGTAGAATGGCTGAGGTCGATTTCTAGTAACGTTCCATCCTTCGTCCCGACCCACAAAAACTGCCAATCCTCGCCGCCTTGACAAGGTTTGAAACATGCGGCAGTAACCTTGTAATCACCGAATACACTTGAATATACACACTCCCCGCCGACAGTGTCGAAGACTTTGACGACGTTACCGGAGGCAACACAGGCATATACACCACTAATTGCATGCACCTTGCTTTCCATGCGGCATTGCACCTCTTTCGCACCCGTCGCAAACACGGGTGGTCGACGGTTACTCGCCGACGCATCCGGATAATTCTCCCCGCCCTTCCCTTTCTCCACCACAGCGGCCGCGGGCTCCGCAGCCTCGACCTCATCACTTCCTTCCTCATCGTACTCGGGCATGGTACTACTACTCGGCACCGGCGTAATCGAACCCGTACTAACCTGTCGTAATGCCGGACTTCCAGGCGCGGAACCCTGCGCACTCAAACTCGGACTCCTGTATCCACCACTAGCGGCTGCTGCATCAACACTCTTTCTCGTCGGCGGGGGAAGTCCGCTGAGCGGGCCACTTGTCGACATCCTCTTCGGCGGAGGCGGGAACAGCGAGCCACCCCCTGGCGTTGAAACTTCGCCGGGTGTGGGCGGCAAAGCCCTAGCAGCATCAACGCTCCGTCTCGGCACGGTATTGGGAAACTGCTGTTGTGTCGCGCTCTTCTCCGCGCTTCGGGGGCGAGACGGAAGATGCGGTCTCGCCCCCTCCTGAGATGATTTGGGGTCCATACTCCTCCTCGCTACCGGCGGGGGAGGCGGCGGGACACCACCTCCGCCATTGTGACTTGCATTGCTGGCTGTAGGAGCCGGAAGTGGTGGCCGCACATTGGTACCAGTACCAGACGCCGTCGAAGCCGAGGCCGTAGGCGCAGGAAGATGTGGCCTCTTCCCCTCCCCACTCACCGATCCCGCGCGACGCTCCGCAACATCCCTATGTAGCGGCGGAGGCGGTAACGTCCCCGCAGCCGTCTTCGGCAACGTACTGCCCCCAACCCCTACCACTCCCTCTGTTCCTCCTCCGCCGGAGGTCTCACGTGCGGGCAATTCGGGCGTGGGACGTTTCGGCTTCGAAGCCAGCGCCGGTGCCGGCGCCGAGTCTTCGCCCGATTTTTGGGGTAGGAGTGCTTGGTGCCGCGGCGGTTCCGGGAATTCCATGCCCAGCCCCAACGTACCCTTCCTTACCGGCTTCGGTGGCGGCTCCTGCTCTTCCGCCTCCTCGGATACCGGGGGCGACGTAAACGGCGAACGCGTCGGCGGGCTAGCGAACGGGCTGCGTCCACCGATGGGTGTATGTACTTCGTCTGATCCCTTTCTCCTAAGCTCGGTGCTGGGTCGCGATGCGGGCGGCGGTGGTGGTGGTGGTGCCGCTTTTTTTTCCTTCTCCTTGGAGTCGATGTGTTCTATCCCTACTGGCGGCGGCGGCGGGACGGCACTACCTCTCCTCGATGGGGGCGCCGCAGGTTTCTGAGTCGGGGTATCCGCTCGAAAAGGTGAAGTACTCAGATCGAAGTATCCTGGCGTGAACTTCGGTGCTGTTGCTTTTGCGCGCGGGGAGGGCGGTGGAGGGGGTAACTTCTTCCCAGCAGCGCCGGGTATATCGACCGCGCGTAACCTCGGGCTTCCAGGCGGTGGTGGTCGAGCCACCGGAGCTGCAGGAGCCGCTGGCGCCGGGACATCTTCGCGCTGTGGAGTGAGTGGTGGGTCGATCTTGAATGTCGGATTCACGGCGGTTGGTGTACTTGGCTGAACATGTAGCTGTGGTATTCCCGGCGGTGCAGGTTTCGGTTTATTTGTGAGGTTGAGCGGATGTGGTTTCGAAGCCGTTGACCGTTCTGGTGATCCGATGGGTGTAGGGCCAGCGCTCAACCCCCCGACGCGTTTTACGGGTATTGGCGGTGGTGGGCCCTTTCTCCCCTCTTTCAGTGGGCTTGTTGGGCATTGTGGTACTGGATGATGTAGGACTGCACCATGGTCGTTCGTCTTGGATGGTGCTGGAGCTGTGGAGGGAGACTTACTCCTCGAAACACCTTGCGACGAAAGGTTCTCCGTACTCGTCGCGAACTGCTCAAACCGCGAACGCAGCGAGCTCACACTCTGCGCGATATCATCTTCCCGCTCACTTGACATCTGGTAATGTTCAAGGTCGTTCACAGAATGAAATGGAGAAAGGATGTTAAGGTAATCGGATGACAGCTTGGCGTAGGACTTGCGATGTCCGGGAATGCAGGGGCTGCTTTTGCTGGATATTGCCTGAAGGGGAACTCCAAAACACAACACCAACCGACAATGTGTAAGCATATCTTGAACGCTCAGGTCTCTATCCGCGCTCCTTGTTGTCGGTGAGTCGCTTTCCTTTCCTCCTCATTCTCGCGTCCCGAGTCTCGATGGAGCTACCCTGGACGACGTGCAATGGCTGACAACGTCGTCAAGAAAATGGTTCGACTGCGCAGCCTGCCACGCTGAAACCTCTGACCACCCCCTCAAAAAGACCGCCGAAATGTCCCTCATCTGCAAAAAATGCAAAAAGGCCTTTCGGAAGGACTTAAACTCCGGTGATTTCGACGACGAAGCAGACGAATACTGTCCGCACTGCGATAACCATTTCCTGCTTGAGGCTGTGGAGCCGAAAGCTGCATTGAGGGTTGAGGGGGAGGATGTTAGGAAGGATGCGAGGATGATTAAGGATGATAGGGTTAAGGTTGATCCGGCGAGGAGTTTGTGGAGTGAGCAGGTTGATGGGACTTTTCGGTTGGGTTAGACACCTAAAGGGGGGTATATGCGGGTGGAAAAGGCATTTAGAGGGGTATATGAGGTTGAGTATGCTTGGGTATGGCATATGATAGGTGATGCTTTGTTTTGCAAAGGCGTTATGTGGGTTCTGGGCGCAAATGACAATTCTTGGTATATTTGGGAGAGACATGACAAAACGCAATCTTCCCACAGCAGTCCTCTCCTCACCTCATGTATCGTTCTCATCCCCCACCCCCCTGTATATAGCACCCCCCAATACAATTACGACGCACCAGCAGCACCAGCAGTCTCCGTTGTCACCGTGTTCCCACTAGCAGCACTACTCGTCGGCTGTGCCCCCGCTCCTCCCCTCCCCGCCTTCTTCCTCGCCGCCTCCGCCTCCTTATCCGCTTCGATAACCTTCACCAACTCCTCCACCTCCGCAACCTCAACATACTCAACCCCCTTCCCCTGCTCAAGTACCGCAATCTCAATATTCTTCGCCCCAGTCTGCACGACTTCCAACAAAGACTTGATCGCGAGTTTGATCGTAGCTTCGCGGTCCAAGTCGTCAGTCCAATTACGCTCGAGGAATTCTCGGACAGTTTTAGAGGAACGGCCGATCGCGTTCGCCTTCCACGCCGAATAAATCCCCGATGGTTCAGTTTGGTAGAGTCTCGGAATACCATCCCCAGAAGGATCAAACCCAACAATCAACGTACTAAGCCCAAACGGCCTCACACCTCCACTTTGCGTATACCTCTGCTGCACACCAGCGACATACCTCGTAATATACTCCACACTAACCGGATCCTCGACAGTCAACCGATAGGATTGACACTCGACACGGGCTTTGTCGATGAGGACGCGGGCGTCGGCTTGGAGACCGGCAAAGGCGAGACAGATGTGCGTGTCTAGGAGGGCGATTTTGCGGATTGTACGTGGGTCTTGGAGTTTTAGGGCGGATTTCTTTTCAACGCCGAGAACGACGGTGTTTTTGCCTTTGACGGCGACCTGTGATAGCGGTTAGCTCCTGTGTATGGAAGGAGACCTTCGAGGAGGAAGGGCAATGGACGTACGGCACAGGTTCCGCGACGGACGGCTTCGAGACCGTATTCGACTTGCAACAAGCGGCCATCAGGCGAGAAAACGGAGAGGGCACGATCGTAGGACATCGTTCGTTATCGCAATTGCTTCAATTGACTTCTTCAATTGCTTTTGTTCTGCTCGTTACCTCGACGTACGCGCGTATATCAGGGACGACCTACGTCAGCCATACACCGCAAAGAGTTACCCTGAGGAATGTACAATCAAGGGCACTGCATCTGGGTATCCCCACCCATCGCCCGAGAGGCAACAAAAAGGTCGACGTTACACCTCCCGGGTTGCGATTGATCCGTTAACAAAATGCACTCGATCCGTCGCCAAGCCGCTTCGACCCTCCGTCAGGCAAAGATTAGGCCTTTTTGCGCCGTCGTCCGTGCTGCTACTCCTGCCGCGCAGAGATGGGCGACGACCCAGGCGGGCGAGAGTGGTGCCAGGACGGACACGCCCAAGGAGAAGGCTCCCGCTCCGAAGCAGGTCAAGTTAACTGCGGATTCTTACCCGGAGTTGAAGCGTGATGAGAGGTTTGCTAAGGTTCGCTGGAGTTGGGGTTGATAAAGATATCGGCTAACAACGGTCAACAGCTCACGAAGGAGGACGTCGAACACTTCAAGTCTATCTGCTCCGCCCCCGTCATCGAGGGTCTCTCCACTGACGCCTCAGATGATCTCGAGCCCCACAATGCGGATTGGATGCGCAAGTACCGCGGTACGTCGCAGTGTGTCCTCAAACCGAAGACAACCGAGGAAGTCTCCAAGATCCTCAAATACTGTAACGAGCGTTCCCTCGCCGTCGTCCCACAAGGTGGAAACACCGGTCTCGTTGGTGGATCTGTCCCCGTGTTCGATGAGATCGTCATTAACCTCTCCAACATGAGCAACATCCGCTCTTTCGACCCCGTCTCTGGTGCGTTCGTTTGTGATGCTGGTGTTATCTTGGAGGTTGCGGATAACTATCTCGCCGAGCGGAACCATATCTTCCCTCTCGACCTCGGTGCGAAGGGATCCTGCCACGTCGGTGGTAACGTCGCCACGAACGCCGGTGGACTCCGTTTGTTGCGCTACGGATCCCTTCACGGAACTGTGTTGGGATTGGAGGTCGTGTTGCCCGATGGAACGATCATGAACAACCTCAACACCCTCCGCAAAGACAACACCGGCTACGACCTCAAACACCTCTTCATCGGCGCCGAAGGCACGATCGGTATCATCACCGGTGTATCCATTCTCTGCCCTCAACGCTCCGCCGCGAAGAATGTCGCATTCTTCGGTGTCGAGAGTTACGAGAAGGTACAGGAGGCGTACATTAAGGCCAAGGAACAACTTTCGGAGATTTTGAGTGCGTTTGAGTTTATGGATGGAGCGGCGCATGAGATCGTTACTGCGCACAACGACGTGCGGAGGCCGTTGGCGGATCAGCATCCTTTCTATATCGTGATTGAGACGAGTGGATCGAATAAGGAGCACGACGATGAGAAACTCGGGACGTTCTTGGAGGATTTGATGGAGAAGGAAATCGTCTCAGACGGTGTCGTCGCCGAGAACGAGACACAGGCATCCACCATCTGGGGCCTTCGAGAAGGTATCTCCGAATCCCTCTCCAAATTGGGCGGAACCTACAAATACGACGTCTCCATCCCCCTCAAGGAACTTTACTCCATGGTCACCGACACCAAAACCCACCTCGAGAAGGCCGGCCTCGTCGGTGAAGGATCCCCAGTCGTCGACGTCGTCGGCTACGGACACTTGGGCGACGGCAACCTCCACCTCAACATTCCCGTCCGCTACTACGACAAATCCGTTGAAAAAGCCCTCGAGCCCTTTGTCTACGAGTGGCTCGAGAAGCGGTCTGGCAGTATTTCTGCGGAACATGGGTTGGGTGTTGCGAAGAAGCCGTTTTTGAAGTATTCGAAGAATGAGGTGATGATTCGGTTGATGGGGCAGATTAAGAAGTTGTATGATCCGAAGGGGATTATGAATCCGTATAAATATGTTCCGGAGGCATAGATAGAGAAGGGAAAGTGCCAAGGGAGCTTGTGATTTGAACTTCATATAGCATACTTATACACATCGTATACCTACTTTACCTATACTAGCCTTGCGTTCCAACGCTGCGCCCTTGCCGCCCTTCATATACGGGAGCCTCTTGACAAGCAGGTGACACCCATTGCACACAATTGAGCAAAAGTTAAGCTCTTTCTACAGAGAAAACCAGCACAGATGTGCAAAGGTGTTCATAGATGATGAAGAAAATGTTTATGTCTTTGATTCGAGCCTTGATAGGCTCCTAAGAATGTTGATTTTGTGCCCATTGGGTCGGATCTTACCCCTATGGAACCAAAGCCATACACGAACGACTTGGGGCTTCGTGATTGAGGACAAAAGAACAATGTATGTGTGCAGTAATAATAAGCATAAGCATTCGCAACTCAATGTAGTAGGTAATTATAACTCTCGACATCCTCAATAAATAATCATACACTCCCCAAAACCCAAAGCAAAAGTATCAAAAAATCTATATCGTAGCAATCCCCTCTAAATCTTATCTTCTCTTCTCTTCATCTATATCGTCTAAACTCACCACTTATCCACCCTTAATAGGGTTAAAAGTAGTCGCCGGATCATTCACATCCTCCCCCCTATCAGCCCTAACCTCATTCAACAACGTCGGCTCACTCCCCTGCCTTCCCCTAGCATTTTCAACATCCTCTCTTCCGTTGTCAACACCACCAGCGCCCTCGACCTTCTCCACCCCCTCAATCTCCGCGATCTGCCGCTCAACCTCATGCTCCGTCAACCTCGGCATCGTTTTACTAACCGTAACATACTCCATCCCCCCACCATTCAAATACCCCTTCGCAAACAACAAATCAATCTCCTCCAAACTCCTCCCCTTTGTCTCGGGATAGTAAAAGTAGATGACGGGGATGAAGAGTGCATTCATGACTGCGAAGAAGAGGTAGGTTCCCCATCCGATTGAGGCGACCATGGTTGGGACGACCTGGACAACCATGAAGTTAAAGATCCAGTTTGCGGAGGTGGAGATTGCGTTTGCTTTAGTGCGGGTACGGAGGGGGTTGATTTCGGCGGGGTAGAGCCACGGGAGCTCCAACCATGTGGATCCGAAGAAAATGATATAGAGATAGAGTCCGAACGCCGCACCCTTCGAGGCGGACACGGAACCGGGGATGAGACATGCGAACGTGATGATCATAGCCACCATTTGGCCGAAGGAGCCGATGAGGAACATTGGACGGCGACCCAACTTCTCCACAAGCGTAAACGAAGCCAAGGTGGAAAGCGCATAGACGGTCGCAAGAACACCACCGAGGACCAAAGAAAGGGTACGATCAAGATGAACCGAGTTCTCAAACAACACTGGACAATAATAAATAACCGCATTACATCCACCCAACTGCTGGAAAACCTGAGAAGAGGCACCGAGCAACGTACGACGGAGATGTTGTGTTTTGCCACCAGTGAGGAGATCACGGTTTTTGCAGTGGCCCTCGCTTTGCACACGTGCGATTCCAGCCAGGATATTACGTTTTTCGCGAAGGACGGGTTCGGAGTCAATCGCCTCGCCACGGAGGAATGCAATAACCCTCGTTCCCTCATCCTCATGTCCATGCGCGAGTAACCAACGCGGAGACTCGGGGAGGACGCAAACGCCAGCGATGAGACCGATCGCGAACACGATTTGGAAGGCGATGGGAAGACGCCATTGGACGTGAGATGGAACGAAGGAGAGACCAAAGTCGAACCAGTATGCGATGAAGGTTCCGACTGCGATCATGGCTGCTTCGATACAGACCAACATACCACGACTCGCACCCGTCGAACACTCAGCCTGCCACGTCGGAATCGTAGCAGTGTTGAATCCGTTTCCGACACCCGTAACAACACGTCCAATAATAAACTGCCCGAGCCCAAAGTGTGCATCGAATGCGGTGACCTGAATCACAGTCCCCAAAATCATGATGACCGCACCCAGACAAATCGTCCTCAAGCGTCCCATCCGTTCACCGAGGAAGAGAGCAGTCAGCGCTCCACCGAAACAGCCGAGTTCGTACACGGAAGTCACGGTTCCTTGGATTGTGGAGGCGTGTTGGTCGGAGCCGTACGTTGCGGGGAATTCTTTGTTGAAGTATTCGCCTGTGATGATGCCCGACATGACTCCCTGATCATATCCAAACAACAGAAATCCGATGGTCGCGACAGAGGTGATTGCCCACCCCAACTTCGCACCACGGAGACCGAGGTAGTTACGGCCGTTGTGTGCGATATCCCGAGATGGAGATGGCGAAGGGCTCGTGCTCAGTGCGCCCTTTGGCTCTGGACTCGGCGCATTCCTCGTCGTTCCAAATGCCATTTCGTCGAAGATCTTCGTTGTTCTTCCAGTGCGCGGGGGGGATCAGGCCTTCTTATACCCATGGCCATGCCATTGCCCACAAGAGGAGGAGGGAGGGAGGGTGTACCAACAACACGTGATTTGGGGATATTAAGCGAGAGTGCCGATCGCTTCCTTTCGCTTAGGTGGATTGAGCTACGTCAGCCCGTGCCCGGGAGCGCGTCAACCTCCCCGAAGGCCCGGCTGTCCCTGCATCCGGAGATTAGGTTAAGGTTGGAGCAGCACCGAAAGGGGAACCACCGTGCGATTGCGAAGGAAAACAGCCAGGGGTGACGCTGCTCTTCCTGAATTCGAACGCCGGCCTGGTAAGCCCCCCGCTTTACCCGCAAGCCTCCTAGCGCTGTTCACGTTCGTACGACGTCCCTGCGTGCATCAGTGGCGCATTTGATCGGCGTGCTGTAGCGTTCCCCGAGCTCCAAGTTTTGCCGGCGCGCGGTTCGGAGACGAGAGAGGAAGTGGAGCACCCGCACTCCCACTTTACCTGCCGTTATTATAAGCGCATGCGCACTTGAGCATATATGACCCCGTTCGGCACGCTCTTTCGGCTGTATCCACCCGACACGATTTTCCCCATCGCAATCTCCGGAGCTGCGGACACAGGGCCAAGATCATCGAGCACGTCTCGTGAAGCGTGGTGGCCATGGGTCGAGGTTGCGGAGAAAGGAATGAGGTATGGGAGTAAGATGTGCGTGGCGGAGCAGATCTGGAGTACAGTGATTCGGTAATGGAAAAATGTTGTTCCGACCGGATGCTACGGTATACAAATGGGACATCCTTGTATGAACGCACTTTCCCACGGGTTGAGCACCCGAAGTCCACGTTGGAATTTACATCATCGCAGAAGGAGATAGCAATGCCGAAAGTACCAGGACAAAATTGGCAAGAGGGTTAATGTGTGGGCAAGGCTCGTTCACTGATGACGACGCCGGTTGTTATGCAATATAGGGGCCGTGTCCCAAGCGTTCCGTGTGGAAATCAAGCAGTGCTGTATCGACAGGCCTAGGTTTACTTTCCACTGCGCCCATGCACCAGGCAGCCGGTTTTAGTGCCAAATTCCTATCACGCAGGTAAACCTCCATCCGGCGTACAAACAACCAAACGCAGCCCAAGACCGTCACAAAAGTTGCGAGTGCAACAGTCATCAAGCCCGACGTTCTCGTTTTTTATTCTACTACACTCTTTTCCACTCATTAAAGACAGCATACACTCACACAATTAGAACTCAGCATGAACAAGCAGGCATCTGGAGGTCACGGAGGAAAGAAAGAAGGTAGACAAGAGGCCGAAGACACAATCTTATCGCACACCGAAGGCGCCAGCTCCGGTAGATAGCAGTTCGGTTAGCGTGGGAAGCGAGCAAGGAAGACGAAGATACGGTTGAATGCGCCATACGAGACGACTTTCAATATAAAACAGAACTCCAACGATCGAACGCCATTCATCCCAAAATCCACCTATGTACCTAGTAGATCACGCTTTTTGTTCCGACATTATCAAGCGACACACTTCCATTCAGCAAAAACACACCATTTACCTCCACCCTCACCAGGCATCACAAGACCGCGCCACACCCCAGGCTCATTAATCTTGACGCTAACCTCCCATTCGCCACGCTCGTTCTCCTCATTCCTCCTAATTCTAACAATTTTCCCGCTAGGCGTCAACAGCCCAATCTTTGCCGGCTTCAACGTCGCAGCCAGCGAAGCACGACTGGAAAATTGCTTCAAGGCAAACGTGTAAGTGTTACCAGCGTAAAGCCTCGCACACTGCGGTGTTCGAACATAGATGTCGTAAGCAGCAACCTGTGGTGCGGGATACCTCGTCAAAAACTCATAGTCTGGTGTCGGGAATTTGCCGGGCGTGTGCACGATCGGCAAACACAACGCCAAACTAGGCGGGGAGACTTGAGCACTGCTCATTCCGACCGTATTCTTCTTGCAGGCGTATACCTTCAAGATCCCGACGCCGACACCAGGTTTGAGAACAGCCTTGAACCTCCATGTTCGGCGTCCGTCGACCCAGAGACACTGTGCCATGCTCCTCTTCCTGAGAACGGCGCCGGCTAGCGTCTCGACTTCACAGACACAATCGACGTCCTCGCCAACCCTCACATCGAATTGCGCAATATCAAGATCCTCGATGCGGCCGAGCGAGGTATCGTACTCCACCATCTCCATGTTCTTCATCCAGTACGCTGGAGCCGTAAACGGTAACGCCATAGCTACGTCTACAGGCAGTGGCGGAACGATGTGCTGCTGATCAGCACGCACAGGGAGATGGGTGTAGATCCACTGACTCGGTCGTCCGAGGAACCAGTGATCGCGCTCCTTGGCATGTGAGACGAGGTTGGCATGCATGGGATGCCCAGCATTCGCAAGCGCAACATCAAACATCCTCCACTCACCCTCAACGAGTACCGCGTTCCAGACGTGGTTGACTTCGCCGAGCACGGCGTCACCCGGAACGTCCGCGGGTTGCTTCAGGTGGCCCCGGACAATCTGACACGGTACTCCGATAGCTTCACACATGACCTTCACGACCCACGCAACTTCCTCGCAGGTTCCTCGCCGTCTTTCGACGACGCGACGAGCGTTGATTTGCGAGCTCGCCCCATCACCCTCGCCATCAGTCAGGGCGCCTTCCTCTAAGACCATCTTCTCGGACACCCACGTCCATATCGCCCGTAGACGTTGGATATCATTCTTGTATGGTCTGCAGATGTGGCTAACCGCGACGTTTCCTACTGTCGTCAATGGCAGTGTCTGGAGGTATCGCACGGCTTTATCAACCAACCCCACACTCGCCCAATCGATTCTTACCTGACTCGTTCCTTCCTGAATCGGATTACCATCCGCGTCCTCTTCGCCCTGCATTCCCTCCTCCACGATCGCAATGGAGTCCAAGACGGGTAAGCCATCGATTTCAAGCCGCTGGACTCTATCCCGCCTTTCGTTGCTCGAAACGGAGTTCGCACGGTAGAGATCCCTTCGCACTATTTCGTATGCCTGCATTTGTCCCGTGGATGTAGTCGGACCAGCCATGATTGGACTGCCGATAGCAGTACTACCGCCGAAACCCTTACCCGGGCTCTTTAAGCTCACGGCGGAGAACACCTTTTGCACGCCCTTAATGAAGCTCTTCTTCGTTCTCAGGACTGGTCTCTCCATGCTGCCCATACCGGTGAATCTACCGCTTGCCGAGCTGGCTGACCTTGAATCAGAGCCACCGACGGAAATACCGGAGTCGTAAGCTTGAGCGCTCTGCACACTTCCTTCTTTCTGCGATTCCTTCTCTCTGACACTCCGGCGACTCGCAATCCGTCTGAGTGATCCCTTCCAGCTCTTCGTTCTTGTCAGGGGCGCAGGTACTGCAAAACTCTCCTGCCCAACTTCCTGACGCATCCGTCGTCGGATGAGTGAGCCAGCAGAGGTAGCGGAGAAGTCCGATCCGGCAAGGGAGAAGACGGAGCGAGTCGTAGAGCCGTAAGCGGATGATGCGGCGTGGGAATCTGTACGGGATGCGGCGCGGGAGAGGGTTCGGTGAGGAGGAGGAGGAGGAGGAACATCATTCGCTTCTTCGTCTTTTGTTGCGACAGGTGCTGGAGAAATCGCACGTCGAAGGGTCGCATTTGACTTTGTTCTTGCAAGCGGCGGCGTAGACGCCACAAGACCTTCATGGTATGACATCGGTCTCGTCGACAACCTCGTGCTCGGCCTCTCATACCCGGCCTCCCCAAGTCCACCGTGATAACTCATCGGTCGTGTCCCGAACTCCCCATGTCTCGACCTAGTCGACATTGCCGTCCCAGATCTAAGCGCAGGAGAAGCCGTGTAGCCTTCATCGTCGTATCCATTATCCTGTGTAACACTCATATCATCCAGGCTATCCAACACGTCCTGCATCGCATGCGCCATCGGACTCGGCGTCCGTCGTTGTTGTGGCTCGACGTCGTAGTCCGGGTAATCGTAGGTCTCCTCGGGCTGGTGAAACTCGACTTCATCGCGGAGGGTGTACATCGTCGGCGTCGGGCTCGGTCCACGTCCGTGCATGCTGATCCGTGATGCGCTGCGTTCTCTCATCGTCGCTCTTGATATGCTCCTTTGTCGGTCCTCCTCCATGTCGTCCTTGGAAGGAATGAGCTCCACGAAGTTACTGGGAAAGACACCTGTTGTTCTGTTCCGCTTCAGGCGTCCATGCCACCACAATCCATCCCCTAATCCTATAACCTCGATCATGTCTCCCTCCACGAACCCCAGGTCGCCCTTACTCTCCGCGCTCCAGGAATACACGGCGCGACACCACGCCGGCAACTTTGGCGGTACAATCGACATTGTTGGTACTTCTCTGTTCACAGCTGTACTTGCCCTTGATCTGGTCGAAAAATTGGATTTCGTATACGAGAATAGGAATCCCGACTTCAGTACCCCAGCGCAAGCCCAGCGTTCACTGCCCTTTGCCCTTTCGCGTGTTGCGGGCGCGAAATGCCTACACATCCAATGCTCCTTCCGAATTTGGCAGGACAACAAACATGCGCGCCCGACTGCGCCACGTAACGTAGAGAACGACACCCATGGTCAAACGAACAAATGTGACGGGAAAGTGTGAGGTGCCGGATTTTGACGGTCGAGCTCCTGCGTCAAGTCGGTTCGTTTGGGTACCAGACCTGGCCGCAACTGCGGCAATTCTCAAGGGCTGGTATGCGGCTATTGGTTTCTGCCCACCTGGCAAGCAAATATTCTAACCCATCATTATAGCATTACTGAGATCCTTTCACATGGTTATCCTTACTTCACATTCTCTCATAAAACAACTTGCCTTGCTGTGGACAACTCCCTCCTTAGCATGCACTGTCGCTTAGGTGACTGGGATTCCGTTGTCGACTATCTCGAGACTGAAACTGCAGAATCTACAGACGTACAATCCATCAATTTAACGCGCATTGACCATGTTTACCTCACAACACGTCACGTCCTTGGTGGATTCTTGGACTGGGTGCTGATGAAGACATGGTTCGAGCACGGCAACGGGCTGGTGTATGAAGAATGCCGAAAGTCTTACCGACTGCCAAACAGCCTCGACAGTCGTTCAAATTTAAAACGGCTGAGCTGTATCCCGTGCAGCTGTCGCTGTGATAGAATAAACCCCCCATCATCTGCTATGACCAACGTACCTGGCAGTACATCCCGTTGCTCGGTCGCTCTCTCAATTGTATACTTCATTGCCGAAGGTAATCATACTCTCTAGTGACTATCTGCTGCCGTTCCTTGCCTTCTTGCTGAACGATGGCTCCGCAACCGCGTACGACAATCCGGACATGAGAATGAGCATGCGAAAGTCACCGCCGGCAAGGATGAATGCATGCGATTGAACGCTACCAGTGATTCCCATTCTACTCAAGCCGTTATCGTCGTCATCCCCACCAATTGGCAGATCAAAACTCGCTTGTCCATCCGCCCAATACATACCTCCGTACAGGCCCAGTCCCCTCGAGCTCACGCACGCACGCTCGTGGCGCACCTCCAGAACGTCACCGCCGAATTCGCCACACCACCGCGACCCACGCAGCACCAGAAACTCACCATCAGAAGAGCCGTCTTCGAGAAAGTCTACACCATGACCGACGTAGACACCGCCGAATTAAAGAGCGCATTGCCTCAGGATGATTCAAACGGCCAAGCACCAGCTGCACCCGTCATCCCCACAATTGACTTTACCCAGCACACAATGGATGACGGCACCGTCGTCTCAACGCTCGAACGCGTCGTGAAGGATACCCAAGCGCCCGCGACCCACATCCCCGCCGACGAGGACTTCTTCACCGACGAGACGCGAACGAAGCCCAATCTCGCGTATCTGAAGAACCACTTCGTCAGGGAGGGACGACTGAGTGAGGAACAGGCTTTGTGGATCTTGGAGAAGGGAACGGAGATTTTGAAGACGGAGCCGAATTTGTTAGAGGTTGAGGCGCCGGTTACGGTTTGTGGTGATGTTCATGGGCAGTTTTATGATTTGATGAAGTTGTTTGAGGTTGGTGGAGATCCAGCAAACACAAGGTATGTACATTGAATCAGGAAAAGGTGAAACGCCCACTGACGGTTTGATGTACAGATATCTCTTCTTGGGTGACTACGTCGACCGTGGATACTTCTCCATCGAATGTGTTCTGTACTTGTGGTGTCTCAAGATCCACTACCCAACAACCCTCTGGCTCCTCCGCGGAAACCACGAATGCCGACACTTGACAGACTACTTCACCTTCAAACTTGAATGCAAACACAAATACTCCGAATCCATCTACGAAGCCTGTCTCGCCTCCTTCTGCTCCCTCCCCCTCGCCGCAGTCATGAATAAACAGTTCCTCTGCATTCATGGTGGACTGTCTCCCGAGTTGCATACCCTCGATGATTTGAAGAATTTGGACCGGTTTAGGGAGCCACCGACGCATGGGTTGATGTGTGATTTGCTTTGGGCGGATCCGCTTGAGGAGTTTGGGAGCGAGAAGGGGAACGAGTTTTTTGTGCATAATCACGTTAGAGGGTGTTCGTATTTCTTTTCCTATGCGGCTGCGTGTGCGTTTTTGGAGAGGAATAACCTGTTGTCGATTATCCGGGCGCATGAGGCTCAAGATGCTGGGTACGATCTAACGTACCTTTCTTTGACGGTGATGCTAATGATCGTACAGGTATCGCATGTATCGGAAGACGAAGACGACCGGGTTCCCATCTGTGATGACGATTTTCTCGGCGCCAAACTACCTCGACGTCTACAACAACAAAGCCGCCGTGCTCAAATACGAAAACAACGTCATGAATATCCGACAATTCAACTGCACGCCTCACCCCTATTGGCTCCCCAACTTCATGGACGTGTTTACGTGGTCTCTTCCATTCGTTGGCGAGAAGGTTACGGACATGCTCCTTGCCATTCTCAACATCTGCTCCAAAGAAGAATTGGAAGAAGAGACACCTACCTCCGTCGGCCCCGCGACTCCCTCTTCTGAGGGCTTGACCCAAGCCGAACGCGACGAACGCCGCCGCGCAATCAAAAACAAAATCCTCGCAATCGGGCGTATCTCCCGCGTCTTCACCGTCCTCCGCTCCGAATCCGAATCCGTAAACGAACTCAAATCACTCTCCGCATCATCGCGTCTTCCCGCCGGCACACTCATGCTTGGCGCAGAAGGTCTCAAGAAGGCCATTTCAAGTTTCGATGAGGCTAGGAGACTGGATTTGAAAAATGAGAGGTTGCCGCCGAGTGGGGAGGAGGTGGAGAAAGTTAGGGAGGAGGCGTTGGAGGAGAGGGTTGCTGAGGCGGTTGCGGGGAGGGATGAGAGGGTTGAGGGGATTGCGAGGAGGTTGAGTATGTGAGTACACTTCTCTCTTTTGATTACTGGTGTGAGGAGGGACCGTGGCATCTAGCACTGTGCAAAGTGGGGGCCACGGCGGACGATCTTGATCTCCTCTTACTCGGTATCTTCTTTGGGTTGTTATGGGCGTGTGCTAACTTGTATGTTTTTGAAGTTCTCGGTCTGCCAAATAGGCTTTGAATCACTGCGTGATCTCTACCACTACGTAGCTTTTGCGGATCATTATGGCTTATGAGAATGTGTGCGTCTGTGACGTACGGAACGACTGAACGATAAAGAAATGATATCGATAATAATTCTGGATTTTGGCTTTTTTGAACCTTTTGTGTGCTGTAATGCTGGTTTAATATCATTCGTTCTAAATGTACGACAGTGTCCTCAAGCTTTGCTGCCTCACAAGGCTCCTTCCAGCCTATCCCGAACATATCACTAGTACTAATCTCAACCTCTATATCCTACACCTCCGAACTAACCTTCGCAAACCCTTCCAATGCCTCCCTCGCACCCCCATTCACAACACTTTGCCAAGCAACCTCCACCCCCTCCTTCCAACCCCCAGCAACCCCCGCAACAACCAACAACGCCGCCGCATTCAACAAAATAAACTGCATAACAGGTTCCTCCCGCCCTACCTCTCCCACCAAGATCTTTTTGAGTAGAGCAGCGTTCTCGGTTGGTGTTCCGGATGCGACGGAGGAAAGTGGGTGGCGGGTTAAGCCAAAGTCTTCGGGGGTGAGGGTTTCGGTGCGGTAACCTTCGGGTCGTGTAGAATCCAGAATCCAGACTCGAGATGGACCGGCGATGGAGAGTTCGTCCAATCCTTCCTCACCCCAAACAACCATCCCCCTCTCCGCTCCCAATAATCTCAGAGCCTCGGCATACACGGATCCAAGCCATTCACTGTGTACACCCAATATCCGTGCCTTGACTTTGACGGGGTTAAGGAGTGGACCGAGGATATTGAAGATGGTTGGGATACCAATTGAGGAGCGGATTGGTGCGACGGAGGCGAGGGAGGGGTGGTAGAGGGGTGCGTACAGGAATGCGAAGGAGGTGGAGGGGAAGATGCGGGGGAGGGTGTCGTAGGTTAGGGAGTTTAGTGCGCAGCCAAACGAAATCAGAATATCTGCTGAGCCGGAGGCTGAGGTTGACGCTTTGTTTCCGTGCTGTACATTCGTCTGTTAGTGATGCATTTGAGGTACTACGCTGGGGCATTCACGTACCTTGCAAACCTTAACTCCACACCCACCAACGACAATCGCCGCAGTCGTGCTAACGTTGAATGTATTCTGTCCATCACCCCCCGTTCCCACAATATCCACGAAGCCGTCACCCCACTCTTCCCGATGCTCGACCTTATGCCCAAATTCCTTCATGAGCTCGACCATTCCGGCTATGACATCCGCGCGTCTATCGACTTCGCGCAACCTCATCGCAACTAGCAAGGCGGATGTCTGCGCAGGTGTGGAGGGCGAGGATGGGGAGAGGATTGAGCGGAAGACATGGGTGATTTGCGAGGGGGTTACGGTGAGTGGGGATGCATCGATCTGCTTGAGAAGAGTCTTGATGTCTTTGTTGAACTGTGCTACGACGTCTGCGTCTGCCATTGTGTTGTGTTTTCCTGGTGGTGTAGGTCTGTGCGTTAATTGCGTCGCACAGACTCGACGCTGGCCAGTGTGGCTCAGCCGCGCCCCGACCCCCCCGCAGCCGGCCGACCGTACGCGTCGGACACCCACATTACGCTCAACGCTATCTTCCGACGTATGTAACTTCTGGAATGAATCAACCCCGCTTTACGGGACTCCTCTTCGGCGACCTCCTGTCATCGGAACAATCGGGTAACCGCTTCCCGTCCCTTCATATATGATCGATCGACCTCACCACCATGAGCCTTTCTCGATCCACAAAGATCAACAATTGCCATGGGCTCAGTAACCAAAGTCCTCGTCGCAAACCGCGGTGAGATTGCACTCCGGTGCATCCGCTCCTGTACCTCCGCCAATATCCCTACCGTTGCGATCTACACCCCCGCTGACGCAGCCTCCCCTCACACCCTCCTCGCAACCGAGAAAGCCCTCTTGCCTGGCCCAAACGCAACAGCCTACCTTGACATTGACGCGATCATTGCCATTTGTCATGAACGGGGTGCAGACGCTGTGATCCCCGGGTACGGCTTTCTCTCTGAGAATGCGGATTTCGCGAGGAAGTGTGAGGAGGAAGGGATTACGTTTATTGGACCTAGTGCGGATGTGATGGTGGAGTTTGGGTTGAAGCATCGAGCGAGGGAATTGGCTATCAAGGCTTCCGTGCCAGTCGTGCCCGGAACCGACCTTTTGACTTCCGAAGAGGATGCACTCTCGGCCGCCGAGAAGCTCGGGTACCCTATTATGCTCAAAGCAACCGGCGGTGGTGGCGGGATGGGTCTCCAAGTCTGTCAGTCATCCGGCGATATCTCCAAAGCGTTCAACCTCGTCAAAAGCCGCGGAGCAACACTCTTCAAGAACTCTGGCGTGTTCTTGGAGAAATATTATCCGGATTCACGACATATCGAAGTCCAAGTTTTTGGTAACGGGCTGGGTGATGCAATCGCCTTTGGTGAGCGCGAGTGTTCGATCCAACGTCGTCACCAGAAAGTTGTCGAGGAATGCCCTTCGTCTTACGTAGCCTCCACACACCCCGAACTCCGTGCGAAGCTATGCGAGGCTGCGGAGAATTTAGCGAAGAGCGTCAAGTATGAATCAGCGGGAACGATCGAGTTTTTGGTCGATGACGCGACGGGCTCCTTTTTCTTTTTGGAAATGAATACGAGGTTACAAGTCGAGCATGGTATCACCGAGCTCTGTTACGGCGTCGATCTCGTGGAGCTCATGTTACGTCAAGCCAACCTCCGCCGTTCCTCATCCTCCGGGATCCCTGGAGATGAGTTAGCTGTGATGAGGAATTGGCGACAAGGACCCCAGGGCGCAAGTATCGAAGTTCGACTCTATGCCGAGAACCCGGCTAGGGATTTCGAACCCTCGCCTGGGACGTTGCAGTATGTTTCGTTTCCTGAGGGGGATGGGATCAGGGTTGATGGATGGGTTGGGACCGGGAGCGTGGTTAGTCCGTATTATGACCCGTTGTTGGCGAAGATTATGGTTCATGCGCCTACCCGCTCAGAGGCGATCGAGAAGTTGGTGAAGGTGTTGACCGAGTCAAAGGTGCAAGGCACGCCGACGAATAAGGACTTCTTGGCCAAGATCGTTGCGTCTGAGCCATTTGCGGAGGGTGCTACGTTGACGAATTTCTTGACGACAAAGTTTACGTATAGGCCGTGTGCGATCGACATTAAATCACCCGGAGCCTACACTTCGATTCAAGACCTCCCTGCTCGCCGTGGTGTCGGTAACGGTGTTCCGGAATCCGGACCCATGGATTCGCTGGCGCTTCGTTTGGCGAATATCATCGTAGGGAATGCGCCGGGGGCGGAGTGTCTGGAGGTCACGTTCAATGGACCTGAACTCCTCTTTTATGCGCCAGCTGCGATCGCGGTATGTGGTGCCCCCATGCCGATGACAATTAATGGAAAGGCGGTAGGGATGTGGGAACGTCTCGTTGTCCGGGCGGGGCAGACGTTGAAGATTGGACAGGTCAGTACGGATGGGTGTCGTGCATACCTCGCTGTACGTGGCGGATTCCCCGAAGTCCCGATCTATCTGGGTAGTAAGAGTACGAGTCCGAGTGTCTTGTTGGGCGGGTATCAAGGTCGTACACTCGTTGCGGGTGATTACCTCGCTCTTGATGAACGCACGTATCAATGGGCGGAGGAGGTCACGGAGTTTGTGTTGCCGGAGGTTTGTAGGCCGAGGTATACGAATGAGTGGGAGGTGTGGTGTATGCCCGGTCCCTATGACTCCGATGACTATATGACGGCTGAGGATAGGGAGATGATTTATGGGACTGCGTGGACGGTGTCGCATAATTCCAACCGTGTCGGGATTCGGATCATGGGTCCGAAACCGAAATGGTCGCGTCCTGATGGCGGCGAAGGTGGATCTCATCCATCCAATCTGTTCGATTATGGATACCCGATGGGTTCTATTAACTGGACTGGTGACGATCCCGTTATTTTTGCGATCGATGCGCCGAATTTGGGCGGATTGTTGTGTTCTCACACTGTTGTTCTCGGGGATTATTGGCGGATGGGACAGTTGAAGCCTGCGGATACTATCAGGTTCAAGCGGACGACGTTTGAGAATGCGCTTGTGTTGAGGAGCAGGGTGGAAGAGTTCGTGGAGCATGTCGCCGCGCTCGTCAATGGGGAGAAGGTCGAGCCGATGGCGTTGGATTTGGAGTTACCGGAGGGGTATGGCAGCTCGATTTTGGCGGAGTTCAAGGCTGATCCGGCTCAGGGACTGGACTGGGATATTCAGTACCGACAAGGCGGTGATGGATTCCTGTCTGTTGAGTTCGGACCACAAACGATTGATGTGATCGTCCGATGCCGTATTCAGCTCCTCTCTGCCGAAATCGAGAAGCTTGACGGCATCATCTTCTTGAACCCCAACGCACGCTCTCTTACCGTTCAATATGATGGTCAAGTCATCTCTCAGTCGGATCTTTTGAACAAGATGATCGAGATCGAGAAGAGTATTCCGGAAACTCGTAAGGCAGTTATTCCCTGTCGCGAAATCCATTTGCCTATCGTGTTCGACGATCCGATTTTGCAGGAAGCATCCAAGCGATACATGGAGACAATCCGTCCTACAGCCGCATATCTCCCTGACAACATCGAATACCTCCGTCGCTCAAACGGTTTCGAAACTCGTGAAGAAGTCTTCCAGGCCGCACTCTCCTCTCCATTTCTCATCGCTGCCGTCGGATTCCTCGCTGGAACCCCCGTCGGATTCCCACTCCTCCCAACCTCCCGTATCGTCGGACAGAAATACAACCCAACGCGTTCGTACACCCCAGCAGGCACCTTAGGATTGGGCGGCAGCATGTTCGCAATCTACCCCTGCGACGCCCCCGGCGGGTACCAACTCTGGGCCCGCACCCTCCCCTGCTGGGACCCCTACGGGACCAAACCCGGCTTCGGCCCAACCCGCCCCTGGCTCTTCGAGGCGTTCGATCTGGTGTATTTCCACCATGTCGAGCGCAGCGAGTACGAGGATGCGTATGCGCGGTATGAGGCTGGGTTGTACGAATTTGATATCCGTCCGACGGAGTTCGATGTCGGGAAGCATATGGAGGAGATGGCGGGGCATGAGGAGGAGAGTAAGAGGTTTAAGGAGCGGCAGAGGGTTTGTGCGGCGGAGATTCAGGCAGAAGAAAAGGCTCTTCTCGCAAAGTGGCTGGAGGAGAAGGCCTCTGCCACGACTGCTTCTGTAGGTTCTTCGAAGGATGACCTCGAAGCTATGCTTGCATTGCCGGGGGCTATTCCGATTACGAGTCCGATGAATGCGAATGTCTGGAAGATTCAGGTGCAGGAAGGTGATGTGGTTGAGAAGGACGGCCAGGTATTGAGTATTCTCGAAGCGATGAAGATGGAGATCAACGTGAGTGCTGGTGCGGAAGCTGTGGGTGGGGTTGTGAAGATGGTGGTCGTGGAGTCGGGCACGGTAGTTAAGCCTGGGGATGTGATCTTGGTCGTTGTTAAGGAAGGGTTTGAGGGGGAGAATTGATGTGTATGATATTCACGGATTTCTGTACGCTTACGTTTGCTTAGAGGAATAGGAGGGTAGTGTTGTCTTCAATGTATATCTTTATTGAATGCCACAGCCGTGCAGCGCTTGCGATAAGCCTATGCGTAGTTCATATCTTCTTTATCGTACATCCTTTCCATTTAGTCCTTCACTGCTCCACTTAGAGTCCAACAGCGCCAACACCGATCGCAACAGCTCCAGCCGCCAACACCGCAGCCTTCATGCTACCTTCCCAGCTTCCCATCTTCTCCGCACCAGAGTTTCCAATGGCACTAGTAGCGGCTCCAACGGCCCCGGTGATGTCTGACACGACGGATCCAGCGCCAGCGGTAGCGGAGGAGAATGCGCCGCCCGCACCAGAGGTGATGGTAGAAGCGACCCCACCAGCGCCTGAAGTGACGGTCGAGAAAGCGCCACCGGCTCCAGAAGTAATGGTGGATGCTACACCTCCTGCGCCAGAGGTGATCGTAGAGCCGACACCGCCAGCTCCGGAGGTGACTGTGGACGCAACGTCACCGCCTCCACCAGTGATGGAGGACAAGACGCCTCCGGCACCGTCGGTGACCGAGTTAACAACGTCCGAGACGACGTTTTGCGCGTAGACAGCGTGAGCAGCGAAGGGGAGGGCGAGGAGGGCGTATTTACTGATCTGCATCTTGTTTATCTTTTGAGTCTGTTTTGTTTATTGATCTCTTGGTGTAGAGGTTTGGTGGAGAGCCGAGAAAGTGCGCACGGGGATTTACTTATAGGCGATGGAAGCTGGCGAACGTCATTTCGCTTGTGGATTGGGGCTCGTCTACACAGGGATGGGGACTGTGCTTTGTGACGTCATGCGCCGCTGTTGCTTCGCCACACTGTCGACGTTCGCTGTTAACCCGCTCGCCGTTCGGATTTGTCCGGCCAGTGATACCTATGAGTGGGCTGTTTTGCTTATCTGGTGAAGAGTCCATATTATATACCTCTGATGGCTTCTGAAACCGATCGGGTCGTTGGTTGTTGTCTTGGAGTTTGAGGGTTTGCGTCACACCTGATTCGTGCCTGTGCCGGTTGTGTCCAATGTGCTTGAAGTCACAGGTCGATATGCTTTTCTTTTACTAGTAAAATACTCGTCTCGCACCTTTTCGAAGCCTCCGCTCTGTGTGATGTGTTTCCGTTTCCTCCCTATCGGTGTGCTCCGGTTCACGTTATTGGTGCGACTGACCCTTAAGCTCAGAGACGTCGCAACCAGTTCATCGACTGTCAACGTACGCAATTAGCCAGGTATAGCTCATATAGTTGTTGCTGAATTCGGGAGTTGCAGGTTCACGCGGAGCATTCTTTGTGCCGGTGTCCAGAACATCCCTTGACCGTGGGACAAAAAGCTGCATCTGCCCAGTAACAAAACCGGCGGACACATGGAAAGACGCTTTGCCACAGTGGCATACCACTTTTCCGTGTGCATTTACATTGCCGTGTGCTCAGGTAGCAGCATAATGCCGTCTTGATCTATTGAAATCTCTTCAACGCCGTCATCACGCACAATTCAATCGACCGTTCAACCCCCCCTGCTTCTACACTGTCAACACTAACTTCTCCATTTTGGAATTTTATTGCACAGAAATTACGCCAGCAGCTGGCCCCCATAGCCTTTGTCTGCTTGCAAGAACATTCGCATCAATTCTCGTGCGAAGGGCGGCGCTCGAGTTCTGGTCCTGCAGCGGTCTGTCTATTGGGTAGTAGTGATAGTAGTATATGTAGACGAACATTGCCTTAGGCGATCCAGTACGGCAGAGAGAAGTACAAAGCTACGGTAAAAGGCAAACGAAACCCAAGTACGAGTCCTCCCAGTTCAAGTCATACTCGTACGTTTTCTCAAATGTCCAAAATTGGGTAATACCATTCAGCAGCCGAACCACCGGAAACAGGTGAAAGCGGTTAGCCACTGTGGCAAACGGCCTTTCCGTGTTTCCGAGGATGTTCTGGTAACGCACCTTACGCCTGCCTTGCCATAATGTTTGCAGCTTCCTGCCGCGGTTGACACTAACATCCTCCATTGCATATAAAGCTCTTTGGGCGAATACATAACCTCTAGTGATGCTTGACTGGTAAGATAATTCTTGGACGGTTTGACGGCCGGTGCAGTTCGTTCATCTGAATTCAGCTGGAGTTGGTGCAAGCCGAGCGCAGACTAACAGTTAGCTAGGGCCCCTAGGGACAAATTAGGGCGTGAACTGTCAACTATCCATGTGTGGAACAAGACAACGCCTTTGAGCACGAACACCCAAAAACACGAAGGCAATTCTGTCCGTGTTCATTCATACGTGTGTGCACGTGCGTTGACAGGTAACGACCGGGGCCCGATGCCCTTTCATGCAGCCTCTGGTTTATCTATGTCACAAGCGAACTGCAGCTGCCGTTTGAAGCCCGACGGCCACTGCGGTCTTGAATGCAACTGCCAGAGTGCTTATTTTCGAGATCAAACAGCACCAGCGAACGAGTGTCTTTCTGAAATATTGGTCATGGCACCGAGATCAGCGAGAAGGTATACGGTTCCGAAAGCATGTCCCAACTACGAGAGGGGTTGTCCTTTTCGCTTTGAAAGTATTCATGGTACTTGAAGATAAGTGTGTTTTCAGGACGGAATCACTGTCAAGCACGGATGCAGAGGTGCGCGTCCAAGTATGTTTTCAAGCCCGTGTTGTACATACAGTACATTGCGAAGTTTCGATAGGCTAATACGGGCAACATTTAATGTGGATGTTCTTAAGAGAGCTTCCTGCCCGAAAGAATTTCTACTTGGCCAGTAATCCCGGAGAGCAACGACCGGCACCCTTTGACGCGCAAAACCCGCCTTCTGTGCACCCCCACGGAGAATATCAAACAGAACAGATCTCGCACTCCCCTTTCAGGGCATGCTGGTCGCTTCTTCCAGATAACGGGGAAAGTGCACTGGAAAGCTACAGAGGAGAACATGGAAGCTAGCACCTCTTCGACGTTGTTTGCTCAGTTCATCGGAAATTACCGTCGCCAACGTGGACGGTTCCCATACGAACTCACTGATGAACAACGAGTGGAGATGAACGCCCTCATACCGGCGGTCGTCCTTGCAACGGACCCTGTACTTACACATACGAACGAGGACGTCAGAGATAATGATAATGCAGGCGCACAAAATCCCAATCCGCAGGCGAATGCTGCTGAAAAGGATGTCAAGCAGGAGATAAAGAAAGACCCGAGATAAGATTTGTGTTTCTGAAAGTGTACGAGTGTACATTATTGGGGTTGACGATGGTCTATGGGAGCGGCCGCGGTTTTGGCATGCATATGGTTGAAGCTGTTTATGTCGATGATACATTACACGATAGCGAGGTGCCTTTTGTTCTATCAGTTGTACCGAGTAGACAGTAGTCAGACTAAACAATAGCCCATCTCAAACTCCACCATTGGCTACCGAATCACCCGAGATCAGCGAAGGTCGTGTCATGAGATCACCGTTCTTGTTCTGCTAAAGCACAATCACGTCTCCCGCTGAATGTCCATTCCTCTCATCCTCACTATCATCGATCGTAATCGGTGCCGCTGGCGATTTCTTCCGTCCTGCCCGTTTCTTTGGGGCTGGCTTGGCTGGCTCAGCACTTTCCTGCACCACAACTTCACTTGGTCCTGCTTCTTCTGACGGTGCCGAGGTAGGTCCAGAAGCAGCGACCGTCGTCGGCGTCGGCGCAACCTTCTTGGGTCTCCCGCGCTTCTTTGGCATGGGTGCCGGTGGCGGTGTATCTTCGTCCATGTGGGTGATATCACATATGGCTTCTTCACCGTTGATTATTGACTCTTGTGCTGCCGGTTCTGTCGCTGGCGTCGTAGTCGGAACGGTAGCTTTCTTTGGTCTTCCTCGCTTCTTCGGTGCAGGAGCGGGAGCGGGAGCAACTTCGGGGTTTTCTGGGGCCAAACCTTGCCCGGTACCGGTAACCGACTCACAAACATTTTCAAAGATTGCAAGATCAACGACTCCTTCCTCTGATTCCCCTTCAGATGAGGACGACATCTCCGACAAATCTTCCTCCTCCGCAACTTCATTCATCATCCATTCCGCGTACTCCGCGTCCCCCACTTTCAAACCCTTCTTCTGCCTAACCTCATCTGCGCGACGACGAGCATTGACCCCGCGAATAACATCACCCCAGCGGATATCTTGTTTGCAGCTGGGACAGGTACCGTGGGTTGGGAGTAGCTCGTCTCGTTCCTCAGCAGGTGTTTGAGCGAAAAAATGGGAAGATAGGCAATGGAGGTGGGCGATGTGGGTGCATCCGTCACCCGGACAGACTGCAACATTGGGATCCGCAAAACTTGGTACACCCGGTTCGCTCATGTACACCTTGCATATGCCGCATGCCATAGGAGCTGATGTAGTGAGCAACTGCTCTGCTTTCGTGATTTGTGGAGTAGAAAACAGGGAGTTCGTGATGTCAAGGCCACGGACTCCGCCATTGTTGTCCGGGGTGTAAAGACCTGGCTTCCCCCGCTTCTTGGTAGTTGCTGATTCCGGTTGCTTGGGCTTGCCTTTGCCTTTCTTCTGCGAAGATGGTGGAGCATCGTCTCCGAATCCTATTTCTTCCAGTGCGGAGTCCGTCTCCATTGCATTGGCAACGTCTGGAGGTCCCTCTGATGGCTCTCGCCGTAAATCAAGCTCGCATGTAACCCAAGCTGGTAAACGATCATGAGCCTTCTCCATAATCTTATTCCAAGTCCGCCAGGTTGCCTCGTTGAAGACCTTGACCTTCAAAGGCCATCTAGTCCACCCAGTAGCTAGCATGGCATGCGCACACTCCAGCCTCTTATCAAACGTGACCTTGCAGGACGCCCTCTTCTTTTTTCCACGGACTTCGGTACGCAGTGTTTCCTTGAAGGAGGAGGGCAGTTGGCGAGTAAGGTGTGGATTTTGCCATGCCCACTCGAACTGCAAAGCAGCTAGAGAAGTAGGGAAGCCATAGACAATACACGTCATTTCCCATGGTCTACCGTGCTTTGTTCTTGCTGCTCCCTGCGTCGCTTCGCCATTATGTTGACGGAGGCGCTGAGATCCGTGTCAGTGGGCCAGTTAAAGAAAAGAAAAAGGGACCCTACCCGAAGCGGAAACGGAGTTGACCCGACATAATGCTTCCCCTTCCAGGGGATAGATCGGAGTAGATAGCATGCGTAGAAGGCCTGTGGCGACACTGAGTTCTTCCCGGTGGGCATGTCAAGATCTGCCTCTTTCGAGAGCGTGAATCACACCTTGAGGAATGAGATAGGACAGAACAAAGATTTCAACGCTTTACGTTTCCTCAAACACACGGGCCATGTATTTCCCAATTTTCTGTGGATGAAAGTTACTTGTCTGCAGGCCTGTGCGCAGTCGCGGTTGGCGTCGTAGGCCCAAGATCAGCTGCGTCTTGTCCCTTGTGCAATTTCGCGACATTCAGCAATCATCGACTAAAGAGGGTTCAATCCCCGTTCTCGACTGGATCACCAGACGCTTGATAGCATTCTACACACAATCGCGTCTTTCGCTCGCTTCAGCCAGCTTCGGTCAAGATGAAGAGGGTCCAGGCTCCGGTAGCCGAAGGTGCCCCCGGATGGACCAACACCCCCGTCTCTCTTGGCCGCCGTGGCAAGGTGCCTCCGTTGGAGATGGACTCGATCGTGATGAATTCGCCTTATGACGAGAAACCTAAGCCGAAGGGGTCCCGTGCGCTTGGATTGGAAGAAGCACCCACCTACAGACCGACGAAGGAGGAGTTCCAGGAGCCGTTGAAGTACATTCAGTCAATCGCCGAAGAAGGAAAGAAGTATGGAATTTGCAAGATTATCCCGCCGGAGGGATGGAGGCCGACCTTCGCCGTTGATACCGAACGATTCTTCTTCAAGTCGCGGAAGCAAGAGCTGAACTCTATGGAGGCAAAGAGTCGGACCACGACAAACTATCTCGACCAACTCTACAAATTTCACAAGCAACACGGCACGCAACTTAAATCCCTCCCTCTCATCGACAAACGCCCTCTCGACCTCTACCAGTTGAAGAAGGAAGTTGAAACGCGCGGTGGATACAACTACGTGTGCGACAAGAAGAAGTGGGCAGAGGTTGGAAGAGCGTTGGGATACACGGGCAAGATCATGACGAGCTTGAGTACTAGCTTGAAGGCGAGTTACCAGAAGTACATCCTGCCTTACGAGGTGTATTTGGTTCGTGCCAAGCCTAGCGTCATGCGTCAGAGGGAGGCGGAGAATGGAATGAGGAGTCCGGCCGGGGGCATGAAGACACCTCAGGCTTCGCCACCCGGAACTGGAAAGACTGGGTTGAATGCTACTCCAATGAAGACTGAGGACGTCACAATGACTGATGCGGACACTTTTTCGAGGAAGCGTCCTGCTGAGGAAGTCCCAAGTGTTGCCGAAGTCGAGGCCCGCATCAAGGCAGGTAACCCCGAGATCTTGAAGGAAGTCGCCGCCCAGGAGAAAGCACTCGAAGAACGACACGCTAAACGTGCCAAGATCGATGTGGTGCCAGCTGTCACAGGTGGCAGTGTCGCGCCTCATGCGCCCGTCACGCCGAGTAAGCTCCCGAACGAGGCAAATATGGCTAAGCCTGGAGAAAACTGCGAGGCCTGTGGACGTGGTGATCACGCTCCTTCCATCTTGCTTTGCGATGGATGCGATTCAGGATACCATATGGGCTGCCTTGACCCGCCATTGAAAAGCATCCCAAAGAACGAGTGGTATTGTCCGAAATGTCTCGTCGGCACTGGTGAATTTGGTTTTGAGGATGGAGGGGAGTACTCCTTGGCTGAATTCCAGACAAAGGCGGATGACTACAAGATCAAGCATTTCGCTAAGCGGTTGCCGTTGGACCCGGTTACTGGGCAGAGAATCGAAATCACGGAGAATATGGTGGAGAGGGAGTTCTGGCGCTTGATCGAGAACCCGGAGGTCAGTGTTGAGGTGGAGTACGGTGCCGACGTGCACGTTACTGCACACGGTTCTGCGTTCCCTACGGTTGAGCGTCAACCGACTGATCCATACTCCACCGACCCGTGGAACTTGAACGTGATGCCACTTGCGAATGACTCGTTGTTCAGACACATCAAGTCTGATGTCAGTGGCATGACCGTTCCATGGATTTACGTCGGTATGTGCTTTTCCACGTTCTGCTGGCATAGTGAGGATCATTGGACGTACAGTATCAATTACCAGCACTTTGGTGAGACGAAGACTTGGTATGGTATTCCCGGTGAAGACGCAGACAAGTTTGAGGCGGCGATGAAGAAGTCCGTCCCGGATTTGTTTGAACAACAACCGGATTTGTTGTTCCAGCTCGTCACCATGATGAGCCCGGAAAAGTTGAGGAAGGAGGGTGTGCGGGTGTATGCTATTGATCAGCGCGCCAACCAATTCGTCGTAACTTTCCCGAACGCGTACCACGCCGGCTTCAACCATGGATTCAACTTCAACGAAGCTGTTAACTTTGCGCCATCGGATTGGGAGCCTTGGGGTCGTGCTTGTGCGAAGAGATACCAGGAATACCGACGTATGCCCGTTTTCTCTCATGATGAGATGTTAATGACAGCGGCTGCGATGGATACCAGTGTTGAGACTGCGCAGTGGCTCTCAAAGGCCTTGGAAGCTATGGTCAAGGATGAGACGGCCAGACGGGACTTATTGAGGGTTCAAGTTCCGGGCTTGAAAGAGAAGGTTGATGAAATTGAGCTGGCGGATGATGCTAATTATCAGTGTGGGGTTTGTAAGGTGTACACCTTCTTGGCGCAAGTTACGTGCGGGCAGGGATGTACGTCCAAGGTGGTGTGCACGAGTCATGTGTCGGAGCTTTGTGATTGTGAAGTCAACACGAGAGTATACAGGTTGAGGTACTCGGACAAGTACTTGGAAGACCTGGTTTACGCTGTTGACTACCGAGCGAACGCCTCGAGAATTTGGGATGGGAAGCTGAAGACCCTCTTGAGCAACACTGCGAAGCCTTCGCTGAAGGAGTTGAAAGCGCTCTTGAGTGAAGGGCAAAAGATTCCTGGTGATCTATCCGGCTTGCCGATCTTGAAGGGCTTTGTGGATCGTGCAACCGAGTGGGTTGCTGAGGCCAGCGAGTTTCTGGCTCGCAAGCCGCAGAATAGGAGGAAGAGTGAGAAGGTAAGGAAGCTTACTAAGGCACAGGAGAGGAAGGAAGAGGAGCAGAGGAAGCCAGAGTACGTTCAGAGGTTGTTGAGTCAAGCTGAGTCCTTGCCTTTTGATTGTCCTGAAATTGGCCTGTTGAGGGAGAAGATCGTTGCAATCAATGCGTACCGCGTGCATGCTATTAAGGCGATTGGTCAGGCTGGTATTACCAAGGTAGAACTCGAGGAGGTGATTGAGGCGGGAAGATCCGTGAATGTTGACTTGGCCGAGACGGAATTGTTAGAGAGATATGTGGCTCAGCTCAACTGGCTCGACAAGGCTGCTGAGGCGTCTAAAGAGCGATTGACGGCTAAGCAACTCGGCGAGTTGCTGTCGGAGAGCGAAACGCTCGAGATGCCGGAGAACAACGAGCACGTCGTGCACTTGAGGACCAAGAAGGATGCTGGTGAGCGCTGGGATGAGGCAGTTAAGCAGCTTCTAGCGATGGACAACATCCCCATGGCACAACTGATGGCATTGAGTGAGCAGGCAGGACAGTTGCCGGTTGACCAGGAGATCTTCCAGAAGGTTGAGGGTATAATCGCTAGGACGAGGGATACCCACCGCATCATCCTGGACTTGCTTGAACGGTCACGAAACCCTGATCCTAACCAGCGGCCAAATTCGGCTGAGGTGGACGTTGTCAAGAAGGATCTCGAGGACCTCAATGTCAAGACCCCGGAGGCTACGCTGCTTGAGAAGGAGGCCCACCGAGTCGATGACTGGATCCGTAAGGGTAAGCGTCTTTTTGGAAAAGCCAACGCGCCTTTGGAAATTTTGGGTACTCATCTGTCCTTTGTCGAGAAGGTCAATGACAATTGCTTTTCCCTCGACGACAAGCCTAGGTCGCCTGTCGAGCCCTCCTCACGGGAAGCTTCGCCTGAGGCTGAGACCATCAATGAAACCGGCCCCGAGCGTGCAAAGGAGGGTAAGGACGTTTTCTGCTTGTGCCGAACCCCCGAATCCGGGCTCATGATTGAGTGCGGTGTCTGCCATGAATGGTACCACGGCCGTTGTCTAAAGATGAACCGAAAGAAGCTGAAGGATGAGGATACATACACGTGTCCTGTCTGTGACTATCGAGTGACGATCCCGCGTCAATCTGACAGACCTCGTCTCGATGACTTGCATCAGCTTGCTGCGGACGCTCTCTACCTTCCTTTCATGCCTAAGGAGTTATCCACTCTCCGTCGTATCGTGGACACTGCGCAGAAGTTCCGCAACGTGGTCACTACCTTCTTGCACACTACTCTCTGTTTGACTGCGGCAGAACTGCCAATCATCAAGTTCTACCTGCGCAAAATTGAGGGAGCTGAGGTGCTGCTCGACAACGAGACCAACTACTTCCGTGCCAAGGTCCACGAGTGGATGCCGATCGCCGATGAGGCTCCGGAAGCCATCGGTGAGTCCAAATCTACTCGCAAGCCGCGTTTGTCCAAGAAGGCCAAGATGATGATGGAGGCTCAAGCAAATGGCACAATGCCAGTGGAAATGACTCCGACGGCTACTCCTCAAGCTAAGCCCCCGCCGGCTAAGGCGGAGACGCCGATGAACCCGCCATATTTGCAGCAGCATTCTGTGTCTCATTCACCTTCACCGTATGCCTCGACCCCTATGCACACCATTCAAATCTGCAATAAATGTGCTCACGGGTGGGCGCCGCATGAGCAGACCCAGATGCTTGTTTGTCAGGTATGCAATGGTCCCTTCCACCCTCACTGTGCGAACGCACCTTCGAGCATGGTTGGAAAGCCGTACATCTGTGAAGGGTGCTGCGGTAAGCTTGGTCAGCCGTACGCGTATGCGACGACTCCTCCGGCCGCTACCCCACCTTACGGCCAAGAGCATGGTAGCTACCAGTATGGTGGTGCTGACGCCCAGGCCAATGGTCACACCTCGAACATCCTTGCTGCCATCGCCAGCCAGGGTATGCCAAACGAGTTCTTGAATGCCTTCAAAGACGGAGCCCAGCAGGCACCGGAGAGTGCTCGTGAGCAACTTGATGAGTTGACAGGTTATTCGCACGGAGCTGGCCCCGATGCCGCGCATGGTCTGAGCACGGAGGACATCGCGAATGAGTTTTTGAGTGTGTAGAGTACAATCGTTTTTGTTTTGTGTTACTGTTTTGGATCGGTAAAAGGTGTTTAGTGGGCTTTCATCAGTATAATGTACGCTTCAAAGGGGAGGTCTGGATAGGAGCACGAGTCGCGCAGGGTGCAAATCGTTCAAATACAAAATGGAAATTTTATTCTTTTGATATCTTGTTCCAAAACGCCCCCGTTTTTCTACAGTCTTATTCGTTGTTGACAACACCCAAGAACTCCCACAATGCATTTTGCTCCAGAAACTCGTGATGCACCAACGTAACGAGGAGGTAGTTCTCTCCAATCTTGTTGATCAACTCCGCAGACGGAGATCCTTTAGGATAGATCTTCTCCCACTCACCCCAGATCGCAAACGCCTCATCCTTCCACGCACGGAACGAGACTTCCTCGATGATAGTCGGCTGAGCGACCTCCCTGCCAGGGAAAATACCCCACGTAACAACATTCGCATCAGACTGCTCCATATTAGAATAATGATCTCCCCTCCTATTACCAGCATAAAACGAAATCTGCGGCTGCTCCTTCAACCTCTCATACAACTCCCTCCAGTCCTCTGGACTCACGAAAAACTCAACGAACGCCTTCTGGAAAACCCATCCATTCTTGGGACCCCAACCGAAGATGGCGTCAGCAGAGGGTTTGGCATTGAGAGCGGGTTGTGAGCCGACGGTCCACCAGCCTTTTTGGTTGAGGCCGATCAGGTGTTGACGGATTGCCTCGGATTCGGGGGCGAGACCTTCTTCGGACCAGGGGATTGCACGGAGTTCGCCTTTTACGTGGCAGACGAAGAGGGAGGAGATATCAGATTTGTCGGTGGGGTGTTGCCAGAGTTGGAGGGCTTCCTGGGGTGGAACGTGGATGGTGACTCCATAACCGTCGAGTTCTCCGAAGGCTGGGGAACGAGCGTCACCCCATCGGCCATTGGGGAACTCGTCCCAAGTTGCGAGCTTACCCATGACGGACTTGCCTTCTTGCAGGGTAACGGAGTTCGAACGGCGACGGGAAGCGGGACTTTCGACCTTTCCTGCGTCCTTGGCTACGGTGAGGAGGTCAAGACGAGCCATATCGGCGCGAATCTCCTCCACGACGACACGGTTCTGCGACTCAGAGATCAAGGAGCTAGTCCTCCTCGACTTAGCTCCAGGGTTTCCATGGGCCATGCCATTCGTAGCAGGCGCAGCAGAATCATCAATAGCAGACTCATGAATCGTGACCGTACGACCCTGCCCATTCACGATATTAACCTCCGGCACATCCTCCCTCTCCGCAACCTTATCCAACAACCCACTCTTCTCCAACACAGATCCCACAGATTTTTCCAAATTAAGGGTACAAAGATGCACACCCCGACATCTCCCCTCCGTCCCCTCATAAATCCGCTGAATCATCTCGACAGCAACATCAACCCCAACCATCTTAACCGCCTCATCATCTCCCTTGACCTTGTCCAGCCTCGCCAACAACTCGGGCGGCACAAACGCTCCGCACAGCTTCGTCATGCGCCGGAAGGACTGGTATGACTGAATCGGCATAATCGTAGGGATAACGGGGATATCCTTCATAACGCCTCCGTCAAACTCCCTCAACTCCTTTTCGAACGCGATGAAAGCCTCGGTGTCATAAAACAACTGTGTCAACACAAATTCCGCACCAGCCTTGACCTTCTCCGCCAAATACCCCAAATCCTTGCTCACATCCCTCTCCACAACGACAGACCCCTCGACATGTCCCTCCGGGTACGCCGCGACTCCGATACAGAAATAATCACCATACTGCTCTTTGATATACCTCACCAAATCCCTCGCATACACAAAATCCTCACTCGTCGCTGTCCAGTACTCCTGTCCTCTCGGGGGATCACCGCGGAGTGCGAGGATATTGCGGATTCCGGCGTCGCGGGCGCGGAGGAGCGTTTGGTCGAGGATTGATTTGTCCATGTTTGTGCAGGTTAGGTGGAGACAGGTGGTGAGTCCGTGAGACTGGTGACATGCGGAGGCGAGGTCGAGCGACAATGCGGCCGTTGAACCTCCAGCGCCCCATGTCACCGTAACGAAGAATGGCTGAAGGCGGGACATACGGAAGAGTCGGGCATGCAAGTTCTCCAATCCCTACACATAGATCGACGTTAGTCCATGCTCCTGATCATAAGAGTTACCTCCCGAGATGGAAGGTGTGAAGATGAAACGTACCGCAGTCGTCTTTGGAGGCCAAAACTCGAAAGAGAAGTATGGCGCATCCTTCGGTATCTGCTCAAGCTTATCGGAGATCTTCATGATTTTCTCGATTGGGTAGACTGGGTAGGAGTAGTAGTGATGGTGGCGGCGTCCTTCTTTGACACCTGTAACTTTAGCCGCGAGACGGGAGAGTCGATCCCGATTCGATCTGAAGATAAGCGGACGGATCGGACCGTTAAGTGTCCGGAGAAGGCTCCTGGAGGGGAAGATGATGGGTAGAGTTCGGGGTGTTGAAGTGTCGAGGTACCGTTGATGTACGTGAACTAAATTTAGGGGCGCCTTCTGGTGATATTGGGGTGTCGGAATCGGCAGACTGGACCGGCAGTTCGGTATGTGGATTTGACTCTGTTTGCTCTGCTATGATGGTATTCTTCTTGATCTCTTCCACAGCCGTCTACGTAGCATTGAGGGGAGGATAACAGTGATCTGATTCAACTATCAAGACATGAAAAGGAGAAGGTATGTCGCATATCGAAGGTCAACGCCGTATCATGGGAAGCACAGAACCAAAAAAGGAACGGCCCTCGCAGCGAAGGTTTTATGACTGCCAAGTGTCGATCTCGACCTAACCTATAACACCCCTCCAAGATCTCCAAATTCCGCGTGAAGCGGCGGACCTGTGTAGGCATCAGTCGGGCGAGCACAGCTTCTGGCCCGAGGGCTTTTGGAAGTACTCGGCTCTGTGACGCGGCAAGATCGTATGGAGGCCTCGTTGAATGAGGGGGAGCAGGCGGTCTGGCGGTTCGTAGAGGCGGGCCCGTTTCGCGCAGATTTAACGGTGTGAGCACCAGCCACGGTGGCTGTGGACGTTCCCACGGAAGAACGTATTACTTGAGAGCAAGATCTATTAATAACACCCCTCTAAAGGATATTAAGACCCCTCAACCCTCCACCTCTTCACCGTCGCATCTGCCCCAACACTAACAACCTCAACCCCACTCCACACAACCCCCGCACACCCATCCTTATGCGCCCCCCGACCACCAACCCACTTTCCAACTTTCTCGGTATCGAACACGCAAACCCCCGTATCCAAACTCCCACTCGCGCATTTCGTGGAATCGGTGTTCCATGCGAGGGATGTGATACGCGCGTTGTGGAATTGCCAGCGAGTTGTTTTGATTTCATACGTAGAAGAAGGGGTGTTGGAGTAGAGGATGATTTTACCGGATGAGTCGGCGGTGGCGAGGAGTGTTCCGGAGGGGGAGAAGGCGACCACCGTCACCGGCGCACGATTTCCTGTGAGTGTCGTCTTCTCCTCGAATTTCCCAGCCTTGAACGTATACACCCTCACAACATTATCAGCCCCCCCGACCGCGACCTCCTCACTCATCGGGTTAGCTGAGATAGCAGTCGGCTCATACCCCGTCACCACCTCACCCACCTTTTCTCCTTTGGCGTCATAAACCACCACACCCCCCACAACCGCCACGAAAACCTCACCTCCGCGTCGACTAACTCCCCGCGGCTGTGAGTCTGTCTTGATAACACTACCATCAAATGACCGAACCCTGGCGTCAGCGATACGGATCGTGTCGTCCCAGCCTACTGACCAGACTTTCCCTCCATCGACTTGGGCGAACTCGACGACTTGATTCGTATGCGTCTCGCCCTCGACTTCGCGTGCCTCGCCTTCCTTGGTGTCCCAAGAGCGGATAACACCATCATATGACCCCGTCCAAACCGCATCCTCGGTCGCGGTAAGCGCTGTAATCCCCTTCTGATGTCCCTTGATAATTTTCGCAGGTTTAGGATTCCCGCGCGTAAAGACATTGAGATCTCCGCAGAGCGAGAGAGATACGATTTCATTCTTCGCGGTCCACACTACGCCGACTTGTTGATCAGGTACGCTCGGCCCGTCGCTTTCGGAGAGGGACCACGTCTCGACACATGTTTGGGAAGAAATGTCCCAGGCTTTGAGAGTTGCGTCAGCGGAGGCGGTAACCACGAATTTCGAGTCCGGGCTCCAGGAGACGGCAAAGATCGATCCTTTATGTCCCTCGCTCGTGTCGAATTCACCGATGACTTCTCCCTCTTTGCCGGAATACAAGAAAACCTTCGCGTCAGCACCAACGGAGACAAAGTATTCCCCATCAGGCGAAAAAGCAACATCATAAACAAACCTCCCATGCGTCCTAATCGTCTTGGAATACCGAAACGGCACACCAGTATAAAACACAACACACGTATCATCGCTCGCCGTAACCGCCCTAAACGGTCTCTGCTGCCGAATACTCACCGCATTAACCACCGAAGAATGCCCCGAGATCTCACCGACACTATTCCCAGAATCGGCGGTAAACGCAGCCCCAAACCGCTCCTTTCCGTCACCGACCGCGATGAGGCGTTTTGATTCGGAGTCCCATGCAAGATCTTTGAGAGCACCGGCGATTGGTTTGGTTTCGAGTTTGAGGATTTGGTCGGTGCCGGCGCAATCCCAGACTCGGACGGCACCAGAGGCATCGGCAGAGGCGACGTAGTATCCGGAGGGGGAGAATTTGGCGACGGTTGTTGGGTGGGTGTGTTGGTCGTATTGGATGGATTCAGCGGGGTTTGTGAGGGAGCGGAGGAAGATCGATTTGTTTGACTGTACAGCGGATCTTCTGTTAGCATTTATATGTAACGAGGAGGTACTGCTGTACATACCGCATAGGCAATTCGCTCGCCCTTTGGGTCTGCGGAGAGGTGCACGGGCTGTGCTCGGGTGGTGGAGGGGGACGCCGCCCATGTTGATGCTCTCGTCAACGACATGATCGATTGCAATTTGTGTTTTGGTGTGGTGGATGGAGCATTGATCGCCGTCACACGGTATGGCCGCCATTGCGCTTACTAGCCAGGGGGGGCGTACATCCGCAACACGACGCGAATTATAATCCAAGTAGATCATCTTCCCTTCCTCAATTCTCCTCCGAATAACCATGAAGCCCGTCAGCAGCAAGTCGCGCTTTGTCGTAGCTGCTGTACACGATTGCGGAGAACCTAACCAACCCATCACTTCCGGCCTCCATCTCCCTAGCATACTCCTTCCCTTGCTCAATGCGCTTTGCCTCCCTTGTTATTACAGGCAACATACTTGCTAGCCGTACCCGACGTTGCAGGATATCAGTGTTGTCCACTGATGGCTCAGGAGGATAGATCGCTGCTGCCATGTTCTCAATTAAGGTATGCACACCAGCATCGAGGAGCTGGTTTATCACAATGACTGCGTCTGGGGACGATAGAAAATCGTGTGTTTCATCAATAAGATGATGCAGTGGTAGACTTGGTACAATGGTACCTTCAGCCCCATCTGCGTCACGGCTGCCGTCCCTGTCGGTGAACTGCCGGAGGACTTGTGCTTCGTCTGCAGGAGTCAGTGGGAGAAGGAATTGCAGAAAAGATTCCTTCTCAACAATAGCACGGATGCGACAAATGATGAGGTCAAACTGTGCAAGAGACAGTTCTTCCTTCAGGGACATCCTGCCGTTGCTATGTCAGCATACATGCCCAAGTTTCTTCGGGCGATTAGGATTCTTACACTCCAATCACTTCGTCTACAGCCGTCTTCACCTTTGCACTAAGCCCCTTCCATCCATTGTGTATCAACCACCACGAGAAACTCAGGTAATCCCGCTCAAGATCGGTGCGCTCGTCGCCATCCTCTTCCTCAATGCGAACTTCATTATTGAGCACTGGGCTCAATAACGTTACGACGCTTGACACATATGTACCACGGCCAATGATGTTCAGTTGCACCCTCGTCAAAACGGTGAGCAAGACCAGACAATAGATTAACGTCAAAGTGCGCGTGATAGCTGTGGCCCATTAGAAATCGTGTACTGACCGCATATCGGGAAGCGCATACGTACACAGTATCTTCAGGTCGTTCCACAGCTCGGCTTTCGACCTTCCGTTGCCATCGCCAGCGACTTCACTCATTCCACTTATCATGGATCCAGTCTCATCCCCTTCAGCGGCTTTACTCGGGGCCTTCTTTTGTTGCAAATCCGCGGTGATGCCCTCGACATCCAATTCATGAGAAACTTGCTCTGCCAGGCTAGGGAAAAGTGCAAGCAAGGTGAAAGTGCAATCCTGTTGGTTCTGCTCGAAGCGTCGACGAAGACTAGCATCTGGTTAACATACATCCATAGAGATGACAGAGGCCATAATACAAACTTTTCTTTGGCCGTCCTCTCACCCATAGCCCGCTCTTGAATTTCTTTTATCTTTGAGAAAACATACTGAGTTGCAAGATAGGCAGCACCGGCGACGACAGTTGTAACACCGATCGCCCGGCGGTGTCGGCGAAGGAAACGCCGTGTTGACTGGAACATGCAATCGACGTGCCGGACGAGGATAGGGAGCAGGTGCTGAGACCAACGGGTTCTCTGTCGATTGTTGTTGTAGCTCACTAGTCAGGGCAGGGTCAGGGCTCTCCGCACTCAAGCCGTGACGTATCAACCCAACCACCAAGTTGTAGCAGAGAAGAGCATTCAAGATGGTAACAGCTCGTATGACTTCATAAATACCGTTGTCTAACAGCTCTCACAGTCAAACACACTCCGCCCATACCTCAACGCCGTCCGCTCAACCCTAACAGCAACCCTCTGCCTCGAGAACTTTGCCTCACAAGTCGTTGAACGACACAACTGTCCCGAAGTCGAAGCCAGACAATCTCTCGAAGCACTCCTAACCCCCCTCTCAATCTCCCGCAACGAAGGCGAACGCGTCCTCATCGAACCCTCCTTCAACTCCCTCCGCATCTCCATCAAAATCAAACAAGCAGACGAAATCGAACATATCCTCGCTCACAAATTTACGCGATTCATGATGGGTCGCGCGGAGAGTTTTGTGATTTTGAGACGGAAGCCGGTGGCAGGGTATGATATTTCGTTTTTGGTGACGAATTTTCATAGTGAGGCGATGTTGAAGCATAAGCTTGTCGATTTTATTATTCAGTTTATGGAGGAGGTTGATGCGGAGATTAGTGAGATGAAGTTGTTTTTGAATGGACGGGCACGGTTTGTTGCTGAGAGTTATTTGGGTGCTATTTCGGGATGAATTCGAAAGTTGTGAGGGGATGGCGGCGATGGGATGGAGAAGGGTGTCAATCAGCACTAGAAGTTTTGGAATGGTAAAAGACGCGACGCAGAATGTGAAGCGCGCAGTCCGATTTATGACCTATGATATACCAATGCATTTGATTCAACATTACATAGCTTGTCTGGAGGAGACTTTTTTACGCCTTGCACATGGACGTGATGAAATGCAGTGATGTTCCAATTGGGGTTATCATCAACCAATTAACCCATAAGTCCAATAAGATGCGAAATGTAATGCTCTATCCACTCTCCCCTTGTCTATCCCTGCCACTCACCATCCTCGTCATCGCCCTCCCCCTCAACCTCCATCTCCTCAACCTCCTCCGCATCCCCCTCCTCACCCCCCTCAACCTCCATCGCCTTCACCGGCACAGCCCTCCCCTTCTTCCCCCCCTCCAAAATATACCTCAACATAAACACATTCTCATCCCCCAACCCCGCCAGCTCCGTCTCAATCCTACCGACACACCTCTGCAACCCCCTCATTTCACTCCCAAACTCACCCCCTCTCTCCCGAATATACCGTCCATGATACGTACACAACGCCTCAATCCAAATCAAATGAAACTCGACATGGGGTGACTCATCCGCATGCCCCGCAATGAATTTGAGGAGACGGGAGAGGTAGGGGAGGGGGAGGTCGTGTGCGACGAGGGGGATGTCGGCGGGGGGGATGGTTTCGTAGACTTGGTGGATTAGGTAGCGTTCGTTTAGTCGGAATGCCATCACTAAGGCCTTCAAGTATTGTTTTTGACGGAGGGTTTGGAGGGTTGTGGAGGGGGTTACATCGATATCGAGGTCGAAGGGGTCGAAGAGGAGGTTGTCGTCAAGGGAGTAGACGAGGAGTCCCTCTGTCGACGCCGCGGCGAAAGAGCGGCCTGTGGGGGAGAACTTGACCGCGCGGGTCCTGACTTCGGGACGAACGCGGCGAGCGGACATATCTCCCCGACTCGCTCCCGGTAACGTTCTATCAATCCGATCCTGGAGATCTTCAGCCTCACCCGTAGTATCGATCATCTCCACCGGTCCCGCCTCCGTGAGGTTTTTCGAGTTAAGGAACTCCTGCGTCCCATCCAAACTCAAATTCTGACTCACAGTAAACTTCCTCACGAGCCCTCCAGTCGCAACATCATACAAACAAATATACTTTGAGTTACCACCCGCGAGGACACAGCTCCCATCCGCCGTATAACACAACGAATTAAAATATTTGGAGCCAGCGGCGTTCTGTGCGGTTACTCTGGAGTCGATATTTCTTCCACCAGAGATATCACGTCGGCCATCAATAACGCCGACTTGTTTTGCGTCCGCGACGTCCCAGAAAGCGAGTTGTCCGTCCAACGTAGCGATTGCCACGAACTTCCCATCAGGTTTAAATGCGATACCCTGTACATCACTCTGCTGCTGCAACGGATCAACACTCTGACTCCTCCCAAAAACATCCCAGACCCTAACGGTCTTATCCCAACTCCCGCTCGCCAACGCACCACTCGACCCAGCGAACGACAACGACGACACCGGGCCTTCGTGTCCGGAGAGTCGGTCGAGGAGGGCACCGGTTTGTACGGACCAGATGTGGATATCGAAGGAATCTAGGGACCCGGCGCAGACGACTTCACCAGAGGGATCAACGGCGAGACAGGAGAATTGGAGACGGGAGGGGGCGGTAAAGGTTCGGAAGTTTCGGTAGCGGATTAGATCCCACGCGCGCACTGTCCCGTCCAGGGAGGAAGAGAAGAGTACGTTTCCGCGTTTTGCGAATTCAATGGAGGTTACGGCGGAGGTGTGTTCCGTAAACGTAACGATACAGAAACCCGATCGTGCATCCCATACCTTGATCTTTCCATCATCGGAGGCAGTGACGAGACGTTGGCCGTCGGGTGAGTATGCGAGGGTGTTCATCACGTCGAAATGACCTTGTTGCTTCAGGACATAGGACTCTGACTGCCATTCCCAAACCAAGAGTTGCCCGAGTTTCGACGCTCCGAAAGCGAGCCATTCACCCGATTTGTTGATGGTGACAGAGTCGATATCGTTATTCGAGATGGAGAGGGTGTGGATTTGGTTGAATTCGGGTAATTCGTATAACCCGAACAAACCGGTTGAGAAACCCACCACCAACAAATTCGTCGCGGCGTGGAACGCACACGTCCGGACCTTCGCACCCTGCTGCATAAAGTAATTCCTCGACACGATTTGCCATCGCATCTCCACGTCGTCATCCTCGTCCATCTCTTCGTCGGACTCGGGTTCCGGTGCTCCCTTGGGTCGGCGAGGGGCGTAACGCCAGGTGAATAATGCCCCATCGCGGGCGACGGTATAGATCGTCTCTTGATCAGCGGAAAAGAATGCGCCGACTACAGCATCACGGTGGCCGGCGAGCTGAGTTGGTACGAAACCCTCGGTAGGGTTAAGAGAGTATATCCGTGCCGACAAATCCTTCGAAGTAGTGAGGAAGAACCTCGAATCAAACGACCAGGTGAGGGATGTGACTTCGTCGTAGTGACCAGTATAGACACGGTGCTTCACGAACGGCGCGAAATCGCGTTCGTCGGTGAACGTGGGTGTCCGCCATACCTGCACATGTCTCCCATGCGTAACTGCGAAATACCTCCCATCAGGACTAAACTGACAATCCCGTACCTTTTCCCCAAAATTAAAGTTATGCAACACAGTTCTTCGATTGACGTTCACCAACAGCGCCCTACCCCCCTCGTCTATTGAGAGGAGAAGGGTGCATTGCGGGTTGAGTGCGAGACGGGCGATGTTGCGTCTGTTCTCGAAGGGAAAGGTGAATGACTTGTTGTTGACGAGGTCGAAGTGGGTTACTCTGTTGCCGACTGGGGAGAGGAGACAGGTGCCGTCTGGGCTGAAAACGAGGTTTCCTTGACGGTAAACGGTACCAATGACATCGGACAACTGAGTGATCTACTGTCAGCAGGGATCTCTGATCCATAGAAGATGCTCTCACCTGAAAATCGGCCTTCATGCTGATATATTCTCGTCGGTGACCGAGGCCTTCGTTGCCGTCTTCCTCGTATAAACTCTGAATTTTCGAGTGCCTGGCATAATCTCGCCCTGAGCAGCTGCTGCGGGGACCGTAACGTTGCCAAGTATACGACGCGCCGAAACACGACAACGAAGAAAAGGAGAAACGGCGACAATGGCTCCGTCTGCGGATAGTATACCGGCTCCGGCTGTTCAGAGTGCGGGCGTGATTGGCATTGGAAGTTTGCCGAACCAGAGGTGTGCAACTCCAGTTCCCGTACGTTTGGGAACACGGTTTCAACTGTTGCATACAGGCACAAGATTGTCGCGAAGAAGGGTGCGAATTTTACGTTGATGGTTGCCGGTATGTCGCTTCCTCCACAATTTGGTATTCAGGGTGCTAACATGTAACACAGGCGAGTCTGGTCTTGGTACGCTTGTTGAAGGCCGGAATGCCCACACCGACTAACCTTCCACACCGGCGTACAGGCAAGACAACCCTCATCAACACTCTCTTCTCCACCGACATAAAACCCTACCAAAACCCCCGTACCCGCCACAACCCCCAACCAACCCGCACAACCCACATCTCCATCTCCCGCGCCCACCTCTCCGAACGCGACTTCACCCTTAATTTGACCGTAATTGACACCCCCGGTTTCGGGGACTTTGTGTCGAACAAGAATGCATGGAGTCCGATTGCGGAGTTCTTGGATGATCAGCACGAGAGTTATATGAGGCAGGAGCAGCAGCCGATGAGGGAGGGAAGGGTGGATATGAGGGTTCATGCGTGTTTGTATTTCATCAGGCCGACGGGGCATACGTTGCGTCCGATTGATATTCAGGCGATGAAGGCGTTGGGTACGCGTGTTAACCTCATCCCCATCATCGCGAAGGCCGACACTATCGGCGCCCAAGACCTCGAGATTTTCAAAGAAAGGGTGTGTAGAGGAAGACAATGCATTTTGCTCGCGATCACCGGCTAACTCGTCCGTACAGATCCGTAACGTCATCCGCGCCCAAAACATCTCCATCTTCGACCCCCCGGAGAACACCGACGGTAGCCCCTTCCTCCCACCCCCCTACGCCCTCATCGCCTCCACCCAAACCCACCAAACCCCCTCCGGCCCCGTTCTCGGCCGCCAATACCTCTGGGGCATAGCCGAAGTCGAAAACCCCCTCCACTGCGACTTCGTCCACCTCCGCTCCCTCATCCTCCGCACCCACATGCTCGACCTCATCCTCGCCACCGAAGAAACCCACTACGAATCCTACCGCCGCTCCCAAATGGAAATCCGGAAATTCGGCGAAAGCAAAGCGCGCAGAACCGCCGACAACCCGAAGTTTAGGGAGGAGGAGGAGGCGTTGAGGAAGAGGTTTACGGAGCAGGTTAAGGTTGAGGAAAATAGGTTTAGGTCGTGGGAGCAGAGGTTGATTCAGGAGAGGGATCGGTTGAATAAGGATTTGGAGGTTGCGCATGCGAGTGTTAAGGCGTTGGAGTCGGAGTTGGAGGCAATGACGTTGGGGGCAGGGAGTGGGAGGAGTACGGGGAGGAGTTTGGTGCGTTGAGGGGGTGAGATGAGAAGGAAGAAGGGAAACATTGCTGGACAATATTGCTTGAACTTGGATGGAGATGGAAGATATATACCAATTGCTTTTTGACGTACGCATGATCGCAGAGCTTGATAGGTAGTGATTGCCCATGAACATCAATCACGCAGACTATGCTGAACCACAGGCGGTGGCCCACCATGAGGGGCAATATAGGGTAAACAGAATCATTTTGCTCAAAACGTACACATTCGATCATTGGTATATCAGTACAACCTCACACCCTTTTCCCCCTCCTCCATGGCCCTTCCACTTAGTACAAGGCCAAAGCCACAGCAGAAACAGTAGAAACACCCAACACGATGTATCCAGTCCTGTAAACACCCTTCAAATCCAAGAAGCTTCCAGTATCCCAAATCAAATGCCTAATTCCATTCCAAGAGTGAAACGTGAAGGGGAACGCCAACACGCTCTTGATCGCAATCTTCGTAACAGGCGCCAACGCACCGAAAGAGGCGGCGAGAGAGGTGGTAGAGAGGTCGAGACCGATATAGGGCGAAGCGAGGTATGCGAAGGCAAAGGCGTAGAGACCACCGGAGACGGCACAACCGGTGATACGGTGCGCGGCGGACATGTACCAGGTCAATTGAGGCTGGTAGATGGTGAGGTGGGGAGAGTTGGGGCGGGCGGCGCGTTGTTTGTAGAGGAGTTGGAGGGACTCGTCGTGGGTCAAGTTCTGAGTCTGAACAGTGCGGATGCCCATGGGACGGAGGATCGAGGAGGGAGTAGGACGGAGGGCTATGTGGACATTTCAGTTACATGGTCTCTTGACGAGTAGTGAGGCCAGGAAGGTGACGCAAGACAGGGAAGAGAGGCTGGACGTACCGTTAAGAGCGCCAGAGCGGCAGAAAGCCGATCGCATGTTCATCATGGACATCTTGGGTATGTCTTTGGTTGATTGTCTGTTCGGGTTTGCCTGGTGTAACGTTCACTTGCTCGGAGACATCGGGCGTACGGCTGCAGTGTGGAGAAGCCCCCTCGCCCAATGAACGGCCATGAAAAGCGACTGCCTCAGAACGTTCTCCGACGGCCGTACAACTCTTCCAGAAGTCAACTCATGAACAATTGAAATCATCAGACACCCTTCCCAAGTCCCGTCGACACCCGGACCCGCCAATTCTCCCAGGCCACTCCGCGCTAAATCCCTCTATAAAAAGCTGACGTCCGCCGACGCTGCGAGCAGTTCTCCAATGATCGCTACCGCCGTCCAAGCCAGGGTAACCTATAAAGTGAAGGACGGACCACCGTTATGGTGGATACGATCAGAGACTGATTACCTCCATATAATCGCCAAGACCGGGCATTCTACCCGGTACTAGGTTTCATGATTGGATGACATCTCATCTCCCGTGCTTCTATGATTTATGTCAATATACTGTTTTTCCTCGACTCTTGTGGTTCCTGTTTTCGTCCGTGGAATTGCTTGTCTCCGCCGTATTTGAGCGTTGTTTTCCGGCTGCTAGATCAGTCGCATGAATGTCGAGGGTTCGGATTCGAATCCTAGAGAATACATGCGACCAAATGGATGGGTGCACAGCCTTTTGCTGGGATATTGGGGCTATCGTAGACTATGCCTCTTCAACGGGCTACTAAGCGTCCTGTCCTTCCTACCACTCTCGGTGCCAGTGTCTTCCGTTGCCTGCTCTCATTACACATCTCTCTTCATCCTTCCTGATTCCGACTTCCTCAATCCAGCAACCACACAATGTCCGGCAACTTCCCAATGACCTCCTCCATGATCCTATTCTCCTCTTCCTCGGTCTTACTCCTGAACTGTGATGTAGACGCGCTCTTCCCGGTGTTATTTACCGTTGGTGGTGGTGCTACCGGTGCTACCGGTGCAACCGGTGCAGGTTTGTCGAAGATCGAAAAGTCCCACGGGTCTGAGGATGTACTGGGTGGCGCTTGAATGTCTGATGAGATGACCGGATGAAACTTTGGTTGGACCGGCTGTGGTATTGAATTGATGGGTTGTGGTATTAGAGGTGGTTTCGATGCATATGCTGGAATGGTTACTGGGGGTGGGGGTTGCTTGCCCTCGTGTGTTTCGACCGTGGAGATAGGGGCGAATGGCGGTGGTGTCTGCCTTTTTGCGCTCATCTGTAGTGATGGTCCTGGTGCTGATACAGGCGCAGGTAATGAAAGCGGTATCGAAGGCGCCGTCGATCTTGCGGGACCACTCCCCAGCAGGTCCAATTGCCCCAGATCAAACAGCGAAGAAGACCCTGGCGGCACCACATGCTGCTGCTTTGCAGGCGTCGCCAGAATATTCACCTCTAGCCCCGTGTGGTGTTCCTTTCTCGATTCCTCGCGTTCTCGAGTGATATCTTCCTCTCGCTTCGGAACAGCGACCTCCTCAGTCGATCCCCACTCCCACTCGTCCACCTCCCCATCACCAACAGCAGGCGGACTACTCGCCGTCCTCAGCATCATCTCCGCCTCCGTTTCCTTTAAGCCCTCCATTACCGGTACAGTAGGCACCCTGGGCTGTAGCTGCTTCCTCAGAGCCTGTACTGGCGCCGGCGCAGTAGTCATACTCCTTCTCCTCCCATGCCCTACAGGTGCGGGTGCCGGTACATCATTCCACCCAAGCCCGATTCCCAATCCACCACCTACATTCCCTCTTAAATGTCCACTCATTCCTCTCACACGCCGCCATCCGTCGACAATTCGTTCACATTCCGTCTTGATGTTCGAACCGGCCCATTTTGGTGGTGCGCGGTCGTAGTGGACGGTTGTTAGGCGGTACCACAGTGTCCGAGACGCGGTTCTGGAGAGTGGTGGTTCTGGAGGTTCGACCGGCGCTTCTGAGGGTGTCGGGAATATTTCGGCGAGCAGAGCTGTGATTGGGAGTGTAAACTCAAGTTCAGTAGGTTGTGGCTCGGGAGCAATGAGTGCCGGGGCAGGAGTGAAGTCCTCAAAAGATTCGTTGGCTGTTTCGGAGTTGAAGTCACCGAAGTCGTCATCATCCTCGTCTTCCACACCTTCGGCGGGTGTGTCTGTCGAATGCGCACTATTGTCTTGAACTGGAAGAGCGGGTTCCGCGTCCGATTCTGGCAGTTCGTTCACTGGCTTATCCGTATGTTCCTCTGGCATAGGCTGTTCCTGTTGATCGGGATGTGCGCCATCAGTCTCCTCTTCATCTTGAAATCCCCAACTGTCCAGTTGCTCCTGATTTGTCTCATCAGGCCCTGTCTGTGTCTCCGCTCTTTCCACATCAACATCCCCCGTATCTCCACCATCCATATCTTTCAGCTCTCCGTCTCCCTCGTGAACACCAGGACCAGCCCAGCCATCCTCCTCTGCAGTCGTCCAATCAGGCACCACCCCTTCGATCCCCCTGATCCCCGCAGCGGTCGCTGGTGTTGACCATACGTCAGCAGTATTGAATGCAGCTTCATCATCTGCCCAAGGCGATTCCATCTATTTACAGCTGGATCATTGGGGTTTTTGGTTGCGGTGTTTCGGTGCTGCAGTCACCCGCGTCCGCGGTGCGCGTTCGCCGGGTCGGCAGTTTGGGGCCGTGGGAAAGCGTAAATCGGGATAATGGGAGGGAACCCTTATGCTCGACGAACATGGGACTTCAACAATCTGATATACCACGGTAGTCATACAAAAGCTGCAACCTTAGTAAAGCACGGGCATCCCTGCATACTGATGACTCAGTCTCGAAGCCGGGCGACCCATACTATTGGTGCCGTCTCAAACGTCGCGGGCTTTAATCATCTCCGTCCAAAACGCGCATTCACTCTTCATCCTCATCCTCCTCCTCCGTCAACTTATGCCCCAACTTGATCGCCTCCCTCATCTGATAATGTCCCTTCCTCATCTTCATAAAAACCTCATGCTTCGCCTTCTCCTCTGGACTCTGCGGTTCGTCCTCTTCCCATGCCTCACCCCCCTCTCCCTCCTCATCCACCTCCATGCGTTCCACTGTTGCGTTTCCGATGGGCGAGTTCCATTGCGATGGGGATTCTTCGGCTTCACCGAGAGACATTGGAGGGAGGTCGTCGTCGTCTAACCCCATCGCGTCGATTTCGTGGGGGTCGAGGCGGCGTTCGTAGGGGGTTTTGGGTTCGGTGATTTTCATTGTTGAGGATTTTTGTTGTTCGGTTAGATACAAGTTTGCTTCGTCCCACTATGGTTATGGTCAGTCAGCACTCACCCTCCTCATCAATGTAGGGGTATTTGTTGGTACCTTTAGTCTGGGTGTATGCCCCGCAGCACCACCAGTGCCGAGTGGGACGGGCGGCTCATTCTCCACCACTTTCTGGAAACTCAGACGGCGGTTTGTGAGTGGTGGGACATTCGCGGATGAGCGGCGTCGGGGAGGTTTTGCGTTAAAGGTGGTGTTTGTTTCGAGGGATGCGTCGGGTGGGGTTGTGGTTGAGGTAGAGGAGTGAGCGTTTTTGAGGATTGGGACGGGGTGGATGACGCCGGAAGAGGATGGAGGGGCGTTAGACATTGTCGATTGAGTCGTTCGAAGTGATTGAATGGTAACGAACGGGATGTATGCTGTTCTGTTTGATGGTCGATGGTAACGTACTGGTGTTCCCCAAGCTGTACCCCTCTGCGAGTTTGGAACTAGCCCTGCAATCCTGGGCAAAAAAAGTGCAGCGTCTCGAGAGTTGAAGCTCAAGCAAATCCTTCACCGAAGAATTCAGCGTGATCGATCTGGCTCGCCGTTAAGGTTGTGTATGTCAACAGAGTCTCTTCTATTTGCCCATCTCCTCGGAAAGTCCGTCAGACCATCCAATCACCTGTCTCGGTTGACATTCGTGCTGACCAAGACCTTTACAGGCCCGGCTAACTTGACTTACACCCTCGGCTCATCTTCAACACTTTCTTTATTGTATACCATATCAGATCACCATGACGGCACCAATCGCCGTACCACAGAGCAGCATATCGAGCTCCTCCCCCGCGACCTCCTATACAATCAATCACGAAAACACCGCCGGCCTCCCCGAATCCGCCTTCGAAGGCCCCGAAAAGCTCCTCGAGGTATGGTTTGCGCCATCACCCGAAGACTGTCCCTCCGGTAAAGGCCTCAAAACCGTCGCGCGCAAAGATTGGGAGGGAATGCTCGACCTTGTCAACTGCAAAGTCCTATCCGTGATCGAGAACGACGAGGTCGACGCATATCTATTGAGTGAGAGTTCGATGTTCGTATTCCCTCACAAACTCATTCTCAAGACTTGCGGCACGACGACACTCCTGATCGGTCTCACTCGCCTTCTCTCCCTCGCCGCGTCCGCCGGCTTCACCTCCTCCCAAACCCCTTGGCGCGTCTTCTACTCCCGCAAGTCATTCATGTTCCCCGATCGCCAGCTCCCACCACATAAATCCTGGCACGACGAGGTGGAGTATCTGGATAAACATTTCGAGGGCGGAAGCGCGTATCACGTTGGGAGAATGAACGGAGATCACTGGTTTTTGTATATGACGAGCCCGGGGACGAGTGCTGCTACGGGAAATACGGCAACGAGGACCGTGGGATTGAAGGAGGGGTTTGAGGATGAGACGTTAGAGATTTTGATGACGGACTTGTGCGAGAGGCGGGCACGACAGTTTTACCTTCCCGACGGCTACTCCTCGACCGAATCCGAATCGGACGGACACGCGCTCGGCACAACTTGTTCCTCTCAGACTAAGATCGACTCCATTTACCCCACGAGCGAATACCCCGACGCACGCGTCGATTCTTATCTTTTTACGCCGTGTGGGTACAGCGCAAACGGCGTCGTCCCCACACCCAGCTCAACGGGATACTGGACCATCCACGTCACCCCCGAACCTCACTGCTCCTACGCCTCTTTCGAAACCAACGTGCCCACCAGCCCTACCTCCACCTCACTCGCGACAGTCGAGAAAGTCGTGGAGATCTTTGGCCCGGGCAAGTTTACCTTGACACTCTTTGAGGCGAGAGGGGTTGAGGCGGAGAGAAAGGGGAGTTTGGGGGTTGATGAGGTGAAGGGGTATAAGAGACGGGACAGGATTGTGTATGAGTTTGAGGGGTATGATTTGGTGTTTTTGACGTTTGAGAAGGAGAAGTAGAGGGGGCGAGCGACGCGAGCCTGGAGAACGGAGTTGCTGTGAGGAGGGAAGTGGGCATGAGAGGTAGACATGAGAAAAGGGCTACGAACTATATTGCATTTGGAGTTTACGTTGGAGTCGCGATCGAGGGAGGACTTGTATCGGGATATCTTGGGCATAATACACGGTTGACCATCATCAACAGCGCATCAATTACTGGTACGGTATGGATCATACGTGCTGCGCCACTCTCCCCTGGGCGCAGCACATATTTCCAAGGTGCGACGGAACTCCTCGATCACCGTACAAGAAACAGAGGTTCAAATCAACAATGACCTGTCGAAGAACCATCCAACGAGTCTGCGCTCGAACCCTCCTCGCTCCCTCCCCCACCCTCGCGCGACCCTTCGCCTCCACGGTACCATCACACAAGGCACCACACCCCCTACGAATCCGACAAAACTTCGACGTGAATGACGATATCGAGGTGGTACAGGCACAGATTAAGAAATTGACGGGAGAGACGTTGCCGGATGCGGTGGCGTGGCAGGCTGTTACGCATAAATCTTTTGCGCACGGGAAGGAAGGGTATAATGACAAGTTGGCGTTTATGGGTATGTGGTGTGTTTGTGTTTGTGTTTGTGTTTTGGTGCGATGAGCTGATCGGGTGTGATTTTTGGATAGGTCGACGAGTGTTGAAGTTTCACCTGGCTTTGCAGCTCGCTAGTAGAGAGTCTTCGAGGCCCAGTGCTATCAACAACAAAGCGATCGAGAGCGTCACCTCTGCACGATTGGACAACGCGACAAAGGCCAGCACACTCTTCTCCGTCGCCCAAAACATGGGTCTCAATATCCAAGACGTGATGAGATGGAAGCCCAAGCAGACGGGTGATCTGGAGTTGAGTGGTGTGAAGGGTGTTGTTGGAGATTGTTTGACTGCGATGATTGGTGCTGTGTTTATGACGAAGGGAGGACAGGCTGCTGAGGAGCTTGTGGTGAAGAAGGTTTTGCCGCACATTATTGGTGTTGGGAACCCCAGGCAGTCGAGCAGGAAGCAGGTTGAGGCATGATGTGGATACGGAGCTGGAGTGTAAAGTAAGGAGGGAGATACTAGATTATGGAATAAGATACTACCTTCTGAGATTACTCAACCCATCCCACCACAAACCCTCTCATGAGGCCAAAACAGCCCCAGTATCGTCATCCTCCGCCCCCCTCGCCAAATGATCCCTAACACTCTGCACCTTCTGCTCCAAACTACTCGCCTTATCCATCCGTGTCCCGATGCGAATATCGGTCGCGATTCGGGGACATCCCATCTCGTGGACCGCTTCGTGACATTTCCGGATGGCTTCGCAGACTTCGGTAAAGTCGCCTTCGAGGCCGGTGCCGTAGCCGTGGAGTTCGTATTTCAGGCCGGATCGTTCGAGGATTTGCTGGCCTGGAGGAGCGGGGGAGGGTTAGAGACGGAGAGAGAGAGAGAAAGACGGATGGAGGAGGGGGAGACGTACAGCGCGCGATATAGGCGCCGACTGACGGGGATGCGGTGCCCATTGGGACGAGGCAAAAGTCGGCGGTCTGCACGGCGATCAGTCACGGACGCAGTGACGCAATCAAATCTTCCGTCTTACGCAGTTCATTCCCATCGTGTGTCGTCCCCGGCTGTGCAAAATTCTTGACGTAACTTACCTGGAGCTTGGCTGTCCTGCGACGCCGGTGTTTGTTTACGCGGGGGGGCCTCGCCTTCCTTGACAACAAAAACACTACACCAAGCAGCAGCATTCATTCCCTCTCGAGAGCATATATCCCCTGTGAAGCAGCTGGACTGTTCACACGCACGCTCTGTTGTAGCCAAGATGGCCGACGAGCTACCTTCTTACCTCGATAACACTGCGAGTACGGCCTACCGCTGGGGGGCAAAGGACTTGAATGAGTCCACCAACCATGGGACTATTGAGGACTTCGACGTCGGGAATGACACAAGTTTCAATTTCAAAGGTTCAATCATAATCGACGGCGCTGACCATGCATCGCTAATCATTGTCCAACAGATTATAAACTCGACTCGGCCAAACTCGATCGCGTCAACAAACTCGCTCAAATCCTCGACGGAATGAAACCTCGGAGCACGACAGACACCCGCAAAGTCTCGAGTACCTCGAGCGCGAAATCAGATACCGCACTCCACGCGGACCACGCCTCGCTTCCTCCCCGGAGCGCGACATCTACCCCCGTCCAGCGTGCGTCCTCCCAACAGTCTCAGCACTCTCGCCAGCAAAGTCCTCCACACACGGCCGAACAAACCCGAACCCGGTACGATATCAGCCTCGACACCATCCACTCATCCCGACCCTGCTCGAGCGTCCGCATCTCCCCCGCCCTCCGCCACGACCGCTCGTTCCTCGATGCAGCCTCAGATACGACCCACCAAACCGGACTGACATCCCCCTCCACAACCCGTCACTGCCGCAAAACAACCCACGAACCCGCGCCCGTCTCCCTCGAAGAACTCCCCGAAACGGAAGAGTTCGCGAGCGCGAAAAGCGATGGCGTGAAAACACAGAGAGATAGAATGGGAAGTGAGGGTAGTGCGGCGCCGTCGTGGACGAGTTCGGTAGTGAGGGAGCATTTGGATGAGATGTTGCATGGGTCTGAGCACATCCCAAGTATTACTGTCCCAAAACCACCGCCGGTGTTCCCGGATACAATGTCTCGCAGTGCGCCATGGGGCGGTATTGAGAAGATGAAAGCGGCACTTGATTATCCCTCGCAGTCTGGGGTGGAATCGGAGTATGCAGGCGATGTAGACGAAAGTGAGTGGCAAACTACTATCGACACCACTCAGAGAAACGGAAGCGGGGAGGGTCCATTCTCGAGTACGCCTAAACACGGTGAACGAGCGGGACTTGGGCTTGTGTCTGGAGTTGAGGATACGCCGATTCGCCAGGTGCCGCGTGTTACACCGAATACGAACTCGACTGTTAAGGAGCAGAGGAGTGCTGGGGCCAGGTTTGGGAGTGATGTCGTCTCACCACATCAGCGCCGACCGCGGAGTCCGGGTGAGACTTCTCGGGCTGATGCGACATTGGGTGCTGGCGAGATCGGATATTTGATGGAGGATGACGTCTCGCAGGCCCCGGTGAATGAATCGGAACTTTGGGAACGGGATGTGGAGGAAGAAGATGAAGAGAGGGTGGTGGAAGATGAAAGGGACGAGAAAGTGAAAGAGATGAAAGACGTCATGGATAAGTTGAGCAAAGAATGCGATCGCCGTGGCGCCATCATCGATGACCTCGTCGCGAACCTAACCTCCCTGACCCAACAACCCCGCCCCGCGCTGCAACCTAGCCCGGAGCAGGAAGCAGAACTCTGCGCAGCGAAAGATGAGATTAGGGAGTTGAGGGAGATGATGCGTGAGATGCTCCAAAGTCAGAAGTTGAAGGAAGAGGAAGAGAGGATTAGGGTTTTGAGGGAGGATGAGTTGACGAGGGAACGGGCGAGGGAGATGGAGAGGTTGAGGAAGGTTAGTGCGAGTATGAGGAGTGCGAAGGAGGGGAGGAGTCCTGTGATTGAGCAACAGCAGGACGGGCAGGAGGAGTTGGAGGATGAGAGGGATGCGACGGAGAGTTTGCAGGAGAAGATAGGGAGGTGGAATGAACTGCTTTCAACGCCGTTGCCGCTTGGACGTGAAGGTGCTTCCACTTCAGCACGGAAACCAAAGTCTCCGACGCCGAAGTTAACGGCTCCAAAGTCACCGTTGCAGCGTATCGAGAATATCCCACTTCAGCAGCGTCGTGCGCCCTCTACCCGAAAAGCGCCCTCGCCTATACCTCCACAAAACACCTTTGACCGCCGTGGTTCAGAGGAGAAGGATATTTGGTTGGAGACATATAAGAGGCAGTGGGCTGAGCACGAAGCCGGGAGGCAAGCTGCTGAGAGCAGGATGGCTGAGTTGCAGGAGTTGTTGAGGAGAGCGGAGACGGATATCAAGGAGTTGAGGGCGACGAATGCGGCTGCGCAGGCTGCTGCTGTCGCTGCCGAAGAACAGGCGCAAGCGATAAGGACGGAAGCTGCACGTGCTGCGTTCCTCGCTGATACGAGGACTGCTGCGTCAGCAGTGGGGTGTGGGCCCGCTCATGACCACCATACGCGACCACTCACACCCGCTGCAATGCCCGACGCCAACGAACCAGGCCTAACCCGCGAAGACAGAATCTACTACCGCCTCCAACTCTACAAAGTCGATCGCCTCTGCTCCAACGAAACCGGCAACATCCTCAAAAACATCCTCATCCAACTCGCCACGCCCCTCGACGAGCTCCCCACCTCTATCCAACGTTTACGAAACAAGTTGGTGGAAGGGAAGAGGTTGAGGAGGTTTGCGGAGGATGTGCATGAGTTGGTGTATGAGGGGGAGCGGATGGCGGAGGGGAGTGTTGAGAAGAGGTGCTTGGGGGAGATGGTGGCGAGGGTTGGGAGGTTCGTGAAGGTTGCGGAGAAGGAGAGGGAGAGGAGGAGGGTTGGGAGTGGACGGTACTAGTTATCGCAGAAAAGTGAAGTTGTTATGGGAATCGGGTCGAGCATTGTTAGTGGCGTTCATGGCCATGGCTGGTTGGTATAGATAATGGTAATATCTCTAATGCGTTTTTACGCCTCTCATGCTCTGGTTCAGTCCCTATTCCGACTTGGCTGCCATCTCCGAATGCTAACTTCCCTCACCTTATACCTCCCCAACACCTCCCCCAACGTCTCTCCCTCAACCTCACTCCCCACCGGCGGAACCTCCACATAACACGAAATGACAGTCTTCTTAACCTGCGAACACACCCGATTCGTTGAATGCAATACATGCCACGGCCTCCTCTCCTTCTTCTTCCTCTCCACATCCCCCTCATACGAAGGATGTGAGTACGATGGGATGATCATGATAGCGAACTCAGCGTGCGAGAAAACGGGACCACGGCGGTAGAGGAGGTAGTCCACCGCGAACTTGACACCGGGTTTTACGACCCAGCCGAGGGAGCGGAAGTGGTGGTACACCACATAATTCAGCATGAACGGATCATCTGGTGGCATCACTCCCGCCACCCTCGGGCTGTATGCAGTTCGGAATAGTGGGAGGAGCTGGGATCGAGGGATTGGGGCGGAGGTGGAGGGGTCGAGGATAGTGAGGGTGCCGAGGGAGTGTGCGAGGAAGAGGGATTCGGGGAGGGTTAATTGGAGGCGTTCGAGGTTTATGAGGTTTCCGTTGCTGTCGGTGGGGTAGGTGTATGCGTCCTTCTCCTGCTCAATCGCCTCTTCATCCACCTCCTCCTCTTCCTCATCCTCATCTTCTGGTAGTGGCACCTCACCTCTCTCCTCCCGCAGAATCCGCTCGCGTTCCTTCTGCTCAGCCTTCTCCCTCTCCTTCTTGAACTCCTGCCGCGCAGCCCTCCGTCTCGCCGTAATCTCCTCCGAAGTCAACTGTTCGTCCTGCCCGATCTCTCCAACCGCTCTCCGTGCCCTGACAAACCACGTCGGCTCACTCCTACTCAACGTTCCCTTCCCGAAAAATCCCTTGAACCACAATCCATCACCACCGTTCGAGACGTCAACGTGACATGACCGTGATTCGGGGTGGAAGGTCGCGGTGAATGCTGGTTGTGTTGGGGTGGAGGGGAAGAGGTATGCGATGATGTAGGGGATGTAGGAGAGGGGGTTGTGGAGGTGTAGTGGGGGGAGGGGTGGCAGAAGGGTGTAGGGAAGTGGATCGGCGTAAAGAAGGTGGATATTTGGGCCTTGAGGGATTCGTTTTTTTACTTCCTCGGTCATTGTTGCAATTGATGGAAAAAAAAGAAAAGTTCAGCTTTCACGTCGCCGTCGAGGTTCGACCTTCACACGATTCAGGCACGCGTACGCAAACTTTAAATTTCGTCCTCTTCTCAATTTCACCACCCCAATGATCCTACAAACCAAATGGTAAGTCCAAACCCTCATCAAATCCGCAATCACAATCATGGAGGAGACATCTGGAAAAGCCCAATATGATGATATGTGTCTACACATCGTTGCTGGAAGAGAGGGACGTCTAGACAACGGACCTTTCAACAAAACATGTCAGCGCATTAACTACAACGGTATCTGATTTATTGGGTTCCTTTTCCAGCGGCTTGTGATTGCGGATCGATAGTTTCATGTTCTTGTGAGGATGAGAGCTAACATCGATGAAGTGTACAGTGCTTTCCTCCTGTCTTCAGTATTCTTGTGAACCGTCAACTAGTATAGTCAATGAATCGTTCTTGCAGATATATCGTGTCTATCCCGTTCCAATTGATTCACTCCTCCTGAACCTCCTCCCAATCTTGTCACCGCATCACTTTCTTCACCTCCTTACAAACATCCACCCCACCTCCTCCCATCAAACACACATAACTCCCCTTCCCTGTAACACACTTCGTCTCCCCCGCAAAACGACACGGACAATCCTTCGGCGCGTCCACACATGCCATCGTATCCGGACATACGTATTTATCTAACGGGCAGTTGCCTACAACACATATGATCCGTTAGCATTCCCGTAAGAGAAGCCCGTGGAGGAGGGCATGGGAGGAAAGGGATGTGGTACCAGCTTCGTGTTGACGTTTGTACCATTCGACTCCGCCGTGAGCTTGCTGCTGTTGTTGCTGTTGTTGACCGTGGTGACCGAAGAATTGGTCGAAAATGTTGCCGAATTGTGCGGAGGCTGTTGCAATAATCGTAGCGATTACGACGAAGAGAAGGGGTAGCCGAGTCATGACCAGCGAATCCAGTATCAGCCTGTAAAGGTAGATGCGTCGAGGTCAACGACAGTATTGCGACGTGTCGTATAGTTTTGATTTAATTCCATTTTGCGGTTTAATTCATCTGCACGACCCCTTACTCCAGAAATCTACGATACACCAACCTTCGAAAGCTCACCACCAAGAAGAGAGCACCCTGCCATCCCTCACGATGTTCCCTCCCAGATTAACCTCTATCTTCCGCACCGTCGGCGCTTTCACTTCCCCCTCCGCTGCCGCCCCCTCTCCCTTTACCTCCCTCTTCAACCCTCTCGGTCAAATCCGTACAGCAACAAAGCGTGCAGGAGGTAGTACCAAAAACAACCGCGACTCCGCTGGTCGAAGGTTGGGTACGAAGAAGTTTGGGTCGCAGGAGGTTAGGTCTGGGAATATTATCATCAGGCAGAGAGGGTCGAAGTTCCATCCTGGAGAGAATGTGAGTCTCCCTCCTTAAACCCCAGTCTTGGTCTCGCGCCACAATTAAGCAGGGACACTGATTGAAGGATACACGATACTAACATAGCAGCTATAGGTCGGTATGGGCAAAGACCACACCCTCTACGCCCTCGAACCCGGTTTCGTTCACTTCTACCACGACCCCAAATACCCGAAGCGGAGATTGGTTGGGGTCGTGTTTGAGCGTGGACAGACACTTCCTTTAGCAGAGGGTGAGCCGAGACGGAGGTTGTTGAGGATGGCGCCGTGGGCTTCAAAGAAGGATATTAGGGAGAAGGAAGAGGCGTCGAAGGCGGCGAAGGCGGCGAAGGCGGATGCGGGAGTTGAGAGGATTCAGGCTTGAGTGTGAGTTCGTTTACGGCGGGGAAAAAGAGGAAGACTGGAGCGTGGTTCTGTTACGCTGGACGCATATATATGAGCGTGGATCGATGACGCGAAGTAGCATTTTGCAGTATAACTGTGTAAGGATGGGAGCTCGACGAGGCCGTACGATGCCAAAGAATTGAATTTGAAAGATATCCTATAACCATGCACGTGCGATCTCCACAACCAGACCGCAACAAAAAAGAGAAAACGCCAGTTCCATTAAATGCCCAATCCCCTCCCCTCAAATCAACCTCCCCAAAATCAAACTCTGCACCAACCACTCCACCTCAACAACCCTGTTCCCCTCCTTCCCCTTTTCCTTCTCGTCCCCAAGTCCAGCCATCTTCTTAATCTTACTCGCTTCATCCTCTTTCCCCACAATGATATAATCCCATCCCTTCGCCGCTTTCCGTCGTAAATGCGCACCAACTGTCTCCGGATCAGGAGCTTTATCCACCTTCGCAGCGCCCATCGCATACGTCAAGAACTTATACACTTTCCTCGTTTCCTGCGTCCTACCCTTCCCCGTAACGATGAGCACGGACTTGTCATCCAGCAATCCATGCTTTTCTGTAAGCCGTTCGAAAAGATTGATCCCGTCGATAAAAGGTGCGACTTGCATGGATCGACATGCTCCGTGGAGGTAATCTGAGTCTCCGGCTGGGAGGAGGTAGGTTTGCCAATCCATCTTTTCGCCAGTTTTGATGCAGTCTTTGATGAAGCGGAAGCTGAGGCATGGAAGACCTAAAGCAAGGGCTTGGAGGTATTTGATTTTCCGGCAGTATCGATCTGCGATGACACAGGCGAATTTGTGGCCTTGGATGTCGGCTCGGGGCACCAATGCTGCCTTTGGTTTATCGTCCGATAACGAGTGATACAACTCGTCGAGACCAATCTCGAGGATGCGGCCTCCGTGAAGACGGATATCTCGGGTCACTTCGTCCCTGGCTGCATCGTCCCCGGAGAATGTAAGCGCGAATACACACCCTTTGAACAACGTGCTGACTTGTGTCGTAAATCGCTGAACCATGGGACTCATACGGCGTGCGTGATGATGACCAGTCGATGGAAGTCTCCGCGGTGGAGTGGAAGCTGTGGAGTAAGGCGACATTACAGTAGGCGTGGACAGAGTTCTGTCCCGAAACTGCTTGAACAGCTTCGGGGTGAGGATGACCCGCTCGATTGGGACGTCGAACGGCTTCTCCTTCTCGTGACGTCTGACGGTGACAACGTTGTTTCCGGAGACATCTGCTCTCCTGGGCGTGCTTGTTTCCACCCGTTTCAACCCTACCACTGTAAAGAACGCTTTCCCGTGGACCTCAATGTCTAACCGCACGACATCACCGACATGCATGTCCAACGGCTTAACCTGATGCTGCTCAACGGCAATCAAAGGCCCCGTACCCGTAACATCATTCTCATCATCGAAACGGATCCAGACATGGTTAGGTTTGCATTCGACCTGATGGTCCAGGATCACCGTCCCGGTGTAATAGTTCCGTGGGGTACCCCTGAAAAGGGCAAACACACGTGTTGAATGGTCCTGCGATTGAGGTCGAATGTCCGTTTTGGGTGCAGTCTGGGTAGAGGTAACAGACGTCGACCGATCCCTGGCCCTCCATCCTCGTGAAGATTCAGATTGGCTAGGGCTCGTCTGTCCGTTATCGACAATTTCTTGCACAGCAGCAGTGGTATCGTCTGCACGCGATACTTCCTCTTCTTCCTCCACCCTTGCCAAAGCTTCCGGTGCTGCCCTTCTCGGCGCCGACTCGTCTGGGCCTTCTGGCTGGCTACTCATAACGATACGACTCGTTGTCCTCTGCCTCTTTGTTGATCGGACAGGCGGACTCGGCGTACCTGCTAGGGGCAGATGAGGATGAACAGGCTGGAGAGGTGGACGGTTATGGGAATTTTGGAGACTGCCGTCCATGACTGAGGAGGGTACCTCCAGTGTGTTGGATTGATGGGGTTGACGCTTTCGCTTCGTACCGACCGTAACAGGTGAATACCGCTGCAGAACCGGACTGGGAGCCTGGCCCGAGACAACGAGAGCTACCGGTGATGCTTCCTCTTCCTCTCCCACGCCAGGAGGCGTGGGCATGGCCTCTTTCTGTGGCGCACGATCTTCGCCTCGCTTTGGTATTGGCCCCGGCAACTGTGGCTCGTCTTGCGACATTTGTGACATAACCACATTCGCCCGTTTCCTCATCGTGGCCGGCATAGGCGTAACCTCCTTCTCCTCCTCTTCCTCATCCTCGTCCGATCGATCCTCCTCCGACGACATATCCTCCGCTTCAGAAAGCGAGGAAGATTCATCCCCATCATCGTCACCGACGAGCGGCGGTGGTTCAGGGACATCGAAGCTCAAGTCTGCCGCTCTATGTGCGGGGACTGTCAAACTGTCTTTCCTGGTTCGTACTGGCGAAGGTGTCCGGGACTGCGACCTGCCCTTGTCTTTGCCGTCGCTTGGGGACGAATCTGCCGGTGCGAGTGCACGGTGTTTAGGTGGTGGAACAGGGGTATCCATAAAACTCGCCCGTCCACCACCAGCACCTCGCAACAAACTCGGGGTATCATCCAGAAACGGGGTCTGCTCAATACCCTTATCGATCGTAAACGGCGTAATACCCTGTAACATCCCTCGCGCATGCAGTGCCGGTGTGGTAGGCGACAAGTTAACAGGTACTTGCGTGGGGTCATCCGTCCGGATCATCGTTGTATCATCCATCGATGCACTCATGATAGTGTTCTCGTCGTCCGTGGTAGTCTTAAACGATGCTTGTTGTCGTAGGGATGGCTTCTTTACAGTTTCCGGCACCTGAATCGAGAAGCGCAGAGAAGGAGCGGAGGAATCCATCGTATCCACATCCACCGCGGCCCCACTTCCTTCAACTTCTAGCCCAACCGGATCCGTAACCGGCTCATCCAACCTCGCAACGGGCTTCGGCGCTCGTAGTGCTTCAAACATGTTCCGGAGCTCCGCTTCTGACAAATCACGCTTCCTTACGGGCGTGTCATCCATGAAACTATCCGATTCTGGGAGTTCCTTGTCCTTGGATTTAGGCGCGGCTTGGGTTCGTGATCGGCGTTGTTGGGATTCGTGGATGGGGATATAGGTCGATACTCGGCCATTAGGTAGGTCGGGGGAGTCTTGGGAGGATTGGAAGAATTGGGTGAGGCCGGAGGGGGAGGAGCGGAGTTTAGGTGGCCCCTTCATGACGGGAGATGGTGCGATGAAGGGAGATAGAGGGTTTCGTTGGATACCGCAACTGGTTGAGGCTGCTAGTGGGGCGAAGCGGCGAGAGGAGTCAAAGTCGGCTTCAGGGAGTTGTGACTCGCCTTGATCGTCGGGCAGGAGGCCGTCTTCGCTGTTCAATGTAGTTCTTCTCCGTGAGATTACTGTTTGGGTTCTTTGTGTTTGTGTATGCTCCAATTGTGATTGGGAGAATTCTAGGTTCAGGGAAATCTGTTGATCCGGGTTCCCGTCTCCAGAAATGTTGGATCGTGTGGGCAACGTATCGTCATGATACGAACCATCTATGACCTGTGTATCCCGTTGGCTGATTGAGACTGCTGCTTGATCAGGTTCAGCTCTGACGAAAGACTATTTACGGATCAGTATGCATTGTAAGAACCATGAGGGAAAACACAAACATTGCCCAGCAACCCCGCCTGAAAGCGGTTGATCACCGACGCATCAAGCGAATCTTCAGCAGCTCGTCCATTGCTCACCATCCTATACCGTTCATCCCAAAAACCGAGTGAAATTCAACAATGGTGTTGCCTCTGTTGGCCTTCTCGAACGCGTACATATCGAGAGCTTCCCGAGCGTCCAACGCGCCGCATGCGACACCGCTGCAAGCCGATGTACGACCCTGTACGACCGGATCATACCAAACGAACACAAACACTACACCAACGGATACGATCAAAATGAACGATTTGGGAGGACTGGATTGGTCAATTACATCCAGTTCCTCTTCGGCAAAGCAGCAGCATCGGCCTGACTCCTCGAACGGGAATTTGGGCGTACCGAACTCGAATGGTACTCAGGGACAGTATACCCTGCCACAGCACCTTCGATCTCTGAATGGATCTGCGCAAGGTTCTTCCACCGTGAGTGCGACGGGAAGTAGGACTGGTACGCCGGCACCTGCGAAGACAGATTCCTTTGCGAGCCTTGTGAGCTTCGGGAAGAATGGGACTGTCAACTCGGCAAATATGACCATGGAGCAGAGAAGGAAGCAGTTGGAGGCCGAGAAAGCCGCAGAGGAAGCAGAACGACGGAAGAAAGCTGAGCAGCATTACGGCGATAACAGTTTCTGGGACAGGATGAGCGGGTCAACGACGCCAGCCCCGGTTGCTGTTCCGGCGAAGGCCGCTGCGTCAACGATGGGAGCAGTTAATCCTTCAAGGTAAGCTGCCTCGAATGTCGTACTTCATACAAGATTCTGATGACGGCCTACAGGAACGACGATGAAGATCTATTCGCAGCCTTCTCATCCGACGCACCGGTCAACATGGATTCGCACCTCCGTCCAGTTTCCTCGCACACAACATCATCATCCACGAAATCTCCAGCGCCCGCTTTTGACCCGTTCGATACCTCTTCACTTATGTCGTCGATCTCTTCCTCGACTGCTGTGCAGCGACAGACACAAGGCGATGATGATGATATCCTCGGACTGCTTGGTAAGCCCGTTCAACACAAGGCTTCTGCATCTGAGGCTGCCTCGCCGCCTACAACTCATCCCTCGCAACCGGCGAAGGCTGAAGCTGACCCCAAGGATTCTGCAGTGGCTATGATCGTCGACATGGGCTTCTCCGCCGAACAAGCACACGTTGCACTGGCTGCTACGAAAGGCGGTCTAGACGTCCAAGCCGCCGTAGAAATCCTCGTCAACTCCCGCGGCTCCACCCCCGTCCCCCAACAACCCCAGCAGCCTTCTCAACCCCCCCGTCGAGCCCCCATCCAACAAAACCCGTCCAACGAATCCCTCCGCTCCACCTTCTCCGCCCGCTCCCAACGCAGCATGGACTCTACCACCGCCGCCAACGCCGCGCACGTAGCATCCAACCTCCACGACCTCGCCTCAACCGTCTCCTCCTCGCTCTTCACTAGTGCCAACTCCCTCTGGAAAACCTCCCGAACCCGCATCCACCGCACCCTCGCCGAACTCGCATCCGAACCCGAAGCGAGCGATGTACCAAAATGGATGCGAGACCAGGATATCAGGGAAAGGGTCGAGAAGAGTAAAGGGAAGATGAGGGAGAGTTATGAGATTACGGAGGAGGCGAAGATGTTGGATATGGAGAATCCGAGAAAGAGCCGAAGGAATTCGAGGAGTAGTGCGATGAGTGTGGAAAGCGCCAGCAGTGGCAAGACTGGTGTTGATCCAGTCATTGGAATTACGCCGAGGTGGGCTGGGGGAAGTGTTCCACCCAGTCCTCTGTCCCCCACGGCTCCCTCCGCTCCACCCCCGACTGGGAAGGGCAAAGGCAAGATGCCGTCTTCGGCCTTCACGGGCGACCCCGAAACCTATGTCTCGCCTGCCCGCCGTCGTGGTGCGCCGCCCTCGATGGCGAGCTCGGCTATATCGTCGGCGAAGTCTAGTCCGGGGACTTCAGCGTTTACGTCGCCGACGATGGATATCTTTGGGGAGGGGTCATCGAGGGGTGGCGCTGTTGGTGTATCTGGGAGTGGCAGTGGAAGTAGGCCGAGGGAGATTCCGAGGTCTATGCCGCCGCCTACGGCGGCTCCTTCGAGACCAAAGTCGGCTGCTTCGAGTTCTGCACCGCAGTCGCAAGCCCGTCCTCGACCGACCGCGCCTACGAGGCCTGATGTCCAGGTTAGTGCCGCCGATATGGCCACTGTGACCAAAAAGCGCGAGGAGGGAAGTGAAGCCTTCAAGCGTGGTGACTACTCCGCCGCACTGGCAGCCTACACCTCCGCCCTAACCCCCCTCCACCCCTCTTCCACCCTCCGCATCCCAATCCTCACAAACCGTGCCCTGACCCACCTCAAACTCGGCGACCCCCGTTCCTCCCTCTCCGACTGTTCCTCCGCCCTAACCCTCATCGGCCCCGCACGCGGCGAAGGCGAACAAATAGAGGGCAAAGAGATGAAGGAGTTTTGGGGGAAAGCGATGGTGAGGAAAGCGCAGGGGTTGGAACAGGTTGAGAAATGGAGGGAATCGCTGAGGGTTTGGGAGGAGTTGGTTGGGATGGGTGTTGGTGGGGGGGTTGCGTTGGAGGGGAAGAGGAGGTGTGAGGGGGTGTTGAATCCGAAGCCGGTGAGTAGGATTAGTACACCAAAGCCTGCGACTGTGGTGGATGTTAAGGGGAAGGGAAAGGCTAGGGCGAGTGCAGCGGATGACCTTGGGTTCGGTGGAGGGTCCGGCTCTGGTGCGGGCGATGAGCCGAGTGGTGAAGCCGTCGAGCGATTGCGGAAAGCGAATGCGACCGCTGAAGCAGAATCCAACGAACGCCTCGCCCTCCACGACTCCGTCAACGCCAAACTTGACACATGGCAATCCGGGAAAGAACAGAATCTCCGTGCGCTGTTAGCATCGATGGATGACGTTCTCTGGCCTGAAGCTGGCTGGAAGAAGGTCGGGATGGCGGAGTTGGTTATGCCGAACAAGGTGAAGATCGTGTATATGAAAGCGATTGGGAAGGTGCATCCTGATAAGATATCCAAAGATGCTACGGTTGAGCAGAAGATGATCGCGGGAAGTGTGTTCAACAGGTTGAATACAGCGTGGGATGTGTTCAAGAGTCAAAACGGCATGTGAGCATGGACGTCAACATGAGATGAGATGGAGCATTTCCAGGAGAAAGAGACGAATAATGTTGATGATACCCTTCATTCTTTTTGGTTAAGATATTACACATTAATCCCCTGTTAATCCTTCCTCCTTTAACGTCGGGGCTTCTGAAGATAAGGTTGCGTACCTGCGTGCCAGCGACCCGGGTTGTACGTCGGCGGTTCAGCAGCGGAAATCTACGTTACATCCATTCACGATCCTAGCACAATGAGAAAAAAGGTATGCTGGGCCGCTTCTGATTTGTGTACAAGTACAGGTCTCTGACATGATGTACAGGTCCTGCTCATGGGAAAGTCGGGCTCCGGCAAGTCGAGTATGCGGAGTATTGTATTCAGCAACTACGTCGCGAAGGACACTCGGAGATTAGGAGCTACAAGTATGTCATGGTACATGCATGTCGAGCAATTCACTGACCCAGTGATATAGTCGATGTTGAGCACTCGCATGTTCGCTTTCTTGGAAATCTCGTCCTGAATTTGTGGGATTGTGGAGGGTATGTGTCCGGTATGACAGCTACCATGCCTTTGCTGATATAGTCCGGCTACGTACAGACAAGACGCCTTCATGGAAAACTACCTCGCATCTCAACGTGACCACATCTTCCGCAACGTCGAAGTCCTCATCTACGTCTTCGACGTCGAATCCCGCGAGTTCGACCGTGATCTCCATACCTACACCCAATGCGTCGACGCACTCGCCCAAAACTCACCAGATGCGCAAGTGTTTTGTTTAATTCACAAGATGGATCTCGTACAAGAGGAAGCAAGAGAAAGTCTCTTCCAGGACCGACAAAATGCGTTACGGGAACGGACGCGATTGAGGAAGGGCGTTACATGTCTTGCTACTACAATCTGGGACGAGACGCTCTATAAAGCTTGGTCGAGTATTGTCTACACGCTCATTCCGAACATTCCGACGCTCGAACGACACCTCGCCCATTTCGCGGAGATCGCGGAGGCAGAGGAGGTCGTATTGTTTGAGCGAACGACATTCCTCGTTATTTCACATGCGGCTGGGGCGCAGGATGCGGAACATCCTGATCCGCACCGGTTTGAGAAAATTAGTAATATTGTGAAGCAGTTCAAGCTGAGTTGCAGGTATGGATGATCCGCACATCACTGCTGTTGCGAATGCTGATCATTTCATACAGTAAAATGCAATCACAATTCAACGCTTTCGAACTCCGTGCTCACAACTTCTCGGCGTTTATTGACGTACTGACGCCGAACACATACATCATGGTTGTGATGAGTGATCCGGCGGTACAATCTGCGACCACGTTAATGAATATCGCTACAGCTCGCAAATATTTCGACAAGATCGAGGCGAATGATAGAGGGTCTAAGGACCAACGATGAGAAGCTTCAATATTGTAGTGGAGGTGTCAACGTGAACAATATAAGTGTAGCAAGAGCCTGAGGTTAAGGTTGAAGAAAGTGGATGATATGAATATACCCTTGATTCTCGGTCACTGAAGAAAATAGATACGGTATCAGAAATACAAATGAAAAACACCGTGCACCAAGAAAGAAAAACGTCCCTCACATCATCACAATCATTGCGTTCCTTATACCATGTTTCATCAGCTATTGACGCGGAGGCCAAGACGTACGAGACAAGATGCCATCGTCGTTGAACCTCCAGCTAGTCACTCCGCCCCCATTCCCATTGCTCCCGTTCCTTCCATCGACAATCTCGTCGTTCTCTTCCGTTTCCTCTGAACCATCCGAGAACACCTTGCGCTTCATGGTGTAAACACGTACACGACCATCTTCCTGCAACCGTCGAGAAGTGGAGGTGCTTGTAGAAACCACTCTTTTCTCCGAACTCTCCTGATCTGATGAAGACAAAGATGACGATGATGAACTCGAAGTAGACCAACTCGACATCATCGGCCCGTCCTCCTCATTGGATGCCGCTGAGCCGAGGGTCCGCTCAAAGTCAGGAAACCTGGGAAATGTCTGCCCAAGCATCCCGAAGATGGAATCCATGTGCTCATCAAGTCCGTCCAAATCCTTTTGTAGATCACCCCAGAAACCCGACCGGAATCCGAATCCGCGTTTCAGCATGTTGACATAAAGTGCCGGAGCAAGGAGCGTGATCTCCCAATGCGGGACAACCACATCAAGAGCGGAGGTATACCGCGGTGTTCTTTCGTTCGCATCGGTATTTGAGAGTGTGAGGTCCGTTGCATCGGTGTCCCCGACGGTGAACAACGGTCCTGAAGAAGCAGTGGCAAAAGGCAGGCCAACAGCAAGACGCATCAACGACGCCGCCTTCCGGTTCAAATCCGCAAGTGCATCCCAATCAAAATCAATAATCGCATCCAAGAAATCCTTGTCCGGTTTGTCATCCGTCATGTTTTCCAATTTTCGAATCGTTTTCCTTCGTTCTTCTCACGGTGACGTCCAGCGACAGGCATCGTTTAGCTGTGCCCTGACTAACCACCAGCGAGAATAAATATCGAAGCGCAGCCTGCGTTTTTGAGATCTCTACGTACCGACAACTTTTTGTTGTCAAGCATCCGACAGTCTTGTCGTCAGCAGCTTCGTGCGATTAGTCCTGATGCCAAGTATTCAGTGTTGCAATTATCGACAGGCGTCTTTAAAGAACTGCCACAGCCCTTACACCGTGGCGATTGGCGGTGTCAGATGATCCCGACATCCTCTTGCTTTCCTCCTTCTATGTGCGACTAGGTTGTCTATAATGAAACATTGTTCTTCTGATCTTGCTTGCTTGGCATTACGCTTTGTACAGTCACGTCTCTTTGATTTCACCCCGATTCTACTACTTCCAGGCGCTGTAAGATTACGTCTCCATCATGTTCCCGGCCATTGGCCGGATTTCTAGATGTCTTCAACTGAATGCATATCCCGAAGTCGTCGTGCACGTTTGTGGTTGATCAATTAGACAAAAAGGAGACATAAGCGTAACAAAAGCACCAGGCCGGCCTAACCTAAACATCTTTTACCAGATAACCTTCCTAAATCCTCTTCTTCCCTTTCGAAGTTCAACTTTATTATTTGGTTCTTGTTTATTCCTGCTTCTTCTCCTCTTCCTCATCTTCAGACTCCTCCTCGGAAGACTCGGCCTCGAATTCGGTATCATCACCACTCTGCTCCTCCTGAGCTTCTTCAGCCTGGGTGGCCGCAACGGCAGCCAAGGACTCTCGCTTCTCCTCCTGCTCAACCCCCTCTTCAGCCTCAGAGTCGGACTCAACCTCGGGTTCTCGCTGAGCAGCAACCTCAACAGTCTCTCCAACCGGAACAGACTCCTGAGTCTCCTCAGGGGCAGCAGCAGCGTCGATAGCGTTCTCGTCACCAAAGATGTTGAACACGCTCATAGTCGGAGAACGGTAGTCCTGACCAACACGGGCAGTCTGTGCAGCCTGGATCTCAGCCGCCTCAGCCTCGGGGGCATCAACATACTGACTCTTCGGCCTCGACGCCTCGGCAGCAGGCTCGGGAACGGACTCCTCCTCCTCATCCATGTCAACTGAAGAAACAGCAGCAACACCAACAGCGGCAGCAGCAGCAGCAGCTCCAGCTGCAAGAACAGTAGCCTCAGAAGACGACGACACGTTCTCCTCCTGCGCGACAACAGGCGACTGCTGCTCCTGATTCAGCATCTGGTTCAACACCTTCCTCTTCTCGGCCCACTTGTTCGTTGCAGCAGCGACAGTCTTGGAACGCTCGACCTCGGCTGCGGGAGATCCAGGGATGGTCTCAATGTCAGCGTCGGCATTACCCATAGTGGATGAAGACTCCATCATGGGAGTGGATTCCATGACGGGGGTCAACTCTGCCATGGCCATAGGGGCGGAGACATTTTCGGGGTTGAGGACGGAGGTGTTCGCGGACTCGATGGAGCCGGTGGTGGCCAAGCTAGCCATACTCTGACTTTGCGTCATCGAGGGTCCGGGAATCATCATGCCAGCGGCTACACCAGCAACTCCCGGAGGAGGTACATTCGGCGGAGATGGGGGCTGCTGCATGTTCATCATCCTAGGCTGACCCTGTTGAGGTCCAGGACCAGGTTGTCCTTGGAACGTGGGTGCACCCATAGGCGACAACGGAGGCTGTTGGCCGGGGTATTGCCTGTAGGGCGCGGGAGGACCACGCTGTTGAGGACCGGGGCCAGGTTGGCCGGGCATGCCAGGACCACCAGGATACATCGGACGAGGCCAAACACCCTGAGGTCCAGGAGGACCGGGACGACGCTGACCAGGAGCACCCTGACCAAGGGGAGAAAGAGGGCGACCATTGGGTCCCATAGCTCCAGGAGGGCCACGGGGAGCGTAGTGCTGGATCGCCCCTCCAGGAGGTCCTTGTCCAAGAGGCTTGCGACGCGGAGGCTGGAGTTGCCCGCGAGGACCGGGGGACAGGCCACCAACAGAGGGGCTAGAGGCAGCATCGTTACCGAAGCTGCTCTCGCTGCCGGGGGTGTTGGGCCTCATCGCACCCGCAGCGCCCATAGCACCCGCAGCAGCGGCACCAGCAAGGAGGACGCGCTGCTGGTTCTGACTATCAATAGCAACCTGCGGCAAAGTCGGCTCCATGCTCCGCACACTCTGTGTCTCGATCCCCAAACCAAGGTTAGAGTGCTGGCTTCCAGCAGCCCCAGGGTTCATGTAACTCAACCTCCTTCCCTGACCATGCTCAACCGGCACCAATCCGCCAAAGTCGAAATCAGGTCCAGGGCTCTTCCCGACACGAACATTGGGTGTCTTCATCTCGTTCGAGCCAACTTGTGGGGTGCGGAACGCGTCGAACTTCTCGTTGGGCGTGTCGGTGATTTCGACCATACCAGCTTGCCTTCTTCTACGCTTGCGAACGAGGTAAAGGCCGAGCAAAGCGGAGATCGCGATGACACCGAGGACGACACCAACGACCGCTCCGACGATGGCGCCAGTGTTGGACGAGCCAGAGGAAGAAGAGTTTGATGCGGATGATTTGGAGGAGATCGCGGTACCGGTTGCGGAGGACGAGGAGGTTGTGTGAGTGGAACTGAGTGCGAGTGTTGCACTTGTGGTTGATGAGACAGCGGACACAAGCAACGCCGTAGCCGAAGAAGTGACTGAGGACGTCGTCGAGGTTGACACATTGGGGAGGGTGGCACTGGTGGTGTGGGAGCTTGTTGTACTGGTGGTTTCCTTGCTGGAGGTTGTCGACTTTTTGCTCGTGGTAGTTGAGGAGGTAGACGTCGGGGTAGGGGTAGGGGTGGTAGTCGACGTGGTCTTTTGAGCGGTAGTGGTGGAGGACGAAGTGGTCTTGGCGGCCGTCTTCGAACTGCTCGTGGAGGTGGTTGTCGCAGACGAAGTAGTAGTGGCCGTTGCAATAGAAATGGTTTTCCCGGTATCCAACGTCAAAGGTGAATCGGTTCCCAACAAGTAGGAGGTGAGCGCAGCTCCCGTCAAACCCGCTGGGACAGTAACGGAAACAGTGATGGCCATAGTGTCGTCGGATCAATCAAGTCGCGTCGTAAGTCGTTGTTGTAGTAAGTAAAAGATATCGTCGGGCGTCGAACAGAGAACGAATTGAAAGTAAAGAGAGTGACTTGTCGGTAAAGAATGGAACGGGATCGGACAGGTTGCAGGAAAAGAATGACCGCAAACCTTCAGCGGTACCCTTTGAACGCGAGTTGGACGGAGAAACGAGGGAGAGAGAAGTGGATTACTCGAGTATATTGAGCTGAAAAGCGGATCACCATCGTGGAAATGAGAGCTGCACGCCGTACGTCTGCCATGACCCCTAGCTACCCAGTGCACGCTCGGTTCTCCTGCGGTCGAAGCGTTGTGGTGTTTGGAATGCGCCCGCGAAGTTGAGGGGTACAGGCGCGTCCTATGCAAAGCGGGGACGTATAAACAAACATTGAATGAACGGTCATCTGCGTTACCCGTATGTAATCAGCACTACTTGTAAGGCCGTTTGAGGGCTCCGGCTTTACAGTACCTCGCATGTCCACAATGTAAGTGGATGGGCGAGTGGATCTAGTTATTGTATCAAACTGCGCCGGTTCTGCCGTCTACTCATCATGCATAGTCCATGTACGTGGTCCTGTACACGAACAGTAGGCGGAGGATCGAAGCCTGCGGATGATTCGGTGTTTACGTTATTGCGAGTAGCTACCGGTATATACCTGGCAGACAAATCGTTAATACATAATTGAAAGCGTGCGAAAAGGAGTCCAGTAGACCCCCCCCCCCCCTCCCGTAAGAGCGTAACGAAGCCGGTACATCTTTCGCCTACCCTTGCGCCTTCAAAGTGAAGTCGATCCTTTTCATGAGATGACATGCGATGACATTTAGCCGTTTTCTCGATCTCACAGCCCTCGAAAGGATAACATGGGACACACCACTCATGGCAGAGCCGGTACATCCTACACCCTTTCAAACGCTGCGAGACATCGAAACGGCGCAATTGACAGTGAGGCGTTGAGGAGCACAAGGAGAATGCGGAAGAGGTACTGGGAAACCGATTCCGGCCCGGCGAACAGGGTGAAGCTATGCCAGGGCTGATAAATTGGTGGCTCTTCCGCAAGTTGTCTCGTTTCATGTTGCAGAGGCGACTGGTAAAGTAGGTTGTGGGTGGAAATGGTTGTGATGTTTGGAGCTGAATGCTGGATCGTAAAGTTGGGGAAGAAGGCGTTCAGATCGGTCGATACATCACAGTCGTGCTAGCGTTGTCAACCCCGTTACTGCTGTGTGCAAAATTCTTGACGCGCATCATTTTACTGCGTCTCCGTGCAGGACGCGACTATCCCACCAACCAAGGCACCAAAGCTTGACAATGCCTCCTAGGAAGGTGAAAGGAGCTGCTAAGGCTTCCCATAAATGCAGGGCATCGACCCGGACCCCGAAATCGCCCTCCCGTCTCCTTGAGGATGCAGCCTCACCACCACCTACAAATACAGTCTGGAGGGAAAAAAAGCCTGAGACAGTCATCGAACTCGAAGACGAAGATGCACCGGTTGATACTATCAGCAGATTCGACGACTTCCAGGTCTTCATTCTCGTCACCAGGGAAAAAAAACACAAGTACCCTCAAATACCCTGGACGGTCAATCCAGTCAGGTCTTGGGCCGACCAAAAGCAGCTTTTGATCGATGTCGCCCTCGAGGAGCTCCTTCATGATCATATGGTCGTCGAAGGCGTCAACAAATACTCCCTGAAGCCCAACATCAACTGGAAAGTCTGCTGTGGGAGGAGCCGGGATGCACCATGGTGTAGACTACGAACAGAGGACGACTGGGAAGCCTTCATTGATGCCGTCCACGTTGAGCGCCACACGCTCAAGGTCGAATGGTCAGCTTTCATCTTAATCAATACACAATACTGCCCTACAAGGGCTGCTTCTCAACTCGAGTTTGACTAGCAAACCCCCGTGCACGCCCCTCAGACTCAGCCCAAGGCTCGAAAGCCTCTCATCCCTCGACCTAGGCACAGTGCTACCAACAGTGCTCTCCAGGGCATTTCGAATGAACTTGCGAATGATCCTCAACGCTCCAATGGTCATTGCTGTTCAGACCCGGCAGGCTAAGCATAAATGCGCCAAGCAACACCAGCAGTACTGCTATGTTCATCCCTTTTCTGGACAATATCGATACGTTACTGTTGGGCACCTACCATCTACTATGCAGGTTACCTGTCTAATTGTCAGGGACGGGGGTCGTGTCTCCTAAACAAGTCACAACACTCGTCGCTGCTGAAATCGAAGGTGTAATCTGACACGAGTCGGGCGGAGTCTATCCAGTGAAGGGGACCGAGACCGAGGGGACGTAACAGTGACGTAAGCGTAAGGCGGAAGGCGGAAGGCGTAGACATAATCACTAGTAAGACCAGGCCCAAACCAAGACTGACGGAACAAGATGTAGACGAAGGTCAAGGGCGGCTTGGGTACGTAACCGAGACTGAGTGACGACTTGGTGAACGGGGATAACTCGAAGTGGCGAGGCGAACGAAGACTCAAGAGGTTAAGGAACCCACAAGAGAGGCGAGGTAGGAAGAGGTCTTGGTTTTCTCAAAGACTCTTGTTGCTAACTAAAGAACTAAGGAAGGGAGGAGGAACCCCCCTTTATATACTAATCCAGACTAGCCGTTTGTTGGGGAACGGCTCCGTTGGGGAATGGCTCTGCTGCCGTGCCGTCACGCTGCCAAGCCACCAAGCCACCAAGCCAGAACTACTTAAGACTAATATAAGCTAAGACATAAACTTAAGACGTAACTGTAAGACATAAACATAAAACCTAATAATAGGACACATACATGAACGTACATGGACATTGCATGATCACAGGAAGAGTGTGGGAAACCGGAGGTCATGAAGCCATTCATGACACTAATGCAGTTACTGCACGTGGGTTGGACGTGGCTACTAGGGCCTTGCGCATACTTATACCCCGCCTATCGGGGGTCCTTTAGCTTACTATTTACCAATACACCTCTTAAGCATACAACAGTTACCAATGATCTCCTCAATCTATGGTCTAAGTACTTTGTGACGAATGAACCAGGAGTTACCGTGGATGATCCGCCCATCCATGATCCCCTTTTTGCTGGGTTGCTTGAACCATTGAAGTTGACAGATCAATCGGAAACACCTGAAAGCAGGCACTCTGCGTCCGGTGTCCCTCAACTACCTACACCGGTGACTGCGCCTCAATTCGATTCTATCGCTACCTTCGTCAATCAGCCTACTCCGACCCGACCCCAACGACCACGACCATTGACCCGCAAATGCTCAGGGGCTCGATCCCTCTTCAAGGGCTGGCTGCTGATGATTTGGATGGGTTTCTAGCCTATGTCAAGACCAAGGTTCCAGACTACATTGACTTCGATTGTCAGACGGTTCGAGATGCAATCATCAAAAATGGAGTAATGCTCAACGATCTCAAGAACATCGAGCCGAATGGCCTACCGCCTGTGAAGCATGGATGAGTGAGGATTACGTGCAAGTGGTGGCCGGGTCGGAAAAGTATCCAGCGGGAGCAGCAATCGAGGCCTCAACCGCTAGGCCTCGAGGAGACACCCTTCGAGGTCTACGAGAGTGTAATGCGGTCGAGACGAGAAGGGATACTGCAAGTACTCCGGGACGAGATCTGACGAGTTAGATGAGGTGTGACGAGATGACCGAATTACTTATTCGAATAGAGAGACGAACTTGTTGAGTTAACCAGTGAAGATCTAAAGGAAGGCATAGGGCCTTTCCTTATATACAGTTTTTTGGACGACAGTCTAAACCCTTGCTCGGTGGCGTTCCACATTTAGTTAGCTCAGTGGCGCCGAGAACAAGATCTTGAACGAAAGGAGTGAAGATAAGATGAGCCATGATAGGACCCGAGACAAATCGAGTCTCGAGTAGATCGCGAAACTCGAAGTAGTTCTTCGGTTCATGACAGAGAGCCAGGAGTTTGATGAAAGCTTTGCTTTATGTTTATCTTTGCCGTACTGTACTGCTTTCTAATCCACAATCCTTGATTCTTTTGCAATAAGCACAAAACTCTCACATACTCCGTCGAGCACGAAATGACGTTGTGAAGCATTCTACACGCCAATGCAGGTATTAGCGTGCAATATGCTTGACATGCGCGCCAAAGCAGGGCTTAGTGTGCATAATTCTTGTCTCAGAGGAGCGTAGACTAGTAAGCTACACTTCCATGCTATGTAGTTGGGGCAGTTCCCAGCCATTTTATTAGGGAAAAGACTCGTGAGAACGGCAAGTACGTGAATAATGAACAAAATGTCCCTTTGATTCATGAAAATACTGAGACTAACTAACGAATAATAGCTACACCCGCTCAGCTGCTCGAACGGCCGTTTGACGGTTGGTATCAAAAGATTGGCGCAAATCCATGCCGGTCAGCGCATAACCACAGCCCGTGTACAAATTGCAAATCTTTCCGAGATCGGTGTTGAGATAGTCGATCGCTTTGCGGATAAAAAAGGCAGGGTCGAGACGGGCTTCAGGATCGTTGTTATTGCGCTTCATCCAGGCCTTCATCATGCTGAAACAGAGCTCAATTGGGTTGAGGTTGGGTGAGTATGGTGGTAAGAAAAGAATGCGGCACCCATGTTGATTCATTAAGTTCAGCAGCCCTTGGATCATAATGAATGCAACAATTATCAAGAACAATGACACTGTTTGGACCAGGGAATGGACCAGGGAATGGGCCAACGATTGGTAGCAGGTCCTCTTCGATGAATTCGGCGAATCGGTCAGCGATTGGTAGCAGGTCCTCTTCGATGAATTCGGCGAATCGGTCAGCGACCCCTGAAAGATTCGTAGCGCCTCCAAACCTTCAATGGTCAATGCCGTAGCACACTCCGACGTGTTGAATGTCCAAAGACCCTCTCCTGGAGCGCGCGTGTGCCGGTCGGTGAGTATCCAAATTTTCTTGAACCCGTGCGCTCATCCACGGCTGATTTGTCGAGAAATACCAGCTGCTCTTGAGTATAGTCAGCCATCTCAATGGCATGGTTTGCACGTAAGATGGCGTTGCGCCGGGCTGCCTGTAAGGTTAAGACCTTATGGGTATATCCAATCTTTTGCAGGTAGCGGGTGACATGGTAGCGCAATAGAGATGTAGCGATTGATTGTTGAGAAACTGAGCACAGTCGTTTGACAGAGGGTAGGGTTTTTGTCGTTCAAGTATTTGAGTATTTGCTTTGTTGCGATCATTTAGTGATGCCCTTGGTGGTACCCGTAGGCAGTAATAGTCTACTTACCGAGCCCAAAAACTCGTCAATAGCCGGTTTGCGCCCGCAGGTTGAGTTGCCTTTACGCTCAGTAAGCTCTGTCTCCTCCAAACTCTTCACAACACGGTAAACTGTGTGAGAAGACCTCTCGATGTTGGTTGCAATATCGTAGACATCCTTCCCAGAAGCATATTGGTCGATTGTCCCTGAGTTTCTTAGACCTTTTTCCGACCTGTTTGGAGGTGTTTTCTCTGACGCTTACAGGGTTCTCGCGCATGTACGGAAATGCGCGTCAAGAATTCTGCACACAGCAGTAATGCATCCGTATCCTGCGTGCACTTGTACGCACCCGGAAACCCAGAAACCCAGAAGTTCAGAAGTCCCGTCGAGCTCGACAAGAAAATCAAGATCAACACCAATGCTACTCCGATCCGCTATAATCAAGAATCTGATACCTCCAGAGAATGCCGCTCTAGGATCGCAGTTGAGGGAGATGTCGTCGCTCCGCCGTCGTCCTGACACTGGACTTCGCACAAGACTAATTCGACCCGCGAGACGGCCACCAACAAGACCTCCCACATCCATTGACTCTGCTTCATCAGAAGCATCAACCGTCCAGAGTACCTCGCTCATCTCATCTCCCCTCGATATTCCCGTCATCGTCCCTGACGACCCGCTCGGCCTGGTAAAGCGCGACACACCCGCCGCCAAACTGCTCGAACAGCCTGCGTTGGTGGTAGAGCGTCAAATCGAGATGATGAACGTCTTCCTCGGGTTCGAACAAGCAAATAAATATGTCTTGATGGATCCAGCTGGGCAGCATGTGGGTTATATGGCCGAGGAGGACTTGGGTATGATGGGGACATTGCAAAGGCAGGCGTTTAGGACCCATCGAGTATGTCAACATTACAGAACCCCGAGTATGTTACGAGGCTAACGTGCGTTCGTACAGGCATTCAAGGCACATGTTCTGGATCGTGAGGGCCGGGAGGTGTTAACGATCCAACGTCCTTTCTCCTACATCAACTCCAAAATCAAAGTCTTCACCGACCCTGGTCTCTCCGACTCCACCTTGATCGGCGAATCCCAACAACATTGGCACCTCACCCGCCGAAAATACAACCTCTTCCACAACCGCTCGGGGACAATGGAGCAGTTTGCTCTCATCAACGAGCCTATGTTGAGTTGGGATTTTTCGTTGGTGGATGAAAGCGGAGGGTTGGTGGGAAGTGTGAATCGGAATTTTGCGGGCTTTGCGAGGGAGTTGTTCACGGATACGGGGAATTATGTGTTGAGGATGGATGCGTCGTCACATCAGACCACCTCTGTCTCCTCCAACCCCGCCGCGCTCCCCGGACCGGCTAACCCAGCCGATGCCGCCATTGCGCAGCAACAAGAAGCTAAGGGCGGCGCCCTCGTCCCGGTAAATGAAAACGGTCTTACGTTGGACCAAAGAGCAGTCATGCTCGCAACAGCCGTATCAATCGACTTTGACTACTTCTCGAAATTGTCAGGACATGGTGGTGGGATGGGATTCATGCCGTTGTGGTTTCCGTTCCCAGGGACCACCACGCCGCCTGTACCAGCAGCAGAAGGACCGGGAGCGGGGGCTGATGTTGCGGGGGGTGTGGTGGGGGTTGGGGCGACTGGAGGGGTTGCGGATGCGGGGACGTTAGCGGGGGCGGAGGAAATGAGGGATGCGTGGGGGAACGAAAGTCAGGATGTGCCGACGGATGCTTGGGGTGGCGTTGGAGAGAGTCAGGGTCAAGCTCAGGAGGATAGGCCGTGGTGGGATCAGGGAGGGCAGCAAGGGCAGGGTCAAGATGAGGTTTGGGGGGAGGGGTGGGAGCAGCCTGGTGGTGAGGGGCAGGGTGAGGGCGGGAGTTGGTGGGATGTGTTGAGTGATGAGTAAGTTGGGTTCAATCAATTCTTCGGCGTCATCCTTCAGCTTGGTGTTATGTTTTGTACTACGTGTCTAGCTATGCACCACTCTAATTCCTCATCGGTTTCCTGAAGAACTCTTCACGAGACAGCTCCATCAACGCAAACTGCTTATGCGGGAAATTGAAACATCCCTTCTTCGCGAATCCCTCACCCTGCAAGTACGCCAACAACTTCTCGTTATCGGCCCTGGGCTCCATCAAGATCCTCTCGGTTCTCACATCGTCCAAGAACAAGAAGTGGAGGATCGACCAGAGCCATGCCTTGACTCTGTGAGGGCCGCGGAACTTCTCGTTACCGACGAGGAGGTGGAGACCTCGGTCGTATGGGAGAGCCGCAGGAGACACGAACGGCGCAAGACGATCCTCCGCAACCCAATACGTCTCAAAGTACGCAAATGGCTCACGATTAAAATACCCAATCAACGAAAGCGTATGCGGATCCTTCGTAACATTCTCCAAATACGTCTTGTGCGCCTCGATCGTTCCTTTTTCTCCCCAGAAGTAGTCAACACGGGGGTTGTTTTGCCATTCGTGGAAGGCATGGAGGTGTTCGGTTGAGTTGGGGTCGACGACGCGGAGGGTAAAGGTGGAGGAGAGGGAGGGGATGTCGCGGGTGTAGATCTCGGCGTTGAGTTCGGGGTTTGGGATGCGGCGCGGGTGGCGGAAGTTGTTGGTCGTGATGTATGACGTCGGAGCCGGAGGTTGAGAAAGGAGGTGCCAGTGGGTGCCCGGCAACGGTGAGTGCCATTGGTAAAACATGTCGCGGGTGATGCTGTAGATCATGTTCCCATCCTCTGTTTTCTTTGTTTCGCGGGTGAAGAGGCCGCACTCATAAAGGGGGAAGATAGCCTCTTCGATTGATTCACTGAAGGAGAGGGTGACTGGGATGGAGGGTCTGCCAGGTAAAGCGGCCTCAGGCTCAGGGCCGAATCGGAAGATGGAGTGGCAGACAGACCAGTAGGAGTACTCGATTTCCTCTGAGCTACCACTAAGTGTAATGACGTCGGGGATGGTGATAATTCCATCGTTCACAGCGTAGGGTATCTCGGCTTTGGTGATGTCGATTGAAGGCACCCACCCAGTTGGGGGAAAAGTTCCGGGAAACATGTCGGCTATCACCCAAAGTCAGCAATCGCCCAATTGATCAACACGACAGTTGCAAGGGATCTCACCCATGTTGATGGGACTTGTAAAATTTGGAAGTTTTGAGATGTCGAGGCGATATTGGCGGTTAGGCGGAACTTAATTAGGCGTGCGGCGTAGCTGCTCATCTGATAACTTAGATCTCGGATCTGATAAATCGACACTCCCAAATACTCTCAAATTTGACAGGCAATCTCAGTCCATTCTTTTCAGTTCTTTGCTTTCTTTTGTGATGTCTTTCACCGTATATCAGTGAGGTAATTGCTCTTTGTTGTGATCCTTCCGCGTAAGGCAAGGGATCACCCCGTTTCTGAGCGTAGATTACAGAGCAGTCAACCCGGGTGTCCAAGCGTCCAGCGAGTCGATATTGCTTCTCGCAAGGTCTGAACGACGAGACTGAGGCTTCTACGTCTCGTCTTTGTCGTCGGTCCTGTTCGCTCTCGCCTGCGCCTGTGTCCTTCTCTCTCTGCGTGTGTGTTTGTTGTTCCCAGTACAAGGGGGCTGTGTCGAGTATGGCGCCCTCATCTCTGACGTCTATCCCTACGTTCTCCTTTCCTTCCATCGGGTCGCCTTTCTCAAATTCATCGCCTACGTCGCCGACGTTTACACCGACGGAGTCCACTACGTCTACATGTCATTGTGCTTCTCATGCCTCCTCGCATCATGCTCCTCCTTCTCCTCCTATCATGACGCTGGCAGATGTGTCACGTATCCTCAAGATTACAAAGCATCAAGTCCGTCTTCACACTAGCTCATCTCCAGTGACCGCCTACTAACTCAGATGGTAGGAAAACGAGATATCCCAATACCAAGAACAACTCCATTACCGCCGTCTCTCGAGCGCTCTCAAAGTCCGGTACGCGAGGTGTCTAGATCGAACGCATACTACTTTGGTCGATCTTTTCAAGTCAGATGCTAAGAGCGAGTTCGCGGCTCTCTTTTATGCCTCGCTCGAGCTCGGAGAGGCAGTTGATTCCTTCGCTACGCAGCCCTCTTCCTCTCTTAGGAGGGGCGAAGGCCATGGACGGGATTGGATGCAAAGGTTGCCAAAAGGCGTAGCGAACACTCTGTTGAGCTTTTTGACGAAGTTGCGAGAGGAACCACAGTTTTTGGCGGAGCGTTTGGGGAGGCTCACATGCGCGGAATTGGATGCATTCGTGAATGTCAGGGTAAACTCACCACCGGCTGGCCCGGGTAGTTCAAAACACCAACACCAACTTCAACACCTAATAGCTTCACTTCATTCCCTGCAACGCCACGACCCCCTCCGAATCCTCATTCACACCCTCTTCGCCCCGCCCACCACCTCAGTCCTCTCCGATCCTGAACACGCAAAGCGACTCGAAGTAATGGCAACCTGCGCTGCCCACCTCCTCACCGAAAAGAAAAGCGAGAAGTTCTTGTTAGCGATGATGGACGAGTGGAGTTCCCTCTACCCCTGGTCTCGTGATTGTTTCGAGGAGGTGTTGTTGGGAATCGTACAAGAAGGTGCCGAGGTCCTTGCCAAACACGAGGAAGCCGGGGCGTATCATCATTACGAAAACACAAGCACGAGTGGGAATGATCCACGAGAAGAGTTCTTCGCGGATGCAGTAAAGAAGGTCTTCGCCTTCCTCGACTCGCCCTCCGGAATCCCCCGTGGAATCCTCCTCTTCGCACGCTCCCTCCTCGCAAAAGTCCGTCTCACAAATGACGAGAATCAACTCCGGTATGCAGAACTCTTCATTGTTGTCAAGTGGTTCTTCTTCCGGTTTCTTGGGAGGGCGATAGCCTACCCCGAGCACCATGGGTTGTTCAAGGGATGTTGGGTTAGTGATGTCATGAGGCAGAGGGTGTTGTTTACGTTGCACCAGCGGCTTTATAGGAATGTTACGTCGGTTACGCATGCGATGCCAGAGTGGTCGTCCGCCGGCGCCACTGGGAATCGGAGTCGCAAGGGGAGCGGGATTCAGAGGTGTGGAAGTGGGAGTGGTGGGGTGGAGAGGATGGTGAGGAGTATTATCTCGAGGTTTAGTGCGGCGCCGGCAGGGCAGATGGAGATTGAGGAGTCCAGGCCGGGGGATGCGTTGTTGATGCCGTCGAACGCGTACTGCGCTCCGGGGAGTTCATATGCATCACCGACTCTGCTCGTCTGTCCAGCGGATCTGGTGATGTTGTTTGAGGCACTGAATCCTAGCGAGCTGCAACCGTCGAAGCCGCCTATGACGACGAGGAGGTTATCCGTCGCTTCCAAGGTTACGTTGGAGACGTGCAGTGAAGCCAGTCCGGGGCCGAAGCCGTTGGAGAGGAAGTCGCATTCGCATTTCTCGTTGTTTGATTTTGGGCGGAAGACAGCTGCGACGCCTCCTCCTCCGGCTCCTCCCGCGGAACCGGAGGTTGTCACGCCAGAGATTGAGATACCGCCTCTGGTTCCCGAACCAACCTCGCCATACGATGGCTTCGTACACCAGGTCCGTTTTGCGATCGATGAAATGAAACGAACCCTGGGTCCCGGCGCATGCGATGGCGCCGCAGATCCCTGCAACGAGAAATGGACACTCGTGTTCGTTGATGGGGAGAAGCTCTCGCTCGAAGTGAAGCTGGATGAAAAAAAGTGTCGGGAGGGGCCTACGGAGATCAGTGAGGAAATTATTGCGTTGAAGGAGACTGTGTTGAGGTTATTGAGGGAGTATGAGGTACCGTATGTGCCGCGGTTAGTGCCAAGGCCCGAGGATAGTGCTGGCGTTGAGTCAGGTTCGTCGCTGGTATCGCCTGTAGGACAACCGTGCTCGTCGTGCTTGAGACCGAATACGCCGAACACTCCTTCGGTACGGCCGACTTCACCGCCGGCGATATCTGCACTCCTCGCTGCCGCAGCGAAAGCTCAGCAAGCCCCACTACCCGCTCCCTTTCAAGGAACGTCGCCTTCACAGTCTTTGCTCCTTCGAATGCTGCGGTCTGCCTCGGAACATTGTCGTCTCAAGGGTGACTTTATAACCGCACAGGCTTATCACCACGCTCATTCTGTTTTGCGGAAGCTGAACAGTCCGTCGTTAACGCATGATGATTACTCATCCCTGTTACGGATATTCAGCAGAGAGCACAGACGAGATGCAGAGGGTTATGCTGCAAAAGTTGGTGCAAGGGAGGCTTGGTACATCGAGGAGTGCACAGAGGCGGCTGATGGGTACATCAAAGGCAAGAAGCAAGTTCTGGATGAGTTGAGGACGAAGATGTGGTATTCGACGGATGTGCGGAAGACCAAAGTTTGGGAACGTGCAAGAGATGTTTGCCGGATGCTGAGGAGTTCGAAAAATGCACAGGCGGCCGAGTCTCTGGTCATGCTTAATCCTTCTCTGACTTATGCTTCCAGACCCTCGACCCCCAGGTCTGAACGGGGTGGTAACACGCATTATCACACCATGCATCGCGCTCCATCCCGCGAAGGACAGCGCGAAGGGAAGAGGACGAGGTTCGCGTGGGACGGTAATGTGGCTGGATATGTTGTCGATGGGCTACTTTCGCCATCTAAAGCTCCGTTTTCCACCGTCCCCTCACCGGATTACTTTACCATTCCAACTCCTGCGCCTACGGTGAGTGCTGGGAAGATGGCAGATCACGATGTGGACATCGCCGTTCAATACATATCCGGTGGTGGCATCTTCAACTTCTGCTCTGGCGAGGAGAGAATGGCGCGGTTCTGTGCTGAGGTAGAACGAGTGAGCCGGAAGATTATGCTTGGGGAAAGGGATGTTGAATGCTCTGATCCGGAAGGATTCGGCGTTGGAATATGGCAAAGTGAGCTCTTTATGAGCGACTCTGTCAAACCGCATTGGGCTGACCATTACTCCAAGCCGCGGCCAACCTCGAGAGCTGCCTTTGGCGACACGCATGGCCCAACCAGTACGGGTCGTCGTAGCGATGAGCTTTTTCGCAAGAACTCGAGCGACCTTCTGGGCCTCGGTCTCATAGGGCGCATGCGAAGCAACAGCCTGAAGAGCACTGATGGAAATGGAAAAGAACGGAGCCCGACCCGTGGGAGAGGCCGATCTGACAGTAACCAGAGTAACGGCAATCCCCGGGTTCTGCTTTCACCTGTCTTATCAGAGCCACCTCAGAGACAAAGGGGCTGGGATTGGAGATCTCCGCCACAAGTCGATGCTCCGGTCTTCCCCTCGTCTGATCGTGGCCGAGTTACGTTCGACGAGGAGGCAACCAAAACATTTGTGGTGCGCATCCGCGAGAGCTTGATGTGCCTCCTCCTAAGTGACCTCGGCAGCGAACTCTGGGCGGAAGGTTCAGAAACAGACGTCTGGTTTTCTGATGACCTGGTCGAAACGTGTCGACGACGAAAGGAGGAACAACAGAGGTCATTCATGGAGACCGTACAGGAGAGAAGCAAGGCTGCTGCAGACAAAGCACTCCTTGCCGCGCCCCTCAGTATGGCAAACAAACAGGCTAAGGTGAAGAAACATTACTCGAAAAAGAGTTTCTCCGGGTTTGTTGGATTTTTCGGTTTGCCTTCATCAGCGGCGAAAAGTGCCGCCCCTCCCGTTGCGACCACAGTTTCTACGGCCTTGGATGTGCCAGATGGTCCTAAGCTCCCTTCAACAGACAGCTCAGAGGTGCGCCTGCATATTGATACCAACGTACCTACGGCGGATGCAAAGACGAGGATGGAAACGGCGAAGCCATTCCCGTATGTGGAGGCATACAAGAAGATACTGCATCGTATGAGCGTTGATCCATCTCCGTCCAAGAAGCTCCAAGCACTGTCAGAACTAGCTGGCCTAGTCATGGCAGCGCTTGCCAGCAGTGGATCAATCGCAACTCCCACGAGTGGGATGCCACGCACTGGCCCTACCTTGCCGATGAGTCCCATGTTGACGGGTGTGCTGTCTCCCATGCTTAGAGGAATGGTCAGTCCTCCCGGATCGCCGACTCTGCAATCGAGATCATCGCATACTGCGGCTGCAAAGCCGGATCATCTAGCTGACCTTCACTCACGGAGAGCAGCACATAATCTGATGACCGCCGTCATGGAATCCGCCGACTCGCCTTTTCTGTCCCCTTCATCGCCGAACATGTCAAGCACACCGGTGAAACCGCATGCGCCTGCGATGATTGCTACGGATGCGATTGTGGACGAGCTGCAGAGACTTCTTGACACGCCCGAGCTGAGGTCGAAGACCTTGTTTCGCGACTTGCAGTACATCTCGTGCTTTGTTTCGCAGGAGCACCTCGATACGGCGCCTGACGGTAAGATTCTTTGGGATTTTGGGCTCAGTGCAGTGGGGATCAGGAAGGAAGCTGTAGATAGTATGGTGACGTACGCAACATCGGTGTTGCAAGACAGTGGCAGCATTGTCGGCGGCTTGGGGATCAAATCTGATGAAGGCTCGTTCTGCCGGATTTCTGAGAGACAAGAGAAGGTGGAAGCCGCTCGTGCACTTCTTATCGCGGCGAAGGAAGGAGATCCTACGGCTCAGAGGGAGTTTGCGATCCTGCAGATATCGCAGCCGTCGATTGTACCGACGTCTATCTCGCCGTTCGCGCGACCATCCGAAGTATTGGGGAGGACCGAGAGCTACACAGAGGCAGGGGACAGGGAGAAATATGATCCAGTGCGCATTGCCATCGCACAACACTGGCTGAATTTGGCGAGTGCGCAAGGAGACAATATTGCGGGGATGTATCTCACGCAGATGAAGAATTGGACTACACCACAAGAGAAGTGGGAGTGGTTGAAGAAGTGAACTTTAGCTTAGAAAGAGTTATGAGGTGGGTGGTACAGCTGGCGTTTGGATTGAGACTGGATTAGGCGTTTGTTGGTTTGCTACCTTACTGCGACCCACGAGCTGGACTCGTGTTTTGTTTATCCATTCACCGACATGGAAGTTATTCTTCTTGATCAGCTACGGTACGGCGGTAACCCTGCGCAAGGAAAGACGGGTCGGGTCATGCATCCTCATGCACCCCAGACTTCTTCCCCGTTACACCCGCAATTCAACTGCGATGAACTTTATCCGCCAACACCAACGAAAAGCTCACACGAATATTTACACATGGATCCATCCCTTCCACGACCAACAACAGTCCCACCAGAAGTCCTCCACCTGGTGTTTGAACATCTGGATGTCTGCACAATTCTGATCGCGTCGAGAGCGTGTCGGGATTGGCTCGACGCCTCGCGACATCCGCATTTGCGACGGCAGATGTTCAGGTTAGGGCCGGAGGAGCGATATCGAGTAACGAATCCAATGGTATGTACAACTCAATCCCTCATCTTCAAGGGATGATGCCGACATGTTGGTGGGATAGGTTCATCCCGCGATCGGCCAAGTAAACTGGCGAGCAAACAAACCCCTAAGAACCGCAACCTTTGCCTCCCTCCGCTCCAAACGCCGCTCGTGTCTACTCCTCACCGCCTCTTGTGCACAACACTACGCAACCTCCCCCGCCCTCCCGCAGATAACAATCTACATCTTCCCCATCGGGATGAAACTCCTCGTTGGTCGCGATACGGGGGTGACGGTCATGGATGTGTTTAGAGGTATTGAGCTCAAGATGCGACAATGGTGTCCGACGAATCATGCCATGATGGATGGAGGCGGAGATGGAGATGGAGATAATCATAGTTGGGGCATGATGTTGGGGGATAACGATATTTGGAATGGGATTACGCCCATCGAAGACGGGGAGCCGGGTGAGTTCATGGCGTTTCTTGAGCCTAGTCGATAACAGACAATCTCCTCTTACCTTATGAGTTTTCGTAGGTGGCGGGGGAGGGGACGGCATCCCCATACCACCTCCTCCACCTCCCCAAATCCTCCTCCTCATTCCCCGGGATCGGTAATACCGCCGCCGTAACCTCACTCTGCTTCTTCCTCATCCACTCCGCCCACCCCCCATCCGGGATATTCTCCCTATGTCTATCCTGCCAATGCGTAATGAGATCCTTGTCGTTGACTGTGATGGTCATGGTTGTGTTGAATTCAATGGGGGTGGAGATGAGTTTTGGGGTCAAGATGTGGGTCATGGAAAAGGATGTTGAGGTGGAGTCGTTGGAGATGATTGAGACGGTTTTGGTGCGGGATTCTTTGAAGAGTTCGGGGAGGCCGTAGAACTGGCCTGCGATTTCTTTCCTGCCGACGCTCTTTGCGACGCTGTAACATGACCTCAACGTCAGCCCCCGTCCAGACCACCTAGAACATAGAAGACATACGGATCCTCGTAAACGGCATCCTCAGCAAAGTAGTTATTCAACTTATACAAACTCGTCTTTCCCTGGAAGAGATCGAGGACGACACCGACGAGCCTCTTACGGTGCTCATCGATTTCGACGCCGGGAGCGACGGGGATGTTGGAGTTGATGATGATGAGGTTTGGTTGTTTGTTAGACATCTTGTCGTTCTGCAAGTGTAACGTTGTTTATTATGTGGAAATTCGAGCGTTCGAGGTCGATGTCGAACTCTATCACTTATCGGGATTCGATTTCTACCAGTATGACATCATGATGGGCATCTCGATCGAATTAGGTATCAAGTCCGTACGTGAGAAATAACTGAGATCTTTATTCCATCAATTGCAACTCCTCCCACGAGTCCCCAAATTTACCTTCCTGATATCAATGCCAAGAAACCCTGGTAGGTATCGTACCCGCAGTATATCAAAACCGCTATGCGCCATTATTCTCATCCGGCCCCCTCCTCCTCGATCCCATCCCAATACCATCCTGCCCAGACCCACCCCGTGCATCACCACCAGTACCACCCTGCCTCCCCTCCTCTCTCAACTCTCTATTCCTCCCCCTCAAATCCTCCACATCAGCATCCGACCCAACAATAACATGATCATCATCCTCTTCCTCATCCTCCTCCAAATCCCCATCACTGCCTTCAGACGGTAACGAACGGCTCGCTTCCTCTTCGGTGCGGCGTTGGAAGTCTTGGGCGTGGACGTTCTTGAACATATTTGTTGCTGTGGCGAGGCGGCGGAAGGCTTGGCCCACGGGTGCGGGGGCAGCTTTACCGAGGGGGGTAAGGGGTTGGTCAGAACCAGAGGCGGAGCCGGAGGCGCTGAGGCCGGACATGATTCTGGTTCGTTCACCCATCCCTGGCCGCTCTTCGTCGGATTGACTGTAGAGATGGTACGGAAGCGGGATATCTCGCTGTGCCCTGAACTTCCCAACATTTGTCATATGCTCATTCTCCATACGAAAGAAATTCCACATAAACCTCCGGAAGACCTCGACAATCGCGTGTACGAAGGAGACCGTTGCAGAATGTTGGATCTGCGCAGGGAAAGCTGGGTAAAAGATCCAGCCGAGAACACGCATGATTGGGTCAGCGACGATGGCGAAGTAGTATAACCACACCTTTCCGAATCCAAGATCATGCCTCAAGAAGCGGTGAGGAGCGTGGGGTTGGAGCAGGGACCAATCCATAAAAAGATCCCACAAAGAGGTGTATATCGTGTTCAACGTCGCGAAGACGATGTACAACACCTGATACTTGGTATCCAAATGGATACGCCAAAGACTCAGGAACATGTACGTAAACGTCGTACACAGATACTTTCCCGCGTTCACAAGATGCGGAAACACATTCCGCGTATCCCTATAACGCCGCAAACACTGCAAGAAACGCCAAATACCCGGAAGGCAGGTCATGAACCCAAGCAACGCCGAATGTGCTGAATTGCACTGCTGAAGATTCCCCTTCCAGTGTCGAGCGTAGAGACAGGCAAACAACTCGATGTTGCCCATGCTGTAGGTTAATGACTGAACCTGATCACCCAAGAAGAAATCTCTGAACTCGACGGGGTAGAGACCAGAGCACAATAAACGAAACGCCGCAACACCAAACCACTTCCTCGAACTCCTGTACCCAAAGTCGAAGGGATTGAGCATCAGCACCAAAGCCAAACCCAAGAAGAATATAGGGTACCAAATCGCGGGCAGCTGATCCGGCCAGTAGTTCTCAAAGTTGAGCCAGAAAAATACACTCCACAAGAGTGCCAGGATGGATGGCAGCTCGAAGAATGTCTGCCAAATTAACATATGCCTTCCATCAAACTCGAAAATGAACGGATAGTTAATCCTCGCTTTCCGCCACGCCCAACAATTAATCCCAAACAATAGCAAGAACAAAATTGGCAATCCAAACCCTGCCCAAATCTGCAACAAACTGACAGTTTGTGGAATCCGCGCCCGAGTCTCCGCCTGCTGGCTCAGATAGATCCCCTGCACGAGGAAGACCGCAGACATGCCCAGGTACATGCCAACCCTAAACATCGTAACCGGATGCTCCGTCTGCCTCTCATGACTCCTCAACCGATCTAACGCAGCCTTCCTATCTCCCCTTTCAAAATACCTCGAAAACACATCCTCGCACTCAGCCATCATCCTCTCCAACTCCTCTCCCTGTCCCAACACCGAGTCATCAACCTTGGCCAAATATGACCGCGAAGCCCGGACGCCCGCCGTTTTGTCGAACTTCTTGAGAATCTTGCGGAAGGCTTCGCGGTTAAGGGTGCGGTAGGAGCGGATGAGTTCGAGGCCGCGGTAATGCTCCAGGACGGCGGCACGGAGTTTGCGTTTTGCGTAGCGGTATTGGACGTGGTCGGCTTCTTTCGCAACAGCCTTGAGATCCGCTTCAGGTTGGGAGGTATGAGAGCGCAATCGGTCGATGGCGCCGTTGGGCATGGTGCCTTGGCCATTTAGGGGGCCGTTGAGGATGTTGTCGAGAGGCTTATCCATCACTCTCTTCCTCAGGCCCTTCCTCCAGCCACCCTCCCCTTCTCCCTGCTTAGCCCTTCCCAAGCTGAGGGAAGGCCACCCCTGATTCCTGATCTTTTGATCTCGCATTTCATGCAACTGCTCACGGATAATCTTGAATTTCCCCCGTGCCTCATTCTCTCGCTCCGTACAGAAGGAAGTGATCTTGAAGAACTCGCCATCGAGCCATCTCTGGAACTCCCGTTGCTCAGGATTGAACCACAGCCCATCCTCATCCCCTCCCCCATCACCCAGTCTCCCATCCTCATCCGACGAACCGCTCGCCTGCGGCCTCACATGCCCCGCCCTCCTAACCCTCTCCGGCCTCGGGAACTGTACCGACCGCGGCGTCAACCCATAATCCCTGGCATGATACTCCGGTAACGCAGTTTCCTCGCTTTGTCGGCGTTCATCGGTGTGTTCGTGGAGTTGTTGGAGGCCTCGGACGCGGGCCACGAGGTCTTCTTCGTGGGGTGGGGTGACGCATGTTAGGGAGCCGACGACGACGTCGCCGCGGCTTGTGATGTGGGCTGTTTGTGGGCCTTGCGGGATTGGGATAGAGCTGATTGTCTCCGAGACGGTATGGTTGTTGTCGCCTTCGTGATTGGCGTCATTCGAGGTTGACGAAGGTACAGGTTCCGCTGATGTCGTCGGCACTATCCGATACCCATTCCCATTCGCGTTCCCGTCCTCAGCAGCCCTCCGTGCCCTTTCAACCTTATGCAACAACTTCTTTCCACGCTTGTAATCGAGATACCTGTACGCGCCGGTCAACCTCCACCCAAAACAAACCGCAGTAATCCCTCCACTTACTTCTGCCTCCACTCTGGAACAAGATTGCTTTCGAGATACTTTGCGAATTTCATGATCTATGTCACGATCGCTATCGAGCTCATAACGGGATGTAACGTAAACCTGAGTATATACGAAGTCTCAATGTGAAGATTTTGTGTTTGTGACGTTCTCCAATTTGCAGAGTCTTCTAAAGTTAGTTGGTCGGTTAGGGCAGCCAACATTTGAACTTGAGGGAATTTGGGACGCGCTTCAATGCAAAATCAAACTCAAGTGCGAAACCTTAATTATCTAACACATCGAGGATCTGTGAAGATGGCCAACTGGATTTCTACTATATCTATGACAGTCCGAACTTCTCCAAAAGATCTCCTCGCACGGTCCATTTATCATCCTCCTTCTTTCCCTCCCTCGTAGCAACGTCTTTCAACGTCGCTGTGATCAGATTCTTCTTAATCTTGAATCCCATAAACTGTTGTCGTAGCGTTTCGATCAGCAGGAGTTGAGATAGTGTCGAGCCCTGAATAGCTCGAAGAAAGGCTGGTAGGTAGGCGGGTGGGAATGCGGCGAGGCCTTTGCCTTCACCTGTAGTTGTTGACGCTTCCCGTTTGACCGTTGACGGCTTTGAGGATGGTGCAGCGAAGATAGGCGCAACTCCGTCCTTAACCTCCACATTCGTAGAAACCTCCTTCTCCTTTGGCACGGTCCAATAATCCTTGAACGGATCAACCCCCTCCCCCTCCGGTACCTCCAAGATAACCTCCACCCTCATCCCCCCAAACACCTCCGAACCACTCTCCCACACAGGACCCTTGACAACACTAACCAATTGCCCCGCAACCCTCTTCTTCTGCACATCCTCCTCATCATCCAAAAACGCTTGATCCTCCTCATCCTCACCGTCCTCAGTCATCGCCTCGTCGTCATCGAGATCAGAGAGGATTTCTTCACCGTCGGCTTCTTCTTCCCACTCGGCCTCGGAGTCGTAGTCATAGTTAAGAACTTGGGCGTCTCGGGCGAATGGGCGGCGACCGGTGATGGTGTGCGTTGGGCGGGTCCAGGTTCCGGAGTAGGCTGGTCTGACGTCTTCGGCGAATTGGAGATGCTTTTGTGGGATTTTCCGGGGTGAGTTGAGGATGGCAAGGATGTGGTCAGGTGAGGATTGACTTGAAGAGGTGCTGTCGATTAGGTCGGGGTTGTTCAGGTTTTGGATCAGTTGCTTGACGGTGTATTTCAGTTTTCGACCACGTCTTCGTTTTCGGGATGGTGTTAAATGTAACAGTTGTGATAGTCTCTCCCGTATTGGTGTCGACTCGACTTCTGATGGCGGCCGTGCCAGTGCTCTATCAATCTGGTTCTCTCCGGCCTTCAACGCATCTTCCTCACGTTTGAAGGCAGAGAAAGGCGCGATGTCCGTATACTGTTTCACGAAAAATGGCTGGAAATACTTGTCAAAATCGCTCTGTGGTGCGCCCGCTTTCTCCTCCACCGGAGAAGCCTTCTTTGGTGTTGCCGGCTTGGCGAAGAAGTTGTTCAATCGCATTTGTGACTGTAGATGCTTGTTAGCTTGAGCTTCAAAAAACCACATAGTCCAGCGCCGACCTTCTCTTTCTTCAGCTTGGCTTCTTGTTCCTGCTTCTTCGCCTCTTCCTTTGCCTTTTCCTTCGCCTTCCTGGCTTCCTCTTTCTCCCGCTGCTTCGCTTCGCGCTCTTCTTTCTGCAAGAGATGTCAGCTTTTGCTCAGTGTTCACTGAACTCCCACACATACCTGCTTCAACTTCTCCGCTTCCTTCGCCATCCTCTCCGCCTCTTTCTCCGCCTCCTTGACTTTCTTCTCCTCCTCCTTCCTCAACCTTTCCTCTTCCTTCTTCGCGCGCTCTTCTTCCTTTTTGCGACGCAATTCTTCCTCTTTTTCGGCCTTCTTCCGGCGGACCTCCTCTTCGCGGAGACGTTTTGCTTCTTCGCGTTCACGGGTCTTCGCCGCCGCTTGGGCCATTCGGGCTGCTTCGCGGTCCGGTTTGTGTTTCTTTGTGACCTGTTCAGAATCAGAGAATAGAACAACTAAGATCAGGGAGATAATCACTTCGGTGTTATCTGGCACTGGTGAAGGTGTAATGCCAGCATTGTCGGAAGTCCGCTTCAGAGGAGACCTCGGAGTTCCCTCTGCCGGTAGAGGCCCCGCTTCGGTCATAACTTCGTCCGACATGCTTCGGGTGAACCGTTTATGGGTATTGTATGCTGATGTATGCTGTATGCTACGGAAAAACGCGTCTGGTAGTGGAAGAGTCTGACCGTGCACTGCTTGGTCTGGAGCAACCCTGATCTACGGGTGTGAATGCCAGCAAATTCGACCAAAAAGAGCGTCTCTGTCGGTCTAACCTCGACGACGAAGGCCTTGGCCTCGCTGTTTGTAAAGGTTGCTGTTATCGTTTTCCGGGGAGGCCTCCTTAATTGTCCTGCTTCGCGTTTGGTGTCATGCAGCATCACGCGTCGACGTGCAATTGCTGCCGCGAATTCGAACTGTGGGACTTCCGGGACTCAAACAGTTGCGATTGCAAATTGGATAGCAATTGATGTAGAGATCAAAGGGCTATTTTTGCTATCTAATTGGCCAAAACAAATCACATCAAACTCAAACTGAAAGTTCTACTCCAACTCATTCTCACCAACCTCCACCTCCTCCCTCTCCCAGATATTCCTCGCCGGAGTCCAAACCTGCACAATGTTATCCTCCGCACACGAAACAATCGTCCACCTGTCCGAACCATCCGCACTTGGGCACCACCCGAATTCAGAAACGCGGTTGGTGTGGCCACCGTGCATGAAGAGGAGCTCGGGTGGACCGTCTTCGGCGTCGATGTCGGTTTGCTCTTGGCCGATGAGGGAAACGTCCCAAACGATGACACGACGATCCGCGGAGCCGGATGCGAGAATGGTCTCTTCGGATGGGTTCCATTGCAGCGTAGTGACCTCGTCTTGGTGACCCTCGAGGGAGTGGAGCTTTAGCTTGAGGTTTCGCAAATCCCAAAGAGCAACGGTCTTATCCGCGGAAGCAGTCGCCAGGACGTACTCAGAAGCAGGGTTGAAAGCGAGGGTGTTGACGGCCTCGTTGTGCGCCTTGACTTGGTGGGCTGCGGTCTCGGTCGCCGAGGATCGGGTATCGTGGATTTGGAGCATGAGATCATCGGAAACGGATCCGAAGAGGGAGGAGTGCAGGGGGTGGAATTGGACTTCGTTGACGACGGAGGTATGAGACGTGTAATTTCTCAAAGGCTTGAGAGTCGCGGTCGCGGAAGATGTCTTTTGGTACGAGCTGATGTCCCACAAGCAAACGGAGCAATCACCGGCTCCGGTAACAAGTTGACCGGGAGTGTTGGGGTTCCATGAGAGACCGTAACCTTCCTCTTCGTGGCCTTTGAGTCGCATTTGGGGAACACAGTTGCCGGTAGGCAGCATACTGTGCTTGGTCCGGTCGAAAATGAGAACGTCGGTGGAAGGTGACATCGTCGCGATGATATCTGGGTTCTGGGGCATGTATCGCGCGCGGTTAACCTCGCCATCGTGGTCGATCTTCTGCACGATCTGAATCCTGGCATCGCTTGCTCCATATCCTCCAATCTCACCGGAGCTCTCATCGTAGGCAGATGGCGCAACGTTGGATTTGGGAAGCGGGAGAGTAATTTCGGCGATCTGGAGGTAGTTTGAGTCTTCACCGGAGGTATGGGTACCGAGTAGCATGCGGTGCTTGATGTAGTTCTTTCCTGGTGGTGATTCGCGATCGGGGAACCATTGACAGGTGAGGGTTGGCCATTCCAGAGCGTGAGTTACAACAAGGTCGTAAAGGAATGGCGAGTTCTTCTTCCAGATCTTATATTCTGTAGATCAAATCAGTGATCATGCAACAAATGCAGCTGACGCAAAGAGTGATCTACCTTCATTGATTGCTTTCTCGGTGACGATGGCTTCTTCAGCGGCCAAACGATCGGAATCTGCGACAACCGGTCACCATCAGTCCAGTTAGAGAATTGAAAAGACTAACGCACCATCCATGTCCGTATCGACGGTCGGTGAGTGACTTCTTGAGGCAGACATATTGTTCGTTATTGTGTAGAGGTTTCTTCCTGTCAGTCCGGACTCAAGGTCGCGGTTAACGTCGAACGCGTTCCCTTAATGAACGAGCGCGGGTGTACAACAGTGAGCAATAGGACTACCAAAACAGCAAAGGTTTATCAAATGGGTTTTCGATTCTTACCACTCCGAGCAAACCCAGGTCACAAACGCTGTTAATCCCAGTCACGTGCATGCATCCTGACGTTCACGACGCGGCCTAAGCATCGACTGACTCCTCGAAGGCGACGCTCGTCAAAGAATCAAACGTTTCTGAGTCAGATCAGCTTTGGACAGGAGAGGAAGAAGATAAGGAAAGACGAATAGCACGACCTTTCATCACTACTAGACACATATTACGATGGGTATCCCGAAGGTTTGCCTCCTGTCGCCTCTCAGATCCAATGCGCAATTGCTAACATTGTTCCCCAGTTCTTCCGATGGATGTCAGAGCGTTATCCGCTGTGCTCACAGTTGATCGCCGAGAACCGTATTCCCGAGTTCGATAACCTTTACCTAGACATGAACGGTATTATCCACAACTGTACCCACTCTGACGGCGATGCAACGACGCATATGACCGAGGATAAGATGTACATTGCGATCTTTAATTACATCGAGCATTTGTTTACCAAGATCAAGCCTCGCAAGGTGTTTTTTATGGCCATTGATGGTGTCGCCCCCCGAGCCAAGATGAACCAGCAGCGATCCCGACGATTCAGGACCGCGCTTGACAATGAGAACGCGAGAAAGAAGGCGATTCAGAAGGGAGAGGCTGTTCCCGACGATCCGTTTGACTCTAATTGTATCACACCGGGAACGGTGTTCATGGCCAACCTGAGCCGTCAGCTGCAATACTGGATCAACAAGAAGGTGAGCGAGGATTCTGACTGGCGTGGTGTGCAGGTTGTTTTGTCTGGTCACGATGTACCAGGAGAGGGTGAGCACAAGGTCATGGAGTACATCCGTCTTGCGAAAGCACAGCCGGATTACGACCCCAATCTTCGTCACTGTCTTTACGGTCTTGATGCCGATTTGATTATGCTTGGTTTGTTGTCGCATGAGCCTCATTTCTGTTTGTTGCGTGAGGAGGTCAACTTTGGTCCTTCCCGCAAGACCTCGAAGCACAAGGATCTCGACGCGCAGAATTTCTATTTGATGCATTTATGTATTCTACGCGAATACCTCGATCTGGAGTTCCAGAACATGGCCGAGTCACTGCCGTTTGAGTATGACCTCGAGCGCGTCATTGATGACTTTGTGCTTTTGGCATTCTTTGTCGGAAACGACTTTTTGCCTCATCTTCCAAATTTGCACATCAACGAGGGTGCTTTGGCGCTCATGTTCAAGTCGTATAAGCGCTTACTTCCGAAGGCGGGTGGTTACATCAACGACAATGGCACTATCGACTTGCAGCGATTGTCGCTCATGCTGGAGGAGCTCGAGACCTTCGAGAAGGAGTATTTCGAGGCGGAGTACGCGGACGCTAACTGGTTCAAGGGTAAGGCTATTGGCGGTAACGCGGGTAAGGGTGGGCACTTGGATTTGATCGAGAAGGCGAAGAAGAAGAACAGGATGGTTCTCACTCCCGAGCAGAAGGCCATCTTTGAGAAGGTGAAGAGCATGGTGCTCGGCAGCTCCAGTGAATTGAACTTGGAGCCCGGATTGGATGCCACAGATAAGCAATTCGTGCAGGACATGGCCAAGGACTTGCACCTGGTGTGTAAGAAGATGAACGAGTCTGGAGACAAGTTTTTGAGGTTGGAGAAGCCTGCTGGGGCTGGCGTTGCTGATCCGGAGGATATGGAGGCGTTCAGTGCGTTGACCCGCGAGTTGGGCAAATACGACAACGCGCCCGTCATCACCACCACCCGCGATGATGCGGAGAAAGAGGTTGCTAGGCAGTATGAAGTCAAGTTCGATCAGTGGAAGGATGAGTACTACCGCGAGAAGCTTAGTTTCGGATTGAATGACGAGAAGGCGTTGAGGGAAATGACGGAGACGTATGTTCAGGGTCTGCAGTGGGTGCTCAAGTACTACTACCAGGGTGTCGCTTCCTGGGGATGGTTCTACAAATACCACTACGCCCCCAAGATCTCGGATGTCAGGAAGGGTCTTGGTGCTAACTTGAAGTTCGACCTCGGTTCTCCCTTCAGGCCGTTCGAGCAGTTGATGGGTGTCTTGCCGGAGCGCAGTAAGAAGCTTATTCCGGAGGCGTATCGGGAGTTGATGACTGAGGAGACGAGTCCAATTCAGGACTTCTATCCCAGAGATTTCGATATGGATCTTAACGGAAAGAAACAAGATTGGGAGGCCGTCGTGAAGATCCCGTTTATCGACGAGAAGCGACTCGTTGCTGCCATGCAGACTCGTGAGAAGCGTTTGACGAAGGATGAGAAGCAGCGGAACAGTTTCGGAAGCAGTTTGAGCTTTACGTTTGATGAGAGCTTGGATTTTGTGTACCACTCGTCTTTGCCGAATGTGTTCCCTGAGATTGGACACTGTCGTTGTAAGCAGGAGGCGTATGAGTTGCCAACTGTGCATGACCCTGATTCCCTTGGCTTCGCGTTGTGTGACGGTGTCAAGCTTGGAATCAAGGCTCTTGCTGGATTCCCTACTTTGCACACCATCCCCTACACCGGTACTTTGGCGTACCATGGTGTTACGGTTTTCCAGCAGGAAAGCAGGAATGAGACAATGGTCATCACCCTTGAGAACGTTTTCGATGGAAAGAAGACCGAGGAAATTGCTAAGGAGAAGGTTGGGCAGGTCGTGTTCATTAACTGGCCATACTTGCAGGAAGCCAAAGTCGTTGCTGTTTCGGATGAGATGTTCAAGTACGAGTACCGCTCCGTGGCCCCTGGTCAGCCCGCCCAGCTTGTGCCTGTCGAGCACTCTCCTATGGAGGTCAACAACTGGCGTCGCAGGGCTGATCGCTTGGAGCATTTGTACAGCAAGCGTGGTGGTACTGTTGTTGGACCTGTTGAGGTCATGTTGCACGTTGACATGCTTCAGGGGTTGAAGAGGACCGACGACGGCGCAATGGTGAAGGAGTACGTCCCTGTCAAGGGTGACGATGGTGACTTTGCTGTTCAGTCGACCGTGGCTGAGGTTCACTCTGTTGATGTGCGTTTCATCGAGCAGGATGCTCTTTCGGTTGAGGAGGACTATCCTGAGGGCACCCGCGCTTTCTTCTTGGGGGAGTATAACTACGGACGTCCTCTCGAGGTTATTGGCCACTCTGGTGGCAAGATCGATATCTGGTTGAGTACCCTCAAGGGTAAGGAGCCTGACTTCGGAAAGAAGATTGTGCAGGAGGCGGAGAGGTCTACCCGCTACCGTCCCACGTATGTGGTGACCAGGGAGATCAGGATGCACCCTCTTATTCTCTCGAAGATCACTGCATCCTTCACAGTCGTTTCCCAGGATACTCGTATCAACCTTGGATTGAACTTGAAGTTCGAGAGGAAGATGCAGAAAGTCTTGGGATACACTCGCAAGACCAATGGTGGTTGGGAGTTGAGTGACAAGGCCGTTGCCTTGATCCAAGAATACCAGGCTAAGTTCCCCGAGTTCTTTGCCGCGCTCTCCAGGAACCCCAACGGTGACATGTACAGGGACACTGACATCTGGGGTGATGTCCAGACTGCTAAGAACAGGATCAATGAAATTAAGTCTTGGCTGAAGGATAAGGAGGCTAAGGACTTCGAGCGTGTTCCCTTGGACGCTGAGCAGCTTGACGGCGATGTCGTCAAGAAGATCGAGCAGTTCGCGGATGCAGTCGTGAAGGAGGCTCAGCCACCTCAGCCTAAGAAGGTCAAGGGTGTTCCCCGTAAGGCGCTCTTGAAGCCTCAGCATGCCGAGAACAGGTTGCAGGGTCAGCGTTTCGCTCTGGGTGACCGTGTCGTTTACGTCCAAGACTCTGGAAAGGTACCGATTGCTACTCGCGGTACAGTCGTTGGTGTCAGCCAGGCTACTGTTGATGTCTTGTACGACACTTCGTTCATGAGTGGTACTACTCTTGGTGGCCGCTGCTCTCCTTACCGTGGTATGACTGTCAGCAAGACCGCTGTGTTGAATGTTACTCAGCCTTCGGTCATTACCTCTTCTCAAGCTGCTAAGCGTGCACCCGCTCCTGCTGGTGCTCAGGCTGGTCCTGCCAAGTCTGTGAATGGAGGCCACAAGGTTGCCGTTGTCAACGGCGGTATCAAGCCCGCTGGTACCCCCGCCAAGGCCGTTGTCGCTGACGATACTGATGACTTGACTAAGAAGTTACAGGCTATGGTCATGGGTCACCAAGCTCAACAGGGCAAGCCCCCGCACCAGGTTCATGCCAATGGTCACAGGCCCCATGCTCACGTTCTCCACCATGGTGGACCTCAGCATGCTCACCAGCACCGCGGTCCCCCTCCGCCTCACTTTGCTCTTCCTCAACAGCACGGAGGACGTCCTGCCGTGGGCATTCTCGGTGTTCCTGTTAACCAGACTGGATACCGTCCTCCGGTGAACATGGCGACTCGCCCGCAGGTTCAGGATGCTCCTCCTCAGGATGGTGCGATCATTGCTGCGCAGCCTCAACAGCCTCAGCCTCTTAGGCACAACCCTCACGGAAGTGGAATGCACGCCATCCCACCTCCGTCTTCCCTCAACGCGCCTTCCCAGCGTGGGCGTGGTCGCGGACGCGGACGTGGTGGCTTCGGTGGGCACGTGAGCCGCGGTGGTGTCCAGGTGGGATTCGGTGGACGGGGCGGTCATAACGGTGGAAAGCCTGCTGCTCCTCAGGGACCCACTCCCCAGGCTTAAGCTCTCTGATACCCCTTCTTCTTTTCACTGTTTTGTAGGTTGGTTGGGGATAATGGATTAGGTAGGATACGATACATGAGCGATCCGCTTTTTGGGCTATAGTCTAGTAATGCGTCATGTTAAACTTGGATCTTGCTCAAATGTTCATGGAGAAAAGCGTTTGCGATGTGATATAGACTTTCCCCACACGTCCCCGCTGACGGCTTTACATGTAGGCACGTCATTCGGGCCCAATACCATACCTTGACCAGGGAAGAACAACAAGAGTCTATGCACGTCAACTGGTTGGGTTGTAATCATGGATGACTCAAAGTTCGACAGTACGATGTCTGAACTCGATGACAAGATCGAACTGATGGTATCTCCCGTCCAGCTCTTGCGTCGCTCCTAGCGTCCTATTTAACTGTTGTCTCAGTCCAAGCTCGCCGTGGGCGGAGCTCCTTCCTCTACAGAATCTGCTCCGAAGGAAGCAGTTGGGCTCGAGAAAGAAGCTTCTGATGCGAGAATACACAAGCTGGCCCAGAAGGCCCTAGTGAGGGATATGGATACGCCAGAGTTGGAAGGGACGGTGGAGGATCTGACAGCAGTGTGAAGCAACGTGAGGGAGGTTCTCGGTATTTTCCAGAATTTTCGCACTGCCTGTTGGTGAAGCAAAGATATGTATATGTTGTACCTGTGGGTATCAGTTATTTGGGCACCGAGCCGTCAGCTGTAGCGGGAGTAGCGGGAAAGTCAGTGTTCTCTAATTAATGCACCTTCGACTAGCGTTTGAGAGTGGGCGAGGCGAGTCTTGAGCTGGATGCCATTGCCTTCTTAACGTCCCACGTCTATGCCTTCCCCTTCTTCTCTTCCTCCTTCTCCGGCAACCACGAGTACAGAAACTTAATCACCCGCTCATTCTTCTCCCTCATAATCCTCTCCGTTACCATATCTCCCAATTTCTTCGACAACACTGTTCTCACCTTCTCCTCATCCAACTCGCCAACATTGACGACCTCCGCAGAAATCTCGTCGTTGTCCAGAGTTCGGATTGCTACCATGAGTGCATCCAGGCACTTCTCGACTTCGTTCGTCTTTCCCTCATCCATTGCGCGTCTCAAAACAAGTTCGTAGATCTTGAAGTTCGGTAAGAGTAGGAGACGGAGGACATTCGTTCCCATCCCGCTCAAACCCGCGATCGCACCATACTGCGCACCAAGCGTCTTTTGAGGATCCATGAATACTCTCAACAAGGTCTTCGCAATACGCGACTTCATACTATGATACGCATCCGCGAAACGGTTGATGATGTAGTGAATGATACTTGCCGCCAAATCCCGGACAGCACACTGTTCCCTTCCTGTAGCAGCCGCCTCCTCTACCGATGTCGGACCAAGCTTGTTGCCGACAAGACACGTTAGAATAGACGGCATGAGGTTCGTGATATATGGATCGATGTAGAGATTTGGGTTCCGAAGAAGTGCGTGGGCGGTGTGTAGCATCATCTCCAATGTCAACAGATCCTTCAATCCATGTGTAATCTTCTCCGCAATGAAGCTCGTAAAGTACGGGATAAGTTGATGGAGACCAGGGTCATTTTGTAGAGACGAGATCGCTGCGGAACGAGCGGCGGGATCGGTGGGGTTTGTGAGCGCTTCGGTTGCGCGTTCGAAGTAGAGGGAGAGTTCGCGGGAGATGACGTGTTTTACGAGGGGTTTGGTGGTGGTGTCGGTTGGGAGGGCTTGGTTTCTTGATGCACCGTTTGTTGGTGGGCCAGTAAGGGGTTTCCCGGAGTCTGAAGGCGTTGGGTTTTGTGGGATTGCGGGCTGTACTCCCTCGATTGCGAGCCAATGCGCTGTGTGAACTCGTTAGAGCCTGCCCAAGCAGGAAGTCTTTGAACTACACACCTTTCAAGGATACATCCCGAGGAACTTTAGGTAGAGGCATATTCATCACCTTCTCGAACTCCACTTCCTCGTCGTCCAGATAGTATAACTGTCCACTTCCGTACGCCGCTTCCTTGAACTTCAGTGGTCTGCTCGAGCTGTACCCGTATAGAGGCTCCACATTCAGCACCCGCAGCGCATGATTGATATCTTGTGTTGTCATCGTCGTCCGTTTTGCGTGTCGCATGAACTTGAGAGCCTCCTGGACGACTTCATGGATGCGGTATTCGACGTCCATCGCAAGCGCCTTCGCAACGTCGTCATTGAGGTTTGTGATTCCGAGAGATTCTGCTACGTCCTTGACCGTATCCGGCGACCATACTGTAAGAGCCGCCATGCTTCTGCGATCGTTTATGATAGGGTTGTCTGTTTGTACTCGTCGACGTTACAGGGACCTCGCGTGAGCAACGCGTGCAGGTGGAGCGACCGCAGCTGTTCACCGAAGTTACCAATCAAGTAACTCCTGCAAAAGAATTATCTACAAACTCAATCCCAGCATTTCCTGTATCGATTGACTCGAGATTTGGACAATCAGCGCCTGCAACATCCTGCACTGCCCTCTCGGCTTCAGTCACCCGAGCACGTTAACGTGAACGTTACTGCTACGGTCAAATCGAAAACTCCAAATAAAAGTGAACAATGGTACAGGTACCAAACAAACCCAAGGCTATTGCTCTTGGATGGACCGCTGTTCTCGCAGGTGCGTCTCTTTTCTCGTCTTTTCTGTCTTCCTCTCCGTCCTTAACAAGGCTTGGATTAGTTGGTTTCAGCATCCTCTACTTCGCTAAAGAAGAAATTGCAGCCCGTCGAAAGCGAGAGCTCGACGGGTGGCATCGCCTAGACTACGAGGAGCGAAAGTCAATGGGTAGGGTAAGTCCGGCGCAGCCACATGACCAGGATCCAACGGGAAATCCAAGTATGGAGGCTGGAGCACAGGATGGTGCGAGTGGTGGAATGGGGAGGAGACATGACGATCCGGCGTCAAAGAGGTTAATTGGAGGACGGATGTCGGGTGATCGTCTGTGAGGGATGGGAGTTGGGGTCATGGGGCGGCGTCTTGTACGTTATTGGATATCATTAATCCCGGGCATGGGATTCATAAGAGATGAGACAATATCTGTCGTTGATTCCATCAGTTAGTTGTTTTGATGGGAATGCGGACAAAGGTCTTGCAAGATTCGTGTGGCAGGGTATTTGAATGTGTATCGTTCCATGAAGTCTGGGTCCGTGCTAGACCCTCGCATCAACTGCATACCAAAGTCATACCAAAACCTTCTGTTCAATTAACAGGAACACTAACGTGCAACCGGTCTTTGTGTAGTATGCCTTGTATGGGAGGCGTTACTCGCAGGTTCGATATCGGCATCAGTGGAGTTAGAAGGATAGAGTTTTCATTGCCAAGTTCATTCTGATAGTACGTACGTAGTTCATCCGTGCAGCTACACTACCATGGAAATGCGTTATGTCAAGGACAAGAGAGACTCGCTCTTACACGCACGGGAATTGGAATGCTCATTGATGGAGGTAAGGTTCTGGTATAAAACGTTCGATTGTTGTCTAACAAGAACATGGCGAGAAAAGAAAGTTCCCACTAAAGCCCCATCTAGAAGGAAATGAAAGTAATGCTCTGCTGCTGCTGCCGCTGCGGTGACCTATAAGGTCATAATGTTTTGTGTGACAACGTTAGTCACTGCCGTGCAAGACGCAAAGGACAAGCTTGAGTACAAGACATACCAATGATAGATTGGCTCAAGGCGACGTTCGCATAATTATAAGTCCCAGACGTGAGACCGGAAGACGTATACATTGCTGAGCAGTTTCCGTTTTGGCTTTGAGTCATGTAACACCATTCGAGGGGAACCACCAATAGCTAGGGTCACCCGCTACATCATGTCAGCCCTCGGCGTAAGTGCCTCCCGAGGCCATATTCACTTTACCTTCTCGGTGTATCTTTGCAGTGGGCGAGCTGTCGCGCTCGCATTTTCCCAAACATAACGGCCGCCTATAGTCATGGATCCGGTCAAGTAAACCCGAATCCGCTGCTAATATTGCCAAGATATGCGCCACTGTTCCACTGCCGATGGCGAGCCCAAACACGCCTGAACTGAACTTTGCTCGATCTACCTTGCAAATAACGTGTTCCATCAACGTGCACTCGCAGTAGCTGCTGGGGCCGTTCCGCGCGGAGGGTTTAGTGCGCTATCACTAGCGCGGGCACGTCCCGCGTTGCCGTTCCCAACGAACGCTGAATACAAACATTACCTCGTACTCAGTTTTGTCAGAGCAGCTGCCGCTGCCTACCGCTGTCCTATCGGGTACTTGAGGCTTCCAATTTAGACGACCAACATCCTGTATCAGCGAGTTTCCCCACCGCAGCCGGCGGCTTGACCTGATCGTGTCAGTTGTGTCACGATAACGTAGAGCCTTGGTATAGTGTTTAAGAGCGACCTGATAATCTAGGTACTGCTGAGCCAGCTGACACAGCTGGGGGTCCGGTAACCGCTGCTGAAGGGATACATAATACCTGGCGTCTCAATGGCTGACAAGGACAACGAAGTCCGATCTGGCGTGGGAAAAGACGACCAGAACGGTAAATGCCTAGCTATAGGAGACCACCGGTGTCCTTCGGACCTATACAGGAAATCTGGAACTTGATGACAAGTGAACCATATGTAGTTCGGGCATATCTGATTGAGCTCGGCAAGAGGCATACGTCTATTAATTGGCAATTGTTTCACACGCAAGCAGCTTTTACATCAATACCGTTATGGTTATCCAGTGTTTTTTTTCTCCTTCTAGACGCCGACATGGACACCATGACCCAGTTTCAATTGGATCAATTGTCACAGATACATCAACTAGGCCGTCGACATCTCGTGGACAACGTCATCTTCGTCGCCTTCAGGCAGGTAGAACATTTTCAAGAACGGTCTCATGGGAAATAGTGAGTCTCTCAGATCCAAGGACTAGATTTCTGTCGGAAGGAGACATCTAAGTGCATATGGTGAACATGGTATACCTGGTATCTGCCAACGTTGTTGTCTTTGCCGCGATGGATACCGCGAACGTCACCCAACATCGACCTGCAGCATGAACCGTACAACACTCGCAAACATCCTCAGGGCCCGCTACCGTCTCGAACAGCAGGTCAGAACCATGGCCACTGTACTTGAAAAGAAAGAGGGGTTCAAGATTCCTGATGGGGCCTGGCACAATGTGATTGCGCCCGATGGACCTTATCTTCCCAAGGCTGGACGATATCATCTGTATATCGGTACGACGTGACCGGCGAGTACGTCAAACATGAAGCTAACTTGCTTTTGTAGGACTCTTCTGTCCCTTTGTATGGCGAACCCGACAGCTGGTGTTCGCGACTGACCAATCTGACAGGCTCACCGCGCAAACCTCATCCGTCATCTGAAAGGCCTGACGGACATGATCGACATTTCCATCGTCAAGCCCTACCCCAAAGGCGACGAGAACGGTTGGCCAGGATGGAAATTCCCTACGTCGAACGAGGAGTACCCCAGTGCGACGGTAGACAAAATCTTTGGCGAGGATTACATGCACAAGATCTACTTCAGGGCGGATAAAGACTACAAAGGACGGTACAGTGTGCCAGTCTTGTGGGACAAAGAGACAAACACGATCGTAAACAACGTATGTATCTTCGACGTACTCTTGTTACGTACTGATGACATAGACAGGAATCCCATGAGATCCTCCGCTTCCTCAATACCGCCTTCAACACCATCCTCCCCGATCCTTACGCCTCCAAAGACTTCTACCCAACCCATCTCCGTTCCCGCATCGATGAGTTTAGCCAATGGATGCAACGTGACCTCAATACAGGCGTCTACAAAGCCGGTTTTGCCAACGATCAAGAAGCGTATGATAAAGCCGTCATCGCACCCTTCGACGCTCTAAACGAACTCGAGAAGATCATCTCCGAGTCAGGAGGCCCGTATATCTTGGGCAAAGAGCTGACGGAGGTCGATCTGAGACTGTACCCGACCCTGATCCGTTTCGACACGGTGTACGTGCAGCACTTCAAGTGCAATCTGGGCACGATCAGACATGATTACCCGTGGCTGAACAACTGGATGAGGAACTTGTATTGGAACGTTGAGGGGTTCAAAGAGACCACGGATTTTAAGCACATCAAGGAGAACGTATGCGTAATCCCGGGTGAGTGTTGAGTGTCAAGAGCTGACATAAAGCGTAGTACACGAAAAGCCATTACGACATCAATCCAAAGGCTATCACCCCGATGGGTCCTATTCCTGATGTAGAGGAAGGAGTGGAGGACTGGTCCAGGCTGAGGGTTGGTGCGGTGATGCTGCCGAACAGCACGCAGTGATCGCTTGACTGCTCGAAAGATGTTTGGGTATGTCCGATGTGTGATTTCGATCGTACCTTACCACTCAAGGATGGCAGCAAAAGGACATGTTTCCTCATTTTCCCCCAGAGCAATAATAGCCAAGAATTACGTCCCAAGAATAAACCTTCCTTCATTCCTCCCTCAAAACTCCTAATTAATAGGCAATAGGCTATGAGCGTTCCAATCCAAGAACAAAGAATTCCCTACAACAGCCGCCGACACTAACAATGCCAAAAACTCCACAAGCAAGACGACCAGATACCAATGTTCGCCGAAAAACGCCTTCCCTCCCTCAACTTCCACTTTCGCATAATCTTACACCTCCTTCTTCATCTCCACCTCCTCCTCCCCCATCGATTGATCCCCATCCCTCTCCTCCCTCTCCATCAACAACCCCCTAACCCCACCCATCCCCGGCTGCCACTCTTCTGTGAGAACATCCCCCCTACTCCTCCCCAACCTCTCACACCACTCATCAGCCCTCTCCAAAACCTCAGCAACAATCCCCGTAACACCCCAAAGACAATCCAAACTCTCTTTCGCCAAGGTCAAAACACGGCCTGCACTCCTCTCCTCCGGACTCGGCCCGTGGTGTCCATTGAGATGGCCGTGAGGTTGTGAGACGGGGTCTTGTGCTTGTGCCACCGCAGCCCAGCGTCCCGGTAAGGACAACACATACGCCCTAACCCTCCCCCTCGCAGGTTCTGGCAGAGATGCACCGGCGTAATGCGACACAACACCAACGACCTTCCTCAACGTCTCAACAATATCCTGCTTAATCACCGCCACCCTCCGACTCAACTCCGTGCTCTGCGCGACTGCCCCCTCATTCCCTCTTCCCATTGTCCCACCTCCCACATTCGAGAACGAGACCAATAAACTCTGGAGTGTGGATATGGTGGCAGCGAGATGGTCATTCGCGTATCGGAGCCACTGAAGGCAGTAACGGAGGCTTTTTAGAGATTCCTCGGACATCGCTGCGCCCAAGCCGCCGGCACCGACGAGGACGGTTTGCCAGCGGGACGGGGAGTTCCGGGTTGTGAGTTCGGTCGAGGTTTGGGGGATTGTGGCAAGTTCGAGGTTGGTGGAGGTGGAGGTAAGGGGTGATGTTTGGGGGTCGTCGGTGCGTTTGCGTTTGTGCGATGAGGTCGGGGTGGGAGCGGTGGGCGTGCGTGCCTCCGGATACTCCTGCCCATAGCCATTCCTTTCACGGCGGTGCTCTGCAACCGGTGCCGGTGCCAGTTCCGGTCTTGGTTGCGTCGGCTGCGAATACCTCCTCTCAATCTGTACACACTCATCAGCGAAAGATTCAGACTAACGCCTTGGAGTGCATACCGTGTCCAAACCCCTACAAAGAATATCATCGAACGGCCTCACCACGGGTCTGGCAACACTCTCCACCATCTCCGCTCCATACTTGAACACATTACTCATATTCTTTCCACCTTCGTATGCGCGGACAGCGGTAGAAACGACCGGGTATGTCGACACCCTAGAAACAAACCCTTCTTCTTGGACATGTCGTGGTCCAGGACGGGGGTGAGTGTGGGGAATGGTTGCTGGGGATTGAGTGTGTCGTGAATCCAAATCTGTGCAAACTCTCATTAGCCAATTGCAAACTAAGCATCGGGCGAGGGAGAAACCACCTGCTCGTAAACTTCCCAAAGCTTCCGCTGCCAACCTAACGTCTGGATCCTCCATACTAACCCCACTCGTGAAACTCATTTGGTCGTCATCCCTTCCTCCACCTGCATAACTCGTACCGGCGGTACTTCCGTCATCGAGACTCCATACACTCTCAGTTCTGGGCGTAGCCAACGAGGGAGGACCAGGGTCGCAGAGGCTCTGGATACTCAGTGTCCGGCTAGGGAGTGGGAGTGGAAGGCCGGGGTGGGGACGGTGGGAGAGGGAGGGAGGGGCGGAGGAGGGGGTGGGGGCGTCGGATGTTGGAGGTGAAGCGTAGGCGGATATTGTCAGGGGTAGTGGTAAATGTGATGGGTGTTCGGGCTTGATGAAGGGGTCGTAGTCGTGGTCGTGGTCGGGGGAGGACGAAGGATCGGTTTTGGAGTTCACCAGTGGAGGGAGGATTGGTGGTGGTTCCATCTCCGCAATCGTAGTTGACAGAAGAGCGTCGCTGACTGTTTGAAGGGAGGTAAGAGGGGATGTATGCTGGATGTATGCGCTGCACCGGCGCGGTTGGATGACAGACGACGGATAGGGACCGCAACTGATAAATGATGCGATGGGTGTGTACCGACCGCGTGCGACGATAGTGGAAGAAGTCGATGAGCTGTATGACCTGTGCCAGACGTAAGCGAGCTGTCTCTGGCTAAACAACAGCTTGTCAAATGGTTATGGTGTTGACCTTCCTCCAGCCAGGCAGGGTTGGTTGGCTGTACACCCGCATTTTAGCCGCTGACATGTGATTGCGGCGAGAGACGTCCAAACAGCGACGAAAATGCGATCCTCGACAATTTGCACAAGGGCGTTGAGGAATGGTACCCTGAGATTGCGCTGTGGGCCAATCCCATCTACGAGGCTCGTTGGGGCTCAATCGCCTCTGATCAGAGGCCTGGGAGCGAAGACGGGCGCGGTCGATGGGAAGCAAAGAAGATGGCAGTCCTCCGCAGCCGCTTCTCAGCCTGTTGTGGGTATCGAACCGATCGCGGCTGTTGATCCTACCCTTGATATCACGTCCGTCCTACGCCAAGCCTCACAAGAATTCCCCGACCAATCTCTGCATAACGACATCTCCCTCGCCCTCACGCACCTCATAAACCCCTCCCACCCCCTCCGCATCGCCATAACCCCCCTCTCCCCCACCGATCCCTCATCCACCACCTCCAGTCTCCTCGACGCGATCCTCGTAGACCCCCTGAGTGGTACATCGAAGCATCTCTATCAACGACACCGCACAACAGCCGAAGGAACACTCATCCGTTACGGACCCGTCGCGACACTCAACCCCCTCTGCGAGGAACACGGCGCCCTATCCGTCCTCGAAATCCCTCATCCGTTCTTGCAGAGACATAATTTGGAGATTGTCGAGCTTCCTGCACCCAGCCCCAAATTACTCGCGGAGATTATTCCGACGTATACGAAAACTGTGTATACGACCACCTCCCCCGCCGCATTCTACGCATTTACCCCGACTCCCACTCTGTCCGAGGTTGTGTTGGACATTGATCCCGCATCTCACACCCTCCTTAAGACCGCGGGGGAGGGACGGTATGTCGTGAGCGCCCACACGGCCTTAACCGCAGCCGGGGCACTAGAACTCAGTCCCGCGAACGCAAGCACATACTCTCGAGATTGGTTAGCGTCAAACATCACCCCACTCCTCCACTCCCTCCCTTCCTCGTCAATCCGAGCGTTACTAGACCGAATTATCGCACGGTGCGAGTTCATCCAAGACGAAGAGCGGAGGATGAGTGCGGTGGCGGAGGTTGGTAAGGGACCAGTTGAGGTACACCAAAAGCGTGTGGAGAGGTTACTCGAAGCAGGACGTGCGTGGGCCTCAACCGCACACGCCGAACTCGAGCACACCATCACACCCTCCCCGACCGATCCGGACGCAAAGACATTAACCAGACCATCTATCCAACCACCACAACCTCTTACCGAGCTCTTCACCGGACGTCTCGCGTTCTGGAAGTTGTTGTGGAGGGTCGACGAGGTTGGGCCGAGTGTGCGGGAGATTGTGTATGGACAGTTATTGCCGAGGGCGGAGAGGGAGTTGGTGTATCTCTACGGTACGATGGCTTTGCTCAACCCTGACTCTTCCTCTGCTCCCAAGATCGAGAACAACGTGGAGGAGATCGGGGCAGAATTACGAGCGGCAAGGGCGGAATTGGCGGCAGGACCTACAGATGCCCTCGCCCGTACCGCACAGGGCGCTCTACTGAAGGCAGGGACTCTAACGGCTGCCTCGGCCGCATCCTCCGCCATCCTAACTCTCGCCCTCGATTACCACCTCTACCCGTCCCTCTCCCCACTCGCCCTCGGCCTAGTAACATCACTCTACCTCCTCCAATCCACCTGGCTAGCAGCCAAAACGGATTTCGAGCGCTATTGGAGAGAGATTGGCGCGCAGGCGGTTAGGAGGGAGGGTGGGAGGTGGGAAAGGGTGGTTAGGGGTGTGCAGAGTGAGGAGGTTAGGGCGTGGAGGGGAGTGGAGGTGGATAAATTGAGAAAGAGTGCGATATTGGAGCAACTGAGAAGTGCTGTACGCGGTTAATGTACGGGAAGCAGGAAAACGAGATAAAAATGCATCTGTTGGAGTACAATGGATAATACCGTGAACTTTACACGAATGAAGAAAAACGCCCCTATGAATACCCTATGACCCGCCATTCGTCTCAAACCCAAAACGCATACACGTACACCACACGCCGGAAACAACTCAGAACAATAATCACAGCAGCATCACCGCAAATTCCCCCACTCACAAAACACGATCGCAACGAACGCCCGATACGCCAACGCCCCGATCGTCAACGTAACCCTAACCCACGTCCTTAACTCCCTCCCCTTCCTCTGCCCCATCAAATCGAGCCCACCATCAATCGTGTCTTCCATCCCGTCTTTACCGGCCGACATGACTTTTTTGCCCATGTGCGGGAGGGTGTGCATGTTTACTGGTGGAGGGAGGGAGCGGTCGTTGTCGATGTCGGGATCGCCGGTTTTTTGAGGAGGTTTGGGGTGGGATTCGTGTTTGTAGTGGAGGGGGAAGGAGCTGGAGTCGTTACTGCCCCTAGAGCTGCCTTGGCTGTTGCTCGAACTGGAGGCAGATATCTTGCCGGCACTGCTCCTGCTTTCAGGTCTTTTGGTTCGAGGCGTTGCCGGCGTTTCAAAGGACATCTTGGGCTGCTTCTTGGGCTCCTCGCGTGTGATCATCGCATTCGCATTCGTATCTGTATCGTACACTTCAAGCTCGACCTCATCCTTGTTCTCCTCTTCTGCCTCTGTATGTGATCTTTTGGGCTGGCCCGAGCGTAGCTATAACACAAGAGCTCCTGGTCAGAGCCACTCTCTGTGAGAGCCGTTTATACGCACTCAATAGCTCGTGTTTCCCGTCCCAGCATGTGCGTAACCTCCCCCGGTGCTTTGAGCTGCAGACCCGGTGGCCGTCTGGGAGTCTTGACTCGCGGAGATGCGTGCGCCGTGTGTACGTGCTTCGCCAACGCGAACTTTCTCGTCGTTGCCTGTATGTATTCGTTAGCAAGCACGGAGATGTGGCGCTGACTCAAACATACCTCTGATCTTTCCTTCGATTTTTGAGAGGGTACCGGCTACTTTGTCACCGAGTGATGGTTTGCCGTGATCAAGCTTGTAACCTGCCGGAACTCCTGATTCGTTGTTCTCCTCCCTCGACCCCTCACTACTCGCACCCAACCCCGCCGCGCCCTGGGAACCCTTCCATGAGGGCGAGAAATCCTCTGCTGATGACATTCCGGTGTTGGTTGACGGTGTTGGTTGTTGGTGGAGATGTATGCTCTTACCCCATGGGCCGACTGCCAATGACGTCACCGACCGGTCCGACAGGACTACAACAAACATTAAAACCGTTAATTCGAATAAATCTAAGATGCATCTTCCTCTCACAGCTCAATCTTACCCACCCTCAATTGCAAGGTCCAATCCTCCGTAATGGTGACAGCAGGGTCCCTAACGGTCAACACTCCAACCTTCCCATCACCGCTCTTTACATACTCCACCTCCGTCTCCCACTTCTTTCCACCCTGCAAAACATCCACAGAATGCACTTGACCCAGCTGCTGTCCATTTGCACCGACAATGATGACCTTTTCCACCCGCACCCTCTCCATATCCTTCAAAAACTCCCCTGGTGCGGCATCATTCAAACTGTCACTTCTCAACGTTGCCTTCTTTCCATCGAAAGTGAAAGTACGCTCGATGTAGCCGCCCTTAGTATAATCAAACGTCTCCCCATCGTCCAAATAAAATCTTCCCTTCGCATTCCCATCCTTATCCAACGCAACAACCAAAGTAAACGGATCATACTTCATCGCGGGCGAGGACCTCCTAGGACGATCACGTCTCACAAAGATGTTACCACCCTGAATCAACATGGGGGTCTTATCAATCGGTGCATAAACCGTCGTCTGTCCCTTTCCTTGATGCACGTCGTAGTTGCTGTAATCATAGTACGGCTGCTCATCACCAAGCCAAACACTGACGCTGTCATGACCCTCCTTCGTAACAGGCTTAGCCAAAATCCCCGAATCCCCAAGGAAGAACTGATCATCAACCCCAAAGCCCTCCTCCACATCCGGAAACGCCAAATACATCGGCCGCAAAACTGGCATGCCATCAACACTCGCCCTCCTAAACGCCGTATACCACGTTGGCAACAACCTATACCTCCCCCGAATGGCCTCCTTCATGTAGCCTGTCCACGGCTCCCCCGCCAACCACGGCTCCCGCCTCTTGGTATCAATATGCGCATGTGCCCTGAAGAACGGATAGAATGCTCCAACCTGATACCACCTCGCCAACAACTCCGGACTCGGATTACCGAAAAAGCCACCGACATCCGCACCGGTGAATGTCATACCGGCGATTCCGTTCGAGAGAACCATGGGGATCGAGACTGCGAGGTGGTCCCAGTTACCGAGGTTGTCGCCAGTCCAGGAGGCTGAGATGCGTTGGGTTCCGGCAAAGAAGGAGCGGGTGAGGATAAAGGGACGCAAAGGCTTGTCGCCGTCGCGGTTCATCAGTGCCAGAGCTGTGGCATTGTGAAACACCATTCCATTGATGTTGTGAACATCACGATGCTCCCACCCACCTTCATGAATATTATCCTTCGGCATCGTGATCTCAGGGCCACTGAAAACCGCAGGCTCATTCATATCGTTCCAGACATACAAGTTCTTCGCAGAGCCCTTGTACGCATCATACGTCATCAGACTCTTCCACCACTCCACGGCCTTCGGCTTGAAGAAATCAACCCAAACCGAGGAACCGGGCCAACACCACCCCTCATAGTTATTCCCATTGTTGTCCTTGACAATGACGTCGTTCTCCTTCGCACCCTGGTACACGTGGTAATTATCATCTTTCTTAATATGCGGATCGACAATATTGACGAGCTGTAGGACGAATCGTTAGCCAGTCACACGAGTGTAAATCTGCCTCGATCATCCGACCTTTCTCTGTTTCTTATCCAACGCTTCCAGCATCTTCTCCGGTTCCGGAAAATTAGCCTCATCCCACGTCAAATACCTCTTGCCATCCGTGTGTTCCACGTCGAGCCAGATAACATCATACGGGATATCATGCTCATCGAATTTGGCGTCGACTTGTGCGACGTCATCCTGTGAAAGGTAGTTCCACCTACACTGGTGGTACGCGATCGAGAATGTCTGAGGGAGCGCGGTGGTCCCGGTCAGTTGGGAGTAAGACTTGATGTTCTCCTCAGCTGTGGGCCCAAGGAAGACGAACACGTCCAACAACCCAGATTCCGAGAACCAATGGGTCTGAGTCGTAGTTCTCTCGGTCTGTATTAAAACTTCGTCAGCAAACCGTGTCCACAGTTTCCTAATCAACGAGTTGAAATACCCTCTTCTTCACAACATCAATCCAAGTCTCCGCCCCATTCAACCAAAACACAGCAACATCCCCTCCTTTCTTATGCGCCTGCATGAACGGAATCGCACCGTAAAGACTCATCGGGCTATCAAACTCATACTCAAACACGTCCAGATTATACAACCGATACGGTTCGTCGTAGGCTCCATCCCCACCACCACGAGTCTCGCGTAGAGAGAGCGGGGAGGCGTGTTCCGGGATGCCGAAGACGTGGTCGTATCCGATAAAGGAGATATCGAGACCGACAGATTCGGGGCCACGGGGTTTTGTGTCGGATTTTCCGGAGAAGGATTCGTCGAAAAGGCCGTGCTGATCCACACCCTCCTCGGGAGTCGAGTCGCGTGGGCGCCAGTGCTCCATGTTGAAAAGACCACGGTCGTTCAACACGATCTGCTCCTCGCCGTCACGCATGAATTTGAGGGAGAACGGGGAGTGTGTGATGACTGCCTCGAAATTCTTGGCGGGTCCATACTTGACAACGGTGATCTCGTCGTTCGCAAAAATGGCGGAGGAGTCGATACTGGTATCTGCGTCGAGTCCACCAACGATCGTCCATTTCTCGGCTTCGTTGTAGCGTTCTTTGCGGATGCGGTCGTTACTCAACTCGATCTGGCCGAGTTGACGTTTCTTCTCGTCCAGGGTCACTCTCGCAACCCCGGAAGCAAGAAACGAGACAGTGAGAGGAAGCTCAACGGTCTCGGCACCACCATTGAGGGATTTGAGAACAATGCCCGTCAACACCCCCGAATCAACCGCAATAGTTGCTGGATTAAGTGCGTACGGCGCAGTCCACTTCGGAGCCTCAGCGGCTCGATCCGCCAATTGCCTGTTACGGTGGCAGAAACTGTTCATGCCAATGTCAGTCGTCACCACAGAACTGGAAGTCTACCGTTGGCAAAAACCTCGATTGATGACATTTCTTGAAATCGTGTTGTTTTACGGCGATAACTGACCCCGCGATTGCGAGGAAGAAGGTTAGGAGGAACGCTCGGCATAACCTCCCGGTGGTTGCTCGCATTCTCTATGGTCTTGAGTGGGTGCGAGAACGGGATGGAGGGGTCGAGGTGGTGTTTCGGGTTGTTACCGTGACGAGCCGCTGCGGTGCTTTGGCCTGCCTGAGGTCTGCAGGCCATGACGTCCGACTGAAGGACAGCTCGGTTACATGGATCCGACAAGGGAAGAGTGAACTCATGATGATTCAATTGGCGTTTTTCTATCCGTCTTTCACCTCCTTCAATCGCCATCTTCAACGTCGCAACTGACTTCCATATGCGCGCTTTCTGCCCAGCCGCTGTCCTCCAATTGAAGCTCAGAAAGGCGATCAACGAGCAAGAAGAACCGAAAGATGGCTCAATTGAACGATGCTGAGATCGCGCCGTGCATTCCGAGATAACTCTAAAGTGCGATGTTCATTTGCACATCGACAGTCATCACATTGTCTCGAACGGCGAAGTCCTTTAGAATGTATGGAGGAGAAGTGTTCTAGGGTCATTATCGTGCGACGAGCTCTTCCACGACGCGAGCGACTTACCGCCTATCGGAACCTCTTCGGCTCCCTCTCCACAATCTCTATTATGCCTCCATCGACCTTTCATGCGCTCGCCAGAACTTCGTGATAGAACAACCCAGAAAATCGCTCATTGCGACACATGTCAGCTCTCGCTGATCGCCGTGTTTTCCACTCGCCTTCCAAGGCCCTGAAATGAAATCGTACTTTAAGAAATTGATGTCATTGTTCGCACGCCCGCTACACCTTCACGTCACTTCCTCCGCCGCCGGGCCTTATCTCCTCGATCCTGCCCAAGGGCGAGACCGATGACGGGTAAATCCCCTCGCTCACCTTTCCCGGGTCTGTAGGCTTTCCTGCACCTCGCGACCGTTCGACACGCCTACAAGCCCTGTCGTTATATAGTCCGTGGGGGGTCGAACCTAAAGTCGCACTTGTCGCACCTAACCGAGTACTTGAGCACCCCTCCACCAGAAAGTGTGAGCGCCGCGGAGATCCTTTAAGCGCGACAATTGCAACTAAGAGCCATATACAGTACGCAGGATAAGTCGAGGTTGTACGGAATTCTATAAAAGGACCCTGCGTTCCTCTGCGATTTCCCCAGCAACAGGAAAGCGACAATTGACGAAATGGACGCGACTGTGGTGAACGGACAGTCAAAAATGATGGTTAGGCCAGCGGGCATGGCTGCAGTATGGCCCGTGATCGCCTGTGGTGTCGGTCTTTTCTCAGGTACTTTCCCTTCCTCCGTCCTCCTCCAATCCTTGTTTCTAAACTTGATGCGCAGATGGTTATTTGAACGGCGTCATCGGTTCCGTGAACACGCTCCTCGCCCAAATCTACCCCAACGAATACGCTGGCTCAACCTACTCTAAGCGAATCTCCTCCATCGTCTTCGTCGGCACCGTTGTTGGGCAACTCCTCTTCGGCTATTTTTCCGACAAAATTGGTCGCAAGTTCGGTATCTTGTCCGCGACGATCATCGTCATTGTTTTCTCGGCGTTGAGTGCCGGGAGTTATGGAGCGGGAGGCAGTGTGAAGGGGATGTTTGCGGCGTTGACGGTGTATAGGTTTTTCTTGGGGATTGGGATCGGGGCAGAGTATCCTGCGGGATCTGTTGCGGCGAGTGAGGCGACGAATGATTGTAAGAAGGGGTGGAGGCATGCGCTTTTCATCGCCGTTACGAACTGCGTGATCGACGCTGGGTTCGTTATCGCTGCATTCGTCCCCCTTGTGTTGGTCTGGATCTTCGGCGAGAATCATACTCGCGCCATCTGGCGTATCGCACTCGGCCTCGGTGTCGTCCCACCGCTCGCAATCTTCTGGGTCCGTCTCAAGCTCAAGGAACCCGAGCGTTTCCAAACTCAGTCCATGCGCAATGTCCGTATCCCTTACCTCCTCGTTTTGAGGAGATACTGGTTCCGCCTCATCGCGATCTCGATCGTTTGGTTCTTGTACGACTTCACCGCCTACTCCTTCGGTATCTTTTCCTCCCCTATCCTCGAACGTATCATCCCGAACCCTACGCTCGTCGAGACCTTCGGGTGGAACACCGTTATCAACCTCTTCTATATCCCCGGTGCCTTCGCCGGTGCTTTCGCCTCCGACTGGCTCGGCCCCAAGACTTGTTTGGTCGTCGGTGTCACACTCCAAGCCATCATCGGGTTCTTCATGTCCGGGTTCTACTCCAAGCTCGTCGAGAATGTCGCCGGATTCGCTGTCATCTATGGAATCTTCCTCACGTTTGGTGAGTTCGGGCCCGGTGACAACATCGGTCTCATCGCATCCAAGTCCTTTCCCACGGCTGTGCGCGGCCAGTGCTACGGCATCGCCGCCGCCATCGGAAAGATCGGAGCATTCGCCGGTTCTTACGCTTTCACCGATATCATCAACGCTTTTGGTGGGTCCTCCACTGACCGTGGTAACTCTGGTCCATTCTTCGTTGGTTCGGCGTTCGCGGTGGTCATTGCGTTGATCACACTTTTCTGCTTGCCGAAGTTGAGTCAGGAGTGTATCGAGGAGGAGGACATTGCGTTCCGTGCGTACCTCGTGGATCAAGGATGGGATGTTAGTAAGATGGGGTTGTTGAAGGAGTCGTCAATTGCGACGGAGGCTGGGGAGCACATGTCGACTTCAGCGGAGATGATTGGTAGTGCCGACGAGAAGAAGGGGCAGGTGCAGCCTATCTACACCGCTGAGCGTGCGTTGTAAATACGCCAAAGCATAAGATGAACTTGGTGAGCACGAGAGGACGGAGGAGAAAGCGCTATTTTTGCCACGGCTGTAATGGAGGAAGAATAGGCGACGCGTTACGACGAGCCAGACTTTTGGGCCATTCGATCTTAAACATATCAATTATATCCTTCTGCATCACGAAACGGCCATGCCCAATTGAACCTTCCTTCCTCTCATCGAGGTGCACATGACGTAGGACCCCGCGTTTCGGCCTGGGATGTGCACCTGTCCATTCCACCGAAGACAGACCATGAACCTCACCACCAAGACCATTGACAATTGATCCCAAGTTGAAAACAATCTGATCAGCCCGAGTAGCCACAACCATGTCCACCAAACCCTCCATCGGCGTCCAAGTCTCCGGCGCAACCTTCGAAGCCCCCTTCGCACGCCCCTTCACCATCTCAATCCCCGACTCCTTCCTCGATCTCACCCGTCAAAAACTCCTCCTCACCCGCTTTCCAGACGAACTCGAATCATCCGGCTGGGAGTATGGGATACCGCTGTCAATGGTCCAGAACCTGCGTGACTACTGGTTGGAGAAGTATGATTGGAGGAAAGAAGAAGCGAAGATGAATGAGCTCGAGAATTTCAAGATGAGGGTGCCCGTTATCGAACACGATACGTTGGATGTGCATTTTGTGCATAGGAGGAGTTCGAGGGTTGATGCGATTCCGCTACTCTTTGTTCATGGATGTAAGTCGTATGCTATTGCCATGAGACTGCAAGCTGAGTTCAATTCAAAGGGCCCGGCAACTTCACCGAAGTCACCAAAATCCTCCCGCTACTTACCGAACCCCAAGACCCCTCTCTCCCCGCCTTCCATGTCGTAGCTCCAAGTCTCCCTGGTTACGCCTTCTCCGAGGCTCCCAAGAAGGTAGGATGGATCGCCCAGTTAGCAATCATGACCGGGGCTAATTCTCCCACAGTCAGGTTTCGGCGTCGCCAAAATGGCAGAATGTTTGAAGAACCTCATGGTCGCACTCGGGTACGACGAGTTCGTCTGTCAAGGCGGTGACTGGGGATCTTGGATAACACGTACACTCCCCCTCCTCCACTCTCCCTCCCTCCCCAACCACTAACATATATCATTCAAAGGCATGCTCGCCCACCTCTACCCCCAAAACTGCCTCGCCCTCCACCTAAACTTCCTCTATGCCTCCCCTCCACCCCCCTCCTCCCCCCTCTCCTGGCTCGCCTCAAAACTCCCCTACATCTTCTACTCCTCAAACGAACGCTACGGCCTCGCCCGCACCGCCAAGATGATCGAAAAAGGCACTGGATACCAGAAGATTCAGAGTACGCGTCCACAGACGTTGGGGTATGCGTTGACGGATTCGCCGGTTGGGTTGTTGGCTTGGATTGGTGAGAAACTCGGGAACTGGGTTCATGGGAACGTGGAACAAGGGGGACCATGGGGCCCGGATGATTACATCACATGGACCATGCTCCACTGGATCCCCGGCCCAACCCCCGCAACCCGCATCTACAAAGAATTCACAGCCGAACGCACCCTCCTAACCGAAACCCCCAACTTCGTCCGGCAACCAACCGGCGTCTCGAATTTCGCCAAAGAAATATACCTCATGCCGGAGAGTTGGACGAGGAGGTTGGTGAATTTGAGATGGAGTCGGTGGCATGGGGAGGGAGGGCATTTTGCGGCGTGGGAGAAGCCGGAGGTGTTGGTTGAGGATGTTAGGGAGTTTTTTGGGGGGTTGTTGGGGAGGGAGTTGAGGGTTGGGATGGTGAAGGCGAAGTTGTAAGCTGATGTTCTGTATACGTACTTGTAATGGGTGAAGGCAGCTGGTCAACGAGACTAAAAGCGATTTGATCTATTGATGATTGGTATGGGAAATTTGTCCCTTGGGTATCTAACGATAAGCATACGATAAGGTCCGAAGCAAATATACCTAGTATTCCTTCCTCTCTCCAATCACTTAGACAGTCTCAACAGTGTCCTTGTATGTATTATTCACTGTCGGCAACTCCGTCCCCCCACTCCCATCAACATGCACCACCTCCTTCGTCCCGTACCAAAAATACTGAAACGCACACGTAAAATCAAAAATCGTCTGGATAACCGCACACAACTTGAACTGCAACGCCATCGGCTTCCCAAACAAAAAGTACGAGGTCTTGAAGATATCTCCGCCGATCCAGGCGACGAGGACAGAGGGACGGAAACCGCGGCAAGATTTGTTGCGGTAGTTTGTGTAGGCTTGGGGGATTGGGAGGGTTGCTTCGATACCGAGGGCGAGGAAGCCGATTAGTTCGATGTAGGAGGGGATCCAGCCGAGGAGGATTTGGAGGAGGATCACGGAAGCGGCGAAGGCGCCCAAAAACTGTAACAAGATTGTCAGTAGGCGAGCAGAGATTCGTCTTACTGAAGGACATGCTACCTCCCAGTACGTTTGCGCACGGCGCCATTGCCAGAGGTCGAAGGGACGGCGCCAGCCGTCCCAATGAGAGGAATGCGCTGGTCGGTAATCTAACACAGATTTGAGGAGGACGAGCTGTGACACGTATGTTAACAAGCCTTCTGACGGGCTCGACATAGACACTACCTGAGTAAAAATCATGACGATAGCCTGAATGAACAAACTCGTCTCAAACGGCTTTCCGAACCAGAATAGTACTCGGAGGATACTCGACACCAACATGATTCCGCAAATGTCGATACTGGTAGACTGTCAGCCCAGCCTCCCACAAATCCCATGGAGTCCAAACTGACCTGAATCCTTGTGACGACCGTTTCTTGTTAATTGACCATATCATGTCACCATACGACGTCAACGGACTCGAAATGAAGAACACTGCACGTCACGATCAGCACAAGTGCTTCGCCCATCCAAGGAGCCAACTGAGCAGACGTACACCCCATGACAACGTCAGCTAGCCATTGTACCCAACCGCTCATGTTCAACAGCAATTGACTGTAGGGAGTGAATGCTGTTATGGTGTTTTCAGTGATGACAAGCAGGCGCCCAAGGGATTTAGGGGTAGAAGCAGGGCGCGAGACAGTTGGCCATACAGAGAGGCTGTCATAAGCGATGAAGGACAATCAACCAAACCCAGGATGAATGCTGCAATTGCAACACTCCAAGAGATATGTCAAGACCATAGAGACCGTCTACGGCGACATTGTGACCATATCGCTTCCAATCAGGTCGGTCGCAACTTAAGAGCACCAACAACCTTGTGATAGCAAGTGCTGATGGGATTGACAGAACGGCATAACCTCCAAAACAGAGAAGGTCGACACCTTAGCGACACAGGTCGCCAACATCACTGCTTCAAGAGCAAGGAGAATTGAGAAAGATGCTGAAGCATTACGCGGAGGTACGACTTAACCATGGTTTTTCCTGCTACGGGAAGACTAATTTGATTGTCACAGTTGAGCGTGTTGCTGAAGCTGCTGAGCGGACGTATGCGTCGCTTGAGGCGGTCTTGACGACCTTGAAGTCAATTGACGCCTTGTTGCCGAGAGAAGAGCGATTGGGAACAGACAACTCGGCACACAAGGAGCACTACCCAAGGTAAGTCACCCCGTACCAGCCTTACAAATGGCGGCTGACCAGGACCCAGGTTACATGCCCTCCTTTCGTCACGTACGAAACATGCGCCGCTTACCAAGACGCCAAGACACTGTTCGGGCCGACCTACACTACGACACAAGAAGTCACAAGCAACCCTCCTAACCGCCGCTCCAGCCCTCAAACTCCGCACCCTCACCCCGACGGCCTCAACGTCCCTTAACGTCGCGTCCCTACCAGTACCAGAAGCCGATGGAGTCAGTACACGGAGTACAGTAGCAGAAAGCTCTCGGAGTCGGTGGACGATAGCGAGTCGGAGTTTTTCTGTTTTGGGGAGTTTGATGGGTGGGAGACGGGAGCCGACGGAGGTTAGGGCGGAGGATAAGTTGAGGATGATGGTTGGTGATCGGAGACGGGGGAATAGGGTTGTGAGCGAACCAATCGGTAGACGGTAGAAACGGCATATCAAATGCAACTTTGGAAGTCACGCGTGTGTATTTCATTCCCTACGGCCTTGGAATCTTCTTCGGCATCCGGCGCGATGCATTCGGGCGACTTCTACCGAAATGGGAAGTTCGCTTACAAATTACATCAGCGCGATATAAAACGCTCGAGCCGCCTAACTTTTCGAGTCTCCATACAAGATAAGATCATATATACAATAACAAAAATGGTTCAGAACAAGTCCGTCAACTTCGTTGAGGTCCCCACGGGTTACCCCGTCAAGGACAAGACCATGAAGCTCGTCACCGGCGAGATCGACCTCGAGCAGAAGCTCGAGGACGGTGCCGTCATCGTCAAGGTTCTCTACGTCTCCATCGACCCTTACCAGCGTGGTCGCATGAGGGACGCGTCCATCAAGTCCTACGCCCCCGCTTTCAAGCTCAACGCACCCATCGACAACGGTGGTGTCGCCCGCGTCGTCAAGACCGCCAACTCCTCCTACAAGGAAGGCGACGTCGTCTACGGTTACTTCCAGTGGTCCGAATACCAGGTTATCTCCCCCCAGGAAGCCAAGGCTCTCCGCGTTGTCGAGAACAAGGAGGGTCTCCCTCTCTCACACTACGTCGGTGCCCTTGGTATGCCCGGTATGACCTCCTGGTACGGTCTCACCCTCGGTAAGCAAGAGAAGGGTAAGACGGCCTTCATCTCCGCTGCTTCCGGTGCCGTCGGTCAAATCGTCGGACAGCTCTGCAAGCGCCGTGGAATGTACGTCGTTGGATCCGCCGGAGAGGATGCCAAGGTCGACTTCCTCCTCAACGAGTGCCAGTTCGATGCTGCGTTCAACTACAAGAAGGAGGGGCCTCGTGATGCGTTGAAGAAGTACTGTCCTAACGGTATTGACCTTTACTGGGAGAACGTCGGTGGTGAGACTCTTGACGCTGTTTTTGAGGCCGCGAACGACTTTTCTACCATCATTGCTTGTGGTATGATTTCTCAGTACAACACCACCGAGCCTTACGGTGTCAAGAACATCATGAACATCGTTGCCAAGCGTATCAAGATGCAGGGATTCATCGTCCTCGACGAGTTCGACGGACAGTGGGTCCAGGACTTCTTCGCCGCCGTCCCTGGGTGGATCAAGAACGGTGAGATGAAGGTCAAGGAGGACATTGCTGAGGGTCTTGAGAACGCTCAAGATGCTTTCATCGGTATGTTGCAGGGTAAGAACTTTGGTAAGGCCATGATCAAGGTTGCCCAGGAGTAAAAACTGCACCAGTCAGTTGTACGATATGGAAATGCGTTGAGGGATCTATTTTTACATAGCAGTCACTACCTTGAGGAATGATAAGTTTCATTTTTGATTATCATCCTATCCGGACCGTATCGTAGTTGTCGGATATCCTCCACATCCCTCTTCATTGCTGACTAGGAGGCAACGGACTCGTCGGCGCCGAAGGAGCTGGGGTCTGCCCCTCCGTAGGAGTCTTGCTCTGTGCCAGTCCCAAAGTCACACTCGCCAGCCTGTCCGCAACGAAGTCCACCGCACCCTTCGGCTTCAATAACGTAGGTGTAGACGTATCCTGCTGAATCTTGAAGAGACGAACGTGCGCTGTATGACAATGTCAGCATGTACCAGTAAACGTTCATACTGGGCTATCATACTTCCTGTCCACACACCAACGGCGCCATTCGTGAGCTCCATTTCACTAAGATATATGCTTCCAAAAAGCATACTCTCGAACCACCCAACCGCTAGCTCAGTCCAGATGAATGATCTCGGATTCGGCTGCGAAGGGTGAAGATCCTTCACCTCAGCCTGGGTACGAAGGAATTCGAGGATTGGTTGAGGGTCTGTTAGTGGTTGTGCCGGGTTCGCCATGATTTCCTCTACTTGAGGGCGGAGTTCCTCGATGGTGGTCATGATGGTCTGAAATGGCAACAGTGGAAGCCATGAATCGAGCTGTACATCTAGTCAGCATTTGAAATACGGAACATAATCCGACCATGCGTACCCATGCTTGTGTAGGATTGAAGTCAGGCTTCCCAATAGCGAAGCTGCTGGCAAAGTTAAACATCCCACTCGCCAAACTGGCATTACTTCCTCTTCTCGGCGTCGTAACACCCTCAGGAAGCTTTCCCCTAGCCTTTTCAGACATTACCCTCAGAGGAGGCGACTGCAGGTTCCAGTCAATAGACCCTACACTTGAATCCCTCTCACTTGGCGATGTCAGAGGAATCCTCGAAGCATCAGCGATCGAGTTCGAACGCGACTTCTCCTCGTCCTCGTCATCCTCTCCAATGGCAAATGTAGGATCCGTACTCCGAGGACCAAAAACCGGCCTCTGCGTCATAGGCTTGACCTCACCCCTCTCCTCCGCCGCTTTCTTGGCTTCGTCCTTCTTCTGCTTGATGCGCTGGATGTCCTCCAATCCCTTCTCCAAGTTGAAATCCGCCAAACTTTCGAAACGCCTGTGCGCTCTCAGGATGGCGTAAACCAAATCGGGATTCTCATGAAACTGGTTTTCGATAACACCGTTGAAGGCCTCAAGGAGGTAAGCAAGGAGGATATGGTTGCTGTCATTAGCAAGAAGGAATCCAGGCGAGGAGATGGAGGTGAAGAGCTGAATGAGCTTCGTGCAGGTCACGACCGAAAGGTTCTGGAGGTATGGCGCAATGTTGGCGATGCTGAGGAATAATGCTGGGTACAGGGAGCTCAAGACGCCCTTACTGGTGGCGATGAGGTTGTAAATAGACTGTGAGAGTGGTCAGCGTAAACTCGTCAATTCGCGCTGACACGCTTACAATAATCATGAAGTCAGCATACGACCCCGAGAATGCCGGTGTCCGCATACAAGCCGGCAAACTTCCGTGCCCCTCGAATGGCTTGTTTAACTTCTCACTGAATCCCTGTTCCGCCGTCAAAGTCTGCAAAATGAAAATGCACATCCTCACGAGCCCGATCTGTGCTGGATCAGTCTTGTGCTCCAATGGGTAATAGAGAAGCAAGACGACGAAATCAAGAGCACGCTCGGTGTCGATGAGGTATGACCGGAACCGCCGATTAGTTTGAAGTGACTCCCAGAACAGCATCATCATCTCCGGTCGAATATGTTTCTGTCCGCTCCCGGGCAAGTAGGAATTCGATGCCTGAATGGGCTGGTTCAGGATACGTGACATACCATCCACGATGAATTGGAAATCCTGCGTCCGATGTAACTTGCTAAAGTAATAACGGAAGTTGTTCTGAGGCACAGCTACTTGTGAATCAGGGTTGGTGTCGTTGGCAACTTGCTGGGGCATGGGGTATGTGAGGAGGGCGAGGAGTAATTGAAGGGAGTAGGTGACGAGGATTTGACGGGGGTCGTTGAAGACGACATGGCTGTAGGTGACGCGCCAGGCTGTCGGGTTGTATTTCATGACCTGTACGACTGGTTAGCATCTGTTTGATCCAAATGATCGGCTGACCCATCATACCGTATTCAGCAAGGAGCAAAGCAAGGCCAGCACGATTCGCTTATCCGTGCTGACAATATGTGTGATACTCCTGATACCCTTAGTCGAGAGAGCATATGACGGCTGGTACATCGTCTTTGATGCCATTGCCAAGATCAAACGCAGTGTCTCAATCTTGTTCGCCTCACACTCCTTGGTGGTGCCGATTGGCTGGGTACATCCCACACCAGTTTCCCAGATTGCGTAAGTAACCTTGTCCTTCTCCAATGTTTGAGGTAATGTAAATCCGCAGAAAAATAGAAGGTCGATGGCCGTGTCTAAAAGTTCAACCGCCAGGGGCTTGCCCGAAGGTACGATCTTCGACGATGTCGATTACCAGAAGATCAAATGCTTTGGACTTGGAGGCGACCGCCCTGGTTATCAGTGACGATGCAGAGTATCAGCAGGGACTGAAAGATGAGTTAGAGTGGTTGAGAAGCCGTACGGAGAAGGTAACGATGCAGGACTTCGATGCGAAGGAGAGGAAGGTTGCACTGGATGTGAAGATTGGAGTTTGCCTCTTGGGCGACAAGCTGTAAGTTAAGATTAAACGGACATAAAGGATACGGTGATAGATACCCAAAATACAGCGGCCTTGCAATTGACAAGGTTCATTCCTTCACCTTGCGGATAACTTCTGTGAGGGCAACCGCTCAAGGCTGAAGATGAGAAGATATATGAGAGGAGAGAGATGGGTGATATCAATATAAATTGGTACTGAACAAAGAAGAATTTCCCCGGGAGATCAAGAACATGTCACTCGTTGCGGTCCAACGTCACAGTGCAGAGCCGACGCACGCACGATCTCCCGGCGGCGCAGCTCTCCGGCGGTGCGAGTACAGCGAACGTCAAGGAGCCAAGTTACCGGACCAAACACTACACCAAGAATCAAGTCCAGCATCATCATACGCATAACAGATCAATGGGCGCAAGCGATTCCAAGCTCGCTTTCCGGAGGGGTGTCTTTAGGCTTTACGAGGAGCGCAATATCCCTGCCGATGACGAGTACTGGACACAGGTATGTGATGTATGCTTGGCGACTATGGTGATCTTCTAACCTACGTTGTAGTTCTGGCAACTTCCTGAAACCGCAAGCGATGTCTTCACTCTCTTCTCCACCGCCGACCTTCGACGAGTCCGCGACACAGCTCCTGAGAACCTCGACAACTTGATCTTAGCACTATGTAATCACTTATTCGAACTCCGACAACATCCTCAGTTCCCTCATCCCGAACTCGCACCAGCAAAGGAGGCACTGAATTGTATGAGAGTATTAACACGGATCTTCCCCTTCGTGTATGAGAAGGCGGAGCTGGAGGAGTGGGAGGAGAAGTTCTGGTGGGGCCCCAGGAGAGGAGCAGTGAGTCGGGCGAATAGTATGGCGGCGTCTGAGACGGCTGATGGAGGAGCAGAACCACAAAGGACACCGTCAAGCCGAAGTTGGTCGACCCAATCAAGGTGATAGCCGGACCAGCCGACTCTGGTGGGGTGACCCAAAGACCCTTGGCGTGGTATGTCCACCCATCAGGCTCGCCAACTGTCCCTCTCCTCCACTCCTCCAAAGCGATAAGATCACCCTTCCCATTCGCAATAGCATCCCTTAAGAACCTCTTGCTCAGCAACGTGTACGCAGGAGGCAACATCCCAGAAGGCCAACCTGACTTGTAGAATCCATTCGCTTGCTGGCTTGCAGTGATAATCGTACCCGGGGCTGCGGTGTTCAGGAGTCGGTTACGGTAGTCTGGATGGATGTTGAAGTATCCTGCAGTGAACGCCCACGAACCACCCTTGAATGATGGATCCTTCAGGACATCGAGCGTTGCGCACACCCCAGCGTGTTCTGTGGAGTAGTTCTCAGGGGTGAACAGAGGCGTATATTGCGCCAAGGGGAATACCAACGTGCTGGATGGAGTACGAGGTTTGACTTCACTGACTGTTGATCCTGGTCCCACAAGAGAGGTCAATCGAGCGGTAGCAGTCTCCTTGTATGCCTCAGGCTCCGTAACGGGCTCAGGACAAACGTTCGTCACAGGCCATGACAGAACATAACCTTGCTTCAAGGTGTTGTCAGGCTGAACCTTATATGACAAAGAGCACACAGTCGACTGAATCTTCGCGTAGTAGTCCGTAATCCTATCTGATGAAAACATATGATATCGGTCCTGGCGGTTTGTGAAGTAATCATCTGACAAGTTCGCGCCTGACAGGATGATCTCGTTATCGAAGCCATACAGCTTCATGTGCTGTAATCCCCATCCTTCGTTGAACCGTTTGGGAATGTACATCTTTTTCAATCCTCTTAGGTTGGGGGTGTGGAACATCCGCACCTCAATGCGATCATCTCCGAACTCCTCAATCAATGGAGCGAGAATGGAGGCGGCAGAGGGATTGGGCGATTCCCGGGTACCACGGAGGGCATCGGTCAGGATAGAAACTTGAAGGTTCTTGTTGGTGGACAAAGCCTCGCGGATAATCGCGACAAGTTCCAACTCCTTCTTTCCGATATATAGCGTTGACAGGAAGATCCGGCTCTTGGCATTGAGAATCTTGTGCTTGAGAGTCGAGTAAAAGTCTGCGGGCTCCCGTAAGATCTTGATCTCTCCCTTTCCGAGCTCGAAACATGGCGCAATAGCGGAAGCCTTGCTGATGAGGTTTTCTACCGAGGAGTGGTGGAGCCGTAAGACTTGCGCAGCATAGGCATATCGAATGGTGGGAACGGCAGGCACAACCTGTAAGCAATATAAGCGACGAGTTCTGAATCCAATCGACCTAGATGGGACTCACCCTCCGTCCATTCCGTGCAATCCCATTATACAGACTCGGCGGTATTGATTTGGCGTTCATGGTGTGCCGAGTCCGAGTTGACAACGATAACGAAGGAGCAGACTGAGGGTCTGAACCAACGACGACGATATGATTGGATTGAGAGAGTGTGAATCAACGACGACGAAAGAAACACTTGGGTAATTTCGATCGCGAGACGACGCTCATGTTCACCAATTGCAGGAACGCGCATGACGAGCAAAATAACCTCCAAGAACAACGATGCCTCAGCAGGACCAGATCGTTCTCACTGTCGCTCAGAAGGGCTCTCCTGTTGCCTACGGACCCCTTTTGGCGGCCAGCTTCATCAATGCCGACAACGTCCTTCCCCCGGTCTCTATCCGCTACAAGGAGGCTGCCTTGATTGTTGAGTCCGACAAGTCCTCGAACGTCAGCTTGCAGGGCAAGGAGGGTGATGTGATCTACGGTGTCGAGAATGTCGCTAAGGCTCTTGCTAAAGGCTGCCCTGACGCCAAGCTCTACGGTAAGAGGGAGGAGCTCGTCGACGAGTGGCTCGCTTTCTCCGCTCGTCTCGCCGGTGACTTCAAGTCCGTCCTCCCCGCTCTCGAGGAGCTGGACCACCACCTTCAGCTCCGTTCTGTCTTGGTCGGTTACTCCCTTACCGTCGCCGATCTCGTCATCTGGGGTGCGATCAAGGGCAGCACCATCGCTGTCGGTGCCATCAAGAAGAACGCCTTGACCAACATCTCCCGTTGGTTCTCGTTCATCGAGGCTCAGCCCCACGTCTACCAGGCCGTCGACGCCATGCAGAAGGAGATTAACCTTAAGAAGAAGACTAAGACCGCCAGCAAGTCCCACACTTCCAACTACGACATCGGTCTTCAGGATGCCGAGGAGGGCAAGGTCTGTGTCCGTTTCCCTCCTGAGCCCTCAGGTTATCTCCACATTGGACACGCCAAGGCTGCTCTCCTCAACCAGTTCTTCGCCCAGGAGTACAAGGGTAAGCTCATCATCCGTTTCGATGACACGAACCCCTCCAAGGAGAAGACGGAGTTCCAGGACTCCATCTTGGAGGATCTTACTCTGCTCGGTATCAAGGGTGATGTCGTTACTCATACTTCCGACCACTTCGACACTCTCTACCAATACGCCATCCAAATGATCAAGGACGGTAAGGCTTACTGTGACGACACTGTTCAGGAGCAGATGCGTGCTGAGCGTATGGACGGTATCGCCTCCGCCCGCCGCGAGCGTACCGTCGAGGAGAACTTGCAGATCTTCGCCGAGATGACCGCTGGAACGGAGCTCGGATTGAAGAACTGCTTACGTGCCAAGATTTCCGTTGATGACCCGAACAAGGCCCTCCGTGACCCTGTCATCTACCGTTGCAACCTTCTTCCCCACCACCGTATCGGTGACAAGTGGAAGGTCTACCCCACCTACGACTTTGCTTGCCCCATCGTTGACTGCATCGAGGGTGTCACCCACGCTCTCCGTACCATTGAGTACCGTGACCGTAACGCCCAGTACCAGTGGATGCTCGACGCATGCAACCTCCGCCGCGTCCACGTCTGGGACTTCTCCCGTATGAACTTCGTCAGGACTCTCTTGTCCAAGCGTAAGCTCCAGTGGTTCGTCGACCAGGGTCTCGTCGGTGGTTGGGATGACCCTCGTTTCCCTACTGTCCGTGGTGTCCGTCGTCGTGGTATGACCATCGAGGCTCTCCGTCAGTACATCCTTTCTCAGGGTCCTTCCAAGAACATCAATAACTTGGACTGGACTTCCATCTGGGCTATCAACAAGAAGACCATCGACCCCATCGCTCCCCGTCACACTGCCATCTTCACCGAGGGTAAGGTCCCTGTCAAGCTCGAGGGTGGACCCGCCGAGGTCGTCGAGGAGGTCCGTCCTAAGCACAAGAAGAACCCTGAGCTCGGTAACAACAAGGTTGCGTTCTACCACCAGCTCGTTGTCGACCAGGACGATGCCCAGACCTTCAAGGAGGGTGAGGAGCTTACCCTCATGGACTGGGGTAACGCTTTCGTCACCAAGATTAACAAGGAGGGCGACAAGGTCGTTTCTCTTGAGATGAAGCTTCACCTCGAGGGTGACTTCAAGAAGACTGAGAAGAAGGTCACTTGGCTCGCTGACACCCCCGCTCTCACCGACGTCGAGCTCGTCGACTTTGACCTACTCATCACCAAGGAGAAGCTCGAGGATGGTGACGACGTCAAGGACTTCTTGACTCCTCAGACTGAGTTCCGTGTTTCTGCTGTTGCTGACGGTAACGTCCGTGACTTGAAGAAGGGTGACGTTATGCAGTTCAACAGGAAGGGATACTATGTTGTTGATGTTCCTTACACTGAGGGTGGTAAGATTGTAATGTTCTCAGTTCCTGATGGTGCTTCCAAGAACCGTTACGGTGTTGCCAAATAGATGCTATCATCTAGTGGTATAATATAAGAAAAGAACATCTTTGGCAAATCAATTTCGACGTTCGCTCCTCAATTCCACGACTGCTCCGTACTTTCCCACGCGTACTTGCCCGTCCCCTCGAACCCCTTTCCTACCCTATAAAGTCTCTGCCTCCCCCAGCTCTTTGTCTCCCCCCACGACCACCCCCTCCCCTCCTCCCAACCCTCTTCCTCCTCCTCCAATTCACAATGGCTTCCGACTGCGCTGCTTTCCTCCTCGTCATCCTCACCATCCTGGTGGTACGAACTTTTGATTCTTTCCCTCTGCGGAGTGTATGCTGATTACGTGCAGCCCCCGCTCGCTGTCTTCATCACCACTGGCTGCTCTGTTGACTTCGTTATCAACATCTTCCTCACCATCCTCGGTTACATTCCTGGGTATGTTTCGTGGTCGGAATCCTGGGTGTATGCTAACGGCGGCATTTACAGGATCATCCACGCTTTCTACGTCGAGTACAAGTACGCCCGTCTTGAGCGTGAGGCCGCTGCTTTTGAGGCCGGTACCATCGCTCCTGTTCCTACGGCGTATTGAGTTGATGTCGATGGTGTCGCTGATGGTGAGGGGTTGTATGCTGCGGCCTTTGGGGTGTATGCAACGAGTGGGTCTTGACGCACAGAGTGTGATATTGGTCAGAAGTGTTTGATGGACTGGCTACTTGTCTTATGGGGTTTCTTTTCGGGGTGTATGCTCGCGTTCATGGGTCGGACGGGCTTGAAGTCCTTGTTATCGCAGCTTCTGACTGCACATGTTATTGATTGATAGACCTGCTAATAACCCCTCTTCCTTCCTCAATCGCTTGCGGTGCGTGTCTTCGCCTTTCTACCCACCTTCCCTGTCACCTATCAATCTGAAACTCACACGCTCCCCCCACACGCGTCGCCTATAAATCCCCCATCTCCTCCCCGCAACCCAAACCTCCCACAAACCCCCCATCAAACAAACGTACCCCACCTTTTCTTCTACCTCTACCGTATTTCATAATGGCTTCCTCTGGTCTCGCCGCAGTTTTCCTCATCATCCTCACTGTCTTCCTCGTTCGTCTCCTCCACTTCTCTCCTTTCCCGTCGTCTTGTCGATCGTGGGCTGGGGATGAATGCATACTAATCGAGCATGCGGATAGCCCCCGTTGGGTGTCTTCCTCATAACCGGCTGCTCTGTCGAGTTCCTCATCAGCATCCTCCTCACAATCCTCGGCTACATCCCTGGGTACCTCTTCCCTCCCCCTTCCCTTGCTCCCCCTGGATGTATGTTAACCCACCGTGCCCATAGCTGGATCTACGCCTTCTACATCGAATACAAATACGCCAAACTCGACGCCGAAGGCGTCGCCGCGTACCCTGAGCCCATCGTTTACCGAGCTCCGGCCACTACCGGTACTACGACTACGAGTGAGCGTATTGCTGCGGCGCCGAACCCGCATGTTAGGGGGATGAGGGGGGTTGATGCTGGTGTTCATTTGATGGAGTAAAGATTGAGTTTGATGGATGTTGATGAGAAGTTGCGTGGATGGCAGTGTGTGAAGGCGTGATGGTTATTGATGGATTCTGTGATGGGGTGTGAGTGATAGTTCTTCTTTACCGTGTATGCAGGGCGTTGGGCTTGAGGTCCGTTATTGTTGTGATAGAGGGGTGATAAACGATGCTATTGCATGCATTCTTCTTCTTCCTTACTGGGTTACTCTTGGCTTTTCGCCTGTAAGTGGTACGGAATTGACTCGATCCTCCTTCCCCTTCACTCGCCAAAGGCCTCAATCCACCAATCACAGGAGCCCCGTGCAAAGACCATCAGAATCCATTGAGTGAATGGTCGGGTCCAAGAAATATCGTGTTATCTGTTCAAGGCCTCCCTACCGCAGGCATATATCCAGTTCATCGGCCACCTCTACTTCTTGTACACAGGCGGCTGCTGTCCGACGACACCAGTCGTCTGCCCGGTACTCCCATACCCCCTAACATCACGTCCATTCCCAGCACCGGGCTGCAACGTCGAGTCCGAATAAACCGCAGCAGGCCTCTCTCCTGACGCAGGCTCATATCCCGCCCTCGCCTCTTCCAGCCTCTTATAATGTTTATACTCGAGATAGAAAGCATGGATGTGCCTGTCCAAAACCAAGTCAGCCGAACAATGGTGAAGTCAGTTCGAGTTCTTGACATACCCTGGAAGATAGCCAAGCACAGTCAAGCAAATGTTAATCAAGAAATCGGCGGAACACCCGGAGATGAGGAAGACGCCGAGGGGAGGAAGAAAGATTGTGATGATAACGACGAGGACGGCGCTGACGTCTGACATGGTTGGTAGATTCTTGGGATGCTGGTTTTGGTGGTTTGTGCTTGGGCGGTCGCGGAGGGCGGGGGGGTTGGGCGGTGACGTCACGGGAAGGACCTTTGTTCTCATCCAGATCGGAGTGGGAAGCAGTGGAGAGGAAGGATGGACGATCTTGATATACTTGCGTTTGCTGTCAATACGATCGTACAACGTCGTGCTCTGAAGTGGCTACTCCGTCTGAGAGGGTTGAGTCATCACTTCAACTGCTTCCCAACCCCCATCTCCCCCTCCAACTTCTCCATCTCCTCCACAACCTTCCCATGCAACCACTTTGCCAACTTCGGCGGCCCATTCGCACTCACAACCCGATACGCCTGATCTCCACTTTCATACGTCGTAACCTTCACCTCACCACCCTCAACCCTCACCGTACCGACGATGTCCTCGGGGTAGGGGATACGTCCATACGGCGGTGGGTTTCGTTCGTCCGCAATGTGGATCCAGCCGTCGCCGTTGGAAGAAGCGGTTGCGAGGGTTATGGGGTCCTGGGGGAGGTGCGTGCGGATGTGAGATTGGAAGCGGGGGAGGAAGGAGGGATTTTCCTGGAACTTTGACACGGGTGAGAGGTCTATGTCCTGAATTTTCGAGTCGAGCGCTTTCAAGAAAGTCGGCAGTTAGCGAAGACGGGGGAACAAGGAAGGGAAGGGAGACGTACGGGCCCATCCCAGGGTGTTGTCGGGGTGCATGGGTGGTTTGGAAAGGAAAGAGACAGACATCATCGGCTTATCAGTGGCGACGGCTGCCTCTGCTGAGTGAAGGTAGATCTGGGGATACTTCTTTGACTGGAGGAAGCGAGCCTGGAAGCCGAGGCGAGTCGCCGACGAGGCAATGCTGGATCATTGTCAGTATTGATCTAGATGAACCTGTTCGCGAAAGAGGGGACGAGAGCACATACCGGATACGAGAGACAGAGAACATATTAGAAAGCCCGTTTTGGTTACGAATCAATGGTGGACTGATTGTCGATAAATTTCGTCACGGTGGTCGATGTAACGTAGATCCGAAGACTCGCAGAATCGGCACTTTACCCAATTGGGGAATGAGCGTACTTTGCCTCGGGTGCAGGTATATCGGATAGACAGATACGAGAACGGCGGAACTTAAGGCCTGGATCAAAGGAAGAGCAAGGCGGGAAGGCTTTACATGGATCCAGCACCAATGTTCCGCCCGCAGCCGTCAGCCAAGCCTCGCTGCCCACAAGTTAACCTTGCTCACGGCCCGCGGTATTCATGCTTCTCCTCCTCATGACACCGTCTGCCAGTTTCTAATGTTCTAGCGCCAGAGAGTGTTCCACCCCAGATACAATCTGGCTGTCAGAACCGAGCAAACCTGAGCACGCAAGACACCCGCCCAAACTTAAACCTGTTGCATGTACATGTGCATGTCTGACATCGCTTGATCGGGCACCGGCTTGAGTCACTAAGCCGAAAGACCGGGAACTGCAATTGTTTACCTTGTACACCGTACATAAGCCTCAACTGCATCACGCGGACTGACACCGTCACTGTCTCCACCAGTGTTGCCGAGGCGGTTGTCTATATTTACAGGCCGGCTTTCCCTCTTGGGTCTGTTACCGTCGAAAGGTATTGATCCAGACAGACTGTCACCAGCTCATCACTCAATGACAACGTTTGCACCCAGATCAGGGCTTGTCCACACTTTTAGGTCGCCTACGTTTAGTGGACATCAACTACACCGCATGGATGAGTATCCCGAGGGTTTGTTAATCCATTCTGCAATTGTGAACGGTTGTTGACTTGTTGTTAGTCGATCCGCTGACGACACCACCTCCCTTCTACAGTCAAACTCCGGCAAACAGCCAACTCATCGTGCCCATCTTCGGCATCGTTCCTCCCACGCCCGGCCATGTCACACCAGTACCAAGCCCGAGTCCGATCGCAACAGCGGTGAACCGGAACCGGCGTCCCTCAGCATACGAATTAATGCCACAAGGTTCGCACTCGGGTGTCATCAGTCTCCAAACACCCGGTCCCTCAGCAACATCAACATTCGATACCTCGCATGCGCACGCACACCCTCGCCGTCCATCCCTCTCCGCCGTCCAAAACCTCCACACCGAACCCAACGTCCACGACCCCAGTCCCGACCTCTCCAACCTCGCAGCCCAGCGTCGCCCCTCCGCTTACGAACTCGCCCCCCACGGCTCCCACTCCGGCGTAATCCCCACGCGCTCCCTCTCCTCGACCGGAATTCCCTACTCCCAAACCTTTGAACGCCGTTATGCCGTCATCTCACTGCTCGTGCGTCCCATCTCGGGTCCGGATGATCCGAGTTATGTCAACCATAAACATCACAATGAGTTTTCGGAGAAGGAGAGGGATGGGAGGATTAGGGGAAAAGATTTGGAGGCAGAGAAGGAGAAGGAGAAGGAAAAGGAAAAGGAAAAGGAGAGGGAGGCGGAGAAGAAGAGAAAGGGGAGTTGGATGAGGAGGAAGAGTAGTGCCGCGAGTGCGGTTAGTGTTGGGAGCAGCATTGGCGCAGGGAGGACGGAGAGTGTCGTGGCAGCTGGTTCTGGGTATGGAGTTCGAAGTAGTCGGGAAAGGAGGGAGTCGGCGGTTTCGACAACTTCGTCACAGGGAACATCACCACTGGGGCCTGGTAGGAGGGAATCAAGCGGCACAACACCTGGGCAATTTCCTCTGGTTGATCGTGACTCCGCTACCGCCGCGAGCTCAGTACTGGTAACACCAGGCACCTCCCCCGAATCCCCATCAAACATGGCATCGGCACAACGCAGACCGTCAGGCGTAGGCATGTTGGGCGTCATCGGGCGTCGCTTCTCGAATGAGAGTACGGGAAGTAACTCCAGTGCCAATGCGGGAGCCGGGAGAAAAGGCAGTGTTGCCAGTGTGGAGGGGGAGAAGAAGAAGGGTGGGAAGTGGTGGGCGAGTTAATGGCCTTCATGATGGCTGTGATCAGGATGTGTTGTTTATTATGGGGGGCGTTCGTGTGCTTGATCAATGGAACGGGAGTATTCTTAACTATCTTACTATACCCAATATCACATGTGCATTGCTCGAAATATCCCACATTCTCCGTCCCTTCCTACGTCTTCAACCTAAGAAGCACCCTGCCCTCCTCACGTTCAACACCAATGGGCTCGACCTCGACCATCCCCTCACCCATCTCACCCCCAAAGACGTCCTCCAACTTCAACTCCACGCAGCCCACCGGCCTCGTCTTCGGCAGCTCCTTAACCGCACTACTACCAATAAAGAAAGGCTTGCGATGTGTGCTCCCGGCTGGCGCTGTATATACTCCCTTCCTAGAACTTCTCCCCATCGGCGTCCTCCTCTTCGTATCCGTCGAGATGGTGGGAATGGTGAATGATGCATCAGGCGTACTCGACCCCTCCTCTCCAAATAGGCGCATACAATCTCCGAGATGACCCAAAGCAGACTCGAGACTTTCGCGTTTACGGCGTTTGGAGGGTTGAGAGGGTGTTTCGGTTTCTAGGGAGAGGATATCGGAGAGGGGACGTTTGTTGGAGGGAGTGGGGCGGGTGAAGGAGGGTGATTTGTGGGGATGGCCTGTATCTTGGTGGTAAGTCACGCTTGTAGCAAGTTGAACTAGCAAGGGATGATACCTTGCTGCTCGAATCGTGAATGCCTTATGGCGTGAAGTGCAACCGGCACGAGGAACCCCGCATTTAAGGAGGCGGTAAGCCAAGTCGGAGCAAAGACAACTGCATGTCTATAGCGTCCATCAGCAACCCCTCCTTTCATAAGCAAACATTCATGCGTACTTTGGAAGGCTCGATATCTCCAACCTCGACTCCATCGCGAAGATATACTCCACTTTCTTTGTTGGCTTTTCCGCCAACGTACCCCCGTTCAAGACTAGCAAACACAGCGTGAGCCGGCACATTCAATACTTGAAAGGAATGGCAGAAACGAACCCCAGCTTTGGATATAATCGGGTGTACATGCGGTAGAGAAGTATGCCGTTCGAAATGCGAAGAGCGGGGGGGCAGAAGTGATCGTTGCGATGGAGGACTTTGGAGGAGCAGGTGAAGAAGAACGTGCAGGTGCTGAGAATGGTCGAGGTGTCATCATAGATGTTCAGTGATAGAAGAAGAAGAAGAGAGAACGGTAGAGACGTGGTGGTGACGACTGTTGTTATGCTACAGCTGGTTGGCAACAGGAGGTCCGTGTGCTCGAAATCGAAGAACGCGCTAGGCTGAGGACCGCGCGCTCGTACCGTGGATGGAGGAGTATGCTGTTGTCAATTCAAGCAAATGCTGTCTTATGATCATATCCCTTTTCACGCCCAATATGCAAATCAAAACCCCTTCTTTCCTTTTGCCCAAAACGCTCTTCGTGTACGGTTTTAGATATCTCCCCTTGCAAGATTCTCACACCTCAGCCGTGTCGTTCGGGACAGGCACGAAACCTCCCTCTCGAATCTCCCTCTCCGCTCCATACATAAAGAACTGCACGAAGATCGTGCCATCAAGAATCAGCGTACCGGCACTACCAGCGATCCACGATGCGTTCACGCCGATATAGGCCCGAGGATCTTGAGATGCGAGGGCCGCCGTGACGATGGAGATAACGTAGGTAATGTTGCCGAGACAAGAAAAAAGGAAGAAGAGGAGTGATAGACCTTCGCACTGCGTCAACTCGTTAGCATGCTCGTGTGTAACGGTTCAAGGAGTTGGCATACAGTCTTCCGTCTCCAGTTGTGCAAGATCTGCGGAATACGGCTTCCGAGGTAGAGACCAGCGCACATCCACCCAAAAACCTGACCCCAGGTGTCCCACTCGACCTCCTCGCTGTGCTTCTTTCCGCCATCTGGCTGTCCACCATGTGCATTTTGCGACATCCACCATCCGGCCACACCGGCAGCACAGACCGCGGCAATGGCGGCAATGTTCCACAGCGCAGCTTTCCACATGGGTGGGGCAGCGTGGACATGCTTGTGACGCTGGTGTTCGTCGAGCAACGGCGTAGCTGGCGACAAATGCTCAGGACTCGGCATCCCGTCCGATGATGGAGTAGGCGACTCATCCGACTTTGGCAGAGCACGATAGTACGTAACCTGCGCAATCAAGATAACATCCGCCAACGTATAGTACAACGCCAAAATCAACATCGTCGGCAGAACGTGTTGGAAGATTGCACCGATTACGTTTGCGACGTCGCCTGCTAACCAGATCGCGAGGAAAGTGAGGGAAAGCCCGTCACCGCTCCGTCGTTGGAAGTTTTGGATGATTTGTGGTGAGAAGACGCAGATCCAGAATGCCTGTAGCATACCCCGTTACTACATGGTTGTCAATGTCAAGAAAGGCAGACGTACAATCGAAATTGACCCGGAGATGGACGAAATCGTTAGCGGGTCAAGATGAATCGGAACCGGAGGTGGCATGATGGAATTAGAAAATATGAGTCTTCTTATAAGCCCCTCGACGTTTCGCAAGGCCGTTCACTCTTGTCGTTTGCTCTCGTTGGTCGGCTACAAATTTCGAAGGTGCATCTATCTAACCTTCGATCTGAGATCTCCGCACGTCACGGTGCGCAAGGGCACATGAAGGGTCTCGCTTCGGCATACTGGCAAGAAGAGCAGAGGAGAGTGTTAAGATGATCAAATCAATTGTTCATGGAATGCAATTTCCAGCAGCTCGTAGCGACTACCTGCTTTAGCTATTATCCCAGTTGAGCATGCCGTGTGCGATGGTGAATGAGTGTCGATCCCGGCTCGCGGCCGCGCCAGCGGCGGTGTGATATGTGATCAATGCCAATAAGTCCTTGTAACGCCCAATCCAATTACTGCTCCCCAGTCCTGTCGTTTCTCGCCTGTCGTTTCTCGCTGCTCGCTGCAATAGTCCAGCGCACCATCCTCCGTAGGCGTGCTCTCCCACCATCATAAACGTCAATCTCAATCACTATCACTCAACTCCCCCTCAGCAAGGTTCGCGATAAACAACCTCCCCTGCCCACCTCCAACCCTCCACCCACCAATCCCCTCCTCATCCGAATCAATATCACTAAAACTCGCATGCCGTGATGGCTGGTGCGAATACACCTGTATATCATTCGTCGGAGACCCAGTCCGACTCGGTGGCCGTGGTGGTTCTTCGAATTGGACGGTCGAGCCTTGACGGCTGATGCCATAGTTTTGGTCTTCGCCGCTTGTGCGGAGGGATTGGGAGTGCCGTGCTGGGGATTGGACGGAGGAGGCGGAGCGGAGGGAGGGTTCGGCTGTTACGGCTGTTTCGATTGGCGTGAGGGAGATTTCTTCTCGTAGGCCGCTTCGTTTGCCTGAGCTAATTTGTCTTTGCACGGGTGCTGGCGGGCCCATGGACGGTCCGCGCATAGGGCCATCGTCGGTATCGGCACCTGCTTCAGACGCGGATAGTCGCGGAGGAAGTGTTGGATGGTATGGTGAAGGATCATGGTAGTATGAAGGTGAAGAAACTGACTGCGGTCGATGTGATGAAGAGTGGAAGACGCGCGCCTGTAACACGGTTAGCATCATGACGATGGATCATGTCGCGTAGGTAACATGCCCTCATCGTGTTGAATCGACCCTCTTCCTTCTTCTTCTTTTTGCTGCCCTTCGTCCCAACGACAGTCTCCTCCTTCTGCCCTCGCTCACTCCAAACAGTAGCCTTCGCTCTCCGCATTCTCTGTACGTATCCCTCGGGGCCACTGCCACCCGCTAACCCAGCCAACGTACTATTCCCAGAACTCCGCCGGCTGAGCTGACCGATCGAGGCTGAACTTCTATGTCCAGTTCCATACGAGGTGGAGGAATGTTGTGAGGCGTTGCGTTTCGGTGGTGAATACTGACGCAAAGGCGGCGATGGCCGTGGCCAAGCTTGGGGTAGAGGCGCGGTCGTAGATACTGCTGGGGATTGTACTGGCGGTACTGGCGGTGCTTGAAGAGGTTGAGGAGGGTAGGGCATGTGAGGGGAGGCCGAGGCTGAGGGTGGGTGCGGTAGTGGTTTCCGCGGTGGATACGCGAACTGAGGACCCGCCGGTTGTGGTTGAGGATGGTACATTGTCCTTCAGTTATAAAGAGTGTGTCTCACCAACGTACCGGTTGATTGGATCACCGAGGTCTTCTCGTGCGCTGCCCGTGCGGTAAGGAAGTATCCCGCTGATGGTTCGACCCAAGTCCGCGATTGGCACAGCCTCGAGCCGTGTTTTCCGCGAAGCGGGATCAGAACGTCGATAGGAAAGCAAAGGGTCCAATTATAGAGACCGGCAGAATAGTTATTCTGATCGTGATACCGTAAAGATCGAGTGCTGACGGCAAGACTGGACAGGCTCGAGACGATGATTTGGGGCAGGTTCGAGCCACATGCATCGGGCGCATGCGGGGCCAGTGGCGGCTGAGCAACCTAATTATAGGACCGAGGTATATCAGACCGACAGCCGGACCGAGGATTTTTCTTTCTTAAGGGTCCAAAAGTGTAATTTGCCTCAGCGAGTCTTGTACCAGAGTTTGCGTGTTTTCCGGAGAGTGGGGCCATGGAGGGTGTTCGTCTCCGGCCATCACCACGCTTGAGACTTTACCTTGGTTGTTGACGATGAACCTTGCTAGTAACACAAATTACAGGATCTTTGAACGCACGTTTTCCTGTCAAGTTCAGCGGACCCCCGGAGACATGTGAATATCGGCACATGGATGATGCTGAAGGATCCGGACGGGTGGCCATGGACGGCAGTTAAAAGATTCACGACACACAACATGCCGTGATCGTAGACTTTATCCCCTCAACGTTAGGGTTCAAACCTAATCGGATGCATCATCTTTTTGGACTTCCATAAGAGGCCATCTCGTCTTCTTTCTCGATCGTGGGAATTCTTATGACGTACGCTGCATTTGTATACCAACATCTTCCAGGTGATTAAATTAGCAATCTCGATGAGTGACAAAGTATGACAGTTTCATGTCACGTTGATTAACGTCAATATACACAGTGAGTCCGAGGATCGCTTTGCCTCCCATCACCGAACTACCCAAACATCACTCAGTCCAGAATGCGGCATGGCGTTTTCCCTTGGTTACGCGTCGTTGTTACGCAGTGAAGGACGTCGAGGAAGAAGCTCTACGAGGCCGGAGTGGAGGCAGACCAGGCCATTGCCACCTGTCTCCGAGCTACCCTCTCCCACCCACCGAGAAACCCAGCTCCTCCACCCCCAATGTTCATGATCCCTCTCAAGCTCGTCTTCGGTTCCACATTCCGACGGGAAAAGGGCTTTGCCGGATTTCCGCGGCATGGCTTGTGTTCTTACAGCTTATGCGGTTGTCCTCCAATCGCTGCGATTCCCCCACGCCAGCAACTGCGCAAAACTGCACGTAGCCTAACAACCTAAACCATTTCAGCAGTAAAACCTGCATCGACAGGCATCGGCTAACGGCAGTGTTTGGCCCTCAGTTTCATTAGCGTTACTTTTTTTTGCACATCATGTTGCTTACTAAAGACCTCTTCGTGCCGAGCCGAGGACGTACAAAAAGATCTCCCTTTGCTGTGTACTGTTGCGACGATAGAAGGCGTACGCGTAGTCGGTAACCGTTGAAGATGGATCCGACCAAGAATGCTTTCGAGCTCAACCAGCTCCCGGTTGTTGCTGGTGGTGCTCCCACTGCCAACGTGACTGTAAACAGCACGACAAACAACTCTTCCTCGACTACGCTCGACATGCGCGGTACTGAGGGTGTCAACGTCGCCGCTGCCGAGGCCGATTTTATCGAGTTGCAGCGTCAACTCACCAAAGCTTCGCGTGTCGAGCGGCACGATGCGCTCGAGGCTTCCTTCGGGCGCGACAAAACCGTCGATCTTGAGAGCCATGTTTCGGAGGTTGATTCGACGGCAGAGTTCAACTTGGAGCAGGTGATCCGTGGACAGCAGGACTCCGCCGATGAGGCCGGTATCAAGAGGAAGCACATTGGTGTCATCTGGGAGAACTTGTCGGTTCGTGGAGTGGGTGGTACCAGACACTTTGTCAAGACTTTCCCTTCTGCCTTCACTGGCCTCGTCACCACGATCCCCATGTACCTCGCTTCTTTCCTCCCCTCTCAGCGTCCTCGCGAAGTCGAGATCCTTCACAACTTCCACGGTGTCCTTAAGCCTGGAGAGATGGTCCTCGTTCTTGGTCGTCCGGGATCTGGATGTACTACCTTCCTCAAGATCATCACCAACCAGCGCATTGGCTACACCGGAATCGAGGGTGATGTCGCCTACGCCGGTTTGACCGCTGAGGAGTTCGCCGAGCACTACCGCGGAGAAGCCGTCTACAACATGGAAGACGACATCCACCACCCGACCCTCTCCGTCTCGCAGACGCTCAATTTCGCTCTCGAGACTAAGCTCCCCAACAAGCGCGTTGCCAACCAGCCGAAGGAGTCCTTCAAAGAGTCCGTCACTTCCCTCTTGCTCAAGATGTTCAACATTGAGCACACTCGTGACACCATGGTCGGAAACGCCTTCGTGCGTGGTGTCTCCGGAGGAGAGCGTAAGCGTGTCTCCATTGCCGAGATGATGGTCACCAACGCTTCCGTCCTTGCTTGGGACAACACTACGCGTGGTCTCGATGCTTCTACCGCTCTTGACTACGCAAAGTCTTTGAGGATTCTCACCGACATCAAGCAGACCTCCACCTTCGTCTCCCTCTACCAGGCATCCGCTGCTATCGCCGACCAGTTTGACAAGGTCATGGTCCTGGATGCTGGTAGGACTGTCTACTATGGTCCCGTTTCCGAGGCCAGAGCCTACATGGAGAACTTGGGTTTCAAGCCTAAACCCCGTATGACCCTTCCTGACTACCTCACCGGTTGTACCGACGAGTACGAGCGCGAGATCCAGGAGGGTTACGAGAACGTCTGCCCCCAGACCAGCGAGGGCTTGGAGCAGGCTTGGTTGAATTCTTCTCAGTTCGCTCGCCTGCAGAAGGAGATGGCTGACTACAAGGCCGAAATTGCCCGTGACTCTAAGCCTGTGGAGCAGTTTCGCATGGCCGTTAGGGAAGACAAGTGGAGCGGAACCTCAAAGAAGTCTGTCTACACCGTTCCCTTCTGGACTCAGGTCTGGGCTCTTACTAAGCGTCAAATGATTCTCAAGTGGCAGGATAAGTTCTCCCTTGTTGTCTCTACTATCTCCGTTCTCTTAGTTGCTATCATGATTGGTACTGTTTTCTTGGATTTGCCCAAAACTTCTGCTGGTGCTTTCACTCGTGGTGGTGTTCTCTTCATGGCTCTTCTTTTCAATGCTCTGCAGGCGTTCACTGAACTTCCGGCTACTGTCCTCGGTCGTCCTATTGTCAACAAGCACAAGGCGTATGCGTTCCACAGACCTTCAACGTTATGGCTGGGGCAGATTATTGTCGATCTGCCGTTCTCTGCGTTCAAGATCTTCTTGTTCTCTATTATCGTCTACTTCATGGCTGACCTTGCTCGTGATGCAGGAGCGTTCTTCACGTTCTTCCTCATTATTTTCACGACGAACATCTTGATGGGTGTCTTGTTCCGTGTCATCGGTGTCATGTCCGCGAACTTCGACTTCTCTCTGAAGTTTGCGGCTTTGATTATCACCATGTTCGTTCTTGACTGTGGTTACCTCTTGTCCAAGCCCGACATGCGTCCATGGATGAGTTGGTTCTACTGGATTAACCCGATCGCATACGGTTTCGAAGCCCTTGTTGCCAACGAGTTCGGAAGGGTCAACTTCACCTGTACCGATGCCAACTTGGTCCCTAGTGGAAGGATGTACACGAACATCGCCAACCAGGTTTGTACCCTCGCTGGAGCTGTGACTGGTACCAACCTCGTCATCGGATCCGAGTACATCAAGTTGACTTACAACTACGTTGTCTCTCACCTTTGGCGCAACTTCGGTATCCTTGTTGGTTTCACTGCTTTCTTCCTTTTCTGTAACGCATGGTTCGGTGAGATCTTCACCTTCGGTGCTGGAGGAAAGACCGTTACCCTCTACCAGAAGGAGAACGCGGAGAGAAAGAAGCTCAATCAGGATCTCGAGGCAAAGCGTACTGCTCGTCGTGCGGGTAAAGAGGACGACAGCCAGCTTGAGATCAAGTCGAAGCAGGTCCTGACATGGGAGGCACTCAACTACGATGTTCCCGTTCCTGGTGGTGAGAAGAGGTTGTTGGACGATATCTACGGATACGTCGAGCCCGGAAAGCTTACCGCTCTCATGGGTTCTTCCGGTGCTGGTAAGACTACCTTGTTGGATGTCCTTGCCAATCGCAAGAACATTGGTGTGATCACTGGTGATGTCCTCATCGATGCCAAGCCGCGTGGTATTGACTTCCAGCGTGGTACTGCTTACTGTGAGCAGCTCGATGTTCACGAGTCTACCCAGACCGTCCGTGAAGCTCTCCGCTTCTCTGCTTACTTGCGTCAGCCTTTTGAGGTCCCTATCGCCGAGAAGGACGCTTACGTCGAGGAAGTCATTGCGTTGTTGGAAATGGAGAACATCGCTGATGCCATCATCGGTACCCCCGAGACTGGTTTGTCTGTCGAAGAACGCAAGCGTGTCACCATCGGTGTCGAGCTTGCTGCCAAGCCCAAGCTCTTGCTGTTCCTTGACGAGCCCACCTCCGGTCTCGACTCCCAGTCTGCTTTCAACATTGTCCGTTTCTTGAAGAAGCTCGCTGCTGCCGGACAGGCCATTCTCTGTACCATCCACCAGCCCAACGCTGCCCTCTTCGAGAACTTTGACCGTCTCCTCTTGCTTCAGCGTGGTGGTCGTGTCGTGTACTTTGGTGAGATCGGATCTGATGCTCATGTTATGCTGGACTACTTCCGTCGTAACGGGGCCGATTGTCCGCCTGACGCGAACCCTGCTGAGTACATGTTGGACGCTGTCGGTGCTGGTTCTGCACCTCGTATCGGACCCAAGGACTGGTCTGATATCTGGCAAGACTCCCCTGAGCTTGCGCAGATTAAGGCAGATGTTCTCCGTCTCAAGGACGAGCGCTCCAGAGCTGGTGATGCCGGAGAGGCTGATACCGCTGAGTTCGCCACTCCCCTCGCGTACCAGCTCAAGCTTGTCATCAAGCGTACGTCCCTGACTTTTTGGCGTTCTCCAGACTACGGTTTCACTCGTCTCTTCAACCACGTTTTGGTCGCATTCTTGACCGGTGTCGCCTACTGGCAAGTCAACAATTCCGTCTCCGCCATGCAACAGCGCGTGTTTGCGATCTTCCAAGCTACCGTCTTGCCTGCTCTCATCTTGTCCCAGGTCGAGCCTCGTTACGATATCTCTCGTATGATTTTCAACCGTGAGTCGAGTTCGAAGATGTACTCCCAGTTCGCGTTTGCCTCGTCCATGGTCATTGCAGAGATTCCGTACAGTATTATCTGTGCTGTTGCTTACTTCATTGCGTTCTACTACCCTGCTGGATTCAACTACAACAGCGACCGTGCCGGATACCAGTTCTTCATGATTCTCATTGATGAGTTCTTCTCCGTTACGCTTGGACAGGCTATCGCTGCTGTCACCCCGAACGCCTTCATCGCGGCTTTGTTGAATCCTCTTTTGCTGGTCATCTTTGCTACGTTCTGTGGTGTTACAATTCCTCAGCCTAACCTGCCTCACTTCTACAAGGAGTTTGTTTACAACATCGACCCCTTCACCCGCTTGATTGGTGGTATGTTGGTGACTGAGCTCCACGACCTCCCCGTCCGCTGCAGCGACGTCGAACTCGCCCGTTTCCTCGCTCCCGCCGGTCAGACCTGTCTGGAGTACGCCAACACCTTCATGGAGTCCGCGTCTGGTTACCTCGTCAATCCCAGTGCTACCTCTCCCTCGTACTGTGAGTACTGTCCTTACAGCGTGGGAGACGACTACTTGGCCACGCTCAACTTGGATTACAGCCACAGGTGGAGGGACCTTGGTATTTTCATTTGTTTCATTGTTTCGAACCTTGCGATTTTGTTCTGGGGATCGCGTTACCTTAACTTTGCTCGTCGTTAAACAATATGGACGGCGTGGAATATTTCGATATAAGTTTTTTATGGATATATAGAGAAAGATTTGCATAGACATGTCATCATGAAGAGGAATAACAAACATATAATCTCAAAGCATGACCAATTTCAAACTCCTTCGCCGGAAACCAGAATAAGACAGTACTCAACCTGTCAGTCAACCTCATCAATTGCGATGTCCTTCACTGCTTCAGCTCAAAACTTGTCTCGACTTGGACATCCCTTCACTCTCAAAAAATCCTACCAGTACCTCTACACCTCGGACACGTCTCATCCATAAACATAAACCCCGTAATCCTCCCATCCCCTCCACAATACCCACACAACATCCCCCCAATCCTCGGATCACCCGGCCTAACCACAATGCCCGGCGGTCCAAGCGGCATCATCCCCATCGGCGACGAGAAGAATCCACCACCTACAGCCGCAACAGGCTGAATCATCGGCGCAGGTCTTGGCGGCGCGAAGAGGGACGGATGAAACTGTCGTTCACAGGTTCCACATTTCTTCCCGTTACGGAGTTTTATGCCTGTGTTGTGGCATTTTGGACACCAGTATCCTGGTGGGTAGCGGTATCCGAACGGATGTCGTTCGGGTTCTGGTCTTGGAGGTGGGGGAGGACCAGGTGGTGCTTGCGCATGCGGTTGTGGTCGTCCTTTCTCGGTTGGGGAGTTTGACGGAGGGTTATGTGAGTATCGTTGTGGACGTGATGATTGCGGATTATCCGAATAACGAATCGGACTAGCGGCTGGTCGATCTGGTAATGGTGGAACGGACGAAATCGACGATCTTGTTGCCGCTTCGTACGGCGGTGGTTCCTCAGCGGGCGGCTCCACGTCCGCCGCGAGCATGAACGGATGATTTGACGTTGATCCTGTCCTCCGCGGTTTCATCTTGTCTGATAGACCCATCTTGGACTGATCAAAAGAGGAGGTTGGAGGTTACTCTTGGCTGCTGCTGAGCCTCTTGACTTACTTTACGTATATAGACTCACACGCGCCGAAGGTTCGGTTGCAGCACCGGAAGCGACGGAAACCGGTACCCGTAGCTGCAGAACCGAATGTAGGGTCGTAAGAAAACCGGCAAATGATGGATTTTGTTAACCAAGAACAACGCCTAGAATGACCATAAACCCATGACTAAGTATCGTAACCGCCTTCTGAATCATCTCCTCTTCAACATCCTACCCACCAGATCCTGCTTCTTGGACGTCAATGTCTTGTTCACAGACTTATTGTACTCCTTATAGGCCATATCATCCGCTCCAGCGAGCGATGTAAGCGAAGCCGCGAATCGCTTAGCTTTGGGACCAGCTCCTGCACGATGCATTCCACCAGTCCGGCCCACAAAGTCGTCAGCATCGTCACCGATGTCCTCCTCGCCCGCCTCCTCATTCTGCAGCAAAACCTCCTGTAGGAGCTCTCGGCGCTCCGCCAAGGTGTTATATGCGATACTCGGCATACTCTCGATACCCTGCAAGTGCGTGATAACCTTGAAAGAGTAACCCTGATCAACCAAGAATGCTTGTCGCTTCGAAGAGTAGTACATTTCCTGCGTGTCCTTCGACACAAGACTGTAGAAGAACGCATTGAAGCCTTCATCATTCCTCCTCTTCGCACGAAGGATACGACCCAATCTCTGTGCTTCCTGACGACGACTTCCGTAATGCGAGGAAATTTGGATAAGACACGTTGCTTCCGGCAAATCAATGGAGGTATCACCGACTTTCGACAAGAAGATGGTGTTCACCAACTCATTGTGCTGGAAGTTCTCCAAGATACGAAGACGCTCCTGCTGTGGCGTTCCACCAAAGATGAACGCCTTACCAAGCTTGAGTGCGTAAGCCTTCAACGCGTACACGTTGTCGGAGAAAACAATGATCTTATCACCCCGCTTCTCGTGGTAATCAATCAAGAACTGACACGCCTGGAACTTCCTTGGGTTCATGATGTACAACAATGTCCTCTTCCTCAAGGACGCCTTTAAATACTCCTGGTAGAACTCCTGGGTCATGGGACACCACACCTCAGCACACTGCACATTGGCAATATGCCCCTTCTGCGACAACTCCATCCAATTCGCCTCATACAACTTCGGCCCGATAAGGTAATTCAAATCCACGATCTTGTCATCTTCACGGACCAGGGTAGCGGTGAGACCAAGTTTGGCGTGACATGGAATCACCTCCATGACTTTTCTGAACATGTTTGCGGGAACGACGTGCACTTCGTCAAGCAACACGAAACCCCATTCACGGTTCTGCATCCACTCCATGATCTTTTGCGCATCATACGCACGTTTGTTGCGTTGTGCGACCATGGAATAGGTAGACACCACGATACCAGCATCACCCTCGAACTTGTCTTTCGTGTCGGAGGTGAAGACTGCAATGGATGACGGTTTAACGTTACTCCACTTGAGGAACTCAGCACGCCATTGCATGACAGACACAGAGGAAGTACACAGCACCAAGCAACTCTTCTTGATGGTACAGGCGGCGGTGATACCCACCAATGTCTTTCCCGCACCACATGGCAAGACGATGATTCCACTCCTCGCACGACCGTTACCAAACATCTTACTCAACGACTTCTCCTGATATGGTCGAATCTGGGTACTTGGCTTTAAGTCAATGTCGAGATCGGCGTTGAGCTTGTCGTTTCTGAAATCGTATTCTTCGAGAGCGGGAATGTTGAGTTCGAACATGCGTCTCTTGACTTGTTCCAGTTTATCTGCTGGAATTTCGAAGGAGTGGACAGCGTCTTCGTCGTCTTCCTCAACGTCAACTTCGTCAATACCCACGATCGAAGTAAACAGATCATCGTCGTTCTTCGGCTGCACGTCCTCCACTTTATCTCCCTCTGCACCATCCTTTTCCTCTGTCTTCGCACCCGTCTTATCCTTCCCAGTACCAGCAATAACCAACCCCTCCATCCTCGGAGCCCTCTCCTTCACAACCGCAACATCCGCCGCAGTCCCCTCCGTCTGAATCCGGCACGACCCGATTTGCGGATCCTGCAACATCGACTGCAGGAAATCCGCAGTCGTACTCTCGACGTAGTACCTGTTGCCCTTCAAGACGAGACGGACCTTACCTACGGCTTTGGTGACTTCGGTAATCCACTGCACGATGGATTTGGGGATGGTAAATTTTGAGAGTCGGTTTAGGACGGTAATGATGTCGTTAGGCTGCAATCCGACAGAGACAGCTGCGTGCATCGCGTTCTCTGTCAATGCATATTCGTGAATATGACTCGGACGACTGACGGGCTCCGCAATCGCAATCAAGAAGTCCTCTGCTTGTTCGGCCAACGGTGAAAACGCCTCCATATAAATCTTCGCAGACTTCGGATCAATCCACAACGGTCGAGAATCATGATCAGGCTTCAAATCCAACCATGAATGTTCGAATCTCTGAAACAAATGGCTGACAGAATCTCCCCTAAACTCCGCCGGCCGATCATCGAAATCATGCTCCTCATTCAACCCATCCGTGATCCGCGTTTTCACGGGTGCAGTCGAATCAGATCGTTTACTCGCTGCTGGTCGTTTTGATCTCAATGCAAGTGATTTCCTCGGTGCTGCGAATGCCTCGTCGTTGTCGTCAAAGCCTGCTTCGTCGTAGTTGTCGTCGGAGTAAGCGGCGATATCGTAGTCATCAAAGTTGCTCCCGTCTGAGAGATCCTCATCGGCGGCTCCCGTTGGACCTGATGCGGCGGCACGGCGGGCACGTTTGATCGTGGTGCTGGCCACCGAGGAACCGGCTCTCTTCGACATCGCCGGCGCTGGTCACACTCAGCGAATAGGATATACCTCAGTGAATGCTCAGCAGATACCGTTCCGCACTTGTCCGTTCAGTTATAGACAGAGAGAGGGAAGGCGGACAGGAGGAGGGTGTGTATGCTCAGGGTGACTCGTGTTGGTATACGCTGCACGAACATGCAATGGACTGCACGGCCCCGGTAACGTCGCCACATTACGTAGTTCAGCAATACCGCAATTGTATGTGAATGGAGAATGCTTCATTCCTCCTTGATATCAATCCTAGATGCCATTACCTTTTGCCTATCTAACCATCCGTTTTCCTGTATAACGTCCAAGCCGTTTATAATTACTTCGAATTCCCCGAGCTCGCGCTCTTCCTTCTCTTGAGTTCCTCCTGGACTGCCTGGTCGTACTGCTTCTTGGCAGCGTTTACCGCACCCTGATAGCCGGTCTTAATGCCCTCAAAAAATCCCATAGGCTTCTCCGGCGCAGCTCCTGGCTTTGGTGCTGGAGGCTTGGGAAGAGCGGGGATATGCAACTTCTTGCGCACATTAGGATTGCGCAAAAGGACAGTTTGAATGACACTGAAGGCAGCATTCGGAACCCAGTAAGCAAAGACAGCAGCAGGAAGATTTGCGACGAAAGGGATGACCAAGACGGCAAGCAACTGAAAGACGTTAATCATGGCCTTAGTGTTGGTATTGTGCCCAACCTCAGAACCCATACGAAGGGAGCTGATTGTTAACGCCGCAGAGATACATGGAAGGGCGACATATGGGTCGGCAGCAGTCAAGTCAAGGAACCAGTGCGTACCGCCAGTCTGGAATCCAGGCACAGGGAGGTCAGCCATGGCCCTCAAAGCGAGGAAGAAGGACATCATGACAGGGATTTGCAATGCCGGCAAAAGCAGAGGAGAGAGAGGGTTAGCTGTCTTGAACAATGCCCAAAGGGCCGCATAAGCCTCCTGTTGCTTGACTAGGTCACCTTCAGCACGAGCGTTCTTGAGCTTATTGGTGGCTTCGTCCATCTGAGGTCGAATCTTAGCAAGCTTCCCGGTACTACGGGCCACCTTGACAAAGAGCGGGAAGAGCGCAAAACGGATACCAATCGTCACAGCCGCAATGGTACCCCACCAAGGTAATCCCGTATAAACGTGGGCAAGCTCCAGAATACCTTCCAAGGCACCAACCGGGGTCCAGTGAACCAAACCCATGGCCTTCAAGTCACCAATCTGGTGAGCAGCCTGTACCATAGCTTCAGTGGTAAGAGGATCCACCACAGTCTGGAAAGATTCGGGAATAACGGGGAGTTCGGGCGTTGGTGCGGCGTCGGCAGCAGTCACGACTGGCATGTGTGAGGTAGTGGTAGCTTGCAGACCACGCTGGACGTCGGCGAGATCGACAGCATTGTCGGTAACAGAAGGGACTGAGGAGTTGTTGCGAAGGGAAAGAAGGATGGGGCTAGAAGCCTTGTAGAATGGTGATGGTTGTGTCCGCCGACAGAGGATATGGATAGACCGAGAGAGTTGAGCAGGTTGGACGTACCCGAGCTTTGCACGGACGAGGCTTTGGGCGGAGAAGCTATGCAAAAGTAAGAAAAAGGGAAGGACACACGTAGATAAGGTAGAGAGCAAACCTTGATCCGGTCGATAACCGGGCGTAAACTCTTGCGGCGGCCATTATTGGTTGCTGCTGCAGTGCTGCACGTCCGTACGTACGGAGGGACTTAGGCGAAATTTCGACTTTAGCGGCGTCACGTAGACCACCCCGCGAAATCCCAGAAGCATGGGTGGTGGTGTACACCGACGCATATAAAAAGCGTCGAGCCCTTGGGAAGCAGACTGAGATCAGGATGGCCTCGAGTCTTAAACACTACCTGGAAAGATATATTCCGGCGTCGGATTTTCATTACGATGCCTACTACCTCCATACACCTCCAAAGAAGGAAAAGGCCCTCGCGCGTCCTCCTAAAGGAATGCGACCCACACCGACGACCGTTGCGCACCATCTCTTTGCCCTGGCTCACAATGGACACCTGATTTGTGCAATCGAGGCGCTGGTATACACAACGAAAGACCTGACGACTCTGTATGTAAGCAAAGTCGACACAACCGGGTATAAACCGCCAAAGACACAAAGTCCCGTCCGAGGAGCCATTGCGGGATTCCTTGCGTACTTGTACTTGGTATACAAGAAGAAGGAGGGCTCGAGGTTGCGGTTGAGCTTATTTGCGAAGTCCCAGCCGCAGTATCTCTTTCCGGACTCGGCGAAGAACCAGAATAAGCATGTCGTGGACGACGGCGGATTGATCAAGTGGTGGGTCAAAACTTCCGATCTTGCCATACCAGAGTCGAGTAAGAGATACTTAATTGTACCAGGAATGGACAGGTATGATACGCGAAAGTTCTGGGCGGGATCGAAGCTTGATTGGGTGACGGGGCATCCATACGGTGATCCGAAAGATCCGAATTCCTCGATTGCACGAGAGTGTATACCTTGTTTGCCGGATGATCCGAAGGCACGGTATGTTGCTGAGCTTGATGATAACGGGTCCGGCGCTACTATGACACTCTCTCAGTTTTGGACGACAATGGAGTTTCGACAGGAATGCTCCGCGGGACGGATGGTTGGGTTCATTTCAGTGGAAGCGGTCGCGAAAGAGGGGTCGTCGGTGGACAACAATATGGAAGGGAAAACTCTGGACGACAAGCAATACAAGAGAGCCTTTGAGGTGCTGATCAAGAACGACTTTAGCACCGATGAGTTCTGCAAGAAGTCAACGGAGGCGTTCGTCCGCAGCGCCGGTAAGATAATGGGGCTGCCAGAGGGGGATAGGGAGTGGGGTTTCATCGTGGTTGGAACGAAAGACGTTACGAATGGGAGTACAACAGCATGCGCGGGCGCTGCTAATATATTGTCAGTGAGGAGGAAGGCGCCCGAGCCCGCTGTATGTGATGGTGTGATTAAATTACAGCCTCGAAAAAAGGTAAAAGTCGAGAGTGCGACGTCGACAGATGTCGGAGTAAACGTCTTGCAGCCACGGAAGAGAGAGGACACGCCGAAAGTGGAGGCTCCGGCTGTGAACGTGCTTCAGCCCAGGCGAAAAGGAGAAGCTCAATATGAGGCAGGACAAGAGAGCGTTAACGTGCTTCAGCCGAGACGGAAGGAGAAGACACCGGTCGAGGATACAGAACCAAAGGTGAATGTCCTTCAGCCAAGGCGAAAGGAGGCGAAAAAAGCCAACTCAGTAGAATAAATCTAGCAGTCGTATACCACATTATACCCTCCTACACCCAGTCCCTCTCCCTAATCCTCCTCCCAATCCACCTCCCCAACCCCTCGTTCCCACTCTCAACCCCCTGAATCTCACCCTTCCTCCCCATCCACAACATCCTTCTCACCTCCTCCCTGACCTCCTTTCTCACTCCCTTCCTGCCCAATATCCCCACACACATCCTCCTATCCTTGCTCGTCATCTGTAGCAGATTCTCGCTCGGAATATCACCCGACCGTACGCCGAGGAGACGAAGAGAGGGAACGGAGAGGAGGATGTTTTGGTGCGCGAGGGAAGTGGAGCCGCAGGTGTAGGTCAGGAGGATATCAAAGCCGTGGGGGTCGTGGTCGACGAGGGCTAGGAGGGGGAGAGTTGGGGAGGTTGTGTGGAGGAGGTGGAGGAGGGCGCGGGTTGAGAGGTCGGGGTAACCTTTTGCCTGTGTATAACCACTTAGCAGAACGACTGGTGCCTTTCATTAGGGTTATCCACACCGTGATTAGGATACCTGGCCCACCATCGACATTGTCCTTCCAGAATCCGCTAGTCGCAAGACCACGAAATGTGGCCTCCTTCTCTATCACCAGCACCCATTTAACTTCTTCACCAACGTCCACTCCCCTAACCTGTCCCGCATCCAGCACTAGCACTCCCTCAGTCTCTCCACACTCCACCCTCCCCCCATCATCCCTCAAGATCACTACATTCCCACACACCAATCCCTTAGCGGCTGCAACGACATTCAGGTCGGACCGATTGACGGAGAGCGTGCATGCGATATCGTCGATTTGGGTGTCGACAGTGCGCTGGGAGCGATAGAGTGCGGGAGCAGTGTAGTAGATGTCACGTTTTGTGGTGATCGTGTTCGTGAGAAGGACAGTGTGGACGGCGTCGAGGGTGTGGATGAGGGTAGCTTCGACGTGTTAGCTTAAGAGTGCGAGTGTTTCTTGGGGAATGGAACTCACTGAATCTCCAGATAGACTCGTCGTCCTTGGCGTCAACCATCTTGATGCGTTTCATGCTGCCATTAGCTGCTCTCTGAAATGTTCCAGTTTCTGCTTCGAAAACACTGTTCTTTGCGTTGCGACGCGCCAATTCAATGTAGACATCCTCTCCTGATACAAGAGCGTCAACGACGGACTTGATGATAGCCTCAACGGACTTGACGAGCTCTGCCCTTCGTATAGAACGCTCTTTGACTTCTTCTTGGCGGATATATGCTGCGTCCTGGTCCTTGGACGGTGTTTCTGACAGCGGAGGCGTGGGAAAGGACGCACACACGCTGGTCGTCCTCTCGACTTTGGCAGCATCTTCAGCTTCAGACAGGCCTGAAGCGTTAACCAACAGCGAAGAAAGCTCCATTGAGAAGATAGTTGGAGTATCGATGTTCGGAGGGAAAAGGAGGTGGTCAATAAGGTTTCCATTCAGGGCGTTCATGCAGGCCGCCGTACGTCAGCGGTTCCCGATATACGGCCGAGGACGAAGAAAACAACAAGTTCTTCAAGATCCTGAAGATCCTGTTCAAGAGCTGAGATGGATACTGCTATGGAAGGCATGAGAAGGCATGCGCCGGATCTTGAGGTTGTCATCTTCGGGAAACTGTTGCGCAGGCTCGCTCGCCGAACGTCGCCTACGAACGTGCAAAACGCAAAACGATGGGTCATTCGGCATTGTACCGCGACCGCCTCGGTTGATGCACTTGGAAAGGTCCTCGTCACTTTTGCGAAGGTCAAAGATACCTTTAAGGAGCGTCTTAGCATCCTATACCTCGTCAACGACATCCTACACCACTACAAGCAGACCTCCAGGCCAGAGCTCACCTCAGCGTTCCAGCCCTCCCTACTCCCTCTCCTAAGATCAGCACACTATGCACACCTAGGATCAGATTCAACGACAGCAGACGAAGAAAAGAGCAAAGTCACGAACCTACTCGAAATCTGGACCCGAAAAGAATACCTCCCAACCGTCGCCCTTATTGGCCTCAAAGCCGGACTCCTCGTCCCACCCAAAGAATTAGCCGCCACCACGAAACCAAGACCATCATCAACTCCATCGTGTACGGTGTACAAACCAACAATGCACGGCAACTCCTCCGACCCTTACTTCCTCCAGCCCGTCTCCTGCCTCCTCCAAGCACACATCCCCGGCGTGAGCACCCTCAATCCCTCCCGTGTCCGTCCAGTCCCTCTATCAACCACCACCGACCCTAAAGTGATGGAAGCGCTCGAGGAGTTCTATGAGAAGGAGAGGAAAGGGTGGGAGTGGGAGTGGATGGAAGAGGAGGAAGAGGAAGACGGGGAGGAGGAGATGAGATGGGAGGGGTGTGATGTGCAGTTCTGGAGGGGGAGGGAGGCGGAGTGGGAGGAGGAAATGGAGATGCTACGCAAGAGGAGGGAGAGGTCTGTGAGCAGAGGCAGAAGCAAGAGTTTATCGAGGTCGAGGTCAAGGGAAAGGAGACGGTCATACCCACGCTCTCGTTCATTATCTCGCTCGAGGTCGCCACCGAGACGGAGACGGAGCTATTCCCGGTCGCGATCGCTATCGCGCTCTGACTCTCGGTCGCGCTCTCGATCACCCCTCCGTCAATCTCGGTTTGACCAACCTCCGGGACCCGGGACATATGCCTACCCTCCAACGACTATGGGTGGCCGCGTACTCCCTCCACCGACAAACCAGGGTACTACGAGTATCGCGCCGGGGATGCAACCACGAGGGCTGCCGGCGCCGACGAGGCAGGGTTATATGGGCGGTGGAGCATACGATGGGGATTATCAAAGTGGTTCAAGGAGGTAGGTTGATGCGACTGGACGGGTGTTGAACGACAGATGTAGTCGAAAGCGAACGGTAAGAGCCGAATCGAAGAACAGCGCAAACCTAATTCTACTCATCTCCACGTCATCTCATCCAGGCCCATTGATCGCGGCTCGGGCCCTTTTTCGAAGCATCGCATAAGCTTCAACGCTTGACTCGGACGTCGATCACGGAATGAAGCGACGCGGCATCCATGTCGAGTCTCCCCAGTTGCCAGATCCGTAAAGTCTTATGTGATGAGGACTTACGCGTGGGCATGGTTTCCCCACACCCCTACCCCATGCATTCCATTCCCCACCACCTGTCAACCCCATGCATCTTACCATTCGCCTCCATTCGTTCATATGTCCCACACTCCTTCAGTTCATAATATTCTCCCGAGTCAAGCCCAGCGAACCAGCGCCATTCCCGCTCTCCCGCAAGTCCCAATCCTTGTCGACTCCGCGGCCGGGGGAGGGTGAATCTCCGCGCGGACATATGTCGACACAAGTTTAAACTATATTCATTTCAGAGGCTAGAACGTGACATGTGGCGAGTTTTGGGTACATTGAGTCGCAGCTCTTGATGGACTTGAAGGAAGCTTACGAACGCTTGCGTCGCTTGTGGTTTCTAGACCTTGGGAAGTAGATTCTGGACTTGCTTAGGTTGCCCCCGTACATTGATGAGAGAGACTAGAGGTTTAGAGTAGGACCCTGAAGAGAGAGATCTGGAGCTGGCTGGGAACGCGACGGCGGCTGGACGCATCGAGAGCGACTGTTGACAGTTGCGGGTACAGGCGCGCGGCACCAGACGTATCCGCGGAGGAGGTGGTCCGCGCTTTGACGTCCGCATCCCGTGTTTACTTGGTTGGAACCTGGAACAAAGAAAGCGGCAGAAGAGCCCCTTGCGATTGAAGTCGAAAAGGAAGAAGCCTAGGGAGTTTAGTCACGGCCCAAAGCGAGGCGAGTTTTGCCCTTTGTGGGATGGCGTAAGCCTCGCCGACGCTTGCCGGGTTTCGGCAGATTTCCCCTCGTGATCGGTGAACCGTGTGACAGTCGTTTTGCTCATCAAAGACGACGGCACGGGGGATGTATGCTCATCGTCTATGCTCCTGCTCTGCTTACAAGGTCGATTCTCCTACGATGGGAGATTTCCGAGTTTGCTGGCGATCGGCAGTTCTCCACCTGCATTCGGCTAAGAGAACTCAATGCAGGCAGTCCGGCCAGACACGGACTAGCGCAAACTCAGAAGGAGAGGGGACTGGAGTGTAACGTAGACGGAAGGTAACGTAGACAGACGGTAGGAGGGCGAGAAAGAAGAACATCCTCCTCCTCCTTCCCTGCCCGTGATCTCCAGCATTGGCCTGGATGACAGCTTCCTCACTGACATCGCGCCATCTGACCCCGTGTGGACGTCTCGGCGCGGCCCCAGATTCATACGTACGCTGGACGCCCCCCGGAGAACATAATCCGGGGCCACACAGCCGTGAAAACCTGCAGTCTCTTTCATTTCACCGCGGAGATCTACCTCCGGGGCCATCAAAACACTTTCGATCTCCTAGGAATCAACACAATTTTTTCTTGTCTTACCCACTCCCCTCATCCGTTTCTGCCCCAGACCCCGCAAACTGGGGAACGACTACGCGATCGCTTCCAAGGTATAAGTAGGAGCTGAGCCCCCACCTCCTCATCCATCATCAACTCACTTCGCCGAGCACTGCCTCCACCAACGACATAGTCATGGTTTCCTTCGGCAAATCAACCCTATGGAAGAAGCTGTCTCCCTCTCAGCTCAATGCGGCAATCCAGATCTTTGCCCTCCTCGCTATTTTCTTCGAGGGTTATGATCAGGGTGTCATGGGCGGTGTCAACTCCGCACCAAACTACATCGATGAAGTCGGAATCGGAAAGAACGGTGTTGTTACCAAGGCCATCCACCAGGGTGGTATCGTCGCTATTTATTACCTCGGGGCTATCGTCGGCTGTTTCGGTGGTGGATGGATGGCTGACCGTATCGGACGTATCGATGCTACCTTCTACGCTGCGATCTTCTCTACCATCGGTGGTGCCCTCCAGGCTGCTTCTATCTCTTCCGACATGATCCTCGTTTCTCGTGTTGTCTCTGGTCTCGGTACTGGTGCCCTTACTGGTATCATCCCCGTCTACTGTTCCGAAATCGCCAACACTGCCCACCGTGGTCGTTTCTTGGGTCTCGTCTTCATTGCCAACTACCTCGGTATCTCTGTCGCTTACTGGCTTGCCTTCGGTTTGGCTTTCGTCGACAACGGACAGTCTGCCCTTCGCTGGAGGTTCATCTTGGCGTTCCAGTGTATCCCCGCTATTCTCCTCCTCATTGGTATCAAGCAGCTTCCTGACTCCCCTCGTTACCTCACCGCTGTCGGTCGTCACGAGGAGGCTTTGGATGTTCTCGTTCACGTCCGTGGTGGAGAATTGACTCCTGCTATCCAGGCCGAGCACCAGATGATGGTCGACGCTCACACCCGTAATGCGGACAAGCGCTCCAACCCCTTCGAGGTCTTCACTATTCTCTCTGGATTGGGCAAGCGTGGTGGTCACATTACCCGTCGTGCTTGGCTCTGTGTCTGGCTCCAGATCATGGCTTCCTGGACTGGTATTACCGCCGTCACTGTCTACTCTGGTGTCCTCTTCCGTCAGGCTGGTTACTCTACCGTTACTCAGGATGGTTTGTCCGGTGGTGTCAACTCTATCGGTATCGTCGGTACCATCATCTCCGCTTGGTGTGTCGACCGCTTCGGACGTCGTGTCAACTTGATGTGGGGTGCCTTCGGTCTCGCCTGTGTCAACTTCATCGCCGGTGGTCTCTACGAAGCCGTCCGCCAAGGTGGTGACGCTAACCACATCACCCCCGGTGCCGTCCTCATGTTGTTCTTCTTCAACTTGATCTACGCCGCTACCTGGGGTACCATCGCTTTCCTGTACCCCACCGAGATCTTCCCCTCCGAGATGCGTGCCCTCGGAAACGGTTTCGGTGTCACTGGATGGGCTATTGGCTGTGGATGGACTACCCTCGTTAACCCCACCATCTTCGACAAGTTGGCCAACCGCACTTACTTCTTCTTCGGTGGTTTGAACGTCATCTGGATTCCTATCATCTACTTCCTCTACCCTGAGACCAACAACCGTACCCTTGAGTCTATCGAGGTCCTCTTCTCTCCTTCCTCTCCCTTCGTCTGGGCTTCCGAGCGCGCTTACGCCCAGCGTGACCTTGCTGGTTCCCCCGATGCCAAGAACGTCGAGCGTGTCTCTTACGAGTTGGAGAACGTTGAGCAGAAGGGTGGTATCTCTCGTCACGTCGACCAGGTGTAGGTGTGGTGATATACGAGAAAGTCAAAGTTGAACGGGTGCATGGTACGATATAGGATAATATAGTTTATGTTTTGTTTGCAAATCAGAGGGAAGAAAGGGAAGGAGTTATATCGGACTGGCTTTGGTCATATGTACTAGTAATTACATCTTTTGGATCAACTTATCTTGTCTTCTCTTCCTCTTGAGCTCATCTTTTTCAACAGGTCTTCCATGATGGCGAGAAATAAGGTTGCAGCGGCGTTGCAGCGATTGCGGGACATGCAAGCGCTTCCGAGGCAGTTGGTATCAATAGCGAACGTCACCTCTGAGAAGGACCACACACGCCCCAATTGATCAGCCATGACAACGGACGAAGGCCAATCCCTCTTCTTCTACGGCACCCTGATGCACCCCGCCGTCCTCCGACGTGTCGTTTACGGCCCAAACGCACACGTTGCTGCCCAAGTGCAGATTGAGAAGAGTGTCCCAGCAGTTCTTCCGGTGGGTCTTTCATCCATTCAACTTGTCATGAGCTGACATGAAGTTCCCGCAGGACCATGCACGGTACCGTGTCCGAGGCTGCGATTATCCGGCAGTGATTCCCGTTAAGGGCCCCTCTCGTACAGTTCTCGGGACATTGACGACGAACCTGTCACCATTGGCAGTGCAGAGACTTGATGTCTTCGAAGGTGACGAGTATCAGCGGACGCCAGTCACGGTCATGGTCGGTGGAAAGCCGGTGCAAACAGACACATACATCTGGATTGCTGGAGAAGATAAGCTCGAACAACGAGAATGGGACTTCGAAGAGTTTACCCAAGAGAGGCTACGAGGATGGGCAGATCCAGGCTTCGAGCAGGCGGATCAAGTAGACGGTACAGGAGGACGAGCAGCACACTTGCAAGACGTGGAGCGAAGTGCGGTATAGACAGAGCAGATGTAGCAAATAGCTAGTTTATGTTGATTGAATTAGAGGGTATACCAGATATAGTAATGCAAGTATGAAGAAAGGAAAAGCGCCAGCAAAATAGCACAATACGCCAGCCATCCGTGTCCATATATGATCCCCGCCCTGCCAACAATGCAAGGAAAGCGAAAAACAAGCAATGCAAACTGCACTGCACTCCACTCCACTCCACTTCTACTCCTTCTCGCTTGCACTTCCTCCAGAAGTCCATCCGCTCAAACTACCAACACTTCCCCACTTCCTTCTCTGCTTTTTCTTCCCTCCGGGAGTAACCTCCCATCCAACCGACTCCGTGGAAGCCCGGCCTGCATCCTCACTCATACTCTTCTTCGGGTGCCCCTTCCCGTCAATCGTATCTTTGATCTGCTCCGTGACCTTGCTCTTCTCCCCCTCACTTTCACTGTTGGAGTCCTGCCCGAGCAAAGCTTTCGTGGAATCCTTAGACCTGGCCCAGCCGAAGATGGTCCTACGCTTCGGCTTGACAGTGGGGTTGGCAGCGAGCGGACGCATGACAGCAGCGGGAGCGCTCTTGGTTGACTCCTGAGACTCTACAGAGGCAGTAACATCCGCAGTGGACGATTGTTCCGTGAAGGGAGTATCGGTGTCAGTGCTGTGAGAGTGACCATTATTGGCATGACTGGCAGGAGCAGTAGAGGGAACAGAGGGTGCCTCCTTCGGGGCGATGATAACGTTGGGCGGAAGCCTCGGCTGCGGCGTGTTGTCGCGGTAGATGTCGAAGGATGCGATAGCCTGGATCAACTCGGTAGGCTGAGCAGCAGCAGGACCTCCACGCGCACGCGGACTATTCTTGATGGACTCCTCTTCCTCAACCTCGTCAATCTGGTGAAGCGCCGTGCCACGAAACTGCTGCAAGACGGCAGCAGCAGGGGCTGAGAGATCTTCTCCACTCGGAGGACTGTCTGCCCCAGCGGGGTTCTCCGACCTAGAAGTCTCCTTTACCTCCTCGACAACACTGCTGACAGGACTCACACTCGCCTCGTTCGGTTCATCCGCCTGCTCCTCAAAGATAGGAAAACTGTCCACAGCGAGCGCAAGCACGTTCTGCGGCTCCTCTGTTGGGGCGGCAAAGACATTCGCAAGGCGCTTCATACGATCCTCCTTCTTCTCAGCCCAGCTGACGAAGATACGCTTGCGACCAATCATCTTTCCATCCATCTCACCGCGAGCACGGGCAGCATCAGCAGGGTTCAAGAAGGACACGAAACCGAATCCACGAGAGAGACCGACGTTGGAACCATTGCTGGGGTAAACGGCGAGGTAACTGCTAGAAACTGTTCCGAAAGAGCCAAACAGTTGATCCAAGTCCATCTTCGAGGCGACGACGTCGTCATCAAGATTCTTCACGAACAAGTTGCAAGGATCCACAGGAGCGACCAAGTTCGTGTTCACCTTATCCTGCGTACTCTGAGCAGACTTCGGGACAAACTCATTGTTGTCACCAGCCTTGAGAGCCTTCGACTCCTCCTTCGGCTCTGCCTTCTTGGCACCGGCCACCACCTCCTCGATCTGCTGATGGAAAGCCTGGGCAGGATTCGCTCCCTCCGAGCCAACACTGGTCCTAGGAGTAGTGATCTGCGGCTCGCCCGCTTGGCCCTCAACAGCATACTGCGGCATCCGAGTCCACATAAACGTCCCCTGGTCAGGACTCCAAACGGGGCTGAAGACGGATGATTCACCACCGCTCGAGTACTGCCTGGCATGACCGAAGTGCTGCTGCTGCTGCTGCTGCTGCTGCTGACATTGCTGCTGACATTGCTGCTGACATTGCTGCTGACATTGCTGCTGCTGGTCCTGACCTTGTTGCATAGGAGTAAACCCGGGATAGAGCATCTGCTGCGCATGAGGAGGCAGCATCGCCATCGGCACGGGCATACTCAGGGCAACCGGGTGCTGCACGAAGTAAGGGTGCTGCTGCTCGAACATTTGCTGTTGCTGCTGTTGGCCGTTCTGACTCATGATCTGCGGACTGGCAGAAGGCATCGCGTGCGAAGGGTGCTGAGAGCCGTTCAGCCCCATGATAGTGGAGTTCTGCGGACTAGGCGTAGAACCGTGAGGAAGGAACGTAATCTGAACAGGCATTGGAGAGGACGTGCCAGTGGAGCCATGACCAGTAGCAGGCGGAGCAGGAGAAGCGTGCTCTGGCATTTGCATGGGGTACATCGGCTGCGGGTGACCGGGCTGTGGAATGTGGTCGTTCGCGAACTTTGGTGGTTGCTGGTGTTGATGTTGATGCTGCTCTGGATCCCTCGACGGAAGGACCACGTTTGAAAGTGGACGTACAGGCGGCGAGCCATACGCACTCGTCGAAGTCTTGTATGACACCTCGAGCTGATACCCACCAACCACGAGCCCATTGCACATCTTCAGCGACTTCTCAGCATCCATCTCGTGAAGGAAGTTGACCTCACCGAATCGAAGGCCCCTGACATCCGGCACAGCGTAGATGAAAGTGCCCTCGATCTTAATGTCTGGGACGCGGTCCATGAAGATGGTGTACAATTCCTTAGGGGTGAGAGTTGGAGGAAGGCTGTTGACGGTGAGATCCTTGCATGCGGGAGGAGGACGGTGAAAGCGAGGCCCACCGAAAGTGTTGCGATTCCGGAAGTCGTGACAACGAGAACGGTTCTCGTAAGGAATTTGATTATGATAATGCATCCGGCCGGGCGACTGATGTTGCTGTCGGTTGTTTTGCTTGTAAGTTGGAGCACGACGGGGACGGATTTGGCTAAAAAGGTGCAATTAGTGTCGTTCTTGTACTGTTTCATTTACCCCAAAGAAGCATACACAGGCCTGCCTGAGATCAACATCCCGTGTTCTCCCGCCTGAATAGCTCGCCTGGCCTCTTCGGTGCTTGAGAACTTGATCAAAGCCCAGGCAGTGTCATGGTGAGGTGGGTCACGAACTTTGCTGAAGATAGAAATGATTGTGCCTGTTGCTCGAGAGTTAGTTTCTGTGCTGTCCCTGTACCATACACGGCAGGAAAGGCTCGCAGCTGCGTAAAACTAGCAGCATACATCCCGGACAAGAAGAGTACACTTACCGTACTGTGAGAAGATGTTCTTCACGCCGTTATCCTTCACCGCCGCCAGAAAGTCAGAACCAATATTACCCACATAGATCATAGTCGGGTCATCCCGGTCACTCTGTAAACCATTGGTGCCACCACCCTGTTGATGCTGATGACGAGGACCAGGGTGAGCAGGTTGAGGGTGCCGATGAAACGCAACAGCGAAACCGGGAGGAGTAGCATACACAGACGGACTGGAATTTGCCGGATGCGCATGACTCGGTCCCGCAAGACGAGTAGGAGTCGAAGGGACAGACATAACGAGACCGAAACCGAAGAATTAACGCGAAAAGAAAAGACAGAAAAGGGGGTATTTCAGGCAATGAATGCCGTGACTGAGCACCGTCAGGAAGAGACTTTGTTGATATAAAGCAGCAAGGTCGAGGTATAGGGGATTATCAGTAGATGTACTGGTTGTTGGATGTTGACGGTGATGGAAAGGAGGTTGCACGAGCTGGGTCCAGTCGAGTTTTGTAGGGTGGCCAAGCTGCGGTGTATGAAGGCACTAGTTTTCGGGAGTCCTGCAGAACGTAAGAACCGTATGCCAAGCTACGTCAGAAGGTGAAGTCTGGGAATGGGCTTTGTCAGAGGTAGACTATGTTCAATTTGAGTTCTGTTCGTCGTATCGATGGCCTCGTTTTGTGAAAGTTGAGCACACACTCACGGCAACATCGTGAGAAAACGTTAACGCGCCCCCTTTCGACGTCAACCGTATGCAGAGGTAGGTTATTGCCATGAATCGGAAGTGCTGCCCCGAACGGGTACAACGAAGAGATTGATCTGCTAATAGAAGCGAGGTATTGATGCTAACATGTGGTGTCGCACTCTGCATGTCAGTACTTGAAGCTCGCGAGGTCAACTGCCCCTACCAAGGCATGTCGAGACGACAACCAACACAGGGAGAGGCATCCAACCAGCAGGAACGAAGAGTACGCTGACTGTCCCGGTCAGCCGTCAAGCCGCTTGGAATGTTCTCGCAGCTTACGAGATCACAATGCGGGGCCACAATCCCCACTTCACCCACCCAACTCCGCCTTCTTGAATTCTTACGTCAGCGTACGTATAAGCAAAAAGTCGCCTCGAGCAACTCCTTTCGAAGTTCTTCGTCTCGGTCTGTCAACGGCTGGAGTACGCGTGCCTTCCCGCACATCATTTCGGTACAGGCCGCGCGCGAGAAGTCGTCCTCGAAATCGCGAACATTTACGCGCTCGGGCCCTCGACATCTCGCGCGACCACCCACCACACGAACTATATGTACCAGCCCCCCCTCTTGCGCGAGTTACCGAAAACGGTGAGGGGCAACGACATCGAAGACGTTTAGTGCTGGGTTTGGGTCAAACTAGATCAAGGCTACATCATCAAGCATCACTGACAGACCCGAGATTCTCAAAGGGGCAAGGCTTCCCAACCTCCCTCGTGTCTCCTCGTACCGATCAACTTCAATTTCTATCTGTACAACATCTCTCCACCAAGACGCGACTCTCGGATCAACTTGGACGAGCATGTCTAACCGGCTGGAACTGTTGAAGAAGGGTGCCAGGAAGGAGGAGAGGCAGATCCAGCGTCTGAGGAGGAAGCAGACCGGTCATGGAAACGCTACAGGGAGTTTGGGGAAGAGATCCCTTGTGCCGGGATGGGAGGAACAACTACGAGCACCGACATCACGACGACTTTCAACCATAGCATTTACGACGCGCCGCGGATCGAGGGCAGGAAGAGTATCGCCTTCGTCATCACAAGGAGGATCAAGGAGAGGCAGTCTGACGCCACGTCCACCACCAGAATCCAAAACCGAGGAAGATCAGCAATGGGAAGACGTACCTTTGGAGAAGTTCGAACACGAGCTCGATCTTTCACTCCAGCCACCTACGAAGCCTCCAACACCACCACAAGAGGAGCAACCCAAGCCCAAGCCAGCAGCGGTTTTCCCACTTCCAGCATCGACCTTCCATGTTATCAGTAGTAGCGCTACCCCATCGCCAAGGCCGAAGTCAAAGTCTCCGGAGTCAGCGCCTACCATCTTGCCAGCTTTCAAGCCTTCGCCGCAGATTCAGCGTGCAAGAGAGCCATCAACAGTGCAGAATACGATGCGCTTCAGAACCGGAAGTTCGGCTGGTCTTCAACCTTGGGACCGCGAGCAGCAAGATTCATATTGGACTTCTGGTCTCGGAAACATTGGTTCAAGTCTGAAGAGCTTCTGGAACCGCAATGGAGCAGCGAATGGAGCGACATCTGCGGCGGAAGAACCTACAACTACTTTGAAACCTATTCCCGCTCCCGTGCCAGCCGAGTCATTGGTACAGACTAGGGTGGAGGCAATCGAGAAGAAGAGGCTCCAACAAGGAAACGAGGCCTGGAGAAACAAGTTGATGAACGCACCATCGGACATCCTGAGCGTGCCAAAGAGGCAACCAGGCCACGCCCGTACTGCTTCCATGCAAAGTGCCAGTGCCGGTTACAAGGATTTGGATACCGGAGCAACCAACATGAGGAGAAGCATTTCGATGCATCTCCCCGGTACAACGCCGGAACAAAGAGAAATTCTTACAGCACCAGCAGACCCATCGCCTAAGGAGATGGTGAACGGAAGACGGCCAAGTTCGCCTCCGCCAACGATTCACAGCAAAACGACCCCACCGGGACCCCCGGCTGCCGGTGTTGATCAGGAGATTGAGGAAGTGCCTTTGGTCTCTCCTTTGCCTACTGCACGGAACTTCTCGCGTCCGACATCCGAGACGAGCCCTCCTCCAGCTCAAAGGACTTACTCATTGTCTGAGGAGGAAGATGAAGTTTTGCCTACCCAGCAGGCCCCTATTGAGGAGCAACCTTCCCCAGAGCCAGTCATTCAAACCGCCAAGCTCTCAGAGCCGTCTCGTCAGAGTTTCGGTCTCTCAAGTACTTTGGGCACGAGTCACCACCCACAGTACATCGACCCCGTCACCGCTCGCCAGATGTCCTTTGCTCGTGCACCTTCCGTGGTGCACGCTCCGATTTTTGGTGCTTTGAAACGTTTTAAGCAGCAGGATGCGAGGAAGAACAGTATCTTTGGGTTTCCTGAGCCGCCTCAATCGGAAGAGATGCCGGCGTTGAATGAGGAAGTTCAGGAACCTCTGCCGACGACACAGTTTGAGTCTCCGGGACTGAGGCCATTGAGCCTCACCATTCCTTCTCACCACCAGTCATTTTCCGACGATGACGACTTGAGTCCAGGTTCCATGTCTCCTCGGGCTTTGACACCTCCACATGTCAGTCCCTTGGTACAACAGCCGGCTACCGTCGCTCAGCGACAGGACTCAAAGACTCCCAGCCCGCCTAGTCGCACGCCTAGCCTTTCGCCTACACCAAAGGGCGCGATCCAGCGTCAGCCAAGCTCTATCTACCCTGTTAGTGAGGAGGACTACAGCATGGATGCGGACAGCTATAACCTCCCTCCCGAGGTTTCCGCGATCCTGAGTGGGCAGGTGTCGGATTCTTTTGGTACGTTGGATGTTGACAGGATGATTGCGCAGTTCCGTCAGACTACGGTCAATGAGGGAAAGAGCCCGTCACTTGCTCCGGTGAAGATGATGGTTAAGAGTCCGAGTGGCAATGTCTTTGTGGACCCGTTCACATATGTTGGCGAGACGCAGCAGCAGGAATTTCTGCCGGGACCGCCAAGAAGCTACAGTATCGTGAGCCCTATTACCGTGCAGGCACCTGTGCAACTCCCAGTTACGCCGATCAACAAGCGCATCGGATCCCTTGTCGCTGACGACTCCGGTTATGGTGGCGATGTTTCCCCGAGGGGAAGCATGAGCTTGCAGGGTACCCAAGGTGCATCGCCGATTCAGCAGCCCCAGTACCGCTTGCCTTCTGTTGCCGAGGAGGACGTGTTCATACCTCCGAACAACAGGATTCACCGTCTGACTAGCTTGGTCGATGATGATGAGTATGAGCTTCACAGATCAACTTCGAACAAGAGATTTGGGCAATCAGCGCCGGCACCTGCAGCAGAACAGCAGCAACCACCACAGACACCTCAGGAATCTCTGAACAGGCAGCCGAGCATCACAAGCGAGTACTCTACGTACTCTCCTAGCGCTACCCCGAAGCCTCGTCCTATGTCGGACTATTCACCTGCTCCTGCTTCCGTGGTTGCTGCCGGATATCAACAGTACCTCGACTCACCTGCGACGTACTACGACAAGACCCCGAGTCAATTCGGTTCAGCTTCGTTCAACGGCGGCTCATACAGCAACACGGCCTACAATGGCACTAGTTCATCGATGGGTAACCCCAGCACCGCCGCACCCAGCATCCATGGCCAGCACTTCGAGAATGGTTTTACATTCCAGACACCATCATGTACGCCTTCGCGTACGTCACAGTCGTCCCGCGCCACATTCGCAAAGGGTCAACGTCCGTTCAGCTATCACAGCGGGGCCTCCTCTGCGGTCTTCGACGAGGGATACCATAGGGGTTACGAGGCCGCCAAGAGAGCAATGCTCCAGCGTCTCGTGGTTCCTGAGGGTAATGAGTGGATGGATGAGGGTGGACCGGATCCTTTGCAGAGTCTGTACGATGGTGCTTCGACTATCTTGGCTCCTGTTTCGCAGATACGTCGTTCGAGTTCTTTGTACTCTACGCAGCGTGGTATGGTGCCGGAGGCCAAGCAATATTTGGTTCTTAATCCAGGCAGCAGCTATGCTCCCTCCGCCGTAGGCTCGCTCTACGCTCCTGAATCTTTGCGGCCGTACAGTCCGATGTACGGGAAGGGTTCCATCTCTGGCGCAACTCCGTATATGCATGCCGGATTGGCGCGAGCTTCTCAGGAATACATCCGTCGAGCATCGCGTTCGCGTGGCCGCAGCTCTCAGCGTAGGACGAGCACACCTCACGACCAACCCATGGCTGCCTACAATGGCCAAGCAAGACGCTCTGGCGCACCTGATGAGATGCCGCAACAGCGTTACAACCCGATTGCGTTGCAGAATGCACAGGTGGCTACCGAGCAGTATCAAAACCAGCAAACCCAGGAAGGGGAGATGGAGAAGGGGAAGAAGAAGGGGCTTATGAGTCGCCTGAAGTTGAAGATTAATAACAAAAGGTTGAGGACGCAGCAGGCGATTGTGTCGACGGCGAAGGCTGCGGGAGCGAATTGCAGGTCTGTGTAGAGAGAGAATGCGGAGGAGGTTAAGAGAGATGAAGAAAGGGAAGGAACAGGAAAGGGAAGGGAAGGACAAGGGATTGCATTTAGGGTTTAGTTTGGTGCATGGCATTTGGATTCTAATATAGGGGAGTTACTTCGTAATTGAACATTGTCATTTTCCTACCTGTTATCTTCAGTTCTTCGCACGGCTCACCTGTTCAAATCCAATTGTGGGGTCATAGAGTAGACACGGCACGCGGACCGCCTACAGTATCGATTGCGAACTCGGAGAGTTTGATCTATCAACACCAACCACCTTCAGGTCATTGATCCGTTCCGTCACTACCGCCGTGAAGGCCCAACGGTGTCTGATCCTCCCTTACAATGAGTCCAATCACCTTTAATCCTACGACAACGGCAGCCTTCTTCATTCTCTTCACTTCACTGACACCCTACCTCCTCTACCACCTCGCATCCCACCACTTCAACTGGACTGATAATCGTGCAAAGTCGCCTGTTGTCCATGCACAGGACTTGTGTAAGTTGGCAGGGTTTGGGGCTGCAATCTGTTTGGTTGGTGGGTATGTGGAGACTTTTAGGTAAGTGTTTTTGGGAAGTGGTGTGATGTGGAGGGACGCTGATGGATGTATGCGGGTAGTCCGTTGGTGACAGCGATCATGGCACACATCACGATCGTGCTTTATGCATTTCTGTGCGAGTGGGAGGTATACAAGGCTTGAAGGTCCTTTGACAATGTCACGACTAATCAAGTTTGTATAGCCCATGCGAACAGACCTCTCCCGCTGGCGCTCTTGGCCCTGGCAAATGTGGGCAGTCTTCCTCGCGGCTGTGACCCTGATCGTCCTCTTCACTCTTTACCATATCGCGGTTGCTATCGAGCGGTGGGGATTTGTTGGGGCATGTCTTTATTTGGGAACGTTTGTGTGCTCAATCGTGGGTGTGGGAATGGGGACGGTAGGGATCGCGAGGTGGCAGAATCATGGGGGCTTGAGGGGAGTGGGAAGGGTTAAGGTTGAGATAATGGACGATGGTGATACTGAAGAAGGGGAGGAGGAGGAAAGCAGACCGATCAGAGGTGCGACGATGAGGAGGTATTCTGGCCTTGACAATGAGGCCAGCGAGGAAGAGGAGACTGAGCGGAAGTCGAGGTGGCCGCATGTGAAGATCCATGTGCACCATTGGCAGGTATTGCACGGCAAACAGAAGACATTGTAATAGTGCGCTGACGCATTGTACTACAGATCTTCGGGTTCCTTGCCCTCTTTACGAGGTTTGATACGTGGCCGTCGCAGCTTGCGGCGGGGATTGTGTTGGGGTGTTATGTGCATGGGATAGCTGCGTATGTTGGCCCGGTAAAGTTATCCCCGAGAGTGGACAGTTACTGACTGACCGTACAGGTATGGGTATGATTCGATTTGGATTCTTGAGGAGGTTCAGGAGCGGTGAATTGTGGGAAAAGGACGAGGCGATGGATGAACGGTGTATGGTTCATGGATGATCTTGTCACGTTCCCTTATGCAAGTCAATATTCCAGTCAATTCAGAAACCAAGGATATCAGCTCCTCAACCTCATCGAGGGCAATTACGTTTGTCCCATGATTCAGGTAATTCTAGCCGACGCGTGCATTGCGGATCCCCTGACCTCATCTCAACTCACGCCGAGATACCCATAAGAAAAAGTATATCACCAAACCCTTCCACCCATCCAAATCATGACCGAACAAGCTAAGCTCAAGGTCGGATACGTCCCTGGTACATTCATCTCCTCTTGCTCTCCTCCACCGGCCGTACTGACGGGATCAACCCCACAGAGCACTTCTCTACCCCCCTCCTCCTCGCCTCCCGTCATGGCATGCTCCCCCCTCACACCCTCCACCCCCAGCCCTCTGGTACGGGCCAAATGATCGAATCCCTCCGTACCGGCGAAATCGACATCGCACTCGGTCTCACCGAGGGTTGGGTCGCTGGTCTCGGTGGTGACAAGGATTGGTACAAGATTGTCGGGTATGTATCATAGCTGCGCTATCCAGCTACATCTAGATCTAATGGTACTATGGTACAGAACTTATGTCCAGTCACCGCTCTGCTGGGCGATCTCTACCGGAGCGCAGAGTGAGTATAACTCTGTTGATGATTTGAAGGACAGCAAGTTGGGTATTAGCCGTATTGGGAGTGGGTCTTATGTCATGGCCTACTACTTGGCTGACACCAAGGGATGGCTCGGTACGTATCAGCTATCCTTCATCGACGCCTTTTACGGTGCTAAGACATGGATCATGAAGAGGAGGGCAAGCAACCCTTTGATTTCCAGATCCAAAACACCTTCCTCAACCTCCGCAACGGCGTAAACTCCGGCGCCTCTTCCGCCTTCATGTGGGAATACTTCACCTCGAAGAAGTACTACGACAACAAGGAGATCCGTCAAATCGGGGAAATCTACACCCCGTGGCCCTCGTGGTTGATCACGGCTCACACCTCTGTCCTCGCCCGCTCCGACGCTTCCCAGACGCTCAGTGCTCTTCTTGAGGGTATTAACAAGGGTGTGGAGTACTTTCATGCGCATACGGATGAGGTTGTGGAGTATATCTCGACCGAGTTGGATTACTCGGCAGAGGATGCGAGGGCTTGGTTGAAGACTGTCGAGTATCCTCAGGATGTGAAGAAGGTTGACCAGAAGATGATTGAGAGCACTATCGGCACTTTGCAGAAGGCGGGTGTTATCAGGGGCGAGCCTCAGGCGGAAGCCATGGTTCAGAAGCTCTAAAGCTTGTAGGCTTGGATGAACAGTTGCGCGGTGTCAAGATAGGATGGACAAGGTTATTGTATCGATATAGGATCAAAAGTACGAATGTGAAATAGAAGATTGTTTCTTGGACCCTTCATGTTGTGACGTGCGGCATCGGGCCCTGTTCCCCACACTGCCGAGAAGCGACAGCGCGTCGTATGTACACCGCAATTGATCTCACTATCAAAAACCTAATTGCACCCCAAGCAATTCGATCGCATTTGCAAAGCCGTCCTTCATTCGAGCAATTGCAAAATGGACCGCTACGCCGACCTCTTCGGACTCGACGAAGACCTCCCCTCCTCCCCAACCTCCGATCCCGACCGGGACTCATCCGACCTCTCCTCCCTCCTCCAACCGCTCACCCTGACGCCCTTCCGCTCTGCCACCTTCTCACCCACATCTTTCCTCCTCTCCCACCGACACACCGATCTTGCAGACCTTCGCGCTGAGCTGGATGGACTGGAAGAAGAAGTACGAGCGGAGCTCGGTGGGTTGATCGAGAGGGATTATGGGGAGTTTGTGGGGTTGGGGAGGAGTTTGGGAGGTGTTGGGGGGATGGTTGGGGAGCTTAGGGGGGGACTGGAAGAAGTAAAAGCCGGGGTAGAGGTATGTACGCTGGATTGAGGGGACGGAGGGTGGGTGTACTGAAAGCGTGTCTGCTGTAGGCTATCGCGACAAGACTGAAAAGCACGATCGATGAGATCGACCAATTACTCGCCGAGAAAGCCACAGTACGGGCTGATATGAAACTCGCACGATCGTTGATGGGGTATGCGCAAGCACTGGAAGAGTTGGAGACAGACCTACAGATATCAAGTCCGAATGGGGCGCAGAACCACGTCAATCGTTCGGCGGAAAGGTTGCTATGAAGCTGCCGTCTCATACTTGCTGTATACTAACGTTGGGTGACAGTAATACCTCGCTAGACCGACTCCAAGGCCTCGCACAATCTTTCAGCTACCTCACCTACCTCCGCCAAAAAATCCCACAAGACCACCCATTCCTTGCGGCGTATCAAGCACGGTTCGACAGTGTCGAGGCGACGCTCATGGCGGATCTTGCGGCAGGGTTGAGGGAGGCGGCGAAGTCTGATACCGACAAGACCCGGTTAATGGGGATTTTGAAGGCGTATAGGGAGCTTGGAAGGCCGGGGGAGGCGATGGGGGTGTTGCAGAGTATACGATGAGATTGAAAAAGGAAGAATGAAGGGAGGGTAAGGGATGTGCATTTTGATTTTGGCGTTTTGACATTGGGGTGGAGTTCATTAGGGCATTTCTTCAATATGTAGACGACACCCACACAAGGGTCAAAAGAAATTCTGTTTTAATATTTCATATGCACTCACTCCATCTATGCCTTGATAACACATCCTGGCGCATGCGTCGACGACAACACAATCTCCGCCACCTTGATACTCTTCTTCGTCGTCTTATTAATCTCCTGCACCTTAACCTTGACCTGCCCCATCAACAACTTGATATTCGTCTCCAACTCCTCCTCCGTGAAATCCAGCTGTCCGATCGGAAGTCTCACAACACCCTGCTGCTCACGGTAATCCTGCTTACCAAGCGCGTCCTTGATCGCAGTGGTCAAGTCTTTCGTCACAGTCCCGCGCTTCACGGACGGCATGAGGTTTCTCGGACCGAGTATTCTTGCGACCTTGGAAAGGAGGGAAAACGAGTCCGGGTGCGCAATACATTTATCGAACTGAATGGCACCATCTAGGATCTTCGCAACGACTTCTTCGGCGCCGACGATGGATGCGCCGGCTTCGCGGGCTTCTTTTGCGGCGTCACCATCTGCGATGACACAGACTACACTTGGCTTCTTGCTGCCCTTGGGGAAGAGAATCGCGCCACGGACGGGTGCGACACCGTTGATGGTATCGATCTTGATCGCGATATCGTATGGCAGCTTTTGGTTTTGTCCGACTTCGGCGGCACGGATGTACCTCATAGCCTCCGAGATCGACATAGGCTGAATCATATTCGGGTCGCCCCCCTTTTTTCGGCTCCACTTATGGGCGGAGCGGACGGTGGCACCGTACCAGATTGGCTGGCCGTGTTCGTTCTCGGACGGTTTTGTGGGTTGGACGATGGGTTGGGCGTGGCGGGTCTTGACGACGGCCATGGATCTAAGGTTTGTTGCCCGTGGGCACAGACGGGCGGGTCTTCGTGATAGCATGTTGGTCGATTCCCAAGGGTAAACGGTAAACGGTAAAGGTTCTCTCTCGAGGCCAGTTGCGGTGGAGCACTTTGGCCAGATGCAAGGGCAGAGGGGAGCGCAGGAAAACGCAAACAGCAGTCAACACCCTCTCAGGGTTGCAGTCAACCTTGGAAGTCAATTCAGGGATCTATCTCTGTGCTCCTCGATATATTTCGCCTTCCACTTCCCCAACTCCGCTCTCGCGTTAAACTTCTCCTCACTCCACTCCGGAATCATCAAACCACCCTCACCCGACGCCTCCAATGCCCAACTCCTGAGCATGTTGATATACTCCCCATCCCTAGGATGTCCCATCTTGTGGAAGTTACGGGCGTCACCTTTCTCGCTGATCTCATCTTGTTCGGCTTGGAGCATTTTCTCCGTTGATGGCATAGTCAGGCGGCCGGCGTAGAATCGTGCCACGACCATGGCCTGTGCTTCGGAGTTCGGGAACGGGATGACTTGCCATGGCAGACCGAGGAATGTCAGGGTTGGATCATAAGCGTAGAACACTTGGCGGTATAGGCGGCGGATGCGGAGGCCATCTGTGATTAAGGCATCCGGTCCTTCGCAGAGGGATGGCATAAGTCTGTATGTTTCCTCGTCAGCTCTTGAAACGGGTGGATTCAATGGAGGAAAGCATACGGTAGTGAATAGTAGTATCCCGTTGCATACAACACCACATCAACACCCTCTAACACCTTCCCACCCTCTAACACGATACTCCCATCCTCCCTATACTCCTCAATCGGCGGAACATCCTCTACATCCGGATGCGGAATCACAGGCATCTTACTCTCGGATCGAACACTCCTCCACACAGGTTTATGTGCCTCACGGACGATTTCCTCCGATATATCAAGACCTGAAGGACCATTCCCGACAACGAGGACTTTCTGGTTGGTGAATTGGTGGGGCGTGCGGAAGGATTTGGCGTGGGTTATGGGTTTGGGGAAGGTTGAGATGCCTTTGACGGAGGGGATGGTAGGGACTTCGAAGTGGCCTGTGATAACCAAGACATTAGCCGAAGAAGCGGGAAAGATCTGATTATCAGACCTGATGCGATGCATACAGCATCAAAGCGCTCTTCCCAAGTTCGTTCATCGCCCACAACCTTCCGCAACTTCACAACCCACTTTCCTGACTCCTCCGAATCTTTCCTAATATCCTCCACCGCAGTCTGTAACTCTATCAAATCTTTGACTTGCGCACTGTATGCCCTCAAATACTCTAGGACGACGGAGCGATGTGGAAATGTCTCTGTATCTGGCGGGAAATGGAGATCGGAGAACTCCATAAGCTTCTGTGCCGGGATATTGCTGCGGTCAGGCCCAGTCAGCTATTGTCGAGCAGAGTGTTCAGTTGTTATCGCTCACGTATGAAGGTACTTGTACATCGGCGACGGCCAAACCGGAACACCATCCTTCCGCAATGGCTCGTCTTCTTCTTGCGGGTTCACCCGTGGTACCGGTGATGGATTGGGTGTCTCATCTGTATAGATCCTACAATCCCAAAGCGTGGTAAGCCTCACGTCAAAACTCCCGTACATTTGCGCATACCATGATCCGCCAATCTCGCTCCTCCGTTCATAAATCCTTATATGGGGGATGCCTTCAGCGATGAATGCGCGGGCCGCTGTCAAGCCTGACGCTCCAGCCCCGATGATGGCGACCCGTCGTACTCTACCTGGAGCAACCATGCTCGTTTGTGTCGATGTAACGTTTGACGTCTGATCTCGATCCCGTTCAACTTTATTCCTTATCGTACAGTAGACCTTTGTCCCGCCAGCGCCCAACGGCCAACCTGTCAAAGCGCGCTGCTCGGGTGCGCCGGATCTGTACTGGATGCCCTTACGAAACAAAACCCTTGCAAACAAAGACCCCTCCGTTGCCCATTGAAACACCAGCCCTCAAGCCCTCTTGTTTACCACCAATCTCCCTCTTCGTGTCAAGGGTTGTCGTCCATTTCCCGTTTGTCCATTTCCACAGCACGCCCCCCCTCGCCGTGGTCGATTGTTCTGGCCTGATTCTGCGACACCTACTCGACTGCCTCCCTCTTTGACACTTACAAAGTTAACCCCCGGCCGCCCGTCCTTCCAATTCCTTCTACTTCTTCTTCGACTACGGAATTCTGCCGTTTCCAATTGATACGTGATCGTCATGGGCTTCTTCAACAAGAGGGAGTCCGTTGGTGGTACTGCCGCCGACAACGCTTCCATTATCTCGTACCAGTCCATCAAAGAGTACCCTTCTCCACCCATGTCTGCGACTCGCACCTCGTTCGCCCGTCGCTCAACCTCGTCGAACCACTCCGTTAACTCAAAGCGCTCTCCCTCAATCCTCTCCAACACCAAGTCTTTCTTCTCGACCTTGTCGGCTCCGGCGACAGCACCCGCGCAACCCAATGCCTCTGTCAAAGGAGTCAAGCTCCCTGAGCCACCGAATGCGGATGAGGACCCCAGTGGGTATCTTAGGACGTTGAATGCTGTTAGGGAAAGGAGTAACATGATTTTTGAGAAGGGAAAGACTGGCGAGTTGAAGTGTTTTGACCTTGACATGGACAAGATGGACGATGTCGTTGGGTTTGTTGCATCAATTATCAAGGTACGTCGGTACGCAACGTACACTATTTTGCTGAATGCTGACGTATGGTCGTACAGCGGGACTACGCACCCGACTACCACCTTATCCCTCCTCACGGCCGCTGGCAGCACTTCGAAGTCGGCGGCTCCAAGCGCATTGACCGCCTCCTCGCCGCCTTTCCTCCCTCGATTGACGACTTCGAAAAGACAAGACGTCTTCTCGACCTCTTTGTCGTTTCCGTTCTCTTGGATGCCGGTGCTGGAACTGCGTGGACCTACAAAGAAGAGGCTTCCCACGACATCTACCGTCGGTCCGAAGGTTTGGCCGTGGCTAGTTTGGAGATGTTCAACAGGGGTCGCTTCAGTGGTGATATCATTAACCCTTGGAGGGTCGATGCAGAGGGATTGAGTCTGATTACGGCGGACATTTTGGGAGAGGATATGCAAGTTTCTGAGGATAACCCGCTTGCGGGGTTGGAGGGTCGTACGGAGCTCTTGAAGAATCTCGGAAAAGCACTCGGGGCTAAACCGGAGTACTTCGGAAAAGACGCGAGGCCAGGGAATATTTTGGACTACCTTCTCAAGCACCCCACTACCCTCGGCGCTGGTACGCCGAACCCTACCGTTTTGGTCCCGACTTTGTGGGCTGCTTTGATGCACGGCTTCGCACCCATCTGGCCCGCTGGCAGAACCACTTTGCCGGGCGACTCCACTCAGCTCGGTGATGCATGGCCTACGCAACTTCTCCCACAGTCACCTCCCCACGCCAAGATCGTCCCCTTCCACAAGTTGACGCAATGGATGGCATACTCCCTCATCCCGCCCATGACCCGCCTCGCCGGTATCCGTTTCGCAGGAATGCACCTCTTCACCGGTCTTCCCGAATACCGCAACGGAGGCCTCTTCGTTGACCTCGGACTCTTGACCCTCAAGAAGGAAGTCGAGGCCCGCGGGTTGGCGACTTACCACGCCACCGTCACCTCCGACAAGAAAATCGAGGTCGTCCCGATGTATGCGCCTGGCGATGAGGTTATCGTCGAGTGGCGTGCTTGTACCGTCGCGCTTCTCGATCTTGTTGCGGAGGGTGTGAATAAGAAGTTGGGGTTGAGGGCGGATAATGCGTTGAGTTTGGCGCAGGTTTTGGAGGCGGGGACGTGGAAGAGTGGGAGGGAGTTGGCGGAGATTCAGAGGCCTAATACGAAGGGGCCGCCAATCGGATTGTTGAGTGATGGAACGGTATGTCTTCACACACAATGCCCACCCTGTAACGAATGCTAACATGAACCTATAGGTCTTCTAGGTGAGGTGTTGACCGTGAAGAGTGTTTTTGCATGCCTAGGCGTTGGCATGGTTATATGGATGGAAGTGATGGATGGGTGGGTCGTATTGCAACGGGTCATCTTTCGGGCTGATTAGATTCCCTTTTTACCTGTGTTACCATATTTGCTTCTGTTTGAAATGTTTTTGTTGCTAATTTCACTTTTATAAAACAAGATGTATGTCATTTGAAACCTTCGCAAGTCCACTTGTCACTGTTCTGGCGTACATACGATCGGGTCTGATCTGTCAAGACCTCACATTCGTCGACAGCTTTTCTGATACAACAGGACATCCGCCATTTCCGGTCTCGTATCGTATATTGGGAGAGTGTCGTTCCCGCTTGCCCTTCACTTACTTCGCTCACTTCCTCGGAGCGTTCGGATCAACAGAGAATGATCCGGCGGGGCCCGTCATGAGCTGTCCCTTCTCCGCTGCCTCCCTCAACATCTGCTCCTTTCTGAAGTCTAGTACACGCTTCTTGTTGAAGTATTCAACCTGTCCAACCATCCATTAGCGGAATACTGGTTGGAGAGCGCAATGATTCCATACCCAACTATGCACGCACGAATCCTCAAACTTCTTGAACTCCTTTGGACATGCCTTCTTGGCCTTCACTTCCTCATCAATCGGGTTGATGATGTTGTTCTTATCCAAACACGCAAACCTAGATGCTGTGTAAGTACCTGACCACGGGAGGCGAACACCAAAAAGTGTGGGGATCCTATCACAACTGCAAACGTACCATGCGTCTCGGGAGCCCCAGCACTGCTTCCGCTGCTCTCTCATAGGAAGTTCATCAGGTCTAGGAGCCATATTGATCGTATTTGAGGATTCTCGATGACCTTTGCGGAATTCGCTTACATGGGCATACGTACTGGGGCTGGTGTATGGCGAAGTGCATGACGTTGCAGGACGGGAAGCAGGGATATCGATAACAGCACCTCAACGAACCAGACCGGCAGTATACGAGTTTGATCATGGCCGAACAGCAGGACCCCTCAGCTCCCGGTATTGATGCGCCGCCTCTTCCTCTGGGCTCTCCTCCGGCCACTGTGCCGGAGCTTCCCTCCGTCGGTGGCGGATCAGGCGGAGCACCGCCGCTTCCTAGCGAGCCTGTTCCGCGAACAGCATTGGTAGCTTCGACGGAGGAGGAATCCCCTAAAGAGGCGACGGAAGTCAGTACATCGTCGGCCGAGCCGATTCGGAAGGCTGAGTCACCCGCAGCAACGACGGCCGCAGCTAAAGATCCTCAACCGCAAGATGCTTGGCAGGTTGGCTAAGTCGTGTACACTCTCTTCTTTTTCTTGTATTTTAACCGTTCATCTATCCAGGCTGTCTGGGATTCGACACATCAAGCATATTACTTCTACAACACGGATACGAAAGTGGTAACGTGGACCAATCCTCGTGTACCACCTGGGAGTGAAGAGGAGAAGGCAGCGTTAGAGCAGCAGCGTCAGCAGCTACAACAAGCTCAGCAAGCGTATGGAGCCGTGGCGCAGGATCCGTATGCTGCTTATGCGGGTGAGGAGTATCCGTATCCACAGCAACCTGCTGCACCAGGTACAGAGGAGGACTATTCCTTTGCTGCGCGTTTCAATAAGCGTACTGGTCGCTTCCAAGCAGATCCCAAACTTGATCCTTCACGGCATACCATCGAAGCTCGTGCTGAACGCCAGATGTCCGCGTTCTTTGACACGGACCAGTGGAATCAGACCAGTGGAATGTCGTTGAAGGAGGAGAGAAGGGAGATGTATAAGAAGCTGACGAGGAAGGAGATTGCGGAGTATAAAGCGAAGAAGAAGGAGAAGAAAGAGATGAAGCGTCGTGCTTGGTTGACGAAGGATTAGCCGGCTAAACAACGTTCAGGGTTTTTGGATTGCTTGGTAGTACGCAGCTATCGCATTATTAGAATGCCGCAGGAGACGTAATAACCGAGGGACAATAGAAGACTCAGCTTAATAGCGAGCCCTCCTTTCATCATCCATGCACATAGCAAACAGTCTTCCCACGGCAATCACCATGCAGAAGTCAGGGAGATACAATGCAATGCCAGCGACGTGATACAAGTCGGACCATGAGAAGGGTAAATATGGTACCAGGAGTTAGGAAGAACCGCGAAGTTAAGGTTGATATAGTGTATATTTTGCTAATCTCAACCGAAGTACACTCTAGAACCGGATTAGATCCCACCTACAGCAGCCGAAGCGGAAGCTGGGTTGTCGGCAATACGCAAAGTAACCTCTCCTGATTGCGTAATATATCTGGTCAGACAAGTCAGCAACACGATTCACGTTGACTCCTGGACAGTCTTGTCTTACCTGACCCATGGCAGAGCCTGGTAGTTGAGCTTCGGCTCAATGATCTTCAAGTACCTCACTTGGATACCACTCGTAGTAAAGTATGGGATCTCGAACTTGATCTCCACTGGTCTCTTCTTCGTCTCCACCTGCTCGCCCTTGACGGAGGGCAAGTTGAGTTCAGCACGCATCATGAACTCCTTACCACCACCAAACTGCTTAATCTTCCAAATGATCGCAGACTTCTCAGGCGCATATTGCACAGTGCCGGTGGAAGTGCGGAAACGGGGGGTGTCGGCGTCCTCCGGGACTGGAATGAGGATCTCGACGTTGTTGGCTGTCGAGCGACGCTTGAACTGTCCTTTTGCCTGTTCGGAAATTCCATATTAGCAAGCGGTTTGCTCGATTCCAAAGGAAACTTCGAACCTTGACCATATACTCCAATCTGCTCCCCGAGTGACTCTCGATCAAGCATTCCACCCAGATCAAAGGCTTAACAGCCGTGTTCAACCGGTAACTCATCAACTCAAACTCGCCATCCGGTGGAATAAACGAGATTGTTCTGTCGTTCTCGAACCTAGACAACCTCACACATTGATGGAACTTGACATCCTCCATCTCGATACTCTTTCCTCTGCTTGTCCTTCCCGTAGTCTCGAACATCACCTTGTCGTTCAAACCCAACCGCAATTCGGGCATACCTGATAGGTAACACTTCATCTTAACTGCACCAAGGATTTCTGAACGAATGACGTTTCCGGCAGCGTTAACCATAAGGTTGACAGATTCGACGACATCGAGGAAGACTTCGTTTTTGCGATAGCGTATACCTTCAGAACGCCAGGACACTGCGTTGGTGACGGCCATTGGGGGTCGTGCTTGTACTTCGAGTTTGTGAGATTCTTGGGTGATGTACTCTTGCAGAATCTTAGTTTCCGTTGTCTGTGGGTAACCAAAGTCCATCATTTCATCCAGCAATTCGTAAATGATGACAAAATTGTCGCGGATCGACTCCTCTTCCAGTGTTTTGAAGTATTCCGTCAAGACCTGTACCAGCTTATGCATGAACAGTAGGATCTCAGTCGCATTAGTGTTTCGCTTCGTCAGTGATAATAGGTAGAGGTTGTGGTGTCTGATATAGAGATACTAGGGATGATGTTAGCAAAACATCCGGCTTGGTCACATTGATCCACGTACGTTGATACCCTCATGAGTGAAACAGGGTGTAGGCGTTACGTTCTCCTCCTCAGCCTCGTTCAGAAGAGGCATAAACTTCTCCACCGCCGACATAGGGATATCACCGCGGTAATTCCGGGCGAGAAGGGTCTTCCCCTTCATATCAAGGAAGAAAAGGCAGGAAGCCATATCTGCTGTTTCTGAAGCGTAGCAGCGTTACTGAGTTTAATGTCGCCTTCCAACTGAATACTCCGTATCACTGCCTCCAGAATGCTATCCAGATCTCTTCCTCCAGATTTCGGTTTGTTGCTCTCGTTGCATTCGTGCTTGGTGGTGCAGGACGAAGCGGTAACCGGTGACGCCAGGTGAAATAACCTTGACTTAACCCCTGACAGGTTAATTGAGATGTACGTACGTTAATGAGAACCCACCTCCGCAAGTATCGCCCACAAATACAATCGATACCTCGGTACCAGTATCATCCCTCTCTTTCACCCCTATACCTCTCCGCGACCCATCTACAACTTCGTCAATATGTCATCAAACGGTTCCGCCACGGCTTTGCGTCGCCTCATGAAGGAATACCAAGAGATTAGTCAGAATGCGCCAGAAGGCATCATGGCAGGTGTGTTGTGGCTGTCTGCAAGACTTCTTGGAAGCTCTCTGACTTAGTTACACAGGTCCATCTGACGAGAACAACTTCTTCGTGTGGGACTGCCTTATTCAGGGTCCTGAAGGCACGCCTTTCGAAGGAGGTCTCTTCCCGGCTACTCTTACTTTCCCGAAGGTATGCTTATAAAGCTTATCCGTTACAGAATATCATGATTAACACGTTGCTTCAGGACTACCCCCTCTCGCCACCTGTCATGAAGTTCACCTCAGAGATGTTCCACCCAAATGTCTACCCCGACGGTACCGTCTGCATCTCCATCCTACACGCTCCAGGAGACGACCCAAACCAGTACGAGTCATCTTCGGAAAGATGGTCACCAGTGCAGTCTGTGGAGAAGATCTTGATTAGCGTGCAGAGCATGCTGAGTGAGCCGAATGACGAGAGTGGAGCAAATATCGAAGCATGCAAGGTGTGGCGAGATGACAGGAAGCAGTATAACAGGATTGTGAGACGGTTGGCACGGGAGACGCTTGGATTGTAAGCGGTGGTGGCGGGATGTAGGTGGCAGGCGGCGAGCACAGAGAAGCGAAGTCGGTGTAGCGATGTCGGAGCTTGCATGGATTACGAGAGTGGTATACGCATGCTGGAGCTAATCCGCACCTTCTTTATTGTCAGAGTCTCTAATGCGAGAGACTTTCCTTTATTCTCCATTGACCACGAATCCCAAAAGCAAGATGTAAACGCCAGTATAAATAAAATTCCCATGCCTTGTGTCCTCGTCCAGCGACGACGTCTACTCAGCCTTTCCCTTTCCCTTGTCATCGACCTCCTCAACAGAGAGGTTAATCTTCTCAGCAGCAGCAGCCATCTCCTGCAACTCCTCTTCACCGAGCTCGACACCCTCCTCGTCAACGATCCTCATCTTCTTCTCGCCACTGCCCTCACCCTCGTCCTTCGCCGCAGGCTCCTCCTTCACCTCGGTATTTTGAAGCATCCAGTCGACGACCTCCTCCTTGTCATTTGCTTGTGCCTCCCAGATCGGGGTCCTGCTCATGTCGTTCTTGGAGGAGAAGTCCGCGCCGGCCTTGATGAGGACTTGGACAACTGGGAGATGGCCAAGGAGACATGACCAATGCAGAGGAGTGTTCCCTCTCTCATTCTGAATATTCAGAAGGCTCTTATCCGCAATTTCCTGGATTAACGCGTTTACAATGTCTGCGGATCAGGTTAGCTCATATTGCATTCTTCCCGCAATGCAAACGTACCGACGTGACCATTCGCAGCAGCCATATGCAGCGCAGTATTTCCAGTATATTCATCTTGCGCCTTCAACAGTTCCTCTTTCCGGTCTGCGAATTGGGCGAAGTACGCGTTGATCTCCTCGAGATCGCCGTAGCGGGCTGATAGAATGAAATCGTCCGTATCGAATTCGAGAGTAGCCATAATGAAGCTCTGCGAAGGAATAAACAATGCACGATGCTCTTGATGCTTTTTTTTATTAGGATCGAGGAGGTCAAGGATCGGACTTTCTCGGTGATTTGCTTGTACGGCTGCGGGTCGCGTTTCACCGAACGTTAAATGCACCCAAATTTGTGGGGCTGAAGCTGCGGCGTGCCTTAATCAAGCTGTGGCGCACGAAGAAGTCTACGTTACTGCCGAACTTTAACTGTTTGAAAAGGTGAACCTTGAACCATAGAAGTTGTTAGGGACTTGTAAGCTCAAGAAATATACATTCCTCTGTGCAAGGGGCTATTTGAGGGGCACTTGCTGAACCCATCCGATCAGCGCAAGTCTTTGCGTGAGACCACGATGCCTAGGCCAGTCTGATCCCCATGAACTCGACGCGTTGAATCACCGGACTGAGTCGCAACGAATTCGCCTCAGACTCGACTAAACCGAGTTCTGTTCATCAGAGACCCTGCGATGGTCTAATCGCCAGAACGCAACTCTGATAGATCTGCTATTTAACCTACTGCCACTAGTCACTAGTCTTATGCAGTTGTTCCCGCAAACCTGCCTAATCCGTCAAATTCGTTGCACCGTTACACCGGATGCCGCGCGAGACCAGTTCTCCCACAATTTCCTGAACCGGTCGCACGACGTCAGCACTGACCATGACGACTGTTCGACCAGGATGGGCAGATCGAGCGGGTTCCCAAACGCGCTTGGGACCTTCGTTGATAAAAGAGGGCCACCCCCCACCCATCTCAACCCTCATCCCATCTCTCATCCTACCAAAGTCTTTCACAGAAGCACAACTTCTACGAGTACTACCACTCCCTACACCAGTACTACAAGCAACAAATACCGTACCACCCAATAATCAAGCACCATGTCTGCCACTACTATCTTTACCGCCTCTTCCGCCGTCACTGGCACCTGCGCTGAACAGAACCTTCAGTACCACCAGTCTACAATCAAGCCTGCTCTCGAGATGATCACTCGTCTCAACCAAGACATCCAGGACTACGGGGCTGAGTTTTGTTACCTCTTCCGCCGCGTCAAGTCATGGGTGGACGACAACTGCACGAGGAATGAGCAGGGCAAGCTTCCCGTGCAGGTCCTTCAGGAGCGCGGTCACTACTCGTGGATTCAAGATACGGTTATCTTGGCGGCGAAAGAGATCTCAGTATCCGTCTACAATGCTGAAGCCTGTATCGACTCGGACGATCTCGTCGGTGCTCTTCGCCATGTCCAGGCCTTGGCCAACATGGACTGGACGAACAAGAGCAATACAGCCTATTATGAGAAGAAGATGTTGTTGGATGGCAAGAAGGAAATGGAGAAGAGCATTTTTAGGAGAGAAGCCGTCATGCCCTCCCTCTTGGCTCTTTGCAACTTCGTCGAACGGGGGTCTGTTGTTCCGGCTGAGTACAGGGAGTCGGTCAGGCCCTTAGTTACCGGTTTCAAGAACGACACGTTCCGCCAGTTCCAGGGACTCACGGCTGTTCTCGTTGACACCATCGAGGGTACTATCAAGTACACCGCTGAGGTTGCACTTGAGCGTGCCGCCTATATGGATGACGAGAGTGACCTTGCATTGGAGGTCGACGGCCCCTTCCACGAGATGTCCGAGGACTCTTGTGACAGCAGCGATGACAACGCCTCCACCGGCTCATCCACGCCTGACCTCACCTTCTCTCCTGCACCAAGCAAGGAGAAGGTCGGTATGGAAATGATTGATGAGTTGTGGCTGTACCAGACCGCTGGAACCGTTGCGTTGAAGCAGCGAACGGGGTTGAGCAGTTATGCTTTTGACAACGCTTTCCTGCCAAGGCATCGTCACGTTTTGGGGAAGATTCGGAACTTCGAACCCCCAAAGGAAGTGGTTCCATGCGTCCAAGTTGAAGAGTCTACGGAGGAGAAGCCTGAAGAGAAGTGTGAAGAGAATTCCGAGGAGAATCTTGAGGAGAAGTCGGAGTGTATGAGAACGGACTATAACTTGGACGACGCATTCCTCCCAAAGCACCGCTACCTTTTGGAAAAGATCCAGAGATTATGGACCCCATGGACAGCGGTGCCACGCGTTCAAGTCCAAGAGCTCGAGGCTAAGCAAGAGAAGTTGGTGTGCTTCACTCAAAGCTACTGCCTCGACGCTGCGTTCCGTCCGGAGCATCTTCGTATGTTGGGCAAGATGGAGAGATTTTGGGGACGCAAGAGCTCGAAGGCATAAGGAGCATAATGCCCAGGATAGCACGGCTACATTGGGAACTGATGTTTACGGGTGCATAGCGATGGAGCATACATGGGGTTTTTCTTTTGGGTAGCAATAGTGTTTCAGGATCTGCAATTGATTGGCTTTTTGCACAAGCGCCGTCCATATATATGTGGGACACATCCTCCTCCGTTACTGACAGTGTCCCCATCTACACATCACGCTGAAGAACTCCAAGTCCACTCTCAAAGTTCTTTGCGACAAGGTGTTGTAGAGCATGGGGTATCAGGTTTTACGGTCGGTGAATGTGACTCTCGCGCACCTACTGCTGTGTGCAAAATTCTTGACGCGCATTTTCGTACATGCGCGAGACCCCTGTAACGGTAACATAAAACACCTCCAAACAGCTCGAAAAAGGGTCTAGGAAACTCAGTAAGGGTCGAAATGCTTGGGAAGATATGTGCCGATGTCGACCGTGACAAGGTAATCAACCAATATGCCTCTGGGAAGGATGTCTACGAAATCGCGACCAACATTGAGAGGTCTCCTTGCACGGTTTACCGAATTGTGAAGAGATTCGAGGAGACAGGGCTTACTGAGCGTAAGGGCAACTCAACCTGCGGGCGCAAATCGGCTGTTGACGAGTTTCTGGGCTCGGTAAGTGGACGATTACTGCTCATGGGTACCACCAAGGGCATGACTCAATGACCGCAGCAAATCAAGTACTTGTACGACAAAAACCCTACCCTGTATCAGGACGACTGTGCTGAGTTCCTCAATGATCAATTCGCTACATCTCTATCGCGCTACCATGTCACCCGCTACCTGCAAAAGATTGGATATACCCGTAAGGTTTTGACCTTACGGGCAGCCCAGCGCAACCCTATCTTACGCGCAAACCATGCCATTGAAATGGCTGACTATACTCAAGAGCAGCTCGTATTTCTCGACGAATCAGCCGTGGATGAGCGCACGGGTTCACGAAAATTTGGATACTCACCAACAGGCGTCCGCGCAATCCAGGAGAGGGTCTTTGGACATTCGACACGTTGGAGTGTGCTGCCGGCATTGACTATTGAAGGTTTGAAGGCTCTGCGGATCTTTCAGGGGTCCTTCAATGCTGACCGATTCGTCGAATTCATCGAAGAGGACCCGCTACCAATCGTTGGGCCATTCCCTGGTCCAAACAGTGTCATTGTGCTTGATAACTGTCGAATTCATCATGATCCAAGGGTTGCTGAACTCTTAGTGAACCAACATGGCTGCCGCATTGTGTTCTTACCGCCATACTCACCCGACCTCAACCCAATTGAGCTCTGTTTCAGCATGATGAAGGCCTGGATGAAGCGCAATAACAACGACCCTGACGCCCGTCTCGACCCTGCCTCATTTGTTCGTAAAGCGATCGACTATATCAATACAGATCTCGAAAAGATCCGCAATTTGTACACGGGCTGTGGTTATGCGCTGACCGGCATGGATTTGCGCCAATATGTTGATAACAACCGTGAAATGGCCGCTCGAGCGGCTGAGCGGGTGTAGCTATCATTCATTAGTTCTTATCAGTATTTTCATGAATCAAAGGAACATTTCGTTCATTATTCACGTACTTGCCGTTCTCACGGGTCCTTTCCCTAACAAAATGGCCGGGAACTGCCCCACCTACATAGCATGCGAGTGTAGCTCACTAGATTACGCTCCTCTGAGACAAGAATTATGCACGCTAAGGTAGGGCATGCTGTTTTGTCAAGGTTTGTGCACGCTAACGCACGCTAACGCAGGTATTGCTACGCTAACGCAGGTATTGAGCGTGCATAATCCTTGACAAAACAGCATGCCCTGCCTTAGCGTGCATAATTCTTGACAACGTCGTTTCGTGCTCGAGTACAGGTTTGCAAAAGAATCAAGCATTGTGGATTGAAAAGCAGTACAGTACGACAGAGATAACTATAGATCAAAGCTTTCGTCAAACTCCTGGCTTTCGTAGACCTCGAAGGGTGTCACCTCGAGGCCTAGGGGTTCCCTAGGCTTCGATTGCTGCTCCCGCTGGATACCTTTCCAAACCGGCCACCATTTGCGCATAATCCTCACCCATCCATGCTTCACAGGCGGTAGGCCATTCGGATCGATGTTCTTGAGATCGTCTAGCACTACTCCATTGTCGACAATTGCATCTCGAACCGTCTGGCAATTAAAGTCGATGTATTCCGGAACCTTGGTCTTGACATAGGCTAGAAACCCGTCCAAATCATCAGCAGCCGGCCCTTGAAGAGGGCTCGAGCCCCTGAGCATTTGCGTGTCAATGGTTGTTGGGGTAGGGGTCGGAGTAGGCTTACTCGAGGGAGATAGCGGCGGTAGATCGAATCGAGGCGCAGTCACTGGTGTAGGTAGTTGAGGCATACCGGACGAAGAGTGCCTGCTTTCAGGTGTTTCCGACTGATCTGTCGACTTGTATGGTGTGAGCAACCCAGCGAAAAGGGGATCATGGAAGGGTGGATCCTCAGCGGTAACCCCATGTTCTTTCGCAACCAAGTACTTAGACCATAGATTGAGGAGATCATTGGAGATGTATCGATGATAGCCAGAAAAAGGATGAACATAGCAGTACTGCTGGTGGTGCTTGGCGCATTTGTGCTTAGCCTGTAGGGTCTGAACAGCAAGGATCATTTTCTGAGTCTGAGAGGGGTGCAACGGGGTTTGCTGGTCGAGCTCAAATTGAGAAGCAGCCCTTGTAGGGTCGTAGTGTGTTTCGATTAGGATAAAAGCTGACCATTTGACCTTGGGTGTGTTGCGCTCAGTGTGGACGGCATCAATGAAGCCTTCCCAGTCGTCCTCCGTTCGTAGTCTACACCATGGTGCATCCCGGCTCCTTCCACGGCAGACTTTCCAGTTGATATTGGGCTTCAGGGAGTATTTGTTGACGCCTTCGACGACCATATGATCATGACTGAGCTCCTCGAGGGCGACATCGATCAAAAGCTGGCCTTGGTCGGCCCAAGACCTGACTGGATTGACCGTCCAGGGTGCTTGAGGATACCTGTGGTTCTTTTGCCAGTGACGAGAACGAAGACCTGGAAGTCGTCGAATCTGCTGATAGCATCAACCGGTGCGTCTTCGTCTTCGAGTTCGATGACTGTCTTAGGTCGTTTTTCCCTCCGGACTGTATTTGTAGGTGGTGGTGAGGCTGCATCTTCGAGGAGACGGGAGGGCGGTTTAGGGGTACGAGACGATGCCCTGCGCTTATACGAAGCCTTAGCAGCTCCTTTCAGCTTCCTTGGAGGCATTTTCAAGGTTTGGCGGCGTGTTTGGTGGATTGGTCGTGTCCTGCACGAATATGCGGTAAAATGATGCGCGTCAAGAATTTTGCACACAGCAGTACGAGCTTGGACGCACAACGCAGCAACGCACTTGAGCTACTTGGCGCTGGCCATGGCGAACGATTGCAAAGGTTATATGCTAGGGTCTGTGGTACTCTCCATTAAGAGCATTCATCAGGTACGCCTGACATTATTGATTAGTCAGTGTGCCCGCTCAAATACAGTCTCGTTCGTCCCAATAAAATGTGAAGACTGGATTAGCCACTCCAGCTGATGCTGCCGGATGGGTAACCCCGATATGTGTATATCTTACTTCACTTTGCCTTACTGCGTAATCAGCAACTTCGGTCCTTACATTCACGGGCCACAAAGCCTCTGAATTCGGCACGTCCTGCTCAACGTAGTGGATTATCATATGGGAAATTCGTTAATTCCTCCCTCTGAAATCTATCCCATATCCACTTCATCATCTCTAAACCGTAGAGTTTCCGAGAGTGTCAACAACTCCCCCCATTGTTGATCATCCTTCACAGCGATAGTACCATCAGACTGCAATTGCCGATAAGCACGGACAGTAGGGCAACTCCATTCGTCCGTTTGTTCCCCGCGTATGAGCTTTTGAAGCAACACAAGCCACGCCTTCACGGCCTTCTCCTCTGACGGCGTTAAACCGAGGCGCTTCCCAAACCACTATGCCCCAAGGTCAGAGGCCTCGATGACCAGATACTGGCGTTTATAACTTACCCACACAGCAGCATCGAAAGCATGCCCAACCCCCATGTTGGTATGAAACACATTGTCAAATGACGAGGGGCGGAAACTGATGCGGTAACGGAGGATGCTGGTGCGATCAACGCCGCCGTTTACGAGGTCGTTCACTAACATCCGGATTGGGATGCGAACCTGAACGTCTGAGACGATCTTGCCAAAGCGGGTACTGCAATCTTCAGGAGAAGCATCCGCAGGGAGTGGCGGGTACGCTGTTGTTAGCTTCTTAGCAACCTCTGGGCCGTAGTAGTTGGCGAGTTCGGCCAAGAAATCCGAAAAGGACTTTGGTGGATTAATGGCAGCATACACACTCTCCTATACAAATGCTAAGCGACATTGATGAATTCTCGAAAGAGCCCTTACCTCGTTCTCAACCTCACCAATCATGATCTTTATTTCTTTCTTAGCAAACCTAGCCGCAAAAGTGCCATTCTGTTGCTCCTCGGCGAGAGTTGAGGCGATGAACTCGTCATCTGTGACCGCACGAAAGGTGTGTTGCTTCATCTGACTGATGAGCTTGATGAGTTCGTTAGCTGGTACTTGACGTAATTTGTCAAGCTGGTCAGCAGGTGAGTTATCTCGTGATATACCAGCTATGTTGCAAAGCTCCCCGAACTGATCCTTTGCTGGTCAAGTCCGTCAGTAGCAGCAATGTTTCTCCGGCTTGTACGTTACCTTCGAGGTACGGTTTCGGTTGAGTCTATGAAGAATAAGAATCATTCGCAGGAGCGGGGATGCGCTGAAGACGTACCGGGATAGCATTGGAGAACATAATGACTCGCTGAAAGAGAAGATCGGTGTCCTTGTCTTCCCGCAGCTCGTAATTGAGCTGAGCGTGTACTACTCGGGAGTTAGAAACAGTTACAAAATACCTGACCCTCCTCCTGAGGATTACATACCTGAATAGGCACCTGCACTCAAGCCTCCCAAGGTGACATTCTCCGGATCACCACCAAAGTGTGTGATATGGCCGCGAATCCATTCAAGGCCCAGCCTTTGATCCTAAATAAAACAGTCAACAATCCACGCTCCTGCTACGAATCAACCCATACCCAAAAGCCGAAGTTGCCCTTCACCTCATCAAGACCAGACAAGAACCCAAAGACGTTCAGTCGATATCCAATAGACACCACGATAGCCTGCAAGTTACCGCCATCTTTATCGATGAGCTCCGTGGGATCATCTTGTATAGCGTGAGATGGCGAACCAATCTGAAGCCTATGAGACTTCCCCGGTTAGCCAGCAAGATCACGCTGAACAGATTGAAGTCTAACCATCCCCCATGAATCCTGCGTACTGTTAGCCTTATTGTTGATGAGGTTCGGGAACAAAGGTATAATTACCATGCGAACACCGGCCATCCTCCTGAGTCCTCTGGAGGCTCCTCGTTGGGTGTCCAGATGTTGACCATCAGACAGTCCTCAGAGAACTTCGCAAATCTATCAGCAGTGGCTCAAAAACCATCCAAATAACCGGTACCTTGTCGTCAGGAATTGCTCCGAGCTTTCGTCCATGCAGGAAATACGATGGCTGCGGACTGACATTCCTCATTTCCCGACAATCCAACGGCGTTCCCGTCACCTCACCTTCATAAATATGATCCAAACTTAATGGAACAGGTTTCCTCCATCTCAAATTCCCAAGAGGAGGCTTGGCATACGGAATCCCTGCAAATCGTCGCACGTTGTGATTTTCGCCAAGGATCAGACCAGTGACTGAGCCCTGCGAACCCAGTGACAGGGTAAATGGCTCGGAAGGTTCCAAATGCGAAGTAGAACTACCCATCCTGGTCGAGCTCGATGTCTTTGTCAGAGAGATCTGTACGGCCTCTGGACTTTACCATAGAAATAAGCTCGGGCCTACAACGCGGGGGAGGCTGAACGCGCGGTGCAGTTCGGCACAGGCGGGAAACCTTGCAGCATACACCCGAGCAACAAGAGGAGCAAAAACGGGGCGAGAAATGTGATGGATGATGAGTGTCGTTGTCCTTTTGAAAGATGCAAGTTCAAAGGAGATGAGGTCACTGTCTCGTTGCATGTCGGGCGGCATCTGGATGGAGCCCTACAGGAAGGTGATGGCGAAGGCTCAACCGTAGCCGAGGAAGCGTCCGAGCGGGACGGATTCGGCGGGCTTGAAGACATGTATGACTTCGACGGTGAACCAAATATGATCCCTTGCCATCACCCAGATTGCGGCGCCATGATCCTTGCTGCCGAGGTCCAAACACACGAAGATGCTCATCTCGCCTTACAACTCTCGCTCGACGAAGCCCAGTTTGCGGAAGCTAATGAAGCTAAACACTTCAATGCTCTGAAGAAGAGAGAGCTCGGTCATTTCATGGACAGGGATGAGAAACAGGGAGGACCGCCACCTAAAGTCTTAAAGGCCATGGAGCAAGTCGGAAGAGGCGGGCGCCAGTTACTGATAGCGGGAAGTAATCTGGGCTGGGTGACCGACAATATGACGGTCGGTATCCTGACTGCATTGAAGAATGTCTTCAACGTACCTGTTATGGAGAAGTACAAACTGTGGTTGGCCGATCCGTCGGGGTGTATGCACATTGGTGGAGAGAACGACGATCGTGGATTCGGTTGTGGATTCCGGAATGCGCAGATGCTGCTGAGCTATCTGGCACATACTCGTCCGACTGACTATGTGAATGCCTTTGGACAAAAGGACCTACTGAGTATCTCTGAGATACAGCAGAAGATCGAGAGGGGGTGGGAGATGGGTATTGACTGGTTAGGAAGGGAGCAATTGCAGGGCAAGATCCTTGGTACGAGGAAGTGGGTTGGGACGACGGAGGTGTATACCTTGTTTACACAGGCAGGGATCAAAGTTGAGATTGTTGACTTTCCTCGGGGAGAGACAGCCAGGCAGTCCGTATATGAATACGTTTCATCATACTTCGGAACATCCACACCGCAACAGAAGAGGGTCAATGTCACGAACAAGGGCCCGCTATACTTTCAGCACAAGGGTCATAGCCGAACCGTTGTCGGTTACGTGGAGTCGCCGGAACGTGGCCTCCTTGTGTTTGACCCGGGGAAGAAGCCGACGCAGTTCTTGAGGCAGATAAGGAACCCGAATTTCAACCCGAAGAACAATGTGGGAAGGAAGAGGGATACTGATTGGGAGATGGTGGTGAAGCCGTATCTCATAAGGTTGGAGAATGAGATGAGGAGTGATGAGTGGCAGCTGCTGCGCATAGAAGAAGGCACAGGGATGATGGATGCTCGGGAAAGAGACGAGAGAAAGACGATTAAGTTCACACGGTTTGCGGACCAATGAAGAGATGAGCATATGGCTCCGGAGAGCCGACATAAGGATGGCAGAGGTGGGCGAGGCACGGCCTCGGACCGAGGAGATTATATCGAATTAGGTTATCTGTGACAGGTGCAAGATGAGCCGTAAGATGATACCAACAATCGTCATGGATGGACCAATACGTATGTTCCCGGCGCGATCTCGGTACCCCGGGCGCCTTGTTGCACGCTCCGCGCTCCAAGTTCCCCCCAGTGCTGCCCAAGTGTCTCGACGGTTGCGCGGCGCCTTATCCAGGCTCCATGCAAACACGAGGTCCCTCTACGCTGCCGTCTGCAATTTATCGCGACAAGACACCTGCTGCTGTCGATCGGTCCGTCCACGACCCTCCATAAGGACTGGGGCCTCTACCCGACGAACTCTTGAAGAGCATTTATACCCGGCCGCACCCTGCTTTTTCTATCCTGCGATACCCTGACCACCCACGACCTTGTTAATTTGACTTGGGACGACCTTTACCTTACCCGCCGACTACCTGAGTCATTGCCTATCTTGACGGACCTACTCGCTCGACGTGCCTCCCAGAAGCGACGAGGCACTGATTCTACGTATCTTCTCGCTGACGAGAAGCGCCTCATGACTGCGACGACGACCGCTACTACCACTCCCACTGGGACGTCGACTTTGATGAGTGAGCGGCCGCGTTCGCTCTCATCCAATGGGTTCACTACCAAGTTCACTACGAAGTCGCCGTATCTTCCGTACACCCCGCCGTCTTCCTCTTCTGGTTCCGTTACGCCGGTGAACACCCGGGTTGAGCACTTGCGCTCAATCATCATCCGCCAGTCTTCGGCTCCAAACGCTGTTCCCTTATCGCCGGAACGTCATCATCGCAGAAGTCACTCAGGTCCGAGGCCATTGGTCAAAGAGACGCTGAATGCTCAGTGCCATCATAGCGAACAAGGGCGTATGCTCAACAACTACTGCATTAAGGAGGAAATCGGGCGTGGAAGCTTCGGATGCGTATACCGCTGCATTGAGACATTGACCGGTAAGGAATATGCTGTGAAGGAGTTCAGTAAGTCGAGGTTGCGCAAGAGGTCACAGTCTGCTATTTTGCGCCGTCCCAGGCCGAGGCCGGTGAGTCTCGGTGCTGGTGTGTCAGGACGACCCGTGCTGCTCCAGAGGAAGAGTGCAAGTGATATTCATCAATTGGAGGAGCAAGGCAACCCACTCTCGTTGATTAAGAGCGAAGTGGCCATCATGAAGAAGCTCAATCACGAGAACGTCCTGAACTTGATTGAGGTCCTCGACGATCCTACCGGTGATTCTTTGTACATGATTGTGGAGATTGCATCCAAGGGTGTTGTCATGAAAGTAGGCCTGGACAACCACGCCGGGCCTATCGAGGACGAAGCTTGTCGTCACTACTTTCGTGATCTCATTCTCGGGATGGAGTATCTCCACGCCCACAACATCGTCCACCGTGACATCAAACCCGATAACCTCCTCCTCACCCACGACAACATCCTCAAAATCGTCGACTTTGGTGTCAGTGAAATCTTCGAGAAGGAGAATGGGGACAGAGTCAAAAAGAGTACCGGGAGTCCGGCATTCATGGCGCCTGAGATCTGTGATTGCGCCAAGGGTGAGATTTCTGGGAAGGCGGCGGATATTTGGGCGATGGGTGTTACTCTCTTCTGTCTCAAGTATGGTCATTTGCCCTTTGAGCGTACTAACTTGATGGATCTCTACGAGTGTATTAAAAATGATGAGCCGGAGGGTATTCCGGAGGACGAGGATCCAGCGCTCGTTGACCTTTTCTCCTGGATCCTGCAAAAGGATCCTTCTACGCGCATCACGATGGACGAACTTCGTGAGCATCCTTGGGTCACATGTGACGGCCACGATCCATTGTTGCCGAAGGAGGAGAACGTTGCGGAACTCGTTACCCACGTCACCGCCGAAGAAGTCCAGGGTGCCATCAAAGGCATCCGTGGTGCGATGACGGTCATCAAGGCTGTGAACAAGCTCAAGAAGCTCAGTCTTCAGCGTAGGAGAATGAGCTCATGCTCCACTACTTCGGATGACTCTGGGGTCATGAGTTCGGGAGCTCAGACGCCTGCCTCGATGTTGGATATCCCGACGAGCAATAGGATGATCAGGACGAAGAGCGTGGATGATCAGATGCTTTCTCCTGCTACGGATCGTTTGAAGGAGCCGTTCCCTGAGGTTAATCTGGGCCAGACGATTGGACGTCCGGAGTTGGAGATTGCTATCGTCTCGGAGGAGCCGGAAGAGGTGAATGAGGATGTCGTGGAGCGCGTGTTGGCTTGTGCAGTTGATGGTCGTGGTCAGAAGGCTATGAGGTCTCCGCTTGCTATTCCCAGGATTCAGACGGTCTTGAAGCCGGAGAAGCCGGAGCTTGGGATGCCGTGGGTGTCTATCGAGGCTCCGACTCCGGTGGTTGACAAGAAGCTTCCCTTTGCAAGGACGCCGCCGGTTGCGATTACCCCCGAGCCGCGTTTTGAGACGTATGGACCTTGGTCTTCGCCTAAAGTTCATAAGCCCGCTGAGGTGCCGCGTCCTGCGGCTCAGGATGAGGTCAAGATGGTTGTACCGCCGACTCCACCGCCTGGTTATGTTCACGAACCCTTCGGTTTGCGTTCTACAGATGACGGTGGACCGATCCTTTCCGCCTCGCCGTCCGGCACAGACGAGAATATCTACGTCAACGCATGGCATAACGAGGAAATTCGCATCCGTCACGAGAAGGGCGAAGACGCCATTCTGTTCCACAACTGGCGTATCGACGACGAGAAGGGGAACCCGGAGGTTAATCCTCACGGGAGGGAAAAGGTGGAACGCGCAAAACCGGTGGTTATGAATAATGAGGAGAGGTTTGATTGGCAAATGGTGTTGGATGAGATGCGTGATCGGTGATTTTTGATGAATGACGTCCCTGGGATTGGGGTTGGGCTGCTTTATCCTTTATGAAACCATAAGCATTCTTATTGGGCTGGCGTTCGTTTATTAGTTGATTCGGGATTGGATGAGCATTGTTAGTGGACGGTTGTGACTGGCTGTTTGGCAACGATACCTATCATTATGGGTTCTTGTACTCCCAAATATTTATCTTTGAATTGGTGGCCTCCAAAATTTCGCACGAGCAACCTAAATTCTTCGGGTAGTTGGTATCCCCACACCGCGATTCGAATTCGTCAGGGCTTCTTCCCATATTTCGCCACATATTTATTTTCTCTCTTCGCCTTCCACTCCGCCTTGATCACCTTCTGTTGCTGCCCACGACTCATAACACCCTCCTCCTCCTCTATTCTTCGCTTCCATGCGTCGGCATCTTGATCATCAAGCACCATAACTCCAAACTTTCCTTCCCGATATCTGTCAATGAGGTGGAGGGCGGTGTTTTCCACGTCAGGGACACCACCGGCGAGAAGACGACCCGAGTGCTTTGCAACATGGTTGATGAACGTGTCCACGTCATTTGTTGGTTCTTTCATTTTGAAGAATTCGACATATGGAGGTGTTGGTTGTCGATTCAGGTGGAAGAGGAGATAGTCGACTATGGTCACTGACGAAATGACGTCCTGTTTGATACACCCAGCAAGTGCAAGCTTGAGCATTGTCAGTGGATTTGGTACAAACGGAATCATAACACCTGTGATCAAGGTATTAGCCAGTTTTGAGTTCTCCATGTCATGTTGGCTCACCTGGCGTATCAATGAGGAAGACTACCGGATCCTCAAGGATCTTAACACTTCCAGCAACCTTTCTGGTCACACCAGGCATGTTACCTGTCCTTGCGGCCTTTCCCTTCCTCACACCTGCGTGCCGTAATGCATTCAGAATCGTGCTCTTCCCAACATTCGGCATGCCAACAACAAGCGCACGAGTACCAATGGGCCTATCAATATCTTTTGCAACTTCCTTGATAAAACGGATGACTTGCTTCATGTTGTTTGTGTTCTTTGAGTGTGTGAACATGACCTTTTGTCTGGGTTGGTATGAGCGGATCATCTGTGAGCCTGTTGTCAGCCTTCTCTACAAGTTCAGTCAGAGTCCAGATGGCAATTCATCGTCTTACCTTCTCGTCAAGTGCATCTCCAGCTAGATCTTTCTTGTTGTACACAATGAGCCGTGGCCTAGCACCCACCGCCTCTTCCAGTAATGGATTCCGACTTGATACGGGTAATCGTGCATCTCGGGCTTCAATCACTAAATCGATGTCGTTCATTTGCTCCCTCATTGCTTTTAATGCACCCAGCATATGGCCGGGGAACCATGTTGCGGCCTGCTTGTAAACGAATTCGGTTCGAGGTACAAACGATGACATTGCCGGCTTTTGATCGGTGGGTGTCTACGTTACAGGGAAGCGCTCTGTGGACGTACGGTCGCGGTGCAGCGAGCCGTACTTCTTACCGGATTGAGCCGAGCCGTGCACGACCCGTCGACCCCAGCAACGCGCCCGGTTACGTACAGCAGCAGCTCAACAACACGATGTACAGCACTTCACAAAGGATCAGTGCTGTCTTTGGCCTCTTTACCACCGTCGTGTTCACGTTATGTGCCTTCATCGCCGCTACGTCCTGGCTGTTCACTCCAGAGCCGATTACTGAGGTGTCAATACGGAATGTCAATGTGTATGTCACACCAATTTGGAGCTCAATTGCGATACACTAAGCAGCTTTGAACAGCGTTAAGGGACGTACAGCTTATCAACGCTCGGATAAATCACAGGAGTATGCGTTGTTGAAGTTCGACCTCGATTACGGTTGGTCTTCGATCAGTTTCAGATACTTCTCCAATATTGACGGGATGGACAGACCTCACCTCTCTCTTTCACTGGAACACGAAGCAACTTTTCATCTACCTCGTCGCATCTTACGACACTCCACAGACGGTGTGTTATCCTAGATACTATTCGTGACACAGGGCCGTGAGCTAATATGCCTGAAACGACATAGACCAACGAAGTCGTCGTTTGGGATCGTATTATCCAGCAAAAGACTCAAGCGAAGAGGAGAGTTCGGGGCGAGAAGAATAAGTACAATGTCAACGACATTAATGGCTCTTTCAAGTAGGTCGTTTGGAAGTCGTGAACCCATACGATCACGGGCTAATCAGCGCATAGGGATGTTAACGCGACATACTCGCTTCATTGGAATGTTATGCCGCAAGTGGGGCTCTTGGAATGGGCTTCTGGAGCGCCTTCTGGAGTCATTGAGTTTCCAGATGCGAAGCAGCGTTGAAGAGAACATGGAGGTATAGGGGATCGAGGTGCAAGAAAAGACCGCCTCGGCTAGGGGAGATATACCCATTGTCATTCCAGAGTGAGGTAGGGCCAGCAATCGTACTCTATGTTTTATTGAGTCGTGTCGAGTATGTCGCCATACGATTTGTCCCCTCCCAGATCCACCTCCACACTCCCTCATTCATCCAAACATGTATATCCGTTTCGCAACTTCCTCCACAACCCACCTAACTCCTCCCTCCAACCCCTCACCTGTTACTGCGCTACACCTCAATATTTTCCATGTATGGGTCCTGACATCCTCCAACCCCAATGCATCCTTGATCTCCCCGGGGCTTAAGCATCCTTCCACATCCGCCTTATTTGCAAAAACCAACAATGTCGCCCCGCTCAATCGTTCCTCCTGTAGCAGCCCCCGCAGTTCATCCCGGCAATCTGACATTCGTGCGCGATCTGTTGCGTCAACAACCCATATTACGGCATCTGTGCGCTCAAAGTAATTTCGCCAGTAGGAGCGTAGTGTTCTTTGGCCTCCTACATCCCAGATATTAAGTTTATAGGGTTCGAAGGAGGTGAGGGTTTTGATGTTGAAGCCCAGCGTTGGGGAGATTTGGGAGATGTCTTCATTTAGGAGTTTCTTTATGATTGTAGTCTTGCCGGCATTGTCAAGGCCGAGCATGAGAAATCGCATTTCCTTCTCCTTCTGTCGTTGTTTCTTAATGATGGTGTGTAGACCCATCGTGCAACTTTCGATTGCAACGGCCTCAAAGTTTCCGCTTTGTGTTTGACGTCGGTACTGATGCCGTCGGAGATGAGCGGCAGCTTGCGGCACCAGCTTCCGGAATCTCGAGAACAACAAGAATACTGACCCAGCTATCACTACCAACGACCAGCATACAGTCCACGATGGATTCACCAATACGGGACAATGATACCGCTCTTGGGACGTTACATTGGTATGCGGCTGCGGTATGTCTGGTATGGTACATCATCATGATGTCCTTGGGTCTGTTCGGCGTTTGGGTCGTGTGAGTAGGGTGATTCTAAGTGCCTGCGCATCTTGCTCATGGGTTAGACAGCAAAACGACATATGGTCGTACTTACCACTCACGCTCTGCCTCCTCGCCTGACTCACCCGGCGTCTCCATCCTTCGTCCTCTTAAAGGTCTTGACGTTGAGATGGACGCATGTCTCGAATCAGCCTTCCTACAAGATTACCCTCGTGACAAGTTTGAGGTTATTCTGTCTGTCGCAGATGCCAGGGATCCCGCCGTCACCGTCGCCAAAGATGTCATCGAGCGTCACCCGGAGGTGAATGCACGCTTGATTATCGGTGGTGAAGACGTCGGTCCGAATCCCAAGATCAACAACCTCATTAGATCTTACGAAAGCGCAAAGTTTGACATCCTCTGGGTTCTTGACTCGAATGTCTGGGTGAGCCCAGGTACCCTTGGACGTTCCGTCGATGCCTTCGCTTCGAGCCCACGTATTCAGTTGGTGCATCACCTCCCTGTCTGTGTATCCTCGGATGCGCCTGAGGACTCGACGTGGGGTGCAAGGTTGGAAGAGAACTACATGTCGTGTGCACACGCCAAGATGTACTCCGCCATCAACAAAGTCGCCATTGCACCCTGCGTAATGGGCAAATCAAACCTGTTCCGTCGGTCGGATTTGAATAGGGTCGCGCCGGGTGGGTTGACAGATTTCGCTCAGTTCATTGCTGAGGATCATCTTATTGCCGATGCACTTTGGACAAAGGGTGGCGGACGCACGGTATTGACTGAAGATTGCGCTCGTCAGCCGGTACGGGGAACAAGTGCTACTACGTACTTCTTGCGAAGAGTACGATGGATTCGGGTGAGGAAGTTCATGGTGACTGCGGCTACATTGGTGGAGCCCATCACGGAGTCTCTGCTCTGTGCGGCTATAGGAGCCTTCGCTCTTCGCACCTTCTACGGCATCTCTTTCCTCTTCACGTACGTTGCGACCTTAGCTGTGTGGTGCGCTTCGGACTACGTTCAGTTCCGTGCCCTTCACTCTTGTGCGAACGTCGAGTATTCGCCATACACCCCGGCGTTCGCTAGGGGTAACCTGAACATGGGCCCTGGGTGGTTTGTTACATGGATTGTTCGGGAGCTAACTGCGGTTCCGGTTTGGATTACTGCAATGGCGGGCCAGGGTGTTACGTGGAGAGATAGGTTGTTTAGGATTAAGGTTGATATGACCGTGGAGGAGATCAGACCTTTGGATGCCAGAGAATGGAGGGCTTAAACAAGTGATGAACTTTGAGGCGGTGAGTAGTTACTGGGCGGGCGTTGTATCTTTTAGCATACACATATAGAACACTTTTGCATAGAATACTATTACATAGCGTTTCACAACATCTCTACTGCATCCCTCGGAATACCCGCCATCCTCTGCAAATTCTGCCCAAAGAACGCCATGATGGGTGTCCATTCTGCTCTTGCACTTGGTGTTGGCATACCGTCTCCTTCATGGTTTCTCCATATCACCCGTTGGCATTGGTTGAACATGCTCTTAATCCTCTCAAACTCTTTCGTGGTGACCCGGGATTGTTCGTCACCTCCACAGATCAATACCTTTGTTGTCTTCTTGCTACTTGGTGTTGGTGTGGAGGACGGAAGTACACCTCCGACAGAGATCATGCTCCCCAAGTCGACCGGCGACTGCGCAGCAACATCAAGACCTAAAACCCCACCCTGCCCAAACCCAAAGATGTGCACATTCCGTGGCTTGAACCCGCACCCACCATCCTTCTTCTCCTTTGTCAAAACCTTGATAAGCTCGTGTAACCCTGCCCTGGCAGTTCTGAAATCACCATCATCGCTCACGTTCCCATCACTCCCAAACTCAATATCCTCTGTCCACATCCAATATCCCTCCTCGAACATCGGCACTGCTTTTGGCCCCTGTATTGAGACACATGCTGTTTCTGGTAGTTGGAGGTGATGGGCAAGGCGGGCAAAGGAGATGTGGGAGTCCCCAAGACCATGGAGGAAGATGACAAGGTTTGTTAGGGGGCCGGAGGAGGGTGGATGAGGTACAATACCGGCGATGAGAGGGGAGGGAAAGTCTTCGCGCTCTGGAAGACGGGGTTCGAAGTGTGCAACAGTCGTTGGTGGCATTTTGTTACGGGTGCGTGAAAGGTCGTGTCTACGTTACATCTGCAAAGTTCCAACTGCGGGAACACAGCTTCGCGTGAGGCCGTGGGAAACTCGAACTCGGATATATTATTCATGCCTGCTAGAAACTGAAAACCGGCCGTGTTTCTGTGTACCCTCTACTCCAGCTTCATGCCCTTCGCAGCTGCGTACAAGCTCAATGGATCGGCCCATACCTCGTACGTCTTAACCTTGCTATCTTGATCGAATCCAAGGACATAGGTGAAGACCTCATCCCAGCTCTTGTGCGTTGCAGTCCACGTAAATGTTGCCTTGCCCTTCACACTCAATCTCGATGTCCCAGGATCGGAGGTGTAATCAAAGAATGACATGTCCGAGAACTTGACATACTTTTGGAGTAGAGGCATGTAGATTTTTACTGCATCCCGCGATGAGCCTGTTAGCCTAGGCTATAAACGACCATCTATGGAGATACCTGGTATTGTTCGACCGAGAAAAGGCATAGTGTCTGTTTGTGGACCATGCTCGTGGGCTGTTGCGTCGGAGGAGAAGTGAGAGAGGAGGTATTCCGGATCGACTGATGGATCAGCAAACGCGGCGCAGAGAGACTTCGAGGATTCCAGTTGCGAAGGGCTCATGATGAACTGGCTGTTGCGATTACAGTCGGGATATTGCTTGACTTCTCTGCCGTCCGCTGGGGATGTTTGTACCCTGTGACGTCACGTCATTACTGGGCCGTGCGAAAACATTGTCGTAAGGGTATCTTTCCTTTTAATCCTTATATGAAAATATCAGAATGTTGCTGACGTACTACGTCTCACCTACTCGAGCTCATGCGATAACTCCGTTCGCCTCCTCCTCCCGCCACTTTAGGAATTCCTCATGCAGCTTCTTCTGCTGCTCAAATTCCTTCGTCAACTTCTTCTTCTTGCTCTTCGCGATTTCCTGACCCTCCGCATCCAGTGTCGGCAATCCCTGTTCGTCCCACGCAGAGTACTCCTTGGTCTTGAACATCTCCTCCGGCCTCGTCCGTCCCTTCTCCAATTTTTCCAGACGCTTACGCTCGGCTTCTCTCTTCATCGCCTCCTTGCGTTCCTGCTTTTCCCGCTCTTTTGCTTCCTTCTCTTCTCGGATGCGCAGCAGTTCTTCACGGTCGACGAACTTGACGAGGGCACCACCAGTCTCACGGTCGTCGAGCATGACGCCGAGGTCGACCAAATCAACATCGCGAAGACGGTCACACAAGGCGAGCATCTCCTTAGGATCAGCCTTTGCCATAGACAGAGCACGGATGTTGTCACGGAAGGTAGAGAGTGCACGGACGTAGGGGAGGACGGTCTCCTCCTTGTTTCCTCCCGCTGCAGCCTGGTCCGCCTCCTTCCAGCCAATAGCATCGGACGACTCGGCGTCCAACCCGAAGGTGCTGAGGGTTCTGGTCACCCACCTAGCGACCTCGGAGATAGCAGGAACGTCAACCTCAGCCTTAGCGGTGTTGATGTAGATGTTCGTCTTCGCAACGAGGTCGGACAACGCGTTTATGGCACCCTGAGTGTTGAAGTTGTCACACAAGGAAGCATGAACAGTCTTCTTCGCCGCATCCAAGTCCTTGAACAAAGCCCTCTCCAACGCCGTAAACCGCTGGGGAATAGTGATACCACTATCCTCCTTTGCCTTCTCATCCGCAGCAATAGCCTTAACGTTCGTGAAGAAGTTGTTCATCGAGTTCTCCAAAGCCTGGACCTGCTGCACCAGAGCCTCCTTGAAGTCCATACGTCCGTTCCATGACTGCATCAAGAACGCCAATCGCAGCTGTCGTGCAGAGTACTTCTCGCAAGCTTCGCCGATGGTGATGAAGTTCTTCAAGGACTTGGACATCTTTGCACCCTCAATGTGAAGGTGGCCGGTGTGCCAAAAGTAGTTGATCCATTGAGGGCAGTCATGGTATGCCTCACTCTGAGCAAGCTCATTGTCGTGATGAGGGAAAGCCAGATCTTCACCACCAGTGTGAATATCGATGTTCTCACCCAAAATCGCAGAAGCCATGACAGAGCACTCGATATGCCATCCCGGACGTCCCTCACCCCACGGAGAAGACCACATAGGCTCTCCGGGCTTCGATCCCTTCCATAATGCAAAATCAGAATTATTTTTCTTTCCCTGCGTCTTCGACAACGATCCCTCACCCTCCTTGATCAACTCCTTGTTACCCTTATTCCATGGCTCGAGTTTGGCGTAGCTGTGCTTCCCGCTCTCCTCGAAAGCAGCGGTGTCGAAGTAGACGGAACCGTTAGATTCGTAGGCGTAGCCGCGGGAAATGATGGTTTGGATGAACTCGACGATTTCGGGGACGTATTCGGAGACGCGGGTGACGAGGGTTGGTGGGAGGACGTTGAGCATCTTCATGTCGTCGTTGAAGCTGCGTTCCCAATAGGCGGCGAGGTCGCGGAAGATTGCGGGGTCGGAAAGGCTGGAGCCCTTCTCCGCGTCCAATACGGGGACGATAACATCCTTGACAGACTCCATCCACTCCTCTGTAGGAAGCTTGCCTGCGTTAGCGATAGCATGCGCGGCCTTCTGGAGGGCAGTCAAGTGCATTGCGAACTTAGGGTTCTGCTCTTTCTCCTTCGCCAAATCCAATCCAGCGGTGAAGGCCCCCAGCTCCTCGACAGCTCCAGGAGCACTTGCGTTGTCCATTGCGTATTTGGAGTATGCTGCCTTCACCTTCTCTACGACCTCCGGAGTCACAGTCGGGTTCTCCTTCACAAACTCCTTGAAGAGGTACAGATGTCTCGCCCTGACAATGATCTTGTCATCGATATCGGTGACGTTCTGAACAAACAGTATATCGTATCCGAAATAGTCTCTCAAAATACGGCGCAAAATATCGACCGTAACGTAATTTCTTGCGTGTCCCATGTGCGATGCGTCGTAAACCGTAGGTCCACAGGAGTACCAAGTAACCTTCCTTCCTTCCCTCGGCACGAAATCCACCTTTGACCGTGTCAATGAGTTCCACACCTTCAAAGTCGGAACCTCAGTCGCGGCAGGCGCATGCCATGGTGGTTGACGGGTGCGATCGGTCGACATCGTGCTGCAAAACCGGGCGGATCTGGGAGAAAAGAAATTGGGGATCCGGGAACGAACTGGAGAACTTGACTTGATGAATGCTTGCCAGAATTGGACACGTATTTGCATACAAGATTTCCTCCGCCAGGGACAATGTACTGCCTGTACTATGGTAAGGTTCTAAAGTAAAGGTACCCGTCACGTGCAGCACGTATACGTACAGGCAGCGAGTCGCGGCGGTGCGCGTGAAATTGAACGCAGACAAGAGAGAGCAGTGATAGAAGAGTGATATTATGTTTGCAGACCAGCTGAAGTAAACTTGCTGGTAACGATCATCGAGGAGCGTTACTTCATCTCGTTCTTCTCGAACCCAATCCCCTTATCCTTCAAATCGGCCCTAGCATGGCCCCTCTTCAAGATCCCCGCCTCCCTGTCCATGTCCATATCGGCAACCATATCCTCACCCAACCCCGTCTTCAACTCGCCCTCTCGGAATGGGTTGGGATCATCAGGTCCAAGGTTGGCATAACTGTGGTTGACATGTCGGTGGTTTGCCTCGTCGGCACGAACCACCAAGAAAACGTCCCGAAGGGTGGCATCATCCCCCAGTCCCCAGTACTTCTTCGCGATCTCTGGTGCAGGGTAGTCCTTCCATGCCGGTAACTTGCCAGCATCGAGATCAGCGATGCAGCGAGAATATGTGATAACGGCCTCTTCCTCGAGGAATCCGACGAAGCGGTGGCAGGTGCGTGGCGACACCAGGTATGAAGCGAAGAACAGGTTGTAGAAGACTCCCTGTCCGAGAATAATCATGGTACGCATGAACCATCCGGGGTGCCTCATCTCCAAGAATGTCAAGAGATGCATCCTCTCGTTCTCGGCCTCACTCAACAAAGTCTCCAATCTTCCGTTGTCGGGCTTTAGCACACGTAATGAACGAAGATGTCGACATGCTCCTCCAACCATCCCTGGTACACCTGCGATAGACTCGAGGAAGATGATACGGATCAACCACTTCTCTGGTGTCATGGCGAACTGCTGCGTAGCTTGAGCCGAGCTGGGATCGACCTTGCCGGAGGCGACGTCGGCGGAGTGTTTGTACCCAGTAGCAAAGTCGAAGCACCACCTCATAACCCTCACCGCCGTCAAAGCTACCTTGTCGCTCCATGACTTGCACTCACGGTGCATGATCTTTACGCCGTTGATCTGTTCATCGGTATAGACGGGGTGGTGCCAGATGTACTCAGAAATTCCTTCGGCGGAGGTGCGAAGCTCAGAGTGCGGCGAACGTTTGGCGCTCGAAGAGGCGACGTATCGATAAGCAAGCGTAGCACCCAGACGTTGGGTTGATGCATAAAGACTAGGCTGCCTAGACAGTAGCGGGATCGTACGAGTTCTCAGTGTCCTAGCTGTTGTAGAGCTGAGCATTTGTTGGTATAGAAGTGTGGTATGATTTGACGGCGAAGCGGTAGGTTGTGAGCTGCCCCACGGCCTTTATATTTACACAGCCCTCATTGGACGTATGGCGAATTGCCTCAGCATCACAAGGGCAGGCCCACACGACCGTTCTCAACCTCCAGGTATTAAACTCGCCGACTCTCGGCGTCGCCCGGTGTTTGCATCAACAGGCAATAACGTCTACAGAGGGCTCGCCTACAAGTGAATCGGCCCGGTTCGGGTTATGAGTTACCTAGGTACATAAAGCCTCCGAAGTCTTGCCGTACCCGCGGCCGTTGGGGGGGGGGGCGATTTGGCGAAGGGAAACGAAGTCACAAGCGCGCTCTCCGGAGTGAGTCCTCGCAGCCGAAGAAAGTGGTCTCTTATGCCTACTCTCAACATCTGATTTCTCTTATGCCTACTCTCAACATCTGACTGAGCCTTTGGCCAAATGCCATGTTAGTATGCCCCTCACTGCAAGATGCTGCAAGTTCATGGCACCGTATGCCGAGTTCATACAAAATCACGACAACGGCCTCGAGTCGACCAAACAAAAATGTTCAAGGCAACAAGGATCCTGCGGCAGGTCGCCGACTTCCGCTCTCCCGTCACTGGCTTTGTCGGTAAGTTGCTGATCCACGTCACACAAGGTGGAGCTGAGGCTGATCAGAGGGTCTGTAGGTGCTATCGGAAACACCCCGCTCGTCCGCATCAAGGGTCTCTCCAAGGAGACTGGCTGTGATATCTATGCAAAGGCCGAGTGGATGAACCCTGGAGGTTCCGTCAAGGACCGTGCTGCTCTATTCGTTGTCAAGGACGCCGAGGAGCGCGGCTTGATCAAGCCTGGAGGCACCGTTGTCGAGGGTACCGCTGGTGTACGCAGCCGCAATCCGATTTCCCTTGATTATGACTAACTCTGTGACAGAACACTGGTATCGGTCTTGCCCACGTCTGCCGTGACAAGGGCTACAAGTGTGTGATCTTCATGCCCAACACCCAGTCCCAGGAGAAGGTCGACCTCCTCCGCATGCTCGGTGCCGAGGTTTACCCCGTGCCCGCTGTCGCTTTTGAGAACCCCCAAAACTACAACCATCAGGCGCGTCGCTTCGCCGAAGAGCGGGAGAACGCTGTCTGGACTAACCAGTTCGACAACATTGCAAACCGTCGGGCACACATTGAGACCACCGGTCCCGAGATCTGGACTCAGACCAAGGGAGAGATTGATGGTTTCACCTGTGCGACCGGTACTGGTGGCACCCTCGCCGGTATCACTCGCTACTTGAAGGAGAAGTCGGAGGGCCGCGTCAAAGTCTTCCTTGCTGACCCACCGGGTTCTTGTTTGTATAGCTACGTCAAGTCTGGCGGAAAGTCTACTGAGCGGTCAGGAGGCTCCATCACCGAGGGTATTGGACAGGGACGTGTCACCGACAACATGGCTCAGGACATTGGCCTCATCGATGATGCTTTGTCCATTCCCGACGAGAAGACTATCGAGATGGTTTACCGTCTTTTGGACGAGGAAGGTCTCTACGTTGGTGCTTCTAGTGCTTTGAACGTTGTTGCCGCGTACGAGATGGCCAGACAGATGGGTCCTGGGAAGAAGATTGTTACTATTATTTGCGGTACGTGAAGCTCCCATCGCAACTTCGATCAACAACTAACAACAAAGCAGATGGTGCCTACCGTTATCAGACCAGGCTTTTCAGCAAGAAGTGGCTCGAGAGTAAGAAGCTCATGGGAGCCATCCCAGAACACTTGAAGAAGTACGCCGTGCTGGACTAAAAAGGAGGGTGTATCCCGGGCAATAGCAGTTGAGGGACATATCAAAATCATTTATATCAAGAAAGAACAATACTCGGTCTTCTCGTAATATCGCTTTGTCTCGAGGCTGGTTAAACTTGGGCTAACGGGCAGCCCGGTGAGCTTGTTCCGTCATGCATTGGGCCTAAGCAGCAGGGGGGAAGCACTACACCAACACAACGACGAACAAGCTGTAGATAATAACGACCACGAGTCACCTCAGCATTCACCCTGATCGATTACAAGTCTGCCTCTTGATTCGCCGTGGTCTGCCTGATTGCCCAGCATACATTCTCCTTCTGGCATCATGAAGGGCTTCAAGAATCGCGTGGTATGTACCCGTCGGACCGTGACTGTATCTCCCGCAGACGACTGATCGCTTGTGCAGCTCTCGCGAAACAAGAGCGACAGCGACAAGAAGAAGGATAACTCGTCGTCAAAGAAGAAAGACGAGAAATCGTCGTCGTCGTCCGACAAGAAAGCCGAGAAGGTCGACAAGAACGAGAAGTCAAGTACAATGGAGAAGACACCCGCACCTTCAACTCCTGAGACGGCTACTCCTACATTCACAAACTTCGCCGCTCAGCCAGGACCTCCGGCGCCTACTACACCACAGCCGGAACACAAGCTGCACCGGACGGGCTCCGGTGAGGCGCCGACGCTGATAGTCAGCCCGTCTCCTACGGTAAGGCGTCGACGCACAACACTATGAAAGACTACGTTCTAATGTGATTTAACAGACACCTCCACCGCCTGGCGCTACGGAAACTATGCCCAACGAGCTTGGCCTCCCCAAGCATGTATCCAAGCAGAACGCATTCGACAGACTCCAAACCACACCAAAGGACGTAACGTTGGGCGAAGGCGTGCGAACACCAAAGAGGCAGCATTCATCTCGGTTTTACCCGTCCGAGCGCAGAGAACTCGAAAAGCTGCCCGCATTCCATGAGGTGCCTACCAGTAACAGACAGGAGTTGTTCATTCAGAAATTGGAGCAGTGTAATGTTATCTTCGATTTTAACGACGCGTCTGCCGACATGAAGAGTAAGGAGGTGAAGCGGATGGCACTACACGAACTTCTCGAATATGTCTCGAGCAACCGCAATGTTATCACCGAGCCGCTTTACCCCAAGGTGGTTACGATGTTCGCCAATAACCTCTTCCGGCCTATTCCTCCTCCTCTCAACCCAACTGGCGAGGCATTCGATCCTGAAGAAGATGAGCCTGTTCTTGAGGTCTCGTGGCCGCACTTGCAAGTCGTTTACGAATTCTTTCTCAGGTTCATCGAATCTCCAGACTTCAACACCAACATTGCGAAAGCATACATCGACCAGCATTTTGTGTTGAATTTGCTCGAGCTGTTCGATAGCGAGGATCCACGTGAAAGAGATTTCCTAAAAACGACGCTGCATCGCATTTACGGGAAGTTCTTGAACTTGCGATCCTTCATCCGACGGTCTATCAACAACGTCTTCTTCCAATTCATCTACGAGACTGAACGGTTCAACGGCGTTGCCGAACTGTTGGAGATTCTTGGAAGCATCATCAACGGTTTCGCTTTACCGCTGAAGGAAGAGCACAAGCTCTTCTTGACCAGAGTGCTGCTGCCACTTCACAAGGTCAAGTCGCTTTCCATGTACCACCCACAGCTTGCATACTGTATCGTTCAATTTCTCGAGAAGGATCCAGGATTGACAGAGGAAGTCGTGTTCGGTTTGTTGCGGTACTGGCCTAAGGTGAACAGCCCCAAAGAGGTTATGTTCCTGAACGAGGTTGAGGATATTTTCGAAGTCATGGAGCCTACGGAGTTTGTCAAGATCCAGGTTCCACTTTTCCGACAACTCGCCAAGTCGGTTTCAAGCCAGCATTTCCAGGTTGCAGAGCGGGCTCTGTTCTTCTGGAACAATGAGTACTTCTGTAACTTGATCAGCGAGAACGTGAATGTGATTCTGCCGATCATGTTCCCAGCTCTTTACGAGAATTCGAAGCACCATTGGAATCGGTTTGTCTACCCAATATGCCGTTTGATTCAAGCTAACGTAACCTTATAGTACGATTCACGGCATGATCTTCAATGCACTGAAGCTTTTCATGGAGATTAGCCCTTCGTTGTTCGACGAGTGTTCGAACGAGTACAAGATCGCGAAAGAAAGTGGAGACCAGCGTGAACGGGAACGGGAAGAACGATGGCAGGCAATCGTAGAGATGGCGAAGAACCCACAGAACCATAGCTATGTCGAGCAGGATTCTGGCGTAACAGCGGAAGTGCAGGTAGAGGCCCACGAAGAAGCAGCAGTTGCCGAGAAGTTCTCGCGTGTAACTTTGGAGGGAATGAGGCCATTGGGTGAAGTTGATATTGGCGAGGAACGTGCAGCTGAGAAGGAAGCTGAGGAGCAAGAGCAATTGCAAGGGCAGAACGGCGATGACCAGGAGTGAATTCGGCGGGAAAAGTTGTCACATTTTATCGACATTTCGCTTACAGGAATACGATACGGATAGGAGACGGTACCAGATCCAATTTTCATTTAATTTTAAATCCCGAACCCGCCACCTTAGTATTCCCTTTAGCCTTGCCCGACCCCAGTCCTTTATTCCCAAAGCTCACGACAATCCCGGGGTCTACTGTCCGGATTGATGATATCATCCTCATCCTCGTCGTCTCTTGAAAAGAAGTCTGGCGGGACGTCCTGCATCTGGACACTCGGCGCGAACTTGGTGTTACTGAGGTTTTGCAGTACTTGAAGACGGATCTTTTCCAGATATGCGGGAGTGTTGCCGTTCTCCATATTTGAGCTTGGGACCTCCAGTCGGTAATCAGGGCCAAAGTAGTCAAAGTAGTCGTTATAAGGCAATTCTGGGTCGAGTTGTTCACCAACCAGCAAACCAGTCTCGTATGTCCATGCTCGGCACACGTTTCTATTCGATCATGTCAGCTTCAGGCAAGGAATGAATGACTGCAGTCGACTTACCTGATTGTGTATCCACCACCACCCACAATCACCAATGGCACATTAAACTTCTTCACAAACTTCACACAATTGGCATGCCCCTTATGACTCAAGTTAAAACACCCCAACCGATCCCCACTCAAACTATCTGCACCACACTGTAACACGATCGCCGTCGGTCGATACCAATCCATCACAGCCTGAATCGTAGGCTCGAATATTGATGCGTATGTCTCGTCGTCGATGCCTTGGCGTAAGGGGACGTTTACGGCGTAGTGTTTGCCTTTGCCTTGGCCAATGTCGCCGAGTTCGCCGGTGCCGGGGAAGTAGTCGCCGTACTTGTGGAAGGACACGGTCATTACGCGGTCGGTCGTGTAGAAGAGTTCTTCGACACCGTCGCCGTGGTGGACACTAAGAAGCTTGTTAACGATGCCGTCTCGGGTTCTCGGGTGGTGCAGACTTACTCAATGTCGATGTATAGCACGCGCTGATGGTATTTTAGCAGCTCCATGATCGCCAGCGCGATATCATTGACATAACAGAACCCCGAAGCTTCCCTCTTCTTCGCGTGATGCAGTCCTCCCGACCAATTAATCGCAATATCCGAATCACCGCAATTCAGCTTCTGTGCCGCACCGATCGATCCTCCAGCCGAAATTGAACAAAACTCTGATAGACCCTCGAACACGGGACAATCTTCTCCGACGTTGAATTTGGATTGGTGTGCGACGAATTTGTCCATGGTGTCCGGTGTTACGCGCCAGAGGAAGTCGACGTATTCATCGGTGTGGATTCGTGCCATTTCTTTTGCCGTTGCGCGTCTTGGTTTCTACATCCACACATCATCAGTCATGCAAATCCATATCTCATCTGTCTGGGATACCTACCAGAACGTCCAGCTTCTTGTCCAGCCCATAATTGAGAATAAGGTTATGTGTCATTCGCATGCGATGTGGCTTCATGGGATGCCCGGGACCATAATGGTAGTTCCCGACGTCGGTATCGTAAAAATACGATACACGCGACTTGGGATTTGGGACCATGTTCGCCTCGGCGGACGTCAGGTTGGGGGTCAACGGGTTATCGCCGGGAGTCTCCAGGTTGGCAACTTCTGAGTGCTGGACGCGTGGATAGGGTGCAAAAGCTGGAGCCTTTAGGTCTCGCTGGTCGAGATCGAACGGGATGGAGGAGGGTGGATCTGTTGGATCTGTTGGATCTGTTGGAGACTTCGCTGCCTTCGAGCTCCCGACGGCGACCGCGGCCTGCGCCAGGGGCTACAGGCGGCCAAGCGAGGGACCCCAGACAGAGTTGCCAGGGAGCGGAGATGGAGAGACTGGCAGAGAATGAATGCGCCGGTCTGAATATTCCAGGGTTCTCCGGCGTATATGTAGCATGGTATACCGTCTTTCGTGGGACTTTAGAACTCGACTATACACGTTACAGGGGCCGATGTCACACCTCAACTTCATACCAATTTCACGATGTCTTCTCAAAAAACCGCAATTGTCACAGGTGCCTCTGGTCTCCTCGGACGTGCTGTCTACAAGGAGTTTGAGAAATCCTACAAGGTTGTGGGTACTGGACTTACTCGTGCTCAGCCTCCGCTCGTCAAGCTCGATCTCCTCGACCATGAGGCCGTGGCATCCTTGATTGAGCAGGAGCAGCCATCTGTCGTTATTCACTGTGCGGCTGAACGCAGGCCTGATGTCAGCGAGAAGCAGCAAGAGTATACTGAGAAGCTCAATGTCAAGGCAACGAGGAAGCTTGCGGAGGCAGCGGCCAAGTCAGCTTCCAAGCCCCTCGTGATCTACATCTCCACAGACTACGTCTTTGACGGTCAAAACGCCCCGTACGAGGTTGACGACAAGACCAACCCTACCAACTGGTACGGACACACCAAGCTCAACGGTGAGCTCGCTATCCTTGAATCACCCAACACCATTGCCCTCCGTATCCCTGTCCTCTACGGCGCCGGCGAGAACTCTGAGTCCTCCATCAACACTTTGGTTGATGCTGTCTGGAACAAAGCCGGAAAGAAGGATGTCCAGATGGACCACTGGGCCGCCCGTTTCCCCACCAATGTCGAGGACGTTGCACACGTCTTGAAGGACCTTGCGCAGAAATACTCTACTGAGGAGTCTCGCAAGGATCAGCCCCGCGTCTTCCAGTTCTCTGCTGACCAGAAATACACCAAGTACGAAATTTGCCAGGTTCGTCTTCATCAGCCTTTCCCTCTAATTCCAGTATGAGTAACCGTGAGAAAAGATCTTTGGTGACATCCTTGGCCTTCCTATCGACCACCTGATCGCTCAAGACACCGTCGAGCAAACACCTGGAGTTATTAGACCCAGGGACTGCAAGTTGTCGACTAAGACGCTTCAGGATGCAGGCATCTCGGTTGATCACGTTGACTTCAAGCAATGGTGGCAGCGTCGTTTGACTGCGAACAAATAAGTACATGTGCTGGACAATGAATCAACATAGACTCAGGCTTGGGCAAGTAATACATTCTTAGCTTCGATTTTTGACCGTGACTAAGCTTCGGTCGCTTGACTGTAATCTCGGACTATCTTACGGATTCTCATATCGCTCTATACGTTCGCTTTCATACCCCACACGCTATTTTAGATACCGTCAAAATACTCCTCGCTGTTATCAGAGAATCGACAGATACTGCTAATCGATCCAACCTCTCCAATGACACAATCCGCCTTGGTCTCCAAATCCTGAACAGATGCCTGTGAATCCACAGTAGCTCCCAGCATTAAACCGGCTTCCTTGATGCTCTGCACCAACGGCGGGACCTTTGTCAAAATCTCGCCATCGACGATTATACCGAGAAGGTTATTCGACTTGGCAAACTTGACGCCATCCTTGATGGACCCACACTGTCTGTACTTTGCCGGCAAACACATCCTCCTATCGCAGCATCTCGTGATGAAGAAAAGCGGGTAATTCGGTTGCTTCCAGTTCAAAGCAGTACAAACCAGAGGCTCGCAACTAGAGAACATGATCTGTCTCGTCGATGGTCTTTGGTCCTCCATGGTGTTGTCACCCGCGGCCTTTGTGTTCTCTGCATGCAAGAAGACGTCGCGAAGGACGGCATCGACGTAGATGTTGACATCACGCTCCTGAGGCTGGATCTCCATGTTGATACCGATGTCCACGGGCAAAGCTTCCAAGAAATCGCGGAGGCTAGCCGAGTAACCGCCAGACAGGAGCTGAGCGGCTTCCACCGCATTCGCAGCGCTTCTCAACCGCGACAAGAGCTCAGGAGAGTCAGCTCCAGTAAAGGTCTTGAAATGCACCCAATCCACACCCTGCACCTTTAGCTGCAAACCCTGCACCATGATCTTCTGACTCCGGGGGTGCACGACAGCGACACGATCTCGTGTCACAGCTACGTCAATGCACAAATTATCGCCTCGCAAGCTAGAGCTCGTAGTGGTTTGCGCCGTCAGTGGCCCCTTCTTCTCCGGCACAGAAGGCTGGGTGTTAACGGTGGACTTCCAATACGTCTCCACCACCCTCGGCTTCTGATTCCCAGACTTGACAAACGGCTGAACGACATCGACCTCAAACGACACACGACCGATGATTCGGAGTTGTGGATCCATCAAAGCGACGACAAGAGTCTTATCTTGGTTGAGCAATGGCGCAAGAGCAACACCCTTCCCGATGATCTTACTTCCAAAGGTAGGAAAGATCTCAAACGCGAGACTAAACGTCTCAACATCATCAACCTGGAACTCCATACCCTGCGTCTCATCCGCAAGCGGCAGCACAAAGGTATGCGGCAACACAAATATATCCGTCGTAGACCTCACCACCAACCGTGCAGAAACCACACTCGACATCTGTCCCGGCGCCTCCTTCGAGAAGAGCTCGACCGCAGCTTGTTGTCCATTCAGTTTCCGGCCATGGCCGAGGGTGACGCGGACGAGAGTTTTGTTGTCGAGGTAGTTGTGGCCGTATTTCCTGAATGGAATAACTGGAGGTGGCAACTCAAGACTCGGGATAGACTCCATGACCTCCAAATCGACAGCACCTAATCTTCCCATCGGGCTGGGGGTGCCCATCGCTCGTGGTACCATACCCAATGGAGCAGAACCCCGAACATCGAGAAGCATCCGCATACATCCCAGATGACCTTCCCAAGCAGCGTGGTACGCCGCTTCAAGACCACTCTCATCCTTAATATCAACCCTTGCACCCAATTGTAGCAACTCCTTCAACACACTCTCATGCCCTTCGCTCGCAGCGTGGAATACCGGCGTCCAGTTCTGGAATTTATCCTTGATATCCAGATTCTCATTTCCGAAAATCTTCGCGAAGCCCATATGTCCTGCACGAGCAGCGAGATGGATCGGGTACAACCCCTCGCTGTTAGGCGCAGATACGGCACCGTGTTCAAGGAGTAGGACCGCGATGTTCAGGTGGCCGTAGGCACATGCCAAGCTGAGGGGTGCGTACTCGCTTTCTGGGTTCTCTGGGTTAATGACGATACCTTCTTTTTTGACAATCAACCTCGCGCACTTCTCGTGTCCGTTCTGCACAGCGTACACCAGAGCCGAGAAATGATCGTGATCAAGCCCGTTAAGTGCTTGAACGACGCCTTCTTGTGTGAGTAGCGCACGAACACACTCCCCATGTCCGCGCATCGCGGCGTAGTGTAATGGCGTACGACCGTAGATATCTTTTTGTTTGACGAGCTCGGGGGATAGTTGTGGTATTCTGTGTTGGAGGAGGTGCTGGAGACATTGCTCACGGCCTGTTGCACAGATCTCGTGGAGAACACCGCGCTCGGTGATTTCGTCCCGGCGAGAGACATCGAAGACGGGCGACTGTACCAGGATTAGTAGGAGCGCCTCATCCGGCGCGCTCATGATGGCGCGGAGGAACGCTGAAGTGACAGCATCGGGCGTGCTGGCTTCAAGCTTCGGCACGAGCTCGCTGCATGCTCTCGAGTCACCTGCGTTAATCGCGTTCACCGTCTCCGCCTCCAAATCAATCCGCCCGGGGCTTCTCAGCGCTTCGAGGTCGATCTTCTCGCCTTGTGCACCCGCCCATCTCTCCAACTCCAGGATCGAGGCACTTGCTTCATCGGCAAGACCGGTAATGACCTCGCGATCGAAACATGGCTGAACATCAACCTGCGACGACAAATACAACTCCTTCGTATGTGACTTTGACCGTTTATCCCACTTCTTCAACGCCTTCGAAAACCCCGTCGCATTCAACTCAACAAACTGCTGCAACTTGGTCAAATCCCGATCAAAGGCCTGAAACCCCTCCTGTAACGCGTACAACGACGAATTCGCCGTCGCCGTCGCAGTCGGATCAGAGGAAAGTACTTGTCGCTTCTTGTCGAGGAGGGTTTGTAGTCGGAGGCGGAGGTCGGCCTCTTTTTGGAGGTAGAACGCGTTTACTTTTTCGAGTTCGCGTTCGAGTTTGAAGAAGAAGGTGCCTTTGTTTTCTTGAAGGCTTGTCGGGCCGGAGGAGTCTTCGAGGGATTTGATGATCTGTACAGGTTGTCGTCAGCACTTGCCCGGTCTTCAGAAAAGACGCGACGACGAACCTTCTTGAGCGCCTTGTAGTTGATGTAGTTTGCGGCATACTCGGGGATCTGCTGCCGGACGAGTGACTTGCCGAACTTCCTGTAACGAGAGCAGTCAGTCCTCCATCCCTCTCCGCACCCGCGATACACTCGCAGAAAACTCACATGGACGATGAGATGCGACGTCGTGAAGACGATCAGGGAGTTGTATCGTTCGTGCGATCAGTATCCTAGGGCTTCCTTGGGTCGATGAGGCCTTTTCGCACCGTATATCTACCAAGTGCCTAACCGGCTTGCAAGAAGCGGCACACTAAGGTCACGGATGAACGCCCCGGTATGCTCTAAACGCAAAGGTATAGCCGCTCGCTTGTCGCCGACAGCTGTCTTGTCAATGGGAGGCTGGATGAGTTGGTAGAGGAGTTCGGAAGGAGGATCAGACCACTTCTCTTCTCGGTCTCTCCAAGTCTCTAGAGCTTCTCCTCGTTGTGCGAGTACGATTCCGTTGTTGCGCTGACCCCTGGACCGGCCTACGTACATAAGAACAACCACCAAAGGACAATTCAAGTCGTACATGACGTGTAAATAATGAGCTCCTCGATCGATTCGAACAGGACTGGCACACAGCCTCTCAGTCCAGCACCGCGGATAGATGTCCGCAGAGGTCCGGATCGCCGTGCTTCGGTCCTGTCGGTGGCCTCGAATCACACGGCAGCTACCGACGTTTCGCGATCTAGGGAGGTGAGCATTGGAGGTGGTAATGGTACAACTTGAGTGCTTGCCTGTTTGGTATTCTCTGACAATTTGTACAGCAATTGCGAATATCCTCAAGAAGGCCGGCGCCACTCAACAGAACTTACCACGGCCTGGTCCACGCGAGATTCCCCCGGTTGTTTTCACAGATATCGAACAAGTCAGTTCCTCAGAGTTTTCAGAATATTTGGCATCGATAGGAACGGAGTATGAGAAATACAGAGCGCAAAAGGAGTTGGGCATGGAGGAATTACGGCTACAAACCTCAACACTCGCCAAGGAATCCGACGGTGAATCCGACTCCTCGGTAATTGGACAACTCGAGAGTCGCTTCGCAGCCGCACAACTCCACCCAGGAAAGACCATCGCAGGAGCCCGCCTTCCACTCCGACGAACTGGCTCCTTCGCCTCCGTCTCCTCCCTCGACCTCCCCCTCTCCCCCACCGAATCCGAACACGGCCGCCCGAGCCGTCGACACACCGTCCCCGGCATCACACCATTATCGACCGTCCCCCCAATCTTCTTCGAAGACAATTTCAGTCTCGAAAACCCCCGCACCTTCGACATGGTCAGCGAAAACAGCGACGTGATCCGCTCCACCGCATCCGCCCCCGAATCCCGAAAAGCCCTCGCCACGAACGCGATCCTACAAGAAAAGTTATCGTGGTACATGGATACCGTCGAAGTCCACCTCATTAAAGAAATTAGTACGGCGAGTGGTTCGTTCTTTTCTGCTCTGAGTGATTTACAGGTTTTGCATAATGAGTCAGAAGGGGCTGTTGAAAAGATTAGGGGTTTGAGAGAGGAGTTGAGGGAGGTTGATGAGGAGCAGGCTGTGAGGGGGTTGGAGATTGAGAGGTTGAGGGTGAGGAGGGCGAATGTCGCGAGGTTGGAGGGAGCGATGAGGGCTCTAAGGGATGTTGTTCAAAGGATTGAAAATGTTGGCGCGTTGATTGATAAGGATCAGCATGCGCAGGCGTTGGAGGAGATCGAGAAGCTTAATAGCGAGCTCGCAGGAAAGTCACAGAAAACTGACGCGGCACCGACATTGCAGTTGGATCTGTCAAAAGTACAGGCATTGGATGGAGCTCGTAGTCAGCTGAAACAACTCTCATCACGGATAGGCAAAAACATCGAAAAGGAACTGGCACGGATTTTCGTCACAGACCTACGACAATGGGCAGAAAGCATCTCTCCGCGCGAAACGCTGGATCGACTATCTTTCTCCTACCAGCGGAATCTACGAAAACCTGGCAATGGATCACAGAGGACAAGCATGGAGCAAGCGCGAACATTTGAAACCATCCGACCGGAGATCGAGCGAACACTTGAGATTTTGCAGCAAACCAAGTCAATGGAAGGCGCGTTTCAGTCTTTACGTGATGCTGTTATGAAAGAGATCAAGGCGATTATCAAGCAGAATTTGCCAAGCGACGATGACGCAGAGTCGGTATCAAGTAACATCACAGCACGGTCGACGAACGACAAAACGATTGCTCTGGCACGATCACTGCGGAATATGTCTCCGGTTGAGTTCAGGGAGATGTTGGCATGTATCTACACTTCGACCGTCGAATACCTTCGCCGCCTGTCATCACAATACAAACTCTTACTTGACATCACATCAACGATGGATATCGGGCGATCACCGCCGCCGGTGAACGGCAACGGCAACAGCGACACCAACGACGACATCCGCGCCCGCCAAGTCATGGACATAAACGACCTCATCGTCGCCGCAGTCGACGTCGCACAATCCCGCATGGTCCGAATCCTCAACGTCCGCTCCGAACAAAACTCCCGCTTCAGCGTCTACGATTTCTTACAATATTTCGCACTTAACATCCTGTTTATTGCGGAGTGTGAAGCGATTTCGGGACGGATGGGAACAGGGTTACAGGGGAGCGTGTCAAGCCAGGCAAAGGCGTTCGTTGCGGTTGTGCATTCGGATAGGATGGCGAGGCAGGCGGGGACGGTGGAGAGGGATCAGTGGTCGTTGGAGGAGGTTCCGGCGTCGGTGCAGCAGAGTGTGAATCGGATCGTTGCGGCGATGACGAAGGATTCTGAGGAGTGGTTGAATGACCTGAGGGTTGGAGCGGAGCCACCGAAGACGAAAACGAATGGTGATGAGGGGAGGTCGAGAAGCTTGGATATTGAGGATCAGTCCTTTTACGTGCCTGTTTCGACGATCGTGCTTATGGATGCCCTTGAGGTGTATGAAAAACTCCTCGTCGCCATCCCGGTGCTTGGTATCGATATCGTCGCGAACATGCTTGACATACTGAAGCTTTTCAACTCGAGGACATGCCAAGTGATTCTCGGTGCGGGCGCAACGAAATCGGCTGGACTGAAGAATATCACGGCGAAGCATCTGGCCATGGCATCGCAGTCACTTTCGGTCGTTATCACGCTCATGCCTTACCTGCGGGAGTGTGCTAGAAGACACATCGGCCAAGCCCCCATTATCGCAGAATTCGATAAAGTCAAGAGAGCGTATCAGGAGCATCAGAATGAAATCCACAGCAAGCTGGTCGCGATCATGTCTGACCGACTCGAGTCGCATTGCCGATCTCTCGCAACCATCAATTGGGAAAGAGCAAATACGGAGAAACCGGAAGCATACATGGAGGCATTGGTGAAGGAAACTACGACGTTGCACAAGGTGTTGGCAAAATATCTGAATAATATAGGACTGCAAACGATTTTGGACGAAGTGCATGCTCGGTATAATTCCCGGTTGGGCGAAGAGTATCGGCGTATCGAACTGCGGTCCGTTCAGGCGCAGGAGGCCATGTTGGCGGACGTGCGGTATTTCCAGGACAGGCTCTCGAAACTGGAGGGTGTGCGAGGTCCTGGCGATTATTTGGCGAAACTCGTCGAGGGAAAGGCGGTATCTGCAGCATAACCATAATGGAAGGTTAGATGTCAGATCGAGCGGATGAGCATATAGGCATCACTAGGCATATCAATACTGAGATCAACGGGAAATGTTCGTAATATTAGACACTATCGGCAGCTGTTTTCATCGTCTAGAGGACAAGCTCCTCCGGAAGCTCAATACCTGTGAACACGAACGTTAGTCGTGAACGTCACTATGCCGGGGACCAGCGCAACGTACCCAGCTCCTTGCGAATAGGCGCCAACTCGTCCACGTAAGCCTGGTACTGAGTCTTGTTCTCAACCTTCTGCCTCAAACCCTCGAAAACACGGACAGCGGTAGGGTAGTCGTTAATACGGCGAGCGGCCTTCAATGCAGAGGTAACGGTCTCTGGGGAAGGAACCAAATCGTAGGAGAAAGAGTTGTTAAGACCACGCTGGAGCTCGAAAACGTCCTCGCACTCCTCGAAGAACTTGGTGTAGCTATAAGTTGGTCAGATCAGTCGCGAGATCACGGTGCCATGCGTGGTTTCTTGACATACCGAGCGTTGAAGGAGTCGAAGTCCTCCTCATCGTGAGCGGAGGACATGGAACGGACCTGACCAGCAGCGGCCATTGCCCTGGGAACACGGGCGACACGGAGAGCCGGAGCAGTACGGATAGCGGCGGTAAATCTCTGCATTTTGTGGTAGTATATGATTTGGTTTGCTATTGAACTGTATGCTGGTTTGGAAGTTCCTAATCATGAGCGAGCAGCTCGCCAGGGGTGCATCCACTGGCAGCCGTACCCGTCCCCGGCTGGCCGTCTCTCGTCCGTACCGGTTGCTAAGTTGTTCCAGGATTCATGAATTCATAACTGCCAGCAGTCTACCCGAGGACACCCATTTCCATACATGAGCACATTTTCATGGGGGGCCCTAGGCCTGACCGAACAACCCCCAGCTCAAAGGTTGAAAGCGCGTTGAAATACAGGCGCGCCCCGAGACCACCCAAAACATTCCCGCCTACACAATCACCGTCCTTTCCTTTTTTTTACTTTACGTCTTCTTCAAGCAATCCGGTATGCTCAATACTGTTCATCATGCTCTTCTCGTGCTAATTGTTATCCAGGCAAAATGCTTGAAGTGTCAGTGCCGTCAATTGACCGTCCTTTCGGTGTCTACCTCTGGCCCCTTTTCGATGCCGCATGGGAGAAGGTTATGGGCTACCCTGCCCATGACTTCGATTTCGTCCCCGGAAAGACTCCTATGTCTACCGTTCGGGAGGTCGTTGCTGCTCTCGTCACCTACTACATCGTCATCTTCGGCGGTCGCGCTATCATGAAGAACTTCTCCCCCTTGAAGCTCAACTTCTTCTTCCAAGTTCACAACGTCTTACTCACCCTCTTGTCTCTCGGGCTTTTGCTCCTCTTGGTTGAGCAGATCCTCCCTATCATCGTCCGTCACGGTGTTTTCTACTCTATCTGCTCTCACGGTGCCTGGACCCAGCCCATCGTCACTTTGTACTACCTCAATTACCTCACCAAATACGTATGCAGACCCCAAAAGCCATATACGTTTCCAGAAACTGACATGTATGCGTACAGATTGAGCTCATCGACACCGTTTTCCTCTTCTTGAAGAAGAAGCCCCTCAACTTCCTTCACTATTACCACCACGGAGCCACCGCCCTCCTCTGCTACTCCCAGCTCGTCGGCCACACCTCCGTTTCCTACGTCCCCATCGTCCTCAACCTTACTGTCCATGTTCTCATGTACTGGTACTACTTCCTTTCCGCACGTGGAATCCGCGTTTGGTGGAAGGAGTGGGTCACCCGTACTCAGATCATCCAGTTCGTTTTGGACTTGGGTTTCGTCTACTTCGCCTCTTACACTTACTTCGCTTTCCACTACTTCCCCTCCCTTCCCAACAAAGGTTCTTGCGCTGGTGAGGAGTTCGCTGCTCTCTTCGGTTGCGGTCTCTTGACCTCCTACTTGTTCCTCTTCATTGGTACGGCATACACCCGGCTCAAGTTTGGGAATTTTGGCTAATGACATTTGCAGCTTTCTACGCTGCTACCTACAAGAAGGCCGGAAAGAAGGTCGCCAACCGCAAGGTTTCGAACGGCTCCATCGCCATCGACCCCAAGTTCACCTCCGAGGACTTGAAGTCCCTCAAGGTCAACGGGGAGTCCACCGGCGCCAAGGTCGCCGCCAACTCTCCTCGCTCTCGCAAGGTTTAAATTCAGAATATGAACTATTTCAACATAGATTTTGTTCAGACAAGTTGGGAGGGTGCGGGAAGAAGATATGGACGGTAAAAAAAGGACATCAAAAAAATACACTTGGCGGTGTTCGGCTTTGCATAATGAAGGCTGGTTTGATGGGCATTGCTGCGTACATTTTTGCTGCTGCTTCTATTTCGTGTTATTTCTGGTTTGCTTCACTAATTTTCGCTCTTTAATCCATGTTTTATTCCTACCATTGAACAAGAGCAGCACTTGTAATTGCGATTATAATTATCGTGAATGATTAAGATTGTATTGCTGTCGGTATCATGGCTCCCATCGCCATCCTTCAAAACGCCCAGGCTCATTCGGCCATAAGATATGCTGTATCACTCCCAAGATTTTGCTAAAGATCCTACTAGTTCGCCTTTTCCATCATTTTGTTCCACACAGGCATGCAGTTTTCCTTTTCCAATCCAACACCGCGGAAGAACTCATTTGGTTCACATCCCCTACACTTTCCAGGTAGGTCAGGGCAGTTGACGAAAGGGACGTGGTTGTATCCGATATCGTCGAAGTAATGTACCTGACTCTTGTCCGCGAACAATCCTACACCAATACTGTGTACTGGCGCATCTCCCCATCGCTCGTAGAAGAACCCTCCGGATTTGTCGAGGTATTCGAAGTATTTGTCGTATGCATCGCCTCGCCAGAAATCGAGGTCGGCGATTTCGAAGTTAGACCAGAAGTGGCAGGCGGAATATCCGTGTGCCAGGAAGTTGTGATGAGGTCTGTTTGTCGCATCCGTCAGCCATTCCATGCTGTTATCTGGCGCGAGGTATTCCGGGTGTGCGTCGATGTACTCCTCTGTCGTTGGCCAGAGCGTTGGAAGGGATTGAGGTGAGTCGTACAGGTTGATCGTAAACCCATATGTCTTGTTGTTCTTCTCCATGAAGCGGAAGACGTCGTAGTCGATATCACAGTAGAAATGGACGTTGGGCTCGACGCGCCAGTACCATTTGTAATCGTCCAGTGCTGGGTGTTTGTAGAACATGCCGGAGTTCCAGCGGCACATCTGGTGGTAGGAAAGCATCTTTGAGTATTGGACGTTCTCGGATGCTAGTTTGTCGAAGGATGCGTACATTAGGTCCTTGTTGATCCATGATGGGACCTCCCAGTGCTCCTTGGGGATTTGCTCGTATTGGATTTCCGCGTTCGTCAACTCCCTGGTAACCTTCTTAAAGTTCTCATCGAATGGCTCATCATTAAAGAAGATCCATGGGTAGTTGAACTTGTGATTGAACACCGCTTCAAGTTCCGTCATGGACTGCTTCAACTGATCAATCTCCGAATTTCTCACCAGGGAGATCAGCGCAGCCTTTGCACGCTTTCCGTCTTCAGGTGGAAGCTGAGCCGCCGTCGGTCCTGGCTTCTTACGAAAGACGTCATGTGCGAATCGCTTGGGATCGATGTTTGTGCCGGTACTCCTGAGCAGAAGGATGATCGCAACCGAAAACACGGCGATACAGCTCAACGCTACTGCCAACGGCCGCTTTCGCCAGTGAATAGACGGCATGGTGTGGAGGTCGGTGCTGTCCGATCAGACAGACGTCGGATATTTATGGACGTTTATCCCGAAACCTTATTGCCAAGTCCGCCGAGACTCGTGGTGACTTCCGATGCGGTGCTGACTGCGACTACCAGGGATGCGCACTTGGCAGCAAATCCGCTTCAACCCTGCGTCATGTACACAGACGCGTCGACCGTGTAATTGCAAATGCTTTGAATGCCGAATCGACACGGTAGGAGCCGTTTGGTCGATGCCCTCGTTAGCAATATCACAGGGTTGGACGTGACGGAGCCGGTCTTCTCGCGTCTGCAGCATATAGCCGCTGAGCAGCTACGAACCCTGTACCTCAGCGCGGACCCATTCAATGTCGAAGAGAAGTTACAGGGGTATTATGTGTTCGAAGGAAATGTCTTATAGCTTGCTAATACACGCATACAGCCATGTCGAAAAGTTTCGTGTCCTTTACCAACAAGACCGCGGAGATGCACTCGAATCATGCTTGGGCGAGTTGAAGGAGAAGAATTCCGACAGGACTGCATTTGTCGACATCCTTGCTCTTCTTCTTCATTTGTCAAACAAGCCGCTAGAGGGCGACGTGGCGTGCGACGGTCCTCCGGTCGAAGAAGATGTTGAACTTCCACCGCTTACGTGGGATCAAATCGTAGCGGATGACCCAATCGAAGGAGACCATTGGCAGGTCAACACATTCCGACATCTTGGGAAGGATCAGGGTGTGTATGCTAGTGATTCTGAGGAAGAGGAGCTTCCACCGCCAAGAATACCACGGTGGGAGACTGCCCAGCGACCAGTTGCGCGGAGAATACGCGTTGATGATAGCCTGGCAGAGGATTTAGCTTCAAACCAGTACTTCGACGAAGACAGGCTGGTGCTGACGGAGTTGGAAGCTATCCGTGAAGTACTGCTGGTATTGAAGACGGGCGTCTCAGGTTACCTCTTTCTACAGACCAAGCGTGGAATAAGCGTCAGGAGCAACTTCCGGTTACACCATACTACGCCTGAACTTTTGGAGAGCGTTCTTGGTTGGCTCGCGGAGCAAGTAAGTGCTGTTCTCGTTCTTCGCAAGTTCGCTGCTCAAGCACGAGGTGAAACTATCACTCTTGAGGCATTTGCTGCTACTGTCAGTGATGAGCTTCATGCTCTTGATCTTCTCGTAGTAGACATCGAGCTCGAGCTGCTAAACATTAAAGCATCGGAAACGGTGTATGCGACTCTATTGGGCCTCAAGATGCGCCTGGAACCTCAATTCGAGCGCCTCAGCGTGAGTGTGAAACTCGTCAAAGACGTACTCAATAGACCGTATCAGAATCCAAGACAAAAGCTATGTCAGCTGCTGTCTGACCTCTATGATATTGCTTGCCGAGCAGACATGACTGCTAACCAAGCGGATTTTGACGCTTGTTGGGCATTGTTTATGCCTACGCTCCGGGTTTACTTGGAGCAGTTGGCGATGTGGTGTAACAAGGGTGAGCTACCAGGTTCAGATCGTTCTGACTTCTTCGTTGAGCAGACGAAAGATGGTTCTGAGGAAGGTGTGTATGTTATGATGCACCATGAGGGGAGTGCAGATATCATGGTCCCAGATTTCGCAAGACAAATCGCTGAGAAGGCCTTCAAGATTGGGAAAGGGGTCAACTTCCTCAAGAGATTGGGGCAAGCAGTTGGCGCCGCAGACATCCTTGTGTTTGATATCATGCCAGAGCTAGAGGCTCTGAAAGCAGCACACCGTCACGAGCCTTTGGAGCTTGCTGTAGGAATTGCCCTAGATACGTGGGTATCCGAAGCTTATGACAAGACGAAGACGGTGCTACGGGCCCTACTGATCGACAAGCTCGGTCTCTGGAATCACCTGCACGCGATGGAAGCATTGTACTTTCACCGTGGTGGTCTGGCTATATACAACTTCACGCTTGGTTTATTTGATAAGATGGATAGAGGGCAGCAGCTTGACCGGCATATCCTGACACGACTTGTACGGTCTGCGTTGCAGGATGCACCGGTGGCTGGGTTGGCCCCCGAGCGCATCACCGCAGTTATGAATAAGCGAGGCTTGGGCGTCACGATTCGCAGAAATGTTACGTCTTTGTCCGCGATCTCAGTGGACTACCAGTTACCACCGTTGCTGACGCATATCTTCACCCCTGCTGCCTTTGAGGGATACAAGAAGATCTTCATGTTCTTGACGCAGTTACAGCGGTCGAAGTATCTCCTTGGGCGACTATCACTTATCAAAGAAACTGATCTGGTTGGGACCGCTCTTGACCCGAAGTCTCAGTCTGCGTTCTATGGACTGCGTCTGAAGTTGTTCTGGTTCACGAGTGTGATGCTACATCATCTATCCGTACTGGTACTGGAGCTGCGAATGACGAAGCTTCACCAAGCGATGGAAGAAGCTGGCGATATGGACGAAATGTGCAGGGCACATTCTGCGTTCATGAAGGTCGTCACGGAAGAGTGTTTCCTGAGTGAGAAGATGCGACCATTGTATCAAGCTATTACCTCGATCCTGAACATTTCTGTCACACTGGCGGATTCATACATGGTTTACACGGGGGAGACGACAATGAACGCATCTAGTCGTTCAATAAGATCGATATCCAAGAGACGGCGGAGACGCAGGCCGTCGGATGCTACGTCTGACGAGAGTGGGTCGTCGAATGACGAGTATGCCGATGCGTCCACCTATATTTCATTTGCCGAGGAGAGCTGGGCGACGAAGCTGGAGAAAATGCACGCGTCATTTGAGAGGCACTTTCCGTTCCTGCAAAGTGGAGTGGCAGGTTTAGCAAGAATCAGCACGACCATGTTTGGAATGCTTTCAGAGTCCCTTGACAGAAGCGGAGAGCAGAGAATATGATGCACCAAAGCGGGTATATCAGGTCTAATCTAGTTCTTTTCGCAGCTGAACAAGAAGTAATGGAACATGTCACCTAGCGTCGTGAGCTTCACCTCATCATCTTTCCACACGCCCTCCCTCTGCATGTATCGTCTCCGGAAATGTGGTTGTCCGAACGTACAATACAAGAACTTGCCTCCGGGTTTCAGAACACGAATTGCCTCGTCAACCTCTTTCGTGCAGTTCGCTACGACGTGCTCTGGAGGACTCCAGACGGATCCCTCCTCTGGATCGAAGCAGAGGAGAGCATCCATTGTGCCCTTGTCGATTGCGACGTCGAAGGTTGCACCATCGTATTTGAGGTCCAGGACGTCCATTACTTCCCATGTCATTTCGGCCTTGTCGGCATGCAATGCTTTCATTCTCTCAATGCAGGTCGGAGCGAAGTCGATGTTGTGTACGTGTTTGTAGCCGGCGTTATAGAGGTCCGCTGATAGGGTGCTGTAAGATTACCAGGTCAGGTCTGGTATCCTGAAGGACAAAGATCGGTTCGGTAAGCCCACCTGTTTCCGCAACCCAACATCAAAATCTTCGACTCGGGTTTCAAGTGTTCCGACAGCCATGGCTCGAGGTCCTTATAGCCCTTAAACCAGTCAAAATTCGCATCATCTTTTTCCTGAAACTCTTTATCGTATCGGGAGTCCCAGTAGGCTTTGTCTCTGAGCTCTGATAGTGGTGTACTTGCTGGGATGCCGTCCATTATGCGGGGTGTCTACGTTACATCAATTGCGAGACGGCATCCTGGTATGCCTCGAGTCGAAGCCAGCGAGCGAGCTGTGCCACGCCCCGCCACACCGAGAAGGGAAGGGAAAAGAAGGAGGTTGGCTGATCTGGCGGTGAAATTAGGAAGATATGGCAGTCGGACTTTTCGCAGCAGTCACCTACGTTACGGGTAAGTCTAATCCATGGATAGTGTGGGGCTCCAGCCGTCTGGGGGAGGCTCGCCCCGCATGAACCGCTGACGTTCAAAAGTTTGCCGAGAAAACCTCCGACGGTCGATTTTGACAACCATCGACCAAACAGATCAGGCATGGCCTTCTGATCCATGACGCTCGTCTGCGCAGCATCTTCGCTTTGATGTTCCGTGCTTCTTCGTGGCGGGCTGTCTGTTTGATCCTGTGAATTACCTATGTACCTACCTATACCAGGTACCTTTCTCTAATATTCCAGAACTAATATCCATTCCAAACGATTCCCATCCTTGATCCATGCGTATACGATGCCAACAACCTATCCGACCCACTTACGGGCATTCCTGAAGATTCTGATCCAAGGACCAACCTCTCCCCACTCCTCACCCTGCTGCTTAGGGTACCAGGAGTTAGCCTCCTTCAATGTAACACGTTCAGGGTGAGGCATGAGGGCCATCACACGCCCGTTCGGTGTCCGGATACCAGTGACACCCTCTGGTGATCCGTTGGGGTTGTAAGGATATGTCTCAGTAGGCTTGCCGTAGTTGTCAACGAAACGAACAGCAACGAGACCGGTAGAAGTACAGTGCTTCAAGTCCTCCTCGTTGTCGAAGACAGCGCGACCCTCTCCGTGAGCGACAGCGACAGGGAACTTAGATCCGCGCATGCCATCGAAGAAAACGGAAGGAGTATCCTCCGGTCCGTCATCAAGAACCTCGATCTCACAGACACGAGCCTCGTACTGCTCTGATCTGTTACGCTGGAAAGTAGGCCACCTCTCAGCACCAGGAATCAAGGATTTCAGTCTTGACAAGAACTGACATCCGTTGCACACACCCAAGGCGAACGTGTCGTCACGGTCGGCGAAGAAAGCACGGAACTCTTCTCTCACACCAGGGTGGAGCATGACGGACTTGGCCCAACCAGCACCAGCACCCAAAACATCACCATAGGAGAAACCACCGCAAGCAGCCATACCGACGAAGTCAGCGAGCTTAACATCACCGTTAATAATATCAGTCATGTGAACGTCGACAGCGGAGAAGCCAGCCATGTGGAAGGCGAAAGCCATCTCGGAGTGACCGTTGACACCCTGCTCACGCAAAATAGCAACCTTTGGTCTGCTCGAGGGGTTCTTGATGAGAGCGTTGGCAAAGTCATCGTTAGGCTTGAAGGTAAGGTCGTAAGAAAGACCGGGATCCTTGTCATCAAGGATGTTGGCGAACTCCTCGTCAGCGCAGACGGGGTGGTCGCGCAACTGCTGGAACTTGTGGGAGGTGGAAGCCCAGGCCTGCTGGAGCTCAGCACGGGTAGACTCGTAGAAAGAGCGGCCACCAAGGGAAACAGTGACGGACTGCTGCTCACCAGAGCGGACCTTACCGACCGTGTGGACGGAGTTCACGCCGTGCTTGGCAAAGACAGCCTTGAGGGCGTCGATCTTGTCGTCAGCGACCTGGAGAACGACACCCAATTCCTCGTGGAACATAGCAGAGACAACGGCCTCAACGCTCTGGCTCTTAGCGACAGCGTCAAGAGTGATGTCAACACCAACACGACCAGCGAAAGCCATCTCAACAGCAGCGGTGAACAAACCACCGTCAGCAACATCGTGGTAAGCAAGGACGAGGTCGTCAGACTTGTGGAGCTCACGGACAGCCTCGAAGAAGCCCTTGAGGACCTGAGCAGACTCCACATCAGGAGCCTCGTTGCCAACCTGGCCGAAGACCTGAGCGACGGCAGATCCACCAAGGCGTTGCTTACCAGCGGCAAGGTCAACCAAGACCAAGGAGGTCTTTCCGACAATCTCGGGTCTTTGGAGCTGGGGTGTCCAGGTCTTGTGAACGTTCTCAACCATGGTGAAGGCAGTGATGACAAGCGACAAAGGAGCAGTAACCTCTTTCTTCTCACCGTCGTTCCACTTCATCTTCATGGACATAGAGTCCTTGCCGACGGGAATGGAGATACCGAGGGCAGGGCAGAGGTCCATACCGATAGCCTGGACAGCCTCGTACAAACCAGCTCCCTCACGGGGGTGGTCAGGGGAGGACATCCAGTTGGCGGACAACCTGCACCTCTCCAACTCGAAGATATCGGCGGCAGCCAAGTTAGTAAGAGACTCAGCAACAGCCATACGAGCGGAAGCAGCGTGGTTGATGAGAGCTAAATTGGGCTTCTCACCCATGGCCATAGCCTCACCGGTGATAATACCGTCACCAAGGGAAGTCATAGTGACAGCAACATCGGCGACAGGAACTTGCCAAGGACCAACCATCTGGTCACGGGCAATCATACCAGTAACGGTACGGTCACCGATAGTGATCAAGAAAGACTTGGACGCGACAGAAGGAAGGTGCAAGACACGGTCGATAGCGGTGGTGAGGGTGTCGGTGATGGAGGACTTGGGGATGTAGGACGCCAAAGATGCGTCGAAGGCAGGCAAGACAAGGGCCTGAGTAATAGCCTGGCGAGACATCTTAGGAGCCTTACCGAACAAGACATCCATGGGCAAGTCTATAGGAGTAGTACCGAGGAGACTGTCAGTGAGAACCAACCTCTGCTCCTCAGTAGCGTGACCAACAACAGCGTAAGGAGCACGCTCACGTTTGCAGATAGCATCGAAACGCTCCAAGTTCTCGGGAGCGACAGCCATAACGTAACGCTCCTGAGCCTCACAACACCAGATTTGCATAGGAGACATTCCAGGCTCATCGCAAGGAACATCACGCAATTCGAAACGAGCACCGAGACCGGCGTCGTGAACGAGCTCGGGAAGACCGTTGGACAACCCACCAGCACCGATATCATGGATGGACTGGATGAGGTTACCCTCGCCCAAGGAGGTACAGGCGTCAATAACCTGCTGGGCACGGCGCTGCATCTCAGGGTTTCCACGCTGGACGGAGGCAAAGTCAAGCTCGACAGACCCCTCACCGGAGTTCATGGAGGAGGCAGCACCACCGCCGAGACCGATAAGCATGGAAGGTCCACCAAGGACGATAAGGCAAGAACCGGGGGTGATCTTACCCTTGAAGGAGTGAGGAGGACGGATGGTACCGACACCACCGGCAATCATGATAGGCTTGTGGTAACCACGAATCTCCTCACCACCGTCGACGGAGGGGACCTTCTGGGTAAGCGTACGGAAGTAACCAGTGATGGACGGACGACCGAACTCGTTGTTGAAAGCGGCGGAACCGATAGGGGCCTCAATCATGATGTCGACGGGGGAGGCAATGTGGGAAGGACGGCCAACGTCAAGTTCCCAGGGCTGCTTAAAACCGGGGAGGTTCAAGTCAGACACGTTGAAACCAGCCAAACCGGCCTTGGGCTTGGAACCGCGGCCAACGGCACCCTCGTCACGGATCTCACCACCGGAACCAGTGGCGGCACCAGGGAAGGGAGAGACGGCAGTAGGGTGGTTGTGGGTCTCGACCTTGGTCAAGAAGTGAACCTGCTCAGTCTGGAGGGTCCACTCCTGGGTCTTACCATCGGGGTGGAAGCGAGTGGCCTCGACACCCTCGAGAACGGAGGCGTTGTCGGAGTATGCAGAAACGGTGTAGAGAGGGTGAGTCTGGTGGGTGTTGCGGATCATACCGAACAGGGACTTTTCCTTCTTCTCACCGTCGATTGTCCAGTCGGCGTTGAAAATCTTGTGACGACAGTGCTCAGAGTTCACCTGGGCGAACATGAACAACTCAGCGTCGGTAGGGTTGCGCTCCTTCAAGGACTTGTCGTCAGAGCCGTCGCCAACGAAAGCGTTGACGAGGTAGTTGATCTCATCGGGAGCCAAGGCGAGGCCGAGCTCCTTGTTGGCCTTCTCCAAACGGGCCTTGGCGGCGCCGGTGTTGTTGTCGCCGGACTCGCCACGTAGTTCGACGTGGACGAGGGGCGCGGGCTCCATCTGCTCGAAGATCAAGGTGGACTCTGGTGGGGTGGCGGTGAGGGTCTCAGTCATACGGTCGTGCAAAAGGTTGGCGACGTGAGCAAGGTTCTGCTCAGTCAAGGTAACGTCGTCCTTGGTAAGAATAGAGAAAGCCTTTCCACGCTCGATACGCTGAACGTACTCTCCCAATCCACAGACGGCGGCAATGGAGGTGGCCTTGGAGGACCATGGCGAGATGGTACCCTGGCGAGGGAAGACGTAGTAGGAGTTGGGTGCGGACTTGACGCTGGAGATAGTCTCAATCAAGGCGACGTTCTGCTTATCGACCTTATCGGCGGGGAGGTCGTATTCGAGCAAGATGTCGAGAGCCTTGCGCTGTTCCGATGTGACATTCTCCAAAGCGGCCTGCGCTTCAGGAGACTTGACGCTGACATAGTGAACGTACAGGGCGCGAAGAGAAAGGATCTGTTGTCCCTCGAGCTTCTCATTGACGGCCTCGACCAAGGCGGCGAGCCTGAAGTCGGAGAGCGACGGGGGACCCGGGAGAACAATCATGATCTTTGTAGTATTTGATGAACAGATATTCTCGGGGAATTTCACGAACGGATCAAACCCGTAGAGGCTCGATACTCCGAGGACTTCGTTGAGGCAGCTCGCCGTGCTCGAGGGCGCCGTTTCCAAAAAAGCTCGCGACATCACGTGAGGCAGAGGCAACCCCAGATTAGGAACTGTAATGAGCTGGACAGCAACACGAACAGCATATACCCTGGATGAGAGCCTTGTCGCCAAAGAAAATCAGTTCTAATGTTCTTCCTTCCGTTCAGGGTGAGTCTATCCTGTTCCAAATCACCGCGTTGCTCATCCACACGCCGGGTGTGGCATGGAACGACCTGTGCTGACCGTGATCATCAGAATCACCTTCCAAACGGCCATGTCCTTTTCCACATCTGGGATTCTCCCCTATAAAGTGTCAGCGATCACGATCCACACCTTCAGTGCCTCTCTTCGCGTCAAATGATGAAAATGCAACAGCATATAGCCCCAGATTATCCCCGACAAAGGCCATTCAAGCCAGCCCAAGACGGGTGATCTCGCCCACTCGAAGGCCGAGGCTCGATACCAGATCAAGCTCTCCTACAAAGCTCAGTCAAACGATTACGCGTAACGATCTACTCTCGAACACCTCGAGAAAAGCATTGAACCCGGTTCGACTACCACGACCAAGTGCAGACGCGTTTACTATCTTCGAAGATTTCGGTCATGTGGACACCTCTTCCACGGTTGATATGTTTCCGGCCACCGATCTGGAATCAGAAATGGAAAATATTGACCCAGACGCGTCCAAAACGCCAAAACAAGTATATGTGGACAGCTTCACTCGACCGGAAGTCCGCTCGCCTCTCTCAAGTCTTGCGTGGACCATTGTGGACCCTAAACCAATTATTACTGTGCGACAAACTACTCCTACACCTTCATTCTCCTCGCGTACACCTTGTTTGCCCGCATTCATTACCCCATCTCGTCCTCGGATCAATGCCCCTCGATCGGACGCGCTTGATAACGAGCTCGTCTCACGCGAGGAGGTGTCTTGGCCCTTGAGTGCTCCTAGGCAAAGAAAGACATGGTCCCGAATTGGAGAGAACAAGGAGTTCGACATCTTTTCTGACGAGAACGATTACGAAGCGGACGATAGCTTCGTGGTAACCGCATGGGATGCGGAGAAGGAAAACGAGGGTATGGAGCTGAAGAGATTTGGGAGCTTCTAAAGGGGCGCCAAATCGCTCGAAGAGGAAAATATACCCTTTTATGGGAAGGCTGTTTGTTTTTCTGGGCTCAAAACAAGCTCATTGGCGTTTAACTGTTGGGGTGTTCGTGCGTGGGAGTCGAGATGAAACCGGTCATTGATACCCTTGCTGAAGTATACAACGGCGTGAGCTTCGTCTAAACAATATCATGTTATACCTCCAATAAACTCCATGTATCTGCCGTGCACGATTCTGTCCCTCATGCTCTCCCGCAGCTGATGCAACACCCTGCACAGATTGCGCAGCGCCGGCTGTCGTAGGAGCCCCTCGAGTATCAAGTTCTGGTGAGCTCTGTATCCATTAACCATGTCCTTTGACAGAGAATCAGACGAGAAGATCAACTTCGAAACCTCTAAGGAGGTCACCGCTGCTCCTACCTGTAAGTTGTCTTGCCTGCACCTCAATCGAAGTCGCGAAATGACTGACCGAACGTATAGTCGAGGCCATGGGCCTGAAGGAGGACCTTCTGCGCGGTGTCTATGCTTACGGTTTCGAGTCGCCTTCCGCGGTTCAGTCCCGCGCAATTGTCCAGATCATGAAGGGACGCGACATCATCGCCCAAGCACAGTCCGGCACCGGTAAAACCGCGACATTCTCCATTTCGGCATTGCAAGTCGTCGACACATCTATGAGAGAGACACAAGCCCTCATTCTTTCACCTACACGAGAACTCGCCACACAGACGCAGAGCGTGGTCTTGGCGCTCGGAGATTACCTGAATATCTCGTGTCATGCGGTTATCGGTGGTACCAGTGTTGGTGAGGATATCAGGAAGCTGGATGCGGGGCAACAGATTGTGTCTGGTACGCCTGGACGTGTGGCGGATATGATTCGCCGACGCAACCTGCGGACAAGAAATATCAAGATGTTGATTCTGGATGAGGCGGATGAGTTGTTGAACAGGGGATTCAAGGACCAGATCTACGACGTTTACAGATATCTGCCACCAGCAACGCAGGTGGTTGTTGTCAGTGCGACGTTACCGTATGATGTGTTGGATATGACGACCAAGTTCATGACGGATCCTGTGAGGATCTTGGTGAAGCGTGATGAGTTGACGTTGGAGGGGTTGAAGCAATACTTCATTGCTGTCGAGAAGGAGGAGTGGAAGTTTGATACGTTGTGTGATGTATGTCGAAATCATCCGCAGTTTTCCCAAGTTTCGCTGACGTGATCGACAGTTGTACGATACCCTCACGATTACCCAAGCCGTCATCTTCTGCAATACCCGTCGCAAGGTCGACTGGCTTACCGAAAAGATGAGAGAAGCAAATTTCACCGTCGCCTCCATGCACGGTGAAATGCCACAAAAGGAACGCGACGCAATCATGCAAGAATTCAGACAAGGAAACTCGCGAGTACTCATCTGTACCGATATCTGGGCACGTGGTATCGACGTACAGCAGGTCTCGTTGGTCATCAACTACGATCTTCCCCCGAATCGTGAAAATTACATTCACAGAATCGGACGAAGTGGACGTTTTGGACGTAAGGGAGTGGCTATTAACTTTGTTACTTCGGAGGATGTGCGTATTTTGCGCGATATTGAGCAGTATTACTCTACGCAGATTGATGAGATGCCTTTGAATGTCAGTGATCTTGTCTAAGGGAGATAAGAAGGGGAGAGGTTGAAGGGGCATTATCACGGAGGGTAGCCTGGGTGATATGAAGGGTCGTTTTTGGCTTGGAAAGCGGCAGGATGAATCTACTGCGACCCTGAAGGCTTAGATAGGCTTGAAATAAGACCTGATCATTTCACAGCTTCACCTGACCACGTTGCTCGTACTTCTCATCTCATCCCTTCCGCCGGCGATGCGATGCGATCTGCGTCGGGTAGCGGACCGCGAACGGGCCGAGCTGCAGTCAGATAGGAAACCTTATTTTCGACGTCAACAAACATCTCAAGGTATAAAGTCCATATCAAAGCCATTCTTGAAGAACTTGCAGTCGAGCAGGACCGACTGAACAGGACACAAAGCACCTCTACCTGCGCTGCTCGAGATTTCCTTTGTGGGCTTTGTGGTTAACCGCCTTTACCTGAACGTCCTCGGCAACAACAATAACCAGTTCACAATTCGCGCACATGCCATCAACTATTGCGTTTCTAGTACGAATACCTCCGTGAATCTGCTTAAGTGCCAGTTGCTAACAGTTCGTTGTAGCCGCAAAAGCTCAAGGTCCTGCACATACCCTTGTCGGTGTACCCTCAACTGCTGCATCCAATCCTCACGCTTCTGCTGGTACGTCACTCCTCAACGTCAGACGGCGATGCACCATTTGTCAACATTTCGTTCACGCCCTACGAATGCTCAGTGATCTGCCCTACAGAGCTGGCCGAAGAATATTTCGCTGATCCACCATACGGGGCGAAAGTTAGTCAAGACGATTATGTCGCCATCCAGGTTGATGGGGATGACTTGACGTCGTCGTATATCTCTGATACCGGGACAGGTGATCCTGGACGTCGGATTTTGGGGCTGACGACGCCATTGGCGCTGGCGGGTGTGTCTATCTTCTTCGTCACGACGTACTATTCGGACTACGTGCTCGTACCACATGCACTACAGCCGTTGGTTATGGAAGTTCTCACGAGGAACTCCTTCGTGTTTGAAACTCATTCTGGAGCTTATATTCCGGATCCTACCAGCCCGAATAATGTGATGTCCGGGAGTTCCTCGACGACGCGGGAGGAGACTTCGGATGGCACACTACAGAAGAACACCATGGCTCGTTTGGAAGAAGCTGGTGTCGTACCGCAAGTGATGGCAGAGACTGAGATGGTTCATGTCGGTGCCTCGACGGATACACTCGCTGAGAACCCACGTCTGGCAATAGCGGTGACGCAGACGCTGCTAAGAAAACCTCCTCCTTCCTTGTTTTCAATAACCTTATCGCCTACGTCGGCGCCATCCCTGTTGCTACCTGTCGACATTCTTGATGACTTTCCTGGCGATGGCGAGCTCTACGGTATGGCAGACAATGAAGAAGATGGTAGGCTCGTTCCGATCCTATGGGACCTGTCGAGCCTCGAACCTGATACCCCACAGACAGGGCAGTCCAGCGCGGTATCACCGTCCTCATCGTCAGCAGGAGGTGCCGGTATCGTAGCCGGAGTCGCAGGTCGATTGGTAGAAGGTGGTTGTGGAGTCCTGACGTATTTAAGTACGGCCAGAGCGGGCGTGGTATTGGTGGGTAAGGTACTGGACCTGGAGAAAGCGACCAAGGCTGTTGGATTGGCGAATGGTACAAACGATGATTGAGAGAGGGGTCACGAACAATATCTCACTTGATCACTAGACGAAGAGACGTAAGAACCAAAGGGAACGCCTGTTTCTTCTCTACTACAGCTTGGCTTCTGCCTTCTTCTTCTTGACGTTCGTAATTTTGACCTGCTGTCTTATGGCTAAATCCAACATAACGTCCTGCTCGACAGTCAGTGAAATTCTGATGCGTGGGAACATCGTCCGGCTTACCTCGGCACCGCCTGGGATGGATGCAATCTTGCAATCGCGGTACAAACGCTCAACTCTTTCTCCCTGGCCACCAATAGTAACGCCTGTCTAACCGTTAAATTCGGCTCCTTCGAACACGTAATAATCACATACCAAGTCCTCCGAAAATATTCACTGCCTGGCTGGCACAATACTCCAACGTCGAGGAACACTGAGCTTTCAACAACGCCGTGATACCCCCCAGCTCAGTATTCAACTGATCCTTGGACATCACCATACTCTGATAAACGACCTGTTCGATCCAAGCATGTTGCGACTCGATCCGCTTGGCCATCTCCGCCAATTTCGCACGGACTGTACCTAGGTCAAAGAGCGGTTTACCGAATGCGATGCGCTTCGACCTGGAATTTCAGAGGGTCAGCTTGGAACCATGACCGACCAGATTACTCACGCATGACGCAAAGCATCTTCGAGACAGACCCTCGCACTTCTGTGGGCGACAAAGGAAATGTTGAGTCGTTCATGGTTGAAGTCTTATCACGAAACTTAGGACATGAGAAAAAAAACAATAGTGCGACTCACTTGTCATGATGATTTTGAACCCTTGACCTTCTTTCCCGAGAAGGTATTTCGCAGATACTTTCACGTCTTCGAAGTCGATGAACGTTGAACCACTCTGTTTAGCACCTCCTGTATGCATACGGCGAGTTGTGACACCGGGAAGGTTCGCTGGGATGACTAACACGGATATTCCTGACGCACCCGGGCCACCCGTGCGAACTGCGGTTGTGATGTAGTCACTGTAAGGACTCTTCAGCTCACCAAGGTCGAATCTTGGTTGAATAACGCCTTCCTACCTCCAGATCCCCGTCGTAATCCATTTCTTCTCCCCGTTGACAACGTAATACTTCCCGTCTTCCGTCTTCTTGGCCGTGCAAGTAAGTCCAGCAACATCACTTCCAGCATCCGGCTCAGTAATGGCCAAGCAGATTCTCTTGTCACCTTTGAGAACTGGATTGATGACTTCTTGCTTTACTTCTTCTGAAGCAAAGTTTATGACAGGTGGCAATCCGATGAATGTGCCGCCCCAAAGGGCCATGCCGAAACCGACGCCGCCTACGCGTGCGAACTCGTCATTGAAAACGAAGTCGTGGAAGGCGTCCCAGTCTTCGGGCTAGTAAGAGTCAGAAAGATGTGATGTAGGCATTTTGACTGTGACATATCTTGATTCCTCCAGGCAGAGTAACGCCCTCCATGTACTTCAGAGGCAGCGGGTATAAAACTGCAGCATTGAATCCGGCTTCACATATCTTCTTGTACATATCAGGGGGCGGAGTTTTAGCCTCATCCCATTCCGTCATATAGGGAAGAAATTCTCGATTCACATAGTCTCTCATGAAGTTGCGGAGGGTGACGTGGGTTTGGTTATAGTACCCCTTTGGAGGGATGAAAGATGAATGGTACCAGGCGGGCTCTGCGAAGGCGACGAGCTCGCCAAAAGGCTCATCATTCAGTCCGCCAGTATCACTTGGAGCCATTGAACTGGTGTCGATTATTGATGGTCGATTAAGGGATGTATGCGGTTTTCGTCGATGCAACTGTATACAGGATGAGTCTCCCTAATAAAGGTGCAGCGTGGGGTCGTTGCGGGGGTCGGCCCGCGAAGCTGGTGCATGTGAAAGTCACGGCGGCTCCGAGGCCTGAGAGGAACCCTACGAGACCCCCAAATTCTACCAAACACGATTATAAAACCCGAATAAAATTATCCAGTATCACGAATAGAGTTATTCGAGTTAGTGGGATATTCTGGGCACAATCTGGATTGTTAATTCGTCTTGAAAGTAGAATTTTTTATACAATTTACCAACACTACACTGTTATACTATTCTACCTCATGACTGCACACTGCACAGACGTGACATTCATTGGTCCCATCTATCACAGGTCATCAATCTAGGTCCATTGATATTATTGAAACTTAAACAAGACCCTAATATTTCAGAAGTCCAACCTTACCTCAATTCCCACTGTCAACACACATATGCATACCATGACGCTTCCTCTCATCTCTCCTTTGTCCACTCAGTCAAAACAAGTTCGTCGTCTTCATCGTCTTCACCATTGTCTTCATCATCGTCATCATCATCGTCTTCATCATCATCGTCAACATGAAACTCTGGATCATCTTGGAAAGTGCGATTGGACGTGTATCGATTTGATGCTCCTGAAGTGCGCAAGGTCTTCTTTCCGGGCTGGTTTCTACCACGAACCTTCATTGCCATTGGGTCAGGGCGGGTTAGTAAAACCTGATAGTAGTCGTTTTGCTGTTGCTGTCAACAAAGTGCGGACTCACCAGAATAAGAGGAGATATCAAGCAAGAGTGTCGAGATTAAACAACCATCATGTTAACCTTTCAGCAACAGCGATCATGTGCCCAGTTTGGGTTGACACGATACAAGCCATAGCATCGGGAGAACAGATGGGAGAGGACCAGGGAGGTGTAGGATTCGATGCTTTCGCGTGAGACATCCAGGGAGATTGAGATGTTGATGGTGGTGGGTTGGTTCCCGGTTGGTGCTGAGGACTTGGTGAAATTTGCCAGCGCATCAGCGCATCAGCGCTTGTGCTCACATGTCACTCTCGAGAGGCGCAGGCCGAAGAACCGCCACCAAAGACCATTGATCCTCGAAGACCCTCGATCCATCGAAGACCCTCTATCATTGATCCTCAATCTCTTTTTTATTGATGTGGGATATCTTATTCTCCTGGAACGAATATCATTCCAGGTCAAATAAGGTATTCGTGTACCATGAATTGGAATTCCACTCTACTTGAATACTTTCACACTTTATTCGTGTTTTTCGTACAGTCGAATGACTTATTCGAGTGCTTTTGCTGAAAGTGGAATATGTTATTCCATATTTGTGCAATCACGAATCAGGTATTCGTGACAGTCGAATTCGGGGGGCTCGTAGGGGAAGAGAGATTCATAATTTGGGATAAAATAGGTGTAAATGCCGTGACATGGCAGTCCATTCCATGTTCTTGCCTTATTGGTCGTGCGGTTGTTAGGGGAGCTCACGGTTGCCAGCTGGGAGCGCCGGTCGTGCAGGAAATCAACATTGACCAAAACAACGTCCACGAGAAGCCAAAAGGTCCTGCCATCGCACATCTCGACAATTCAGCTCGACCATCGACGATATGCCCGGGAGACGGAATCGTCAATCAGCAATAGAATCAGATCTAATCACGTCTCTCAAACACACTCTCGCGTCAATATTCAACGACGCTCAGCGGACGACTGCGACACACAGAAAGCTCGTAAATGCGACAAGAGCGCTTCAAGATGCATGTGTGGAGCGCGAAGGAGAAGATGGAGAAGAAGCATTCACGTCGGAGTTTCTGAAGTGCCTGAATAAAGTGTTGCCGGTCAAGAAGAGCGAGCCCACCGCCGATCGCGTCGTCAAGTTTTGCGTCGCTTTTATTCAGCACATTCAAGAGACTGGGGTGGAGAGTCAGGATGAGAATGCTATGGATATGTCAGAGGTGGATATTGAGACCACAGGAATGCGGTTCGCCGACGCTGTCATGCGTCACCTTTTGAGGGGTCTAGAGGCTAAGGACAAGGTTGTGCGGTTACGGTGCTGTCAGGTCATCGCTCTCGCCATCAACTCGCTCAGCGCTATCGATGATGACGTTTTTGAGAGTCTGAGAACCGGATTGATGCGGAGAGCAAGAGACAAGGAATTTAGTGTCAGAGTGCAGGCTGTGGTGGCATTGAGCAGATTACAGGGCGAAGACGACGAGGAGGGCCGGGAAGTAGTGAAAGCTTTGAAGCTGCTGTTACAAACCGACCCAAGCGCCGAAGTACGAAGAGCGGTCTTGTTCAACATCGAGCAGAACAAGGGTACACTTCCATATATCCTCGAACGTGCACGCGATCAAGATCCCATCAACCGTCGCTGCGTGTACTCACGTTCTATGCGCGAACTGGGCGACTTCCGCTTGCTCAGAATCAAGGATCGTGAGCGTATCCTCAAGTGGGGTCTCAAGGACCGTGATTTGAACGTGCGAAAGGCTGCTGCGAAGATGTTCTCGTCGGAGTGGATTGAGCAAGCCAACAACAACCTGCTCGAACTTCTCGAGCGTTTGGACGTGGTCAACAGTCAAGTTGCGGAGGATGCCATGCAAGCTTTCTTCACGGCAAGGTCAGATGTCGTCGATGCCATCGAGTTCAATGACGATTTCTGGCTGAACTTGACAGCTGAATCGGCATTCCTCGCTCGTACCTTCAACGATTTCTGTCATTCCACGGAGGTCAGCTCTAAGATGGAGGATAAGATGCCCGAAGTGACGCGGCTAGCCTTCTACATTCAGCGTTATGTGAACGCATTGGGCGAAGCTGAGGAACTGCAAAGGCCAGAACTCGAATTCGTGGTCGAGCAGCTTCTCATAATTGCGCTTTCTGTCGATTTCGCCGATGAGGTGGGAAGACGAACAATGTACCGCTTGCTTCGTGACATCCTTGTCATCCCCGAGCTGCCGGAGGTAATCACGGCTAAGGTGATCCAGGTTGTCCGCAAGGTCACTGATCGCGAAGTCGACTTCAGTCAGACCATCATCGAGGTCATCTCTGATCTCCATGATACCGTTGCTGACAAGGAGGGCGACGGAGCGGGCGATGACTCTTTCCATTCTGCCCAATCCGACGTTGATGGTCAGTCACATCAACCCCAGCGGTTACGGTCAGTGCTCTCAGAAGAGGAAGAAGAGGCCAAGCTCATTCGCCAGTCAATGATCAATATGAAGTGTTTGCACATCGCTCAGTGTATGCTCGAGAATGTCGAAGGTCGTCTGCAAAACAACACCCATCTCGTCAACATTCTCAATGGTCTCATCGTTCCCTCAGTACGTAGCCGCGAAGCACCCATTCGTGAGAGCGGCTTGCACTGCCTTGGTCTATGCTCTCTCCTTGACGACGCTCTTGCGAAGGAGAACCTGGGCCTATTCGTGCACTGTTTCCAGAAGGGTCACGAAGCACTTCAGATCAAGGCTCTGTCCATCATCTGCGATATCATCATGTCGCATGGTCTGTCTGTCCTCGATGATATGGGAGTGGATGTCCTGAACGAGACACTCTTGACTGCATTGCAATTGTCCGAGTCACCTGATGTTCAAGCTGCTGCTGTCAAGGGCGTTGCAAAGCTTATGCTCTCCTCTATCGTCACGGATCCCAACATCCTCAAGATCCTGGTGGTGCTGTACTTCGACCCATCATCTTCCGAGAATCAGCGTCTTCGACAATGCTTGACCTACTTCTTGCCTGTATACTGTCACTCGCTTAGTGATAACCAGGTTCGTATGCAGCAGGTTGCCCTTTCGGCTCTTCACCACCTTTGCTCCGTCTACGACGATCTCGAGCAGGGTGAAAACATGGTCTCTCCAATGATGATCACTCAGCAGCTACTGGATTGGACGGACCCGACGAAGCTCGTGAAGGTTACTATGCAAGAGGGACAGGAGATTTCACCGGATGCCGATGTTCAAGCAAGCCTGGCAAGGGACGCCCTGTGCCAAATTCGTGAAGCTGATAAGGAGGAAAGGAAGGTGCTTTGCTCCATGCTTGGAAAGTTGTACATCAATGAGCGCACTGCTGCGCCGTTGTTACTCGAGCTTCAGGAACTTGCGTCCGACATTGTCGGGGAGAAGGTTGTCACGGACACGTTGGCCAAAAACGCATTGGTAAAGTTCAGTGCGGGCTTGGACAAGCTGGTGTCTACCATTCCTCAAGACAAACTTCAGTACGATATTCAGGCCGAGGAGTCCAGTGTGGAGACAGCCGGTGAGGAGGAAGAGGACCCGGCTGCCGAGGTGACTGAGCATTCAGTGCAAGACGAGACGGTGATCATGGAAGACGACGAAGAGGAGGAGCTCTAGAGCTTTGACATTTGGTGTTTCTGTTTGGGTCACTGGCTGTGGGCAATTTGGGATATGAGAGGAGTTTTGTCTAGGGACATTCAATGTAATGGTAATTCGCACGATCTCCCGCCAAGATGGCATCGGTGAAGACGCGTAGAAAGGACTGACCAGGATCTCTCGTAAAATTGGCAAAAATAAGAATCCCAGAGTTCTCTGTCGTGCCTGCCCTTGCACTGGTTTCTCTCCCTGCAACTCGGCAGCGTCCTGCTTGGCAATTCAGGTTGCCCGCGTCACAAATACTCCATCCTCGGGCACCAGGATCAAGAACGATTGAGGAAACGAACTGATACCCGTTTGTTCTGTCGATCCGTAATCTGACAGACTCTACCTCCATCTTCACCACATCCAGCATGAAACGATTCCCTACCGAAGATGCTATCTGCGTGATCCACATTGCTACGACCTGTGATGAGCATGGTGTCTGTGTTACTAAAGATTCTGCCGAGGTGATTGAGGTTGCTTGGCTCCTTTTGGATGCCAAGACGTTGGAGGAGCTTCACAGAGAGAGTGTGCTTGTACGACCGGTGAACACCCCGATCACCGAGTTCTGCAGTATGTTACCATTCTCCCCCAACAATTACGTTCAGTGCCTAACAATGGATTCCATTAACAGCTAGTCTTACTACTCTTACTTGGGAGCATGTTCGCAATGCCGGAAGCTTCCGTGACTTCGTTCACCGCTTCGACGCATTCGCTCAGGAATACCTCTTCTCTCAGAACCTTGACTTCAGTTTCGCAACTTTGGACGCATGGGATATGCGTGTCCAGATCCCTCGTGAGGCTCGTGACAAGGCTGTCGCTCTTCCTCCATACCTTCAGCACTCCCGTGTTTACGACTTGAGAACCGAATATACCCGCTGGCAGGCTCACCACCCAGAAGCTCTGCCCTTCGGACCCTCTTCCTTGCCAAACATTTGCGCTGCCTTGGAGGTCGAGATGGTCCGTGCTTCTCAACCACCAATGCACCACCCTCACCCCTTCTACCCTCACGCACTGGCGACCACCCCCCGTCGTGCCATGGAGGAATGCTTAACCCTTACCCGCGTCTTGCGTGCCCTCATCAAGAAGTCAGAGCCATCTGAGACCCACGTCGACGTGCTTACCCGTCCTTTGGATGCTCGTGCGGATGTGAAGGCTTTCTTGCAGGAGCGTTCAAATGTCTTGCACATGGCCGGTTTGGCCCACGACACGACCCAGTCTGAATTGGAGAGCTGGTTCACCCAGCACGGTGGCAGACCGATCGCTTTCTGGACTTTGCGTACTCCAGACCACCACAAGCCAACCGGCACTGGATTTGCCGTGTTCTCCTCGCACGAGGAGGCAGCTGAGAGTTTGGGTATGAACGGTCGTGCTCTTGGTGACCGTGCGATCGAGGTGTCGCCCAGCAGCAGCAGGGTTCTCGACAAGGCCGCAGAGATTCTCACTCCATTCCCACCCAGCAAGAACCGCCCCAGGCCTGGAGACTGGACTTGCCCGTCCTGCGGTTTCAGCAACTTCCAGCGTCGTACCGCCTGTTTCCGCTGTTCCTTCCCCGCCGTTACTGCCGCGCCCGCGGACCCTCTCCTTGGTTACGGCTTCGCTCCTCCTCCTCCTTCCATGCCTGGAATGCCTCCTAGCCAGGCTTTGGGCCATTTGGCTGGTCACCCTCTTGTCATGCGTGCTCCTCCGCCGAGCGGCAGTGTCCCTTTCCGCGCAGGCGACTGGAAGTGCGGCGCTGAAGGTTGCGGTTATCACAACTTTGCCAAGAACGTGACTTGCTTACGTTGTGGATCCAGCAGGGTGGGTGCTTCTATCATTGCTGACCCTGGTCTTGGACCTGCCGGTCTTATGATGCCTCCTCTTCCTGGACCTCATGATGGCTTGCACACTCCTTTCGGCGTTCCCCCTCCGTTTGCACAGCTTCAACAGCAGCATGCGCTTGCTGCCGCGCAGCACCTCGGCCCTGGTTTCCCTCACGGAAACCACGTCGGAGGCCCTGGAGGACTTCGAGGCCCGCCGCTGGGCGGTGCTGGCCTCCCCCCTCAGGCTCATTTGCACCACCACCAACAACAGCTGTTGAACGGCAATGCCTCTTTCCTTGCCGGTAACCTTGGAAGATTGACTTTGGATGAGCACGATGACCAGGCTGGGGGAGCTATGAACGGAAACATGAGCCGTCACACTCCCAGACCTCAGGCTGACGGAATGTAAGTTGAAGATTGATGGATATTTGAATTCAAAAATTGTTTTTAGTTAAGGGAGGCATGGGAAATTCTACGGATATGGTGCTTTCGGCAGGATATGTGCGGAGCATGATGCATTGTTGGTGTTGGAGGTAGATACGTGGTCCGGTCGGTGTCCTTCTCAAAGTGAACGAAGGAACCTATTTCGCTGTACTTGGCGATTAAAATTTGGTGACTAGATTGAACTCTTTTCTTGGTCTACTTGTAGATCAATCAACCATATATGATTACCTTTACTTTTGCCTCTTGTAGATCTTGCCCAAAAATGCATCCAGAACCTGACCCTTAAATCCTCGCGACTCGTCGACAGAGCTGATGTCCTTGCGCAACTTCTCGACGGTCTTCTCCTCATAAGCTTCGTAATCTCCCTTTACGTTAAGCTCGTCGAAGACAGCCTTGACGCGGGCCTCGCAAGCAGAGTCCTTGCGACCATAGTTCTCGTCCAAAACCTTACGCTGCTCAGGCGATGCCGTCTGCAAAGCCTTGTTGATCAACCAACCGCATTTGTTGTCCAGGATATCCGTTCCAATCTTTCCAGTAACAGCCGGGTCACCGTAGCAGTCAAGGAAGTCGTCCTGAACCTGAAAGTACTCTCCCAAGGGAATAAGGACATCGTGAGCCTGCTTCAGGTCCTTCTCGTCGGAGATACCTGCCATGTACATGGCAAGGGCGACAGGGAGGTAGAAGGAGTAGAAAGCAGTCTTGTAGATGACGATGAAGGAGTGCTTCTGCAGGGAGAACTTGGACAAGTCAACGACGTGCTCGTCGGCGGTGATCAAGTCGAGAAGCTGACCCAGCTCGGTCTGGAAAGTAACATCGTGGAAGAGCTCCAAGAGGTCGACGTAGTAAGATTCCTGTCTGAAGTGCTTCTTGAGGAGGAAGAAGATGGCAGACTCGAGCATGAAGGAGTCGTTGATGGCAATGTTACCAACTCCGGGAACAAGGTACCAACACGGCTGTCCACGCCGGGTCTTCGACTGGTCCATGATGTCATCGGCGACCAAGAAGAACGCCTGCAAGAGCTCAACACACCAGCCGAGCAAAGCGGCCCTCTTATAGGTCTCACGGTCGAGGGGCTTTCCGCCAGTCAAGATTTGGTAGGTATCGACGACGGAAAGACCGCGGTTGAGCTTACCGCCCATAGTGTTGTGCATCAAGTTCTGTATTTCGCGTTAACTACACGTTGCGAAACAGGTTGATCGTGGATTACCTTCTCATACCACTCAATGGCCTCGGAGGGCATGTTGATTGAGCGAAGGTGCGCCAACAACTCCTCGACAAGCTCGGGGAAAACATCCTCAAATTGCTGTAAAGAGCATCAGCGACGGCAGTTGAAACATCCTTGATCGTCCGCACCTTCTTCGCCTCCGCCTTTGATGCCATTCTTTGCGATATTCGAAGTTCAAGAGGTATCAGACCCGCGATTCCCGAGCATCTACCAACGGCCGTAGGTTAAAGTTACGCTAGCCGACTTCGGCAACAGAAACAAGGTAACGTAGAAAAACTCTGAGGGTACCGTTGGTACATTCTAGGTGATCATGATTAAAGATCTATATCGCCTTGACCGGAGAGAAAATCAATGAAACCTGATTTCGATCCATATCCGATTCTGACGCACTCCACTCTTGGGGACATGCGTGTCATATACAGACATAAAGGATAAAAATACTGACAAAATTGATAATGATGACCAAAACCCCAAAAAACTCCATTTGCGCACTCTTTTTGTAGACCTCCAAATCGTACATAAATATGAGGACTCTTTTGGTGAGCCTCTGTTTGTATAAGTGCCGACGCAGTGTCCGGTCTCTTTGTCTCGTCGTTCACGACCACACTCTTCACCTCCAAATCAGCAGCTTAATCCCATCCCTGATCCTTAACTCGTGCCCTGACACCCTTGTCCTTTCCTTCCAAACCACCCTAGACAAACCATCAGCAACATATCACACCTCGATGCTATGATAACCTACCTCAACAACCAACCGGTCGGTCTGGAACATCTGACTGATTGCAGCCTGCCTCTTCATCATCTTCAAGTCATTTTCCCCCTGCTGCAGCGCCTTATCTCTTGCCTCACCAAAGAGTTCACGATTTGCACGGAAGGCATCCTTTGTGCGGCGGAGGGCATAGGAGCGGAAGTTGTAGGCGGATAAGGAGGAGGCAGCACGGAGGAGCGCGCGGTAGAGGGGGACTGGTTGGACGAGCTTGGTCATTGTGAGTTGGAGATTCTTGGTGTAACAAAACAACCTTGGAGGGATGAAGTCGCCCCAGCTGTCCTCGTACCCGTGCCGCTCCCCTGCACCGACACCCGCCACACCGTAACGTAGACACGACGAATTGCCGTACGCGGAAAAGGCAACTGGTGCAGCCCATGAGACTTCCTCTGGCCTACGACGACGCTTCGACGTACACTGAAGATCTCCATGCCTTCGTAGAGGATCCTCTATTCAAGCTTTTATCTGGCGGCATTCACATCCTCGACTTCTTCATCTTAAATCTGTGGCAGTCTCTACCACCGGAATGGATCACATATTTTAAGGCGACGGACTGCAGCGCTGTCCTGAAAGATCTTATCGAGGGTGGAAATGGTGAGTCAATGTTCCTTTGATAATTCAATAGCCTGCTGACGCAGTGGTAGTGCCTACTCAACCGGATTCGCTCACGATTTTCTTGAACCGCGTTCGGGCATTGTCGATACCAAGAGATCATGAATCACGGGAAACAATCAAAATCCCAATCGGACTCGCAGTCGGCATGAAGCCTAAGAAGAAGCATGAGGTAGAATATCTCAGCGCCATTGTTGCTGAGCTTGCGGAGGGCATGAACATCAAGAATGTCATCGACCTCGGCGCTGGCCAGGGTTACCTGAGCAGAACGCTCGCCAACAACTACGGTCTAAACGTACTAGCGATCGACAGCAACGAGGATCAAACTGATGGAGGGAAATACTTCGATTCCCGCGCCAAGGTGAAGAATGGATCCGTGCAACACTTCTCGAGGAGAATCGAAGATAGTGACCTCTCTGCGGCGTTTGATGCCTGGCACCCAGAGTCAGCTACGAAAGACTGCATCGTCATTGGTTTACACGCATGTGGAAGTCTAACCGAGAATACTATTCGGATGCTGGTGGACAATGAGAATGTTCGAGCATGTTGTGTGGTTGGCTGTTGCTACAACCTCATTCAGACAAAAGTCGATGGACATGAGGATGGTTTCCCAATATCAAAGAAGTTAAGTGATCTGGGGGTGAATTTCAACCTCACAACTCGCATGACTGGGTACGTACTATGCTCCAAGTGCACGAGTCTGGAGCGTGGGACTAAACCGTACTGGGCCAGATGTCAAGCTCCTGCAACATGGACAGAGGAAACCAGTTCGAACTTTTACCGCCGCCATTTCTTCCGTGCGCTTTTTCAGAAGGTACTATCCCTATACCGGTTGTTATCCCTGAATAGGCATTGACATGGCATAGCTTATTGTCGACAAGTGTCTAGCAGAAGCAGGGAAACCTTTGCTCATCGGATCGCTTCGAAAACATTGTTATGTCGATTTCACTGCATACGTTCAAGCAGCTCTCAACAAATTGAAGATGCCGCCGCAGTGTATCACGGATGATGAGGCAAAGCAATATTTTGAGGAGTACAAGGACAAGGAGGATCAAATCAAGATCGTATGGACGTGAGTAGCCCAAAGTCATTCATCAACTATTTTTTGCTAACCTGGTCTACGTAGGCTCTCGGCTGTGCTTGCGCCAGTAATTGAGAGCGTCATCGTCATGGACAGATATTGGTTTCTGAAAGAGAACAATCTGAGTACAGCCGACATCGTTCCCGGCTTTGATTATAACCTCTCCCCGAGAAACCTGATTGTTGTCGGTGCAAAATAAACTAGGTGTTAGACAATATAATAGAATTGATGAATATGTCGCCGAATAGATGTAAACCGGAACGCCTGTTCCCATAACCTGGTCTCAATCACTGGTATCCGAAACGTCCATACTTTCCTCCATATCAGCAGCTTCAGAATCGTAGCCTTCACTAGTAGGTGGTGCAAACTAGCCTGCAGAGTTTGCACTTTGATTCATATAGGCCAAGGCACATGAGCTCTCAGGGTGATTGCCTTCACCACCAAAAGAGACGTCGCACGCCGCAAAACATCACTGCTATAGGGTCTGTAATAACGTTCAAAGGTTGGTATTATAAGTTAGCAAAATGCAATAACCAGTACGCCGTCCCGTTCCAATGCCTTGCCAGTGCATGATGTATGTAAAAAATCCCAAAAACGCCCCGTTCCAAGCAAAATCAATGTGCAATGTTCGTTGTTCATGAGGTCTTAGGCCTCACCTCGTCGCCCGCCTGTGCTCCTTGCCCTCCCTCCTCAGATGAGAGGGGATGGGAAAGAAAGATCTTCTCCTCGTACTCTTTCGCCTTCCTCGTCAGCCAAATACCTAACCCTGCGAAGGGCACTGGGACTGCCGAGACTGCTAAAGGAACTGCATATTCCATCCCAGACTTTTGCAAGGTCAGGTTGTCGCGATTCGCCGGAACTACAGAACTGGTTAGAGTCAGCAATGGCGGGTCTTGCGCAAGTTCACAAGTAACAAACCTTAATGGTTTGCGCGAACCATCTTCGTAAGCAGTTTGTGCGTCAGAAACTGATTTGGGCCTTTCGCCTGACTGTTTGAGAGCAGACTCCTGATTTGTTGTTGATGTTCTCGGTGTCTCCTCGGCTACGGGCGAGCGGCGAGTAGGTCGTTCGGGAGACACAAATGGCGACAGGGAGTCGATAGCAAGATTCGAGTCGTCCGACAGCGCATCAAAGCGAGTCTCCTGACCAGCTTCGCCGATTGTTGCCGAACGGACATCTTCGAAAATGGTAAGAGCCATTCTTCGTGCGGTTCTCAACACATCCGGCTGAAGTGTGTTCAACTGAGGTATTAAGGGTGAAGTAGCGGCAGGACGTTGGTTGACGTCCGATGAAAAATGTTCCTCTTTGACTCGTTGGATCTGCTCCCTGGCCCACTGGTTCTGCAATCGCTTCAACTTCTGCTCCTCCCGCTGCAGCTCTTCCTTCAACTCCAACACCCGACGTTCTTGTGCTGCGAGCAACAGCAGTGTATCTGCTGGTTCATCTTCTTCCACCTCAATTTCAAGGCCTGCAGGCTGCTCCACCGGTGAAGGGAAAGCACCGTATGTAAACACGGGTGATTGTGCGGGACTGGGTGTAGGCGGTGGTCCAACTCGTCCCGGGAGTTGTAACGACAGACGCCGTCTTCGATGACTAGGCCGTGCCCGTGGATTAGGATTCTGATGCTCATGTTGTCTCTGCTGAACAAGCATCAATGGTCGTGTCCATGTGGCCGTTCGGTTCGATTCTGGTCGTTGAGCTGCAGCAGTCATAGCCTTTTCTCGGGCCCTCTCATAAGCGGGCGTCCTAGCTTCGCTCGCCATGTCGAGACCATGTATTACAATGGAGTTTGTAGGGGCTTCAACTGGTCCTCGGCGATATAGGTTCGGGGGTCTTTGTTCTCGGGTTTGTTTTGATGTGGTCTACGGCTGAGGCTTCCTCGGGAATACCGGTATGCGCGCCCAAGGACTGCAACAGATCCTCGCAAGCAGATACGCCGTTTATGAATGAATTACGATGGGAATTGCTTTGACAAGTCATATTCGGCTTTCGAAATTCTACGATTGCAATATCATCATAGGAGGCCTTGGTTCTTCAGATCGTTGTAGACCTTCTCCGACATGACATTTCCTTCGTCGTCCTCCATCTCGACAGCAGCATCCTTCTTCATATCCACGTCGCGTCTTTCGGTCTTCAGCTTGGCCCACACTATCAGGTTCAAGTTAGCATACGTATTGCGGGCAGTGAAAGACGCGGTGACTTACAAGCAGTGGCATCGGCGATGCTCGTAATCTCCTTGAAGAGATGCGACGCCGGAATTCCCAGACATCGGAGACCATACACATGGCGACCCTCCATAAAGTGACGCTCATACTCTTTTCTTCCTCGGTATACATGCCCTCCACAAATTTCACATGAATATTCTACGCCAAGTCCATGAAGCTTGTAAAGCCAGTACGGGATAGGTTTACCATCCCAGCCCAGTGGCAACTTCAGAGGGTTGTAGATACGTTCCTCGTCATCTGAATCGTCATCCTTGTCTTCCGCTCCTTCCACGGCTCCTTCGTCTACTGCATCGAGCTCTGCTCGTCGTTCGGTATCCGTCAGGGACTGTTTTCTTTCCACATTGGTTTTCGTGTCCTGTCTTTGCTTCATTAAAATCTCTGAGAGTTTCGCCACGATGTACTCTCTTTCCGCAATGGCACGATGTTTCGTGTCGCGGGGCTTGCTGGGAGTCTTCGCAGCCTCTCCCGCGACGTTTCCGTCGCCTCTTGCCCCAGCCGCCTTCTTGTGCTTCTTGCTGTTCAGATGTGCGTCGTACACCGTCTGCTTAGAATAGTACTTTTCGCAAGCGTCACAATAAATGCCTTCACTTGTAGCCGCTGCTGGCGCCGTTGGATCATCTTTCCATGCTGGTAATGTTCCTTCCTCCCATTCACGGGCAAAGTCGTCCGATATCTTTGCAAGTACTTTCTCGTGATTCTCGAGAGGTTTTACTCGCTTGAAGAATGATGCGAGGTAATCCTTCAATGCGCCGACGTATTTGAAGTAGGAATCCGTCTTGTTTTGTCGCGGTACAATCGTGAAGTCGTCGTAGATGTCGAGGTAGCGAAGGTATGGCGTAGGTTTTATTCCTTTCAAATTGACGTACTCCTCGTGAAGTGTGTACAAGTCGAAGAAGCGGCCGTTTCCTTCCTCTCCCGAGAATAGCCTGTCCACCTCCGACTCCTCAAACTCATCTCGCGAACGCTTCCTCAGCTGCTGCTCGAGATCTTCGGCAGTCTCATTCGGGTATTTCCGATGGAAGTCTTTGACATCCTTTAATTGCTTGTAGAACTCTGCGAATGGGTCTGGACCCGACAGTGCTTCGACCTCTTTGGCGTGTGCGCCGTCCGCGTCTGCGTAGGCATCAATAAGGGATTGACTTGACTGCTTTATTCTGCCCAGCAGGTCGGCAACCTGGTGTTCGTTTGCTAGCCGACCACGCACAGTCCGAGGGTTCTCGGCGAGCCTGTCAACAATTGCCTGCTCGAAGCGCTCGATACTCTCATGTGCTCCCCGTGTACGCTCCAGTAGGGTTTCCATTATCTGTGAAGGCGTGAAATGCGATGCGATACTCCGGACGTGATGGAGATCAATCCTCCAATGTCAACGTTACCAGTGCCTTCGACTGCTGCTGCCTACGCGTGCAGCCCCTGCTGTGAGGGACGGGCCCCCTCAGAAACAGTTCGAAAAACACAAGGAACACAAAGCAATGTGCAAAAAGTCCCGATCTAATTCCGTCTCTTCGGCATTGGACATGGCATCACGATCTTCACCCCTCCAACCAGCCCCCCCGCGACCGCCCAGCCATGCAATCGCGCACGGACCAGCCTCCAAAAAGCACTGGTATGGCCAAACAAGGAAATTCGCGTACGAACAACCTCCCCGAAATTAGAGATCCTTACCAGTTACCAGCCGACCTTTCTCCCATTACGATCGGCCATCATGGTGGCAAATTCCAGTATAACCTTCTGCTCTGCCGCATTTCCGTCGACTTCTCCACAACCAGTCACTCATTCGTTCAGCTTTTGCCCTTCGTCGTTCTTTTCAACAGGCAATACCACCGCCATTCACACTCATTCTACCATTCAGTTCTATCAACAGCCGGTCTGATTCTTCATTTTTCAGCTTCACATTACAACTCCTCACCTTTACACACAACTAGCTGAACAATGTCGACCATCTCAGCTCTCGCAACTCACTCTCAGCGCTTCCAAGGCAGCGCAAAGCTTGGCCGGTCCAACAGTCGCCTCATCCGCTCACACACAATGGCCGCCGAAAAACGAGTCACATTCACCGAATCCAACACCGTTACCACCAAAACCCCCGTCCGCTCTACCAGAAGTTTAGCTCGCCGCGGATCAGTCCGTACAGCGGGCTTCAACCGCCCACCCAAGACTGGACAAGTCAAGCGCGCTGGAGCGATTAGACGTGGACACCGAAGAGCGTTGTCGAACCACAAGGATGCGCGTGATCTTTTCGATTTCTGCGATATTCCGGAGGAGGAGGAGGAGAAGGGGGGTGCTTTGCGGAATGTCCTCGATACACTCGCTGATGAGAGGGGTGTTATGTCTACTGAAGTGAAGGTGCCCGACGCCCTCATGTTCATGACTTGTCTCTCTGCGAACAAGGATGGTTCGCAGGTCGCTGTCGGTAGTGGATCCAAGTCCCAAAACCTGTTCATTTACGCACCTATGGCGAGTTCGGGTCCTAATCCTCCTACCATGGTTCACAAGCAAACGCTGACTATGCCCTCGCCTGTGTACGCATTGGACTGGGCTCCAAGTGCTGTCCCCCGAGGAGAAGGAATGGAGCATCCCCTCCTCGTTGGAAGCAAGGACGGCATGGTTCACCTCGTCGGTGTGAGAGCCGGAGAATCTGGGCGTATCATTCGCCGCTTTAACCACAAAGCTCATGTAGAGATCCCTGCTTCGGCATCATCACGGATCACGTCGCTCGGGTTTTTGCCGACCGATAACCAGACGTTTCTCAGTCTTTATCACTCCCACATGTTCCTGTGGGATATCAAGCAATCCAGCCAGTCCATCGCCTACGGTCGCTTGTCTACCAACGCGCTCACTTGCGCAGCGGGTTCTCCTCTTACACCAGGACTTATCGCTGTCGGTGGTACTTCTGTCGGCCAACGCGGTATCAAACTCATTGACACCCGCGCGGACTGGAGGCACGCAACTGGGCTTTCCTCCGCCCATGACGGACCTGTGCGTAGCGTTTCCTGGTCGCCGTTTGTGGGCAGCTGGCTTGCTACTGGTGGTGATGATGGTGTCGTTCGTGTTTGGGATATCAGAAATTTGAAAGAGACAGAGCCTGTTACCTGCCTGGCAGGACAGTCCAGCGGCGTTGAGAAGGCACGAAAGAACCATAGCCTTTCACGACTTTCGACTAACAGTCTCTCTAGATTTCTTGGTCGATGAAAACTCGTACCGCCTTGACAACCGCCTCCGCAGATCGCATCGTGCGTACCTGGGACTTCTCCGAATCCCTCTGCTCATCCACCTCGAGAACGCAACAGCCATCAGCGTTTGAGCAGTCCGAGGCGTATGTGTGGCTTCCAGAACATGCTCGTCGCGCAGCATTGAAACGGAAGGCGTTGTTTTATGATTTGCATGGGCTTGAGCAGCCTGGGGATGGAAACCTCGATGGGGCACATCAGAGGGTGTCGCAGGAGTGTAAGAGTGCTATCGCCGGATGTAAGTTTGACGAGCCCGAGAACGTCTTGGCTAAGCTAATGCGCTATACAGTAACATCGCTCTATCACAGCAGCGAAGGCGAGGCATATTTGAGCTTGGATACTATGGGGACATTGGCCTACAATGTCATGAACTAATCATGAGTCTCTGCTTTTTTAGGCCATTATTATCGGTTAGCGGGCGTTCTTGGGATTTGCAATTGCTTTGATTATCAATACATCTATCATTTTCAGAAATGTTCAGGACTTCCACGGTATACTCTCAGTTGCAATATACTGCTGTGTGCAAAATTCTTGACGCGGCGCATTTTACCGCCTATCTGCGCGGGGATAGTTTCATGAACCCCCCCATCTTCATAGACAAGGCTTGGGAGGGCGATTTTAGGGTAGACGTCGATAGATCAAACTCTTAGGAATTGATAGATGTCCTCGAAACGCGTGTAGTACCGGTTCTCATAGAGTTGCGACATTATGAAGGATTTCCGCCTGGGTGCATGATGTTGCATGATTATGCATGAAAACATCGAAAACATTCTCTGGACCCACAAACCTCAAAAACTGTTAGAATCAAAGAAACCACACGCAGAACATGTTCATCCAAGCTCCCTCTATCTCATGTGACCCAGAGCTGCATCCGTAGTGCCTTCCAGGGTCCGTTTCTTTCTTTTTCACTGAAAACACTTTTTCAGCATGAAGTGACTGAGGGAGGTCTTGTGGCCCAAAACCGGTGGCACGACGTGATTGCTAAGGATAGGTATGATCAGTTTGAACCCTTACTCGACCTCCGAGGCCTTTATCTATGTTGTTTTATGGGTTTTTGTCATATGGAGTTTGCGATTCGCGCGCACATGGGAAAATTACGTTAGGAATTTTGCACACAGCAGTAGTTTATGCATGCGCCCCTGCGCACGCCCTGTAATCCAAATCGCAAAAGAGTGACCATTTCATCCACCATGTCATCTATTCAGAGGCCCAGGCATGCGGGGGGGTGCGCACACGCGTTTTTCACCCTCCCTTCAATCCCATTCCGCCGTCCTGCTCCCGAGGATGCCCCTGAGCCTGAGCTACCCCTGCATCGAAGGTCTCGTACCCTCCAAGAGGACCTCTCTCCTCCCGCCGTTCTGCGTGCCTATCAAGAACAATTCAAGGTACTTACGGGCACCGCGAATTAACCCACAACGAGATTGAAGCTGATTCCAGTTAGATTCTGTGGTGAGATTCACCTCCCCCTCATTCGAACGGGTTGGCCCAAGCTTCATATCATAGGTCCAGGTGAATAATATAGCGTCATCTTCACTAAGACGCAAGGCTTGGAACCCTAACTCCCTCAACTGAACTCGAGCCAAATCCCAGACCTGGGCGATCTCGAAAGGGTTTTGATCATTCCACACCCCTAAATCTTCAAACCACACCCCCGCGCGCCGAAAATTGAGGAGATCAGAGCATAACAACCCCACAAAACAGCATTAAACTCAGCTGTAGGAGACAGAAATGGATCCTCCACCTGATGCCTCTTTCCCTACCCTGGAAGAGCTCAAGAATTATGCCCAGGCCTGGGCCAAGCCCCGTGGCTATGCCATTTCAACTGAGCGATCCAAACCCGGCAAAGTATGGCTAAAATGTACCCGTGGCGGCGAGTATAGAAATCGCCATAATCTTGACCGCACTTCCCGTCAGCGCAAATCAAACCACAAGGCCCAGGGCTGCCCTTTCAAGCTTGTTGGCAAGCTCTCTGGGATAACAGGAGATTGGGAGTTATCGACAAAGAACGGGGAGCACAACCATGAGCCCGTAATCGATCCCACGGCACTCCCCCAGCACAGGAAACTCACAGCCACCCAGATCAAAGACATTGAGAGGATGACGAAGGCAGGTGCGCTGCCTAGGACTATTGCCGTGGCCCTACGCGAGGACCCGGAGGGCAACCCAGACTTTTTGCGCCGCAACATCTACAACGCCAAGCGCGACCTTCGCGTCAAGAATCTTGCCGGGCGTACACCCATTGTTGCCTTGTTGGACAAACTCGAAGAAGAAGGCCTGCCTTTCCGGAAGAGGGTGGACAACGAAAATCGCATTACCAGCCTAATCTTCACCCACCCACAATCTGTCAGTTTCACGAAACGCTTTCGAAACGTCTTCGTCATGGATTGCACCTACAAAACCAACAAGTTTGAGATGCCCTTATGCATGCAAATGCTAAGGTATTCCCCACCGCCGCCAAATTGTTATGTCGTTGGCACATTGAGAAGAATGTGGTGACGAACTGCAAAAGTGCATTCCGCACTAAGGAGGAATGGGATGGTTTCTTCAATACCATGCAGGAGCTCATGAAAACCTTGACGGAGGAGAAGTTCGAGGAGAATCTCGCTGATTTGATGCGTGATTACGAGAGGTATGAGACTGTTACTTCATACGTCGAGACCCTTCTCCCCTACAAGACTTACTTTGTCTCCGCCTGGGTTGACCGTGTCACTCACCTCGGATCGTCAGTCTCTTCCCGTGCTGAAGGTGCTCACAAGTGTCTCAAAGGTCACATTGGAGTCAGCACAGGCAATCTCTTGACCGTCGTGGATCATTCCCGGGCATTCATGGAGGAACAACACAAGGAGATAATAGGGAAGATAGCCAACGAGAAGGTGAATGTTCCACCGACTTTGGGCGCTTTCTTCGCCGATATCAAGTACAAGGTTTCGGGCTTCGCATTGGGGTTGATTGAGGAGCAGTACATTCTCGCACGTCGTTCGCTCGCCACCAATTTCACCCTTGCAACCTGCCGTGGTTACCTGAAGAGGGTTTTTGGTTTACCCTGTGCGCATGCAATCACTGAAGCATTGGCCGACGACCGGGTCTTGACAATGCACGACATACACAAGCACTGGCATCTTGTCCTCGACGAGAACTACATTGAGGCACCCACATTGGACACAACTCAGGCTGGTGGAAACCTTCCCATGGGTGCTCCGGGGCATCAAAGGTTTTACGGGCCTCCTCCGGGCCCGCCTAGCAATTATTTTGGTCCATATGGACCTTGATGGAAGCGTGGGAGCGTCAGGAATTTATTCGTGTACATATTGCTACTGTAAATAATTTTATTCATCTTGTTTCTGCTCTGATCTCCTCAATTTTCGGCGCGCGGGGTGTGGTATGAAGAAACGGGGGTGTGGAATGATCAGGACCCATCTCGAAATCAATAACCGACGCCGGATTCAACTTCGCCTGGGTTCTTACAGCAACCTTGGTCTGCGGGATTGGCGATAGGTCGACTGGTGGAGTTGCTGGTCGTCAAACAAATCAAGTAAGTTTGTTTTATCATCCTATGTCGAAGAAACGCGTAATTTAACGCGTCTGTTAGGTGTACCTCCCTCGTCGCAGCAGGGCCGCAGAACCATCAATGCGCAAACGGTAGCCCAGCTCCCCACGGATGGACACCGCAACTCATCGAGAGATGATTACGAGGTTAAAAGACATGTACTTTTGCCTTCAGTGCGATCGGCAGTGCTTTGTGATCAATGGGATGCATCTGAGATTGATGGAGGAGGACATTGCGGCTTGGGCAGCAGGTATGGTAGGATAGACACCCATTGCAACCCTCCACAACCCTCCCAGAGGTTCGCCCTCGACAAATACTTCAATACAGACAATCCCAGCGCGGAAACGCCCCGCACAAACAACTCCAGCCCTTCGCCGTTTACCTTTATGCCCCAAGCTCCTGGGCTCCCTTTCCCTTACCCAATTCTCCCACCCATGTGGCCGATGGCACCTATGATGCAGCACACTGTTCAGCGTCAGCCGTCTCCAGGAGACCCGCGTTCAAGTACACCAATCGACGAAGATGCTGAAGGGTCCTTGCTCAGGGATTTCTTGGAGTACGTCAAGGCAAGCGCGCGCCTTCTGTGTTGAGGAACACTTTGCCAAGCTCACTGAAGCTGACTATGACGTCAAAATGCTCAAACATCTGTCATGGGAAGGCGCCAAATTCATGGGAATCACTCGAGGGAACTACGACCGCTTGCTGCACTACCGCAGGAAGTGGAAGCCCAGCAACGAGTAGGATAATAGAGTCGACCTCGGTGATCAAGATGGTACCACTCTCAGCTCTGGGAGATGTAAATTCATATAGTTATTTGTTTTCTCTTCAATCATCGGCCTCGAAGTTCTCCGTATGCAAGACCATGCAAGCTAATGCAGCCTTAAATCCCTGAATTCGGGGATCCCACGCTTTTCATGAGCTTATAACCCCCGCAAAAATGGTTGCAACGAAGTCGAAAAGGTCTTGTCTGAAAGCGCAAAACGCACTCTTTCAACCATTAGGATGTCAGCTCTCACATCCCTTTTTCCAGCGTGTGGCGTCAGTTGTGGCGCAGTTATGCACCCCACATCCCACAGCTCCCTTTTCGTGGTCATTCAGCGTGCAAGAACAACGGCCAGGAATTCAAGGGTAAGATTGTATTGTGAGCTGAAACTTAAGCTATCGATAGATAAGACCTAAAAAAAGCTGTGTGTGACTTCTGCGGAGATCCCAGCATGCTGGAACATGGACCTTGCTATCTCAGGCGTAATCGAGGACTTCGCGGTTTCCCAGTAAAAGTAGTAGGGATTCGTAATGATCTCAGTCGAATCCTTGCCATGTTTGCGCATATACTGCTTCATTATACCGAAGCATTCCTTAATGGGGTTCAGATCTGGCGAATACGGCGGTAAATAGATGCATTTTCGACCATGGTACGAGAGGATTTCTGCAATTCTGGGATCATGGTGAAAGCGCACATTGTCCATTACAATCACAGATCGAGGCCCTGGGAAGGGTGTTGTATTCGGGATGACCTCTTTCTCGATGAAGTCGTAAAATAGGTCCGCATTGTAAGCACCTTGGTAGATGTGCAGGGCCACGAATCCATCGACTGTAAGACCTGGGAGGATGGACCATCCGGGTGTACGTTTGAGGACTCTCGATACCCTGGCTTTTCTGCCCTTGGGAGCAAATCCATGGGTGCGCCGAGCGTTGGGTTCATTGACACCGGACTCGTCGAGATACATCAACTGCTCCGCAGAATAGTGTGACATGAGCATAGTATGATGCGCACGTAGTTCTTCGTTGCGCTGGGCGGCTGTTTCTTTCAACTAGTAGGCTGTCAGCCTCCAGTACATCCATGGATGGAGTATCAGCGTGCTGACCTTATGGTAGGTGTACTTGGTAAGTAACACGTCCAGTGCATCGACGTGCTCAAGAGCCGCACACGCGCCCGTCGCGTCTTCCTAAGTCAAAGAGTCCTTTAGGAGTTCAACACCACCTCAACCATGATATTTTACCCTCCATGATCCTGTTCGCTTCAGTCTGCAGTTTGCTTGATACTCTTGAGAAGCTAGAAACAAAGAAATGTTCGCCAAGGGACAAGCGACAATGGATGCAGAACTGTATCTCAAGTTTCTTTACACACCATGAGACGGACCTGTTCCATCCCGACGAAGACAAAACTTCCCTGACTGTTGCACTATTATCCTCCATATTTCCAGAACACCGACCGGATCGGGTGTACGGGTTCCAGGAGCGCATGCTCGCTGGAATCTTAGCAGAAGCCTTAGGACTACAGGGACAACGCAAGGACAACCTTAAAGCTTGGCGTCTTGGGCATCAGGGTGACCTGGGCCTCGCTCTGGCTGCCGTTTCATCAGAAATTGTACGTCTGCTATTCTTGTCACTACGCCCTACTGACGCGCATTTCAGAATTGCGGTGAATCGCATGGTCAACTTGATATCTTGGAGGTTGACAGGTTGTTCAGCAAACTTGCAGCTCGAAGCCGTTTCTCTGAGCCCAGCAGTGACGGCCAACGCTCCCCGACGAGTGGCACCAGCCGCCCTGCGGACCTGATACGTCCCATACTGGCCCGCATGGATGCATCCCAGGCCAAATGGCTGGTCCGGCTGCTCCTGAAGAACATGCTACCTCTGAAACTTCATATGCAGTGGGTAATGAAGCAGTTGCACTTCCTTTTACCTGAAGCGTACCATGTACAACATGACCTGCGCACTGCGTCCGTGTTTATACAGAAGCTGGAGATACGCAGGGTTCCACGGGCGGTCGAAGATTGGGAAATTGCAAGGCTGTATCGGTCGGAAGTGAGACATTTCATCATTCCGCAGATCAATATCCCCATTGCAATACCTGAAACGGCCAAAGCCCGGGGCTCGCGGCACGCTGTACAGCTCCTCACCGGGAAGCGATTCTGGTGTGAAACCAAGTATGATGGCGAAAGGATGCAAGTTCATGTCAGCCGAAGCAAGAGGAGGGGCGAATTGACCTTCCAGATCTTCAGCAAGTCTGGCCGGAACTCGACCGCTGATCGGTCGGGCGTTCATGCCGCTCTGCGACGAGCTTTGAGGATGGATTCAGGGCATGGCCGGCCATATGAGACGAGTGTCGTGGTTGAAGCAGAACTCTGCGTCTGGAATGAGAAAACAAGGACGATTCAGGAGTTTGACAAGGTTCGCAACTTCATGACGAGGGCAGGAAGGGAAATTGGTGTTTACGAAGACGTCGATCGTGAGAACGAACATTTGATCATGGTTTTCTTTGACTGCCTATGCCTGGACCATGTTTCGTTACTCGGAGATGCCTATGAACAGCGAAGGCGCGTACTGGATGATGTAGTGCAGGTCGAAGCCGGATGGTCCATGTTGGCGGAACGAGTGGAAATTGATCTCCGGGAAGACTTCGATACTGGGCTGAAACGCTTGCGACAAGAGTACGCTGCCGCCATTGAGAAACGACAGGAAGGCTTCATCCTCAAACCAGCGGGTTCGACGCGCTATTGGTCAAAGAACAATGGCTGGATCAAGCTGAAGAAGGACTTCATTGAAGGTTTAGGAGACACTGCAGATCTCACTATCGTTGGAGGTTGCTTCGATCCGAAAAGAGCAAAGGAAAGGAAAGTCAATTCCACCAAAATGTGCACGTCATTCCTCGTCGGTGCTCTAACCAACAAGATAGATGTAGAGAAAGGTGCCAAGCCATGCTTCCAGGTTCTTTGTAGCCTGTCGTACGACATACCAATGCCCTTGCTTGCCTCTCTTAACTCGCATTTTGAGCAACATCAAGAGAGGTTCACGAGCGTGACCACTTCGTTCTGTCAACTGATCATTCCCACGGATCTCCCGAAACCGGACATCGTGTATAAGGAGCCCCTCGTGGTTGCAATCAAGGGTGGAAGTTTCGTCAAGCCCTTTTCACACAACCTATATGTCCCCAGATGGCCAAGGTTGCAACAAATTCATTATGAAAGGGAGTTCACCGAAGCCTTGTCTGTGAATGAGTTACAAGAACTCGCAATTGAGGCTCTTGCACCAGCACCAGAATGGGAAGCGCAAGTGTGGGAAGATGCTCTGGAGATGAGAGATGAGATTCACGGAGCTGCAAACACCGTTTTGCCTCCGCGCGGTTCTGCCCTCCTCCGTGACATTCGAGAAGCCAAAGCAGTAGCCGCATCAAAAGCTGCAAATGCTTTAAACCTTGACGATCTGCTGGAGGTACGCACAGCCCCGGAGGTACTACTTGAGAAGAGACCGTTGAGACCCCTGGAGCGGAACGTTGCCCGTCGACCTGTCAAACGGCGGAAAACAAATGAATTGAATACAAGCGAACCGATGACCTACTTTGCCACACCTCTGAAAACCCCAGCGAAAGCCAGGGTACATCCAAATCTTGAGGAATCCTGGCTACACATTGCACAAACAAACCCTGCTTGTACGGTACAACTAGTTCGGGCGGCGAGTCTGTCTCTAACCAACATTTTGTGGAGCCTGGACGCCCTGATGGAAAGCTTTCAAGGGGCAGAGCTACGTGATGCTGTGCTGCTAGTTGACTCACGAAGTCGGAACGTGAAGGAGATACTGGGCCATGTGCAGAGATTGTTGAAGGACTGGAGAACACAAATCCACATATACGATTTTCGTCTTCTTCTCGACCGTGCGAACCCGACGGCCTTTGATGATCATCATGTATTTAGCAGTAATAACGGGTAAAAGGTGCGCGAAGCACACAACGGAATAAAACAATTTGTATCAGTTCTCCATAGCTCCTATACCTCTGCAACAATCTCAGCGGCTTGAGACAGGGACGCCACCATACGCTCACATTCCTTGCGCCTATTGACGGTGTACTCGCTTTCTTTCAATAAGTCGTCCAGGATGTCACTCTTATAGAGGTTTTCGAGCAATTCTCTTTGCATGTCATCCTTCGAATGCCTAAAGTCACGTTAGCCTGCACACTCAACATAGAAAGACGCAACACTTACTGGACGAGCTTAAGCATGATAGCTTTGGGTACCATGTCAATCATCGTCCTTCGGACAATGTTGAAGTAGGAGGAAATCAACAGCTTGATGACCTCAGTCTCCATGGCTTCACGTTCAGACAAAGTACCCGACGCTTTCAAGACAGGCGGAGGAGCCTCCATAGCTGCCATCTTCTTCTTGTTTTTCGATGCGAAGAAACTGCCGAAAAATCCGGAACCGGCAGCTTCTCCGTCCAGAGACTGGGAGCTGGTGGGTGTCTGGACACCTGCTGGTAGAGGTTTTCCGGTCTTGGGGTCGACCTGCACGGGCTTTTGGCCATTCATGCGGTCGTTGACAATGGCCATTGCCCTGTGACCATTGAGAAAGTCGGGGTGGCCGGTGTTGATGTAGGTTGCCTCTGCTGCAACAAGATCTTGAACCAACTTGTTCGTTGGAGTCGTAGACTTCTTCAAAAATGAAATGATAACCTGGTGGAACTTCTCCTTCAAAGCGGGATAGCGCTTGAAGTGCGGCTTCTGCAGAACCTGAGAGAGAATTCGAGCCAACTCATCGTAAATGAGATTCACACATTTCAAAGATGGTTCTTCGAGACGCTTGATCTGTTGCTTGACGATCACTTCAAATGCGGTGGTACCCACGAACAGAGCAGGCGAAGAACCGGAAGAATTGTACAAGATTGTTCTGATATCAACGTCCTTCACCTGATCAAAAGGATCAACAGCCTTCACGCCATTGGAATAGAGCTCGTGGAAGACGAAGCTGATACGCGCACCGCCGGACAGTTCAACACTGGACAGATCCTGACTGTTACCGTCCAAAACAGTACGGAACTCGTTGCAGAACTCGGTGATGCAGTTTAACACCATGTTGGAGCTGTTACCGAGCACAGAATCACCAAGGCTGGCAAGTTCAGCCTGGTACTTGACAAGCGCGGCCTGAATCTTTGCCTTGATTTCGGGGAGTGTGTTGCGAATGTGGTGCATCAAGATCATGTTCAACTTTCTGGCCAAGAAAGGCGTACCGCAGTATTGTGCCTTTGATCGATAAGACGAGTGGTTCTCGAAGAACTCACGTTCATACTCTAGGGCAGCAGAAATGGCCTTGCCTCGCTCGATATCCCTTTGTCCACGGTTCACGACAGGGACGTATCCCAAGCGCAATGGAATGACTCGTCCGGCAAGAATATCGACAACATCCGTGCCTTGATCCATAAGGTCGATTTTTGTCAAAACACCGATGGTGCGGGTACCTTCGGGATCCACCTCTCGTGCCAATTTGAGTCCATCAGAGTTTGCCAAGTCGGTGTTACCGGCAGTGACCGCAAGAATGATGGCATTGGGCTTCGTAATGTACTTGAGAACCATATCTCTAATTTGCTTTTCGATGTCCTTCGGTTGGTCGCCGACAGGTACTTTTGTCAAACCGGGCAAGTCGACCAGTGTCAGCGTGAGGACGTTTGGAGAGTAAATGCGCAGGTTGATGGGCACGGGTGAGATACCAGCATTCTTTCCAGTCTTGGCGTCTGTCTCCCGAACAATCTCGTCCCTGATTTTGTTGAAATCGTAGAACTTCTTGTCAGGTGCGTGAAGGAATTCTCCCCATTCATCGGTATTGGCGTTCACGTCATCGCCGCCGTCAACCTTAGATGTCCCTTTCGCCGTCGCAGGGCGGTTAATCAACTGCAGCACCAACGGTCTTCGAGTCACAATTCCAGTTCCTGCGAAAGGGCGTGGGTTATTGATCGAGCCCCTTAAATGCGACTATGGACTGTGCTTACCTCGAGGAAGGAAATCACGTCCAACGATGTTTTCCAGCACTGACGATTTCCCGCTCGACTGAGATCCAACAACACAGATTTGAGGAAGGTCGACGGGGTTCTGAATGCCCACAGTCGCGAAAGCGTCCTGTAGCTTGTTGATTGTCGTGATCAACGCCTGGGGGATTCATCAACGTCAGCGTACAGGAAGAAGAGAGCATTGCTTGAGCGCACCTTGTCCATGATGCCTGCTGTCTGGTTCTCCTGAGCCATTGTCGCTGTATGATTGTTGCAATTGGCTTGTTCTTGTTCTTGGGGGGTGTATGCGCTGCTGACGTTGTATGGGCCTGCTGCAGCTGCACGTGCCGATACGGTAAGGGCGTCAACATACCTGAACACCATACCTTCCCTGGTATACACGGCCGGCTGCTGCTGAGAAGGAAGAGAAGGAACACCGAAAGCCCGCTTCTGCTCGAGTATCTGCGTATGAGGAGAGTCCGTTCAATACACACTGCTGCTGCCAATGTAGCAGAACAACTTGGCCAGCCACCAGCTCGGCCTCAAAATCGCTGGCCTTCTTCCAAGATCATGCCGTCAGCAGCAAGACAATATCCGCCCCCAGATCGGCCCCCACGGTCAACGACATCATCAATACCGGCGTACCCCCCTTCAGTACATCGACAACGCAAGCCTGCTGAGGTCCCACCTCATTCTGACAATTACATTTCCACGATGCAATACCTTGCGCGTCTCCTTGACGTGCAGGATCGAAGGCAAATGGACCAAAACAACGTTTTGAGGCGTCTTCAGAAGTACCCTGTTAGTCGCGTGGTTGCTGACCTTCCATCTGTTCAGCGGCAGCGATTGCTTGATAAGGCCGAAAGTGAACAGTGGATCAAGCTTATGCGTCATATGACGGATGAAGGTGACTGGGAAGAGTATATAGTTCTCGGGCCCCGAGGCACGGAGTTTCTTGAGACGGCAAACAAACCCCTTTCAAATGCTCCGCATGCGCCTATATCCTACCAGTATGCGGCGCAACTGACCGACTATTGTACACGTGAAGTGATGGCCGTGTTACCAACAGAGAGTGATCGGCATAAAAGTCATGAACTTGTCAAAATCATGCAGTCTGTTGTTGAAAAGCGTTTCCCAGATTATGGACTTGTTGTCTGTCTCTTTGGGTCGGCAGGAAGTCAGCTCGAGGTTCGAGGGTCAGACGTTGATATCTGCCTTCGTAGTTCAAAATGGAAGCCGGTCGACAAGGAGGAACTTTTTGGATTTGTCAATCGCTTAAAAAATGCTATTCGGCCACATGGAATGACCGTTACCCAAACTGTTTTGCGTTCGAAGTCGCCGTTGTTGAAGATTTGGATTGATCAGTTGAAGCTACATTGCGACCTGACTCTTCCTTTTGATAGCGGGTATGCCTTGGAGAATACTAACCTCATTCGATCTTATTGCGATATCGATCCTCGCGTCCGCCCGTTGATCACCATGATTAAGACCTTCGCGAAACGTCGATTTATCAACAATGCTGCCACGGATGGAACTCTAAATTCATACTCTCTTGTCCTTATGATCATTGCGTACCTGCAAATGCTGCGGCAACCAATTCTTCCAGTGCTTCAGCAAGAGAAGCCGACTAGGATCAGAACTTACAAGGAAAACGGCAAGGACATCGAGTTATCCTATTGCGACAAGATTGGCCCATTCAAGGAGAGGGCAAGGCTGAACAAGATGTCTATTGGTGAACTTCTGTATGGTTGGTTTGCGTTCTATTCAGAGGTGAGGACACCGGATGGACACCGGTATGATCAGCACATCTTGAGTATCAGGACAGGTACAGCCTTGGACAAATTTTCAATTGGCTCCGTCTATAAATCGGTTGACGGCAGGCGAATGGATAAATCGATGTCGAGGCCCCTGGTGATTGAGGAGCCATTTATGCAATGGAACACCGCTGCTGCCGTCTCTGAGTACGGGATGAAGTGGGTGCTATCCGAATTCAATAGAGCGTATAGGATGTTGCGCTTTGAGGAGCTGCCTGAACGGATATTCAGTACCCGTTGGTGAGGATGTGTACTGCGGAAGTAAGCAGACCCGTGGGATGGGGATCCGGGAGGTAAGCGCTCGCGACCGCAAATGTGCACTGTGGAGTAATGCCTCAGCAGCTGCGGAGTGACTGAAAACAGAAGTTTACGGCGATTCAATCGTCTTTTCAGAATCCAATTTCTCGTAATATCGTGCGTGATCCTTTCCCGAAGCCACCTACTCAAACTGCGACCCGCTGCCATATACTCAGGGCCTGTGTTTACGGCGGCTCAGCTGTATATGGACCGCAGCCGTGCATACAGTGCCAGTAATAGATGACCAGGTGCTATGTTTCTGCCAGCCCGACCAATCCACCTCACCCATCACGATCGTTGAACACTGCGGTGACAAGATACCAACCTGTACTCTCCGCTCTGCATCGCCTACGCTCCTGCACTTCCACCGTCGCTTTCGGTGCAGCACACACCACGTTCACCCCTGAGAGCAGGTTTGCTGTTTTTGCACTGCAAGCACGAGACCAGTTCTTGTGGTCAAGATACAGGCAATGTCTCAAGAACCGGCGGCAAACTATACCCTGTTGGAGAAGCTTGGCACTGGTTCGTTTGGTGTGGTGTATAAGGCAGTCAACAAAGTTACCGGAGATATCGTTGCAGTCAAGCAGGTGATTAGTAATAAATTGCTCAGGGAAAGTTAACTATACTAAATGCATATATCAGATCGATCTGGAGTCCAGCAGTGATGACATTGTAGAGATACAACAGGAAATCGCTCTTCTGAGTGCATGTGCCAGTCCGTGGATTACTCGTTATCACTCTAGCTTCGTGCGTGGTTTCAAGCTATGGATCGTAATGGAATACCTCGCCGGTGGGTCAGTGCTAGATTTGATGAAGCCGGCACCGCTATCAGAGGCACACATCGCGGTGTTGTGTAGGGAGTTGCTCGAAGGCCTAGCATACCTACATGGTCAAGGGAAGATCCATCGTGACATCAAAGCTGCCAATATCCTGCTGTCGTCTACAGGACAAGTCAAACTTGCCGACTTTGGAGTGGCCGCCCAACTCTCAAATAACAAGTCAAGAAGAAATACCTTTGTCGGAACTCCGTTTTGGATGGCACCAGAAGTCATTAAGCAGGCGGGTTATGACTACAAGGTATGACAGGTTGAGTTTGTCTTATTGAGAGCTAACCGTGTGTGTCAGGCCGATATCTGGTCCCTAGGTATTACCGCTATCGAAGTAGCTCGGGGAGAGCCACCCCTGTCAGAGTACCATCCTATGCGTGTCTTGTTCGTCATCCCAAAAGCCAAACCGCCAGTGTTAGAAGGAAAATTCTCGAAAGACTTCAAAGAGTTTGTCAGTCTTTGTTTGATGAAGGATCCCAGAGACCGGCCTACTGCCAGGGAACTCTTGAAGCATCGCTTCATCAGATATGCTGGTAAGCCGACTTTGCTACGAGAACTCATCGAAAGGAAGCAAGAATGGGAAGCAAGACGCGGCGATAGGTTCACGCCGAAGATGTACGAGGGAACTATGTATGTTGACTGCGTCCACTTCTTGGCTGGCCTGAATGCTGATTGTTTCATAGCACTGTCGACCCGCACGGTACCGTGACATCGGAATGGTCGTTCGACACCATCATGTCAAGTGTTGGTCCCAGGACTAGTGCAACTACTAATGACCTGGTGCACGAAGATGACATGGACACGTTGCGAAACGTATCACCAGTGGTCCTCCAAACGTTGCGGCACCAAATGGCGTCCTCAGATGACGGTACTGAGACCATTCGTGGCCATATCGATCGTCATGGGGACATCTTACAGCCGCACGAGCGCGTATTCGTTCCAGAGGCGGTTCCATTGCATGTCCCACAAGACGAAGTGCCCCGAGCAGGCGAAGCCAATACAATGGTACAGGACTTTGTCACGGATCGTGTCGAACATTTTGTCTCTCAGGCGTTGTCGGAAGAGTTTGCTACCCGGGCAGCAATTTCTGCTCCCGATGCGCTTGCAGGTCGTAGGGTGTTTTCGGAGATTATGGAAGGCACATTCCAAGAGGTCAGTGCTCCAGCTAGGTTTCGCTCTTCTGGCGGTTACTAACGAAGCCTGAAGATGCGCAGCCGTACTGGGAAAACTGTATCACATTCGGAGGCTCTCGAGAAGTTCCGCGAGGCGTGGAAGGCTTTTGACGAAATCGATCCTGAAGGGGAGTTTACTCTAATGAAAACAGCTTGGAGCAAGATTAGAAGGTATACTGACATCCACCCAACTAACTTTTGGCCTCTGACACAAGTGCTACAGTCGCCCAGAGCTTTGCGACACATTTTCGGACACATGCTCAAGTTCGTCTCCGGCAAACCATGATTGTGTCAGCGCTATGAAGGGCCAAGATGTTCCAGAGGAGGAGAGTCACCTGCAATTGGCACGAAGCCCGATTGCTGAGATGCTCTATTCACGTTGGATTGATGGATTGAAGGCTCGATGGCCATTGGTGAACTGATTTGCTTGATGGAGGATTTGCCCAACCATGTCCCTTTTCTTTCACGTTGCGATTGATGGTGTTTTGGATGGCGTTTATGCTCTTGGCTACTTTATACCTTACCTTACCTTGCTCCGTTCTTCTCAGGCTCAGCTGCTGCTCAATGGATTTTGAGTGTGGCGGCTGCATCGGCCGTACGTAGACCGAGTTGACCATGATGTCAGCCCAGCGCAAAACACCAAATATCTTCAATCTGTTTAGCTATGCCATCAAGTGGCTGTAACAATCGACGGAATGTCCTCACGGATGATCCGCCAAATATCGAACCCAATCTCGCCGATCTGGTTCAGCAGGAATACACCCCATCCAGCCTCGCATTTTCTCGCAACCATTGCGCCATTCCAAGCCCAGACCAAGTCGACGAGCGCGTTCATCGCATCAGAATAGATGGTGCGGTTGCCAAACCTCTTGAGCTTAGTCTGGATCATTTGAGAAAGTTCCCAAAGGTAGAAGTCGTTGCTGCCTTGCAATGCGCCGGCAATCGAAGAGCAGCGCTCGAAGAATCAGCGGGTAAGCCTGTCGAAGGTATCAAATGGGGAGATGGCACGGCATTCAATGCCAAGGTAAGGTGATCAACAGTTTCGGGTATGGCACTAATTGCTGACAGGTCAGTAGTGGTCCGGAGCATTACTCAGGGATGTCCTCCAAAATGTTCAATTCAATGATCCGCAAATCGAGAAAGACTCGTGGCATGTTTGTTTTGCGAGTCATGTCATGGAATGTGAGGAGGATACATGGTATGGGTCGTCTATCCCGCTTCACAAAGCCTTGGATTCAAAGGGTGACGTGTTACTTGCCTACGAGGTACCTTATTGATTCTATTTTCGTGTTCTTTGCTGACAAGTGGGCAAGATGAACGGCTCACAGCTCACGATTGAGCATGGATACCCGGTCCGTGTGATTGTACCGGGATATGCTGGTGCTCGGTCAGTGAAATGGCTGGATCGAATCTCAATCGCCAACGCCGAGTCACCCAACTTTTATCAGCAACATGACTACAAGGTGCTGCCTCCAGATGTGGAAGATAAAGCGGATGTCGATTGGTCCAAAATACCGGCTCTGCAGGCCATGCCTATCAATTCCGTTATCTGTACTCCTTCTTCTGGTGAGGCGGTTCTTCAGGATGGAAGAACGACTTTTCGTGGGTACGCACTGGGAGGCGAAGGCGGCGCTGTCAGACGTGTGCAGCTAAGCAGTGACGACGGACAAACCTGGAAGGAGGCCAGGATTACCTATCAAGAAGGTCGCTGGAGCTGGACGTTGTGGGAATGCGAACTTGATGGACTGACGCCGGCATCCAAGATCGTTTGCAAGGCCATGGATGAAAACGGGCATGAGCAACCGCCCATGTCACAATGGAATTTACGTGGGGTTGCCATGAATGGTTTTGACAATGTTGAGAACCTCTCGGAGAAGCAGCATTAAACGGTGCACAAAATCGAATTATTCGCTTATCCAAGATTATATCCCAACATTTTAATATCGTACCATCATCGTATCAAAACAGTTTACTCGTAAATCCAGCCAGAGATGGACTTCTCGTACTGGAGAACCTCTTCCTTCTTGAACCACAAGTCAATCTCCTTCTGGGCGTTCTCGACAGTGTCGGAACCGTGGCAGACGTTGCGGCCCATATCGATAGCAAAGTCACCACGGATGGTTCCGGGAGCAGAGGCCAAGGGGTTGGTGGCACCGAGGAGGGTGCGACCAGTCTTGACAGCATCCTTACCCTCCCAGACCATGGCAGCAACGGGGCCGGAAGTCATGTACTTGATCAATCCGGGGAAGAAGGGCTTGGTCTTCAAGTCCTCGTCTATGGCAGTGAATTAGCAATTGCCCGAGCAATAACCTGTGGAATGTGACATACAGTGCTTCTCAAGGTGCTCCTGGGAAGGACGGACGAGCTTGAGAGCGGCGAGCTTGTAACCCTTCTTCTCGAAGCGGCCAATGATCTCACCAACGAGACCACGCTGGACACCGTCTGAAAAAAGAGAAGGAGATTAGGTACAGACGGGACAAGCGAAAGACGGATTCACTTACCGGGCTTGATAGCAATGAAGGTCTGCTCAGAGGACATTTTGATTGATTCTTGTGGTTGGGGTTGGTTGGTGTTGAGGTTGAACAGCTGGTCATCCTTAAGAGCGCTCGGGTTAGCTCGGGATTGGACGCCTGCCAAATCCGCGTCTCCGCACTGAGGACCCGTCCAGCCGGAAAGCACCAGGAAGGAGACGATTACTACCAGGACCGTTTCCAGCCAGCTGTATCCAATGAATCGGTGTCCTTGTCCCGCCATGTCCTTGCTCAATCGACCTCGTCGCGGGTGGATCAATTGCTCGTGACTGTCGACCGCGGCCGGTGCGGTGCTCAAACTGCCGAGCGTCAGTGAAAGATCGACGGCGTAATCAAACAGGCAGACAGGGAAGAAGACACATCAACTATCAATTCAAAAACAATCGCAGTGATGCTGATAAGGCATCTGGTATACTAGTAACCTAAGAAAGATGGCCCGCCCCTTTCTTCTTACACTGTCGAAACTTGCTTCTATCTTCCCTCCGATGATATCGATCTTGGCATCTCACCAATCACTCCGTGAGCGCACGGAACTTGTTCGTCATCTTCTCAATGACCTTTTCATAACGCTCTCGGAGAGCCTCCTCGCCATCCTCAGGGTTCTCGAACTTCATCGAACTCAAGCTGTGCATGACATCACCCATGTTGTCACGAATCTTGGCCCATGTGATCTCTCCATTCGACGTCTCCACAGCCTGGCGAGCCAAGTTATAGAAACCTACCATACCCTTGAGCATCCAAGTAGTCTTGTACAGTGGGCAGTACCTGTCATAGGAGCTGTAACCGTTCTGCTGCAAGAAGTCATCCTTGATCAACCTGGCGACCTCAAGCGTGATCTTGTCCGACTCAGCCAAGGCACTCTTCCCGACCAACTGCACAATTTCTGCCAAATCCTCCTCAGACTGCAGGATTTCCTTAGCCTTGTCGCGGAGATTCGTGAATTCTGGTGCATTCTGGTCGTACCACTTCTGCAATACGTTGGTGTACTTGGAATAGGAAAGCGACCAGTTGACGGACGGGAAATGCTTACGCTGGGCAAGCTTCTTATCAAGACCCCAGAATACCTGCACGATACCAAGGGTAGCAGAAGTGACAGGGTCAGAAAAGTCTCCACCAGGGGGAGACACGGCTCCGACGATACTGACGGTACCCTCACGCTCAGGGGAACCAAGACAAGTAGCCTTACCTGCACGTTCGTAGAAAGAGGCGAGCTTGGCACCCAAGTACGCTGGGTAACCAGAGTCTGCTGGCATTTCTGCCAAACGACCAGAGATCTCGCGCAAGGCCTCAGCCCAACGGGACGTTGAGTCAGCCATCATGGCAACGTTCTTACCCTGATCACGGAAGTACTCAGACAAGGTGATACCGGTGTAGATGGACGCCTCACGAGCCGCGACAGGCATGTTCGAAGTGTTAGCAACGAGAGTCGTACGCTTCATAATTTGCTCCTGACGGCCGTCCACGTCGATGGACAACTCAGGGAAGTCCATAAGTACTTCAGCCATCTCGTTACCACGCTCACCACATCCGACGTAGATGATGATATCCGAGTTGGAGTACTTGGACAAAGATTGAGAGATGACGGTCTTACCGCATCCGAAAGCTCCGGGAATGGCTGTTGTACCACCCTGAACACAAGGGAACAAAGCGTCCAGGACACGCTGACCAGTCAAGAGAGGGTAGTCCGCGGACAGCTTCTCTGCCGTGGGACGTGGAACACGCACAGGCCAGGTGTGCATCATAGAGTACTCCTTGGTCTCTCCGTTGAACTCAACTTCCAAGATCTTGTCGTCCACATTGTACGAGCCCTTTTCAGCAATACGGGTGATGGTACCTCTCGCTCTTGGAGGCAACATAACCTTGTGACTGTCGACGAGTGAGTTCTCGTATACTGAACCGAAGATGTCGCCTCCAGAGATGTGATCGCCGACCTTGAGGTTGCCGGGGTTAAAGTCCCAGGATCGGGTACGGTCCAAGGCATCGGTGGCAATACCGCGAGGAATATAGATCGACTGTGATTTGGCCTGAATGGCTTTGAGAGGACGCTGAATACCATCGTAAATGTTTTCCATCAATCCAGGCCCCAACTCAACAGACAATGGCTTTCCGGTACGGAGGACAGGGTCACCGACTGTGACACCGGCGGTCTCTTCGTAAACCTGGATGGTAGCCTTGTCCTGCTCGATACGAATAACTTCACCAACCAACTCCTGGTGACCAACGCGCACAAGCTCGTACATGGCACATCCGATCATGTTCTCGGCCACGACAACGGGACCGGACACGGAGTAGACATGGCCGTACTCGCTTTCACGGTCATCGTTGTATCTGAGATTACGAATCTCCTTCTTTGCGTTCTGAAGAGCACCGGCCATTGTATGCTGTGGCCTTGAGGAGCAATCGATGTGAGGTAGATGTGAGTGAATGCTGCCTGTGCTGCGCAGGCGACGACTCAGCTCCTATCGCCCGCTACGTCAGCACCTGGTACGCTGCCGATACAGGGAGATGCTCCGAGTAGCAAGACGTCCTGGATTGAACAGCTAATAATTAAATGTAAACACGCTCTTCGTCCTATCCAAATCAACGCCTGTCGAGTGCGGGTCCCTGATGGGAGCCATTGCCCCACACTGGACATTGCACCTGTACCGTACGGAGGCCTACGCAACGCAACGCACAGCTTAAGCTTACAAGAAGGGCAAGGGAGACGAGAGCATACACTCTGTAACATACCTCACCCAAATCCCCTCCAGCCAAGGCCTTGCTTGACTGGTATATACAGCAGGTTTGGCGTCGGCTTCCAGTCTGGAATCCAGCTCCACGGCGTCTCCCTCAGAGAACATCTCCGGAACTCAAAGCCCTCTCATCAGACCACGACCTGCATCTGTCGACACGCTTCAAGAAAGCCCTAGGAAAAGGCAAAGGTTATCTCCGCTCGCGTTTGAGGATTCAATGAGATTTACAAACGGCGCTGATCCGTCCCCCGCGGGTAGCAGCATCGGAAATGGGCTGCAAATCCGTAACGGAGCTCGCGCTGCTGCTAAGCTTTACCATGGACATGATCGGGAAGAAGTCACTCGCCTAATCTTGCAAACATTGCAGGACTTGGGCTATGCCTCAGCAGCAACAGCTTTCGAGCAAGAGTCGCACACATTGGTGGAGAGTTCAGAAGTGGCAGCATTCAAGGAATCGGTGTTGCAAGGAAACTGGGACAAGGTGGAGCAGTTGCTGTCTTTGCTTGAGTTTCAGCAAGAAGGCGATGCGCCAAACGCGCTGTTCATCGTAAGGGAGCAAAAGTATCTCGAACTGCTCGAGCAGCGTAATGTACCCGGTGCGCTACAGGTGCTCCGCTCGGAGCTGACGTCTCTGACAACCACTCTGAACCATAATGTTCCTCGCTTGCACTTTCTTTCAAGCCTCATGATGTGTCTGTCGTCCGAAGATTTGTATGAGCAGGCTCATTGGGATGGCGCGAGCGGAACTTCAAGGAGGATGCTGTTGGGAAGATTGCAACGTGTGTTTACTTCGCATGTAACCGGTAGGAACGGTTTTACTAACGGGGTTAAACAGGTTATGTGTCTCCTTCCGCCATGATTCCCGAACATCGATTAGCGACCCTTCTCGATCAGGCAAAGGCCCACCAGGTCTCCGAGTGTCTCTACCATAATTCTGCGCAGCCAATTTCTTTGTTCGATGACCATGAATGCGACAAGAACGAGTTTCCGTCCACTACGATCGAGGTATTGGAAGGCCACAAGGATGAAGTGTGGTTTGTCAAGTTCTCCAACAACGGAAAATTCCTGGCCAGCGCCTCCAAAGATCGTACGGTGATCATCTGGGACGTGGAGGCTTTCGAAATCCTGCATGTTCTCGAGGGGCATGACGATGCTGTCTCATACGTCGATTGGTCTCCGGACGATTCTAAGCTGTTGACATGTGCAACTGATCATAACGTTCGCCTGTATGACGTCCGCACTGGCGGCCTTGTTCGTGTGTTCCAAGCACATCACGAACCAGTTAGCTCCTGTGCATGGCTTCCCAGCGGGCAGGGGTTTATCACAGGTAGTATGGATGGGGAGATCGTTATGTGGAACCTCCAGGGTGGTATCACGCATAAGTGGTCCGGGTCTCGTATCTATGACTTGGCTGTCTCGATGGATGGCACGCGGCTGGTCTCAATCTGTACCGCCAAGAAGATGCATATCTACAATCTCATCACCAAAGTAACCGAGGCAAGCGTAGCTATGCCAAGTGACTTGACCTGCGTCACAATCAGCAAGGACTCGCGTTACGCACTGATCAATGTTGCTACAAAGGAGGTGCATCTTTGGGATCTTGAGCGAGTTCGGCTCGTCCGAAAGTTTAGTGGCCAGGTGCAGGGAAAGTACGTCATCCGCTCAGCATTCGGGGGGCTGAACGAAGCATTCGTGATCAGCGGTAGCGAAGGTTCGTCTCATGCTGGTCTCGGAGGTGCCATACACATACTAATTGACTCATCAGATGCTTGCGTCTATGTTTGGAACAAAGAGCACGGCACCCTTGTGGAGAAGCTTAAAGGGCATGTTGGCACGGTGAACAGCGTCTCGTGGAATCCGTCCAATGTGTACATGTTCGCTTCGGCAGGGGATGATAAGACCGTTCGAATGTATGTATTGGGTAAAAGGATGATTTGAGTGCTCCTGCTAATACATTGCGCAGTTGGTCAAAGTCACCAGAGTTGAGGGGCAGAATGTAGTCTGTTTCGGCTTTCTAAGCTCTGCACTATTCACAACCTGCCGATGACTTGGCCATGGTGATATTTCTAGTTTCGTTTTGGATTGATTGGGTTTTTGTGTCGGCGTACGGGCTCAGCTGGATGGAGTTGATATATACCAGGTTTTCAAGATAACATGCTTCTTCATTCCTCGAATAACAATATGTAAGTATTAGGTAGGGCACGCAACGGTATCGTCTACGTTACAGGGGTTAAGCTCAGCGGTATTCAACGTCACCAGCGTTGCCTGCCGGATCACCAACACAAAATCACAAATTCATAATGCTGTCGACTATGAGATCAGCTATTACGGTCAGAAGCTTCTTCTTATCTGGAGGAGCATCTCCGCTTGCTACCGTGTTCCGTCCGATCGCTGCGGCTCATTTCACTTCATCTCTCGTCCGGCCAGCTGTACGTATGAATTCAACAACACCTCCGCCAATGTCGAAGCAGCAGGTACCCCTCACCCCTCAACCTCCTTCATCCTCAAATGGGCCCCAACCTCCTCCAACAGAAGACGTAGCCCGTTCGAAACTGCCAAAGGGTCTCCGGAAATACGCGGACCGCTTCAAACATCAGCCGATCTCCCATATCGCTTCATTTATCATTCTTCACGAGCTCACGGCAATTGTCCCGCTTCCATTTGTTTTCTTCGCAATACATTCATTGGACCTTACCATTCCAACTGGGCTACCGCTCGATTACATTGACCTCGCAGCCCAGAAAGTCGGCAATATGACGAGGACCTGGGGTTGGGAGGGTTTTTGGGGCGACAAAGGCGTACATGTGGTGTACGAAGCTGCAGCGGCGTATGCCATCGTCAAGGTACTCCTGAAAACTCGACTACAGTTGTCTCTTGCTAATGCTGCTTTAGGCCATGTTGCCGTTGAGGGTTGCTCTGAGTTTGTGGATGACCCCATTCTTTGCTAGGAGGGTTGTCGTGCCAGTGACGAGATTTCCTCTGAAACTGTTCCGAAGAAACAAGAAACCCGTGGAAGGTCAGAAACCATGAATGATGGCTCAAATTGAAGTGTAGATATCTGAATAAATGAATGGTATCAGACCACATGTAAGACACGCAAAGTCCCGTCTGTATTCCACCTGGCCATCACACCAGTCCTACACCATCCGTCTTCCTTGCCCCCACTTTGCACACCCGGTCCTCGAACGTACAACTCTCCACTGGGTCCCTTTGCGTCTTCTGAAGTCAAACCATGTTCCCCCACATCAACAACCTTGCATTCGAGGCAGGGCAAAGGCGCACCAGCGGCTGTTTCCAAAGCACCGCCGTCATCGTCACGGTAGTCTTGAATATGTGTCTGTGTGATAGGCGTAGCAATGCGTGGGAGCGTCAATGCTACAATCACGGAACAACCGAACATGCCCCTGATCGCACTAAGATCCGCAGCGAGTAAAGTGTTGGACCCAGGAGCAAAAGGACAATACACCAACCGCAGTCCTTCACTCACTTTCACCTTATGCATAAAGAACTCGTTCGCGAATGGCATACGGCCCTTACGGAGTATGTTCAAAGCGCCTCGAAACTGGATCGAGTTACGCGCAGTCTTACCTGTCAAATAACGCAAATCGTCTGCCATGCTCTGCACGCTCGTTGACGAGGCAACAATGATTGTCGGTTTCCCGGGAGACAGTGCTCCTAATGGAACTTCGGAAGTTGTTGATGTCGTAAGAATGATTGATGATCCCGACGCCATAGCGGCGTATGTCATCACTCTCGCATATGCATTGGACAGAGGAAGCAAGATTCCCGTGCGATCTTCTGGGCTGATCTTCTTGCCTCGCGGCAAAATCGCCATCTGTGCTCCAACTGCTGCGATCAACTCGCTATGAGAGATCTCAGTCTCCAAGAGCTCTCCGCTCGGTTGCGGACTGAGACAAATCATTGCAGGGCTCTTTGCATTGAATTGGCTGGCAGAGACATCGGTAGATGATGGAGCGGAGAGAAAGTCGGACCAAGACTTGATCGGCCTTGTACTTGTCATAGAAGTGAAACTGACGTCATGTGTTGCTTCGACAACAATGACTGCCTTCATACTGGCGCAGGCTTCTAAAGCGGAGCTCGGAATGACACCTGCCGAGGTGATGAGGATGTCAGCACTTGTCTGCTTAACAGTTTGTGCCACTGTCTCCGTATAATCAGACGTGTTCGCTGGAGGAAGAACGACTGTCAGACCCGCAACCGCCGATCCAAAGCTAGCTACGAGATTCTCGTAGTTATTGGGTAGAGCTATGGCGATCTTGGAAGCTCCCGGGACGAGCTCCACTATCGTGGATGCAAACTTGTTGACCTCGGCAATGAACCTAGCGTTTCCATACTATGTAAGCGTTAGTACATTAACCGAAAGGTTAGAAAATTTGCCTACGTATTCCACGTCGTTTCCTCGAACACACCCGATGGTAGCCTTCTTCTCATTCTGTGCAAAGAGCTTCAATATATCCCTCATGTCCCCGTCCTTTGGCTGCTCATAAGCCCTACTGATTGAGAGGCCGGATAGCAAAGGTTGTCCATGGGGCGTCTGGTTCGATCTGTATGTAGCTGACTCGTCAGGATATCTGATCCGCGAGATGACCGATTGAGAGTGGAGGATGAGAGGGTGCACATCTGGTTCCTTTGGCTGGAGGAACACGATGATCCATACGATTACGACCAGCAAGGCGACAGTGATCCAGTCGACGTCCATCTTCCCAGAGTCTATTTGTATTTTGCAAGGGTCCCCAGCGCCCGGATCTGCCAACGTCAACAGCTGGGGTCCCAATTAAGGTGCGCACGTGAGGCCGACTGCGAGCAAGCTCCAGCCAGCAAACCAAAAAACAACAACAACAACAACGACGACGATGTCGGTCTACAGCACTCCGCAGAGACCGCAGCAGCCGTTCAGCCAATCTCCCTTTGCCAGCTCCCTTTACAAGGCTGCCTCTGAATCTACCCTCTCCAATGCAACCCCGGCATCGCCTCGACTATCTTCTTTTTCAACTCCTCAATCGAAACTCATGACACCCGTAGCCTCACCGGCCTCATTTCACACACCCACATCCCCTCCCCACCAAACGCCAACGGGAGCTTGGAAACATCCTGCTCTGGAAACCTTGGCTGCGGACCGCAGCATTTGCGTAGCTGGGCCTGAACGCACGAAAAGGATCATATGGAACGCTTTGGCAATGTTGGTGTTCCGATGGATCTCCAATGCTATTGCGGAATCGTGAGTGTCCTACTGTACATACAGAGTTTACCGTGAATATGATACTGATATACTACTAGTGAATCCCTGGCAGCCTACTTTCCCTCTTCTTCGAGTATTCCTACATATTCGACGGGAGCCTATTATGCTATTCAGTGTCTTTTTGTCTACAACATTGTGCAAACTGTTGCGATGTTTCTCTTCCCGAGCGAGCCGTCTTCGACCGCTGCCTTGACACCAGATCAGCGCAAGCTGTTGGGTCTGGAAGGAAATGGTACGTTCTCTTTCATACTTCCTGTACACGGGCTGACGATTCCTTCGCAGTTCATTTCAACTCCGCGACCGGCGCTCAAGTAGTTACACCGCCTCGTTACCAGCGCCAGACACCGCAAAGTCAAAGATTACGCACACTCTCGACTTCTCAAAAGGCATCTCCGTCTGGTTCACCACAAGCAAAGCATTCTCCCTCGCAGCCCTCTCCACTTCGCGAGTCTTACTCTAGTGCTGCAACTGCTTCTGTATTTGGCAGCTCAATTGGTGCATCAAGGATCTTACATTCATCAACTTCCGCTTATAACAGCGTTCGCTCGCCAGCCAGCGTGACGAGGAACTTGGAACGGTTGTTCAAGGAGGAAAAAACGAAGGCTTAGACGAGTGTAACGGCGAGATAATGTTTTGCTATTCTAGATGTTCACTACCACAAATACAATGCTCTTAGTGGCCGTGGCGCGCCATCGCAGCCTTCCTCTTCTCCGTCAAAATTGCCTGCTCCTTTGCCTCGCGATCCTGCTTCACCAACTTGTCGACGAGCTTTGTTGCGTATCTTGGCTGCCTGAGGTAGTACAACTTCGCTCTCCTAGCCTTCTTGTGAGTCCGGTGCGCCAAGACTCGGATCTCCTTGATGGCAGGACTGTACAGCGAATATCTGATTTCAACTCCTGTTCGCAGAACATGATTTCTCAATCGGAAGCTGGTGTCGGGGCCTTTCCTGCAGATAGCCATAAGCTGACCGGCGAACGTGGATGTGTTCCTTTTGTTGGGAAGCTGGTTGTAGGACTCGACCATAAGGACCGCTCCAGGACGAACCCGATCTTTGTTATTGCGGTCAAACATCTTGCGGCGTTGGCCGGTAGGGTCGAGAATATCGATGGTGGCTTTATGTGTCGCCTTGAGCACATCCTTGTTCGGGGGTGCAGGAAGTGGCTCAAAGACCTTGATGGTTGATAGCGGTTTGTTGAATTTGTCGCGCCCTGTCATACTTTGGTCAGTATAGCCGCAACGCAGATACAGATCATTTGGCCGTACTGGTATAAGTAGTAGGTGGGGTTTTGGGGATGGTTCCGGTCGCCATGGTGGCATAGGCCCGGGACGCCGGAGCAGACACGGCACAAGCAGCGTCCGTCCGCAGCTGGGATGCAAATGCTCTTCGTATTATGGACATTTGTGACTGATACGGGCGGTTCAAACGGTTCAAACGGTCAACGGATCAAACGGTTTATTGATGTTGAACGCAACCAGCCACAAAAACTGAGGTCACGGGAATTTCGAGGCACCAGTTCGCCGAGCGCCCTGCTCCCCGTACGTTTCTTCGGAGGCCTCGAAATAAAAAAAACGACCAAGTCCTGTCAGAGATGCTCCGACCTGCCAGATCAATCATCGCGTCTTGTCGGCCATTGCTGTCGGTGCAGGCCGCTCCCCGTCCCTTCAGCCGATTCGCGTCAACCGCCGCTGCTGTCGAGGAGAACACAGAGGTAGAAGCCGATGCAACCCAGAACACTCAGACTCCGAAAGAACAAATCCAAGCAATCATAGACAGCATGGAAGGAGGTGTCCCCCCTTCACGGCAAAAGTACGAAGCGATCTTGTCTATCTGCCGGTCTGCAGGTCGTCCCCAATATATATCCGTTAAGCAGCTTTTCAGCAAGCTCTGGTATGCACAGTTACCCTTCGGTCACAAGACGTTCGATATGTTCGTCAGTGAATGTTCAAAGAATGGTCGTGCCGACGTCATCATGGCTATGGCATTGCAACCTCATGTATTCGGTCTTTTTCACAAATTTGACGAAGGATCAGCAGTGGAATTGCTGCAAGGTCTCAAACTGCGCTTGGCTTTAACAAGATCTGACACGGCTAGATCGAATATAGTAGGCGATGTCATTAAGCTCATCGCTTCCTTGCCTGATCTTTCTCGGCCTGCGCACTCGAAAGACATCCAGACGAATCCATTTGTCTTGGGTGCTGCCGTCAATGTGCTAGCCACGGCCGCTGAACTTTCCACCGAAAAAGATGCCATCTTGGACAAGCTGCGCATTCTGCTTAACGAGCTCGAGTCTGTATGGGGTTCAGAAAACTGGGTTGACGAGACAAAGAGTGCGCGTCGTCGTGCGTACGCATACGCTGCGGAAGGTTTGCGAAAGGCTGACGCCGTTTTGGGAGGTGCGCCAGAGGCTGTCAAGATTGCTCAGGAATTGGAGGCGGCAGCAGGTGAGGTGAAGGCTGTCGAAACATATAAGGCGGCATTTGATAAGTTGAGGTTGGAAGATCTGGAGTCCGACGCTCCGGCTGCGGAGGATGCACAGTAAAGTATATGTAGTACAATTAAAGCTGCAAAATACAGATATTAATATTCTTCGTTCGTATCGATCACGGCTGATGTAGGTATTGAGTTTCCCACGCTGTGCGGCCTTCCGTTTAGCGATTCCTTCATTCCCAAGGATCTATATGTATGAACTGAAGTTTGATCATACTGCTCCTTACTGTAGACTATGTGTAAATCCCCGTCTCACGAGCTCCGCTTCCGCATTCTTCTTCCTTGTCATTATCTCCGATGCCGCTACCTTCGGATCATCAGGTCGCCTTTTAGCCACCAAGACTTTGCCCCCCTGCTCGGGCGAAATCGCGCCTATATAATCATCCGCACTGCTATCCAGATCATCTTTTACGACAGTAATGTTTCTTAGGTAGACGATATCACCAGTCTTGAACTTCAGCGCTGTTTTGGCGTCTTGACCTCTAAGCGTGATTGGAAAGGCATAAGTCTGAGATGTAGTGAGCGGATTTCTCGTGTAATCTTGCACTATGATTGTGAGCGGAATACTGGGCGGCGGTATGGAAACAACCTGCTCAAATCAGCTTCTGCGACAGACGTTCTAAACCCAGTTGACGTACCTCAGCAACAAGATCGAATACCATGTCAAGCTTCACCTCTTCGATTTTTAAAGTGGGTCTTGACCGAGGTCGCGGCTGTACCGTCCGGTCGCTCGTTGACCACCAACTCTGTAACCGTTTCACGTATTTTTCTTCCTCTTGACCAAACTCGACAGGTATAGCCGGAATTTGGTGCTGTCCGTTCTCAGCGAAAACGGCCCAGGACGATAGCTCAGTGGACACAGCTAGTGGTTTGCGGTTGAATGACTGTATCTAAGGCCACCCGCTTGTTAGTAGCGTCTTAAGACGCTCAATATGGAGACGCACCTGAAAGTTTCGTAGCAAAAGCACTGTACCATCTATAGGCTCTGGCAAGGACGGATGATAACTTCGTGGGCGTCGAAAGATATTGACAGTCAAAGTTGACGCAGTGTCCAACGAAGGATCGACGATCTGAAAGGTTGATAGAAAATCTGGCCCCTTCGTTTTATCAGGCCCAGCGTGGCCGACAACTACACCAATGACATCAACGATTACCCCGAACCTAGAAGTAAGGTCTCGAAGAGACGGGTAGTCTGCCAGCTACGTAGAGGTTAGCGTACTGTTCCAGTTCCAAGGGGCCGAGTCCATACATGCGACGTCAAACCAGCTTCTGTCATAGTAGAAAGCCCTGAACTTTGTCCAGTTTCAGACTCTGCGTCATCCTTTGCGCGAGGATTGATTTTTAGGACAGAACTCTGTAGACCGCCTTGCTCACCATCCGCGGGAAACTCTGAAGATTGTCTTCTTGCAACAGCCATCATCAGTTCAACAACCACATCATCTTCTACATCGCTGGGTTCGCGAAGGAGCGATGGAGGTGGCATCGGTGCAGACTCGTCAAGCGCCCTCCTTTCTGATACATCCTCGTTCAGACTATTCAGTTCTGATCTTCTTTGCGATAACCGTAACGGCTTGTCTGGAACAGCAAATACGAAATCCGGCTGGCCTACCACTGGCGTGAGTGACGGGTCTGGCAGGGCTCCGGGCAGCGGTCCTGTAGTGGGTGGAGTATGTTCCGGGGTAACAAACACTTCTGAAGAGCCTGCGCCAGTTGCAGGTCGCGAAGTGTTGACAGTCTCACCTGGTAAGGATACAGATGGTGCCTCCTGCGGCTGCTCAGCATTAGGAGGGCCATGGTCTGTGGTGAAAACTGGATCAGGCTCCTTAGATGGAGGATGGGAATCAATATCGTGTTGACTGAGCGGTTCTTCTGGAAGAGCGTCTGCGCTAGATTCGTCGCGCTTTGCAACATCGCCTGCACTGCTGTCGAAGGAGGCGACTGCATTATTGTCCTCTCCCCCATCAAACTTCGGACGTAGCAGATCCTCATGCGATGATTCTTCCTCTTCCGGAAGCAAGAACTCATTGTCCTTTGACAACAGCAACGAATCGCGCAAATTGCTACCACGAACTGGCAGAGGGGACCCCACTGACGACAAGCTCAGTCGTGATGACGTTGGTGATCTCGGACTGCTTTCTATCCGGAGAGGAGTGCTGTTTCGAATCTTCTTCAATACATTCTCTTTCCGTGACAAACTGAGCCAAGGTTCATCGTCTGCGAGAGGCGCCTCCTCCTCAGTGTCGTTGCTGCGAGGAACTGAACGTTTCAGAGTCTGCGGTGGTGTGTACCATACCCGGGGCGGTGACATTTCCAAACCATTGGTAGGAACGGCTGGTTGTGATTGTGTCAGTGGGGCACTGCCGGCGATGCGGAGAGTTACAGATGGAGCCTTTGCCGGACAAATCTGCAGGGCGGGAATTAGCCAGTGATCATCGGCACGAGAGGCTGGATTACCATTAACAGCATGTCCTCCTGTTGCATCCCATATTCAATCCTCAATCCCACGTCTCTCTCCGAAGTTCGTTCGACCTCGTAAACGTGTGCGCCCCTTCCTGCACAAAGAAGGACATCGCCTATTTGCACGCTTGCTAAACTCTCGGCCGCTTTGCCATGAAAAACAACTTCGAGTTGTCCTTTGTGGTCCCTTCGACGGAACTCTTGCACAGCCAGTTCGAGCTTAAGCTGGCGACTCGACCGTGAGTAAGGCCAGATCAGGGCGACCACGCCTTTGAATAAGCTGTGCGCATCGAAAGTGCTGAGCGAAAGATCGGGAATGTCGACGACCTTTAGACCTGCAAACTCGTCTTCAGTCATTCTATTGTGTTGTGAGACGCTGCAACGGTGATGTTTTGGCTTCTGCATGGAACAGTATGGGGTGCATGCGTGGATGTGTAACGTAGACATGGGCACTCTGGAAAATCAAGAGCAGAACGAGATTGATTTCTATCTCCTACCACCTCGGCCAGCAGCTGGTGCGCCTGGTGCGCCTCCGCCAAACATGCCACCGAGCATGCTGCTAAGATCAGGCATGCCACCTCCTCCCATGGCCTTCATCATATCAGCCAATCCACCACCACCGCCTGCACCTCCCATGGCTTGTAGTCTCTTCTGCATCTGGGCCATCTGCTGTGGGTTCTTACCCATTGCGCCCATCTTGCTTAGCATGCCACTCTTACCACCCATCTTCTTTGCGACAGTTGCCATCATCTTGTGTTGCGACAAAAGCTCCTCGACTTCTCTAACAGAAGTACCGCTTCCTCTGGCCACGCGCGTCATCCGATGAGGTTGGTCGAGGAATATTTTACCATCGCTGTCCAGCTCTTTCTCCGTCATAGAATCCATGACGCACATCATCCTCTTCAGTCTCCTCGACCCTTCTTCGTCACTTCCTTCTCCGAGGCCAAGCTGGCTTAAACCAGGAATCATACCCGCCATCTTGCTGAGAGGACCCATCTTCATGATGTTGCCGAGCTGGTCCCTTAGATCCCGGACTGTGAACAATCCTTCCGCAATATGCTTCATCATTTCCTTGTTTTGATCGAGCTTCAGCGACGAGACATGCTCAAAGAGACCTTGCATATCTCCCATTCCCATCAACTTTGAGACAAAAGACTGTGGAGCAAAAGTCTCGAGATCATGCATGTGTTCTCCGGTACCGATGAAAGCAATGGGTGTATTTGTGGCAGCGACGGCCGAGATTGCACCTCCTCCCTTCGCGTGTCCATCCATTTTGGTGATGATGATCGATCCAAAGTCCGCAGATTCCTTGAAAGCCTTACTTTGTGATTCTGCAGCCTGACCGATACTTGCGTCGAGCACCATGATTGTCTGATCGGGCTTGACCGCCTCAGAGATCTGGACCATTTCAGCAAACAACTCCTTCTCCTGGCGATGTCTTCCGGACGTATCAACAATGATGACTTCGAACTTCTCCTTCTTGAACTTCTCGACACCTTCTCTTGATATCCGAACAGGGTCTGTCTCGGTGTAGCTACCAAAGTAGGGAATGCGAGCTTTCGTGGCATTCTGTTTCAGCTGGTCGAAGGCACCGGCACGGAATGTGTCAGCGCATACCAAGCAGGATTTGAAACCTTTGCGCTGGTAATGCAACGCAAGCTTAGTACAGGATGTCGTCTTTCCACTTCCCTGAAGACCAACGAACATGATCACATTGGGGTGACCTTTCTTTGGTCTGTAAGGTTCCACACCAGCGTCTACCAATGCTACGAGTTCGTCAAATATGGTCTAGACATGAGGGTTAGCTTTTGGGTGTTTGGGCGCGTCGCAATGGCTTGTAACGCACCTTCTGGATCAAGCGCTTTCTATTCACGCCTGCTGCAAGATCCTTGAGGTTGACTTTTGACTTGATGCTTTTGCGCAGATTGCTAACGAGTTTGACGTTCACATCGGACTCGAGCAGAGCCGAGCACACCTCTTTCAGCAGGGCATCGAATGCTTGTTCATCGACAACGTTTGAGCGACCGAGATCGGACATGACGGCGCCAAGGCGCTTTCCGAGATCTGACAGAACCATGGTGTGCGAGAGTCGATGGGATGTATGCTGTTCAGACGGGGCACTGGGATGTATGCTGTTCAGACGGGGGTCTTGGAGTCGCGGGTGATCAAGGCCCTGCATCAGATCGCGCACCGCAGTACAGCGTGAACCTCACCACCAAAAGTCTAAAAGTCCATCTCCAGTCAAGGACTCTTCTATCGTACGTTGTCGGTGCTATGGACGCGTAGTCGCAATGACGAGCCCCGCTGACTCGACACAGGCTCAGGATTGGTTCGAAGGTATATCCATCGCCCAAGTAACATCGATTGGACGCGTGTTCCTGACAGTTTGCGTCCATAGCTGAACGAATTCTTCAAGAACGAGACGACGGTACGTACCTTGTTCGCTGGGTAGGCATCAATCCCGACACAGGAAACCCGTGGAAGGATACTTGGGTCGCACGCGAAGACTGCGGAGAGGATCTTCTAGAAACCTGGCTCAAGACTAAAGAGTCAGAAACAGGACGAAACCACAAGCGTACTCTTTCTAACGCGTCGTCTGGTAACGTGCGAAGCTCTCAAGAGCAAATCCCGCCTGCCAAGAGACGTCGTGTGAACCGCGTCCCTTCAACTCAAGAGACAAACAGGGACCTGACTGCTCGCGAGAACCCTCCATCAGGAAGCAAACCTAGCTGGGAAGAAACACCGAACGACTCGCTTTCTTCAAAGACTCGGCGCCGCCATCTTCTACACAACATTGTACCAGATTCACAAAATCACTCCTTGGGTACTACGTTAGCGCTTTCGGGCAATCGAAGAAGCCTTGGACCAACCGACTTTGTTCCAGACTCACAGCCAATTGAATCAAGCTTCTCAACTCTGGCCGACAGGTCTGCTGATATTCCATATACGCATCTCAGTCCGCAAAGTGCTGCGATTATTGATACTCCTCGCGCATTCGGGGAACACATCCAAGTAGCAGCCACGCAGCAGACCGAAGACAAACGGGATACCACACCGCAAAATCCTCGGAAAATATCTATTCGGGATTACAAAAAGCAGAGCTTACAATTAGTCGCGCCAGACGATCGTATCGAAAACGTCAGCGTCCTGCCTCAACCTTTGGCCCTTGCTACGGAACGATCTACTTCCGGACAGAACCAGCATCTCGAGAGGCTTGTTGACCGAGTCCACTCAGAAAGCCCTTCCCCTATCCGCAAAGTCTTTTCCTGGTTGGCAACAGAAACCGTCGAGGAAGGTGTCATACCGGACATGTCCTCATCCCAAATTCAACCACCCTCATTCTATGAGGATCCTGGGACTCTTCTTACAGCGCCCCCACAACCTCCAGTAATGCAACGGCTACCGCAGATGTTGCCCACCGTTGCTGGAAGCGTACTAGCTGCTTCTTTAAGAAACACGCCGGGGTCTCTCCGTGAGCGACTCCGTGAACTGCATTCTAGCAGTAACTTTGCTCCGGGCGCTATGAACGGAGGCGGCGCCGGCGAAACCGTGCCCAGCGTCTTGCCAGCCTCCACACAAGCCCCTGCAGCACTCAATGTCCCAAAAAGCCGCTCGGCTTACAACTACGACCTCAGCGATGCTTCTTCAGTATTGAGGTCCATTTGCTTGGGTTTCAAGGAATACGCTCTTCCCCTCGGAATGACGACTGTGCAGCGTTCCACAACACTCCGGGAAATCAAAGAGAACCAAATTGCGATTACCGAATATTGCCGAGACGAGAACGCTGCGAGCTTTCAACTCACTACTGATATATCCAATCTGGTTGTGAGGTTGCGCAGAATTGCCACGCATCCATTCACAGTCACGGGACCAAACTGGAGTGATTCTTTGTCGGACGAGGAGGAAATGGAGTATCTATGCCAGTCGAGTGAGAAGTTCAGGTTTCTTATTGAATGGCTGGATACGATGCGAAACCACGACATCAACGTGGTTCTTCTTGCCGAGTCTGTTGTTGTTGATCTCCTTGAGGGTTTACTTCGTGGGAAGCGCATCAGGTCTACAAGGCTTGACGTGACGTCAATGCGTGATGAGCTTCCAGATGAAGGTGCAAGTGTATTGTATGTGCAGCTTGTAGCGACTGATAAGTCTTTCGTCGCTTCACCAGCAGACCTCTTCATTGCGCTCGATACTACTATCAACGTTGACGACGAAGATCTCGAGAGAATTCGTGAACATCCAAGTGGCGATCCTGACAGAATGGCACCGCTAATCCGTCTCGTCGTGATCAATAGTGTCGAGCATGTTCTGATGTCGACACCGGGAACGCTGTCTAATTCGCATACGCTATATGCCGTGGTAGCTGCTACCACCATCATGCGTGCTGAAGCAGGCGCCTTTGACGCTGATCAGAAGGAGTATAGCGATGCTTTGCAAAGTGCAGCCAGAACGCTCTCGGCATGGATCAGAGGCGACAACACTGAAACCTGGCCTTTGGCGCCATTGCCTGATCTGAAGACATTCTACAAGACACCGACCGCCAGTGTGGCTTCGAGTATTGAAGACGGCGACAGGGCTGACGCACATTATAGGCTTGCTGGGAGAGCTATCAAGCGTGGGATGGCCATGGAAGACTCTTCGACAATGTCTGCATCTCAAGGTGATGTCAATGGCAACAAACGTCTTCGCCTGGTCTCTGAAGACCAAACATCTGTGAGTGATGAGTTGAAGAAGCAGCTGGATGAGAAAGACCGAGTTATCGCTCAGCTTCGTCAGGAGCTTGCACGGACAACGGAGGAGAAGCAGAGCACGGTCGATGATTTTGAGGAGTTTCGGGCCAGTGTCTACAACCAACAAGAGCGATATCGGCAGCTGGACGACGAACTCCGCACTGTCAAACGCGACAATGAAGTACTCGCTGGCAAATGCAGCGATCTGGAGAAGCAGAAGGAAGAGTGGAAGAAGAAGCTTGATGTCAGCCGGGAGGAAAAACAGGCTCTGCAAAAGCGTGTTGATGAAGGAGTGCATCAACTTGCTGAGATCCGCGGGGGACTCGATCCTGCGCGTGCGGAGTCGCTGATTCTTATGCTTCGAGCCGAGAAAGAGGCACTCGAGCGTGGTAATGAACAACTTAGGAAGGAGAATGAAAATCTGAGCCAAATTAGGTCTTACATGACAGAGCAATATCAGGAGGCTTCCTCCTCGGCGGCGCAGGTGGGCATGGAGAACACGGAGTTGAAGACAGAGCTGGAGAAACTGCGATCTGCAAGAGAGGGAGAAGTTGTGCAGGCAAAAGCGCTGTCGTTGGAAGCAGAACGTACTGCTTTGCAACAAAGAATCAAGGAGTTGGAGGGGGAAAATGGGATATTGAAGGAGAATCTTACGAGAAGGCCGCTGACTGCAGAGCAGGCCGACGAGACAGCTCCGGTTGTTGAAAGTTTAGCAGGAGGCGATCGGGAAAGCATAGATACGACTCCAGCAGCTCTCGCGAATGGTACAACTTGACGCGAGTAATTATACAAATATATAATTTCAAGTTTCGTTGTTGTGCTATTCCCAATTAGGTCTGGTAATGAAACGCGCTCTGTTTATGCTCTCGACGAGTACAACACCCATAAACCCATCGCAACTCAGATCAGTACAGTACAATACAAAGACAATGGCAAACGCGGCCTCGGGATGGGATCAATCCGCTGTCTACTACACTCACGTTCTTCCCGCAGAGGAACACGAGAATGCCCCGAGGGAACTTGAGCGCTCCTTCGAGACCTTCATCCAAGAGTTCCGCCTCGACAAATCGTACATCTATCGGTGCGCTATCTTCCCTTCAGTGATATAATTCATGACTGACATCGTCGCAGTGACCAATTACGCGAAAACGTGCTGGTCAAGCAGTACGTTCTTGAAGTGGACGTTGGCCACTTGATCGGTTACAATGAAGACCTTGCGCATGTGCTCGTCAACGAGCCAGCCGATATGCTGCCTCTGGTATTTCGAGCTCCCAGTCTACCTTCTGCTTCGCAGTTCTGACGTGTTTTCATAGCTTGAGTCTGCCGTGAAGAGGTGCGCACGGCGCATAATCTACCCCGGCTCGGACGACTCCAAAGTATTCCCCGACTGTCAAGTCACGTTGAAATCAGAATCAAATTTGATTGCAATCCGAGATCTTAACGCAAGCTACATCTCCAAGCTCATCCGCATTCCGGGTATCGTCATCGGCGCCTCCACGCTTTCCTCAAAGGCCACACATCTCAACATCATGTGCAAGGCTTGCAAAAACACAAAGAACATTGCTATCAGCGGGGGTTTCAGTGGTATTGCTCTTCCGCGTACATGCGATAGCGTGCCTCCTCTTGGTTCAGAGAAAGACTGTCCCATGGACCCTTTCGTAATCATTCACGACAAGTGCACCTTCATCGACCAACAAGTGCTAAAAGTCCAGGAGGCTCCAGACATGGTGCCTGTGGGAGAACTTCCCCGTCATATCCTCGTCAGCGCAGACCGGTATCTGACAAACAAAGTTGTACCCGGTACGAGATGCACGATTACGGGAATTTACTCTATCTACCAGAACAAGCAAGTGAAAGGTGCTGGAGCCGTGGCGATCAGGAATCCTTATGTTCGCGTCGTTGGTCTTCAGGTCGAAAGAGACGGAAATGCTAAGGGTATGAACATATTCAGTGACGAGGAAGAAGAGGAGTTCTTGCAACTGTCGCGAAACCCAAACCTGTACGAGATGTTCGCCAATAGCATTGGCCCTTCGATCTATGGTAATGAGGATATCAAGAAGGCTATCGCATGTCTCTTGTTTGGCGGATCCAAGAAGATCCTACCCGATGGTATGAAACTGCGTGGTGATATCAACGTACTACTTCTTGGTGATCCTGGTACCGCGAAGTCCCAGCTGCTGAAGTTTGTTGAAAAAGTAGCCCCGATCTCTGTCTATACGTCAGGAAAGGGTTCCAGTGCTGCTGGTTTGACTGCTTCGGTCCAACGTGACGCGCAGTCCAGGGAATTTTATCTCGAAGGCGGAGCCATGGTGCTTGCGGATGGAGGTGTGGTTTGTATCGATGAGTTTGACAAGATGAGGGATGAGGATCGAGTCGCAATTCACGAAGCCATGGAGCAGCAGACTATTTCCATTGCCAAGGCAGGTATCACCACCATTCTGAATTCTCGAACATCAGTGCTAGCGGCAGCGAACCCCATCTTTGGACGCTACGATGATATGAAAACACCGGGTGAGAACATCGATTTCCAGACCACCATCCTGTCCCGTTTCGACATGATCTTCATTGTCAAGGACGAGCACAACGAGAACAGGGACAAGAGTATCGCCCGCCATGTCATGAACATTCATATGAACCGTGCCATTCCCGAAAACCAAGCCGTGGGAGAAATTCCCATCGAAAAGATGAAGCGATACATCACTTACTGCAAAGCGAAGTGTGCACCTCGCTTGACGCCTGAAGCAGCCGAGAAGTTGTCGAGTCATTTCGTTGCTATCCGAAAACAGATTCATCAAGTTGAACGTGACAGCAATGAGAGATCGAGTATTCCCATCACCGTCCGTCAGCTCGAGGCTATCGTCCGAATCACCGAGTCATTAGCGAAGATGACGCTTAGTCCAGTTGCTGACGAAGAACACGTTGATGAGGCAATCAGACTATTCTTGGCATCGACGATGGACGCCGTGTCCAACCAGGGTGCCTCAAGACAGGAGCTGGTAGAGGAAGTTACCAAGATCGAAGCAGAGTTACGGCGTCGGCTGCCCATCGGTTGGAAAACATCAATGGCTCATTTGACAAGGGAGTTCGTGAACGGGGTATGTATCCTATCTCCAACTCGTGGAAGGCGCATAACTAACCTTATAAACAGAGAGGATACTCCCAGCACGCCTTGGAAAGAGCTTTACAAATCATGGAGCGTCGCGAAACAATTCAGCTTTCGAACCAGCGGCGAACAATCTTCAGATCCGGCGTCTGATTGGAACCCTTTTGGATAAAAGTTACTACCAAGGGTCATACTCGGGTCGGCTTCTTTTGTTTTCTGGCGTTAATGATTTCAATCCCTTTCAATATATTCCTTACGTTCAGATCATGCCCCGTATAACGAAAAACAAACACCATAACTCCTTTCAAATGCAACACAAACGAAATGTCTATGCGTCATCACGGTCTTCAGCTAGTGACATTGACATGGACCGTCGTCTTCCAGCTCCACGCATAGCATTGTCTTCTTCTTCCTTTCGAACCATGTGCTCGCCCGGCAGTACAACAGCTCGGTCTAACGATACCGGCAAGCCCCGGTGGCGACCTCGAATTTGGAGGGCGATGATGACGAGCTTGCTCAAAGTGTGAAACTCGGCTGACAGCGAAGCATTGATGGTGGGGTAACCAGTGCTCAGTCCCACGGTACCATATGCACTAACAACTTCGAACAGAATATAAAACATGTTGAATGCATAATCTCCCTCAGAGATGCGGCGGTTTTCGATGATGGCAATAAGGAAAAGTCCCAAGAAAACATACCATAGATCAAATGACAATTGACGTCGAATATGCGTCCCGACAAAAGAAGTTCCCTGCTCTTCTAGATCATCCCCGGAGTAAATACCAAGAGAGCGCTCTTCGTAGACGTTCGTCCTGCGGACGTTAATGGCAACAGGATAAACCGAGATATACATCATGACCATGTAACTGACTAGTATGGCAGGATGAAGAGCAGTAAGACTCACAACACCAAAACCTGCCGTTCTCGTTGCGATAGCTTGAAACAAGGCAGCGACGAAACGGTATCCCCCAGGAATTGATTGGACAGCCGTATCGCCCAAGTCAAGGATGATGAAGAGAATCACGTCGATGACATTGAGCCCCACTAGAATAGCAAATAGCCACCATGTCGGACCACTGGGGAATAACAACGTGAAGCAACGTCGGGGGTGGTCCAGGAGAAACGCCAAGGGTTCCTTTCGTGGGGAATCATCAGGTACCAATTTCGACAATACCCAAATATAGAATCGCAAGAAGACAGGGAACCCGGTGTTTCCCACGACGACGAGAAAGCCACATACGAGAAGCAGAAATGCTGCACGTTGCAAACTCAGAAACGAATCTGGTGTGAGCGTGAAGCCAACATCATTGAAAGAGGAAGCAGCCGTAAATATAGCCCACCAAGCTCTCGGAGCACCAGCAGCATCGACCACCGAAGCAGATCCACGTGCGGTGTAGACGAAAACCAGGAGCGACACTATTCCAAACACGTGGAGGAAGACGAAGTATGTGCCGAGAACCCATACCAAGGCGACTAGAGACCGGTATTCAATACCACCGAGTTCTTGTCTCTGCTCTGGTGTCAAGTCCACGAAAGTGGAGTTTCGTCCAACTGTAGCAGCGTATGACAGGTACGGTAACTCGACGTTGGTTCTAGTTGATCTGCGTGAAGTAGGACTGCCCTCGCGCTTTCTGTTTCGAAAAGCACCAGACAATACCCGTTCGAACGTCAAAGAATGCGGTATATCAACTCCAGTAGCCTTACGGACTTGGTATACCGGTGTACGGGAATCAACCGTCAATGTGCGGCGGCTAAACACATTTGACGAGCCATCCGTTGGGGTGAAGAGGTCAGAGTTGCGTCTTCTATGCGAGACCGCAGATTTAATACGACGCAGGGCGTTCGATTCAGCGGGATCATCGCCTAAGCACGGTTGGTCAGTATCGTAATGTCACTTGCAAGGACGCATTAGACTTACGATCAGTACCTCCAACATCCTGAGGACGAGGTACGAAAAGGGGTGCGACCTCTGGCCGATCGACGATGGGGGCATTGGCGAATGCAATATGACTGCTGCCCTGCTGATCGACTGACAATCTTCGTGGTTGCGGCAGGTCTGCGAAGCGAATATCTGGGGACCCAACTTTCGGTAGCGGTTGATTCGTCCTGTATTACTGAATTAGCATCGTTGCACTCCGGACAAGCCCAAGTATAGTTTGTAAAAGAAAATTACTCACGCGTCGCTTTCGGTAGCCGAAGCTGCATTATCAGCATGGCCGTCAGCGAAGGACGAGGGTTTCTTTCCCGCTCGGGAAGACAAGTCTCCCTCATGACTGGAAGCGATCGTATTATGGGATGGCGGTCGTTGAAGAGAGAGTTCCATTGACTCTCCTACGGGCATAGAGTTCCGCCCCCTCGGTTCAGTGAAACGTCCGCCATTCAGGAGAACGCGGATCTCCCTCCCGCCGACACCTCTTTCTTCAATGTCCTGGCGACTCCTGGTTCGGCTCATTGTTCGCCGAGCCGACAGTTGCAGCTGAGCCTCTCGCACAATATGCTCAAACCTCTTCCTGAACCATCTCAAGCGGATCAGGACAATCCCAAAATTAACAGTTATAGGATTGGTAAATAGAGGTAAGACGTAGAGCACGGCTTGCTGGTAATTGCTCAGACTGTTGATGTCGACTGTGTTCAATCCGGCCTGGGTACATGCTCCACTAGACAAGAAGAGAGCGTCAATGTACCTAATGCTACCATTTGGGTAAAGCATGATTGACCCTATTATCACGGACGAGATGAAGTACATATCTGTAAGTGACGATGTCAGAGTCAGTATCATGTCTCTGCAGTTCAACGACACGGCATGTATGCTTGTCTGTTGTGCGGATTACTAACAGTGCAAATGAATAAAATCAAGCCGCACCGGCTTGCGGAGGCGTGCCAGCAAAGATCGGCCGACATCTGTCCAAGGCATACTACGGTAGGACTCGTCGTCCTCGATACCGCGACTCTCTGGTGGTGGTCAACTGTGGTTTGTGTGCGTTGCCTGGAGCAGCCGCGGAGTAGCTATAGTCCAATATTGGTAGAGGTTAATTGCGCATGCACTGGGCCCGGAACCGCAGCATGGCCAAAGCTTAATTCTGGGTGGTATTCGATCTCGTCGGCTGACCGTCAAAGACCTGCAATTGTTCCAAATAGTTTGAAGCGACGTTCTCCACTGCTGGCTCCGTGGGTTTGGGTGCCGCCCATGTATATCTCTTCACGTGCAGCACCCGCGATTTGGCGGGCAGGCCTCCCACATTTCGAATTCACGTTCGTACGCGGTGCAGCGCACAGGCAGGCACGTCTCGTGTACTTACGCTTGGGTGTATACCACGACAAAGTCTCGACCAACAACGCCGATCTGCTCTGGTCAACGAGCCAAGTAGCACACCGTTGAAGTCGCCTCCTACGCTGCTATCTGCGGCTGGTGCTCTTAGGCCGTAATGGTCGTCGTCGTCACCTTGGACGAGATTCTTGCCCAGGCCGCCGAGTCGGGTATATATGCTGTCCCGCAACCACGAACCATGCGTCTAACTTGGATCAATAGACGTCCGGGCAAAAGTTAGAGCTATTTCCAAGCTTCGTGAAACATTGGACACCCATATCGTTGCCGATTACGCGAAGTTCTTGGCTGAGGCTCATGCTCCGCTTATTGACATTTTGCAACATACACCTCCAGCATTCATCAGCACGGCGCCTGAACAGGTCAGATAATGGCGAGCAAGCGATCTAAAGTGGATCCGCTAACTTGTATCACAGAAACTTCGCTTGGGTGTATTAAAAATCATTCAGAAGCTCCCTCATAACGAGGTGTATCGACCTTACGCCAGCGACGTTTTTCTTCGCTTTATACAGATTCTCCGTACAGATAACGAGGAGAATGCCATCGTGTGTTTACAGACGATCATCGACTTTCATCGTTCGTACAAGCAGCATTTGGAAGATCATGTACAGTCGTTCCTGGACACGGTACAGGATATGTATCGCAACATGCCACAGGCTGTGAAGGAAGCCTTTGGCTCTGATGGTGCAGCAACCGGACCCGCCACCCAAAGCAGCGTTACGGCAACTGCGCAAGGTTCGCCCATGTCGCCTGCGTCTGTTGCTACTGAATCGACAGAAATGCCCGCAAAACCCCTTCTGAGAAGCATGCATAGCTTCAAGGTGCTCACCGAATGTCCAATTATTGTTGTTTCATTCTTTCAATCGTATCGGACATCGGTTAATCTGAATCTCCCAACGATGACGCCTTTGATCATCGATATGCTTGCTTTACAGGCTGCACCTCAGGCGGAGGCTCACAAGCAAGCACAAGCGCGTGGTCAGATCTTCACAGGCGTTGCGCCCGCTGTTGGCAACAAGTCTCTCTTTGGCGAATTTATCCATGCGCAAGTGAAGACCATGTCATTCCTCGCCTATATTTTGCGTGGAAACCCACCTGCTCTGCAAAAGTTTCGGGCCACCATCCCGGACTACGTTGTTCGCCTATTGACGGACTGCCCTTCGGACATGTGGGCAGCAAGAAAGGAACTTCTTGTTGCGACGAGGCACATCCTTTCTACTGATTTCAAGGGTGCTTTCGTGAGCAAAATTGACGTCCTCCTTGACGAACGCGTCCTGGTCAGCGATGGCGTCACCGTCCATGAGACGCTTCGACCACTGGCATATAGTATGTTGGCCGATCTGCTTCACAATGTGAGAAGCGAAATGACAGGTGCTCAGTTGCGGCGCACCCTTCGCGTATATGCGGACAATCTGAGAGATACTTCCCTCCCTCCTAGTATCCAGATGATGTGTGCAAGGCTGCTTTTGAATTTCATTGATCGCATACTGAAAATGCCTCATCCTGAAGCTCGTCAGCTTCTTATGTACATTCTCAATGCGTTCGCGGACAAGTTTGCCTCGCTGAACAAACAGCGTGCTACCTTTCTGCACCTTGAGCAGGCCGAGAAGGCAGGAAACGTGGGGAACGGTGGTGATGTTGCTGTCGACGTTGACGAGATCGACCCTGCGGGTATGGATCTGCAATACCTGCGACCCATTCGGGTTGCCGCAACAACGCAAAGCATGGGCGACTTCTTAAAGGACGGTCGTCTTCTCTTCAAGAATCTTGTTGGCGGTTTGCGAAGTTTGATGTACGGCCTTAAAAACTGTAACCCACCACCCGCAAATCCCACCGCCAGTATGCAGGACTGGAATGAGTTTGCCCGCGGTTTTAGTGCTGAAGAAGTGGATGTACTTGTTCGGCTTTTCCGTGAAACTGCGGAGGGATTTTCCTTCTTCTTGCCTGTCTCCGATAAGGGGGGCATTATTCGTGCTGGTGAAAAGACATCGCCGCTTGAAGCAACGCCTAATGCCATGCTTCCTACTACGCCTGAGGAAAAAGAGATACTCGAAACGTTCACGACTGTCTTCATTTATTTGGATTCGGCGGTATTTCAAGAGGTTTTCGGCGCACAGTTGCCGGAATTCTTTGAGCAGGTTCTCAAGAATCCTTCGTTGTTGCATGTTGCGCAGTTTTTCTTGGCAAACGATGCCACCTCTTCGAATTTTGCAGGGCTTCTGCTGCGATTCCTGGTCGATCGTCTCGAAGATCTGGGAAGCTCAAATGCCGCCCGGTCCAACATCATGTTGCGAATGTTCAAGCTTGCATTCATGGCAGTCACTCTATTTCCGGACGCCAATGAAATTTGTCTGCAACCACATGTGAATCATATTGTTGTGCAGTGCTTAAAACTATCTGCAAAAGCACATGAGCCGATCAATTACTTTCTCCTTTTGCGTGCATTGTTCAGAAGCATTGCTGGTGGAAGGTTCGAATTATTGTACAAGGAAGTACTTCCGCTTCTACAGATGCTTTTGGAGTGTTTGAACACGTTGTTGCACGCCGCCAAAAAACCCCAGGAGCGTGACCTTTATGTTGAACTGTGTCTTACTGTTCCGGTCCGCTTGAGCGGATTGCTTCCTTGTTTAAGTTATCTCATGAGACCGCTCGTCATTGCTCTACGCGCCGGACCCGATCTTGTTAGTCAAGGCCTCAGAACGCTTGAGCTATGCATTGACAACCTAACGCAAGAGTTCCTTGATCCCATCATTGCCCCAGTCATTCATGATCTGATGCAGGCACTCTGGGACCACTTGAAACCGCTTCCCCACAATCACCAGCATAGTCACACCACGCTGAGGATTCTGGGCAAGTTGGGTGGACGCAATCGGAGGTTCTTGAATGAGCCACCGAAGTTGGGATTTGTGGCTCATCCGGATGCGAGCCCGTCTGTTAATCTCCAATTCTACGGGGGTAATGGAGCCAAGGCCTTCAACATTATGAGGTTTGTGGATGTCGCAGTGCGTGCTTTGCACAATTCAAAGACAGATGTGGAGTATAAGCAACAAGCATTTCGCTTCTTGGGCTCTGCTGTTAAACTATATTTGCGCACGGAAGAGGTCCCAATGGATCTTGCAGCCTCCGTTCAAGCCAACGCTGAAGAGTTCATACGTACCATCGAGCTTGTGGGTTCTGGTAATTTGGGACAAACAACTAATGAAACAAAGTCAAGCATGGATGATGAGGGATCAGCGCGAAACTCAAAATTAGTCGCTAAAAAGCTTGCTCAAGAGGACAACCTACGAACTCTTTTGCATGGCTGCTTTCAAGCAGCTGTCCATGACGAACTCCGAGCGGATGCGCGGGACTTGATCATCAATATTTGCGAGCATATAGCTGTGACGGAGGTGCCTGAAGCCCTTGAGGAGCTCAGATTACGGAAGCAGGGCTTCCTATTGAATCCTGATATAGATGGTCCTTATCTAAGCAACCGAGTCTTAGTGGATGCGATTGCAGACAGTCTTGCGTCTGATTTCGTCGCCGTCCGTGAGTTGGCAGAAGAAGCTATCGTTGTACTTTATGAGTCTTGTCTGACCATCCTGGGGTCTCCAGAGAAAGCCCGCAAGCTCCCGTTATTTCATCTGTTGTCAGCTCGATTTTGTCACAGTTGTTTCAAGGAAGATCACCATGAGAAGTACGCAGGGTGCAATGGAATTCGCATTCTCAGCCGCAGGATTGAATTGGGGAAAAAATGGATGGTGGAGCGGCAGTTGGATTTTGTCCGGGCTCTGTTGTTTGCTCTCAAAGATATGCCTTCGGAGATAGCATCGTCTGTCCTTGACGATGCTCATGAGACGCTCACTTTCATTGTCAGAACATGCAACCAGACTGACGGCGATGAAGACGCGACCGTCAAAGATGGGCGATTGGCAAATCTTGTGTGTCTACTGATTGTCGATCTTTCCAATTCCAATTCCACGGTCCGTGATGCCGTGAAGTCGTCGTTTAAACTGCTCGCGGAGCTCACTTTGAAGGAGCTGCACGAGCTGCTTGCACCGGTCCGAGATAGGCTTCTATCTCCTATCTTTACCAAACCGTTGCGTGCATTGCCCTTTGCCATGCAGATTGGGCATATCGATGCGATCACGTTTTGTTTGTCATTGAAACCGACCTTCCTTGAGTTCAATGATGAACTCCTGCGATTGTTGCATGAGGCACTCGCCTTGGCGGACGCAGAAGATGAGGCTCTGGTTACTGTGAGTGAGACATCGCAGTATAAGAATGCGACGTCGCTGGTCAACTTGCGTGTCGTGTGCATAAAGCTTCTCTCTAAAGCCATGGCTTGCTCGGATTTCTCGTCGCCCCAGCAAGCGCAGACGCGAGGACGCATTATCTCGGTCTTCTTCAAGAGCCTGTATTCCAAATCCAATGAAGTCGTGGATGTCGCGAACCAAGGATTACGTCAAGTTTTGGCGCAGAATAACAAATTACCCAAAGATCTTCTACAAGGAGGTCTTCGGCCAATTCTTATGAATCTCTCGGATCACAAAAGGTTGAATGTGGCGGGCTTGGAAGGCCTTGCACGTCTCCTCGAGCTTCTGACCAATTATTTCAAAGTCGAAATTGGTCGAAAGCTTCTTGATCACTTGCGAGCTTGGGCGGACCCTCAAATTCTCCACCAGGCTGCTGCCAGGGCTCTTAATGAACACCATGCAATCAAGATTATATCAGCAATCCTTAACATATTTCATTTGCTTCCGTCACCGGCAAGTATGTTTTTGGAAGAGTTAGTTACGATCGTCATGGACCTCGAGGAGAAAATGCGCCGTACGCAATCTAGTCCGCTCCGTGCACCGTTACTCAAGTTTTTGAACCGGTACCCAACTGAGGCTTGGGCTTTCTTTTCGGTTAAACTCGGACAAGTAGGGTTCAGCCGCTTTTTCGTCCAATTGCTCTTAGCTGAAGAGAGTGCGGCCCTCCGGTCTACAGTTATGGACGACACTCCTACTTTGATCCAGCGAGGTTTTGGATTGAATCAGCCAGAAGATCAACCCGCCACGCCGCTTGTCGGTATTCGCATCGTTCAGGCTCTATGCCGCTTCCAGAGCACGTATATTAGCCAACACACCGATGTCATAAATGTGCTCTTGCGTGCGAGCAAGGTATTAGCCGCGATGGATGAAGAAAGTGCATCAGTCCTGACAACTGGGCAAGGCCTGGACGCTCTGATTGACACCTTCATATTCTACTTGAAAGAACAAGAAGACAATCTCGACGTCTTCTTTAGTCTTTTCGAAGTTCTAGCATCCAAAAAGGGGCTGATGACACACACGTTTGAGGACTACATTATGACTGGTATTATTCGGAATCGGTCATCAGCGTACCGCCGCAGCGTCATCGCACGCTGTCTGGATCTCTATCAGAAAGCTGATGTTCCCTCCCGCCTGAAGAGTACTATATTCCAGAAGCTCGCCAACCCCATCTTAATCGCGGGGTACAAGGGGCCTTCCTCAGAGGAAAGGCTTCTTGATAAAGACATGGCTGATATGATGCACTTGAAGATATGGAAGGCAACCCTTGCCGATGAATCGCTTTCTTCAGACCATCTTTTGCGGATTGAGCTCCTCCAAATGACGGCCTTGCTTCTTAAATACGATCATGTCCTTTTCGCTGAGCATCGGAAAGACATTATCAAGTTTGCGTGGAATTTCATAAAAGTCGACGATATCACGAGTAAACAAGCCGCATATGTGCTTATTGCATACTTCATAGCAGCTTACGAGACTCCGGCGAATATTGTGCTGCAGATATATGTGGCGTTGTTACGGGCTCATCAGCAGGAATCACGGGTCTTGGTCAAACAAGCTTTAGACATCATTGCCCCGGTTCTGTCCCTCAGGGTGCCGCCCACGCCAGAGTCACGCTACCCGCAATGGGCTAAATGGCCCCGCCGTGTCATCGCCGAGGAAGCGTCAAACATCCCTCAGTTGATGATTCACGTCTATCAGTTCCTTGTCGGGCATGGAGATGTCTTTTATGAATACAGGGATCATCTCATGTCGCAGCTTGCGAACGCCTTGTCAAAGCTAGGTCTGCAGTCAAGCGCTACTCCGGAAACAAAGACTCTGTCGTTAGATATCATTGATCTCATCCTGCGATGGGAAAGTCGTGTCTCGATGGACTCTGCTGATATTGGAGAACCTGGAGGTCGTGATGGCGAGAAGACTATCTTGGGTAAAAAGAAACTGGGCGACGCTATGGACGTTGATCAAAGCTCTCAAAGCACCACTCAGATGAGCAGTTATATTTCTCCTGTCCTTCGTGATCGTGTCATTGAGTATTTGCTTCGCTTTATATGTGCTTGCCCTGATCAAGGTTCAAAGGGACCACTTTCAACTCGGGCTAGCAAACAACTCGAAACCTTGTTGAGCGGAGAGTTCTGGCGTGATGCTGCTATTGAGCTTTCTGTCTTCGAAAAGAATCTTGTCACGAACGATGTCACTGAAGCAACCATTCCGGGATACGTCAATGCATTGGGAGCGCTTGGCGTCGTCCTAGACCATTTGCCTGACTCAAAAATTCTAGAAGACGTCTTGTCTCTTCAACAGCTTCTGGATAAGGGCCTTCGAAGCGATGCCGCTGCCATCCAGGAGCATATGCAGCCCATTGTGGCACGCATTCTTCGTGCAATTCCCAAGCCTGCAGATGACGAAGACGAGCCATCTGCAAATCTTGAGTTTCGCGCGGCGATTGTGTCCATCATTCAAGAGAACGTCCAAAATCTGGTCAATCTCAGTGGTGCTATCATGCTAGCTTGGACGTTGTGTCAAGACTGGCCTGACACGCTCGATCCTTTGATCCCTGGTTTGCTGAAAGCGTTCCAGAAACTGGCCAAAGATCACATTTCACCTCCACAACTTCCTCAGGCCCCTCCTGCCGCTGCTCCCACGGGAGGTGTAGCTGAACAAGTCGCGGCTGCCCCCACTGTTATGGATTCCGAGAACATCATCGTATCGCTCGGAAGAATTGTTGACTTCCTTCGCCTCCGCATATCTCATCTTGGAGATCAACGACGATGGTTCTTGAGTGCTTTGGTACAACTCATAGAGAAATCTCCGAATGCCGAGTTGTGTTCGAAAATCTTGGAAGTTGTTCGAGAATGGGTCCTGGGCAAGAATGAATCATTTCCTACTGTGAAAGAAAAGACTGCGGTGCTATTGAAAATGATGACCTTCGATAGTCGCGGGGATCCGGCACTGGTGAATAGGTTCTTGCACTTGCTCATCGACATATATCAAGACCCAACTATTGCCCGCACGGAACTAACTGTCCGCCTCGAGCAGGCCTTTTTCATGGGCACGAAAGCTGATGACTACACCATCAGAAATAAGTTTATGGAAGTGTTTGACAACAGCATGTCCCGCAATGTATTCACGCGACTGAACTACATTCTTGGAGTGCAGAACTGGGAATTCCTCGCGAATAACTTCTGGTTGCATCAGGCAAGTCAAGTTTTGGTGGGCTCCGTGATTGCCGACGCTCCGCTGGAATTCCAAGATGGCGATCGATGTTTGCGCCCCTTAACAGCGTTGAGCATTTGGTCAGGCTTCGATGATATGGAAATCACGGCCAATGATAAACTGGAATCATTCATTGCTCGTCGGCGAGAGTTTATCGAAAACGATACGCGAGTGCAGGCTGGTGATGTGGTTGTATCGCTGGCTCAGCTTCAGCATCTTGAAGTCATCACTGGGCATCGCTTGTGGATAGAGCTCTTTCCCCTCGGATGCTCTGCTGTTAGCAAAAAAGATCGCCAGGAATTGTCCAGGTCTGTCATTGCCCTTTTGGCTAAGGAATACCACAGTAAGCAATTGGAGAAGCGGCCAAACGTGATACGAACTCTGCTTGAAGGTATTGCGCGGGCTTCCCCCTCGTTACCTTTGCCCCCACATCTTGTGAAGTATCTTGGGAAGTCATACGATAGTTGGTATGTTGCCTTGACGTTGTTGGAAGAAGCGTCAACTACTCGCGTTTCAGGTGGTGACAATCCTGTTCATGAGAGCACATTGGATGCCCTGGCAGAAACGTACGCTCTTCTTTGTGAGGACGACATGTTTTATGGTTTGTGGAGACGAAGGTGTCAATACCTTGAGACTAATGCCGCGATCTCCTATGAACAAAACGGTATGTGGGATAAGGCGCAACATATGTATGAGACGGCACAGATCAAAGCCCGTACCGGCGTTCTTCCCTTCTCAGAATCGGAGTACAGCTTGTGGGAAGATCATTGGATTTTGTGTGCCCAGAAGCTCCAGCAATGGGATATCCTCACGGATCTTTCGAAGCACGAAGGGTACTCTGACCTCTTGCTTGAGTGTGCATGGCGCGTAACCGATTGGACTGCGGATCGCGAGCCCTTGGAGGCTTCCATCAAAACTCTCATGGACACTCCGACACCGAGACGCTATACGTTTGAGGCATTCATGGCTCTTCAGAAGGCTCAGTTGAAACTGGAGCCCATCCAGGAATTCTCCAGGGTATGTGACGAGGGTATGCAGCTCACTCTACGGAAATGGCACAGTTTGCCTTCGACAGTCACTCAAGCCCACATACCTTTACTGCAAGCTTTTCAACAGTTTGTAGAGTTGCAGGAGGCGAGTCAGATCTACGCAAGCTTAGCATCCACACATGCACAGAACCTCGACAGCAAATCACAGGAACTAAAGGGCATTCTGACAACATGGAGGGAGCGACTTCCCAACATGTGGGACGACATCAATGCATGGAGTGATCTTGTGGCATGGCGGCAGCTTATTTTTGCTGCCATTAACCGCGTGTACCTTCCACTGGTCCCTGCCTTGCAGCAGCAAAGTGCAACGGGAGCAGCGAACTCCAGCGCCAATTCCTTCGCATACCGAGGCTACCATGAAACAGCTTGGATCATCAATCGCTTTGCTCACGTCGCTCGCAAGCATCAATTGCCTGAAGTATGTATCAATCAGCTGACTAAGATTTACACTTTGCCGAATATCGAGATTCAAGAGGCATTCCTGAAGTTGCGGGAACAAGCGAAGTGTCATTACCAGAATCCTAACGAACTGAATACGGGTTTGGAGGTCATCAGCAATACAAACCTCATGTATTTCAATACGCAACAGAAGGCAGAGTTCTTTACTCTCAAAGGAATGTTCCTCGCAAAACTTCGTCTCAATGACGAGGCGAACCAGGCATTCGCAACAGCCGTACAAATTGATTTGACGCTCGCTAAGGCCTGGGCTGAATGGGGTTTCTACAATGACCGTCTCTTCAAGGAGAATCCTCGTGATTTGAATTCTGCTTGCAATGCTGTGTCTTGCTACCTGCAAGCCGCCGGTTTGTACAAGAATGGAAAAGCCAGAAAGGTGCTCAGTCGAATTCTCTGGTTGCTTAGTTTGGATGATGCGCAGGGAACTATATCTCGTGCGTTTGACTCATATAAGGGTGAAGTTCCCGTTTGGTATTGGACGACCTTCATTCCTCAGCTTCTTACGTCCCTGTCTCACAAAGAGGCCCGGCATGCCAGACAAATTCTGGTTAAGATTGCTAAGAGTTATCCGCAAGCGCTCCATTTCCAGCTTCGTACAACTAAGGAGGACTATACTGTCATCAAACGCCAGGCCTTGGCTGCTGCCGCGCAATCTGTGTCTACCCGAGCTGGCGCTGGTGTCAAACCGCCACAACCTGCTCAAGCTGAAGGCCAAAGTTCTGCGGGTAACGGTACTGATACAACAACTAACACGACCAGCGCTCACCTGGCTCAGACGCCTGCTGCTCCAGGCGAAGTCAAGACCGAGAATGGCACTGCCACGCCTAGGCAGTCTGCTGCTGTGAAGCCTGCATCACCGGCCGTGGCGAGTCCGCAAGTGCATAACAGACAACCTTGGGAGCACGTTGATGACATTATGTCGATCCTCAAGACGGCCTACCCCCTGTTGGCACTATCCATGGAGACCATGGTGGATCAGATTCAGCAACGTTTCAAGTGTCCGCCAGATGAGGATGCGTATAGGTTGATCGTGGCCTTGCTAAACGATGGTGTTCAGTATATTGGTCGGCTGTCTTCACCGAGTGAAGATACAAAGCTGCCCCCGGCCACAGAGGCAAATATCTCTCGCTTTGCTGAAAGTGTTTTGCCCAAGCACATCAAGTCTGCTTTTGAAGATGACTTTCTCAAAGAGAAGCCCAACTTGCAAAGCTATGTGGCCAAGCTTCGACACTGGCGAGATAGGTTTGAGGCGGTGCTTGATAGGCGTCCACATCAGCAGAATCTGGAGCAATGCAGCACGTTCCTTACCGAATTTCAATATCAGAAGTTCGATGAAGTGGAGGTTCCGGGTCAGTACCTGCTGCATAAAGACAACAACAACAACTTTGTGCGTATTGACAGATTCCTGCCTACGCTTGACGTAGTGCGCGGACACGGAGTGTGTCATAGGCGACTCACTATTCGTGGGCACGATGGCAGTCTGCATCCCTTTGCTGTGCAATATCCAGCTGCAAGGCATTGTAGGCGGGAGGAACGTATTTTTCAGCTGTTCCGCATCCTGAACGGCGTTTTGTCGCGACGGAAGGAAAGCCGAAGACGTAATCTTACTTTCAACTTGCCTGTTGCTATTCCTCTAGCACCTCATATTCGTATCGTGCAGGACGACCCATCTTATGTTTCGCTGCAAGGCGTGTACGAGGAGTACTGCGATCGCGTTGGTCTACACAAGGACGACCCTTTGAGATACTTTGCGGAAAAGCTCAGAGCAGCCTATGACCCCAAGCATCAGGTGATTACGTGAGTCAGATTTTACAAGCTTGTACTAACGCGTTACGATAGCGAGCGGACTTGACCAGTATCAAGTTGGAGGTTTTGGAAGCAATTCAGTCAAAGATGATCCCGGATACTATTCTTTATGAGGTATGATGACATGTTGCACGCATAGCCATGCCGCCACTAATCGCATGTCTCATTCAGTTCTTCAAGCGTACTTTCCCTTCTTTCTCGGACTTCTGGCTGTTCCGGAAACAATTCACGGCGCAATATGCCAGCCTAACCTTTATGACGTATGTCATGTGTATCAACAACCGGTTCCCGCACAAATTGTTCTTTTCGAGGTCAACGGGCAACATTTGGGCCACGGAGTTACTACCAGGTCAGTGATATTGAAACGGTGTATACATGTTATGGCTCTCTGACAGGCAGTTCAGCAATGGCACCAAACAGCCCTGTCTTTCATAACGGGGAAGCCGTTCCGTTCCGTTTCACGCCGAACATTCAAAAGTTCATCGGTCCTATCGGTATCGAGGGTATCTTCTCGTGCGCTGTTATGGCTATCGCACGCTGCCTTACGGAACCGGAGTTCGAGTTAGACTTGTATCTGAGCGTATTCGTCAGGGATGAGCTTATGTATGTTTCCCTTGTGCAAGCTTTTACGGATGTACGCTAACCGTATCGCAGCACATGGTTTACCCAGCAGCATCGTCCCGTTGCGCAGGATGCGCAGCTTAGGGAGAAGGTTGCTACGAACGTCGATCTTATCGTTCGAAGGGCCTCATCGCTTTCGCATGTAGCGCAGGGTAACATTCCTGCCAACCAGACGATCATAGATCTCATCTCTCAGGCCGTGAATCCTCGGTCTTTGGCGAGTATGGACTCTCTTTTCATGTCGTGGTTGTAGGGGAGTAGAACCATATTGCGAGTTTCTTGATGGGTTTCTTTTTACTTTGTGCCACCAAAGACCATTGATCCTCGTGGATCCATCAAAGACCCTTGATCCATCGAAGACCCATGAAATTTAGCCAACCTCACGATCCAAACCTGGACACTAGGAATTCCACTCTACTTGAATACTTTCCGACTTTATTCGTGTTTATTTGTACAGTTGAATGACTTATTCGAGTGCCTTTGCTGGAAGTGGAATATGTTATTCCATATTTGTGCAATCACGAATCAGGTATTCGTGACAGTCGAATGCGGGGGGCTCGCAGGGGCCTACCTACTTTGGATATATACAAATCGTGATGACTTCTTGGGCTTCCCTCTGCCAAGGTGGATGGGTGTGACACCTTTTTATTATAGCTCATTCTGGTCTCAACTGACCTTGTTTGGCACTTTACAGGACCTCGGCTCGATATCTGGAGTGAGATATCTCAACGGCTTGCACTTACAGCTGGTTGCAAAATGCCTGTCGCAATCTGCAGGTAGCTGCACATGCTCCGTAAACCCTCACCGTAAAACCAACAGAACAACTCCATTGAAGGCCTAGGAAGGTCGCAAACGGTTCGAAATGTTCGGTGAGATATGCGACAATAGCACACGGTCCATAGTTATCGAGAACTACATCGAGGGCTATGACGTTCACCAACTCAGTAAGATCATCAACCGATCGGTACAAACCATTTACAGGATTGTCAAGAGATTCGAGGAGTAAGGCACCCATGAGCGCCTCCCTACCACGAACTGTGGTAGGACGCCTCAGATTGACTCCCGCATAGGCATGGTAAGTGACCTGCCCCATCGAGGACCTTGGCTGAAACGCCGGGCATGGCATGACAGCATATCAAGGCCCTGTATGATCTGAACCCTACCCTATACCAGGATGATTGCGCAGAGTTTATGACCAGGAATTTGCAACTTCACTATCGAAGTACCATGTCTGTCGATACCTCAAAAAGATTGGATATACTCGAAAGACTCTTACGCTAAGGGCAGCAGCACGGAACGGCATTTTACGTGCGCAACACGCCATATCAATGGCTGAATACAGTCAAGAACAACTGGTCTTTCTCGATGAGTCTGCTGTCGATGAGAGGACTGCTACCCGGAAATTTGATTATGCGCCAGTCGGTACTAGGGCGATTGAGGAGAGACCGTTTGCTCGAACCAAACGTTGGAGTGTATTGCCTGCACTTACCTCGACAGGGCTGTATGCTTTATCGGTCTTTCAGGGATCCTTCAATGCTGATCGATTTGTCGAATTCGTCGAACATGAACTGCTACCGATTCTCAACCCCTACCCTGGTCCGAACAGCGTGGTTGTCCTTGACAACTGCCGTATCCATCATGACGAAAGGGTATATGAACTCATTGTTCAACGCGCTGGATGTCGACTTCATTTTTTGCCGCCTTACTCACCAGACCTCAATCCAATCGAGCTCTGCTTCAGTATGATGAAGGCCTGGATGAAGCGCAACAATAAGCATGAGTTAGTTCGATCAGACCCTGAGGGTTACATACGCTGCGCAATCGACTCAATCAATGAGCACCCTGACAAGATCCGCAACTTGTATATGAACTGCGGTTATGCATTGTCAGATGCAGAGTTACGTCGGTATGTCGATTATAACAACCAGGTCACTATTGATGCTAGGGCAACTATGTAGTCACTTTTTTCTAGCTTGTATGAGTAGGTTTTTCGATCGAAGCAATACATTCGTTTATTTTCAGTAACCTGCCATTCTCACGGGCAGATTCCCTCACAAAATGGCTGTACGTATGCCCAAATGCAATGCATGAAGATGTGGTCTTCAGTAACCACCGACTCTAGTTGCAGCAAAGTGCATACTACTTGACACCAGGGGTGGTGAGTACGGTAGCGATTGAAGTAAGGTGTTGAGCTTTGTAAGGTCATTGTGAAAGAACTAAGCATGCTATCGAGAAAAGAAGAATACCACATAAAAGAGCAGAACTAGTAGATACTTTCTGACTCATCGGGAACCTCGTAAACCTCGAAGGGTCTTGCTTCCAGTCGTTTAGCGTTGGAATCCTTCTCCCGCATAATACCTTTCCATACTGGCCAGCAATTCTTCATGAGCATGACCCAGCCCTTCTTAGCAGGTGGTAGACCATCATCCGGTATCTTTTTGAGGTCGTTGAGGCGAATGCCGTGGTCAACCACTGCATCCCTGACTACATCAATATTGAAGTTGGTGTAGGCAGGGGCATGTCTCCCAACATACTCCAAGAATCCATCCAAATCATCTCCTGCTGGTCCTGAAAGAGGGCTCGAGCCTCTCATGGGTTGCGCTTGGTCTGGTACCTGAGTCGAAGGGGGTGCTTGGTTCAAGTCAAACCGGCTGATTGTCATGGGCGTAGGTAGGTGCGAATGCCCACTTGAAGACCTGCTTTCAGGTGTTGCCGAGGGTTGATCTGTTGGTTTGAATGCTTCACGCAAGCTGTTGAACATGGTGTCATGTAGGGGTGGTTGATCGAGCGTGACCCCAGGTTCTTCATTGGCAATATAGTCTGCCCATCGATTCTGCTGGTGCATGTTGATGTGTCGATGAGCCTTACTCAATGGGTGAACGTAGCATAGGTTTTGATGGTGCTGGGCGCATTTGTATTTTTGCTGAAGGGACTGTATGGCAAGCAACTTGTGGTAAGCAACAGGGTCTCCCTCGATGTTGACAGAAACATCCTGAAGGGCCCTCGTAGTTGCTGTATTCCTAGCCCTTGCGAATGGAATGTTGCGGGGCCTTGACTTCTGCTGGGAGGACCTAGTCGGAGTTTCGAGGTCTTCGGTACGGGAGAGAGACTGGATTTGCGGTACGAAGCGCGTATCGATTTGAATGAAAACTGTCCACTCGATCTTAGGTACCATGCGCTCAGCGTTGACGGCCTCAATGAATGCTTCCCAGTCGAGGGGGTACCGTAGTCGACACCATGGTGCATCCTTGGAACGACCGCGTACAACTTTCCATTGAATGTAGGGAGTAAGGGAGTGAATGTTGATGCCCTCTTTGACCACAGGGTCCTGACGCAACTCCTCGAGGGCGAGATTGAGCAATAGTGGTTGAACAAAGTCCCATTCTTTCAGGGGGTCGACCATGAAGGTCCTTGGGCATACCTAAATTTCGGCTCCCTAATAACGATTACCTGAACCATGAAATCATCGTATTGACTCATAGGTTCAGGAGCTGGGTCTTCGATTTCGAGATCAATGACTGTTTTGGTACGTTTAACCCTGGCGGGTGGTTTTGACGGGGGGCTTGAACGCAAATCATCCTCGAGCCTAGGCGGGGGTTTGGGGGTGCGGCTTGAAGCCCCGAGCTGAACTGGTTGTTTGGCTGCTCCTCTCAGCTTCCTAGGAGGCATATTGATGGAGTTATGACGCGTTTTGTTGGAGTGTCGATGTCAGACGCGCAGGGGTGATTTTAGGCCCTGCGACAGGCATTTTGCAACTAGCTGTACTGCTGTGTGCAAAATTCTTGACGTGACTTTCCCATGTGCGCGCGAATCGCAAACTCCATATGACAAAAACCCCTTAAACAACATAGATAAAGGCCTCGGAGGTCGAGTAAGGGTTCAAACTGATCATACCTATCCTTAGCAATCACGTCGTGCCACCGGTTTTGGGCCACAAGACCTCCCTCAGTCGCTTCATGCTGAAATGGTGTTTTCAGTGAAAAGAAAGAAACGGACCCTGGAAGGCACTACGGATGCAGCGCTGGGTCACATGAGATAGAAGGAGCTTGGATGAACATGTTCTGTGTGTGGTTTCTTTGATTCTAACAGTTTTTGAGGTTTGTGGGTCCAGAGAGTGTTTTCGATGCTTTCATGCATAATCATGCAACATCATGCACCCGGGCCGAAATCCTTCATAATGTCACAACTCTATGAGAACCGGTAATACACGCGTTTCGGGGACATCTATCAATTCCTAAGAGTTTGTTCTATCGACGTCTACCCTGAAATCGCCCTCCCAAGCCTTGTCTATGAAGATGGGGGGGGTTCATGAAACTATCCCCGCGCAGATAGGCGGTAAAATGCGCCGCGTCAAGAATTTTGCACACAGCAGTAACTTGACCTTACATAAACCTGACGGAGATACAAATGTCCATTGAACCTACTTAAACCTAATTCAAAATTTTGCCCATATAATGATCCAAAACGCCAAATCCGGGTTCTTCGGCCTGCACCTCTTGAGAGTGACATGTGAGCACTGAGTGCTGATGCACTGGCAAATTTCACCAAGTCCTCAGCACCAACCAGGAACCCACCACCATCAACGTCTCAATCCTCCTAGGTGTCTCACGACTGACTGACGAAAGCATTAAATTCTACGCCTCCCTGGTCCTCTCCCATCGATGTTGGAGTCCCTGGCTCTCTGCCATCTGTTCTCCTGATGCTATGGCTTGTATTGTCTCAACCCAAACTGGGCACATGATCGCTGTTGCTGAAAGGTTAACATGATGGTTGTTTAATCTCGACACTCCTGCTTGATGTCTCCTCTTATTCGGGTGAGTAGAATCCAGACGGAACTGCTGCTTGCTGGTGGAACAGGCATTTACATTTGGAAATGGCTGTACTGTCAACTGCTATCGGTATCGTTTGAATCTTATCGTAATATCAATGGGCCTAGAATGATGATGACCTGTGATAGACGGGACCAATGAACGTCACGTCTGTGCAGTGTACAATCATGCCCTATGAAGTTACCGGTCATGGAATTGTTGCTCATGGAAATTCCATGATAAACCCATGAGCGTAGTCATGGAATTCGCTCATGGAATCTGACACTTTTGCTCTGGGAAATTCCATGACCGTTGATCTGGGAAATTCCATGAGCTTATATTAGTAATAACAGTAGTAGTAGGTGATATCCCGCTTCCATCCCATATGTGGTATCAATACAGTCAAATCAAATCTCTCCTCCCGGCACCTCTTCTCTCCTCCCGGGCTTCAGGCTCTAGCTCCACCTCCTTCATGCTCATCACTCGCTTCACTCGATACCAGACTCTCGAGTGGCACCTTCCCTTTGCTGGATCGTAAATGGGCCTGTTTCAACATCAAGAGACTCCCATTGCGACGATTTTGAGTGGCAGAACTCCCCGAAGATGGGTTTGCTGCTGTTGCTGCTGGGTCGAGACCGATAACTGTGTTGAAGCTGCTGAATGGACTGGAGCCTTGCGGCCATCTGACATGGAGGACGGATTGGGAGCGACGACGCCAGAGGCAGGCTTGGCAGTGCTCATGGGATTGCTGCTGGTGAGACCGCTGAATTTGCTGTTGATAGCACTATCCTCGTGTGCAAACATGTCTTCAGTACTCAAGCTCTTGCTGTTGCTGCTGGCGTACTTTTCGTGATCCTTGGCGAGGAGCCTGGCCTTCGCTTCGTTTCTTTGTGTCGTAACCAAAGCAGCCCTCTTCTTCGAGCCCTGACTGCTGGCAACGGAGGGAGCAGGAGAAGGACCGCGTTTGTTGCCAGACTTGACATTCGAAGAGTGCTTGGAAGCGGAGCCGGAGGCGGAGGAGGTAGTGGCAGCTGAGTTGATTGCAGAGGTCGGCTTCGCAGCGGGAGAGGGCTTGCTAGCAGATGACGTGGGAGTGTTGGAGTTGGGGACGCTGGTAACGCTCTTCGGGCGTGACAGTCCCACACGCACTGCACCTGACGTCATCGACAATGGCTTACCGGCCCGCGAAGCATAATTCACAATGTCACCAGATGCGTTGGACAGAACACGACCGACACAATCGTTCTCCTTCTCCATCTGATTGTCTGCCTTCGCCTTCGCCCTCTCCTTACTCCTCTTCGATTTCTCAACAGACTTCTCCACAGGCATCTCGGCTGCCTTATCCTTGCTCCTCTTCGATGTCTCCATAGCCTTCTGATTGGGCTTCGCCACATGCTTCCCGACAGACTTCTCCTTCTTCTTCGTCGACGACCTCTCATCTCCCTTGCCCGAGGACCTACGTCCACCGTTTCCAACAGGATCAGGATCGGAAACCGGCCCGAGCAATGAGGAGGGAACGACGATCAAGCTGGAGGAAGGCCCGTCCGAAGAAGTGATCACGATTGGCTCAGGGGGAGAAGAGGTATCACTGGACGACATCAGCTTGAAGTGCTTGTGAGAAGCTTTAGCAGCCTTCTTCTCTGCTTTAGCAGCCTTCTTCTCGGCCTCCTCAGCCATGCGAAAGAACTCCTCGCTGTTAGCTTCTTCAGCCCACTTCTTCATCAACTCCGCCGATTTCCTCTCCGTCTGGGCTTTGGCACGTTTCTTTATTGAGTCTTCGAGAGCCTCACGCTGAGCGTGCTGATGCTCGTGTTGTCCTTGGGCGGCTTGTTTGATGCGTGCCAGATCTTCGGAGACCTGAACTTGTTGCTTCTGCCATGCTGAATCCTGAGCACGTCGCACTTCAGTGGGAGCAAGGGAGGGGCTACGAGAAACCTGGACCTGGTCAACATCCTGGGTCTCGTCATCGAACATTCCCGCCTCCCCGTTCCGTCGCTGCTATTTGTTGGCGTCATAGGAGTCTGCGGCTTCAATACGCTGCTTCGGCTTCGGACCAGGCGTAGGAGTGATCTGGTGAAGGTCAGGAAGGTCCAAGTCCGAGTCATTCTCTTCGTCCTGGATATCAATGTGCCGGTCCTGTTCAACCACGTCAATCCTTTGAGCGTCAGGAAAGCTGTCTGTCATCTCCATCTCATAACCAAACTCCGGCTGAACAACAGAGAATCCATCTTCCATGTCGTCATAGAATTCATCTGCACCATTGTCAGAGAAGCCTTCCTCCTCTCGATCTTCCTGACGTTGATTCTCCTCGTCACTGTCGACGACGAGAGCAGTAGCAGGAGTAGCACCTCTTTCAAAACGATCATCGGCTCGAGCAGCAGCCTCAATACGGTTGGCACGCCTCTGCTCCTGTCTCTCCTTCTGCGCCTCGGCCTTCTTGGCTTTGGACTCGGCTGAACGGCGGGCTTCTGCATTGCTATTGTAATCGGCAGTCACATAAAACCAATCGCAAACCCAGTTCTGCCATGTTCCGGACAGGACCTCGGGGAAGGCCTTCTTCAGCTGCGGCACCGGTGATCAGCAACGTCAGAGCAGCGCTTACGGGGTGGATGCTTACATCATGCTTGGCTTTAGCCTTGCGAGACTCGCACTTCGACTCCCATGTCACGAACACATCGGTGCCGTTCTTCTTCTTCTTACCATTCGGATCTTTTTTCAGCCCAAGACCTAGCCTCTGTCTTTCAGCACGCACAAAGCCACGGATCCCTTTCCAGATTGTCTTGCACTCCTCTGTACCCGCATCGAGTTTCATGACCTTCCGAATCTGCCGTGCAGTCCAGTTACGCCAGTTCGGAGGTGCAGGTATGCGCTCCGGGCCTTTCGATTCTTGGACACCTTCGATCTAGCCTGGTGAACACGCTTCTTCAGCATCGCTCTCGTCTCCTTCTCCACGGTGTCCGCCCTTCTGCTGTGCGTCGGACGATGTAAGCTGGATGCGCTGGACGACGATGTGGCACCGGCAGAACGAGGAGCTGTGCTTAGTTGTTAGAGCGAGAACAAGTCACGCATACAGTCGGTGTACTCACCGGCAACAGCTTTGGAATTCCGTATGACTTGGTCCATATCCTCTTCCTCGTCGTCCTCGTCATCCTCGACGCTATCCAGTTCGTCTTCTTCATCCTCGTCTAAGGTTCCGTAGTCCTCATCGGCACTATCTGTAGACCAGGTAACGGAAGATTCATTCCTGTTAATATGGCCAGATGAACTCGAAGATGGTAGTGGGCTGCTTCGGGCTCTTTGACTGGCTATATGCTATGTTAACAATGCGTAGCTACAGGGGCTGCTCGAAGATGACCTACACTTTCCTCCTCTCGCAACAGACTCCTTCCCTTCAGCACGGCGTTGCCTTGCCATGTCTTGTTGATCAGCCTTTTCGGACGTTTCTCACGATGATTACGATGATTACTGTTTACCAATCGGGTTGACTGTTGTGCAATGGGATACCGGTGAACTGTCTGCGGGGGTGTATATATGCGGACATGGTGCCGAGCACTTTAAGGTTGCAGTAGCACGAACCTTACTAACAGCAGCACGAAATTGGCTCAAGTCGAACGGGTGAACACGGTCCCAGCTCAATTGCTAAATCGTCCCAAGCTCTTGCTTTCTTGCAACTGTCTTGCAGCTTGCTTCGCTCACTCTTGCCTGCTGATAACCTACTACAACCGCATACAACCGACTTTCTTGCTTTGCACATCATGCCGCGAGGAGCACGTCGACGATTGCAGTTCGTCTGCAAGTGCACTCGACACGCCGATCAAATCAACGGTCAGAACGTCAGCAGAAGAACTTACTTCCGCCACAGACAGGAATGGAAGGCGATGAAGCGGCTGCGGCGCCGCGCTCCCACCATCAACCTGTTCACGAGTGACCCCGATGCCATCATGGATGAGGACGACGACATGGGTGTCTTGCCTGAAGCTTCGGACGCCGCGGCCGGTCCAAGTACGGCAGGCTCTCAAGCTGATCTTTGGGATTCCGGAGAGGAGTCCTCGGAATCTTGCAACTCGTCCAACTCCTCTGATCACGACTCCTCCTCCGACGCAAGCGATACACCTGACATAATTCCCGATACAATTTCATACCTTACGGTGTCAGAGCCCGAGAGCGATAGTGCATCGTCCTTGCACCTCGACGATCCGATCGGTGCCGGGCAGTGGGTTCAAGACAGCGATGATTCCGGGTATGAGAACAGCGACGGCCTCAGATCTGATGACTACGGGGAGGAAGCGCCTGAAACCGTGGACGAGATGGAGGAGGAGCCAGGTGATGCGGCAAGCAAGGTCAAGAGGCTCCTCCGCTCGTTCATGTTTGACTTCCAGGCTCTTCGCTATCACCATGAGCTGGAGGCCGACTTGGACGTGGAACAGCTAGTGCAACTGCTGTTTTGGAAGCAATACCATAACACACCGGACCGTGCTTACAGACATCTTCGTGAAATCCTTGGAGACAGTGAGGTTCCTGGACTCGAACGAGCTATCAAGGTACTTGCTGCTCACACAGGTATCAAGGCCAAGGTATTCGATTGTTGCATAAGCAGCTGCGTGGCCTTTACGGGTGATCTGAAGGACCTGGAAGTCTGCCCATGTGGGGAGGCGAGGAAGTACCAGCACACCGAGACGAAGGTCTCCGCTCCCGTGCCCCCTGGGACTTTCGCCATGGCGGATGGCAGGCAAGATATCCCCAGGCAACAGCGGTCTTCAGCCGAACTGAAGCCTCGCTCGACGTTTGTCTACATCCCGGTGATCCCAAGGCTTGCGATGCAATGGGCCAGTCGAGAACGGGCTCAAACCATGAAGACCTATGTCAGCACCATCCTCCGTACCCGCTTTCCTGGAGTGAGGGACTTCTGGGACGGTCACATCTACAATAAACTCAGGAGGACAGGGCGGTGCTTCCAGGATGTGCGAGATATGGCTTTCCTACTCTGTACAGACGGAGTACAGCTTGTCAAGATCAAGACTCATGGTGTCTGGCCAATCCTACTCATCAACCTCAATTTGCCCCCGGATCAACGTTACAAACAAGAGAACATGATCCTGGTGGGTATCATTCCTGGCCCTAACGAGCCCACCGAGATCGACACCTTTCTCCTCCCACTCGTTGAGGAATTTGAAGCACTCTACCATGGTATCCCGGATATATGGGACGCGTCCGCAGAACCCGGAGAGGACGATGATGCTGACGATGAAGAATCCTACAAGCAATTCACCATGAAGGCGTACGTTTGTGTCGTGGCAGGGGATCGCCCTGCTGTCAAGAAGATGATGCAAACAGTGGGACCGAACGGGAGATCACCGTGCTGGCTTTGTGAGTTCACGGGGACCCGTGTGAATAGTGCAAACGACAACTACTATCCGCATCGCCCTTGTACGAATATGCCCAGGCCTCCAGAACAGTGGGAAAATCGTCATTGGGACGTCGATGCCCTCCCCATGCGTAAGGGAATGAAAGCTGACATGCTCGATATTGCTCAAGCGAATGATGATAAGTTGCGCACCATGACAGGTCTTTCTGGGTTCGGTATCCTTCATAACCTCCCCACTCTCCATTGGCCGATGAGCTTTGGCATCGACGTCATGCACCTCATCTGCGATAACCTATGTCACCTGCTCTTCAATCTATGGGATGGCAAGCTTCCCCCAGGGCAGCATGCACCCGCACCGGACAAACCGGCAGCCGAAGGGGGTGTGAGACCCACCGGCCCGCTGCAACCCGAAGATCCGGACGCTGATCCTGACTTTGACGAGGATGTTTCGGTTCCACCGACGCCCGCAACTCAAGTTACTCAAGCTACATACACTCAGACCCAACAACTCCCACTTCCTCCTCCTCCTCCTCCTCCTCTTCCTCGTCGAGCGAACAAGACGAGAGCAAAGGATCCTTGGGTGCTACCGCCTAAAGTACTTCAGCAGATCGGAGAGGACATGAAGGGATGTAGGAGGAGTATCCCCGGCTTGTTTGGCCGTGCTCCGAGGAACATTGCGAAGAACTCTGCTGGTTTTCGGGCTACTGAGCCTGTTTTCCGTGCCGCTTCTGCATGGGAGATTACCAGAAGAGTACTTGTCGAACTGGGAGACCCTCTGTGAGGGATACACACTCTCGATTCAATTCGAGCTCACTTTCGAGGAGATTGCTCTTGTCAGGGCCCTGTTCAAGAAGTTTGTGATTGATTACGAAGCCCTGTACTACCAGGATGACTACAATCGATTACAAGTCTGCCCGTCCTCCATCCACATGTTGCTTCATGTCGCTGATTCTATCGAATGGCTGGGTCCTGCATGGGTTTTCTGGGCCTTTGCGATGGAGCGTGTATGTGGGATGGTTGTCCCCAAGGCTAGATCGAAGGCGGAGCTGAACACAAGTCTTGCTAAAGCTGTCTTCCTCGGGGAACAACTCAAGCTCTTCGAGTTGCTTCGTCATACATCACCAGACTTCAACTCCTTTATGAAGCCAAAAGATCAGTCTTGTCAGTTCCAGCTGCGAACCAATTGGGGTTGGTTTGTGGCCCCAGAGAAACGACTGAACTTGAGTGCTGAAACGCGTCGCTATCTGCTTGAGTATCTGCAGAAAATCGACAGTGCAACACAATTGAGAGATGTTCCTGTTTGGACCTTTGCCTACAAGCGTTTCCAATTGTGTGATGGTGGAGACATGGTGGGTTCGCAGTCTAGTCAAAGGAAGAGTGACAAGACTCGAGCCTCCAACATTGTCATGTATACTCAGGACACTGTCAGCCGAGTTGGAGTTGAGAGGAGGGAGATCTTGTTTGGCGAGGTGGATGTGTTTGTGAGGGTCCTTGTGAAAGGCATTCACCACTATATGACATGCATTCGATGCTATTCACCACCTCTATCACGCCGGCGCCATTTTATTGTGGAAACAAACCCTCATGGGGACTTGCATGATTGGATTCATGTCAAAGACATCAAGCGGTTGGTGGGTACCATGCAAATGAGGCCTTTGATTGAGAACAACTTTGGACTGGCCTCTCGGAAGCCCGCGTGGATCATTGATCGTCAGACATACGCTTGGAACAGTGCCATGAGGCTCATAAACGATATGGAACTTTAATTTAGCTAATTCATATTGCTTGTACGCCGTTCTCATGTTGGCTTCGTCGGTTCTCCTGTACGCCTGGACTGCTCATGGAATTTCCAAGTCAAGTCGCAATTCCATGACAAACCCATGATCCCATCTGGGAAATTCCATGACCTTACCAAGCCATCATGGAATTTCCATGAGCGGTCCAGTCTTAGGGATGAGGTAGAATAGTATAACAGTGTAGTGGTGGTCAAAGAGAAGTATCATCTATATATCCTACCTATTGTTTGTGGTGACTTGAAGATTTTCAAATTCTTTCAAGTGGTGGGGGGCTCTGGTACATATGTTCGCATTTCTACACAGCCACAGTACCAAACAGGAAAGTCATGACATCATTATTATCATGTCATGAACACTTATCATGTCCATGTCTGATTCCATAAACTGCGGAATTCCTTTCCAGGCCGTAATCCCTGATAATGTCAAGGACTATGATCCATGTTTCCGTCGTGGTTTCTAGCATGGGTTGTAAACAAACGCCAACTTCCATAATCCACGTGTAATCCTTGTCTAATCCATGATTTTGACATGAATTACAAATTTTGTTAGAACTGAACGGGTTTAATCCTTGACAACTCGCATCATAGGGCAGGCTTCAATACCTCAAGGCATATATGTACGTTCGGTTGGAATAGTGCTTTTACTGTTCGTCAACTAATATATCTATGATTGCATTGTACCTAGTACACTTGACTGTATTCTGTAATCAGCCTGTTAATTACACGATGCCGTTTGTCATGTAATCTGATTACACGTCATGTATTCATCGTGTAATCCAATTACACAAACGATTACATGATCTTCCCCTGGTTTACATGTCATATAAAGTTTACATGATGATTTCAGATTGATCATGGATTAATATTCCAAGCCTCAGCCCAAGCCTCAGCCTGAGCTGCCTCATATCGCAAGTGCTCCTCCCATCAAAGCCATGTCCTCTCGTGCTAGTTCTGCACGCCCGGATGAGACGCTCGCTCCTCCTCCCTCGGAGCTCTCTTCGTCCTCTTATTCCAGCAGTTCAGGCAATGGCGGCACTGTTGTCAACTATGCCTCGAAGAGCAAGGCAATCTCCACCTTTGCTCCTGCAACCTCAGGTAACCTCCGTGTGGCTTGCATTCCATGCTCCTGTTGATCCAATTGATTGTATTTTCGGAAAGCCCTGTCTGGCCATGTCCCTTTGCATGGGCGTGTTGCTCAGGAAAAAGCTGCTGCAGGTGGGGCTTCCTCTTCCGACACCCTCCTCGTCTTCTTCTATAAAGCGGTCCCTTCCCCATCTCAGTCTAGTCAGAGCTCCAAGAAGAGGGTCTTGGGGGTCACTCCTGATAGGAATGATGCCAAGTCTCGCCGACAAAGAGGCACAGAAGTATGCCACAAGTGAACTAACTGTCTGAGGACTGGTTTGCTCATGAGGATAGTGTTGTCAACCTCACCTCTGCAGGTTCGTTGGTCTCTTCAGGGTTAAGTGTTGTACCCATTGCTGTGCTGAGGAGGAGAGAGGCGAGCGCCGTGAGTTATATTGATTGAGGAAACTGAGTGAGTTGCACACCCATTATTGACAGAGGTCCCATTACCGACGGAGGAGTGCGGCGTAATAGGGAGGAGGCCTTACTGCTAACGAAGGAGAGGTGTGATACCAATGATTCTACTATAGCCTATACTTTTCAACAGAGATTCTACTTCCCGAATCCCGGCTGCACACCCGTATCATGAAAATCTCTGAACGCTGTCTGTCATGGATGTTCCATGAGCAGATCCACGATCTCAACAGGAATTATCCTTGAAAAATCCATGATAGCAGACTCCGTAGGGCTTATGGCCGGTCACATCAAGGATTAAGCTAACCCAGATCATCATTTGGGTCCCATTATCTAAAATATATTCATATGATTAGGCTTTTTCCGTGACCAGACAATCATAGATTAAGCCTTACCAAGTAATCCATAATTCTCGCGACTGTAGGAAACAGTCATTACATAACTTCGGATTATAAATATCGCTATATATAAGGCAGGAGGCCCCTCCAGGTTGATCTATAAGTGCACGGGAAGAACGGTTGGGCATTCTTCCTCCATTCTTCTGAGGCTACGCCCAATTGCAATTTTAGCATGGATTATGCTGAACCATATCGTGAATTTTGCGAACAGCATGGCGGGTTGTGCCCCGTTATCCAGAATATGATCGCAAACGGGATTTGGATTGTAATCCACGATGTGGGTGTGGATTGTAACCATTGCATGGTCTTGACTGTTCATCCATGCAAAAATTGTGGATTGTATTCCAAGATACCTGTAACGAGCATACTCCAGAACAATATCGAGAACTTATAAAGCATGATCCACCTGGGATCACTAGTTGCACCGATAGTAGTCATGCATACGGCAAAGGTAACTCATGTACATGATGATACATTCCAGCTGACAAATCCAGGATATATTGTCATCATTTATGTGCGGCCCTAGGTAAGCTCGCGTTCAATATGGTATTTTGACATACATATGTACATAAGGATAGCTCGGACCGGCGCGCGAAGTCCATTTGAAGGCAATGAAAACGCGGCAGGGTACACTTCCCTACAACGTGAAAAATTATGGATTACAAAATCCCGTTGACAATTATATTCTGGATAATGGGACCCAAACCATGATTTAGGTCGGCTTAAGTCATGATCAATTCACATTAGGAGTCGCATAGTCGTAATGCACTGCAAAAGTAGAAGTTGTGGTCAAACCTGATTTTTGTCAGGTGGGCGCTTAATCCATGTCAAAATGGTGAATTCGTCCCTGGATCACGTTACGCACATCATTGTGGATTTATATCCTAGCAGACCTAGCAGAAATCCCAGATAAGATCATGGATTACAATGCTTAGCATGATCATGGATAAGCCCGATAACAATGTCATGAAGTATAGTCCCAGATAAAATCATGGCCACTGTTAAGGAGAAAGTTGCAGTACAATACAGGAGAGAATTGCGAAAATAAGACCAATATGCTTTGAAATATTTGTCACAAATGATGTCATAGGCCTGTGTGATTGTGGCATGGTACCGGTTAGAACAGCGTTCTTCAGCTAATTACACTTAACTGACGTTTAGAAGCCACGAGCCTTTCTAACACGGACTTACGCGTACGCATTTCGATGAGGAACTCTTCTTGGTTGCGGTCATATTGAACCTTGGTGGATTCATGTTTGTCTCTTGGCATATTACCGTAACCAAACCGGCAGCTGTAATCGTGGCGGAGTCTACAGCTGCTGCAGGGTGAACTGGTTGAAATACATCCATATATGAGCGGAGATTAGCGCGCGCGCCGATGTTTGCACGAGCGAAAATGGTCCAGCTCGTGTACTTTGGCGAAAAATTACACGATGATTACACAAACGCTGACTTCATAGGGGTGAGTTACGCGCTTGCCTAAGTATATTGCGGTATAATCCAGGACTTTGACATTCCTAGGGGATCTGCCGAACGAAAAGCGCAGATTAAATAACCAATCAAGTACAGTCCATGTAGGGGTGGTCAAGCTTGAATGATTTATAATTGCCCTCAAAATTCAAACCTGCCTATACCAGGTTTATCTACCACTTTTTGACTACCCCTTTAAAGACTCTACGTTAGACGTGGAACATCAAATCATTTCATCTGCAATTGAGTTTGATGCATATGCATTGCTGATTTATTTAATATTGGCAAAGCATACATGTATGTGGTACATATTCATTTTTTTATGTTTCCTAGCACTGACAAAACTGGCCGCCTAGCTATGCAATGTAGCAGCTATGTGAACGTCGTGTGTAAAGCTCATATGACGTTCGTATGTGGAGAAACAACATGACAGAATCTTCCACAAATTGCACAGACTGTAAACCGACCAGCTGCAGTGCACGCTCTATAACTCCCGACCTAATCCATTACACGTACAAGGATGCTATAGAGAAGTGTTAGCGTTTAGTCACAATGATGAGCAACACGACGAAATTCATACCTGAAAAGATAATGTCCCTCTTGATCTTCACAATGGCATCGCTCATTTTGTTCTCGAGCGCAGTGTTGCCAATGCACTTGGCAGCGGCAACTAACTGTCTCAAGATCTCTTCAAGGCGACGGAAGGCCCTAATGAGAGAACCTTCATACACATCGGTCATTTTGCAGATGGCTGCAAATGTGGCACCGTTTGCCCAAGCAAACACAACATCCATTAAGGCCGGCTTAAAAGAGTTGACGTATTCGTCCTCAACAATATTCAGCTTGGACTCCTGCGATACCTTAGCAATGCGCCGGGCCATCTCTTGCATGAGCCGCAGCGGGCCCGCAAGCTCCTCCTGCAACTTCGGCGCTTCATCGCTCTTCTCGTCAAAAACGAAACAACTCACTAAAGCCGCACACTGCTCAGCAGTGAGGTCATTGAAGACACCATTGAATATCATCTCAGTAAGGAGAAGCTCATCACCGCTGCTAATCTCGCAAGCCACCCGGCCCTTCATTTCGATAACATCGGCTGCCGTGGTGAACCCAAGACGACGGAGTACACGCTTGCGGCACTTGAGCTCGTCCAACTGGGCAATCGAGTTCGCAGCCGATATCTTTTTCTTTGTGGCCTTGATTTTGCCATCCACAGCCATTTTTTCAGCATACTTCTCGTACAGTTCAGCGAGACGCGGGGAGTTATGGAGCGAATTCGACAGAAGACGCGATTCGAGAATCTCAATTTTCCTCAAGAGTTTCTTGAAGGACTCATCCCTGATATTCATGTTTTCTATCGGATCCAACAAAGCAATGCCGTCGGGGAAGCGTCGCTTGACCTCTTCAATCGATTTGCGCACGGTGTTACGCTGCTCTAATGGCTTGAGATCCTTTGGCAAAAAGATACGCAAATGACCGATGCCATCGAGCGCTGAAAGCAGCGCAGGCACAACCTCCATCTTGCTAGGCTCGCCTTCCTTTGGAGGACGCATGCCAGCCAAAAACTCGTTCTTGTTCTTGGACGGGAATGAATCCTCCGTCACCCACAACAGAACATCAACGATGTACGAGTCCTGCGGCGCGAAAACCTCGGTAGAGTTCTTAGGAGCAGTGCGCTTGTTGTAATTCACCACAGCCCCCCAACCAAAGTCCACACCCTGGTGTTTAACGCGTACAAGACGTCCTGCCTGCATGAAAGGGATGCTGTAGTCCGGATGATTGACAACGGCGCGCATGTCGTTCGCGTAAGTGTCGAGTTGCTGCCTCAAATTGTAATAGTCGGCAACAGTTGATTCATCCTCAATGCTGAAACTCTGTTTTGAATGTTCCAACTCTTGAAGCTCTTTCTCCAGCACCGGAATCTCCGCATTGTTCTGGAATTGATAGAAACACCTTTCGAGCATAAACTCTGGTGTAATGCCTTCCACGCGCATAAGGTTCAAAATCATGTTGTAACTCAGATAGAACGCAGAATCGAGTCGATCAGCCTGGCCCTTGACCATGGACTTAGCAACGGCTGGCTCCATCTTCTCATCACACATAAGGATGACAATACCACGGTCGTCGAGACCACGACGACCAGCACGGCCAGACATCTGAATATATTCACCTCCCGACACCCACCGGAAATCCTTACCGTCGAATTTTCTCACACTCGTGAAGACGACTGTTTTGGCAGGCATGTTGAGACCGATGGAGAAGGTTTCCGTAGCAAACAACACCTTCAGCAAGCCCTCCTGGAAAAGGAGCTCAATAACTTCTTTCAAGATTGGTAGCAATCCTGAATGATGAATACCGATACCCCGGCGAAGCAATGGAAGGATATGTTCGATCTGAGGTAGCTGACGATCTGATTCGGAAAGCGAGTTCATGGCGTTGTTGAAGACTTGGCTGATCATATCGCGCTCAGCATCATTGTTGAAGTCGATTTTACTCATCTGCAAAGCCAGAGCTTCGCACTCACGCTTGCTGAAACTGAAAACAATGACCGGATTATAATTTTTCAACATGATCATCTTCACGATCTTGTAGATATCGGATGGGCCCTTCGTTCCACCCTTGCCCGACTTTCCGGTCTTCCCTGCTTTCTTAGATGGCTCTGCCGAAGGATCTTCTCCCTGCTTTGCGGTTAACGCGCCCATAGCTTTCTGGAAGTTGTCCTCTCGGAACACACTCTTTTCATCCACAACGAGATGGATACCATCACCGCCTGCGGGGAAGAGATAGTGCTGCAAAGGTGTGGGACGGAAGTCGGTGTACACAACGTGGCACGGTTGGTTGTGAATTTTCACGATCCATTCCGCGAACTGCATAGCATTGGGGATCGTGGCGGAAAGGAAGACGTAGTGAACCTTATCCGGTAAGAGAATCATCGTTTCTTCCCAAACGACACCACGGGCTTTGTCACGCATGTAGTGGACCTCGTCGAAGATAACCCACGCCACTTCGCGCATCACCTCAGAACCACGGTAAAGCATAGAACGCAAAATCTCGGTAGTCATGACCAAGCAGGAAGCCTGAGGATTGATAGTGACATCACCGGTCATAAGACCCACGTCCCCGAACTCAGCAAGGAGTTCTCGATATTTCTGGTTACTCAGTGCCTTGATTGGCGAAGTGTAGATGACTCTCTGCTTGTCTCGCAAACTCTGCGCAATAGCATATTCTGCTACAACGGTCTTTCCTGCAGACGTATGGGCACTGACTAACACACTCTCCTGACGTTCGATGGAGGCCACAGACACTGCCTGGAAGGGATCAAGCTTGAATGGATATTCGCGAACGGGAGGCTGGACAGGCTTATGTTCCGAGATGGGAACATAGGGATAGTTGGGCGGCAAAGCGACTTGGTGACGGACTTGGTGATTCAAGACCATGATGGGCCCTTCCGTAGTTGGTGCGGCCCCCAGTCCAGCGGACGGAGCGACTTCACGCGATGCTTCGGTTTCAAACGAGTCTGTCACAAGCGGAGCCTGCGGTGCCTGTGCCGGCTTAGAGCGCTTCGATTCAGGCTTAGTATCCGTCTTCTTCCTCTTCTCATCCCTTGCTGCATCCTTGCTCACAGGAGTCGCCTCCCGACTGCGCTTCGCTGGGGCAGTCGCCTTGGGCACAGGAAGAGGAGCGGCGGGCTCTTCGGGGTTGATCCGGCCGACATTCTCCTCATCAAAGACGTCAAAAAGGTCGTCGGCGTCCATCTCTTGTTATTTGCTCTCGTGTTGCGATTTCGTCGACGGTAGACTTTTTGGCGGAACATTGAACAGTATGTCCAGTCACGTGTGGATCTGGAGAGAAGCGCGCCCTGCACCAAGCTGCTTGCCGTACGACCATCCAGTAAAGATACAACCAACCAACATGATTGCTGCCGCCGCTCGCCCTGCCTTCGCTGCTTCCCGTACCGTTGCTGCCCGCAACTTCTCCGCTACTGCTGCCCGTCGCTCCGGCGGTCACGGTGGTGATGGTATGTTCTCTCTGCTCCTCGATTTGACCACGCCGTCATATTTTACTAACATCACTCTCTCTGTGCAGGCCCTCGCGAGTATGTTTGCAATACAGTCGATCAACGTCGAAACTCATACTAACGTGCATGGCTTTAGGAACCTTCCTTTCACGGTCGGCTCTAAGTACGGTTTGGCCTTCAAGATGACTGCGTGAGTAATCTTGCGTCCCACCCGCATATGTCGTTGAATACATGCTAAAGATATGATAGTTTCTTGGGTAACCTGCTCCCCGTTCACGCATTTCCGTCCCATACGCTTGGGCGGACCGTGGGCTCAATGCTGCGACATCTGCTGAAGTTCGGTCTGTTGCTAACGTACACGCACAGGTTTTGGATTCGCCCTCCCCTTCGTCGCTGCTGCATGGCAGTTGAGCAAGTGTAAGTACTCTTTTCCTATACCGCCGTACGGCCGATGACCTCAGAATATCGAGTGACTAACTATCCTGTACAGCTGCCGCATAAGCGACATGGTTACTTGCGAGAAGGAAGTTTGTGATGATAATATAATTGATCCTCTAACTTTGCCGTGTTCTTCACATTGATTGTATGCTCCTCTGATCTCGCCTCGAGCTCGACCGGCCGTATATGCATGTAGCTGCAAGAGATGCAGGCCCTTGAACTTTATTTCCCAAGTACAAGTAAACCATTCTCGACGACTTTAGACGAAGCAACCATGAGAAGTTTGATCCCGGTGAAGAGGTCGCGTTGTCAGGTTGATTCTGTAACAGTCCCGGACTTACCCATATCCGCGGTTGCGGTTGATCCGGTATCGAATGCGACTCTCGTGACGTTGGGACCTACGGAGGACGGTCCCTCGATAGAGTTGAAGCGTGTTCGAGATGGATTCGCCGAGGATGTTGTATCTTGGGACGCGCCTTCTCCATTACCAGATCTCGCCACGGATCAGGTTCTTTCGCTACGGTATCTCTCAGACCTGGCCACCTCGTGTGTGGTATTGCGAGGTGGTGATATTATCCTCATCCGAGACGAACCAATGGAAGGCGAAGATAAGATCGAAATCGTTGGCTCTGTGGACGCCGGTATCCTTGCAGCAGAGTGGTCCCCAGACGAAGAGGTCCTTGCTCTTGTGACAGGCGCTTCCACCTTCTTGCTCATGACGAAGACCTTCGAAAGTATCGCAGAAGTCTCCCTGACCCAAGAAGATATCACCAACTCCTCAAATCACGTCTCGGTCGGTTGGGGAAAGTCCGAGACACAGTTTCGCGGTAAGCGTGCCAAGGCATCCCTACGCGACCCTACATTGCCAGACAAGATCGACGAAGGCGTCCTCAGCCATAAAGACGACGGACGAACCTGGATCAATTGGAGAGGAGATGGAAGCTATGTCGCGATCAACAGGATTGAAGAAGGCCCAAGGCGAGCCATCAGGGTTTACACCAGAGAGGGATCATTGGACAGCGTCAGTATCGCCGTAGATGGCATGGAGGGAGTTTTGAGCTGGAAACCTACAGGCCAAGTCATAGCCTCCACTCAGCGATCTGATACCGGGGTTGATGTCATATTCTTCGAACGAAACGGTCTTCGTCATGGAGAGTTCTCCCTCCGCATGGCCGAGGGTGATGATGATGTCGTTCAGCAACTCAAATGGAACACTGATTCGTCCATTCTTGCCGTGTGTTTCTCGTCCAAAGTTCAACTCTGGACGACAAACAACTTCTACTGGTACCTGAAGCAGGAGATTCCCTGTCTTAACGGATACACCGCTGTTGACTGGCATCAGGAGAAACCCACTGTGCTCTTTGTAGCTGCCTCTGGCGTTCTTGAGGTGCACGAGTTCACATTCGCTGTCCTTGCTGGCAGTACGTCTCCTCCGTACGATTTTGGATCAACAGCTGTGGTCGACGGGAAGAATCTCAAACTCACCCCCCTTCGAGTTGCGAACGTCCCGCCACCTATGGCTTTCCGCGAGGTGGAATTGCAATCTACACCTACACATGTTTCGTTTGGTTACTCTAGCACTGTCATAGCTGTTCTGCGGAACGCATCCGTTGATATCATCGAGTGGCCGCTTACGATAAACCAATATTCCCTGCCTCAAATAATCGGATCAGTCGACCTCGCATCACATTATGCGGACACGCAACCACGGCAGATCGTCCTGCTTGGGGAGAGGGCGATAGCCGTCATTTCCGATCAAGCAAATCAGTCGGTAATCAAGATCTTTCAGATCACGCCGAGCTTTGAAGCGGAGCAGTTATGGGAGACTATCACCGATCAGCAGGTACTTCTCGCCGGCTCCTCTGAAGATGGAACAACGCTCTATTACGAACTTCAAGACAACGCTGTTCATAGGATTGATAATGCAGTGACTGAAGAAAGGAGCTCGGAACGTTTAGTAAAGCTTCCGGGAAGATGCACACGCTTTGAGGCGGTGAAGACAGCTGATCATGTAAGTTCATTCACGTCTTCTATTGGTTATTGGCTAACGCAATTCGACAGGCCGTCGTTTTTGCTCTGAGCGGAAACGGTAAGCTTTTTGCCAACGATCGTCTTCTTTCATCGTCCTGTACTTCTTTTGTCGTAACACCAACACATCTCGTCTTCTCAACAGTACAGCATACGCTCAAGTTTGTCCTGTTAGGACAAGCAGCAGCAGGTAGGCGATTCCCAAATAGTCTGAATGATGATTTGTCTCACGCTTTGAATCAGATCTCGCTGTGCCTGCCGATGATGCACCGGCGTCGGATGAACGACTGCGCAGTATCGAGCGTGGAAGCCGAATCGTGCAAGTCATGCCATCAACCGTCGCCCTCGTTCTCCAGCATCACCGCGGTAACCTTGAGACGGTATACCCGCGAGCTTTGGTGCTGGCGGGCGTTCGCGACAACATTGACCGCAAGGATTACCACTCCGCGTTCATGGCTTGTCGAACTCATCGCATCGATATGAACATCTTGTATGACTACGCACCTGTTCAATTCCTTGAGAACGTGAAGTTGTTTATTACGCAGCTTGGCAAAAGTGAACACCTTGACCTGGTGTTGTCTGGTCTTAGCGAAGAAGACGTAACGCAAACTTTATATCGGTTGACTGATGTCACTTCAGGCGCATTGCCAGCGGAGCAATCGAAGCCCGCAAAGGGCAAAGTCACTGCCATTTGTGATGCGGTTTTGGCAGTCCTTGCTGCCGACTTCGCGGACACGCACGTCAAGTCAATGCTCACTTGCCATTTGAGTAAGGTCATCCCCGATAGGGAAGCCGCTTTACTTCTTGTGAAGGACCTCAAGGACAAGAACTCCGGTCTGTTGGATGAGGCCGTGGAGCATATCACTTTCCTGGCAGACGTGAACAAGCTGTACAATGACGCTCTTGGGCTGTACGATCTTGGTCTGACCCTACTGATTGCTCAACAATCGCAGAAAGATCCCCGCGAATACATGCCATTCTTACAAAGGCTTCATGCGCTGACAGAAGTCCGACGAAAGTTTGTCATCGATGATCATCTTTCAAGATTCGCAAAAGCTCTTGTACATCTCAACGTGCTAGGCGATGATACGTTTGATGAGGTCTCTGATTATGTTGTCAAACACGCACTATACACAACGGCTTTGGACATTGTGAAGTATCACCGAACGAAATACGATGTGATACTTCGCAAATACGCGGAACACCTGCTTCACATCAAGAAGCCAGATCAGGCCGGTCTTGCTTTCGAAATGGTACGTGACGAACGAGCCGCGATGGACGCATATCGCCAGGCAGGTATGTGGAAGGAGGCAATGTCTCTTGCGGTCGTTCTCGGTGAACAACCCGCTGCTATCAAGTATCTCGCTGAGGCCATGATCCCCTTGTTGGTCGAAAAGCGTCGTTATCTCGAAGCGGCTACTGTATACGTAGAGTATATGCAGAAAGTTGATGAGGCAGCGAAAATCCTCTGCAAAGGATACGCTTATGCCGAAGCAATACGGCTTGTTACCTCACACGATCAGCTTGATTTGCTCGAGAGTCTGATTAAGCCTGCGATGATAGAAGGGTTTGTTCAGTTGTCAGAGCTGCTAGCTGACTGTAAGCGTCAACTGAATGCTCAATTGCCGCGTCTTCGAGAGCTGAGAATCAAGAAGAAAGAAGATCCTCAGGCATTTTTTGAGGGCATCCAGGAAGAAGACATCCCTGATAACATGTCTGTTGCAGCGACGGATGTGTCGACCAATCTCTCCCTTTTTACACGTTACTCTACCAAAACTGGTACGACGGCCAAGACTGGGAAGACTGGCAATACGACAGCGTCAACGCGTGCGAAACACAAGCGCCGTGAAGAACGGAAACGTGCCCGCGGTAAGAAGGGTAGTGTATACGAGGAGGAGTACCTTCTGAATTCAATCCGTCGGTTGATTGATCGCGTGAACGATGCACGCAATGATGCCACGTCCCTCGTTGTAGGGCTCGCACGTTTCAATCTTAGGGAGCAGGCCGGTGAGGTGCAGCGCCTTATAGTCGCGCTTATTGAGGAGCTCCGCGACTGCCTGGACGAAGTATTCTCGGAGCCGCTGCTCGTTGTTTCCTCTGACCCCGAGAAAGATCAGCTTGAGCTGGCAGATATTACCGCACCTGTTGTGGCAGCATTTCAGCAACTTTCTGTCTTGCAACTGGGTGTTTAGAATTTTGCATTAGGAGATGTTCTAAGATTTATGCAGGCCATTACTTATGTCCCATGCCGTTTCATTGTCTTCGCTCCTTCGATGCATCTTCCACGTCTTATAGCCAAAATCATTCTGTCATTCAATGCCCCTTCAAGGATTTAGGAAGTCCATCCTGCCCAATCAAACCCTTATCCTGCGCGATGCTGACAGGGTCACCGCCAACTTGCGTGAGGATCAAACGTGTAATTCCCTGCGACACAGCATCCAACGTTCGTGAGTCGAATCCTTCAGGCAGACTTGCAGCAAGCGCAGCATCCCGTTCCCGCCATCCATCGATGTTTGCAAGGCATTTTTTCAAGGCCCCCAAAACAATTTCCTCATTCTCAACAGTATAGTAAATAACGCAGTTCGGCCCTGCATCGTACGTGTATGCCGCAATAACCTTGCCTGCGGACCTATTGAGCTCTTCCACGAAACGGATACAAGCGCGAGAGGTATCGTTCAGATAGAAAATAGGAGGGGAAGTATCAAGGCATACAGCATGAAACTGGTTGGAGTCTTTCATCGTGAGATCAGCGAAAGCCTCAAAATCCTTCTCTTTGATGGCACGCTTCATGGCCGACATGCGCTCCGGAACAACCACATCAGCGCGATGACGGAAAAGAGCAGAGGTAGCAACGGTAGCTTGCATTCCAGCAGTAGATGGGACTGTCTTGCGCTCCGCCGAAACGACAAGAACAGCGGCACGCATCTCAGGCCAATGCGATTGCGGTGCCACCTGCTCAGCCAGGGAGTCGTTGCCATCATCCGCCTCGCCCATTTCCCACGATACATAGCCACCCATCAAAGACCGACAGGCCGATCCAGATCCCTGTCTTGCGATCCGAGAAAGGTCCTTCGCGGACTGTGGGAGTTGGTAGAGGTCAGCGATAGCGCGCACCAAAGCAGCAAAACCAGCAGCCGATGAGGCGAGTCCGGCGGCGGTCGGGAAGTTGTTTTCTGAGCAGATATGAAGTTTGAAGGTGCTTAACCTGGGCGCGGAGGGGTTTTCCTGCTCAAGCTCTGCGCGGAGTTGACGCAGGTTGTCGATGCAAGCGGTGAGACGAGAGCTAGTTGCGACGCTCTCCTCAACGCCATTGAGCCATAGGCGATCTTCAGTGAAGGTGGGCGAGCATGAAGCAGTCGTAAGAGCTCTCAAATCATCTTGAGAGAGAGTAACGGACAACGAAGAGTTGGTGGGGAGGTTCAATTTCGCATCACGCTTACCCCAGTACTTGATAACCTGGAATACAATTAGCACCGGGTGCACGGGGTGGCTGTAGGTTACATACCGCAATGTTTACGGGAGCGGTTGTGGTTGCTTGATAAAGTTCCATCTTTCGAAGCCGTCTTTGTTTGTTTACGACAGGTTCGATGTTGTCCTGGACGTGTATGGCCGTTCCCAGGGCACACGCAGGAGGTGCTCCCGTAAATCACAAGGAAGAGCTGCTTGATAACTATATTATAACTAAAAACAGTATCGGCGACATTGTACTCCTCTCCCTCCGGACGCTTCAGCTATCGCCTCAACGGTACCCTGAGTTGTCAACGTTACAGGCGCACGGCCCAAACCTGGAAAAGCTATTGAACAGCACCTATAACGATGGCTGATCAAGCACCAACAACGGCGAACCAGTGTCCAGTGCCGCACGTCAAAAGAGGTGAATGGCTCGCCGCTGCAAAAGGCGCACCGGAGCAAACCGTACCGACAACGCAAGCACCAAGTGCTGAGGGAGGAAAGTGTCCGGTACCGCACGATGCTCGAGAAACATGGCTAGGCGCCGGCAACGAGCGCAGCTCATCACCACAGATATCTCCACTGAACAACATGCCTGTCGAACCTCAACAAAAGCCGCGTCCTGGACAATCAGCATCACTCCCTACCGAACGTGAGATTTCGACAATCCCGCGGCTTGAGTCCGAGAGCGACGGATACCGCGGAGCAGACAAGGGCTCATCCAACTGGGTCTATCCTTCAGAGCAGATGTTTTTCGATGCTATGCGACGAAAGAGTTGGAATCCAGACGCAGAGGATATGAAAGTTATTGTTCCTATTCACAACGCTGTCAATGAGAGGGCATGGCAAGAGATTATGAAATGGGAAAAGCCCTATGATTCGAAATCGTAAGCATGTCCTTCCTTGTCCTACGTATCTATTCTGACAGTCACACAGTTGTGGAGGTCCGAAACTCGCCAAGTTCGAGGGCGATGCCTCGAAGATAACTCCGAAGGCACGGCTGTTGAACCTGCTGGGTTACAACCTTCCTTTTGATCGACATGATTGGACGGTGGATCGTTGCGGTCAAAAAGTGGAATATGTCATCGATTTCTATAAAGGAGCAGGAGAAAACTCCCTATCATTTTATCTAGATGTGCGACCCAAATTCACAGCAGAGGGCGCGAAAATGAGGATAGGCCGGTTCTTTAGGGATATCTTTGCGTAACGCCTGAAGCCAGTTTCGTACAATCTTCGTTGCTCACTGTTTGCTTCAAATACGATGATTTGCGATATTCTCACATCGCAAAGCCGCCTCGCTAGAAAGTCCCATTTGTCCCATGTATTCAGCGAATACAAGAACGATATCCGCCAAGCCGCTGTGCAATGCCCTCAGAATGATATCAATCTCTGGGAGAAGAACGGCATAAGGTCGTGCAGTTGACTGAGTATCATTAGCCGGAAGCTCCGGCATCTTACAGAAAGCTTCCAGCGCTGACATCGTAGAAGAGAATGCCTCCACAACCAGACGAATGTCTCGCTGCACAAGACCTAATGTGTCTTCTTGCACCGAAACCACGATCAGGCGCGACAAGGCTTGAAGCAAACGTCAGTAAACGGACTCGCATGAATTGGAACTTCACCTACCTAGAACTGCCAGGACTTGTAACCGCGGCTCCGGGATAAGGCTCCTAACCTGCAACTGCAGTGTCTGCCGGAACAATGCTCCAACAGTAGACTTGTAGAATCCTCCGAAACGCGACGACAACGCCGTTTCAACGGAGCTTTGAGCAGGGCGCAAAACTTGGGCGGATTTCGTCACAAGCTGATCGGGAAGCTTCATCGCTGCTGCTGCTGACCCTTCACTCTTGAATCGATCCAAGATGTTGCGCTTCTGCGGACCGGTCACGAAAATGTTGTCGTTTCGCACTGGGATATGGGGAGGTGAACTTGCAATCGCACTTTCCTGCTGCGTGTGTATAACAGGAGCCGGAGCCGATCCGGTCGACGATACCTGCTTACTTCCCTGCACAAAATGCGGCGGTAACGATTCGGTGACACGTACAAGCGTTTGCAGGCTCTGTTTCACGATCTGCTCCCAAGGATTTGGTTTTACCTCGATATCGCGAAAAATACTAGCTCGGCGAGCTCTATCATGGTAAGCGATTTGAAGCAGCTCCTCAAAGGCCAAAATCTGCGTATGCAATCTCGCCGACGACAAACCTGTCACCAACGTGCCGTTCGGATTGAGCGATTTCTGGCTCAAGGGCACGCCTTCCTTAGAACCAGCCTGGGACATCGCGATACTGAACAGCACATGTGCAGTTTCCCATAGGGCGACAGTCACGAAGATCACATCGAAGGAGCGGAAGAGGAGTCCAAGAGTGACCGGATACGTAGGTAAAGCAGTGGAACGCGGGAGTCTAATGAACAGGTTAGGATAGCTTTAACATGCAAACTGAAGCAACGTACTTGTAGAAAAGACGAGCCGCCTTTATGATCAAAGGCCATTCGTATACCCTTACTAAAGCATGCACGATCGGTGCGATCAGGGCCACTCCAAAGGATAAAATGGCAGCTTTAAGGACGCCCTGTACGATGCAGTTCGTTGTCGGCCCTCCGCCAGTCTGTTATATAATGTTAGAACTTGTAGAAGACGGTGTTGGTCATGTACATGCCCGTACTGCAGGGAACCTGATCCGGTCCCTGTCAACAAGAAGGTGGATTACTGACGAAACAATACCGGCCAAGGTGCTGACAGTGAACATGTATATATATCTTTCGTTAATCCGAGGGAGCTCGTATCCCCTAACAACTCGGTTAGTTACCTTGGCAGCTCAGAGGTTAGGGTGTACACACGTCGGCGACGTCGTCCAGCCTAGTTCGGCTGACTGGTCCGCGTTTCGCAAGTATACGCCCATGATCAGCCATGCGGAAACAGTGTAGGTCATGACTGTACTGAGAGCAGAGAAGCTGAAGAACTGGCGCACAAGATACGTCCATAGATTGCTGCATGGGTAAGAACCAACTGGATCATGATCAGAGGAAGCTCAAGATGTTTGTGAAGTCGACTTACCATGCAGATTGCTCTTCCTCAGAACAAAGATGGGAAATGTTGTTCCAATAGCCACGTTGAGAGCGCGAAGAAGCGTCCAACTCCACGGAAACAGCCGCCAGATCACTACAGCAGGTGTCAGCGTAATCAACAGGAAACGAATACCATGGCATACCATTTCCACTTCCAAACAGCCATGCAACGAAGTAACACACGACAAAAGCCGTCCCATTCGCTGCGAAATACCGTGATTGTAGGTCCTCCCTCAGGATCTCGTGGTAGTTTCGCAGAGGCATCCAGTGCAGCTGCTCCTTCGAGGTCTTTTTGATAGAGACCATATTGAAATGGTCAACGGGTTGGTTGCGCTTGCAATTGCGTTGAGTTTTGAATGTTTACGATATTACGACGAGGCATGCGCGTGCCCTGTCCCTCGATGCACTGGCTGCTGTGGAGCGTAAGAGGGTAGGATATTTTGGTGTTGACAAGAAGAAAATATTCAATTCATTACGTAAGTACTTAGACAGCTGCAACTTGTATCCCTTGGTATTCATCAATTCCAATTGTTGCCCGGGGTCTGGAATGGCATTCGACACATGCAGGCAGAAACCAGGTGTGGTTGTCGTTTATTCCTAGAACAAAACCTGTTAGCACCAAACCCAAGCTTCCTTGAGATCAAAGCACTTACGGCTGCAAATCCCATGGTCTCCTCAACAGCATACGTCAACTTCGTCAAGAGGTCCTCGTAACTATTGTATGGCGGCAAATCGATCCGGTTGAAGCAAGTATGCGCTGTAATCTCGGTTAGCTTCATACGGAAAGGGGCTCCATAGGAAAAGACGTACCTTTAGGCAATTGTGAGGGATTCCCGGCTTTCTCAATGGTGAATCGGCGTGGACCATCACTTCCCTGCAAATCCTTGAAACCACCAACAGGAATACGGGAGGTACCAGTGGCGAACTGCAACAACCTCGATCTCTTCTCAGAATCCCAAGACTGTACGACCTTGAAGAACCATTGGACAACCTCGTCGCTCTCGGTGTAACCCCTGTAGTCGGTGTGCTTCTTCCAATCATCCACATCGATTTCAGCGATACCACCAATGAGAAGTTCGAGCTCACGTTCATCGAAGACGTTGATCAACTCCTGAGGAACAAGTTCGTTAAATCCAGTCATAAAGTGGTTGAACTGTTCCTCGACACGCTTGGAAATACGCCATTCAGTGACCAACTCGACGTATTCTTTCTTGTTCTCATCAGTAACTTCGATGTCGCGACCATTTGGCTTCAGGTCAACTGTAACAACCTCGCCGAAACGGTCATCTTCAGTAGAGAATGTCAACTCCAGGACATCCTGGATAGGGTTGTCAAGGATCCATTGCAAACTTCTGTGGAAATCAGCATCAACACTCTCCATATCAGCCAAAGTCACCTTCTTCCTCAGGATCATCTTGTACATCGAGACAATGAAGAAAGCGTCCAGGAATCGTCGGTGGAAGATAGAGAGACCAAGAACACGACCAATGAACTTGAAGTAGTTGAGGTGCTCCGGGTTGATCGCAGAGTGAGGATTGATCTGCAAGGTGTAGTTGTCATGGGCGGAGTATTCGAAGAGACAGTAGAAGGGGTTGAACATTTCGTGTGACAGCAAGAAGAAGAACTCACGGGAAAGACCTCCATAGTCTAGACCGTCCTCGCCGTCAAACTTGATCATTAGACGCTTCTTCAGGTCGGTGGCAGTCTGCCTCATGATCTCGGCATAAGAATCCTCAAAGATGTGACTACGCCTGACCTTGATGTGGCACTGACCCGGGATAGGCCGCAAAGCCGGTTGCGACCTGAAGTAGATGAGTTTACGTCGGAAGTCACGTTTGTATTGCGGCACGTTCTGATCAAGAGACGATGGCAGGCGAGGATCATCCCACGTCGTGGTCTTTGTGTTGTGGTCCACGAAGTACACACGAGCGGTGTTCGTGAGGCGCATTTCCCATCCGCTTGGCAATGGTCCGAGCTGCGATACCGGCTGTTGCTGGATAGTTGTGTTTCCTGCATTTTGACCATACATGCGGATGTATTGCTGCCTTCGAGGGTCAACCCATGTTGTAGTGCGGGTGTTATGGTCGACGAAGTAAGTACGTCCTTCAGGTGTCTGCCTCTGCTCCCAACCAGGTGGCAACTCTCCGGTTCCTGCTGTGGTGGCACCCGTATTCACAACTGACATGCCGGTATGAGTACCATCTGCAACCGAACTAATCGCTGAGCTTGCTGGCACAGGAGAAGCTGCGCGCTGTTCCTCGGGAAGGGTGCGGCTGTTGTGACGTTGACGTTCCATTTCAGTGACATTCTGAGCCTGAGCAACACGATCCGAGTCCGTGTGAGTGGTGGATGGTCTCGTCCAGGTGGTCGACCGAGTGTTGTGATCAACATAGTAGGTACGTCCAAGGTTATCGGTACGACGTTCCCAACCAGGTGGCAATCGTCCTTGTTGATCTTCGAAAGAACTGAAAGTCTGCCTGCCCGATGCTGCTCCCGTCGCGCCAACGGAACCGTTGGCGGGCCCATTAGGCGGAGTAGAAACTGTCGGAGCAGGTGCTTCGACACCGTGCACGGAACTTCTGCGTGATCCCGGGGCAGAACCACGCTGCGCAGCTGCCATACCAGCCGCCGCAGAGATAGAAGGACGGTTGTTGTCGGGACCTGGTGTGCGAACAGGCGTGTGTATGCTGGTCGAGAGGTTCACAATTAGTTTACCATGGACAACCATGTTGTCATTCGACTTCTTCAAGTCCCGCGTGAGCATTTCTGATGTCGCCATTAGCAAGAATATTAAGATAGAGTGAGATACTGACCATCGCCACCCAGTTGAAGGTCAAGAACATCTCCGACTCGGATATTGATAACGCCCAAAAATCCTTGGTCCTTCTTTTTGAACTTGCGCTGATCAAAAATTTGGACTGCAATGATACTAGACTCTTTCACAACACTGTCGAGACATTAGCACAAGTCATGAATGGTCCGCATACAATCCACATACAGATCAAAGCTCTCGTTCCAGTAAGGGTTGAGCGTCTTCTTGATGGGAGATGTTGTCTGAGTCTGTTCACCGTCAACGGTGACAACTGCGAAAGGATCGGGAAAGCCTATATATCAAAGTCCATATTAGCAGCTTTCAATGGGATAGGAATGAGTCGGCACGTACGGAAAACATCACGCTTGTAGAGTCCATCCGCCGCAATTACGGTAAGACGGATCTTGCGAGATCTATCATAGGCATTAGCAGGAGATCATAAGAGATTGCCTGAGAATAAGACGTACTGAGTGTTAGAAGCCATCTAGGGCCAGGAGGATGAAGTTGCAGGTGTAGACAGATGGGAATGTACGTCGTTCGTTGCAACGCAATTGATGAGGGATGACGGTCGTGACACGCAGGCCAACAGATGAACAACTGAACCTTATCGCCAAGAACAGCTGGTGAATTGCAGACGACTTTACGGTTTGTCTATTTGGTTGCTCGATGGCTGTAACCTGTTGAGGCGGCTACCTGCAACTCTGATGCAAGACCTCACGCCTTCGTCTGTCCGGCGCGAGGGGCCGTGACTGTAAGTACATCTGATACAGTACATGGGCAGACATCATGAATGGGACGGTCTCATAAGAGATGTATTATACTGTCTCTGATAAGCTACATGAAGCATCTCCGCGATGCTGTCCTTTTCGACGGACACGCAGTCTCTCCGTACCCAATTTATTCACGGTTCGATCAAACGGTCGATCCAACCAATGCACCCAACACTTGCCATCTCTCCGTCATCACCTTTAGTAAGGCGTGAAACCACCCCGTCCTCTTCCACGGAAGCCGCCTCTGTAACCACCTCCCCGAGGTCCACCTCTGAATCCACCACGACCGCGACCCCTTCCACGACCTCTTGCGCTCATGCCTGGTACATTTGTACGCTTAGGAGTCACCTTAAGCGGCCTGCCATGAAAGGTACTTTCATTCAGAAGTAGAGCCTGGGGTACAAGGCTTGGTTCTGCAAATTCCACGTATGCAAAGCTATCAAAACCGTCAATCGATGTCCTCCGTTGTGCATTGACTCGGAAGAACTTACCCTTTAGGATGCCCGGTGTACTTGTCACATAGAATCGTGACGCGGTTGATTGTCCCACAACTGCTGAAATGTGCTTGGATTTCCTCAGGTGTGGCAGCATAATCGACGTTTCCCACGTAAACACTCCGTGAATCGACTTCTTCCTTGTTTTCCTCCAATAACTCCGATTCTTGGTTTAAGGATTCTGTCATTTCTCTAAGCTTAGCTGCTTCCGCCTCCATTTCGGCGACTTTTCGCTTCATCGCCTTTGGGATGATATTAGCATCGCTATCTTGTAAACATCGGTGAATCCTCACCTCCAAGTCATTCTCATCAAGGCCCACAGCCTGATTCACTTGCACCTCCTCTTGAACGGTGAGATCAGCAGACATGGTGTATAAGACGCGTAATGTCGAACAGTGGAGGTTTTCGAGGCGAGGTCAGCGGTGAGTATTCGAGGCAGGCAGCTTAATGCAACCCCGAGGCGGTCAGTGCAGGTGAAGATGTCACGGCGAGAATTGTCATGACAAACGCTACTTGAAGAGATGTTATAGTTGGTTGGCCTACATTTACTTTTCCAACAGTCTTTTCTTGACACGTCCCGTGTATAGAGACGCTCAACACCTGGTTGTTATGGGGGCCCTGCTATGCAGGTGAATGCGTGTTTATGTAAACAGAGGCCTTGGAGCAGTTCACCACCAAAAGTCAGTCCGGGTCAAGCAGATTCAGCCGTTGATGGTCAGAGTAGCTGAGCAACCGCCGGTCGACTCTATGGAGTCGTGTGAGTTCTCTTGTCGCTGCCTTACATACTTCAGCTAACGCTTCTGCGATAGTCAAGCGGCAGCATACCCTGCAAAATCGGCAGATCATCAAGTGAGTGGAGATTTCAGCCGCAATAAATGCCTCTTGCTGATCCTTTTCTAGGGTGAATACTCAACAGGCTTTTCGTATTCGTGAGTTAGAATCAGAAGTATCTGCGCTGGCTTGCGAGAACCTCGATCTGCGCACTACAGTCATACAGCTTCAAGAGCAGATAGAGCGCGACCGCAAGAAATCAATGGTTGCCAACATTGATGCGACTAAATGCGAGTTGGAAAGACTGATGCGGGATATGAGTGATGCCATTGGAAGAATGGGCAAAGGAGCTGAGAATATGGACCACAACCCTCTTCCAGGTGAGAGACGTCACCGCACCTCACATGATTGTGCGGAACTAACACTGCGCTTAGCACCCACAGAAGACACTTCAACCGTACGGGGTCGTCGTATTCGCCGAAACATCTCTCGCTCGCGGTCTAGGTCCCCGTTGCTTCCCGACGATGAAGCTTATTTCGATCATGATGCTATGGATTCTCCATCGAAGCCCTTGCGCATGAACTTCGGAGGACGTGATCTACCGAGCATCGATGAGCAAGAAGAAGCACGGCGAGCGAGTCTCAAGTTCACAAGGCTGCGGCGTAGCTCCGTGAATTTGCAGAGTGCTCCACTGTGTTCAGCAACTTCTGAAGTGCAGTCGTCCGACCTGGTGCGTGAATCTGGTGCACCTTCGTTTGTTGATGTTACCGGGCCGAGAAAGGCGACGGAAAGTGGTCATGAACGAGCCCGCCCGGGCAGACTTACGCAGTCCAGTGGAAAAGCGAGGCGTGAGAAAAGAGTTGAAACAGACGCAAGTGATCAGCGAGGTTATGTGTCTCCTCAGTCAGAAAGAACTGAGCGACGCTCAAGTGCCGCCTTGTTGCACGACACGACGGAGAAAGACGAGCAGAAATCTCGACTTTTCACAGCATCAGACTTGCGCGAAGAGATGCCTTCACATGTACCACAATTATCTGAAACCAAGAGCTCTCGTAGAAGAAGTACCTTCTTGCCTCATGTCGATCTTGGCAAGGAGAATACGATGTCCTCCGCCCGGCCCGACCTGGTTATGAACGGAAAACAGGTCAAAACCGCTTTCGCACCCATCATGCAACCTGACACGAACAGAATATTGCAACCAAGTGAGTTTGAGTTGACCAAAAGCTCTGATTATCACACTAACCATTGCCTCAGAGGAGTTCAATAGCCCGGTGAAGGGTATCAGATTGTCGGTATCACCAACGAAATCACCCGTTTCGGATTTCAAAATGCGTACATCAATGCGCAGAAGCTCGGCTGCCGACCCTCCAAATACACCCCATTCACCTACAGAGACAGACGACGGCGCTTCGCCGCCCCGCAGAGCAGGCCGAGCTCGGAAAGAAGTCAACTACGCCCAGCCGTCTCTGCGTTCTAAGATGCGGCGTGATTATGAGTTACCTTCCGACAGAGTAAAGAAAGGGTCGAAAGTAGAGAAGAAAAGTGAAAGAATCGTTACCCCGTCGTCCGGTGTTCCTGGCAGCGACAGCGGCATAGTGACGATAAAGGCAGAGCCAGATGATGAGGGGACAGAAGGTATGGACTTTGGGAGTATACCAATTGCATCCGACGACTTCACGAGTGGCAGCCGCAAGCGAAGAACATCCAGTATGCACTACCCTCCTGCCACCCTTGAGGATCCTACACGAAAATGCAGTTCGGAATTGCTATCACCTCCATCAACCTCGAGTTCTTCTGAAGAGCGTGTCGGACAGCGGGATACTCTCAGAACCACGCGTCGCCTTGCTGCGGCAGGCGGACTCGAGGATGCAGCGCTACTAAGAAAGAGGAGGCAGACTTTGAGCGATATTCTGGGAACGGAAGATGGGATGAAATCGATGTCGGTGCCAACGGCAAGATCGGACTCAAGCCTCAGAGCGCAGCGCAGAAGAAGCATGATGGCATGAACTGCAGGACGACTTAGATAGGCTGAGGTTTCACGGCGTACTTCTCAGGATTACGATCCACGGCATTTATACGGAGCGAAAGATGTATTAATTAAGACATGCATTCTAAGTTCTCCCCAATCCTTGAAAGCTATAAAAATGCGAAAATTGTATGATGCCATAAACGCCTGATGCCATGTTTGAAATGCTTCATCCTTGCTCATGCAACTCCCTTCATCTGATGCTGCTTTCCACAACTGCCCCAACTCATCCCAGTACAACACGTTAATCGTCTAAAGTGATAACCACTGGTTGAACGCCCTCTTGTGTAGCAGACTGCGTGGTTGTGCCGAGATCGAAATCAACACTTCCATCTCCATTGGCTGCACTTCCCTCCATTGGCACGAGCCCCAACTGCAACGGATCTGCCGGAGGTGTGGGATGCTCGTTTCGTCGTTCTCTTGCCTGGTATTCCGCGAGCTGCTTCTTCATATCCATGATTTGCCTATCCTTCGCTGCACAAGCCTCCTGATACCCCTGAATAGAGTCCGCCAGTTGTTTCATGTCCGGCAGATTCTTGATCACTGCCGTCAATTGATTCACGGCGGTCTGCAACTGTGTCTTCTCGGACACTAACCTCTGGTTCTGAGCGCGGAGGGTGGGTATTTGAGCGATGTCGCGTTGCAACGCTGCATGCGAATGTTGAAGATTGCGAAGTATTTGTCGGTCGGCGTCGTGCGCTGTTCTTGCTGCCTTCAAAGCATTGAGAGAGGCTACGAACTCATCTCGTAGGGCCAGGTAGATTGTTAGGAGTTTGTGACTGTTGACAACGGACTCCTTAACCGTGCGTAAGTTCTGCATAATCGTCGCTGCTTCTGCTGTATGTTCGGCAGGCGATGCTAATACCGGTGCGAGCTTTGCATCTGCTGATGTTGAAGATGCTCCGTCAGGTGTATTTGAGGTCGGTAACACAAGACCCTCCACCCGGGGCTGTACTGGAGCCGACGCCGTGTCATCGTAATTTATGCCACTTTTTGGCAAACCTTCCAGAGTCCTCTTCTGACCGACCAGCGGCTCCGTCCGAGCTGCAGCGGAAGGCAAGGCCAACATCGAATTGGACAATCGTAGGACGTTGAGGTGTCAGCAAAGCAGAACGAGAGCAGAATTTCCGTCGTACTGGCTGAATTGTGCCTTCTTAGATGAGCTGAATGAACATTGAGACGTTCCCTTCCCGAGAATCACTTTTTTGGCGTCCTGCAGCTACGGTCTACGTACAGGCAACTTTTTATAAATAGTAACGTCAACCCGCATACTGTATGCCTGGGCAACAGCAAGCTTGGTATGTAGCAGGCACTCGATAACAGTTGGGATTGTGATAAATGATAGGTAAATATTGCCTCATATCATGACGTTTTCCTCTGCCACTCCGTATCGTACAATCTTCCACGCATTACTCTGACAACCAGTCCAAGAAGTCCGGTGTGAAATACGTCAAAATCATGTTTGCTCCAGCTCTCAATATACCATCCAAACTCTCTTCAGCAGCCCTCCTCAAGTCAAAGACGCCAGCTTTAGCAGCGGCGTGAATCATAGCAAACTCCCCTGAAACCTGGTAAGCAGAAATAGGCACATCAGGTGCAATCTCCTTTGCGTCACGGATGATATCAAGGTAGGCAGTTGCAGGCTTGACCATGATACAATCTGCACCCTCAGCAAGATCACGGGTGATAGCACGACGAGCCAAACCCCGTCCAGCGGGAGGTAGCTGATAGCGCTTGCGGTCACCAAATGCAGGAGCGGAACCAGCTGCGTCCCTGAATGGACCGTAAAGACAAGTAGCAAACTTGGCAGAATAGGAGATGAGCATGCACTTGTGGGCAACGCCAGCCTCGATCAAAGCCGTCTTGATCGCCTTGATACGACCATCCATCATGTCACTAGGGGCGACACAGTCAGCACCTTGCTTGGCGTAGTTGCAAGCGACCTCGGCGATTCTCTTCACACTGGGGGGATTGTTGATAGTTCCATCTTCGTGCAGAATACCACAGTGACCGTGAGAGGTGTACTCGCAGAGACAGACATCGCAAGCGATGAAAAGGTTGGGGAAGTGTTTCTTGAGAAGAGTGATGGCCTGCATGACGGGTCCATTCGGGTCATCAGCGGATGTGCCGTATGGGTCCTTGGCCTCGGGGGCGAGGGGAACACCAAATAGAATGACCGAAGCAAGTCCTTTCTTGTACAAAGGCTCGAGGAAGGGGACAAGCTTGTTAAGACCCCACCTAATATCATGAGATTAGTCACCATCCATCTTTTTGAGAGATATGCATTGCACCTCTTTTGTCCAGGCAAACTCTTGATCTCCTCCTCTGCCTCGGGATCATCCGTGATGAAGATGGGGTACATGAGGGCAGCCTTGGTCAACTGCCTCTCCGACTGCCACAGTCGGGAGGTAGGGTGATGGTAGCCTCCATGGAGGATGGACGAGATGTCGGATCCTGGAATATTCGACATTGGTGAAGTGGATATGGTGTGCGAGGAGAATCACGGCAAGGCCTGCCGATACCGATGATGTAGGAAACGTATGACTCGGAGCAACGACACTCGCCCGACAGCGGAATTCGTCGAGGATTATGAATGTTATTAGATATTTTGTACTTCCGACGTCCTGTCTGTTTTATATTGTGCGATGGTCCAAAGTGGGGATGGTATCTTGTGACATCGCCATCACCGAGCCGAGCACGCAACGATCAGCTGCCCAGAGCCCCCCTCCCTCCGCCGCCCTTCCCTATAAATACCCCCCGTTGATCCTCCGCTGTATCTTGCCCATCATCCGATTACCCCCAATAAACCAAACAACCCACCGCACTTGACATGGCTCGCTCTCACTCCTTCAACTCCATCCACTCCATCCAGACGCACTCCTCCGCTGGGTCGCCTCCCACCAACTCTCCCATTCCCAAGCAGGAAATTTCCGACCGTCAATTCGGTGCAAAGAGTGGTTTCATCGACCAGGCTCCCAACAAGATCAAGAAGGAAGGCGGCGGTCGAGGGAACTGGGTATGTATTTCCCTACTTCTACCATGCCGTCCGTCGTTTATGACTTGCGCGGGCAGGGTCGCGATGATGACTACACCCACCAAATCCCCCCTTACCTTCGCCGCCGCTCTTCTTCCAACGTCCAGCGTCCCGAGCTCCAGGACGAGTTCAGGACCAAGTTCGAGGAGGTTGAGGACATTCCCGATGTCCCCGAGGAGATGTGAATCATAGACCATAGAACACCCGTTAATGTACGATAGGAGCATATGTGGCATGGCAGGCAGGGCAGAAGGACGGTAGGACGTGGAGTATTGGCTTTGCTTAAGGAACCCTGGCGGTTCCTCTACTTATATATATCGGATGGAATCTCATTTTTACCAACCATGTTTCTCACGACGGAAAGATTGATTTCCTTATCCGGATAACTCCTATGCCCGGGGTTACCACTCCTTCTCCTTCTCTTCCGTGACTTCCTCCAAATGCTCCGCCTTTCTTTTTGCGTTGGCACTCCTTGGAGTCTGCACCGGCGCTGCACTTCCCTCTCTACTCCTCGGCGCCTTCGGACTATGGCTTCGGGCGCGGCCCCTCTCACCAAAAGTCGGCGACGCAAAAGGCTTTGGACTGAGACCGTAGCGGATATGTCTCAGTTTTTCCTGGTCATATGTTACTTCGCGACCTGATCGCAGAACGTGTGAATCTCCCGCCGTGTCAGGGCGGTCACGGCGCGGAGTCGTCGGAGCCTCGCTGCCTTCGTCTTTAGTAGGCAAACTCTCAGCTGCGATATTCTTGTCTTCAGCAAGGTGACCGCTCGCAGACGCAAGCACATCAAGTGCGTCATTTGCCAAAACTTGACTCGCAAAGGCTTGCAGTGCGTTGGGTTCGGTGATCGCTGAAACATCGTCTTGGGATGGCTGAACAGCATCTGAAGCCGGTTCAGGCTCAAAGTCAAGCGAGATCATCTCTGGCTGCGCTGATTCAGATGCACCGATAGTGTTACTTGATGGGGGCTCCTCCGGCAGCTGCGCTTCCGTATTGTCTTCCTGGAAAACGTAGTCGACTTGCGCTTCAAGTTGTACTTCCTCTACAAACCTGGTATCATCGGTACTTTCGCCTTCAGTCACGGTTTGGTTGCCTGATCTGACGAGATCAACTTCGTCCACAGCATCCTCCTCTCCGTTCTCATCAGTACTGGCGGAGGTATAGTCCAAAACACCCAGGAGATCCCTTTCTCCACGATCGTTCTCGTATGCTTTGTCAGCGTGAGGCTTGCCGCGCATCGGTGTAACGTTCCCTGCAGCAATGGCTTTTTCGAGGTTCGATAAAGACCTGTTCACCGCGGGGTCGAGTTCCTCCTCGTCTTCGTCGCCACCCATGGAACGTGATTGCTCATGTTCTTCCACTTCCTCATCCTCCTCCAAATCATCGTCCTCCCATCCGTCACCGTCTTCACTAACTTCCTCTTCACTATCTTCATCGTCGTCGTCCTCGTCATCGTCGGATTCAGATGGTGGGCCAGTCTCATCAATGTCAATGACTTCTTCTGCTTCATCGTCAAATATTTCAAAGGGACCGTCGCGGTCATTGTCCTCTTCTGCTTCTCCATCGTCATTACCGACTGCGAACGAATCCTGAAGTTCTGCTAATAAATCGTCCTCAACGACCGCATTGCCCTCCTCCCCATCGTCTTGTTCTGCTTCATCCTCAGAAGAGGCGAGATCGATAACTTCTGCAGCAGATGCAGGCTTCTTCCTCGCAAGGGCTGCAATGATGCTCGGCCGTGCCTGATAAAACTCGCGCTCCTCCTCGTCTTCCTCGTCCTCTTCATCATCCTCATCCTCGTAAAGGCCCTCAGCATCTTGATCAGTGTACTCATCTTCGGCAACCTCAGCCTCTTCCTCATCAGCAGGCTCCTCAAAAGGATCCTCCTCGTGTTCCATCAGCAGATCCTCCGCGTCTTCCGCCTCCACAACCTCCACTAGGTCATCATCCTTCACTTCTCCCTCCTGTTCCTCGTCTTGCTCTCCATCAATTGAAATTGGCGCATTCAGTACAACCATGCTCTTCTTCGGAGTGACCGCCTCTCCCTGTATAACCCTCTGCCTCCCAATCTCCCTCAACCCCCAAGCACGATTCTCCGTCAATGCCTTCTTCGCGCGTTCTTTTATTCCATCTACCCAATTAGTGAACTCCTCCGCTGGAAACTCATCAAATGCGCTCCGTCCTCCTGGGGTGGAACGCCACGTAGGTGAGGGAGCTATGGGGTTGTAGAGGTGGGGTGTGCGCGGTGTTGAGGAGCCCAGGGAGGTGCGAAGGAGTTTGCGCGGTGGCAACGGGGTTTGAGGATCATTGTTCGTCGTGGCGAATCGCTTCATCGTTACCTGACAATTGTCGTTCTCTGTCGTGGTGGTGGTACTGGTGGTGAGTAGCGAATTCACGTGATCTCGAGACGTACAACGTCAGTTCGCGTCCGCAATTCGAACGAGGGAAATCAACGGCAACAATTGCAATCAGAGGACAGGATGCGAGGGTTTCTTTTGACCGTAGTGGCCTTTCTATCATTGGTCTCCTATACCCAGGCACTTTACTTCTACCTTACTGGCAATGAGCAAAAGTGCTTCTTCGAGGACCTGCCAAAAGACACGATTGTCGTCGGTATGTTTTCTCTTCTACAACAGCTAAAGGCGTATCCTAACATTGTCAACAGGGAAATACCGTGTAGAAGAGTTGATAGAGCAGACCAACTCTTGGGCAACCCCCTCTGACCTCGGGCTCTCCCTGACCGTCGACGAACTCGGTCCCAATGACGCCAACCCCCACCGTATCGTGTCCCAGCACTCGATGGGTTCATCCTTCACCTTCACCGCCGCCTCTTCATCGGCTCACAAGATCTGTGTATCTACTCGCAAGACCGGTGGATGGTTCTCCAGCTCGAAGGTCAGGCTTCACTTGGATTTGGCGTTGGGCGAGACTGGTGAATTGGAGAAGAAGGGCAAGGAGCACCTCGAGGGCATTGCCGGTCGTGTCAGGGAGTTGAAGAACCGTGTCAACGATGTCCGAAGGGAGCAGGTCTTCCAGAGGGTACGAGTACTACGTGACATTTCGAGGAGCATTGCTGACAGTGTACATGTACAGGAACGCGAAGCCGAGTTCCGTGATCTCTCGGAAAGCGTGAATGCTCACATCGCACGTTGGACCGTCGCCCAGATCATTGTATTGAGTGCTACAGGTGCTTGGCAGTTGATGCACTTGCGTGGGTTCTTCCAGAAGCAAAAGTTGGTGTAGACTTGCCTCCTCCAAGGGGTATATGCTGCTTTTCAAGATACCAACACGATCATCTTACACGCCAATTACACAGCAGTCCATGTCACTGTCACTACTACCCGTACACCCTTGACCTCGTTGTAATCATACGTCCACAGTCCATCCTTGGTGTTGTCCCAAAATGCTCCATGTGCGACATTCAATCCCTGCTGAGGTCCAGCTTCTGAAGTTTGCAGCACAATTGAATTCACTACGAGCTTGTATGATGATCCGAAGTGACCATGCAGATCAGACAATAGGGTGTTGATGATATCTGATGACCAGGTGGATGTCTGCGTGTGGTCATAGGACAGCACGCCGGACAGCGCCTTTGCGCAGGCAGATGAAGCAGACTGCTTCAACGTGTCAATTGATACTGGCTACCCTGTCCATTAGCAATTGATTAACAGCAAGAGCATTCATCCACATACTGCACTGGCTGTCATATTGTTCGTTGTCTTGTACTTGGTTAGAAGGTGAGGCTTCCCGGCTGAGTCGCTAGTGTTCGCGCCTCTGTGGTATTGCCGCTGCATGGCGATGAGCCATTTATCAACCTTAATAAGAACCGTCTGAAGGAAATCGCGAAATCTTGCCATCTACACCATGTCGTCAGCTGTGAGTCGCCCTGTCTCCCTTTCACCAGGCTGTATGCTAATCTCCAACAGCCTCTCCTCCAAGCCGCTCCTGGCAAGCGTATCGCTCTTCCCGTCCGCGTCGAGCCAAAGGTCTTTTTCGCAAACGAGCGTACCTTTCTCTCATGGTTGAACTTTACCATCGTCCTCGGCGGCCTCGCAATCGGTCTCCTCAACTTCGGTGATAAAGTCGGAAGAATCAGTGCTGGTCTCTTCACTCTCGTCGCTTTGGCCACTATGGTGTATGCACTTGTTACCTATCACTGGAGAGCTGCGGCGATCAGAAAGAGGGGTGCTGGTCCCTATGATGACCGTGTTGGTCCTACTGTGTTGTGTGGATGCTTGCTTGGTGAGTTTGTCGGCCGTGTACTGCTGTATGCTGTTGCTAACCCAACGTTCAGCTGCCGTCATCACCAACTTTGCTCTGAGAATCTTCTACTAAACACTCAGAGGTGTATGCGCGTGATCTTACGGGGTGGTAGTCGTTGTGAATGCATTCATTGATGCCTGGCGGAACAGAGTTCTGCAATGGCAGGAGATATATCGGTGTGGAAGCGTGTTGCTAAAAGCGTTGCTTGGTTTTTGTTAGACGGCGTACTGTATTCCTTTCATTCCCTAGGCCTGTTTTCTTTGAGAAATATCATACACATATCGGTTTTCACCAGCTGACTTCTTCGAGGTGCACAAACTGGCCATGAACAAAGCTTTCCCCAGCAGTCATGCCTCATCAGCACACGGCTCACAGCCGTTCGATAACAGGATACAGCTTTGCTGAAGCTGAGATGGTGCAGAGACGACGCGTTTGGAGCGACGAGACAAAAGGGGAAAAACGCGCCCCCACACCGGATCGAACGATGGACCTTTGCATTACAAGTGCAACGCACTACCACTGTGCTATAAGGGCATGTTGTTCATTCGCAAAACAATTGACATATCTGTATGTGGACGCAAAATGCCGTGGGAATTACAGTGCTTTTGTCTTGTAGATAGCAATCACTGTTCAAGAAGCGTTCGTGTGATGTAGTGGTATATAAGGTATAACTACAGTAAGTCACCTTCAGCTGCTCCAACTGGACGTGGCCTAGGCAGCCATAATATTCTCGATCAATCATATTCAGATGGTTCACATACTCCTCGCCACGGTCGTCTAAAACGTCATACCCACCAGCTTCCTCCTTGCTCCTTCATCGGCTTCATCGCAAGACTGTTTCATCGTTAGTATAGTCATAAGTCATCTCGTATGAATTTCTCACCTTCATGCCGACCCGCATCTTCTCGACTGCACTCTTCCCGCATTTCTGGGCTTCTTCTACGATAGGGGTTACCTACAACCATAATAACATCAGCCCACATCGTATCGCGTCGGATAGGGCAACACACCTCCTCCTTGAATGTTGCCAAATCGTCGGCCGCAGTTGCATCACACTCGAGCGATTCGGCAATCTTGGCCTTGAGGGCAGCGTGGTGACGTGTGAGAGTTTGCATAGTAGACTGTCAAGCAATAATCAGAACTTTCGTTCTCGTATCACAAACAGGAGACAAACCGTAAACTCCTCAATGGCAGCCTCGAGGCCGGACGTGTCAATCTTGCTGGCTTTCTCCAAGGCGATTATCTCTGCCCTAAATGTTTTGCTGGTATATCGTGTCAGCTTCGAACAGAATAACGACGGTTTGACATACTTGAAATCATCGTCAAACGAGCGAATGGTATTGAGTTTTCCGAGGTGAACGTCGAGGCGGCGGTCCAAGTCTGCATTCACCCGAGTCGCGAGAGCGTTGGGGAGGGGAAGGAGGTGGTCTACCCACGGTCAGTGTCGTTCGTAATGAAGCCACAGCGTTCCTACCTGATAAAGTTGACAAAAGCGCATGCAATTCGGGATCGAGGTTCCTACAACATATCGATTCGAAAGCTGGCGGTAAGAGAGAGGCGGTGAGACTCACGCCTTGGGGATGTATGCGGTCTTCTTCAGGGCAATGGCCGCTTCAGCTTTCTCTTTCCTGCGCTCCTTATCCTTACCCTCTCCACCGGCAGACCGTGAATGCTTCTTCTTCGCGGCTTTGGGCATGTTGATGATGCTTGATGTGAATGGTTCCCATTGATGTACGGCCTCCTGACTGCTATACAAGGTCCCTTCGAGATTCAGGAGTTCAGGAGCTGCCTTCTCATCGTTACTCCTTCAGTCAGCCTGGGGACACTCGAGCCTCTCTCTCCTCCTCTTTGTATCGTATGTGATCCCACGCGCGAACCACACTCCACCAAACATCGAAGAAAAGAGGTCCAACCATCACCTGGGCACTCGACAAGCTTACGCAATCGTCATCTAGATGGAACGGTACACGTCACCTGAAGCCATCGACAAGGAGAAAGGAGAAGTTCACACCCCCTACAACAACCCCGCCTCGCCTATAAAATGGTGGGCTTTCCCCCTCCGACAACGTCTCCCATCCCACATCATTATCTCAAAGGTCAACCATTCCATGGGAGCTCTTCCTCGAGCTGACTGACATGGCTTGACAGGTATCGCTTATTTTACCTCACTCGCTTTTCTGCCAACGCCGAACAGCCAAGTAATCAGTTAATTTACTAAACTACTCCATCATCAAAACTTCGTCTACAATGGCTATCTTCAAGGTTTGCTTCACCCTCCTCGCCCTCTCCTCGACTCTCGTCGTCGCCGCCCCCCAGGCCAGCTCCACTTCTACCGCCTGTGCCAACCAATCCGCCTTGGACAGCTGTCTCGCCAGCAACTCTGTCGACAGCTGTAGCAGCTCTGACTACAACTGCTTGTGCTCGGTCTACCGCGCCCAGGCTGCTTGTTACACCTCCAACTGTCCAGATGACCCTACTGCCTCAGCTTCTCAAGCTCAGGCTGACCAGCTTTGCAACGCTGCTGCTGCTCAATCGTCTTTGGCGGCTGCCAATGCCGCTGCCGTTGCTAGCATGGGTCCTTCGGCTCAGTCTTACATCTCGGTGGCCTCTGTTGCTGCTGCCTCTGTCGCAAGTGCTGCGGTATGCTCCTTCCTCTTCCCTTCCTTCGTCGTTGACATCATGCTAACTTGTCATCCCAGTCCGCCGCCGACGCGAGTCAGCGTTCGTTGATCTCTGAAGCTGTTGCCTCCCAGTCAGCAGCCTCCGTGTCTGCGGCCAGGGCTTCCGCGGTTGCTCACGCCGAGGTCTCAGCGGTTTCGACCATCACCGACTTCTCCTCTACCATGACTGCTACGCCGGTTGCTACCAGCGTCGTTCTCGTCAGTGGAGTTTCGTCAACCGTCGATGAGTCTTCCGCCTCCTCCGCGTCTGCTTCCGCCGCCTCTGAGTCTCTCGTGTCTTCGGCTTCGGCCGTCAGCAGTTATGCCTCTTCGGTCGCACACTCTGTCTCCTCTCACGTCTCGTCCATCATGAGTTCGGCCACTGCGCTCGCCATCAACTCGGGAGCTACTGGCCTCGAGCTCTCTACCTTTGGCGTGTTTACCACGGTCGGCGCTGCCGTCTTTGGCTTCGCCGCCCTCTTGGCTTGATGATGAAGAGTCTTTACCTTCTTCTTTCCTTGTAAATATAGGGCTTCGGGTTGGGCATATGCATTCATGGGGTGTTTTCTTGATGGTTTCTTCGTTTATTTCAGCTGCTAACTCCCGTTTGGAGGGCTGTCTTTCCGCGTTTGGTAATTGAATGGAGTCTCTGTTGACTTTGAACAACTGTTCCTTCTCTTGCAAACATTAATCGTAACTGTCTCATTCCCATGCGAATTCTCATGCCTTCGCAACCTCTAGATTGTTCTTACTCATACAAATGTCCCTTCGATGCTTAAATAATGGCATCCCCAATGCTTTCTCCTATGCACTCTCATCCTCCTCCTCCGGTGCTCCAACTCCGATCATCTTTTTCAATTCTTCATATACCTATCGCGAAGGTTAGCATCTTCATATCGTGCAAAGGGTAAGAGAAACTCACTGTAAAGTTAATAGCAGTCACAATACACGAACGAAACATACTCGCCGAAACACCCCGATACATCCGTCTCAAGTTAAATTTCAAGGGCGTTTTCCCAACTTCACCACCAAATGCTTCTCGCAGAGCATCTCGCTGACGCACCGATTTGATCGTGTCCACAGGGAACACCAAGCACCAACTCAGAGCACCACACAAACCACCGGAAATGGCATACGTCAGCGTCGTGGCCTCACCGCCCGCCTTTGTCAATGCGCCTTTGACGGTTTCGTAGACCGTAAAGTACAGTCCTGTACCGATCGCGTCTCGTGCAAGGTGGTATTTGAATCCAGAGTACAGGCCCATGAAACCGCGGGCTCGGACTATATCTCGTGCAGACTGGATAGATCCCTTGGGTTTGAGCGTTTCTGTCGTGATTGATCCTGCTACTGGTGAGGTTGACCCAGGCGATGCCGTACCGCTTGTTGCCGTAAGCCGCGACTGTGCCATCAACTTTTCAATCTGCGTACTCAGCTTCGTCAACTCGAACGGACAAGCAATGAACGTGGTCGCTGCACCCGCCGTCATACCAGAAAGACCGTACACAAACGTTCGTTCCACCGGAGACATATCAGGTATCGCGGCCGACGACGCGGATATTGGTCGAAGTAATGTCGCATAAAAGTTCTTGCACTTTTCGTATGTGGAGAACGATATAGTTCGTACGATCGTAACCGAGAATAGCGGTACCGCCACACCGCGAAAGAACCCATTGATTCCCTCCGTTTTTCGCGTCTTCGCAAAACAGTCCCATACAGAATCATACTTGTACGTCTGCATCCGAGTCTTGACCGTGTCCAGCGGGAAGCCCACAACTGTGCTGATTATCGAAGCCCCGCAAGCCGATATCGATGTCCGGTATTGTAATGCGAAATCGGCGACCGGTCCATGAGAACCGGGCAATGGAGGGTTCGACAGGACTGGTCCCAAGTCCTTCGACCTCCGCGGCGGATCATCGGTAGGCGAAGAGGACATAGAAGGATGTCCCGGATTCGAGGATGGTGTAGACATACTGTAATATAGACAGAAACTCACGGCTCAGTCACTTTTTGACCGCGCCCGGATGCTGCGTAATAGATCGAGCTGCTGGATCGAAGATAGAAGATCCGCGTCGATTAGCAGGCCGGAGGACGAAGAATAGGTCGCTTTCTCGAGTTTACTTTTGACCGTTTCAGCAGATCATAGACGCATACCACGATCGCGATGAAGTTCGCGAAGGATTTCGCAGCGGTTGAAATAAAGGTTTGGCGTATTGGTTTCCCGGGCGGATCCCATGGAGTATACGGTACCTCACGCCAGCCAGAAACCGAAATACGGCAAGAAGGATATAGGATCGAGTACGATGTTATAAGTAAGAATAGCTAACAGAAAACAGAACAAAGAGACTTTTGAACCGGCCGTAACATCGTCACGGAAGGTACCTAATCGACAGAAGAAGGTATACCGATGAACGCCAACGCTGGAAGACAAGAACGCCAATGAGAACCCAATAACAAACAGGAATATCGTCCATCCACAAAACTGAACCCATGTATCACACCGTCCTGCTTTTCTTCACAGTCTAAGCCGATGCAAACGCCGCTTGCGCCTGCCTTTTGCCCTCGTCCTTCCAGAAGTGCATCTGGCTGACCTTCTCCAACACCTCCTCGAAACCCTTCCTTCCTTTTGTAGCATTCTGAGAGAACCTGTCCACGGTAAAGTTCTCCAGGCGCTGCAAAGGTCCGTATGCACTGATGTTGGCGTTCTGCTCGAAGATCGTCTTGGCTGGCGATTCAGGGTCGGGATGGTACTTGACGGTCTCCTGAACGCTCAAGATATTCGCAAATGTAAGGTTGACAGAGCGCATAACAACAGTCTGGCTCTTCGGATCCACCTCGGAAACTTCACGAACGAAGCTAATCTCATCGCCACCAATCAGTCGCAGAATCCATCGAGGAGCGGACTGCTTGCAGGCGATAATGCGCTCAGAGCGGAGGACACCAGTGGAAGGGTCAACCTCACGGCGGAGTGTGTCGACAGAGATGACGTGCGACGAGAACTCGTTGGGATACTTTCGCCAATTGGCAGCAGAGACCTGTAGGGCAAACGGTCAGTATTGGATCCCGGGTGGCCGGAAAAATGTAACGAACCATATTCCATGGGTGATCAAACACACAGGTATTCTCAAAAATCTTCATTGTCGATTATCGTTGTTCGATAGAGATTAGAGTATAGACGATAGGTGTAGCCGACCGATGATGGAGGAGGCGGTGATGTAAAGTCGGAGAGAAAGTGGCAAGACCGAGCGTAGGATTACGATAGCAGTTGATCTGGTTATAAAGACTGTCAATGTCCCTTGTGGCGACGCGGTACACGGGCGGATTCGGAGTACGGGAACGGTTGGTCCTTGGAGAGCAGGTCTCTGGATTTTACGAAACATTCCAGTCTGACCGTCCGGGTGGCGCGCGCCCACTCGCAATTGCAGACGAGCGCATGAAGGAAGAAACCGGAGCTTGAAGTCGGTGGGTGATCTCCGAAATGTTTCTTGATTGGAATATACTTTCTGTACTGCTTTGCTGCTTTACTGCTCGCCTGTTCCGCTCTTCGGCTTGCCCCACTTCCTCGCCAGCGTCTCATACTTCTGCCTCTCCTTAGAACTCACACTAGGTCTAACATTCCTAAACGCATTCTCAAAATCCTTCTGCGTAACTTGAATCTGCTTCTTCTGCATCTGGAGACCCTCCACCTGCCTGGCAGCACTGGCGACCAGTGGGTCCTCGGAAACCTCCATGGACTGAAGGTCGGTCAAGACAGTATTCCGTAGAGCACCAACAGCGGCTTCTCTTACCAGCGATGCCAAGTCAGCACCAGAGAAGTTCTCGGCTCTAGGGTCATTGGAGATCGCAACGAGATCAACCTCTGGTGCTATCGGCGTCTTCTTTGTGAGCGTCTTCAGAATCTCCGCACGCTCTCCAGGCGTGGGGAGCTCCACAAACAAGGGCTTATCCAAACGACCAGGTCTCATCATAGCCGGATCAATGATATCAGGTCTGTTCGTAGCAGCAATGACGAAAACCCCCTTTCTGTCGTTCAACCCGTCGAGCTCTGTCAAGAGGGTGTTCACCACACGAGCACTGCTCTCACTCAAGGAATCATCACGCCTGGGAACAAGAGCGTCGAGTTCATCAAAGAAGATAACACAAGGACTCGACGCACGCGCACGCATAAACACCTGCCTCACACTCCTCTCAGACTCTCCCACGTATTTGTTCAGCAACTCCGGTCCTCTGACGGAGATGAAGTTTGCTCTAGACTCATTTGCAACAGCCTTAGCAAGCAACGTCTTACCACACCCCGGAGGTCCCCAGAGGAGCACACCTGCTGGCGCGGTAATACCGACACTTTCGTACAGCTCAGGTCGCTTGATAGGCTGCACAATCGCCATCTGTAACTCAATGCGTGTACCTTCCAAAGCACCGACATCCGCCCATGTAACGTCCGGCACTGTAGCAAAACCTTCACGCTTCGATGATGGCTGGATTTTGGGTAGTGCAATAAGGAAATCTTGCAGAGTGATAGCCAACGGTTCAAGTTCGGCGGGGGTCAAGGTTTTTGGGTGAGATGAGAGGAAGCTGTGGATGGTGTTCAACGTCTTCAAAGCCTTAGCTTTGGCATCCGCTTGAGGGTCGCGTACTTCGGTTTGCGCTGACGCTGGGGTTTCTTCGGTGGAAGGAACTTGCTCTTCAGCCGCTGCCTCCGCAGCAATCTCACCATCTACCTCCATGACGTCCTCAGTCATCTCAACATCATTATTACCAACATAGCCAGCCTCCTCCAGTACTTCCTGAACCTTATCCTGCTCGTCTTCCGGCTTCTCACTCAGCTCCTTGAAAATCCTCTTGATAGCAACAACACCAGCAGCACCAGTCAACGCCCTCAAATCCGCACCAACAAAACCAGGGGTCATACGAGCCAACGCCTTATAGTCAAAATCACCGTCAAGACGCAACTTCCTGCTCATCACCTTCAAGATCTTCTCGCGACCGACCTCGTCCGGTACGGACAGTTGAATCTCGCGATCGAAGCGACCGGCACGACGAAGAGCTGGATCCAGCGAATCCGGGCGGTTCGTTGCTCCAATAATCAAGACAGGCTTGTGTCCCGTTGCTTCGAAGCTCAACGAATCCATACACGTCAACAACTGTGTCACGATCCTCTTCTCCATCTCCCTCTGCGCATTCTCCCTCTTTGGCGTAATCGCATCAATCTCATCCAAAAACATGATGCACGGCGCCAGAGCTTTCGCCTCCTCAAAAACATCTCGTAGCTTCTTTTCGGATTCGCCGGACATACCTGATACGACCTCGACTGCTGACATATTGATGAAGGGAACGCCGAGTTCACCGGCGATGGCGTTGGCGAGGAGAGTTTTACCACAACCTGGTGGGCCGTGCAGGAGGACACCGCGGGGTGGTTGGATACCGGTGTGCACGTAGACTTCGGGATGAGTTAAGGGCATGGCAATTAGCTCGAGGAGCTCGTTTACGCAGTCATCGACACCGCCGAGATCGGACAAGGAAACATTTGTTGGTGCGGCACGGTCTTGATCTACTAACAAACCCGGTTAGTCACGACGTTTATCTTGCGGATGGGAGATACACATACCCTTCTGACGCTTGGCAGAACTTCCAGGCTCACGTGCACTCGGCCTCTCCTTCCTCTTTGCCGACTTGGCAGGTGCTGCTGAGGCCGCTTCAGGAGCAGGTGTGGTTGATGGAGCATCGGGTATCGTAAGGTCAACAACCTCGGGGTTTGCCTCCGGATCGACCGAAGCTTGTCTCGATATCGGTGTCTTGATAGCGGGCGCTGGCGGAATACCCCACAACGAGGTAACAGATTTGTTCATCGAGTTCGTACCCTTGTAGTCAATCAACCTGCTGTCGTCCAATCCTTCAAACTCGCTGTCAATCTCATCCCGGTCCTCCTCGTCATCCTGCGCAAACTCCTCCCTCACAATTGGCAGCACCTTCTCAATGATCCGCTCCAGTGCCAACTTTGTATTACGTCTCAGACCCGGATCCACAGCTTGGATCTGGTTGTAGATGTAAGTAACGGTTAACGGAGGCGATGATGCATCGGCGGCAGTTTCGAGTTTCCGGATGTGAGATGCGACCTTTGCTTCGAGTGCACTGGAGATTGAGCCCTTCGCAGCGGGTCTGTTGATGTTTTTCGACTTTTGCGGCATGATGCCCGTCTCTGTTTTTTGGAGGTTTGTTTTGTCCCAGGACGCAACACGGCAACATTTTTGGGCGACAGTGCTGAACCGCGCAGACACCGCCACAACCTTAACCCCCGAGACAACAGTCACCAAGGATCAGCTCAAACGTCAGACCGTTCATTCACCTTCAGCTCGATCTCATAATAAGCACACAGCCATGGGCAACACGTCTTCGGCACGGCGGGTCACTCCACAGGATCGTGCGATTCTCGATATGAAACTGCAGCGGGACAAACTTAAGCAGTACCAGAAGCGAATACAAGTCGTACTCGATCGGGAACGAGCCATTGCCAAGGAATGTCTTCTTAAAGGCGATAAAAGAAGAGCGTTACTTGCCCTAAGGCAGAGGAAGTATCAGGAGCAGTTACTAGTCAAGACGGATGCGCAGCTGGAGACCTTAGAACAATTGGTACAGCATACACGCCGTGATGATTCCACCAAGACTAACCCGTGGCCTAGACAAGTTCGATTGAATTCGCGTTGGTCGAGAAGGACGTGCTGTATGGACTGAAGCAAGGGAACATGGTGCTCAAGGAAATCCACAAGGAGATGAACCTAGAGGCCGTGGAAAAGCTCATGGACGAAACCGCCGACGCAATCGCATATCAGAAGGTTTGTCTGGCCTCCGATATTCCGGTTGTACTATACTAATACTTCGGATGACTGCAGGAAATTGACGAGGTACTGTCTACCCGAATAACAAACGCAGAAGAGGAGGATGTCCTGGAAGAACTCAAAGAACTACAACGGGAAGCTGCTGCTGCCGAAAATCTAGATAAGGTGATAATGGTGACATTGATATTGGTACACCCACTGACAGTACAATCAGGTGGAGCGCCTTCCTAAGGCACCGACAGCTGAGATGCCCGAGACACAGCCGGAGGAGGTTGAAGGTAAGAGTGGTGCACTCTTTATCCAGCATTTACTGACAGTTAATATGAAGAAGAACCAGCACAAGCGATACCACGGAAAGAAAGAAGCCGGTCTGCGGAAGCTATTCTTGCTTGACGAATGATGTCGGATGATGACTGGCAATGGAGAACGAAGACTGTGGACGGATACTGCCAAGACAGACTAGCCAGTCAAATGGGTTTGTTTTCAAGATGATACCAACGGATTCCTTCAATAGATACGTAACTGTAAGGCTTTCCGACTGCTCGTATGTGGAATTACCCAAATGGGTTTGTGCGCCTCCTGCGTTCTGCATGGCGGGGACGAACCCGAAGTTGAATTCGTCGCGACCGGAAGATTCCAAGTTGCAATTCACAAGGAAAGTGAAGGAGAATCCGTCAAGAGTGATGAGACTCTACACGCCTCTCCAGCTGCACCGGTACTGCCATGTCCCCAAATTGCCTGTGAAGCTGCTTGGTAGATCAAACAGCTCCTCACCATTCCTCTCACGACCGTCGCCATCTCGACCGCCCTTGAACATCCTATACTTCGGCTCAGACCACTTCTCAGGACAAGTCTTCAAGAAGTTACATGATCTTCATAAATCAGACCCACAGCTCATCCAGAATCTGGAGGTTGTGACTCGTTGTGATATGCCCAAAGGGCACAGACTGCGGCTTGCACCGTGTCCCATGAAAGTAGAGGCCCAACAGCTAGGGGTCAAGATTCATGAAATACCAAAGAGGGAGGACGGGGACATAAAAGCCTGGGCCAAAGAGCCGATGCCACTCACACCGGACGCACAATCATTTAACCTCGCGATCGCCGTTTCGTTCGGCCTTTTGATTCCGAATGAAGTCCTCGCTCAACTACGGTGGGGAGGAACCAACATTCACCCGTCGTTGCTACCGATGTATCGCGGGCCGGCACCAATTCACCATGCTTTGATGAATGGGGATGTGTATACCGGCGTGACCATACAAACACTGGATCCGAAGGAGTTTGATAATGGCAGGATTCTAGAGCAGGAGCGTGTTGATATCCCACAGGACGCAACCCTTGAGAACCTAAAGAACATGTTGGCTGAGAAGAGTGGTAACATGCTTGTTGATTTTGTGCGAAAGCGGTGGGGAAGCGAAATGGTGGATGGAAACCCCCTCGCATCGCTTACGAGCGTAACGAGCTACCCAAAGATATATGCACCGAAGGTTGCGAAAGACGCTCTGCGCGTAAACTGGAAAGAATGGAGTGGTCGGAAGGTCATGCAATGGAACAAGGCCTTTACCGGGCAGCTTTGGACTACCCTCCACGTTAATGACCAATACAAGCGCGTATTGCTGACTTTTAGTCAAAGCGGACATTCGTTCAAGGATGAAGATCTCCCAGAAGAGCTGAAACAAGCTGAACCTGGCACTCTCATCGTGGTTGGACCATCTGGTGGGGAAAGGTTTGCTGCGGTAGTATGTGCTGATGACTCCATTGCGACTTTAACAAGCGTCAAAGTGGAAGGCAAGCGCAATGTGGACGCAGTCGCCTGGTATGATAAAGTAGATGGGAAGGTGGTGTTCGAGTAAGCGGAGGTTTAGGGAATGATACCCGGGTCCGGGATTAAATGTCTGAATGGGAAGAAAATAGATAGGTACGATTAGTAGATATTCCATTTAGCGCAACTCCTCATCATCATCGTCTTCCTGACCTTGCTCAACTTGCACGGTAGGAATCTCCATACCCTCTTCTTCCACGCTTTTCTCAACAGAGTTCTCAATTTCTGTGATTGACTGCGTACCTTCAACATCAGTCATTCCATTTTGCGCTTCGTGACCTTCAACCTCATTGACGTTTGAGATCGATGGATGCGAAGTCGCATCTGCGGAAATAGCAGGAGTCAATTCCGTAGACGGAGTCATGAAAACATCACCTGCTCCATCTTCGGTGATAGTTCGATTTAAGGGCCCCGGAACTTCAATGGATTCTTTGGCAGAACTCAGTGCAGCTGTGGCAGAAGCCTCTTCTGTGGGAAAAGCGCCGGGTGCATCTTCCAAGGATTCCTCTATAACAAGAGTTTCCTCAGTCACAGCGGCTTCTGCTGAGGGGGCGTTTGACGCAGAGCCTTCATCATCGTCTTCATTCCTAGGATTCTCGGCGTTCTCAGGTGTCTCTCGAATCGCTTCGACGTGCTCTTCTTCCTTTTGGAATTCTTTCTCAGAGGTGTCCACAGCGGCCTGCTTGGTAAAAGCTGCCTTTCTCACCAATTCATCCCTAGCGGCCCTCATCCTCTCAACTTCATCAGCCCCACCAGTCTTCTTCAGTTTGCCTTCCGTAACAAAATCACCCAACTCCTTTTCGAACTCTCCGATCCTCGCCTCCAGCTCCTTCTGCCTGACAGCCTCAGCGCGTGCAATCGCATCAATGCGACTTTCGTGATCAGGCTGTTTTGCACGAACCTCAGTAAGGAGTGCATCCCGAGTCTTCAAGCTATTTGTAGGTGAGGTGTGGATGAATGCCGGACGCTTCGGTGACGCTTGTTTGGCAAAAGCAGCAACACAGGCATCGATAATATTGACAACTTCGCGCGTTGCTTGAACATCGAGCTTGTGATCATGAAGAAGGGCCTCTTGCTGACGGAGAAAACCTTGCTCCGCAACAACACGATTTAGTTCCATCTCCCAAGTGCTCTTCCAACTAGCAGCAACCGTCTTGATATGAGTTTCAAATGTCCGCAGTTCCTGCTCTCGCTTGGCAAAGTCCTTTTTCAATGCATCGACTTGGGCTTGTGATGGCCTGACCCTTCGGTGCAACACATCATTTCTCAGATCTTCAGCCCGATCCTGGACCTGTTCCATGTTCTTGACCAACTCATCAGATAGCTTCTCCATCTTTGCCTTTCCTTCTTCCAAAAACTTGCGTTCAGCACCTGTGGAGGTAGCCACTTTACTGATCGCTTTGGCTTTGTCTTTGATGTTTTCCATATCTGATTGGGTTTTCTGAACAAAAGTTGAGTGTACTTGCCGAATTGCTCCAAGATCAGCCCGTAACTGTGATAGTATGTTCAGTTGAGCATTCGCCGCCTGTGGATTGACTGAGCTGTCTCCGGCTGATGGAGTACCGCTCGGCACGGAGTTCTGCGTGGATGGAGTCGCAGGAGTAGGCCGTTCAAACCGCGTGTCTTGCTTCGCCTCACGCAACTTTTCCACCTCTTTTCGCAAGCCAGCAAACTCTTTGAGTACGCCAGCCAAACCTTCGTCAATATGCTTTTTAACCTCATCCAATTCGTGAATGTTCAAACTCAACACAACACCTTCCTTGATGTCGCCGATGTTCTCGAGCTCGTATCGAATCGTCGTCCCCTTATCCGCAATGTATATATGAGGAAACTCTGTATTGGATGCGGGGTTGTAATCAAATTTTTCGAGGAAAAGGAGGCGAAGCGAAGACATGGACAGTTCCTCCATGTCAGCCGGCGATAACTGGTGCTTCTTCGTGGATTGCCCTAGCTGGAGATACACTTGCATGCACCGGACTGCGGTGTCCGGGACAAGAGACGCTTCCGACGATACAGCCGCTGCTGAAGTCGTGTCGGTCCTCGTGTCGGTCCTCGAAAACGTTGGCGATGGTAAAGAGGGAGCATCCCGGCTCCGTGGTGTACCCGCTTGATCCTCCTCTATAGGCAGAACTTCCAGCCCTAATCCGGTCTTCACTCTATCATGGTTGTAAGCAGCTGCATCCTTTGGGAGCTGAGGTACAGGAGGGCTCTCGCCCGGGCCCCCAATACGTGGACCAGCCGCAGCGACAGCACCACCCTTAAGGTGATACGTAGAGTACCGCTTACTCGCACGTCGCGCCAACATTTCCGAGTTTTGGAGTGCGGCTAACGGATCATTACCTGCTGCATTTCGATGACGAGGCAGGGGAAGCGACGGTTCATCGGAAGACGGGAGGGGGTGAACCGGTTCACCAAGCGTAGGGACTGGCAGTTCTTTCAATGGTGGAGGGGGAGGTGGCGGCGGTGGTGATGGAGTTGCCGGGAAATAATCGTGCTGGACAGGAAGTTGCACTGGTGGTTTTCGAGGGTTTGGTAAACGTTGTTCATCGAATGGCTCCGGCTGTGGGGGCGGGAGTGGCATAATAGGCGGAGAATTCGTTCCACTCCGAGACTCTTGTGCGCTTCGTGTCCTCGAAATGCTTGGTTGCGAAACACCTGAGCCTGATGCCACACGATATCTTGCTTGCTTTCGCTTCAATCCCTGCAACAACTGAATAATGATACCCCTTATTCTTGGCAAATACCGTTCGAGAGTATCAGGTGTGGGATCTTCCGCTAAGGCCGTTTCCAGGACCATACGGAGATCCTGTGGTACACGTAGAAGGTCATTCATCTCGATGTTGGCCCGCGTAAATGCAGCACACGCAATATTGAACTCGTTTCCTAGTCTGACGTAGACGTCACTGACATCGCCTTCGCCAGCCATCCCTTGTGACCATGAAGTTAAAGTCTCCAGAAGCGTCTTCGTCTCAACAAGAAGCTTAGTCACCGAGGCTTCTATGGGATTTGACCTTCGCATGCTTCCCGAGGAGCTCATGGCAGAAGGAGCACGGTTCATAGTATTCGATCCCGTGGAAGGCCGCCGATCTGTACCTTCTCGAGATAGCACATTCGATGACACCGCATTGGATACGTATGTTTGCGAATAAGATGGCGTTGAAGAGAGAACAGCTCTATCAGACGGCACTGCTGATCCGGAACCTGTCGAGGACGAAAGCAACTGACGCTGATCGGACGAGCCAGACGAAACGCTGCGATTGAATGGCCTAGACATCCTCAAGTTAAAGCTGACGGCAACAAAGCCTCATAGACGGACAGCTACCAGGTGAATTGTGATCCGGGAGAGGTGTGGATTAAGGTTGGGGGCTGCAGCGCTGTGCAGCGCACGTGAACCGCGAGGACGTGGGCACTCAGGCAATGAGATGCTATGGACGGAAAAAGAAGAAAGATTCAGAGCTCTGCAAGGCTCATACCGAAAACTATCACCGAGGTTTGCTTCTCTGGTCTGCGTAATGACAGCACGGGACAGCCGTGGAGCAGGGGGCCCTCATTGGCGCGCGACGAGAGTCCCCGCTGCGGGTACACACCATTCGTCCTATTCGTAGGAGTTGAGTTTCTCGGCCGTCGACGTTTCATCCTCGACATCCCCGCTGGCTACCGCCATTCGGTAATCGTAACTCTATCAGCTCCGTCTATTTAGAGCTCACACGATGGCTACGACCGCGACCAACCCTGGGCTCCCGCGCACGGACTCGAAGCCCAACACGCAGCGCCACGAGTCCACCGGCGGTAATTCTGCTGGATCACGGTAGGCGACAGCCATACACGCCGATTTCGTTCGTGCGCCGACCACTGACACTTGTGTAGACCTGCCGCCGTGAAGAAAGCATGGGCTCAAGTTGCAACGGGCACTCCCGCTGGCACCGCCTCTAACACAACCCGTTCGCCTTCTATTGGCCCTCAGTCACGCTCTGTTTCCACTGGAGCACCCGACGGCCCTCGCGAAACCGACACTCCTCAGAAGCACATGCACGACCGTCTTCTGTTCTTGATCATTAACCTTGTGGTACGTTGCCGATATCTTGAGTTCATCACATAATGCTAACATACGTCCAGGGAACTCAAGTATCTGCTACCATCCGCAGCGGAGCACGCTTTTCTGGTATCTTGTTGAGCGCGAAGACCGAGGGTGATTTCGGTGTTGTCCTGAAGAATGCCCGCCAGACGCATGCCGCTATGGGAGACGAACCCCTGAAGGAGCAAAGCGAGGCTAAGTATACTCTCATCATTCTCCCTCAGGATTTGGTTGAGATCAGAGCCGACAAAATCGACTTGGGACAAGTAGCCGCCGAGAGTAAGAATGGAGGGTTCCGTATTGACACGGACATCTCTGCGCGCCCTACTTCGACTACTCCGCTTGGGTCTGAGCGCGAGCTCACCCGTTGGGAGCCCGACACGTCGGAACTTGCTGGTCTTACTTTGGAGGAATCCACTGCAAAGGCACCTGGAGGTAACTGGGATCAATTCGCGACTAATGAGAAGCTTTTTGGCGTCCGAAGCGACTTCCGCGAGGAGCTGTACACCACGAAGATCGACAAGAATCATCCTTTGTACAAACAACGTGAAGCCGCTGCAGCCAAGATTGCTAGGGAGATTGAACAGAGCACTGTTTCCGGCGCCCATATGATGGAGGAACGTGGTTTGGCTGTTGACGACTCTGGTCTGGATGAAGAGGACCTGTACGGTGCTGTTATCCGTGACTCTCTTCCTCAGCGTACCGCTTCGCAGAGTAACAGTCAAGGCGCAGAGGCATTGATGAAGGAATTGGGCATGAGAAGCGGGAAGGGAGACAGATACACTCCGCCTGCGCTCCGTGGGCCTACCGCCACAGGTGCTGGAGTACCTGGACAGCCGATCGATCCGGCGATTATCAGCGCGAAAATGGTCAAGCCCACACCCGCCAAGGAAGAAGAGAAGAACGAGATTGTGCAGGCACCTGTCGTCGAGTCTACTGACAAGGAAGTGGCTAAAGACCAGGAAAAGACTTCTGCTACGAAGGATGGGAAGATTGAGGCTGAAGTTATCGGATCTTTCAAGCAGTTTGTGAGCGGCGAGCGTGAGCGTCTCAACCAGAAGAAGCAAGCACTCATGAAGAAGGAAAAGGATGGGCGTTTGCAGGATCTTTTGAAGTTCTCTCAGCAGTTCAAACTCCGCACACCTGTTCCGGAGGATCTTGTCCCGATCTTGGCTAAAGACAAAGCTAAACAGGAAGAGATCAGGACTAAGGCGCAGGCCGCAACCACGTCCGAAGGAGGTGTTACTGTCAAGAAGGAACTTAAGGTCCCAAGTGTCGTGGCTGCCGTTGCAGCTGCTAGAGGAACCAGCCCTTTGCAAGTCAAGGGCTCCGAGACTGCTGCTACGGAGGAGGCACCTTTGTCACAGCGCATTCGAGCTGGTCAGGAGAAAGACAGGCGAGCTGCGGCTGCCAACCAGGCGCCCTCGCCAATCACGAGCCCCACACCGCTTCCCGTCAGCATGGCTGAAGTACCGGAGTCTCCTAAGCCAACTCCCGCGGCCGCCGCGAAGCCTACTACCAAGCTCAACGTGAAAGCTGCGGAGTTCAAATTCAAGCCCAACCCCAATGCAGGTGCGTTTGTGCCCAGCCTTGCACCTCCTTCATCTGTTCGGTCGCCACTATCACCTCAAGCATCTATGCCATCAATTGCAGCCACTAGTCCTATCATGAGCAGCACAATGACCAGCCCTTCCAGGAGCTTTGTGGCACCGCTGCCTATCACGAACGACAAACCCGCAGCATTCTTCGGCAACAAGAAGCCAAGGGTGGGCGACAGACCTAGGGTTAAAGACGCATTCGGCCCCTTCAAGCGGACTGAGGGTGACAAGCCAGCTTCAATTCCACCACCCTTCACATTTGCTCCCATTTGGCCCACAAGTGAGAATGCGAAGAGCTACAAGGATCTTTTCCCGAAGGAGAAGCAACCACCTCAGGCAATGATGCCCATGCAGATGACTTTCGAAGATGATTCACAAGATCAGTTCCGTGCTGCAAGCATTCCGGGAGCAAGCCCTCATATGCCGCCACAGCCAATGCAATACATCCCTGCACAGCAAGCCATCTACGGCGCACAGCAACCTATGGGCGTTGCCTACCCCGGGCCTGGTGGGCCTCAGGGAGGTTTTGGTTACACCATGCGTCCTGGCTTCATGCCACAAGGTCCACCTGGGCCCCAGGGTATGACTATGGGGTACGCAGCACCACCACAGTTCGGTGGTCCTCAAGCAGGAAGCTTCGGTCAATACCCCGGGCCACCAGCCGGCCAAGGTTACGTTCCAGGACCCCAACTCGGTCAAGGCTACCCCAGTCCTGGACGAGCTCCGCCACTCATGATGCACCAATCTCCCGGACAGGCACCGGGACACCAAGGACAACCGCAAGCCATGATGGCGATGGCTTTGGGAATGCCGGTCATGCCTGGACAAGCATATGGCTATCCGACTCAGATGCCGATGATGTACCCCAATATGGGTCAAATGCGACATGGTCCTCAAGGAGCTGGTGGGATGCCGCCCGTGCATCAATCCAACTCCCCACTTAACAGACCGGGTCAAATGCCCGGCATGTCAGCACATGGGCCTCTAGCCCATGTAACTTCGCCTGCAGCAGGACATACGCAGGATGGGCCCAAGGAGGCGAAGTGAAGGACCAGCAAGAGTAGATTAGGCTTGGCGATGATGAAGGGAGTTTCACAGGTCAAGGAGTGAGTTTGAAGTATAGCATTTACTTCCTTGAACCTAAGGCAGCTGAAGGCATGAGGATGTATGAACCCGTATGGTGCAGTGCGCAGATGCGAGTTCAGGAAACATTGGAACAAATAAAAAATGAAAAATTTCTTCTCACAGCTGGTTTGACTGAATTCTAAGTTAGTGTCGTACTGAATTACCTGTTTTGGCTACAGCCCATCGATCATGAACAGCAACCGCGGCGACACCGGTCTGTGCACCTCCTTCACAACTAAACACGATACCCATGATCTCTCCAGCTGTTGTGCCGTCCAGGCTCTCTTACTTCGCAATATACAACCCGACACTTTCGCATTCGGAGGATACGCTTATCGATCAGGTCGCTTTCTACGCATCACGGACGCCGTCGACAACTGATGAACAGCTGCGTCGCGTGGGTCTCGTACAGGGTATCAATTCATTCGGAAGGCATGCAGCATCTACTCCCATACTGGATAGTGCTCACCTGTCTTTGCAGGGCCTTCTCCGGTACGCACAACGTATCTACCATACGCACAGTTAAATCCACAGTCCTCTTGACTGAAGTCGAGCCTGACTGGTGGATATTGGCTTGTATAGACCACTCGCAATCCTCCAAAATAACAAGTAAGTCTTCTAGCCAGACGCCAGGCCAGTCCGTGTCATATGATGACCGTGATCTGCCTAATTCGCATGTCCTCAATGCGCAGCTACATCGAGCATATCAGGTCTTTAAGCTCTTGCACGGCACACTTGCAAGCCTTCTTGTATCTGAAAACCGAGAGGGTCTGAAACGAATGCTGGATCATTGGTGGGGAAGTTGGGTTTGGAAATGGGACATCGGCTACGTCGGGCATGCAGCAATGTCCCTTTGGAATGGTACGAAATTCCTCATTGCATGATATAACAAGCTAACAAGCATGGAATAGGTATGCTTGTCGATAAAGAAACACGAAACAAAGACACTCTGTCAGAGCTACGCCTGATGACAGACAGACTCCAAGATGAGTATCCTGAGAACATAATTGGCACGGTTGTTGCAAGAAGGAGTTCGCCGCACGACACAAAAAGCTCGAGAACATGCTTGTCAGCAGATAGTGGCCAACTTTCACGTGCGTATGTTCGAAATCTAGTGCAGTATCTCGAATACTTGCATCTCGATGTTGCAAAACACCAGCTCCCGTCGTGTTCCGATACTGCAAATTCCGAGAATGGGCTCTCCAACACAAACAAAAAGTCTCATAAGGCTGACAGCTCATGGTCGCTGTCCTCCTTGTCCCTTCCGACTCTGCCATGGGGAAAGCCGAGTGCAATTCGCGCGCCCGGGGTTGTTTCCAGTGATACAAGCCAGACAAATGCAGACATTTCTAACAAAAGGTGGTTAATCGGTCTAGCTGGTGATGAGTCACCACTTTCTACATCCCTTCCGAAGATAACGTCTCAGAGCCTCTTCATAGAGCCTGATTTACAGATGGATGGTGCTACAGAGGGAAGCGGGGCCTCTCCACGTCAAGTACGTGTTATCGTGTACATGACTGGTCTTCTGACATTCTTGATTCTCGTGGAGCCAACATGCTCTCACCTGTCATCTGTCGAGTTTTATCGCCGGATAGCCGGCGAATTGGAAAACGTTGCTGCAGTCGTGGGACGACCCAGTACACCTACTGATACGGGGCCACGAAAATCTTCAGAATTCGATTTTCTGTTATGGGATCCCGACACACTGGAGATAAAGACATCTATACCCACTACACCGCATCTTGAGACCCAGGGTTTTTCTACGCCGTCGTCAGATTGGACGATGGAGGATCTCACGCATGTTCACACGCAAGTGGCAAATGTGATAAGCTCTGCACAAACTTCGGCGGACGTCAAAGTACGGATTATCAAGTCAAGTAAGGGCTTTTGGATCGTTTGGAGAAGACTAGAACACGACCGGGAAGGCGTTGCAGTCAGGAGGTGGATTCCGGGAGACGGACTGGAGGACGTCGCAAAGGATGCAAAGGAGTTAATCCAAAGTACTTTGGAAGAAAGGAGACCGTAAATAGCTTATGAAAACCTGTTTTCCATCGTGTGGCACAGCTTCAGTACATAAAGAGTGCGGTACGGATTTAAGGTTTTGGGTTGCATGCCTTTGCAGCCGCCGGAATCAGCCAGATCAAATTGCGGCGCAGACACTTTGTTCGGAACCTCTCCTCGAAGCAACGTAGCAGCAGCTGAGCGATTGACATGTCCAGAAGAAGACTCCAACAAGCTACTCTTGCCTCAGGGCCGCCCGATGTCCTTGCGGATGGCCATTTCATTGCGCGCATTCTCGCAGCCCAGGGACAGCAAATCTTCTCCGTCGAGCTCCCTGATAAATCCGAGGTTCTGGTGGAATTGCCTCCCAAGTTCCGAAGCACTGTCTTCGTGAAGCGTGGAGGGTATGTTCTCGCTGATCTGGGTTCCTCTGAGAGAACGAACAAGATTGCAGGCGAGATCGTCGAAGTAGTTGTTGAAGAAAAGGAGTGGAGAAAAATGAGCTACTGGTATGTTTGTCTTACGCTATCAGATCAATTCGTACTAATACTGGATATACAGGCCAAAGGAGTTCGCGAAGAGGCCCGACCTGGGCTATATGCAGTACGACGACGATGATGACGATGAGTTGATGGAGAACCCGAACCACAGGATGCCCTCGAGTGACGAGGAGGACGATATGTAATAATGTGGCAATTATTGGATTCACGGCAAGGCATGGGTTAAAGCGGAGTTACGGCGTTCTGGCTTTCCATTAGAGAATTCAATATCAAGACGTGAAGTGGGAACAGTGATTTGGACAGATACCTCGTTAAGTAGCATACATTTTCTTTACCAGAAATCGTCCTCGTCACCTTCCTCTCTATCCTGGTTATCGGAGTGTCTGATATTATCATCGTTCCACAGATCGGAGTATCCCACCTTCTTCTGCTCCGAAAGCTTCTTCCACTCTGCTGCTTGTCCGTCCTCGGCCTTTTGACGTTCCCGCTCTGCCGCCTTCTTGCGTCGTGCGAGCTCCTGCAGTCTTTCCTGCTTTTCCAAAGCCAGGTTAGGGAAGCGTTCAACCTTGGTCTTGTTGAGGCGGTTTACGATGGGGTTCTCCCGTGTAGCGACGTGCACTCTTTTGACCATCTTGTTCTTGTGAAAGCCGACTTGACCGGTAGCCATGCCACCGTCTTTCTTCAAGTTCGACCATGGAGTGTAGATGATAGTAATGCTATCCTTCTTATTTCCTATACGCAAAGGTCAGTGCCCGATCTCAACATGCCAAGTACATTCTCCCATACCTTCAATCGAGTTGGCCTTCGTCAACTGCGCACAATCCTGCAACAGTCCTTCCGGGATTTGCTCCCAAGAAACATCTTCAGGTAGACGGACGTAGACGTGTGCCGAGGAAAGGTTATCCACGTGAAACCAGACATCGTTCTCCCAGCCGTACTTGATCAGATCTTCGTTCTCTTCCTATCATTGGAATCAGGATTGTGCCCTGCTCTTTGTGGGGTGATCTCAGCGCACCTTGTGTTTACCCATGTAAATGTACGACGCCGGCGTTGTCGTATTCGAAGAGAAATAGTAAACCATGATGAAGGTCTTTGACGTTTGCGCTCAACGGTGCGATATCCGCTTCGGGCAATTCGTTGTACAAACACACCAGGGACACCGACCGCGCACGAAAGGACGTAAGAACATTACCGTAACTTACCATATATAAATAGCAGATATCCGGGTGAAGCTAATGACAGATAACAAAGAGAAAAAAGAGAATGAGCATCATAACCGGCCCATTGGCTACAATCGCCATCAAGGCACACTCCGAAAACCCGCCAATGTAACCCCACCCGTCAAATCCACAGACCTTCCAACCTCTCCTTTTTCAGTACTCATATATGTTCCCTTGACTTGTCCATCATAGCTTCGCCTGGCGTCAATGCTTGGCACCCTCATATCCGCACTCGGCGAGAGCGGCTTTCAGGCCTTCCAAGGCCTTGGTCAAGTCACCCCTCTGCTCGTCGGTTGCGGTGACCCCCATATGTCCAACCCTGAAGTACTTCACCTGCGGCAACAAACCACCAGCGAAAACGATATCCCTTGCCGCCAACTTGGGCAACAAGTCCGTGGGGGCGATACCATCGGGAAGCTTGACGGCAGTCATGGTGTTTGCGGACTCCTCGGGCTTGTTAGGAACCTGCTCCAAACCCATCGCCTTGACGAAGTCCTTGACCTTCTTGGAGGCAGCCTTGTGCTTGGCGAAACGCTCCTGCATGCTAGTCTGCAAGATCTGCTTCAAGGAAGCGTTGAGAGCGTAGATCAACTGAACAGCAGGAGTAGCAAAATAAGCGGGCTTACGGCTCTCGTAAGCTTTCATGATAGGAATCCACTTCTTCAAGGAAGCAAAGAAACTTGCTGGCTTAGCCTTGCGGTTCTCGAAGGCCTGGACGGCGCGCTTGCCGAGCATGACGATACTCAACCCGGGAGGGACACCGATGGCTTTTTGCGAGGCGGTGAGGGCGACGTCCACGCCCCACTTGTCGAACTCGAGGTCCTCGGCGCCAACCGAGCAGACACCATCGACAACGACGAGGGTCTCGGGCGACACCCGTTGGACGAGCTCGCAAACGGTACGGGGATCAGACAAAACACCGGTGGAGGTGTCAACGTGGGTAATAGTGATAACCTTGAACTTCTTCTCCTTCAAAGCCTTCTCGATCTGCTCCAAAGTGGGCCTGCCACCAATAGGAGCCTGAAGCTGCGTAGCCTTTCCTCCATACGTCTCGATACACTCCGCGAACCCGTCAGCGAAGTAACCGGTGTGCAACACCAGAGCCTCCTCTCCAGGCTCGATGAGGTTAGCAGCAACGATATCCCAGCCCAAAGTACCAGATCCGCTCAGAACAAGAGGCTGAGATGCGGGATCGGAGGTGAGGAAGACCTTGCGGAGCATCTCGAGGGATTCACCAAAGACGTTGATGAAGGGCGCGCCGACGTGGGACATGGAGGGGTGTGCGTTTGCTTGGAGGACTTCATCGGTGAACTCGATGGGTCCAGGGATCATGAGCAAAGGATGGGGAATGGCGTTTGGTGAGGACATTTTTTGTGATGATTGATGGAAGGACCGGATCAACGGATGGTTCTATGAGCCAATGGAGGCTGACGTCAGTAGCTGTACTGCAAGATGGACTTAATCTGGCTGTTCCTTACCTTCTTGATGGAGATATTTGGTCGAGGGAGTGGTAAGGTCTGTTGGTGGTGGGTCAGATGCACTGAAATTCGGTGGAGGTTTGGGATGAGCAGGTGCTCGCGGCACCGAGCGGATCGTAACAGCGGGGAAGCCATAGCGTTAAAAACGAAGGGAAACCAACGCTGGACTTAAGTATCCTAACGTAAGCCGTCATACGGTAACCTTCCACGGTCCGTCCGGTTATATGGAATGGAGATAAGGGTGGATCCGGGATGCTCCATTTTCTGTTTACGGGGCTTGATCTCCGCTGTCAATCGGCTATGCTATCGTCGGTTAGCTGGATCAATTGGAAGCAGCATCGAGTTCGAGGATTCTTCTCAATTATTTTGCAGGGATCCTTGGCAAGTCTCGGCTCTTGCTAACCGGCAGCGGCTGATCTGCATCCACCGACAATGTTCCGAATTATCCACTACGTATACCCTCGGCTGTAGAGATTTTATTTGACAGTAAACTGCCGACCGAGAATGTCGTCGTCGTCCTTTCTAAGGCCAATCAAATGGCTTTACAACGAGTTCGGCGTTGCTTCTGTTTACCACACAGGTCGCGATGCATGGTTCATCATCCTCGCACGGACATGTCGCATGTTTGCATATGGAGCAAATTCGTTGATCATCGCCCTCTTCTTTGCTTCTTTGAATTTCTCCGACTTTCAGATCGGGTTGTTCATGACATTGACCCTTGCCGGAGATGTGCTCCTCTCACTCTTCCTCACTTTGGTTGCGGACCAAGTTGGCCGGCGTCGCATCCTGTTTGCAGGCGCTATCCTGATGGTACTTTCGGGAGCTGCTTTCGCAGTTTTTGAGAACTTCTGGATCCTACTGTTCGCCGCTGTGGTAGGTGTCATCAGCGCAACCGGAGGTGATTTCGGGCCCTTCCGAGCGATCGAGGAGTCAACTTTGTCGCACCTCACCAAGCCAGATACGCGTTCGGACGTACTCTCATGGTACGTCACGACCTCCAGCCTTGGTTCAGCTGCCGGTGTGGAGTTTTCTGGGCGCGCTGTCGACTTCTTAACGGATCGTAAGGGATGGAAAGCAACCGATGCCTACCACACAGTTTTCTGGTTGTATATTAGTATGGGAATGTTGAACATGGTCCTGACCTTTTTGATGAGCGACAAATGTGAGATTGCGGAGAAACCCCAGGAGGACGAGGCGAATGAGGAGCTACTCGATGAGGGACGAGAGAGGAGCAATGAGGCGGATGACGAGGATGGTGCTCTGACACCCGTTTCACACGAACAGGGGGAATCCGAGAAAAGAACTCGTTTCGGACAGATTTCCTCGGCAACTCGAGCAATCATGTACAAGCTCTGGTTCCTCCTAGCTGTCGACTCACTCGCCGACGGGATGGTCTCTTACGCCCTAACGTCTTACTATCTTGACCGCAAATTCCACCTTTCAAAATCAACTCTCGGAGACCTCATATCAGCAAGCTACCTCCTCGCCTCCTGTTCCACCATCTTTGCCGGACCTCTTGCGCGACATTTGGGGTTGATCAACACCATGGTCTTCACGCATCTCCCGTCCTCGGCGGCTGTCCTATGCTTTCCTATCCCGCAAAGCCTTGTGATAACAATTATCCTATTTTTCATACGTACAGGCTTGAACAACATGGATCAAGCCCCACGTTCAGCCTTCATCGCCGCAGTGGTGAAACCGGAAGAGCGGACAGCGGTTATGGGTATCACCAGCATGCTCAGGACACTGGCTGCCACCGTTGGACCTAGTGTAACTGGAGGACTCGCTGGCCAAGATAAATTCTGGATCGCGTTTGTGGTTGCGGGAGCATTGAGGATTGCGTATGATTTGGGTTTGTGGGGAATGTTCATCAACATGAAGCTACACGTTCATGAGGGAGCCGGTCAAGCTAGTCAGGAAAGACGGTCGGCTGATGAGGAGGAGATGACGGAGATAGAGCCGAGAGTACCGAAAGCTTCGTGACCGTAACAAAGTCGAAATATACATTGCAATTGGATACCGCGGCCGCCGGACGGTACTCACAGCCGGGAAAGAATACTGCCGCATCATCAGCTGTTGTCGTACAGCTGTATACATTCATAATCGAAGTTACCTCGTATTCTACTTTGCCGTTTCTCTCCCCGTCTTCCAACTTTCGTAGGCCCTTCAACGTTACCGGTATCGGAGCTAGGCAGGGCACGGCTAGCACAACAGCCGTCGTCATAACCAACATCACCACCAACAGTCGCGAATCGCAATGCTCGTCCTCGTCATCGGAGACCTTCACATCCCTCACAGAGCTCCAGCCCTGCCGGCGAAGGTTCTTCTCGGATTCCGTGTGCTGCCGTAGGCATAGCTGACAAGGATAACAGTTCACGAAGCTCCTGGTGCCGGGGAAGATTCAGCAGATTCTATGCACGGGAAACCTCACAGATAGAGAAACGTGAGCATTCATGATTTGGCCTGGCAGAGGCTTGCAATTGGCTGACGCGCAGTATAGATATGACTTCCTCCGATCAATAGCAAGCGACGTACACATCGTCAAGGGAGACTTCGACGAGGTACCTCCACTTCCTACCTCCCCGATCTCATCCAGTCTAACATGTATACCAGTCATCTTCACTACCTCTCCACAAAATCATCAACCACTCACCCCTATCAATCGGGTTCACTCACGCCCACACCGTCGTCCCCCACGCAGACCCCGACGCCCTCCTCCTCCTCGCCCGACAATGGGACGTCGACATCCTCATCACCGGCAACACCCACAAATTCGAAGCATACGAAATCGAAGGAAAGTTCTTCGTGAACCCGGGCAGTGCGACGGGTGCTATGAGTGCGGATTGGGATGTGAAGGATGGGGAGGAGCCGACGCCGAGTTTTGTGTTGATGGATGTGCAGGGGGCTGTGGTTGTGTTGTATGTGTATCAGCTTGTGAATGAGGAGGTGAAGGTGGAGAAGATGCAATATCGCAAGAGCGTAGAAGATGCATGAGTTCGTTATGAGCAACTCGAGAGTGCAGTATACCCCTTATTTGAAGAATAAAGAATCATAAACACCAACGCGGCCTGTGTAACCAATAAAAATGATACCACGTTCACGCTTCATTCCTTTCCCATTCCTGCACCCGTGAGAAAATCGAAACCTTCCTCCTCCTGGTTCTCCATGATCGCTCTGACAACATGCATAGGCACCAGCATTACGTCCGTAGTACCTTGTCCACTTTCATTGTCTGCACGAGCCAGCTGATCCTTGTTTATCTCGTTCAGCGCCTTTCCGACCAATCTCTTCAGAAACACCCGTGCAGCTTGCGCTAGAACCGAGCCTGCGTGAACTCTCTGTTCGAAGGCCTCACCAGTCTCCAATAGGCCGCCGACTTCGTCACGTAGGAGGTCGTCAGCTTTGACGCCCGAAAGCTGAAGTGGCTTAATGACCTGCCAAACAGTGTCGATGGCCTGAGGATCCGTCGCTTCCACGAGCTGAACAAGATCGTCCGTCGTTAACTGCGGATAGTCAACATCCATCATATCTTCCTTTTGTACAGAGGCTTCCATGACATCGTCCACCGTAGTCCAGAGTCGTGAACGAATGTCTTTGGACCGTGTCACCTCGTCAGCCCGACACGAACACTCCTCATCCGGAGTCGCGGCTGCATAAACGTTCCGCATCAATCCACATAGTCGACAATAAACAGTCGGCTCCTCTCCATAAGGCAACCCCTTCATCCCAACATGACCTAACTCGTCCTCACCATCGTCTTCCACGTCACTTTGCACGGGCGAAGCCCGCGCACTAGACATGATCTCCGCCAAATTCTTCCCAGCAGTCGACGGTCTCGACGAAGCATGATCAATATCCACAGTATCCTCAATCCTCGGAACGACGTCTCTTCCAACCACTCCATCAGAAAAATGCGTATCCCTATCCAACTCGACGTCAAATAAGCTCTCACTGCTCAATACCTCTTTACCCGTGTGGTGTGGATCCAGCTTAACGGGATGAACGATATTGATATCCTTATTCCTCGAATCCAAAAGCGAGATACGGATCTTGAGCATGAAATCGCCCCATCCCTGGCTAAGATACTTAAATGGTGCTCGATCGAGTGTTATCTCGTGTGGCGGTGGGAAAGATGGATCCAATGTCAGCGTGACGGCTCGGACGAAGGTGGAGACTGGTTGTGAGTATGCGGGAGCGTTGATGTAGAGGAGCCATTTGTGGGTGCATTTGGGGTTATCTGGGGAGCGTTCGTGGCGTTGGAGGTACTTGGAGACGTTACCGACGACGATGCGGCATTTGACGTGGAAACGCGTAGCACCTCCAAGAAGGTCAGCCCCATCGGCAACAGCTTCACTTGTCTGCTCCAGCGGCTTCGCACTTTCATTGGGGTCGGTTGATCGTCCGCCCTGCAAGTTCTCTGGTGACGTTTCCTCATCTTCTTCGCTGTCAGGCTCTGCTGTAAGCTTTTCACTCAACCGTGACGGCAGTGATCGCAGGAAGTCTTCTCCAAAAGCAATCACCTTCGGTTTCCACGTCCTCTTAGCCACAGAAGTTTCAACGATATCCTCAGTAGATACCTCCTCCTCTGGTGCTGCAAATGTAGTACTCTCGCGCAGACCTGATGGCGTATGTGACCCATGTAACATCCTGCCTTTCTTTGGCGCCTTACCAGCCGAAGAAGGTCTCGTTTTGGATTTGCCCTTGCCCCTCCGTGGCCGCAGGAGTGATGGTCGTCTATCATCCGCCTGGATATCGACATCCTCATTTTCCAGCAGTGGATCCGTACGCGGCAATGGTTCAGACTGTGGCCTGAATAACGACATTCTCGGAAGTCCGCGCGTTGACCTTGGTCGCGAGTGTATCACAGTTTCATGTTTAACGTCCGCGTCGTCATCGCCATCCTCGCTTGTATCATCATCTGTGCCATTCTGTGCTTCCGGAACTTCAGCTTCAGCGGATTCCAACAAGACTTTCATCTTCTCCTGTCTCAGCCCTTCGATCACAGCCTCCATGTCATACTCGACGTTCTTCTTCTCGAGCAGTTGTATCAGGTACTTCGTGTGATTGCTGTGATACAGCGTATCAATACCAATGGCCATTGCGGCGGTATTGGGCGTGATACTACGTCCTAGGTGGTCCTGTCCGACAACTTCAGAATCAGTTCTCAGCAGTGAGCTTTGCAATGGAACAGAAGACGTACGTTTTTGACCTATTGACGGAGCTGGGGCAGAGCCAGCATCGCTGACGAGGTCGATATCCTCGTCTTCCTCATCTTTGACTTGAGTCTGTGTTCTGCCTGCAACAGGTGGAGTTCCAACACCTCGCGCCGTTTCACTCTTCTCGAGGATAGCGTTCACGCTTGGTCTTGCATGCGCCGGTCTCGTCCTTGCCGGATGGTTTGTAGGGATGTCGTTCTCATCAGCATCGATACCACATATTCTGGCAGCGTCGTCGTGTGATGCGAACTCTCGAGAATGCGAGATACGACAGTGGTTGATGAAACCCTGTACGTTGACAAAGTCGCCACGTCCGCAATCCACACAAACCAGCCGTACAAATGTTCCATTATCTCGTCGCGTATAACAGACCTTTTGTGCAGCGGTGACTCGTGCACCACGAATGACCGAAGCTCGTTGCGGTCTTGCTGAAACCGGGGCCTCGGTATATGGTGCAGGCGATGGCCGAGTTTCCGGCAGTAAATATGGGGTATAATGTTGAGCGTAAGGATTCGGTGCATCTGGTGCAGGAGCCGTGGCACGCTTCAGCTGTTCGATCATAACCTCCACTTTAGACATCTCATCCTCAATCATCTGTAGTTCTCGGTGCTTTAGGAGAATCTCGAGGTCAAACTGCTCGGCAATGATAGTTTGTGCCTTCGCTTTTGATTTATCGTCTGTAGGTCCATGTCAGCAGGTTTAATGACCTGTGTTCAGAGGTACCTACCCAAAACCACAGGCGGTCTCGTAGCTTGGGTGCTCGCAGACGGAGCTTTCCGAGACCGTTTCTGGCCTACTTGTCGCGTACTGGACATTGTTATTCTGCCATCTATCTGGTCATGTTCCTGCAAAAAATGCTGGTCGGTGATGTCAATGTTTTGTCGAGGAACTGCCGGTACGAACTCGTTGCACGTGCAAGTCGACGTTACACTCAACCAACAAAAATGTCCGAGACCGAGTCCTCGGCTTTAACCGCCATTGTTATCAAGCAAAACGCGTCCATTGAGTCCACAGTAGACCGCGCGCTCGCTATTCTGCTGTCAGACGATGCCTCTGTTCCTTCAGCGACTGGGAATGCTATTACAATTCAAGGAGCAGGATCAGTGACAACCAAAGCTATCACGATTGTCGAGATTATCAAGAGACGGTTGGAAGAAGCACAGCTCAAGTGGTGGCAGTACAATGAATTAGATGGGGTGGAACCACCAAAGACAGAGGCAGATGAGATTATGGAGCAAGGCCGGCTATCGGGATTGTCACTGGAGAAGAAGACGGAGCACAAGAAGCCCAGGTTGACAATGACAATCAGTCTAACACCGCTTGACGGTCGTGGTAAAGCTAGGTAAGCCAGCAGATCTCGAACATGACCAATGTACATGGGCTTATCGTTGTCTTTGCAGTCAGAGCAGTATGGCATAAATCGGATGAGAGATTTGTGGGACTTAATGGGAGCGTTTTCATGGGTTTCTTCTGGCGTTTGGAGTTCGTTTATCAATCATTGCATTTCTATCTTTCCCGCTCGCTTGCTGCCGGAGCAGTTCTCGTAGGCTTTCTCAACAAAGATCCTGGGTATCTTATCGTCGTCCGAACATTCTCGGGTGAACCAATTTTTCGTCTCTCATGCCGCCTCCACCTGCAACTCTGCCGTCTTCACTGCCAAATCCTGTACCTCCTTGTCCTCCGCAGACTCCTCCAGCTTCTTGTTCCGTGGGTTCAAGTCCGTTAAGTCCATGAACATTGAGTACGCATCCTCCTTATCGGCATAGTATCCCTTCTCAATCTCCTTAACACTGTACATTATGTTAGCCGTGTAATCGTCAGATGTATCTGCCAAAGACAACGTACGTGAATCCCAATGTATCCCTATACAGAGCCAATGCGGCCCTATTACTCTTCCTCACGTGCAAGCTAACATACTCCGCTCCGAAGGATTCCGCCATAGCCCTCTGACTTTGCTTCATCAACTTCTCCGCCAGTCCTAACCGTCTGTATGTTCGCAACACCGACAAACTCGTGATGTGTCCGTTCTTCTTGCCGTCTTTCGGCTCTTCGTCCATCTTCGCAAGAACATAGCCGACAATCTTTCCGTCCGGGTTGACAGCTACGTAGGACAATTGCGGCCATGTCAGGGCGTGATAGAGGTAATATTTCATCTGGTAGTTCTCGGGGAGGTTGGAGAGATTAGCATGTTGCATGCCAGCGAAGTCTGTTCAGTCAGGTCAGCATGAACTCTCATGAAGCAAGCTTCAGGATTACTACCTCTGATCTCGGCTCTTCTGATCTCCATGATTGCTGTATTTGACGTCGTACCGGTACAGGCCTCGAGATTACTTGCTGCACTGTAACGGAGACGTGCCGGTGCTGCGCCAAATCACGTGTCTGCCGGCGTGAACGTCGTGGGAACATTCCTGGTCGGGGTGTGCGAGAATACCATAACCTGGAAGCAGACGGCTTACTGAACATAACCTCGTTCTAAAAGATGCGTAATCTTTATCTAGTCAATATCACGGTCTCACATATGAACCCACTCTTCAAGTCCTCAAATCAACAGCTCGTCCTCTTCATCACCACATTGCAACCGAGTACCTCCCTGCAACCTAACCACCTTACGTCCGGAGTTTCCTTTCTTCTTATTGGCTCCTTTGACACTCATCAAGCTGAAGCTGCCAATCAATTCATCACAATCCTCTTCTTTTGGCCTCTCCACCACTTTCGCACGCCCCGTGCCGAATCCGCCAAGCTCGAAAGGCGTCGCGGAAAGACGCATGGGCCCATGAAAGGAGTTCGCACCGGCAATCACGGACGGAGGACTTCCTTGCTCCATAGCAGTCAAACTGTTACTCTTGCGACGGTTCGAAAGCGGAGTGGATGAGGCGAGGGGTAACGCTCCGCCGAAGGGGTTTTGAAAGTCGGGGAGTCGAGAGGGAGGAGTGATAGCACGCTCCGGCTCACCAAGCACGTATACGTGGTCATCGCCGTTGCCGTTCGAGTCCTCAGAAGGGAATAAATGCTGATGCTCCTCGAACTGTTCATGCCTGGATTGAGCTTCCTCAACCAGTTTCGCCATCTCGCGCCTCGCTTGATGATGATGGCGAGGAGGTGTGGTGGGAGGAACGAGGAAGTCATTCTTAGAAGGGATCTTCGGTTTGTCGGTCCTTGTCCTCTTCTTGGTATGACCCTTTTCTTGTATGAAGCTCTCTTGTTCGAACGGTGTGACTGGCTTCTCCGGAAGAGTCACTGTCAGGGATCGAGACGTACGTGGTTTCTTCGGTAGTAAAGCAGAAACGAAAGGTTGGTTTGATACGGCTGTACGATTAGATTTGTCACCGAGGGCTTTGCGAGGCGCCTTTTTCTCAATAAGTTGAACATCAGCTGTGGTAAAGGTTAATCCAGGTGAGGATAGGGGATGTATGCGCAAGCAACCTTCGGGAACGACTTCATCTGAGGAGTCATGGTAGACAGGGAGTGCATTAGTACCAGAAGGAGCCATGGAGTTGCGAGCACGACGACCGTAAGTCTGCTTCATACGCACAGGTCGAGGGCAGTACTGTGGTTGGGAATTATTGTCCATCGTTGAAAATGAGGGTTGAATGCTCGTCTTTTGCACAGTGAGCAGTTTGAATCGTAAAGAACAGACAGAAGAGATTCAGCAAAGCTTGTTGACGCAAAAAATGAGGTGGTGATTAAGTCCGGGACGGGGAGTTGGTTGTTCAACAGACGCGGCGTTTGGAGGTTAACCGCGACAGACAGTCTGTCGATCAGGGGTCACACGCTGCGCTATGGGTTGGATGCGTTGGGAAGGCATGAATGGCAGAGGATTTGCTCAACGAAACAGCGATCCAGGTGAACTCGGGTATGTACGGGAGTAACTCGGTACCAAATAGACTTGTACCACTCCTAATAACTGATATCGTTCAAAGCCACACACGTTGCCGCCTTATGGTGACCATTATACTGCCGGATAGTCTCCCCAGAACTCAACTCCCACAACCTCGCAACATGATCCGAACTCGACGTAACCAGATACGCCGAATCCGCACTAAACGCACAATCCCACACCCATCTCTGATGACCCTGCAACTGTTTCTCCAATTTGAACCCAGCTCCGCCCTCCGATGACTCCGTCGACCAGATCTTGACGGTCGTGTCAGCACTGCATGTCGCCAGGTGTTTCGTATCAGGTGATAATAAGGCTCGTGTCAAGTATTTATTGTGTGCTCTGAATTTGGTGTGCGGTTGTAGTGAGGTGATGTCGCTCGCGTTGTTCATCTTCCAGACATAGCAGTTGCCCCGGTTGTTTCCCGCTACCAGCATACTTCCATCCGTGGCGACTGTGACTGATCGTATGGGCGTGTCTTCCTCTGGTACGAGCTCATGCGTGCAGGCATTCTCGCCCAAGTCCCATATCCGCACACTTCCTCCCTGATCACAACTCACCAATTCACCTTGATTTGGGTGAATAGCAACATCGTTCACTGGTACCTTATGATCGTAGTTTCGTTGGACGCTTGGAGCTCTTGTGTCCCAGATCTTCACTGTTCCATCTTCACTTGACGTGACCATCCACTTTCCGTCCACATGGAAGTTCACCGCCGTGACGTTCCCCGTATGCCCATCAAATGATGCAATTGGGTTTGTATTGGCAGAATTGATATCGTATAGCCGTACATGACCATTACTCGCAGCGGCGAGGTATCTCTTATCTGGCGAGATGCATAGTCGGTTCACTTGGGAATCAGGGTGTTGGATTGTTCGCGAGCAGATCCCACTCAGCGCCTCCCAGAAGCGGATGGTATGGTCATATCCTGAAGTTACCAGCAGAACCGAGAGCTGCTGCTGCTGATATGAAACTTGTGGAGGAGGGTGTCGTACTTGTCCAGGCTGTATCGCATCGTCAGCATCGTCGTCCGTATCAGCAACGGCCGACATAGTCGCCAGCACAGTATAAATCCTACCATCGCGTCTATATGATCGGAAGCTTCTTCAAATGGGTTGAGAGTGTTATCAGGCGGGTCGTCGGTGGGCACGGACGCCGGCTTATCGCGGTTGCGCAGCGGGTCGCATATGCATGACGAATTAATGAACGGTAAACCTTAATGCTATTCAATATAATAATCCATGCCAATTCCGAAAAGCCTTATGAAGCGAAAAAGGCAATCAAGTACGCCTGCGTATCCGGGTTTCCCAAATGAAAATGCATCCAAAATCCAGTTTAGATATCATCACCCCAGCTCATCTCCACCGTTCCCTTTTCTGCCTCGGCGAACGCAGGCATACCAAGGTATGGGCACCCGGAACACCTGAAAGCATCTCCCAAAGCGCAGTTACCGCAAGAGCTCACGACCTTGCCCTGCTTTGTGAAATCAATCTCGGCCAAGTCGTCAACGCCGAGGGTGACAGCCTTTCGAGCGTCCTCCGCAGCCGCGGCATCCGCAGCTTCCTTCTCCGCCAAACCACACGTACAGTCCTTGCAAGCCTTACGACGCTTTCCAGGTGCAGGCAGACACTCAGCGGCTGTATAACATACGTCAGTAAAGCACCAGCAACAGTCAACAGGTGAAACATACGCTGTACCACGGGCTTCGCCAGGTCACTCTCCGTCAACAAATCATTCTCATTGATAAGGTCATCACTCGTGTCGAAATTCAAAAAAGCCAGCTTCTTTGCCTTTGCCGCACCTCCAGTCTTCTTTCGTAAACGTAGGGGCACAGCAGCTGCTGTAGTCGATGCCGGCTTCGTCAATGTGAACTCCTCCCCCTCACCACCCACAATCCAACCTTTCAACAAAGCCTCGCCCTTGATTTGTTCTCCCGCGATCTTACCTATCCTAACCACGCCCTCCGCCTTCGTAGCATTCCAGATCTTCTCCAAAGCTGCAGACAGATAGCCCTCCACCTCGCCTGGGTTACCCGGCGCAAAGATAACCGCAGAGTACGCCTCGGCGGGAAGAAGCGCAAGACCTTCAACGACACGATCCAGCATCTGAAGATCAGTCGTATCTGTCCGTAGCGAAGCGATCGTAGCAGGACCTGTCGGCGACGAAGTCAAAGAAGGCGGTGAAAGTAAAAGTGTCGCGCCAGGCGTGACTCCAACCATGATGTATGTCTTTTCGTAAGTATTGATGGCCGAATGGAATGAGAAGCGTATATGCAGACCGTTTGAAGATCACTTGTCGAATAAGAAGGGTTGAGGATGTTATCTGGATTCCGTTACAGGGTTCGGTTGTTGATAGAAATTGAGCCCCAGCTGCACTCACAGTAGAGCACGCCTCCGCCTCACACGCGCAACTCAACTCGCTGACTAACGATTGGACCGATAACGCAATTTACCGAACAGACGCCGGTTCGGTAAGAAATGATAGCGAGATGCTCACTGAATGGGTCAAGCTTTTGATAAGGATGGTATTCTAAGTAAACGCCGGGATGTGCCTAATAGATGATGCTGAGCTGCCTTGGAGCTTCTGCCGTTAATCCCATGCGTCGTTCTCCTCCGCTTCTCCCCACCCGTCATCACCCCATTGGTCACCCGTGTCATCTGCGACAGCAAGTCTGGTGCTCGTATTGGCTGCTCCGATCTTGGTGCCCGTAGTCCTAGGAGCTGGAGGAGTCGTCTTAGGCTTTGGCTCATCTTCGAAAGGCTCCCACGCGTCAACATACTCATCCAGGTTAGACGCACCGAACGTATTGCTCGACACTGGGATCGATGGCCTTTGCGGTACCTTTGACGCATACGTTGCACCAAATCCTCCCGAGGGCTTCGAGGCTTTCAAATCCATAGGCTTGAAACTTGACATCGTTACTGTTGAGGCTGCGGGGGCAGATGGTACACGTACCGGTTGTGCCGCAGCCGGCGGACTGAGTGGTCGGGTGCTCTCAATGACTTTGCTAGCAATGGACTTTACTGCCCAACCAGCCAATGCACCAGCCATGCCCGCATCACTGTTGGAAGATAGCAGGGTCGTTGCAAGACTCGCACTGCTGGGGAACGAACCAGGTTGAGGAGGGTGTTTCGGTAGTTCCGAGATATGTTGAGGAGCGTTCGGGTCGATAAGGGTTTCCGGCATATCCTGCATTTTGTTAGCAATGCCCAATGTCGACAAGTCAGGGTACCCACCTTGGCAAGCTCCTTAATCCGCTTGAGGAACACATCGATGACTCTAGCCGCTTCCTCCCTGACAATCTTCTCCCCATCCACCAGTAGTGGACACATCCCAGACAACAACCTACCCGCCAGATCTTCCCTATCGAAGTACTCCACAGTTACCTCCAACGCTCTCAGGCCAGCATGTCGTGCATGCACGAATGGATCCTTCAAACTCTTGGAAAAGGCGGCTGTAAGGACCTTCTTGCGTGTAGATTCGGAGAGGTGAGACGCGATGTGACCCAGGACCACAGTAGTGTTAGTACGAATACCAGGTTGCGGGTCGACATGTGTCCGTGCAAGGTGTTTGAGGAGGTCGTTGTTCAAGATTCTGTCGCTCAGCTTTGGTGTAATTGGGAGAATTGCTTTCAATGTCGCTTCTCGCACGATGGGATTGGGATCAGTAAACCCAGCGGAGAGGTTAGGGAAGATCTTTGAGCTGACTGTGGAGTTAGGGAGGATACCCACGACTTCCTCTAGCGAGTCGAGGAGTGCTAATCGGATGTTGGGATCAGCGGATGCGAAAAGTCGGATCACTGCGGGTGCGAGGATCGCTTCTTGCTGCTCCTCGTCGAGTTTCGATGCGATGTTGACGATCAGCTTGTAAACCTTCTCTCCACCGCCGCCAAACTCGAAACTCTTAATCAACTCAGGCAGCAGCCGTAATCTTATAAACGGCTCGGGTAATTGATCAACGGACTCCTCCAGATTCGCCAAGAAAGCATTCCGTTCAGTCTCGTTCAAGAGGGTTAGATTGCTCAAGTTCTCTGTTACTGAGATCAAGGGACTTTTCAGGAAACCCCTCTCGCGGCGTCCTTGATCCAAGAAATTCGAGATGCTCAGTCTGGTCTTGGGATTTGGCAGCAGCAATCTCTTGTAGTGCGTAAACATGTCACTTGGGATCTTGCCTTGCTTTTGAAGGTCAGAGGTGGTGTTGAAAGGTCCATTGAACGATTCGTAAATGAGCGTCGCCAGACCCCAAGCATCAGTGGCTTTTGGAGACGCGTGAATTCCAGACCAGCCTGAACTGCCCACCTCAGGTGGAGCGTATCGTGATGCGGAAGGAACAAGTCCTCCGTAAGTATATATCATCCCACTCTCACCCTCCGTAACCGGAGTAAGGACCTCGAACCCACCAACTCTCCATTCCCCACTCTCGGTAGTGAATATCGAAGAAAGACGGACGTTACCATGTACGCAATTGGCGTCTTCATTGATGAACTTCATGGTAGACGTAACGCTATAGACACCCCATCTCATTGATTCCGTATCCAGAACATGCCGCTTGGTGTCCCATGACAAAGGTTGAACCCGCTCTGTCGCAATGTAGACAACCCCATCCGCTTCCACCGAATCCAGGAACTTGATAACACCTGGATGCCTCATTGTCCTCAACTTCTTTGCAGCATTTTGCGCCAATACCAATCTATCCCTCCCGAACTTGTTCGAGTCGTAGACAAAGATACTGCAGTCGCTTCGGTCGTCCTTCTTTGTACCATGGTGAACAGTCCAGATTGAGTCCTCGTGGGCGCCGATCCGTTCGCCTAGGGAGTACCCAAACGCTGGACCAGACGATCTGCCGAGTGCTCCAAGGGCAGCACTCCACATTGTTGGAGCAATTGGAAGTTTACGACGTTATCCCGTACGTAACATTACCCGGCGCCCAGCTGTGGGTCGCACGCAAGGTCCAACCTTATTTGGCTCGTGAATGATGAATACAGAATGAAATTAGGAACAGATCCTTTGTATGAATGAAATCCAAGTTGTTCGCACCGTCAGATAAGCGCTTCGAGTTCTGGTCGCGTCTTCCGTTGCCTTGGACCCTAGGTACGACGTACGCGGTGCACCCAAACACTGAGCTCATATAACATTTCAACGTGCGGGATCAAGCGAGGTCTGTCATCGCGACTCCTACGTTGAAGCAATGTTCAGCACAAATCCAACACCCGTTCCGTCTCATAGGCGGCAGCAATCCGCTTCAGCACACAAGAGGAACAGATCATTAGCAGTCGCACGTCAGAACACTTCGGCGCTTCCTAGAGTACCAGAAATCGACCTCAATGCGTTGATCCCGGAGGCCGCTGCAGTGAAAGAATGGACGAAGAATGAGAAGTACTGTGTGAGCAGTTTGGGGAGGTTCCCTCATGTGTATGGAGGTACGCAGCACCACACTCGCACTCTTGACCTATGCTAACTCTTGGACAGCTCAGGATGCGGGTTTGCAAATGTTTGGCCACATTGATGCAGGGAAGAAACATGGACTGATAACAACAGCGACGGATGCCTACGTCTGGTCCTACCTCCCATCACTCTCGGCCACACCGACCCTCACCTTCTCTGTCCCGCACCGTGCAAGCACCGAATACGACAGCGAGATGCCCCTACCTCTGGCCTCGATTGTGAGCGCAAATGCCGGATCCGACGAACCAGGCTTGGTACTCATTAAGCCAGAAGGAAGGGTTTGCTACTGGGACTCCATCGGTGGAGCAATTGCAGAAGGAGCGGTCAGCAAGCGTGGCGTAGAAGGTCAGATAACAATGGGTACCAACGAGCTTTGTACGATGATCTGCTCAGTTGAACCTGCTGGTTTCGTGGTATCTACATCCCATGGACGCTTGGTCCATCTCAGTCTGCGGGACAGCATGGGAAGACCGTACATTGGACTTACGGAAATGAGTGCTGCACGTGGTCTGTGGAACTCCTGGATTACTTCCATCGACGCTGGAGGGAAGAGGAGGGATATATGCGCTGTGCGGGCGGGAGAGACGAGAGGTCGTGAGGAACGTGACGTTTTGGTGTGCACGGAGCGTGGTGTTGTCAGCAGGTGGGTGGTTTCTCGACTTGGGAAGTGCCAGCTTGTGGTGGAGAATGACTTCCGCAAGGCTGCATTGGAAGTGTTGCGGACTACTTTGCCGGCTGCCGCGTCCAGCACTCTCGCCAATGCTCTGAGCTTCGTTGACGTTGTTGCTCTTCCGGGCACTTCGTCGATTCTCATCCTCGCTTCCTACCCCAGCTCGGGTGCCACGACGACATACATCCTCTTCAGTGCCGTTCTCGACTCCCCTGACAGATCCATCACCTCCACCTACGTTCTGTCCAAGTATTCCGCGTCAACGACTACGGCGCCTAAACTTTACCTACCATCACCTGCCAAGACAGTCTTCATCGTCTTCCAGCGTGCCATCTCCGTTATCTCTATTCCATCTCAGGATGGTGGCGCGGTGTTCGAGGACGTCGTCGACTTCAAGGAGGACAGGAATATCGAGATCGTTGCATCCGGTGCCGAGGACGCTCAAGTTGAGGGATCCAGGAGACTGAGAAATGCCGGTGTGGTCGTTGCTGCCCGAGGTGCTGGCGTTTTAAGGTGTGAGGTCTTCGAGGACAGGGTCAGTCTGGAAGCACTCAGTTCGGAAAAGTTGGCGAAGAGCAAGTTGGAGCAAGCGGTGTTCTATGGGTTCATGCCCGATAACCCATTGAATTTTACTGGACCAGCGTCGTTGAACTTTAGACCACAGGAGGTTGCCAGTGCGGCAGCTGCCGTGTCGGAGGAAATCTTGGCTGGTACTTCAAAGTACTTTCCTACCCAGTTGGCGAGTCTTGATGACCAAATGGCCTTGAAGGCGAAGTTGCTTGCGGGGCTCGCGGAACACCTTCATAACAACTTCGCTCCTTTGGATTCTAGCAAGCGATGGAAGCTTTGCTGGGATGCCGAGAAGTGCGAAGGTGCTCGTCGTATTTGGTCAGAAAGAAGTAGCCGGTCACAGTTAACGGGGCGTACTACGCGGTCGAGTAGTGCACAGGTTGCTGTTTTGGAGAATGTCATGGAGAACATTACTGGACAACGTGGTGGTGGTGATGATATGATTCGAAAGTGGTTTCACAGAAACCTCAAGGATATGGGTCAAGTTGTCGCACAGGCTGGCACGAGGTGTACGGACATTGCTGTGGAGAACAAGCATGATACGTTCGCCATTGCCAAAGCTGTACTCGAAGCTAACGACATCATCCTTTCTGCGCTCGGTGCTGCTCGGCAAATCCGACAAGAGAGGGTTATGAAATACGGTCTTGGTAATCTCAAGAGCATCTTCGAGAATAGCCTGAGACCATGGACGAGTACTCCTGATATCCTTAACTCCTTACAGTTGCAGTTCACGCTTACTGAGCATCAGCTTCAAGGACTCAAGAGGCCGTTCAGAACTGATGACAGGAAGCAGAAGACTGGTATCTATGAAGATATGATCAAGCAGCTTGATGCCCTTGTCGATCTGCTGTGCTTTGCCTTCTCTGAGAATGTTCAGTGGGAGCGCAAGTCGGGTAACAAAAAGGCAGCTGAAGGGTACAACAAGCAGTACCTTGACAAACGAGGTTCTTGGATCTTGTCTCTTGTCAAGCACGGTTTGCACGAGAAAGCCTACACTATTGCCGAAAGGTACGAAGACTACCGTACGTTGGTTGAGATCTGCCTGGAGCACCAGGAGGCGGGCGAAGAGACGCAAGAAAGGGTGATGAATCGTCTCAAGTGGTACCTCGGAAGATACCACGAGGATTTCGCGTTCGTCTTGTATCGTTACTACGTCGAGAAGGGTCAGATCAAGACATTGTTGACTTCGTTCCCAGAGCACGTCAACATGCTTTCCCAGTTCCTTGATAATGAGAAGTATGACCGTATCTCCTGGATGCACGACGTTAATCACGGTAACTTCAACAGTGCTAGTGCAAGACTTCACCGGATTGCTACTGGCAACGAGGATGTTCTTCGAAATAAGAAGATCGAGTTGAGTCTTAGCAAGCTTGCATTGCTCGTCGATGCTAGGGCTGGCGTTACGATGCCGCCAATTCAAGCCGACGTGATCAGAGTCGTTGACGAGGAACTCGACGTTACGGAGATTCAAGCGCAGCGAAGAAAAGATATTCTTCCGTTCTTCAAGAATGCTATCGACGAGGATGCAAATGTGGAGCTCACTTTTGCGGAGATTGGAAAGGAATTGCATGGAGTGAACAGGGAACTTGTCAAAGGGGCTCTTCGGGAGATTATCAAGGACGCTGTGCTGAAGCCTGAGGACCTGATTGATTACTTGACTCTGAAAAACACGCAGAAGAACCCCGCTGATGGTCAAAGTCAACCGGTAATTAACGAGTTCTACCAAGCTTTGCAAGTGCTTCGTACTGCAAACGTAAGTGATCGTGTTACTGCATCTCAATTTACCATACTAACGTATTGCTGACAGCTTCCGTCCGGCCGCTTTGAGATGGCCGAGCGCACGATTTGGCGACGGATGTTCTTGCACGACGACTGGGGAGTTATCCTCCAGACTGGAGACAAGACGGATGATGAAGTTAGGGCGTCCACTCGTTCCACCGCCCTTTGGCAGACTCTGAGGTTGGGCTTAATAAACGGTACGGATGCGTTCCGGTCATTGAAGTGAACTTTACTGACAGCCCCTACAGGTGAATTCAAAGCGGGCGCGGCTATCCAGCTTATGCCACCGAATGAGACTTATTTCTCCAGTGCGCCGGAAGTGGTGGAGGCTCGTTTCCCTGATGTGTCCGAGACCGCTATCGAGGACTGGAAAAGGTCCATGCTGAATGAAACCGAAAAACTCGACGCCTACATCAAGCAATGCAACCTGAACCAGTGGTACGAAGGAATTCTTTACGACGCCAGAGACTACGCAAACAAGGAAAGGAATGGAACAAACATTCCTGATGTGGAGGTGGACGAGGAGGGGTATGTGCATGTTGGGTACCCGGCTCGCTCCGAGCCCGAGGACGTGGAGATGAGCGGATGATTTGCACGAGGATACGGTTTAGATATAAGCATAATCGAGACGGGTACATGTAATGGAAAGCAATACGAGGGCCGCACTTGACTTTGATGTATTCCAGGCGACAGCGCGAGGGGGGGTTGTCATGCAACCCGTGGCTAACCGGAGGCGGTCTAGGCGTGTACTCTAACCCAGTCGACCTCAGGCCATCACACACACAGAAACAACCACCGCTCCTTCGCTCGACTCCGCAAACGGCCTGCCCGAACGGTCATCAGGATCGTGAAGTCTCCTTCGAATTCCCATCAGCATCTATACGTTGACACCGCTCACGCTTCTCTGCCCTCCGTCCTCGGCTCGTCGTACAGCCTTACCCCCCCTGCAGCCCCTGGTGATCGCGCAGTCACCCGTCCGTGCCGTCCATCTCAACCTGTAGGTTGAGCATACACCCGTGTCTTCGATCAATTTTCGTGACTCATTGAGTGGTCAACTGTCGAGGTTCGATCATTTGCTCCTTTCGCAGCGAATTGCAGGGAGTCTAACGAGTTGACAGTCCATTGAGCCGACTATTTACTATACAATATGAGCACCTCGGGTCACAGCACGCATTCGTCCAACGTCGTCGGTGTCCATTACCGCGTCGGGAAGAAGATCGGGGAGGGATCTTTCGGTGTCATCTTCGAGGGAACCAACCTCCTGAACAACCAATCCGTTGCTATCAAGTTCGAGCCCAGGAAGAGTGACGCGCCGCAGCTCCGCGATGAGTACAGAACCTACAAGATTCTCGTCGGATGCCCCGGTATTCCCAACGTTTACTACTTTGGCCAGGAAGGCTTGCACAACATACTCGTGATTGACCTCCTGGGTCCGTCGTTGGAGGACCTCTTCGATTGGTGCGGACGAAGATTCAGCATCAAGACCACCGTTATGGTCGCTAAGCAGATGGTATGCCTACCGTATCCAGCGACGATTACGACGTATACTGACTTTATCGTAGCTCACGCGTGTTCAAACCATCCACGAGAAGAACCTCATCTACCGCGACATTAAGCCTGATAACTTCTTGATCGGTCGCCCCGGCACCAAGGGCGCCAACATGGTCCACATCGTCGACTTCGGTATGGCCAAGCAGTACAGAGATCCCAAGACTAAGCAGCACATCCCTTATCGCGAACGCAAGAGCTTGTCCGGTACAGCTCGTTACATGAGTATCAACACCCACTTGGGAAGGGAACAGTCGCGTCGTGATGATTTGGAGGCGTTGGGTCATGTGTTTATGTACTTCTTGCGAGGAGGTCTGCCTTGGCAGGGGTTGAAGGCTGCTACCAACAAGCAGAAGTACGAGAAGATTGGTGAGAAGAAGCAGACCACACAGATCAAGGACCTCTGCGAGGGCTTCCCGGAGGAGTTCAACCAGTACCTTACCTATGTTCGCAACCTTGGGTTTGAGGATACCCCTGATTACGACTACCTTCGAGATCTGTTCAGCAACGTCCTTCGCAAGTCCGGTGAGGCTGAGGATGGTACCTACGACTGGATGCTCCTGAACAACGGCAAGGGTTGGGAGGCTGGTGCTAAGGGTGCTTCTGCTTCTCAAGCGCACTTGATGCCCGCCAACAATTACCCAACGGGATCCGCTGCCGAGCTCCGTCACGGCCAGCAAGCAAGTGGTGCTCGCGCTTCCGGTAACCTTACTAGTTCTCGTTTGAATGCCGCCCAGCCACCGCCCCCTTCACCTGCTGTCCTCCGATCGAACTCCAGAAACCGACGTGACCGTGAGAGATCAAGCAACCAGGCTGGAAGGAGACAAAGTTCGCTCGAACAGGGTACCGGTGATGTTTTGAGCGCGCCTAGGCAAGCTCAGCCTCCGGCTCAGCAGGCTCAGATGCAGCAAAGTCGTCTTATGACCCAGCATGCTGCTGCGAGGGATAGCCCTGACAGGAAGAAGGGCTTCTGGAGCAAGCTCTGCTCGTGCTGTAAGTGACATTGTTTCCGACTTTTCTTATACATATCCTAACTCATTTTCACAGTCTAAGCTCCGAGAGCAGGAGTGCGATGGATAATGTCAGGTTTTTTATGTTTCTAAGATAATACCCATTTCAAGGAAGACGGGAAGAGAACGGAACAAAAGGGTGCATCATATTGGCAGAGTATCATCATGATGAGGATGGACAGGAATGGACACTGTTCTTCCGTGTATTTGCACGCTTCAGGACACGGCTGCGGACTGAGTGTCGAGTTTGTTTCTTCTGTTTTTTGCGCGTGCAGTTTTTACTCCTTTAACTTAGTGAATTAGTCAATTAATAATAGAGCGGGTCTTGTGCTACTGAATTGCAATGATTATGAGCATCATGAACGCTGACGCAGTATCTCTTCAACTGCTCAATCTTCCACGTCTTCCTCCACTGGTGCCTTGTCTCGACCCTCCTCTTGTTTGCGATACATATACGCGATATCCTCACCCGTACTTGCTTCGTCGATGGTTTTGTCATCCCTTATCCGCATGAATCGCGGAAAGCGGATGCTCAATCCTCGCTCCTCAGAGATCAAACCGATGCCTGCTCGATAGACCGGCGAGAGTGTGATATCAGCTCCTCGAATTTCCCACACTTCGGATGGCTCGAACCAATCTGCAAACACACGTCAGCAATTGAACCCATGACATAGTTCCAGGAAACGTACAATCAGGAGTATATGCACTCTCCACCCAACTCCTTCCCAGTCCCTTCCAACACTTCCCTTCCTTCTGCTCATCCGGATCCGCATCCTCTTCCGCTCCACTATTCGTCCGGTCATACTTCTCATTCAACTCCTTATAGAATTTATCCGTGAATCCACTCATACACTTACACACAGCCTCTAACGTTCCCGTTTCTGGGTTGCGAACAGCCAACAAGATGGGCGACCACCAATCCTTCTTTCGTCCGATGCCGTGCCAGGCGCCGATCGGGATCAAATCAAGGGAGTCGGCGCCTGCTTCGTAGTCTTTCTTCACTTTGAGCCAGGACTCAAGACGTTTGTCGGGGGTGTAAGTAGCCAGCAGCGGTTTCGCGCGTGCCTTTACCAGCAAGCCTGTTGAGGGATCCTCTGATTGAACAACAAGTTCTGGGTTATCCAGCACCTTGACCATGATTCCTTCAGCCTTCGCCGCAATTGCGGACTGGTAAAATGCATGTACCTCATCCTGGTCCGAGCTGATGATACTCTTCACAGGGGTGAACCGGTTGGGGATCTCCTTGAAGGTCGCCATAGCTTCTCTTCGTTGTCGGAGAGTCTTCTCAAGCAGCGGTTCCCCATTCAACAACATCAAATCAAACAAGTAAAAGCAAACTGCAACCTTCACATCCCCAATAGCAACATTTACCTTCGCCCGATTACTCAACGTCTGAAATGGCTGTACCGTCCCCGTTTCCTTATCAACAGCAACAACCTCACCCTCCATGATGAAACTCCTGTGCTCACCCTTGATTTCCTCTATGAGTTCCACAAGATCCGGGTACTTGTCGGTCATGACTTCAAGATGTCGGGAGAAGATCGAGACGCGCTCTGAGTGTGGTGCGGAGGCATCGTAGTGAATCTGGGCTCGTTGACCGTCGTATTTGTATTCGCAGGTGAATTCTCGGTTGGAGAGCTTGGTAAACATGTCGCCGAGATCGCGGGTGATCAGACCTAACATGGGCTTGAGAGGAATACCTGTAGGAGAATTAGACCATGTTGCGATAAATAGGTGATCCACATACCAATCGTCAAGGGACATCTCTCCGACAATCCCTCCACGCCACGCTGAATCAACCCTGCTACCAAGTCATCATAACTCGGCCGCTGCGCAAACACCTGCTTTACGGCCTCCTCGGCCCTTTTGAAGATCTCTCCTCGCTCCTCCTTACTTATTTTTCTTACTTCATCTCTAGCCACCCATGTCGCTCCTGGAGGTTTATTCAGCGTGAAGGCCCGTGAAAGCGCAATGAGCATCGTGGTCTTCACGGCACCGATACGGAGGTGCGAAACGAGTGTTCGACCGATATACCGGACTTCCTCATCTTTTGCCGAGATGAGGAGTTTCTCAACGAGTTTGGTTTTGAGCTCTTGGGTGTTCTTGCCTGAACTTGCGGCGATTTGCCGTAATACTATTCGACCAAGATCAGTAATCATCACACAGCATCAGGCAGGACACGCACTTGAGTAAGTCCCCTTGGCAGTCAAAGGCGCTGGCTTAACCAATGTCCGTACTTGTGCCTTCGCCTCGAATGCAACATCACCAACATCGCCGTGCTTATTGTTCAATGCTTTCAGCGCAGCTGGACTTATCCCAGATACATTTCGTATTGCCTTTCCAATGATCGCAGGACCGATGTTCAGCTCGACGCCGGGAACGTAGGGCGGTGCAAGGGAGTTTGTGCATAGCCTGTGCTCCCTGTCAATCAGACGCCGCGAGGAAAGGAAATGGAACTTACCACACAGCAGGCACCAAAGACTCTACATCATGTACAATGAGCATCCGCAACATATTCACCAACAAATCAACAATCAGCAGCCGACTCCGCGTCTCATTGATCAGAACGAAGGCCTGTGTCAAGAATGCATATGTTCCTTTTCCGTTCGGCCAGTCGGGAATGTAGCTATGAGGATCGAATTCTGTTGCTGGTAAGTGCAGTGGTATTTCTGAGGAGTTGTTTGTTGATGAGTCGAGGGTCATTGCGGATGAAGGCCTTGGCGGTAGTAGTGCTGCCTTTACCTCCTGTTTGGCGGGGGTTGGTAATGATGTAGATGTCGCAACCTTTGCCTGGTGCTCTTGTCCGATAATCATCTCCTCCTCCTCCTCATCCTCATCTTCATCCTCCAAGATCAATCGACTTTGGCCTGGCCGAACGGCCGGCGCAGCATCTTCCATCGCCTTTACGGCTTCCTCCTCCTCCAGCTCAGCCTTGGGCCGTCCGTCTTCCTGAGCTTGCGCCGCCAGCTTTCGTGCAAGCATCTCATCATCGAACTCCTGCTTCAACCTCTCGATCCGATCCGGATCCTCAGTCTCCGGGTTTCCCGCCGCATATTGTAAACTCAGACTCCGCGCGAAGGCCTCGTCGGCCTCCATTTGCTCGCGCAGCTTACGCTCTTCGGGTGTTTCATCTTCCGCATGAAAAAGACCATCAGATTTCGGCGGATCAACTGGCGAAGGAGCAGCCTTGGGCTTGAAGAAGAAGTCGAGAGCACGCTGTTGTGATCCGGCGGCTTTTTTTGATGATGGAGTAGATGGGCCTGGTGGCGCCTTGCGTTTCGCTGGTAAGGTTGACTTTGAAGGCATGATCCCTTTGCAAGAGAGAGCCTTGATCTATGTATTTGCTGTCCTCGGGTTTAGAGGGTAGGACGTACGTCGATGCGGGCGATGTCATGCCTTCCGAATCGGGAAGTCTAAGTGATCGGGTTGTGTACGAGATTAGAGTAGGGTAACTGCAACGTTCCAAGGCAAACTATCAGCGCATACATCAGGCAGGACCCACTAAACCTCGATCCTGCTCTCAATCAGCAAGTCTGTCGTTTAACTCCGCATCCATACTCCTCCTCAATAGCCATTAGCAGTATGTAATGAACTCACACTGCACTCCCCATACTGTTCCACGTCCATTAGCAACACAGCCGGACTTCAAGCCCTGTAATAATACGGTTCTCCGGACTTCTCACTTCCGTTCAATCCACACCAATATGATTCATCTGACCGGTCCTCTCTTCATCCGCCCCTCCCAGCTCAAACCAACGTCTCTTATTACCTCGCAAAAAGCCCCAAGTAAACTGCGAAAGCCCCCCGAACCAGCGAATCGTTTTGGTACCAACACCAGCCTGCACCTCGACATCAAAGGAAATGGTGATCGTTTTATGATTTCCCAGCCTGACTGCGCGCATACACCCCTGGCAAAGCTTCTGTCCGCCATACAGCATATCTTTCTTCAGAAATGCCGACACACCATCACATCGAGTGCAGAGCCGGTACTTCGCAAGTCTTGCAGCAGTCGTCTTAGGGGTATCGCCAAGCCGTAAAGGTGTGTATTTGATAAATCGGAGGCGTCTTTTGAGGATTGCGTCGCGGAAGAAGGCAGGACTCAGGAGACGGTGAAACGCATGACAGGTCTCAGAGAGGTTAAGGAGTGATTGAGTGCTCGAGTAATCGGTAATGTTACAAATAAGGTCTGGCGGCAGCTGGAGAAGAGGACTTTGCCGTTGTTGAGACATCCCCAATGTTGAAAGGAGTAATTTGACTGCGTGTAGTCGTTGAACAATTATGATACAAGAAAGGAGAAAAGAGAACAGTGTGTCGTTACGAATACCGGATTCTCGAAGTGAGTTTGTGAAGACTGAGTTGAGATGTCAAAGGGGAGTGATGGTCATCACTCCTCATAGACGTCAGTTGCTGTTGCACTGGAATGCGTCAACCGTGCATGCATGCCGGCGGGCTGCCAGCCGTGGAAACGTTAACGACGGCCCGCATTGGGTTCAGAACAGAGTCTCAGGCACTCGGCTTTGCTAATTGAGCAACTCAGATGTCAGGTCTGCAGCTGGATCATATACGTAAACGTTAATGCTTCGACGCGTGACAACAGAACCTGAAGGATGATCAAGAGTAAAAGCACACCTGCAGATAGGAAACTGATGTAGTGAGTGTTCTACTAAGCGTATGAATCACGAAACGTCTCCATAGCTCTTAACCAGTTATTATTTCTAACCGCGCATCGTTCTTCAACCTGAGCTCACAGACGTCACGGCTCATGCAGTCGACGCTAGCGTAGTTTCCCTTTGCGGAAGTTTGATAACCCAAATGGGAGTGCCGGGTGCCGAAGCGCTCTTTAAACTTCCCTGGCATCCAAGTCGATTCGGTCCGTAAATTTTCAACATCAACCTTTACACACTCTTCCTCGAAGGACCTTCACTACGAAGTTACACAACTCTCGCTTCTCCAACAGCAAAAGCTACCTACCACTATCAGTAAAATGGTTTCCTTCTCCGGTCTCTTCAACTCTGCCAAATTCGCTGCCAAAACTGCCGTTGCGAAGTGGGCCCAGCCGGCGTCGGTCTTTGTCGAGGAAACGACTTTGGTCGTTTCCACTTCTTGCCCAGTTGACCCCATGCACAAAACGTGAGTTCTATTCTAAAGCTCCTGCCATTCCGGAAGCTAACTTACTACTCAGTCCTGCTTTTCTGGAAATGATCAATGATGTGACGGCTCGTTCGAAAGCTGCCAACGCGTGGATTGACGCCTTCAATGACGCCAACCCACTCGTTCCGGTCGACGCAGTCAAACCTCCCGTTCCCCTTCCTCCTCGCCGTCAGTCCGTCACTCCTTCGGAGCCTGAATCCATCTTCGATGGCGAGGTCAGCACTTCCACGACGACAGCCTCCACTGACGTCTCCTCCATCCGCGAGCGCCGCCATGCTGTCTGGCCCATGTCCTGGCCTGAACCAGAGGACGAGGAAGATGAGTACGAGTGGGCCGAGGAGCGCTGCGACGTCGACGTCCGCAACCGTGGTTTCTTGCAGCTCAACCAACCTCCGCAGACGTTGGAGTACAGGAAGAAGATGGGTATGACCCTGCCTAGGATTAACACCATGATGGAGCCGGTGTATTATGGCGAGATGACACAGGCGAACATGGAGGATATGGAGTGCCCCACACCGAGTCCGCTCGCAGTTTTTGGGCCTCAGACATGGAACGAGTATGGCAGTGCTGAGATGGACAAACAAATGGATGAGCTGGATGCGTGGACGGGCGGAGTGGAGAAGCACGTTGTTAGTCCAACGGACTGGAAGCGTGTCGCGAAGCAGTATGATGTGATTGACGAGGATGAGATTGAGGAGCAGCGCGTCAGGGACATGAGCGTCTCTGACTTCTTGAAATATGAGAACGAGAAACGGAGAAGGGAAATTGCCGAAGGAAACAAGCCCACTCCGGCAGAGCAGCTCAGATTGTGCGAGGCAGCAAGGCTTTTGATGGAACGGGAAGAAGAGGAGAGGAGGAGGGACGAAGAGGAGTACAGTTGGATTCCCGGCTGGTGAACGGCATGACACCGACCTGCCGCACACGTACTGGGAGTTGACAAGGAGCTAGTGGAGAGATATAAGATAGAACAGAATGGATTCATGATCAATCAGACTGACCAAACGGGCACAACGCGAGGGACAAAGTCAATGCCATGGGCAGCAGTAGACCGCTCAGATCTAGATGCAATATAAATGAATACGAGACCTTTCTACTTCATCAGGCGGATTATGATGGTCCATCTATACAATCACAGGGTCCATCCCCTGCCCCGATCTCCTCCAATTTTTGGTCACGGGAGCCGAATGTCATCCCGGCAGACAGCTTCCGCCCAGAACTTCGAATCTGTGCGCGCATGGCGCAAGTGCCGGCGCCGCAACGCTCGCGGTTCAACCGACTCCGCACGAATACTCGCAAGCGCGCAGATCTAATCAACGAACCTATCAGCTTGACTAATCATAAGAAGTGATCGCATCCCTGACTGTTTCTTGGCTTTGGTCAGCGCGGTATCGAAGACGTTCAAGTTCAGTAAATAGCTCATCACCTCGACGCAGCGCAGCACAATATTTGACAGAGACGTCTACCGTTCATATCAGCGCAACGATGGACCCAAGTTTGGCAGTTGGATACGTTCCGCCCTCGGAAACTGCTCCCAGAAACGACTTGCGACAACCCGACTCGGGCAAAGTCCCTTCCGCGATTATGGACGACCCATGCTTCGCATCTGATCCAACTACTAGCGGGGAAGAAGACAGGTGGACCGACGGACACCCAAAGACAAACGGCATAAACAGAGAGGAGAGCATGACGCCTGACCCAGCGAGACCGAGACCATCAACGCATCGCTTCCACACCAGTGATTCGTATGAGCACCATCTGCGACTGGGTCCACACGACGGGAAGAACCGTATTTCGGATGGAATGGATTTGGAGGAGGTTCCGCTCGGGATCGTGAGGCAGGCAACAAAGCTGGAGGACTACAAATTTCCGGATCATCGTTTGCGGACGGTCATGGCGGACTCTACAAGAACACCGTTGGTGATCGTCGCATGTGGTTCGTTCTCGCCGATTACGTATCTCCATCTTCGGATATTCGAGATGGCGCTCGATAATATCAGGGAGCATACGCGGTTCGAGGTCATGGGTGGGTACTACTCCCCTGTTTCGGACCATTACCGGAAATCTGGTTTGGCACCGGCGAATCATCGTGTTAGGATGTGCGAGTTGGCGAGTGAGAGGACGAGTTCGTGGTTGATGGTTGATGCCTGGGAGACTTTGCAAAATAACTATACCAGGACAGCGGTAGTTTTGGATCATTTCGATGAGGAGATTAACGGGAAGCGGGGAGGTGTGAGGACGAAGGATGGCAAGGTGAAGAAGGTGAAGATCATGTTGTTGGCTGGTGGAGATTTGATTGAGACGATGGCAGAGCCGAATGTGTGGGCGGATGAGGATTTGCATCATATCTTGGGCAATTACGGAACCCTGGTTGTTGAGCGAACGGGAGCGGATGTGTGGGGATTCTTGCTGAGTCATGATATTCGTAAGACCTTGAAATGCTGCTCTTGAAAACGCAGTGCTAACGAAATCTTACAGTTTGGCAACATCGAAAGAACGTTCTGGTCATTAAACAGCTGATTTACAACGATATCTCATCGACGAAAGTACGACTGTTCATCCGACGAGGCATGAGTATACAGTATCTGCTGCCGAATAGTGTGATCAAGTATATTGAGGACCATGGACTGTATCATGAGACAGAACCGGTGAAGACGGTCATTCTGGATAAAGGTGCTTGAGTTCGCAACAACCGTGAGATCGGAGGCTTTTGATATCGATCGTGAGGAGGCTGGCATGACAAGTTGAGACTGGACGTTAATCTCCATAGGAGACGGAGAATCAAAGAGGAAGACGAGACAAAACCAACATCGTATTTCTTATATCCCAATTCTCGAGAATCTCCACAAGTCCATTTCGTGCTCCGGGTTCTGACATAATACGCATCAGCGCGCAGTAGACTGGGATGCCCCCTCAATATGGGCGGCTACGCGGCCAGCACTCCCAAGAGTTCACCTAGAACAACCGGCAAGGTATTCAACAACAAGCAACACCATCCAAGGGGACAACCAGCTACGTGCAGACCGCGTAACCTCGACTGACATCGATCGCCGTAGCCGGCAACATACTAACAGCTCCATCCGCCACATCAACGCGCTATCGGTGCGAGAACCAGACAGGTCACCACATCCCGGACCTCCGAAGCGCGGAGCTCCGTTTATATGGCCTCGTTCATCCCGACAGACATCCTCAACGCTATCATCGCCAGAGTGACTTCACCCCGTCCTTCACCAGTCAGTCCCGTCGCGTCACCAAGTCTAAGCAGCAGCGTAGACTCTTCTGCGAGTATGTCAGATATCCCTCCACCTGAGGCGCGGAGAACGACGCTGCAGGAGCCGTTGGAGGATGTTAGTAATTCGAGGATGATTGGCCCTGTTGAGAGTGGAGTTGGGGTACCTGCGAATGGGAGTGTGAATGGGGAGGCGAGAGATTCGCCGAGCTCGACGGCGCCCGTACAGCACCCACAACCAGACCTTGAGAAGCAGGCACAGCTGCGGCGAAATATCCTGAAGATTCAATCAACGGACATCTCGGACCGCGAGAAGGCACATAAGATGCAAACGTTGTTAACTCAAGGGTACAATGCTCCAGTAAAGCCAACACAAATCGAAGCCACCGTCGACGATAAAGAGCCAACATACGCAGACAAAGAGAAGGGCATCCTTGGCTGCAAGCACTACAAGCGAGCTGTCAAGCTTCAATGCCACACCTGTAACGCCTGGTCATCCTGCCGCTTTTGTCATGACGACAGTCACCCAGACCACAAGCTCGTTCGCCAAGAGACAAAGAACATGCTTTGTATGTACTGCGGATGTGCGCAGCCTGCTGGTCAGAATTGCAAGCACTGCAAGAAGAGATTGGCGAAGTACTATTGCGATATCTGCCGGTTGTGGGACGATGACCCGGAGAAGAAGATCTATCATTGCCCGGATTGTGGAATATGTCGTATCGGGGAGGGTTTAGGGAAGGATTTCTTCCATTGCAAGGGGTGTGGTGTTTGTATGTCGATGTCACTGCAGAATTCGCATCGTTGTATTGAGCGGTCAACTGAATGCGACTGCCCGATTTGTGGAGAGTTCATGTTTACGTCGACGCAAACGGTTGTCTTCATGCAGTGTGGTCACTCGATTCACCAAGCTTGTTATGAACAGCACATTCGCCAATCTTACAAATGCCCAACTTGTTCTCGCTCGCTGGCGAACATGGACACGCATTTCCGCCTTCTCGATGCGGAGATTGCGCGTCAACCAATGCCGGATCCGTATGACAAGTGGAAGGCGAACGTCCTCTGCAATGACTGTTCGGCCAAGAGTCGAGTGCAGTACCACTTCCTGGGCCACAGATGCGATGTATGCGCAAGTTACAACACAGTCTTGAACGGTGTTCTGAGGCCCGGCGATGAGGATTACGAGAACCCCTTGACGGCGGTGTTGAGAGGATTGGAGAACAGGAATTTGGAAGACCTTAGGAGGCAAGCGGCGGGCAGCGACGAGAGCGACGAGGACGGGTTGTTTGACGATGAAGAACTTGGTGACGACCCTGATGATGGTGTAATGGTTGAGGTCACCGCAAATGACGATGACATCGACGAGGAGCAGATGTTCCTGATTCATTCTGATCACCCTTTGGCTCAAGAGGATGCGGACGGGCCTGGCATTGGTACGGAGAACGGAGTTGAGAGGCGTGAGGATTAGAGCATACTACGCGGCGTTTTGTGGAGTGCGGTGCACGATGGACATTCTCGGGGTCTATATGGATGGAATTTGCACTAGAGAGTTATTTTCATGGTGATGGATGGCGCGGCTGTTTCGTATTTTGCAATTGTCGATTCATAGGAGGACGGAGCATATTGAAGAGCGAGCTTTGAGAATAATTTTTTGAACAACTTGAGAGATCTTCCCATCTCACGGCTGTTCTCGCCTCGCGCTGTTTCTATGATGAGCTCGTGCGTGCCTCTTGTGCAGGACAGCCGCAGTAGCCCTGATTCGACCCAATACAGAACGCGCTGTCACCCAAAACCTTATATCAGCTCAACACGAGCATACACTCCAGCATTCACCCCGTTCCCTATTCTCTGTCGGCGGGAAGCGGTGTAGCATTGACATTGGCGTTGCTACGATGAATTCTCTTTCGCATATAGCAGCGCACGTCGACCGCGTTATTGGCTCTACACCGCCTGCGACACCTGTTGAGGGTCCGGCTCCAGCTGCTGAGTCGGCGGATACTTCGAGCGATGAGTCAACGGTGGTCCAGGTGAAGAAGAAGGGAGGCGAGGTTCAGGCGACGCAGATTCAGAAGCCGGGTTGGGCTGCGCGATCACGGACGCAGTCGGGACTTGTATGCCTACGAGCATGGTTGAGCATACAGCTGTTCTTCATTTGGCTTATCATGTGGCCCGTCAACCTTTTCAGAGCGTCAGATGGGCAGTACTCGCTTAAGACCGGCATGCTGTCGTTCTCCCGGCTGCTTGTTACACCTTACCTGTGGCTCGCGAACAGCAGACTATCAGCAACAAACACGACTACGGAGGAGGAGGCCCAGGCGGTGGAAAAGGTTGTCGCTGCGGCTGATCATGCTCACCCAAGAAGTGAGAAGGACGCTTTGGAAGGAGCTTTGTCGCGAGCGCCTGGTCCGCACCCGTCAACAGCGGATGCCACCATCGTCAACACGAGCGCAACACCCGCCTTCGATGACTCGGCCATACGCACATCGGTTTACAACTCCATCGGTACTTCAACATCTGTCACAGATGAAATCACCCGCCGTCGCTCCATCCGCATCGCCGAAGCGGTTTCCAAGAAGCCCTCCAATGGCTCCCTAATCCGTCGGGGTTCGGCCTATCCACCCCTCGAAGCTGCACCAACAGTAATGACACCACCGAGACCACTGGTTCCGAAGAACCCGAAAAAGAAGACACTAGTGTTAGATCTGGATGAAACGTTGATTCACTCATACGTGCGAGGTGGAAGGATGAGTTCGGGGCACATGGTGGAGGTCAAGTTGGCGAAGCATGCAATTTTGTATTACGTCCATAAACGACCACACTGCGACTACTTCTTGAAGAAGGTATGGCAATCGGGCGAACTAGTCGTGGTGAATGTTAATTGAGAGTTCAGGTCTGCGCATGGTACAACGTAGTCATCTTCACTGCCTCCGTCCAAGAATACGCCGACCCCGTCATCGACTGGCTCGAGCAAAACGGTAAACTCTTCACCGCACGATACTACCGACAACACTGCACCTTCGAGAACGGTGCATACACGAAGGATATCAGTATCTGCGACCCAGACTTGAGAAGGGCGATGATTATCGACAACTCGCCGTTGAGTTATGCACATTACGAGGGTAAGGCGACGTCGTCTGAGGTCTTCTAATCGAATTCGCTAATACGTCTTACAGAAAATGCCATTCCTATAGAAGGCTGGATCAGCGATCCCTCAGATAATGACCTCATGTACCTCCTCCCCGTCCTCTTCGGCCTCCGATCCGTGCCGGACGTACGTCTACTCCTCGGATTACGCATGCCACGGTAGGCTGTGCATGTTCTCATTCTCTTTTTCTTTCGCCCCTTATTTAGGTTTTATTCTGGGTTTAAGGCGCATGGGTTTTTTTTCAATTGCATGCATGGGTGTGGTGAGAAAGGAAGCGTTGTTGGGTTTTCTATAACGGCGGGCTTGATGGGCCGTGGGTTCTATACTAATTCAGAGACAGAGGAAAAGAGAGCATAAAGCAAATATGAGCATCAGGATGTCATGTCATGCTCCCTTGTACTTGTATTTTAATCCCTCCAAACCGCTGATATCCGCCTCAACACCCCTCATCCAATACCTCAGCACCTCCGCAACCCCACATACCACGACCGGGATATACCACACCACCCACGAAACCTCATCCACCCCTCCTCTCAACACCCTGCTCTTTATTCCACCGTTCACAGCTGCGAGGAGTGAGAGCGTTAGGTTGAGGAATGGAAGGTAGGAGAGTGGGAAGGGCGTTTGCTGGGCGTGGAGGGGAAGGGAGAGGAGGGTGTAGGAGGTTAGTGAGAGGGAGGTTATTGAGAGGAGAATTGGTAGGGCGCCGACTCCTGTTGGTAAGGCCATTAGGAAGATTGGACATAGCGCTAAAATGATGAGGGCGAAGGCTTTCTGTGTGAGCGACGCAAGTTAGCATTCATCGGTGAAAACAAGGGGTAGAGGGGGTGAGCGGACGTACTCTGTAAAGAGTATTCTGTGCTTCATCCTGTGCACGCAACTTTGTTATGAGTGCTTCTTGTTCTGTGGACATGACAGAGTCAGCGAGATGTCTTCGATGCAGAAGATTGTCATACCAACCTTGCTCGTCAATTGCTTCGGGTTGGGCATTGTCTTCGGCGAATTCTTCTGGGGCGTTGAAGGGGTTTCGGTGGTTCAAGCCGCGGGATCTGACCATTGATGGAGGATACGGGTGATTGAGGGATGGCGGTCGAGGAAGAGGAGGGGGGGGGGGAGGAAAGGGGAAATATGGTGTGTCTACGTTACAGCCTGTTCTCGGCAAGGGTTCTCCGACTCACGACTTCTTAAGAAACATGAAACGGCCGATAATGCCCATATGTATCATCCAAACGTATTTATTAGAGGAGTGAGCAAGCTTCCGCGCTCACCGCTTGCCTATGAATACCGGCAACGAACATGCACACCTCCATCCCTTCTCTCATATCGTAGCGATTATTCCACCTCTCATGATGCTCTAAGCATCAGCCTTAGGCCCAGACCCCTCCACAACAGCCGGAACAAGCACACCAGCCTTCTCCAACATCTCCTCCAACTCCCCACTCTGATGCATGCCAACCAAAATATCACACCCCCCAACAAACTCCTCATTCAAATACAACTGCGGAATCGTCGGCCAATTCGAGTACTCCTTGATACCATGTCTCAAGTCTTCGTCTTCGAGGACGTTGTACGCTGCGAGTTTCTCGGGATCGACGCCTTGGAGACCGAGGATTTGGACGGTGGCGCGGGAGAAGCCGCACATGGGTTGTTCGGGTGTGCCTTTCATGAAGAGGACTACTGGAGCTGATTTTACGGCTGCATCGATAGCGGATTTGGTTTCGGTTGAGAGGGGACGGGAGGTGAGGAGGAGACGGGGGAGGGTTGGGAGGGCTGTTGGGCGGGCGAGGGTGGTGGCCTATATCAAAACAGTCAGCGTTTTTTGGGCTATAAGAGAGGAAAGAAGGAGGACGTACGGTAGCCAAAGTCTTGCGGAAGATGGATCGAGTGAACATTGTTGGAGGTTATGTGTTGTTCTCAGCGAATGGGTATTTTGCGTATTTCGAGATGCAGCTTCATGCATGTACGCGTAAGCGGCCAAACCGCGGATGCCCAACCCATCCACCATCTTACAACACAATGGCATCGACAATGGACATCCCAAGAACCCTCCGCGCACCCCTCTACCCCCTCCTCGGCATCCCCCGTCTCCTAACAACCTCCACCCTCCTCAAACCCATCGCGTTCACCTCTGCCATCGCGGCCGGCGTAACGGGTGTGTGGGTCAAGTATGCCTTTGGGCCTACGTTGTATTTGGTGAGGAGTGAGTGGTTTGGGTGGTTGATCCCTTTCAAGAGTTATACCAAGATCATGGGGCAGATATTTTGGAGGGGAGTGGATTTGGTCAAGTATGTTTCTTCGTCCTCGACGAATTCAAAGTTGGAACAGTGGGGATTCGGTGTTCTGGATAAAATGAGGGCACTGGATACGCAGTGGTGGATGGCGGTGGTGTTTACGTTGATCCAAGCCGGCGTTGTGGTCAACTACCTCGTCGGATGGCGAATCCGTGCTGAAGCCGCGAAAGTCGGACATGCCGTCCTCGCCGCGGAGAGAGCCAAGAACCGTACCTCCTCTTCCTCAACAGTGAAGGCAGTCGAAGAGAAAGAAGTCGTGAAACCCACTCCGGCACCAAAGCAGAAAGGCAATTGGATCATGCGCTACACCGTCAACCAAATAAAGAGTCTGTTGATGACACCGATCTACGCCATTCCAGTCCTCGGGCAACTGCTCTACGCATACACCCGGGCACCGCAAATTGCCTCTTCTTACCTTCTCCCACTCGATCCCGTTCTCGCTCGTCGTTTGTTGAATGATCCGAAGGAGGAGTGGAGCGTGAGGGGGTTTGGGTTGGTTGCGGGGATGTTGGGTGGGGTGCCTATTTTGGGCAGTCTGTTCCGGGTTGGGAGTATGGTTGGAGGAGCGATGCTGTTGGCGGAGGTTGAGAGGGGGAGAAGGGAGTAAGCCTATTCCCAAACGGGATCGATATGGATGACCAGGCCTGTTCCGGTACTCAGCCCCACAACAACGCCCATTGGCCAGGTCTTAAGACTGCACCTACGCTCGAAGCAGCGCACAACCGTTGTACCCGACTGGTCTGACTGCCACATGCAGGGTCCGGCCGATACCGATAGCACAGACGTCATCTGGCGCTAGTTCGTCTCCACACATCGCGCGTCGATCCTCCACAATAAGATGCATCCAGACCGACGGTGAGAAAAATCCGGGAGATGCCGTCTACACTTCGATCATAGGGCTTGCAATTGGGGGCTTGTTGCAATTGGGGGAAGGACGACGGAGGCTATAAGAAGGGAGCTTTCCCCCGCTGGGTTGTGGTTCCTCACCTTCTCAATTACCAACAACAACAACAATGTTCAAGTCACTTCTTACCGCGGCCTTGGCCTTGACCTCCCTCACCTCCACCCTCGCCGCTCCCGCTCCCGTCATGGAGAAGCGCGCCCACGAGATGAATATCACCGACATCAACATCCTCAACTACGCCCTCACCCTCGAGCACCTCGAAGCTAACTTCTACGCAACCGGTCTCGCAAACTTCTCCGCCGACGCATTCACCTCCGCCGGATACCCTTCCTACATCCGTGACAACATCGCGGAGATCGGAAGACAGGAAGCTCAGCATGTGTCGTTTTTGAGTACGGCGTTGGGTGCGGCTGCTGTTGAGGCTTGCACGTACCAGTTCCCTGTTACCGACGTTCCGTCTTTCCTTGCCGTTGCGCAGGTTCTCGAGGGTGTCGGAGTGTCCGCATACCTCGGTGCCGCCAAGGATATCCAGGTAAAGGACTACCTTACCGCCGCTGGATCCATCCTCACCGTCGAGGCTCGTCACTCCGCATGGTTGCGTTCCGCAGTCGGTGGATTGTCTCCTTTCCCCGCCGCTGAGGATACCCCCCTCGACTACGACGAAGTCTACACCCTCGCTTCCGCATTCATCACCGCTTGCCCCTCCACCAACTCCCAGCTCCCGCCCGACCTCATGGCTTTCCCCGCTCTCGCTGCTTCCCCCGCGTCCGGCGTGAAGCCCAATGACACCATCACCCTCACCACTGACGCTAACCCCGATGGCGAGGTCGTGTATGCTGCGTTCATCTCCGCTTTGTCTACTGTTTGGAGTGAGATCTCTCCGTCGGGTCAGGTTAAGGTTCCTGCGGCTTTGGCGCCGGGGCAGGTCTACGTGGTGTTGACCAAGAACGGAACGAGTGTTGCTGACGAGGATATCGTTGCTGGCCCGGCCATTGTTGATGTGTTGGTTGACTACATCAAGTACTGAGCAGCATCAGAAGGAGTGTATGCTAGGAAGGTGTTTGGACGGTTTATTTTTTCTTCATTGTGACGTGTTAGGTTGATTCTTTGTGGGACAATCGGCGGTCTTTAATACTTTGTTTGTTATTTTCGTGCTTTAATACCATTCGTGACCAAGTCCTCCACCTTCAACCCTAAATTCTTTTTCACCAGGCCGTTGTGTGTACTGACACCCACAGGCTAGTCCAAGTGTATGCGCCTAGCGATACCCTCTCCTTTCTCGAATTCAAGAATTCTGCAATCGCCCTCAATACATCACCGACCGTCACTCCTCCCTGCCCCCGTGAAGCGCGAATATCAGTATCCCTCCATTAAACTCGGAAAAGGCCGATGACGAGCCTTACTCGCGTGCATGCGGGACGGGTGAAGTAATGATTGGTACAGGCTGATGCAGGATTGATGTTTTTGGCGTAAACGTTCGCTTGGGTCGTGAGGTCCTTTGCCAAAAAAAGAGCGTCCGGGAAGGACGGGGTCCTATCTGCCACAGGAAATCTCTGCCAGTTAGACAAGGATGCACACTCGGTCTCGAATCCGAATTCATTCTTGCCATTCCAATTACCCACATCCTTACCATTCTTATGCGACATGGTCACACACGGTGGGTTCACCAACTTAAAACATCTGTCATTGGAGCTGAGGGGACGTCTCGATCAACCATTTCCACGAGGGAGCAGGTGGCAAGATTGGATAGGATATGCTCGAGGAGTTCAACTTGTTCGAGAACGCAAGTTTCTGCTGACATTATAAAGGTATCATGGTTCTGTATGGCCAAAAGAGGGAGGGCTGCTTGCGATACATCCGATAAAATTGGGTTCCCACGGATCACGGTATACGGATACGGGATCCATGCCGCCGGGGTTAATTGGTGCGCGTACCCCAGCTGCAGGGACTCTACGGATACGATTTTTACATGGTGAACAATCTCGAAAGCATTGCAGCTTATTTTCATTGATGATTTTGGCTGGTATCCCTATTCCTATCCAATCCGAAACTTAGCTATATGTAATTTTTATGCTCCGTACGAAGGTTGTTGCGAGAGGATCTTTAATAACCATGAGATTGTTTTTACTTCAGCTAAACCGGAGGTTGCTGGGCGGGAGGGAGGTGTCCTTATGTAAGGAAACTTGGCATGTGAGAGCAGCACATGGGGAGGGACCGTGTCATGTGGACCCTTCAACCAAAAATAGTAGCGTGGGAGGGGTTAAATTAAACTTTGAATTTATGGCGTGATTGGTCAGCGGACGGCAGCTGTCCGTCTACCAGAAATAGCGGCTATCACCAGGCTGGGTTGGTTGTCCTCCTGCCAGGATGATCTCCTTACAAACTGATCACAAATCCCTAGTGTCCCTCAGATCCACTCCCCCTCCTTACTCAAGTAGTTCACGATCCCTTCCATGATCTCCTCAACGGTGATTCCCTTATGACCTGGAGAGGCCTCAATGATCCTTGGTGGTTGTCTTGCGGTACGTTTGATCATGACGGCAGCGCCGGCCCCGGCTCGACTTTCCCACGAGTTACGGATACACATTGATGAGTATGCAAGATACGAGGGTAGCAACTTCGAAAGCACATCAATTCAGCTGCAATCGAACGAATGTAACTGGTATCCCTATCCTTACTTCCCCCACATTCTCCCACGAATTCCAAAGCACAAACATAAACACTATCGTAAACCCACTTACTCCCCTTGCTTCGTCAACAAACCAACAGCAGTAGAATCCCTCGTTCCAGCCTTTCCGGCCTCCTCCAGTTTCTCAGCATGTGCGGTACTAGCTCTCCTTGACTTCGTCTCCTCGCTGGGCTCTGCCATACTCGCTCTCCTCAACCTCTGCGAAGCTTCGGGGAAGAGGTCTTGATCCCTACCACTGTTCCTGGAAGCGACGGAGGGGTCGTTGTCGATGAGTGCGGGACCACCGACAGCCTCGTCATCTGAGTCCCCTAGGTCGAAGGGATCAGCGTTGGTCGGGGGAGGCCGCGCACGAAGGGGTTCCCATTTACGGGAGGGGGAAGAGGCCTGAGCCGCGGCGCCAGCGTTGGAGGGAGCGAGGTTTGAAGATGCGGTGCGGGACGTGAGGTCTTCGGTTGCGATTGCGCTGTTTCCGCGGGAAGGCAGGGAGGGCTTGAACAGGTTTGGGTTGGTTGGAGCGCGGTGAGCATCTCCCGAATTATCCCTGATTTCCAACGCGGAAAAGTCATCACCCAACACTCTTGGATCCGCGTCATACTGTCCACTCACACGGCCTTGGTATTGACCATACTGTCCCTGTCCCTGTCCCTGCTGCTCCTGTCCAGCAAACTCATTCTCGAGACGTCCCTTAACCTTCGTGAACCACCCAGTAATGTTCTTCCTGGTCTCATTGAAACCCTTTGTCAAGTTCTCCTTAATGACAGGGAGGTCATCATCGAGAAACGAACGCTGGTTCTCGGGTGTCTCGCGCCCATACAGATCCTCGTTCTGTCTATAATGCCTCTGGGACTCTTCCTGCGCACGGCGCATAGCTCGGCGCTCATATCTCTCACTCAACTCTCTCGCCAAACGCTCGTCGGCCTCGAGTTGAGATTGATCGGTTGCGGTCGCAATTTGACGAGCATATGACTCGTCGTCAACCGCTGGGCTGCGGGTATTTGGGCGTGCTGGCGTTTCGGGTTGGAAGGAGTCATCGGTAAGGGACAAGAGGGCGTTGAATGCCTTCTCCGGGTTGTAGTCGGCTGCAATGAGGATCGCACGGATGACTTTGTCCTCGACGTCCGGGAAGGCCTGCTTGCAGCGTCAGTTCAATGTACAAGTCCATGCAGCACAACAACTTGCAAACCTCCTTAAGTGTAGCCCTCTGCTCTTCCCTTGGATCAACGACCTTCGGTCTCGCGGGCATAATCGGGGGTGGAATGTCGTCCACACGGTCCAAGACGGTATTGGGTGCTACTGGCGCAACCACCGGAGGGGAGGAAACAGGAGGGGATGACATGGTTTGTTAAAGGTAGAACCGATCGCAAAGTATGTTAAAAGTATCGAACGGAGCTTTATGGGGTTTGGTCGAGTTAATTGAGGATGGTCTTGGCTGAGGCTCAGCGTCGTACACCGGCGTAGCGAACCCCGGCTGCCCTGACTCGCGTGCCGAGCAACGTCATATAAAATGCTCAACGATGGTTATGAGGGTTCAGCCTCAGAATACATTCATTTGAAATCCACAATAATAACTTCGCTTCATCTCCTTGTATGGCAGAGATGTGTTGGGCCGCCCCTCGAACTTTTGGCTCTGTGCCTGAGAAATACGACGCCGACATTTTGAGCACCAACGGATCAGTCGACGCAGCATATAGCCATCATGATACGGAGACCACTGTGTATGGCCTCGCTCGAGACCGCTATGTCTTTGACCTCTATCACCAGATCTATCGCTCGCCGCGGACTTGCGACCGTCGCCGACGTCGCACCAGCAGCAGCAGCACCAGCAAGGAAGAAGCAGCGAGTGTTGCCGCTATTGCATCACACCCCAGAACACGCCCACGATAGGAAGCAGCTTCCTGTACGGCCAGGTCTCCTCGCCATCAAGCGTGGTATGACTGCGTTGTGGGACGAACGCGGAAACCGCATCCCTGTCACCATCCTCCAATTCGACCGTTGTCAAGTGACCGCCGTCAAGACTCGCCAGAAGGAAGGTTACTTCGCTGTCCAAGTCGGTGCATCCTACCGCAGCCCAAAGAACGTCACAAAACCTATGCTCGGCCACTTTGCCAAGGCTGAAGTGGCGCCGAAGAAGAAGGTGAAGGAGTTCCGAGTCAAGGATGAGTCGGGTCTTCTCCCGATTGGAACTTTGTTGGGTGCAGACTTCTTCAAGCCCGGAAACTACGTGGATATCAGGGGTATTGGTAAGGGTAAGGGTTTTGCCGGTGTCATGAAGAGACACGGTTTCTCGGGTCTGCCGGCGTCTCACGGTGTGACTAAGTCGCATCGTTCTGCTGGTGCGATGGGTAACAACCAGGATCCCGGACGTGTTTGGCCCGGTAAGAAGATGGCTGGTCGTATGGGAGGAAAGCAGATTACAACGCAGAACGTGCAGGTCATGAAGATTGATCTGGAGAACCAGACGATCTTGGTTAAGGGTCATGTTCCTGGAAACGATAAGGCTTTCGTGCAGGTGCAGGATTCCATCAAGAAGAAGTTGTTGGAGATGCCGGAGGACCCGTTGAAGGTGAATGTGGAGGAGAAGTCGGCGTAAAATGGTGTGAGTTGGGTTGACGTGAGGTAAAAGATCTAAGCATGGGGTATAGCGGCTCAAACTGAAGCCAGGTTGGCGCGGATTTCTTTTTATGGGAACGTAAATGAATTTGGCATATTATTGTGCTCAAGTCGATCCCGTATGTATGATTATAAAGTGTATTGCGCAATCTAGCCAAAACCCCAAACGCCGTACCCACAAGCCATCCGTCCATTTCCTTCCCTTGCCTCCGATCACGGATTTGCTGCAGCGTATCTCTTAAACCATCCTCTCACCTTCACCAAGAACATTCTCAAATTCCTAGTCTCGTTAAGGAGAGCCACATACCGGTCCATATCTTGTGGCGGAATATTCGGGTGGCTATCTGACACTTCGTAGTCTTGCTTTGACAAATCCAGCAAAACCCAGTACTCCCGCTCTGGATCGCGTTCATTGACTGCATTGAAAACAATACGAATGTGGTCCTCTCCACGGCGCGTGAGGCGGTCAATTCGCAAGCCGAGCTGCTCCTCAAAGAATGCTACCTCTGGCTCGTCCTTGTTCTTTTGTTTTGCGAGTCGTTCCCGTTCAGCTGCTAAAATCGCTCGTCTCTTGGAAATAGCTGACTCGGTATCGGCAATCTGACGTTGAAAGAGGGTGAGGGAGTCGCGCATTGAACGCTCTTTCGTTGAGAATTGCGCAATGGAAGATTCAACTTCGGCTTTCTCGAGGCGCTCCTTCTCGATCGCGGAATGGGCCTCTTCCTGTTTGGTCTTGTAGTGCTCGAGCTGTTTGGTGCGGTTCTTGTGGGTTTCTAAATCATTTGGTTAGCATACACCCCGAAAGTTCGCGCTTTGTAAGTACCTCTATCCTCCGCAATGCCCTTCGCAAACTCCGTTCTCTCCCTCAAGATCTTCTCGCGTCCACTGGCGACAAACGCGTCGAATCTCAACGTAAACTTGGCCATCTTCGCCTTCAACTCTGCGAAAGGGCTCTCAACCATCGGCAACGCATGGCTCACGCCCAATCCTTTCGTTTCCATCGCGATAGACATTATTGATTCTGTTGAAGATGAGGGTGTCTTCAGGTCGAGGATGTTATGGGTGTATGCATAAACATTGGATGTGCCTGGAGTGGTGCTATAGCAACCATGCGCCCTGACGAACCTCACTTCAACGCCAGCAGCGACGAAAAGTCGGTAAATTGGTCAAATACGCTTGTCGCCATCCTGAAAGGTCATTGTTCTTCTGTTTGAACGCAAATATGACCAGCGCCGACGTTCGCGACGCGTTCAACCTTCCCGCCAAGCCGGAGGGAGGACCACCAGCACCAAAGAAGGTCAAGGCCCCGCAGCCTCGTCTTGGTTCGTCTTACTGTGCTTCTTTCTTTGTATATATCCTAATGGTTTTGCAGATGGTATCACTCGTGAGCTATACTCGCTGCTCGGCGACAACGTCCCACCAGTCGCCATCCAACAGAACAAGTTCAAAGAGCGACCAAAGCTCCGACAGAAAGCTGCATCATGGTATACCCTCCCTCTCCCGCTTGTACAGAAAACGAGACTGACTGGGTGTACAGGATATGGAAACCTTTCTCCAACGGTGCGCGAGCAGATGAACTACAGTTAAGTCATTGGGTCAAGAAGATAGACGGGCAAGATGGCGAGGGAGCGATGTACCGCTTTGAGGAGTTCAACAAAAGTGTGGACATCATTCAGTATACCGACATGGAGTACAACTCAGAGCTTCAGGATGGGGATTGGTCAAAAGAGGAGACGGACTACCTCTTCTCACTCTGCAAGGAATATGACCTGCGATTCGTCGTCCTCGCAGATCGTTACGATTTCCAAGGAAGACAACGCTCCATGGAAGAAATCAAGGACAGATACTACGCTGTATGCCGAAAGATCACTACTTCACGGACACCGCTATCAATCATGACACCGCAGCAAATGGATCGCTATCATCAACTGCAATACGACAAATCACGCGAAGTGGAGCGGAAAGCATATGTCACCGCGCTTCTTCAGAGATCACCCGAGGAGGTTGCGGAAGAAGAGGCCTTGTTCATCGAAGCCAAACGTATCGAGGCGAACGAGAAGCGTATGGCCCAGGAAAGAGCAGAATTGCTGAGACTCCTCGAGAGCCCACCGAGCAAGGGATCGATCGCATCATATACCGGCTCTCAAGGTCTCGCTGCTCTTGCGAACAACATGCTCCTTGCGGACAAGAACAAGAAGAAGAAGCCTACCATCGACGGTATCGTTGGCGTTCCAGGTGCTACCGCAACACCACCAGCAAAGGAATCTCCAGCACCGCAAAAGAAACCACAGCACAACGCTCTCAAGAAACTTACTCCACGCGAAGAAGTCCTTTTCGGCATTTCTTACCACGAGAAGCTCACGCCCGGTGTTGCTCTTCGTTCTACCAAGCTTTCTAACCTCAAGCCCACTGTCGCTCAGAAGGTCACCACGGCTATGACCGAGTTGGGTATTTCGACTACACTCACCATGCCCACGGCTCGCACCAGTGCCATGTACGAACAGTTACAACAAGCGATTGGTGTACTGCTTGAGACGAAGAAGCAGGCGGACAAGTTGGAGACGGAGATCAGGGTTGCGAGGGCTAGAGGTGGAAGCTTCGGAGAAGCTGAAGCGGAGGGACGAGGAAAGAGGGGTGGTAGCGTGGATGATGCTGGGAGAGCATCGAAGAGGCCGAAGAAGCCATAAGAATCACGCTTTTTACTAGGACCGTTTGCGGTTGTTCGTTTGCTATTTCTGGGCGTTAGGGAGTTATGACTCAAGCCATCAATCATCTCTTTTTGGCATGGCATCTCTGATCACGTCTTTCATCTCATCAATTCCAACATCAGACCTCTCGGGTACTTTCACCTTGGGGGTCCCTTTCTATTCGTCCCCAAAGTCCCTGCAGGGCGTAAAGCGGAACAGCCACGGAGGCACTCGGAACAGTAACCCCCTATCCGATTCGGCCCGAGACTGAAAGTCAGATGGCGTGTCTGACGTGAACTCTCCGATGCATAAGGGAACATGTACAAACCTTGCCAGTCGTAACATCATTTTCTGATGAGGTCACATCGCAATCTCGTTCTGCCATGCTCCCTCCCTCGTCTTCGTCACGAACTGCAAATCACAACCACCTCCATCTCACCGCGGGCCTTGGCCAGCCGAGCCCCGCTGCCGGCCCCAGCTCGAGCCCCATCTCCCGAGCCCTGCTTGCAGCATTTCGCCTCGTTCAGATAGCCAGACGTTCAGGCCGCCGATATAAATATCTGTCTGACGCTGCTGTGACGTGATAATAGCAAATTGTTCCACCTTCATGAAATGCTCAATGTAACTCTAACTGCTGCACGCGATACTTGGCAGGCATGCGTATCAGCTGCCGAGCCTCTTGACAGCCAAGGAAATGGGCACGTCATCCCTCACCATTGGCAATTGAGGTCATGTACGAGCAATTGACCCCGTTGTAGTTGCAGCAAATGACGTGCCTCTCACCTATCCATCACGCACCTGCCCTCGCCTGGACGCACGGCACAACGGGCGACGTACGGTACCCTGCACAAAGGCACTCCCGTGACGATCACACACAACACGCGTGCCGACCCTCATATGTATGGCGACATGACAGGGTAACATGTGCGCAATTTTAGCAAACGTGCACACCACATTTCGTCATGAAGCCGTCGTGAAATGGGATGGCGGATAATGCATCGAGATCGAGGAGTGGAATCGGTATGACGCTCGTTTCGCCAGTGAGGGGCGAATTGTTGTCACCTGGTGTGCGGGGACATCAGTTGGGAGGGGGACCTCGAGAGGAGCGTGATTGCGTCAGCTGAACACCTCCCTCGGCACGGCTCACCCCTTCGTGGTGGCAAAGTCCTCGAGCGCTGTCCTCTCAGATCTGTCTGACACTGACACCTTACCCCGCTTGTATCAACAAGTAGAGTGTGGATTGTGTATGTCTCGTGCATAGGCCTGCTGTTTACGTAACAAACGGGAAATTTTTGCGTAACGGGTTCAGAGTCGAGAAAGTGTGAACCAATCTCAATTAACCTTAAGCTTGAGGAGAGTGGGGCAAGAGAGGGATGTCTAAGGTTATGCCGTGTGATTACATACGCAAGATTGTCCTAATCAGCAGAGAATTACCGGGCATCTCGAGCGGTGAAGCGTGAGCGGACCGCACGGGTGCTGCTCAGGTCAGCAGAGTTCAGGTGTACGCGTGAACAATCCAACTCAATTTCCCCGCATTGTAGGGTCAGGGGCTTACGAAAGAAGTCGCCAGAACCTGCCTGAACGAACAATCAGGTCACGCCCGGCCCACAGTCTCACCTTCAGCCGAATCTCAAGGCATCCCTTGCTTAACGTCCCTCTCAAATCGAACCTTCGAATTTCCTGTTCGAGTCGATAAACGTTCTCGTATTAACCGCGCGCGCCGTTTTGAGGTTTTTGCTGTGTTGGGGAGTTAATAAATATGCGCATAAAAAGGAAGGGAACAAAGGGAGGGGAAGAGGTCTCAAGGGGGGGGGGGGGGGGTGGTTACAATTGTGTGGATCGCGTATTCGCGTTTTGGTATTCTGAAGCTTGTCAAGCCGATGAGGGTAGATGTCGTGATCACAGTCATGGCCAAGACTCACGAATAATTTGAGTCACCTTGGTAGTTGATGGGTTTCGATTGCATTTCTGGCGGGACGCGGCACGGCTTGGCTCAGAATGTGCTCATATGGCGCAACGCGCGTAAACTCACCGGCCCCAAGTACTGACTCACCCGAGAAATATAAAGAAGGATGGGACCCCCCACCAACCGACCTCCTCATCATCTCATACCGAACACAGTCAAAGGGGAAGCCCATCGATTCCGTCTACGTACGAACGAATAGCAGTCATTGTCACTGACACCATCCGCTCTACCACTACACCACAACCACACACCTATCTCTTACCCGAGCTACTTTACGATCCACGACATTTGAGATGGATACCGACTACTGCATGGTCTGCGGAAAGCACACTCTCGGAAGCGTCTACTGCTCCCAATCCTGCCGCCTCTCCGAACTGGAAGCATCAATACTCCCAACCTCCCTCTCTACATCCAACACCCCCGCCCTCTCCACTGCCTCCTCCGCCCCTTCGACTCCCTCATCGAGTCCTCAGGTCATCCCGCATACACACAACCTACTATCACCTTCCGCATTCAGCCTGAGTTCTTCGCCTCCGAGGACTTCGCTGAATAATTACCAGGCTTACGATGTGTTCGCTGCACCGGCTCTTGACCCCTTTGCGAAGGGAAGAAGACGGAGTACGGAGGAGACTGAGAAGCTTGGACGGAGTGCTGAGTGGATGATGAGGCAATGGAGCAACGAGTTCCGGAAGAGCAAGAGAGGTCCCATCATCGGAAGGACATAAACGAAAAAAAGTCGTTCCATTACGACAAACACAAAAAACCACAAAACGAAAAGCCAAAAAAAGGCGACGACGACGATAGGGCCAAGCAGGGCAACACAAAACAATCCTACACTTCTTCTTTGTGATTTCGGATATGGGTGTTTCTTTTTCGAGTTCTTACGCATTTGTTATTGGGTTGCACACGGGCGTTTTTCTTTCAACAGCAGGGATATCTCTTCATTCTCCATACTCTACATAGTACTAGGATCCTCAACGGACTACCATTACCGTCTCCTCTTCTCCTTTCTCAAGAGGAGGCTCGGCTTAGATTAGCTATAGCAAACATCATCACTCTACCATCTCCATCTCCATCTCCATCTCCATCTCCATCTCCATCTCCATCTCCACTTCGCCCCCGCCTTAGAGAACCAGCAATTCGGATCGATCATCCACGAGCGTCTTGTGATCGACGAGATGCCGCCGTATGAGTCACGCGCGCACTGTATGATGTCATCTGCCCAGCACCGCCACCACACTGAGAGTCCGAGCCTCGGGCATTTAGGCATCCGAATCGCCTGTGATCGGCGATTGATCAAGGGGGGCCGTGCACGGACCACTTGCTATTAATAGAACGCCGTACACACTTGCAATAGGGGCTGGGGCAGCTGCTGCACAAGGGAGGTGAACGCAAGGGATGAAGTCGGATGAAGGAGAGAGATGGAAGTTATCGTGGAAGAGAACCTTGGCAGTCTTCGGTATCACGCCGAGAAAGTCTCCGAAGGCGCTGCGCTTACTGCAACTCCATCTCCGTGGAAGCAAGCCTTGTCAAACCCCCAAGGCCTCGGCTCTGCGGGACAAACTTACCCCGCACACCCTTGTCATTCTTCACATCTCACCGTCTGTTTTTATGACATGTACCGCGGCACATATGTAATCGAGACATAATCCTTAATTGTAGAGCTATCGTAGGGGTATACAATGGTATCAATATTATTCCTCTCACTTACATCGGCCCATACATCTCCGAGCTGCGTGCTTACTTGGACAAATCCGGCACATTTCTCTCCACCTCCCTCTTCTTCGCCCACTGCATAACTTTCTCAATCCCCGCTTTTCCCGCCAGCGCCCTCTCCTCCTTCAACAACCTCAACCGCTCCGCTTCAGCAGATTTTTTGTCTTCCCATTCTTTACGTTTTTGGTCGGCGGATATGTCGTATGATTCGCGGGCTTGGGAGCGAGAGGTGAGGGAGAAGTGAGGGGAGTGGGGGGTTGTGAGGGGTTGGTGGGAGGGGTGGGGGATGAAGGGTTCTTTTTCGGTCGCGGAGGTCGTGGAGGGTGCGCGTTTCTTTTGGGGTATGACTTGGCCCGGGACAGGACGAGAGGGTTTAGCGAGAAGGGGCTTTTCCTGTCCCACCATAGATTTCCTCACACTCGCCCTCCGATCCGTAGCGAAACTGAACTCCTTGACCTCAGTCGTAGTAGTACCCCCTGCTTTCTTCTGACCAACACTCGCGCCCTCGGGGTTGTAGACTGCCATCGGAACCGGCTTCGCTTTGAATTCGCGGCGGGCACGGTCAGCGACAGCGACTTCCTCCCTTTTCTGATCGAGTTCGAGATGGCGTTTTGCGGCGAAGGCGGAGAGTTTGGGGGATGATGGCTTGGTTACCTTGGGGGCAGCGGGTGGGGGTTGGAGGGCGCGGCGGATCGGGGAAGTTGTTTCGATTTTGCGACGTTTGAGGGGGGCGGGGGAATCGACAGGCATTGAGAGTGTACCTGTTGTAAAGGTTGGTCGGGGTGATGCCGAGTCCGAGCGTTGACGCTTCTTCGTCGGTGCAGGATGTGTTGGTGCCGGTGCTGGTGCTGGTGCTGGTGCCTTCACCAGCGACGCGGCAGTCTTCATAAGATTCGGCTGCACCGGTCTTGTGGGCCTCATCGGCGACCCCAACGGATTCTTCGAACTCGCCTTACTCGGGCTAAATGCCGAGAAAGCCTTAACCTTCTTCCCCTTCTCCTTCTCCTTCGCATCCATCGCACCAAAGTCGATCTTGGGAACCTTCTGATCCGGTTTCTCCACTTTGTGATTGCTGGCTGCTTTGCCGGGGCTGAATGCTGAGAACGGCTTCAGTGCGGTTTTGCGTGGTGAGACGACTGGCACGGGGGATGATTCGGGCGACGATGACGGCTTGGTTGGCGATGCCTCTTCAGGAGGGAGCAATCCCATATCCTTCGTACTCGCAGGCGTCAGTGACGGCAAGCGTCTCGATTTCGCGGGTGAAGGCGTCAGTCGCGGTTTCTTCTGTGCAGAAGACAGAATCTGCTCAAATGAATCATCTGGCATTTCGTCGTCCTCTTCCCCCTCGTCCACTTCTGGTGCGATAATGCTTCGCTTCTTACTCGGACTGAACCCAAGACCACTCAAACTGACCCTCGCGCCCCTCTCTTCGTCATATACCAAGCTCCTCTCGAATGAGTCGTCAGACTCCGCACCCGACTCGTCGTCGTCAACGCCGTGGACTTCGGGGTCGAAGACAGGGGTGTGAGCTTTGGGTGATAGAGCTGCCTTGCGGAGGGGTGTATGCATGTCTGTGGGGTTCGAAAGGATTTCTGAGAGACGAGATGGCTTGCGCTTCTTAGCAGAAGATGCTGGTGTGAATTGCTTGACTTCTTCCTCCTGATGTTCTTCTTCTGCTTCCTCTTCCTGCTCCTCTTCTTGCTCTGGCTCCTGCTCTGATTCCTCCGCAGTCTCCGCCTCTGCAACCACCGGCGACGGCGCATCTCCCAAAATCTCACTCAACCTTTGCCTCTTCCTCTTCACACTCCTCGCTGGCATCGGTTCATCCGCATCCTTCAAAGGCACCAGAATATCCCCTGGCTTGATCGGCGACATTCCCTCATTCGCTTCCTCCTCCTGCTCTTCTTCCTCTTCTTCAGGCGCAACCATAGTCTTCAAACGCGTGGATCGGCGCGTAGAGCGTGTCGATACAGGTGTAGAAGCCGCAGCAGCTCTTGGCAAAGTCTTTGGCGTAACGGTCCCCGTCGCTCTCGCGGGAGCAGGCGAAGCCGTCGGAGTAGAAGACGCGAGCTTTCTCGACGAGCGGCGCATTTTGTCTGATAACTGTAACGAGTTCGATGTGATCCTGTTGGACAAATGTATGCTATGTTATTCCCGCGCGTAGGAAACGTGAAGGCAGGCTTCTTTGTGGATTCTTTCGCTGCTCTGGGATCCTTTCTTGCGCTCACCCCCTGGGCGGACGTGATTTCTGGGAACCCCGTGGCTCAGTCACTCCGCCACAAGACTCAAGCGCGTTGGTGAAGGACATCGAAATTCCAAGAGGCAACGACAAGAACTCTGCAGTGGTTAGGATAGTAATGATTTACGGAAAGCCGATGTTTCCAAGACCATATGACTGGTAGTATCCAACAGCTATCTCAACAGTGCTGGTTCAGTGCTCCGCCATAGTGAAGCTGTAAGGGATAGATCACTCAGCAAAACATCCCTTAGGGTTATGACATCTTGGAACTTTGTTACCTTGGGAGTACTTCGCGTTACTGTTGGACGTCCTGGTCAGCCGGCGGACTTGGCAAGACCGCAACACATGGGTACACCATACGCTTGAACTCACAATACGACTAATCAGATGGCAATTGGGGTTACTACATGGAGCTCGAATTCCTCCTCTGGCAGTCCAGTCTGGACACAGCTGCGTTGGATTCGCAAGGTTCTTATATTTGTCAGAATGCAGGTTTACGTTAGGTTCGCACGAATGGTCTGATCTGGAGGGCTGGGAATAGTGAAGCTGGATCCCGGATAGGTTCTATGTAAAGAAGATTGGCCATCTCTCAATGTCCGTAAAACCCTGTTTTTTTCCTTACTGAAACTCAGGCTAAGACGGGACCCTGGGGTCGGCTCCAGTTGTGATCATTCTTAGCCCCTCGGCAACACGACTGCAACTGTTTACTACCTTCACCTGTCCTAGCTAAATCCATAAGCTCGCTAGCACAATCGATCAAAAACCTTCACCGCCCTCTACTCTACATATAGCTACCCTATTGCAAGCCCAAACCGCCCTCACTCGCATCCTCGGGCATCCCTGAAGACCCCAAGCAACCAGAAACCTTCCACTTCGCTTGCCCTCCCCTTCCACATGAAAAACGTAAAAACCTACAAAACTAGCTTCGATCTCAACGTGCACAAGCGGCACCGGCGTTTCTCTTTCCGCGAAGCCGAAGGGGCACTGGCGCACCGAGGCTAACTGGATTAGGAAGGACCCCGGTTTGGCGCAGTTGGCGTTGAGGTTGCTGGAAAGTTCCCAGGGTGTCTGTTAGCCGTGTCTACGGGGTTACGGGATGCAAGGAAGAAGAGGGGAGGTCGTGGAGTGGTGAGAGGGGGTCATGGGGGAGCAGTGTGGTGAGTGCGTGGGTCAATGCCATGGCCAGTGAGTGTCGATCGATATCATGCGGGGTTTTGCGGTGTTTGGCAATTGGCTCAATGTTTCGCCGAAAGAACCTGGCAATGCTACCGTATCTTGCCAGCGTGTAGGAAATCGATTGGACATGTAATGCTGGCGTGGTGTTTCGCAATCGGTCACACGATCCACCAGGTGCGGAGTCGCACCGAGCTGCCAGGCCTCACGTATGAGTCCCGCGCCGATGGGATGAGCTTAAATGAATGTCAATCGCAAACCTCCTCCCAGAGTCACGAGGTTTGCATCAAACATCTTCCAAGAACCTTGGAAAGCGGGGTAACCTGAACATGAAACCGCGGCTGTAACACCTGATGCATCGGTCCCTCAACCGACCCCATGATCATCGAAAGGGATGCGCTGAGATGAAGAGGAGCCCTTTTGGGCTTTTCGACATGTTACACTACGTTTACGTGGCATCTTACCGAGGTGCCGACACTCTCTACACACCCTTGCCAAGGTCCTCCTTATATGTGACGAACTGTAAGCCTCGCCTGAGGTCACAAGACATCCTCCCCCATCTAACCTGATAAAATCTGAAAGAAAAGCATCATCTGACTCCCCTCCTTCTTGCTTTGTCCAATAACCCTCTCACGGCAGCGGTTACTCGTAGAGTGCGGTGATGTGCGCGTGATTCATGAGGCGCTCGAGATGAGCCTCACGACATGAGAGTTATATGAAAGCCAATCGAACCGAGCCGTACGAAGCAAGGCTGAGCAAACGTTGTAAGGATCATGAGTCATTTTGCAACCCAGTCGCGCGATTTGCTTTGTGTCCTATCTGACCAGTCAAGAGGTCGCACTGTCGTCACCAGCACCCTTATCTCTCGTTGGAGAACAGCAGCTGATAGCAGTCGTCGGAAGGAAGTCCGGGATTTCGGCACACGTTGTTCTGGTCCCCACGTACTAAGCGACTGACGTTTCTTGACTAAGAGGTCGCGCCGTTTTTTAAGGTCGGAACAAACCCAAGCTAATTAGTTCCTTCCGACCAATTCCGCGCGCGCCCGCTGCAGATTCATAAGCTTCCTTCTTCGCCCTCGGGGTCCCTTCAACACCAACACCAATACCAACAACCAACGAACGACAAAACAAACCGCATACATCCAGTGTTATACCATCGAAATCAACACCAGTTCCAGCTTATCTCATTGAATGCCTGGAATCGCCTTTGAACACTTCGCCGCCGAGAACGCTACCCACAACACCCACCCCGCCACCATCATTGGTGGTGAGGTTTACAGTACTTCCACGTACGCCCATGAACAGACCGAGTTTGATCATGCAAGCGACCTCGCCGACCTCAAGGAGCAAGCGAAGCTCATGCAGCAGGTTCTGTTGAGTACCGCCGATTTGCCTCTTTTCGCCCGTGGTCCGCGTCGACTCGCTCCCATCGAGAGATTGCCCGTTGAGATTCTACAGAAGATTCTGGGTGAGGTCGCCACCCAGCCAGGAGGAATCTACAACAGCTTGAAGGATTTGAATGCATGTCAGACTGTTTCGAAGGTCTTTCATGCCTACACCATGCCGCTTCTTTACTCGCACGTACCCGTCTCCGCGTCCCCCGTTTTCGCCAAGTTCTTGCACGGATTGCAGGACGATCCGTTCAAGGGCTCGCTTGTTAAGACGCTTGACTTTTCGGGGTTCACGAGTGTTGGGATGGGAAGGACGGGGCGGATGAACAAGGAGATTCAGATGTTTACTGCTACGACCCTTGATATGTGCTTGGCGCTTACTCCGAATTTGCAGCAGTTGCTCTTGAGCGAGCATGTCGAGCACGATATTGATTTCAACATCATTGCGCGCCTGCTTGGTGGTGACATGCCCTACATCAAGGCTCTTGACTTTTGCGCCATTACCTCGAACGAGTTGGTTCGCGCTATGACCGACTTTGTCGATGTTAACATGCTCAGCGCCGCGCCGTTCTTTGCTTTGCCGCGTTTGGAGAGGCTTTCGTTCCACGAGTGTTCGACCGTTCCCTCTCGCGTCTTTGCTGCGCTCTTGCCTCGCCTTCACAGGTTGACTCACCTCGATTTGACCCACACTCAGGTCACTTCCGACACTTTGATGTCCATCAGCCGGAAGGCTAGGTTGCAGCACCTCTCCTTGAGCCGCTGTTCTAAGCTCTCCACTGAGGCCGTCGCCGAGTTCTTGTTGACGCACCCTGCTGCTCGCAATCTCGTCTCCTTGAACCTTCGTGCGTCTGGCAAAGTCATGTCTGAGGACCACCTCGACATCATCTTGCCTTCCCTCCCTCGCACCTTGAAGTCTATCAACCTTGGCGGCAACACCGAGTTCGGAGACAACCACCTTCCGCTTCTTCCCTCCACTGTCGAAGAACTCGGCATCGCTTGGAGCAAAGTCACTATCGACGGCCTCAAGGAGAACCTGTCCCCAAACATCCACACGGTCGACCTTACCGGCGTCCGTAACGCCACTGCCTTCTCCATCCTCAACAACTTCCTCCTCACACCAAACCCAATGCAACCCCGCACCTTCCACCACAACATCCGCGTCTTCGAACTCTCCGACGTCCTCATCTCCCACCTCGACGCATTCGCTTCCAAGTCCGTTGCGTGGCGCGTGGTTCAGGGCCGTGGACGTAGGGGATGGGTTGTCAGGAACGATGTTTTTGAGGAGGAGAGAGTGCTCAAAATGGAGGCTCCTTATTGTTATGGGTTTTTGAGTCGGAAGGTTAGTGTTGTTAAGAGGGGGGCGGAGTTCCCGGGGATGGAGGGGGATGATCAGGGGGCGTACGAGAGGGGGATTTATCGCTTCTATGCTTATGGGAAGTGAAGTGTCTGTCAAGCATGCAGTTGCAGGCGTGTTAATGTGTGAATGTTGGAGGATGAGAAGAGTGAGTGTACGATATCGCTGTCTGAATGCGCTGGCCGCAGTCGCCTCTTCACTCAACACTTTTTGACGCAGGACGTTCGGGTTCTGTTTTTTTTTGTTATTCGGGATCACTGGGGTTTCCTGTCATTATCATCATTGTTTGCAAAGGGATTGGAATGGGTTCCAAGTTTGCTTTGGGGTATTTTTTGCATTGCGAAGGGATTGCTTGCTATCATTACTACATTCGTTTGGGGTTGTCTGACTGGGTATTACTTGCTATCAAGGATTGCTATGGGGTTTTGGTATGCCTAGGGTAGGGTACATTATATGGGTAGGCTCGTTGAATCGAGCATAATCGTCGTAATGGATTCTGATTCATTCTGATTGTACTCCTTCCTTCTTTTATCCTCTTGACTACAACTGCCTTGGTATTTTCCCTTTGTAATCAGATTCCATCAGATAACCCTATGGTTCACTCGGGAAGAGCCTCCCGAAATGAACGTCACCACACCGCAAATCTGATCCGCGCTCAAAACTCAACTCCAACAAGACCAGATCAACCAACCCACAAGGGTGCAATCTGTTGATCCACCACAAGAATGAGTTGGCTCAAATCCGCAATCTCCTCCGCCCTCTCCTCAAGGGGCCCTACTCCCGCAAACAGCACCCCTGGTACTCCAACAACCGAAGCTCCGGCTCCCGTGCTCACCGTCTCCCAAGACGGCAACGACGACATCCCCGCCTTCCCCCTCGCCCACGGTGACTGCAACACCTGCGCAACCCCATGCCCCGACCACGCCCAATACCCTGACTCCCTCCGCAAAACGATCGAATGGGAAGAACCCATGAAAGGATCCGTCATGACTTACGGGAAGCATTTCGTGATCGCAACGGGAAGTGGAAAGATGAATTGGGAGCATGAGGTCAGTGAGGTTGAGGGCACGATGGCGCACGAGGTAGGCAAGATCGTGTATAATCGGACGAGTGGAAAGAGGACTGTATTGACGAATTCGAGCATGGCTGTACCGTATGAGGAGGAGGAAAACAAGACCGACGTGCTTGTTTTACCGGATTGGAAGTTCGTGGAGGAGATCAAGCCGGAGCAGGCATCTGATCTTGTCTCTCATTTCGTCGACGAGCAGGCCGAGGCGGGAAAGGGGTTGAAGGTACGTGATGCGGAGTGGGATGCGATCGTCCTGATCTGCTCCCACCGCAAACGCGACAAACGCTGTGGTATTACAGCCCCCTATCTCCGCAACGAATTCGAACGCTCCCTCCGCTCCCATAACCTCTGGCGTGATCCTGACGACTCGCGCCCCAACGGCGGAGTGGGAGTCTTCTTCGTCTCTCACATCGGGGGTCACAAGTTCGCTGGAAACGTGATTATCTACCGGAAAGAGAAGGGAGAGGGAATTTGGTATGGGAAGGTTGAGCCGTGTCATGTTGAGAGGATCGTGGAGGAAACGGTTGTTAGTGGGATGGTGTTTGAGGGGTTGTTGAGGGGTGGAGTGGAGGGAAGGAAGGAGATGTTTTGAAGGGCAAGTTAACGGGAATGATAGAGCAGATGAATATACAAGTGGCTTGGAAACGGAAAAAAGTATCAATTGAAGGGGGCCTGATTTTGTGCCGAAAGTGGAAGTCCTCGTTACAGGGACACTCCACCGAATGCTCCTTACGTAAACAAACGACCACCCACACAGCCATGACAGTCCTCGCCGACAAACTTACCCATAATGCCGGCGAAAGCCAGATACCTACACCAATAACATTAGTAACCACCTCGCCAGGTCCAGATGAAGCCGCTAAACCCCCGAAGCGAAGACGAGTTGGTTATGCTTGGTCTCAAAAGTATCAATCCATGGCATCGAAGCTTCCCTCGAACATTGACCGCGCACGTCTGGTTCATAATCTTACCCGTGCTTATGGTCTTCTTGGTTCTGGGAAGATCGAGATTATTGAGCCGAGAGCGGCGGAGGAGGGGGAGATTGGGGTTTATCATGACGAGGGGATGGTCAGGTATTTGTTGCATGGGGAGGTGGAGGGCGAGGAGGAGAGCAGTGGGAGTGAGGGAGAGAGGGAGGAGGAAAGAGATGGAGGTGGAGGGAGGAAGATGGAGAAGGGTGAGAGGTATGGGTTGATGTATGATTGTCCGGAGTTCGAAGGGATGGGGGAGTATGTCCGTTCGTTGCCCTCAATATACCCCCTCGTCTGCATACAGGCTAACATCTGGTGGAATAGGGTATGTAGCAGGTACGTCGATTGAGGCAGCAACCAGACTCCTGACCCAGGAACTCACACACGCAATCCACTGGGACGGCGGACGACACCACGCACGCCGTGCTTCCGCCGCTGGGTTCTGTTATGTCAATGACGCCGTCCTCGCAATTCTTAAGCTGCGTACGCAGTTTGATAGGGTGTTGTATATCGACGTGGATTTACACCACGGCGACGGCGTCGAGCAAGCATTCATCCGGTCAGACCGAGTCTGTACCGTCTCTTTCCACCGATACGATCCCGGCTTCTATCCCGGTACAGGTAGTGTCCGGGACTGTGGAAAAGGCAAGGGAGCGGGATACGCGATTAACGTACCACTGAAACGTGGGCTTGGAGGCGCGATGTTGGGGAAATGCTGGGATGAAGTCGTGGAAAAGATCGTGGAGGTTTGGAGGCCGGGAGCTGTGGTGGTGTGTTGTGGGGTTGATGGGATGACGAGGGATAGGCATAAAATGTGGAATCTCGCACCGGAGGATTACGCAGATTGCGTCCGAAAGGTTCTTGAGTGGGACATACCGACGCTTTTCTTGGGCGGTGGGGGGTATAACCATGCGGACGCAGCACGGTGTTGGACATATCTCACGAGTGTGATCGTGGGCTCGGGAGTGGAGTTGGAGTTGAGCAGAGAGATACCGGAGGAGCTTGAGGCTGTGGATTACGATGCTTTTGGGCCAGATTATGAGTTGAGCGTTGAGAGGGGCCAGCAGGGTGATGAGAATACGGAGGAGAGTTTGGGGGAGGTGGTGGGGAGTTTGAGGGAGTATATTGAAAAGATGAGGGCTTGACGAAACCAACGCATGTGAGAAATAGGTTGGTGAGGGAAGATGGAGATACACAGGGGGACAAGGATGAGCAGAGACATGGCCATGGGCGTGAGGACTCATGCGAAAGGCTAATGTGTGAAGCACCGCACCCAAAGGAGAAAACATCAGCATTTACTACCCAAAGCAAAATGTACGGGTTTATTCGCCAAGAATTGGCGATTACGGCAGCACAGGCCCCGAACCCTCCGTCTGCCGTGCACGTGCATTTCCGCGGAACTGTTTCGGTCCCGGCTTCGGATTCACTCACACCGGGGTGCCGTGCGCTCATATGCAGCAATTGCGGATGCAATTCGTCAAAGCAATCTCGAATCTGAAGTACTGCTATGGACTTGGGTAATGCCTCGGTTCGGGCTACCTTTTGGACAGGTGCACGTGCGATGTAATCATACGTCCGGTTAATGGTCACAGCGACGTCTTGTAGCTAAACCTGCAGCTACAACTGTTCGTGTTGCTATTTATAAACGAGTGCATGAGGAGCGTTCTGGCCAGTGCCAGTGCCATATTGCAGCAGAATTGCAATTGCAACGCACGGTGCGTGATTGGCAGCAGGAGGTTAAGGTTCTCGGTTGGCCAAAGTCAATTGCAAAGCGAGAGAGCGTCATTCGCTCGACTAGAACTCCGGTAAACCCAGATTGAAAGTAAAAGACGTCCTTCGCCACTCACGAACACTTAAAGCGGGGCGTACTTTGCCATTTCGACCGGCATCGCACTATCCCCGTTAGCGCAAAGAAATACACCAAGTATATCACCCACCGTACTGAACTCCAGACAATCGCAAGTAGTTTGCTCGTTGATATCTTCAGTCTTCAGCTCCTTCACCGTTCTCAGATCTCGACGAGCCGACTTCGAATCCTGCAGCCGAGGCCTAGGCTTTAACCGAACCGATATCCCTGTTCTGCCGCTCACTTGCCGTTTCTGGGAGGACCCTGGTTTGACTACACGGACGACTGTCTTCAGCCGGATTTAAACCTAATTACCGACGACGTCAGCCGCTGCACGGGTTCGCACTTGCAATTGAGTTACAATCTACGAGTTACGAGCTCGCACCAGCCTCAGTTCCATTCACCACTTTGATCGCGGTTCCGTTTGCTCCGCCACAACTTTCACATTCACGATCTCGCTCGGTAATCTCGAGACCTTTTCGCTCAAGTTCTGTTTGTCCGAAAGTCAATCAACGCTTGATCGTTACGTCCATTGCAAAGAAGGAGAGACAAGGGATTTGAAATAGCTACTTTGTAGCTACCGATCACACAATTGATCTGACACCATGTCGAACACTACTGGCCGTACGTTAACAACGAGTTAAGCCTGCTCCTGGCTGCATTACATCCCCTTTCCCAATAATCCCTTACTGACTCTGTCCAATAGTTATCACGACCATATCCTCAACAACGACAGATGCAACAACAACCGGCATCCTCACCACAATAACCACTACCGACTCCCCCGCCACATCCTCCTCCTCCTCCTCCTCCTCCTCCT